TTGTTCAAGGTACTTTGTATGGTATGGGTGGTAGAATACGTAAGAAGAACCAAAAAAAGAGGTCTGAAAAAAAAAAAAAAAAAAAAGCAAGAAAAGAAAAAAACCGCAGTGTGATCTCCGGAAGCGCAATATCCAGGAATTTTTTTTTCTTCCTTTACCGGTCCGGGAAACGATCGTTGGGTTCATCTCAGACGCGCCCTTTGCTGTTGGACCTAGGGATAAGTGTGCTTCATCTAGCATCTGAAATCGGGGGTTGGGTTAGTTCCTATCTAGGTAGTTTCTTCTGCTGCTCCCTGGTGCATTTTCATGTCGAGTCCCATTTTTGGGGGTGGATGGGAAGGATGATGGATGATGGCTGGCTGGGTTGTGGAATGCGAGAGCTCTGAGAGGGTGTGAGTAAGTGTGTAAGTGTGAGTGGGGTTGGTGATCTGTTCTCTGTGCCCTGTATTGTGTGTATTATCACAAGGTAGCATAGAACTAATCTACTTCACTGACACATACTTTGCGAATAATGTATATCTCAAACAAGGTCGAGGCCGAGGAATGTAGATAAAGTTGGCAGTTGGAATCTGAAGCTAATCACTCATATTCATCTCATACCAACTCATACTTTGTACTCTGTACACGACAGTGTACAGGTACAGTAGGCACAGACAGGTACATAGGTCAGCCCTGATGATATGCACGATAAACTCCAGCTGGATGTATGTACTCCATCCGAGCAAATAATCATCAAGACTGCCACGGCATCACGGCATCGGAGGGTGACGGATCACATCGATCTGCCTTTGGTCGTTTGCATGAATTGAGGGGATCGATCCATGATATATTCCCTGTCATCAGCCAGACCATGGATAGCAGCAGACCGGACAGACAAAACCGATGCACGTTGGAATCTCCAGGCAGACTGCGCATGCGGCCAGAATCGGCATGGCCAAAAGGCCCGACCGAAGACTCAAGTAAATTTCTTTTCTTTTTCCAATAATGTCGACTGTGGACGCCATCCCAGGAGAAAAATCGGAGAGAAAACTCGGCCAGACGGCTACGTCATACACGCGACGGACTCACGGCGTCACCTGTGATGCGCTAGAAACGGTCCAATCAAGGGGCCGGATCTGGGTTCGGACCTGGAGCGACTGGAGTCTGCAACGTGCATCTCGATGTGCCACAGGATGCAGCGTCAGCATTTGTTTGGACAGGCCGGAGATCAACTCGGCGAGATCATGGCTCGATTTGTCAGGGCCCTCACCACACGGAGGATTGATGCGACACGGTCTATCTTTGCTTTGGGAAAATCGTCCGGAGCCAGTTGTCCCTCGTCACAGATTAGCAGATAGACTCGTGTGTCTCATGATACCATCTGTCGGTTATCACCCCAGAGGGCTGACTGTGAAACGACCCGGTTTTTTTTTTTTTTCTCTCTTTCTTTCCTAGACATGCCAAGTCACCCAAGTAAGGCACCATTCCCAACCTCCCAGTCAGGATCCAACCGTCTGTAATAGGTTCGTATATCTACGACAGATTAAAAAATCACGATGGCTAGAGGGTGTCACTGATGGGCGGCAGTGCCCGAGATCTCGAGCAAGGGAAAGCGGGGAGCGTTGTACCGTTGTACTTGTAACCATGGAACATGACACTGTGAACTCTGCAAATTGAAGGCTGTCTGACCTGTCCGAGTGTATCCCATCTCATGAGAATCTTGCCACTGTAGCAAGGTGTCTGTGTGCTGCCGCTGTGCCGCGCGGGCGAATCAACGGCCGGTCGGAAGAGGAAAAGAAGCAGAAAGAGGGGGCGTGACGTCTCGGTCTGCTTGCGATTCCAACGGCGCGTCTTTTTATTACACTTTCTGAATTCGAGACTACCAGCCTAGTTGCAGATGGAAGATAGGCGTACGACTGGGACAAAAAAGACGGACACAGAGACTGTCTGATGTGCGATCCAGCTGCTCCACTGCGATCGTTGCCAGATCTGGGCCAAGGATGGGATAGGCAACCTTTTCATCTTGCACAAGGTTCAGCGTCCGTATTTTATTTATTATTCCTGGTCGACTCCCATTTCTGCCACACAAAGTAACGGATAAGAATCCCGGAACAATGTGATTCTCTCAGCGGTTGTACTGGAAGTTGCCCATGGCAATACTTGCCCCTACCTGCAGTTCGCCATGGATCGCAAAAGGCAGGAAAAAAAAAAAAAAAAAAAAAAAAAAAAAAAAAAAAAACTGTCTTGCATCTGGATCGACTCAGATGCTCGATGGACGGACGTATAACGACTTCCCCCCCGTCTTACATTCCCTAGGCCACCTATCACAAGTCATCTGCAACGGGGTTGGACGTAATGTTCTGCTAAGAATGGAACTATTATATTAATACACCCACCACTCAAGTTGACTCAACACTCTGCAGCCTACATCTGATTTTCCATCTGAGATCTAATGGTGTCGTGTTCATCTGTATGACCACAGGGCAGATGATCCAATCCTGACTCGGTGATTCTTTCTTCATATTACTTTCATTATTTCTTTACGATCGCTGGATCTCTTACGCTCACTCGGGCCTCTCCCCTTGACCCATGGACTATGGATGGGGCCACTTAGTCTGCTCTTCATCAACCCAGAGTTTCTGGGTATTTTATAATTTATCTAGTTTATGATTAGTTTATTAGTTTACTTTTTCCATCGCAGATTGTCTTACGCACTATCTGACTATCGGGGCCCAGTTCCCAGTGGTTTGAAATGACCATCGTCACATCGTGTCAATCGTAGGATCTTGGTTGTACCCCTGTCCGATCTATCTTGTCTTGTATTTTTTATCCTTTTTTATTTTACAGACATCTTATATTCAATATCGTGTATTTTTATACATTATGTTTATACACACAGAGTATATCATAAGTATTCACATCTAGTCAATAAGTACTATTATGTATTGTCTACGTACACCGTACCTGTCACAGTATGGTGTATTGTATGTAAATACACGTATTTTTATTTCTCTTACCACTTTTTGGTCCCGCCCAGGGACGCCATCGTCACTCATCAAAAGGCCCCTGGTCGGGCTCCATCCACCGAGCCCCACCCAGATATCCGCACATCGCCAATATGATCCCAACTCAACTCCACACTCTGTCGAAGATCCGCAGTTCGCAGGCCTGTAAAGCTTCTGTAATTCGCCGTAACTTTAAACTGGTCAACAGATTCGACGATCTCGTAGTGCTTTCCGTCCTGATTTCTTACGCCTTCTTTTGGTCGAAAAAAAAAAATAATAACAATTAAATATTACAGCCTGAACTCCTCTTGTTTGGATCTTGTGTGTACACTGTGTCGATGTGGGCTCTTTTTTGATGTGGCTAGTAGTGATTTAATTAGTAGGACTCGGGAGCATTTATTATTATTATTGTCATTTTATTATTTTTTATTTCATTTTACAATTCTTATTCTTCCTTTGGGTCCCTTTTTTTATTTTATTTTTTAAATTATCGTTATTTTATTTTATTTTTTTGATTTATTATTATTTATTTTTTTAGACTTCCTGCTGGCGTAAAACTACTGCCTTTTACCTACCTGCCGGACCCTTCCATTCTTCCCTTCGACCTCCAAATCTCCGTGGGAAATCTTGCGTCTTTTTCGAACTGCTGCATTCCAACTAAAAAAGAAGAGAGACACGCCCAAAAGAAAAGACACAATCCCCTTCCTCCATCTTGCTTACTACTGCTGCTTTTCTTTTCTTTCCTCTTTCTCTCTCTCTCCCACCCTTTTTCTCTTCCCCCATATCTCGTTCTTCAATCTACTCTTTTCTCTCCCCCCCGCCAATCCCTTTTGTATCCCCCCCCTCCACCTCCCCTCCACCCCCCCCTTGGGGATAGATTGTCATCCTCAACCTTTCTTCCTTTTTTTTCCACCTTCTTTTCTTTTCTTTTTTTTTTTAAAAAAGAAAAAAATTGAGAGAGAACAAAAAAAAAGTTACAACATCGTCCCCCTTTCCACGCGACGCATTCATCTCATCTTCCATCCCTTGCATTTGCTGCGCCGCCCGGCCCTTTCTTCCGCCCGCAAAATTCAACATTATCAAATCTCGATCTTGTTGTTCAGTGCAAAATCGGGTTTTGGATTTTGGATTCTTGTCATTCTTGTCATAATTTTTTTTTAACAACTCCGGTCTTTTTGTGAGACGGGTGTGTGAGTGAGCTCGAGCGTTTGAACCTGGGACAGATGGTTATCCAAATCGCAGGAAGGGCCGTTCCGATCTGATCTGTTCGCCGCGCGCTGCGGGTTCGTGCCGTATTTGATTCCTCCTTCTCTTCTCTTCTTCCTCTCCTCTCATCCTTTCATCCTCTCTTCTCGTCCTCTTAATCGTCGACCAGGAGCAGAACTATATCTTCACCACCCGCGGGAATCTTCTGGAGATCGCGATCGCATCGCCGCCGGAATTCGCCTGCAGAGCTGCTTCTGCCCTTCCCTCCTCTCCTCTCCAACGCCACTCTCCCACACTGACTTTGTTCCCAAACACGTCGTCGTGTAGACTTTCGAGTCGCCTCTTTCATCTCATCTTTTTTTAAAACCCTGTTTTGTGGTACTGGATCTTGGCTCGATTTGTTCCAAGTTCGGTGTGTCTCCATCGTGACGGCGTCTTACGTTCGCATCTCCTCCGACTTGACACCTCGATCTTAACGTCTTTTCCTCCCTCCCCCCACCGCCACCGCTCCGGACAAACTTGGTTCAAGAAAGTGGCACTTTTTTCCTCGATCAAGGAATTAAAAGGAGCTAGTGGGAGTTCGTTTTGTCGAAAAGGATCCGTGGCCTTGTGAAGACTTCGTTTTCTTTTACATCACCAAGACACATTTCAACACCCGTTGACAATTCGCATTGTCAAAACGACCAGAAACTTCTATTTCGGATATTTCGGGGGTCGAGATATCTTACCGCAAAGACTACGGCTACCGCGTCGAATAGTGAATGTGGTTGAAGACGGAATAATAGGGATATTCTTGAAACAACTGGCGTGATGGGGTCTTTGGAAGCCGGACCTAGACATAGGTTTGTCCTTCCGATCCTGTCCTCTGGCAAAGAAAAGGACGAACGTGCTGATGGATCGCGATCTAGGGACCATTTGCCAGCCATTGGTTTTCTAGGCAAGGACGGGTCTGGATACCCTCAAAAACACGCCATCGCGACAGCCACCCCTGGGTCGACAACACCACTTGTCAGTCCTACCACAATGTATTCAAGCCAACCAGTGCCCTACTCCTATCAGCCGCCGAATGTCAGCTCAGCGCCTCCGCCTGGGTATATTTCCCCACCGGATTCACGACGTGCGCTCGAGGAGGAAAAGGAGAAACACACTCAGCCGCAAAGGCAATCTCTACCATCAATTCATGAGGCTCTTGGAAACGATAATCCTCTTCCATATCCTGCTCCGCCTACTTCAGCCCCTCCTCCCCATCAAGTTTATCACTCTGCGCCATCTCATCCTGTATCCTCCACTGTTGGGCGTCCGGGCGGAGAAGGGCCACCAGGACCACCAAACCCGTTTTCGAATGGTGCGCCAACAGGACCGTTTATGCGGGATCCTGCAGCTGCCCATCAGACTCAATTGCAGGCTGAGGCATCACGGTCCAGTTTGGCATCGTTGAATACACAAGATTCGAGAAATGCTTCGCTGCATTCGATCAGCTCGGGCAGATCTCCTACGCAGAGTGCAAAAACTGGAATTACATCGATCGCAGGCTCGCAGACTTCTTCGGGGTACGAATACAGTGCGCCTACATCTGCGGGTAGCATTGCTTCACCCAACGGCTACGCTGCATTTTCACAACCGTTTTCTTTCCAATCGCAACCACCAAATGCACCAGCATACCCGGCAGCTTCTTACGACGCTCGGCCTTATATGGGTGGTGCGTGGAAACCGGGCGCGGCAGAACCAGCACGTGTCGAAGAGGTGAAAACTGGGCTCGCGGCCCGCCATGCTATTCCGGGACAGCCCCATAACGACGCTGTCAAACGCCATTTGGACATTTACGATGTGGAGACTTCGCTGAATGAGGTATGTATCACCTTCCTAGGGAGGGAAGTGGGTTCCTTTGCTTCTGATTTAACCGTTGCTAATTGGATTAGATTGCCGAAATGAGCACCCGCAGTCTGGAATTCTCGCGACACTATGCTGCCAGAGCGCACCAGACACAACGATCTGGGCCCGTCTTAGGGTCTCTGCCCTCTCTCCACGAGGTGGAGGAGATGCTCAATGTGCAACGTCGCAATCAGGATGCCCTGTTGCGCATACGAACCGCGGTACTCAACCAAGAACACGCCATGGCGGAACAGATGGCCCAACGAAAGGCTTTCAAAACCGGTGGAGTTCATGACGATGACCACATGGCAGTGTACCAGGAGGATTTCAAAGGCAGTGGCGGGTTTGCCGGTGCCGATTCGAAGAAGCGACGAGGGGTAGGTTCGCCATTGAGATTTTCTGTTCCTTTCCCCCTTGCACTAGTCTCCAACTCGCCATATACCTCACGATCGCCTCCGTTACCCACTTAAGTCGTTTGCCATTGCTAACATTGGTTCTACAGAAGGCTGCCCCTCCCGGTCGTTGCCACAGCTGCAACCGAGCCGAAACACCAGAATGGCGTCGGGGTCCAGATGGAGCCCGAACACTGTGCAATGCCTGCGGGTTGCACTATGCCAAGTTGACACGCAAGATGGGCGCTAACAAGGCGTCGTCGTTGGGTTCGAATCTGAAGCCCAAGACCTCGCTTGACTCGGCGTCGCCCAGCAGCCATTAGTTTTATATGTGAGCCCCTGCTTATTTCACGTGGCGTTGAAAAAGGTTTTGGGATTAGAAGTGGCAGGCGTTTTATTGTGCCAAGTTATTCACTTTGATCATACACCCCATTATGTTTTTGGCTTTTTGATTTTCTCGTGGACATGATATGGCAGCACTATTTTGCTTTTGGGAAGCGGTTTAAAAGATGGTGTGGTTATGAACTGTTCCAAGCATGTGGATGTCTCTTTTTTTTGTTATTATTCCCTTTGTCTTTTTTCATTTGTTTTGGTTGATTGATCTCAGGTGGAATTGCCTCTTTAATACCCTCGGAAGGAACGGCATCAGGATAGATTTCCTCCAGTCCCTTCCCCTTGTTTGTATGTGGTGCTTGTCAGTGACTGATATACAGTTGATACAGTTGACTGAAGTCATTTTTTCCATTTCTTGTGTCTGTTTTTACTACATGTGTTTGAAGATTTTTTTCCCTTTATTTTTTGGCTTATTACTTATACCCCCCCTGCTTTTTTGACCCTACAACATCATGTGTCTGGGATTTACAGCACCCACCAGATGTGCTATACTATGTTGATTCGATGCATTTACGTCTGTCATGGGGATACTATTAAAAAAAGACTTGATTGATGTGGCAATTACTGGATCGTATGATTTTGCGTAATGGTCGGTGAAATCCGACTTGGGGAATCCCACCGTAAAGGGCACCGAGCAGACAGATTGGGAGGCAATAAAAGAGGCGCCATGTCATCGAGTGAGCCATGATCACGTCGCACGATCAGCCACCACTGACACTAGTGGCGATACTACAGATTAAGTAGAACATAAAGTTATTGACACGTTGGCTTAGCCTATCCACCATGACAAATTGCTTGGGGCGATTCCTGATGTGTATATTGTATCTTACTCCATAGGTATAATATTTGATACATATTATATATTATATAATACGATGCATACAGCCCCAAGGAGAAGCCAAGAGTAAGTCAAGCTTCACCGCCACTACATCGATCGTACTGTACATCTGCATTCTGTACGCTGATCCGCATGCACTCCTAGCCGAGACCTACTAGAGACGCTTTTCAACAATTCTACGAGCCATAGTCCATCTAGCCCATCTAATGTAGTTCTAACATAGTTCAACCTAGAACCTGCCAGAAGCCTCCCTGGAATGAGTGGTAACCATGGAAATCCCAGAGGATATCGGACCCGGAGCCCGCCACCAACCTAACCTAGATTTTCAGTGTAACATCATACGACATTCAGCGTCAGGAAATGCCTAGAACGGGATTCGATCGATCTGGAATCTGGATGGGATCTCATCTCATCTTGCATGTGTGTGTGTGGGAATTTTGTTTCGAAAAAAGCGGGATTCGATCATCCTTGCATCCGAGATCCGGGTTGTACACCGCTATTGTTTCCAGTTATATTATCTACCTGCCTAACTAATACAAGGTATGGAGGGGTCTTCTTTGTTCTCTTGTACTCCGTAGTTGTCTATTGGTGTAGGCTGTGTAACTTGATAGGTCGGTCTGTCTTGACTGTGGTATTAGTTTAGTATTTACTTGGTATAACACTGTCTACCGCGGAGATGCAAGACTCCAGCTAGGTAAGTAAGGTATACTGTATAGGCTAAGGCAAAGAACTAAGACTAGTATCGTTCTCTACCTTCCTTCGAAACTCTCCGTATGAAACTCAACACTAAAATCAGCCGGAGAACGCCGTGGGAATCTCATACCATTCCTACTTACTTACTTTACTTGGCTTCCTACAATATGTTACCTCGTCTGTAGAGGTTTGATTCGGACCCGACCAGACAGTACAAATTGAATTTTTGCCCTCCGAGCCCCAGCCGAGACAATTAGTAACCTGGGCTACCCGTATACTACATCATATGATAATGATCTCAATCCGTATCAGAACCATGGATTGAAAGGACGGAAGTTATCTAGGCTAGGTATTAGGCAGGTATTTTTACTCAATTATTGACATCATAGTTCATACTTGGGGGGGTGAAATCGGGAGGGGAAGAAGAGAGAAATCGATCGATCGATGGACCCGAGGATGTGGTTCGAAACTCAAATCTAGGGGGTTTTTAAAATTGGGATTTGGAATTACTAAATGTGATTGAATTGGGTTGGCTGGTTTGGACGCTCGTGCTGCTTTGTTGGGGGGTTTCTTTTGGGATTTACTTGCTTTTACTTTTGCATTCTTTTGGATGGGATGATGGTGCCTTGGGGTTTGCTGGATTTTGTAGTATTGGATGCCTTGTTCTTTCATCATGATAAGACAGATACAGAATACTGACTCTGAGCTGAATATCAAAATGAACGATGAACCCCTAATCCACTCCGTCCCTCTCCACAATCCGTACCAGTGAATATGAGATAATGAGCCCCAGTGTCCCAGTCCACCGGGTCAATTATCCATCCACCCATGATCCAATCCCTTTCAGCTCGGAAGAGAGATGCCAGATCCGCTGGACCCATCATCCAGCCTCTTCTTACTCTTAGTTCTTGCGTGTTTGGCTGGGACTGGGAACTGTGCTAAAGTAGTGTCTTGTTCTTGACGACACCGAACCGGGCAAGAGGGGATGAGGATTTAGTGGATCGTGGGATCCAGTTTATTTTACATAGGTTGATAGATCAACAGATCTGATCAGATGGTGCGGATGGTTAGTATGTTACATAGTATGTCTGTATTGATTTGATATTTGCAAATGTGTGTATCTGTATGTGGATGTGTATGTACTCTGTGAGTTACGCAGTAATATTCCTTATTACTCCACACAGGTTACACGGCAGCAGTAGTTGGCGGCCTAACAGTAAGAACTAAAAAAGCTGACTTTACACATTCCTCGGACCAGATCTAAATGCTAGTTTTGAATTCTCGATACAAAGCGAGATGTGATTTCTCGGGGCGATCGAGATGCATATCTCATCACGGCAGACTGGCCAGAATTATAGCTAAATAGTAAACTATCTGGCGTGTCGCATGCATGTATCATGTATGTATGTAATATGTATGTATGCCAGCTGTCCGTCTTATTTTACTTACTACTATTACTCCTCGAGAATTAGAAATCATGTCTTCGTGTCTTCGATGATCGGCCAAGGGCTCAGACATGGCCACGTAGTGAAGTGTCTTAAACTCCAGCCTAAGCAGTGGGCTGCATGTAGACTAAAAAAAGGCGGGAGGGCGGGATTTGGAATCTTTGATTTTCTCAACCCCTGGCGATAGGCGGGTTTGGGATACGATGAACACGAGGGGACTTTTGATTTTTGGAGTCAATCATTGTGTGGATCTTCAGCTTCTGCTTCAGTCACCGGTTGTTACTGCAGTCGACCTGCCGTTTTTATTTTTTTAAAGCTAGGAAACCACATGCCGATAAGAGGTATCCATGCTTATACCCCTCGGTAGAAAGATCCGTCCAGTCAACTTCGCAAACTGCCCTGTTTTTCCAGCCAAGTCGTTCCCGCCCGCTGACTGGCTGGAAGTTCCCGGCGATCGATTCGTGCCCCACAGTATCTGGGATCCAGCGATCCCGTCCACTTGCAAAAAAAAAAAAAAGACCGACTAAAATAGTCAGCTTTAGTGTGTATATCAAAAGAAAAGAAACCAGCAGAATCCATTTCGAAGCCTGGTTGCCTGGTGGGAAAACTTATTTTTCGTCCTAATTGTATGTTTTCTTTTTCTCGCGTTAATTTACTTTTTTCGGATTTTGGTTTTGTTTTTTTCCTTTTGTTTCTCTCGAGGCGATGCATCTGCGGCTAGTATCACTGGCGTTGCGTTAGTGGCTCTGAGATCGAGATCTGGCCGAGTATTACGGAATACGTATTGTGGTATTTTCATTACACACAACACAACACGTACCTCTCTGTGCGTGGACAGTCAATATGATATGGCACAAGTAATAATAGCCGGAGCATTACTGAGTATGTCAGTATTTCCGGTGGGGATGGAATATTGATATACATTATGTATGTGTATGTGTATGTGTGTATATTCAACAAATGCAAGGAGCAATATGACAGCTGTCAACCAGTCCATATGAGATAAGAATGGCGTGGAAAAAGAAAGCAGCGAGGCAATGTGGAAAAAGAAATGTGCCCTAAGAAGTAAAAAAAAAAAATAAAAAATAAAAAAAAGGCAGCGACTAGTTAATAGCCGTCAATGCCTTAGGTCGTGTGGAGAACAAACGATCTTATCCTCGCGGACTGACTGATGATGTGGCCGTTCCACAGCAGGAAAAGAAAAGAAAAGAAAGAAAACAAGAAAAAGCAGTGAGAGTATTTGACAGCCCTTGCCTGGCGTAATATTGGACTTGTCTAGCTTATATTAGAACCAATTAGATTGCTCTGCCTGTGTCTTCCTTTCTTTTACCATTGGTGTACATTTATCAAATGTTAGGAATGTCGGTAAGGACGCTTTATTGATTATACAGAGCATCCTCCCAGGTTTTATATTGTATTGCCTTGTATTGGATAATACAATAGTAATGCTGTCACTTGTCAATCCAGGGCTGAGATGTGGCATTAAATAGTCTCATGCCGAACATGCATGTCATCTATGCACTGGCTGAATAACTGACCCTACCGATATGAACTGTGTGTGCAAGCCAAGCTATTGATATACAACATACACAAACTCCGCTCTAGTTCATCTTTATCTCGGTCAACAACCGATCTCAACCTGCCTTCAAGTTACGGTCTGATATGTCGGTGTACGTAGTGTACTCAACAAATCTGTTCAGTTGAGACTGATTTATCGCAGGAGACTATAGCTGCTTACATTCTTATAACAAAGTTTATTGTCTGAAGATCAGCATTATATCACGTTATATCATCTATCCTAATGATGAGTCCGGAAATCCCATCTCCGGGTCTTCTTCAAATAGGCGAATGTATAATTGAATTTGACTTCAGCTATGGCCAGCTTCATCAGTCATATTCTGATATCATATTCAAGCTGAAGCCGTTCATGAACCTTGGAGGCTTATCGATAAGCTATCTTATCGATAGGATCATGTGCCATCACGTGTGGGGGGAGCTCCCCGCTTGCCAGTGATAGCTGTGACAGACAGACAGCATCAGTGCTTTATTCTCCTTCCATCAAAAACTACCCAGTCTGAGACATCCTGCATCGCCTCCTTCGAGGATCTGAAACATATTCGACTCGTAAAAGCATTCTAATGGCCTAGACTGCCTCCCTGTCTCCAGATCAAGTCTTGGTGGCTATCGCGTGACACTCAGCTCACGACAGCTCATTCCATTATTGGCGGGGTTATCAAATACAACTGGCTTACAGCCTGATATCACATTTCAACATGGCTACTCTGGCAGTCTCTGAGATTCCGACCGCCTCTCTCCTCTACAAGCTTAAACGGCTCGCCCCGATCCCTTCCCCCCTCGCTGCCCCCTCGCAAACCTTCAATGACACCATCTCTCTCATCCGCAATGACATCACAAAACTGCAGGTCGACTGCATCGTCAATGCCGCCAATGAATCTCTCCTCGGCGGAGGTGGCGTCGACGGCGCCATCCACCGCGGCGCCGGCCCAAATCTGCTCAGGGAATGCCGCACCCTCAACGGCTGCCGAACCGGGGATGCCAAGATAACCTCTGCTTACGAGCTCCCCTGCAAGAAGGTTATTCACACCGTCGGGCCCGTGTATCACTACGAGCTGCCCAAGGGCGATGGTATGCCCGAGGTTTTGTTGCGTGGCTGCTACCGTCGTAGTCTTGAGTTGGCCGTCGAGAATGACCTGAAGAGTATTGCCTTTTCGGCTATCAGTACCGGTGTGTATGGGTATCCGAGCCATGAGGCTGCGGGTACGGCCCTGGACGAGGCGCGGAAGTTCCTGGAGGAGCCGGGCAATATTGGGAAATTGGAAAGGATTATCTTCTGCAACTTTGAGCGCAAGGATGAAGCGGCGTATGAGAAGTTGATTCCGTGAGTGACATAATTATCCTGGCACATGCATCAAGCTGACATGTGTAGAAAATTCTTCCCTCCAACGGAGCAGGACCTCCCTCACGCCAGCGCCAGCCAGAAATCTGAAGAATCCGATGGTGAGTCTTCACCGTCGCCTGAGGTCCTCGCAGCCAAACTCCCTGACCCGCCCACCGTGGACCCTGCCTTGGACGGCCAGCCAAATGCTAAGAAGCAGAAGATTCAAACCGAGAATCTTGAACAGAGTATCAAAACGGAGACGGAGAAGAGTGAAGATGACTGGGAGGAAGTGGACAAGTCCGAGGGTAGTCCGATTGAGAGACTGGATGACGAGCCTGTGGAAGTTGACAAGGCACCTTCGGCTGCTGATGTACAAAGCGTCCAATCTAGCGGGATTATCGACATGGATGAATCACAGTCCGCAGAGAGCTTACTAGGAAAGGATTGGTAGCTCCTACAGTCTGTGACACAAATTGATGATGGCACTTTCGACCGATTGTGGCCTTTAATGACCTGGGTTTAGCTGGTTTGGCGTTTCGAACGTTCATGGCGTTGTTTTCTAGTTCTCTAAGTTTCCAAGATAAGCTATTAATTACACCAATTCGTTAATTCATTTGGTTCTGTCTTAAGAATGGTCCGGTACGGGTGCAAACAGTGCAAACAAGCAGTCGACCTCAACTCGGATATCAACGCATGATCGTCGATCTAGATGCGACAATGAACAAATCTCTTCCTCCACAATTCAACCATCCACTCTTCAATCAAGCATGACTTTTTCATAGAATTTTAATCTTCCACGAGCGAACCCTTGACCTTTTCCTCTGGCATTTCAATTGAGCCACCACCCCTCAATCCAACCACCACAACCTCACAGCCATCACACGACAAAATGCCTCGACCACAACCAGGACCAGGACCAAGCCAACCAGGCCAACCCCAAACCCCCCGATTCCGCGTCCTCGCACCAGACGTCGCAAAAGCGCGATCCCCAAAATCTCACCCCGACCCCTCCACACGCCAACAACAACCTCCCCCCCAACCTCAGCCCAAACCCAAACCATCCCTCTTCACCCACCTCCGCAACCGCTACGCCGCCCTCCCCTCCCCCCTCCGCAGAACCTTCCGCGTCCTCCGCGTCCTGGCCCCCATCGTCCCAATCGGTATGTTCTTCTCTGAACATGTCCTGCAGGTGATGTGGGTGCGCGGGCCGTCCATGACGCCCTACATCAACGAGAACTACGAGCAGATGCGCACGGCCAGCGACATGGTGCTGGTGAATATGTGGCCGTGGGGAGGCGGCGGGTGGCCCTGGGAGAGGAAGAGGAGGCTAGAGAGGGGGATGGTTGTTACGTTTCGGTTTGTGCCCTCCCCAACTTGCTGGCTTGCTATATGATATGATGTGAGTTATGTCTTGTTTGCTAACACTGATTATTTGCGTAGGTCACCCGCAAACCCCTCCCACACAGCGATAAAACGCATCGTCGGTCTCCCCGGTGATCGAATCACGACTCGCGACCCGTGCCTGAAACCCACGCAGATCGTCCCCTTCAATCATGTCTGGCTGGAAGGCGACGCAGAGGACCCCAACAAATCGCTCGACAGCAACACGTACGGGCCTGTGAGTATCAGTCTGCTTTCTGGGCGGGTGATGGCTGTGCTGTGGCCAAGGTTGAGGATGCTCAGGTGGTCGGATTGGGAGAATGGGGTTGTCGAGGGGGATTATGAGAGGAGGTTGGGGGAGAATTATCGCGGTGGGGTGAGGGAGAGGGTGGTGAAGGGGGCTGTGGATTTTGAGAGGCCGGTTGTGGAGTAGTTCTTGGGGGTTGGTTTTGGATGGGTGGTGGATTTGTATATATGTCCATGTATTATATGTGCTAATATTAGAGATCTGAAGTCTGGGATTCGAAAAGAAAGATCTTTATCTAGATCATAAGATGGAAGAATAGATACTAGAATGTCGGGCCATTCGGTGCTGTATCTATTTCATCTCGAAGGCTGAAAACAGTAAAATAATGTTATAAGCCAAATCTATGTCGTGTACGGAGTATGGTATCAAAATTATGTACTGTTCAAATATCACCTGCATGTAAACAAAATCATCAACCTGACACAATTCGAATGTCGTCCTGTCTTTCCTCCTGCAACCGATCTATTTCAGATGCGATGCTCGACACCCATATATCCTTTTCCACCCGACTTCGTGCTTTGAATACCACGGTTCGTCCATGGACACCCAATGTGGAAACCTGCTTTAATGTGTTCTTCACCTTTCCTTTGTCTCCGGCTTCTCGGGCGCGGAAGTAGTTCTTCCTCAATGGTTGCCAAACCACAAAGGTAACGGCTGAGTCTTCATCGGAACTTGTGTAGACGTCCGTCGAGAGATACACGCGTGGCAAGGCATGGCGACCTGGGCGATTGCTGTCAAATGTCTGATTCGCATACAGGAGATCGTTTTCTGTCAACAAGCCAGAATATATATAGCAGTCCTGAAGATCGAGGCTTGATTCGAGTTCCTGGTGTATATGAGGGATTTCAACGCCGTTGCGTTTCCGCAGCGAGCTTCGGAAAATGAGCATTTGTCCAGCGGTAAGAATGACACTACACCGTTTAAATGTCGTATGGCGACGAGGCTTGCGGTAAAGATGTCCAGACATCTGTAATTGTCAGTGGCAAGATTGGTTTAGATAGGGGCGAAGGTACATACCCTGATTGGCCGGCAGCCAGACAGAGCACACATATTGTGCAAATGCGGTGATGCCTCTGTCTTTTTGACCTCCCATTTTCTTGCGAATTGCCCAATGAGTGATTCTGTCTCTTCATCGACATCCAAAATATCCATATTACGCCGTCGGACATTCTTCAGCTCCGCCGCGTCTACGCCGCAGCGTGCTTTCCAATACTTCACCAAGGCGTCAAGTCGTTTCATCCATTCATCCCTGGTGGTGGTATCGTATGCCTGTAGTCGCATGACAAGGCCGTTGTCCATTGCCATCTCAAAAGTCCTCTCGTCATCAAACTGGTCTGTCGCGCCATCATCACGGTTTGTATCTCTCGGTTCAGGATGGAACCCAACATCCGGTCCTCCGTCAATATTTGGATCAGCAGGACTACTGCCGCGTTGAACACGCCGTACTTCTTGTACCCGGCAAAGGTCGACATATCCATCGGTCTCCTTAAGATTGTGAAGGTTTCGTTGCAATTGCGCATAGGCATATTCGTCGTTCCTCTTGGTGTATTCTTTGTTGCCCTTGGAAAGCCATTTGATTTCGCCATTTTTCAACGGATATGGGTCTATGCCGTAGGAAAGAGGCATTGCATCTAATATTTGTTGAGATGATGGCACGGCCGTGTCGTCTGATAGAGAAAGCTTTGGAGGAGCTGGTGGGAAAGACTTTGACGGCTTGCAGAACAGCAGATGATGGTCTTGGGTGAAGAAGTATAAGCGCTTGAAAAACATCTTGTTCATCCGTTGGTGTGCGCCTCTTTGCGAAGTCAAACGAACCAAGAATCCCTCCACTGGCTCTGGCTCTTCTTCTTTCCCATCGTCATTCTTTATTGATGTGGAATAGTGCTGTCTTGGTCTTAACTCGAGTTCGTGGGATGTCTGCATTGCCATTGTCCCGTACATCTTTTCTTCATTCACGCCAAAGACCCATTCTAGTCTGTCGTATCGTTTCCAGGCAAGGCCCATTTTCTCGGTTTTCGACCATTCCTTCAACACCTCTGTCCATTCCGGGCGGCTTTCTAGCATTTCTATACACCCGCGTATGATAGCTGCAGCCGCATACTGCTCTTCAACCATAGGCTGATTAGGCGAATCACTGTCTGATGTGGAATTATTCCTTGGGTCGGCATTTGTCTCTGGCTGCACGAATGGGTTATTGAAGATGAGAGAGACGCCCAGGTCTGGGATATTGATCGGAAGAGAAGATGGTCGACGCCATCCAAGAACTTGGCAGATGAAGGTATACCATTCAACTGCATGAGCAGTGGATCTTGGTCGTAGGATGTAGATCTTTGTTCCTAACTTGGAAGGTCCCCAAATAACGATGGTTTTGTCAAGAGAAGAATAGAGGTTTACCCTCGAGTGTTTGCGGCCCAGAGTCGTTTTGTAGTAAGGAGCAATTCTAGAGCCCGATTTCTGGAGCTCCGGTATGACGCGGGTCCTGTACATTTCGAGTGAAAAGGGCGCGTCCTCGTCGGAGGTTTTTCGACACACCACAAGGAACTCTCGCCATTTATCCACAACTCTTGTTTCCATTCTCTGGCTATCGTTTTCAGTGTAGTCCTCGGGGAGTTCTTTCTGCATCGTCTCTTCCACCCTAATAAGCATATTCTCTGCTTTGAGAATCTCACCTTCCTGCATCTTGTTTCGACGTGGTATTTTCCCGGAAAAAGTACCGTAGGTCATTGACACTCGGGCTCGGAGCCGTCGTTTTTTGTCCATGAGGTTGTCATCTAGGTTGTATTTGGCTATCTTTCCGGAGAAGGGCAACATGTTATTTTGCTCTGACTGCCCTCCATTGCTCGGGCTTTCTTCCCCATCACCTTCTTCGCTTAGAGGTTCTTGACGCTCTAGATTTGTAGATGACGGTCCAGGGTGTTTTCCTTTCCCTTTGAACCGGGATTGGGGCCTTAGCAACTCGGTTGTTGAGTCAAGTTCACTTGCAGAGGCTGCGGGACTTAACTGACTAGGGTCGTTTTGGGTGGGAATACTCAATGTTTGTCTGCTTGCTTCCCCAGAAACCTGTCCTGGATCCAGTCCTTCGATATTCAGGCCTAGGGAGGATTGTCCTGCATCGGGTGCACTTGAGCTCTGCTCTCTTGCGGTAAAATAAGACGCAGCGTCTTTTGGTTTATTAGCTGATATGTAATTGGAATTGTCTCGGTTTGGAATTGAGGAACCACCTGTGTTCGATGCCGGCGTGGCCATAATTTGACTGGACTCGTCCAATGTATGGGATATAGTCCGAAGAGGCCGAGATCCTGTTTCCTGGCCACTAGATTCATTTGCATCTTCTGTTTCTATTTCATTTTCTCCAGTTGTATCTCCTGATTCATCCTGTTCGGGTATTGGCGATGGTGGCTGATCCGAGTCGGGAGGAACGACAACGGGGTCCAAGGAGAAGGAAACGGTCTTTGACGAATAATTCTTAAACCGGAGTCTAGTTTTGAACCAGGATTTGCGGTGGTTCTGTAACCAGCCCTTTGGAATTGGTCCGATAAAGAATCGTCTACTCGTCATGTGCAAATGGTGTCCGGAGGCATGGCGCTTTTAAAGCACAACGTCAGGTTTTTCTCTGAAATTTTTTAAGGGTCTGATCATATAACATACCAATCTCTGCTCCGTATAGGACTCAGGTTCCAAGCCATGCTGGTGGCTACGGCATGGAGCCCATGATCCCCCCCCTGGTCCGTCAACACGTTGATCGGCGGCCTGTTGCATGCTCACGGCACTGCTTTAAGATCGGCTGTGTCAGGTAAACAGGGTCAGACAATGCATCGACAAATAATATTGTTTTAAATAAACCCTATACACATAAACAATTGAAAATCCCAAGAAAAAAATGGCAGAAGCTATTCAGGAACAAGAATATTCTCACCTCCCCCTTGAAATCTAGATTTTGGGACGAACGATCGAATGACGTAGCATCCAGCCCCGTGACCTTTTGGCCTATTTGCAGCATTTGCAGTGTTTGCATGTCTGAATGCAGGGACTCTTGCCCCGCCCATTGGCCCAGTTGCTTGCGTGTCCCGCTGTCCCGCCATCCCGCTACCAGCGGTGTGTGACAGCTCACCCATAGTTAATAAGTTGCCTTGTTTCTCCTCCAATTATTAAGGGGTAGTTTTTCTTATATCCTCTCAACGGTCCGCTTTCTTTCTCTTCCTCAGTTTTAGATTCCAATCACAAAATAAGCCAAAATGCCTACCTGGTTCGACACTATTGAGAAGTCCTTCGCCGATGTCCCCGTGGACGCAGGCAACGACAATGCTATCTCTACCACTGAGTTCCTCAAAGCTGCTGAGTCCCTGGTCACCCTCTTCGGTATGGAAGTACACCAATCATTCTTCTGAAGTATTCTATACTAATGCACGATGTTCACTTAGACCTTCTCGGCTCCACGGCCTTCAACGTCGTCAAGAATGATCTCCTCGGAAACATCAAGGTCGATACACCCATGCCCCGCAGCTCTCCATGACAACATCTAACACTGCTACAGAAAGTGAGGGACAGGCAGACTGCAGCCCCCGCTGAGTCTGAGACTCTCCAGGATCTTGTTAAGAATGAGCTGAAGACCAAGAGCCACACTGCCACCGAGGGTTTGCTCTGGCTTGTTCGGTATGTTTTTGCATCTACCCCTCCAGAGACTCAACGCACCTCTATAGCCCTATAGCTCCGTTCAATTGGCTAATACCTATGAATTCGATGAACAGAGGACTCGACTTCACCGTTCAAGCTCTCCGTGACAACCTTGAAAACCCTGGCAAGGAGCTTGCTGATTCCTTCCGCTCCGCCTACGGCAACACCCTCAAGCCGCACCACTCGTTCATCGTTAAGCCTCTTTTCAGTGCCGCCATGTCTGCTACCCCATACCGCAAGGACTTCTACGCCAAGTTGGGTGATGACCAGACCCTGGTCGACCCTGCGTTGAAGAAAGAAGTAGAGGGCCTGGAGCGTGTTGTTGGCATCTTGAAGGAATTCCAGGGCCGCAAGGAAGCCAAGTGGTAATGGCCGTGCTGGAAAACGGTTGTACACGAAATTCGGGTTTCCCGATTGTCGGGCTGGATGCATAGTCTTTCCAAAGCGCACAATGTTTTGAACATGTATATATGCAACTACAAATATACCAACTGCAGCTAGTCTGCTAGCGTTATGTTCCGAAGTTTTCACCACAGCTAAGATGAAGAGTATATCTGTACGTCGGAACTGACGTCTATGCCAGCATAGCAGCCCCAATAAAAGCCAACCAAGCAGGAAAATCCGCAACCAGCATCCTCACTTTATGAACCCCCAACCACTTCTCCATCTCCCCCGGTGCATTCTCCCCTTCATCCTCAACAATCCGCTGAACCGGGCCCGCAACCCACGGCACAAAAACCAAATGCCCAATCGCCGCCACCAACCCAGCCCAGTAGAAGGTAGTTCGAGACAGCGAATTCAGACCCGTAATACTAGCACCCAAACGACGTCGATCAAGCAGGATATTCGCTGCAGACGCAGAAATGGTACCCAAGTTCAGCGTGAGGACGATCATCACACCCCGGTTAAAGACATACGAGTACCATGTGGGCAGCGCTTTGACTTTCGAGGGATCCTTGCGGATGGAGGGCTGGAGGAAGGAATGGTTGTGGAGAAGTTCGCTGGTGGCATAGACGAGACTGCCCGTGCTTGTGGCTAGGGGGGCGACGCGTAGGAGTTGGATTGGGTCGAAGATTAGTCCGGAGGCCATTTTTGTTGGTGTTTTGGCTTGGTTCAAGTGGTTGTTGAGATTGTGAGCACGGATATCCCTTACAAGATATAACGTGGTTGATGAGGTGAGCAGAGAATCATATGACGCGGTATAAATATGGCCCCCAAATCCACATGTCTAGGCTAAAAATATAGACGAAGGATGAACTGCGGGAATAGAGCGGTAAAAGATCATTTTTAATGAGCTTTCCACATACAATGTATAGCAATGGATATAAATTTTAGCATATTATACGAATGCTTGGTCAACAGCAGCTTCATTGACATCTGCTTAGTATTTTGTTAGTCACAGAGCTAAGCAGCCCTTTTCGAGCCAAGAAAAGAAAAGGTTATACTTGGGGGGGTAAGAGGGATGTAGATGTATTGATGAAGGCAAATCCAAACGATTCTGAAGACATACTCTGTCACTGAATCTTACAAAGTAACTGATATATAGCTAGGTTGATTCAAGGCGGGGTCAGAGTGATAGTATACAAGGCAACAACTCAATTAATTCTGATCTATTCTATTCTCGTCGAGTTTGGGTGATCCTATTAGACAATCAATCAATTGAATGCTCGACAAAGGAATGAGAATGCACGAGATAATCATCACTCAAGTCCATCCATATATCAGGGAGTAATATAGTCATGATATGAATGACTGCCTTTTCACCTGATTGCAAGTTCACTATATTAGCATTTTGCATTATAAATATGGCTTTCTCTCCTATGGTACTTCTCCTCCCTTATTCTCCTCTAACAGCATTGCCCTGACTTTGCCGCAGCGTTTTCTTGACTATCTGCTCTCTTTCCTCCGTATTCTATATCAGCTCTAGTGCAGGCACTTGGAGATATATCTCTTGCCCCAGGTAATGCTGGTTCGAGCAACAAGTCAATGGACAAACTTCGATAGACAGGTCCAATCAACCGATACCTACAAAGAAGTGATGGCTGCCATCAGAATTACACTTCCTGAATGAACATGAGAGTCAATCTCTGTGCTAAACATGGAAAGACAAAGTGTGAATCAGAAGAGATGGTGCCATTCTTTGAGCCTGAACAGGTCGGCCAAGCAAGACAGATCAAAGGTGAGGGAAGCTACACATCTCCTTGTTCACTAAATGGGTGCGAGAAGATTGTGAGGAAGAGAGATACATTATAATCTAAACATTATCCTTCTTTGCTCTTTTTTTTTTTTTGTCGCTGTTGTTATAAATTTTCCAATCTGATTAGAAAATTAGTAGAAATAAACAGTGATTCTATATTTATTTTCAAATAGATTGTGGGATTGGTATCAATCTGTGCGGTATTCTCATCATAATGGACTCTAGTCTTGGAGCAATAAGAAAGGCCGATAGTAATTAAATAATGAAGGCTGAAGAGTAATATTAGTTCTCCAACTTGCTAAACATTCAAAAACATTCTCAACTTGTCCACGGTAGTACTTTATTAGTTAGACCATCTCGGTATCCCTTGTAGTTCGGGCCCGCGTAAGCCAAGGAAGCATATGCCATTCCATACCAACCTAGGTCTTTATGGTTGCACATGCTACAATATTACCCCGGAAATTATATCCTCTTTATGGTTTACACTATTGGGTCTCGGATCTCGAGTACACAAGCGTTGGGTATTGATTGGCAGCCGAGGACCAATGCCCCATTTATAGCCATTGGAAAGCGAAGTTACACAGCTGTGCACCATAAGAAATAGTGTAAACTGCAACTGAGAAAGGGGGAATTTAGTCAAGATGATTTACGTAGGAACATCCTAGAATAGAAAATTGGTAGCCACTAAAAATGTCCATTAACAAAGGAAATCCACATTATAATTGTGGAAAAGATCGGTAGCTTCGCTGTAGTACATCCGACACGACCATGAAGCGGCGGTGGGAAAACCCGCGACAGCCAGAGCCCGGAAATGTTTGAGAATTTGGGTCTTTGGGAAAATCGGCATTTGAGCTTTAAATCAGAATAGCTCAGAGCTTGGATTGGCAGTGAACCACTGCTATGGCCAATTCTTGATGAGGTTCTGGGCTTCGCCTTAATATATCTTGGGTATATGGAGATTGAACCGCGACCGAGGCTGGATGCCGCTATGAATGGCAGATGCGCGTACGGTGGTTTATGCCTCGAGTCAGTCAGACTGACAGTCGGCACCGTTTGATCAATGTGGACACGCCGGCACTGAAGGAATCGGTAGTTAACCGTTTGATAGGGTTGCAACATGATGTATCCAGGACCTTGGTGATATGACCATATTTTTGACAAGAGTCTGATACTTTCTCCATTGAGGATGTTACCGGAGAGGCGTTGGCTGCATGTTTTAGCTGTAGTTGTGAATTACTCAGGATAGAGTGGATCACATCGTCCAGGATTGCTTTTCAGTCTTCACCTTCCCCCTTTCTACGATAGATGGATCGTAGACAAGGATTGAGACGGGTCTAAGACATGGAGTTGTTTTTGTGAGGTTTTGAAACGGTCAGCTCTGCGACCATAGCCCCGTCGATATTCGCATTGCTGATCCAGATATCCGTCCTGGCCGTGGAAGATTCGATAGTGGGACTGCTCGAGCCGAGGGTATTATGTATCCGTCATAATCTGCAGTCGGCACTCTTATCCTAGTGCGAATTAACATCAATTGAAAATAGAGCCAGTCTAATACTCCTGAAGATAACCTGAATAACATCTTCTCCTGTCATGGCATGGATGGTGATAATGCATCTGACATGGGAATGAAACCACGGTTATTTTTGCGCGCTTCCTTGGCACTCCTGGTCCACCATACACCTCAATGACTCCACGGGGGCTAATTAGCTACTACTACTCACAACGGCAAAGATCACCGTCCATATGCGTGCCATACGCCCAGGCCTGTCGGATCATGGCAACTGTTCCCAAGACCTCGCGCTGTTAATTAAAAGCCGTCTGGATCGTCCTGTCATATCTCCCTTTTGAGGGTTAGACCCCCGGTGGTTTTCGTGCCTGGGGTGGTTCTCTGGTCAAACGGACAAACAAGATCTCGAGATTCGATCAACGATTGCCGGTCTCCGCTCCTCAGGTCTCGGTCTTCTATCCACGGAGAGAGCACTGGGATCCTTCCTGTCTCCGCCGCACACTTGCCTGAATGCTGTCAATTGTCAAAGCACCCTAACTCTACATACTTTGCGGTGCCAGTCCCATGGAAGGAATGCGACTAGTATCGCTTTCAAGCGACAATACCCCATTGGTGGAATGGCCGAAAAAGCCTTTCTGGCTCCCAGTCTCCTGATCCAAAATTCTACACTTCCTGTTCCTGGCCAGCCTAGAGCCTCCAGAGGCTTCTTTATGCTTCCTGACTCGTGGATATCGAGACAGACTAACATGACGTCCCATCTGCTAGTGGGATACCACCCCAGTTGTGGCTCGAGGCGATCCCTAACGAACCTGGTCGTCCGTTCGCTAAACCTACGCCTTCCCTGCTCGGCTTGCTCGGCCTGCTCTTTGGCCTTTGGCTTTTGCCATTCAAATTACCAGACAGGACTAGCATTATCGCAGACGCCCCCACCCTGCAACTGGTCCCATGAAACTGTATGATAATGGATATTTGCCGGCCTAGTGTTTCCCCTTGCCACTGATTGACAAAAAGCCAGTCGCGGTGCTTCTGGGCGGCTTTAAACTCTGTTCTTTCCTTGACTTGGTCCCTATCCACATTCTTTTTAACCTTATGGCCCTGTCAAGACGGATGAACTAAGGGCATTTTTCATCGTCGTCCTTGTTCTTGCCAGACCATGTCCCTGGGGCTATATGCCATGAATCTCGAATAACGCAAGCTTTTTGACCGCGCTTCAAGATGGTGGAATTCAAGGGCCGCAGCGAGTCCATCTTCGTCGTTACCGTTGTTTTCTTATGCATTTCCTTCACCGCGGTTTGCCTGCGATGTTTCGTCCGGTTGAGGCTGATGAGGGCCTTTGGGTGGGATGATTCTCTGATGCTATTTGCAATGGTCTGCTTCCCTCTGCCTTCTTTTTTTCTAGATATGGGAAACTGACCATATTTAGGCATGGAATATCCTATTCGCAATATGCGGTATTACAGGGGCAATATATGGAATGGGACAAAAATTTGAACAAATCCTAGTAGTCAACCCCAAAAACGTTCAAACTGCAATGTTTGTATGTTGTTCTCTTTCCCCCTTACTAAATAAATGTTTTCTGACTTATTTCACTAGTGGTGGTGGCTTGGTCAAATCTCATATGTCTTTACTGTCGTCCTCGCGAAGATATCCATTGCGCTCGCCCTCCTTCGTCTCACCGTCGCCAAGGCGCATTCGATTCTTTTGTGGGTGGTCATTGGCGTGTCGGTTGTGATCGGACTGGTGTTTTGGTTCATGTTGACCTTGCAATGCCATCCGGTCTCATTCTTCTGGGAGCGAACTGGAGATGGGAAGTGTATCTCTACAGACATTTTAATCGACATCGCCTACCTGTACAGTGTCACTGCGACACTCTGCGATTTCGTCCTGGGTCTCCTTCCATTCTTGCTTGTCTGGAACTTGCAGATGAATACAAAGACTAAGGCTGCGTTGGCCGGAATTCTCAGTATGGGATGCGTGTATGTGACCATCATATCCCCACTTGCTCTGCTTCAATATCTGACTGCTTCTATAGTGCTAGTGCCGCCGTCATTGTCCGCATTCCATATCTTCATACTTACAAAGACCCTGAATTCCTCTGTACGTTTTCCGTGCTTGGTTCCATTGGACTGATGCTAACCAAATAACAGACGCAACGACCCAAATATCAATCTGGTCCAATGTCGAAGCTGGTCTCGGTATTACGGCCGGAAGCCTGGTCACACTACGCCCACTATTCCGTTGGTTCCGCGGTGAGAGCTATGCAGGCACGCGAAGCGCAAGACGAACAGCAGGAAGCTTCCCTTTGTCCAGCATGGAACGAGGCACCAAAGGGTCCAAACACGATCCCAACGGAACCAAGTTCTGGCGCCCAGATGTCGATCCCGAGGATTCCCATGCAGTTGTTACGACGATCCAGACATCCCGTGGAAGCAGAAATAGTAGCCAAGAGGATCTGAATCCCAGGCGGAATTCGCTTCATGGTGTGAATGTAGAAAAGACCTTCTTGGTTACTTCGGATGATGTATAATATTGGTTGTGTTTATATACATATCAAAATAATGATTATTGAATGAGCAGGTCTCTACAAAAGGTTGGATACATAGCAGCCAATGCCGCGTCCACGTCAAAGCCACCAAATTAAAGCCATTCTTAAACTCCGCCAATTCCAAACAGTCAAGGCAAACAGTCTTTTTAAAATATTTATCCTTCAAGACAGCAAAAGAAAAAGCGATCTGCAATAACATATAATGGAACTAAAAGTCCAGCCATCCATAGAACAGTGGCTAGTGCAGCATGACATGTGGCGGTGCGCTGTGGCTGCGGCCAATCAGCATCGCGTGAGCGGACAACCTCCAGGCCCAAGCGGCGAAACCTCCGGAAGGAATTTATATCGTTGAGGTGGCTTCTTCGGGGTATATTTTCATGAACTTTTCTTTCCTTGCAGTTTTTAATTGCTTTTGGGAGATTTGATGGCTTAATTATTTTTGCTTATGATTTATTAACCTTTTTCTGCTTTTCAATTACCTGTCGTTTGACCAGGGCTGTGGTCATTCGAGTGTCACCATGTCAGTTTTACCTTGAATCCAATATCGCGTGCCATGACTTTTTCCAAGCTGACCAGTGCATATGCGTATAGGGCGAAACTCGTCGATGATCCCCAGATCAAATACTCGTCGCTTCACAACCCTCTCGCTACCCAGCTTCATACCTACGTGTGGCCATTTCTCGTTATCTGGCCTGCCTTCTTCGCGTTCTATCTTTCCCCTGAGCGTTATGATACCTACATTCAAGGCCAAGAATGGACGTTCGTGTTCTCAGGCTCTATCATCACGGTCCAGTCGCTTCTTTGGTTAATGACGAAATGGAACATCAACATCGAAACCCTGTTTACGACAACCAATGCCAAATCCCTTGATTCAGCTCAGCTCATCAAGGTGATTCCTGAGACTAATGCCGGTTCCGCGGAAATTTGTCCTTTGGTTTATGACACAAAGGGGGGGAAGAAGACACTTTCGTTTCTCTTCCAGAAGCGCCGTTTCCTCTTCTACCCGGAGCGCAAGTGCTTCGCGCCTCTTTCGTATGTTCTCGATAAAGAGCCAAAGCCCGAGGTCGGATACTTCCAGAAAAGCCAGGGTTTGACTACGAAGGCTGAGATTGAGGGGGTCACCCACCACTATGGGGACAACACTTTCGATATTCCCGTCCCTACGTTCGTTGAGCTTTGGAAGGAACACGCCGTGGCGCCGTTCTTCGTTTTCCAGATCTTCTGCGTCGGCTTGTGGATGTTGGATGAATATTGGTACTATTCGCTGTTTACGCTGTTCATGCTGGTTGCTTTCGAGAGTACAGTTGTGTGGCAGCGCCAGAGGACCCTCACTGAGTTCCGAGGAATGAACATTAAGCCTTACGACGTTTGGGTGTACCGTGAGCGGAAGTGGCAGGAAATCACTAGTGACAAGCTTCTCCCCGGTGATTTGATGTCAGTTAACCGAACCAAGGAAGATGGTGGTGTTGCTTGTGATATTCTTTTGATTGAAGGCAGTGCTATCGTCAACGAGGCTATGCTTTCTGGAGAGAGTACCCCGCTTCTGAAGGATTCAGTCCAGCTTAGGGCCGGGGATGACCTTATCGAACCGGACGGCTTGGACAAGAACGCATTTGTGCACGGAGGAACCAAGGTCCTGCAGATCACCCATCCCAACACCACTATTGATGGTGCTGAGCCTTCGACCGGTGTGACCGCCCCACCAGACAATGGCGCTCTGGGTATCGTTGTGAAGACCGGTTTCGAGACGAGCCAGGGTAGTCTTGTGCGCACTATGATCTATTCCACCGAGCGTGTTTCTGCCAACAACGTCGAAGCTCTGCTTTTCATCCTGTTCCTTCTGATGTTTGCGCTCGCTGCCTCATGGTATGTGTGGCAGGAGGGTGTCACACAGAACCGCAAGAGATCCAAGCTCCTTCTCGACTGTGTTCTCATTATCACCAGTGTTGTGCCTCCGGAACTCCCTATGGAGCTCAGTCTTGCTGTCAACACCAGTCTTGCAGCTCTGAGCAAGTTCGCTATCTTCTGCACTGAACCTTTCCGTATCCCATTCGCCGGACGTGTTGATGTGGCCTGTTTCGACAAGACCGGTACTTTGACTGGTGAGGATCTAGTCGTTGATGGTATCGCAGGACTCGCCTTGGGACAGAAAGGCGCAAAGGTTGAAAAGGATGGCGCTTACACTGAGCTCGCAAAGGCTGGTGGTATTGGAATTGACACGACTCTTGTCCTCGCAAGTGCTCACGCTCTTGTGAAATTGGATGAAGGTGAAGTCGTTGGTGATCCTATGGAGAAGGCGACGTTGCAGTGGCTTGGCTGGACTTTGGGCAAGAACGACACTCTTACTCACAGAACTGCTCCGCCTGCTGGCTCTCCTCGCGTCACCGAATCGGTTCAGATCAAGAGACGGTTCCAGTTTTCTTCCGCCTTGAAGCGCCAGAGTACTATTGCAACAGTCACCACTAACGATCGTAAGACGTCGAAGAGAACCAAGTCGACTTTTGTCGGTGTTAAGGGTGCTCCTGAGACCATCAGGAGTATGCTGGTCAACACTCCTCCAAACTACGAAGAAACCTTCAAGTACTTCACACGCAATGGTGCTCGTGTTCTCGCTCTTGCCTACAAGCATCTTTCTGCAGAGGCTGAACTCTCGCAAGGACGCATCAACAACTACACCCGTGATGAGATTGAGTCTGAGCTTACTTTCGCTGGTTTCCTGGTTTTGCAATGCCCTCTCAAGGACGACGCTATCAAGGCCGTGCGGATGCTGAATGAGAGCAGCCACCGTGTTGTCATGATCACTGGTGACAACCCTCTCACTGCTGTTCATGTCGCACGCAAAGTCGAAATTGTTGACCGGGAAGTTCTGATTCTCGATGCCCCTGAAAATGACAACTCCGGAACCAAGCTGGTCTGGCGAAGCATTGACGACAAGTTCAGCCGTGAGGTCGACCCCACCAAGGACTTGGACCCCGAAATTGTGAAGACCAAGGACATTTGTATCACCGGTTATGCCCTGGCCAAATTCAAGGGCCAGAAAGCTTTTGTCGATCTTTTGCGCCATACCTGGGTGTACGCTCGTGTTTCCCCCAAGCAAAAGGAGGACATCCTGCTGGGTCTCAAGGATGGCGGTTACACTACTTTGATGTGCGGTGATGGTACCAACGATGTGGGAGCTCTGAAGCAAGCCCACGTTGGTGTTGCCCTTCTGAACGGATCCCAGGAAGATCTGACCAAGATTGCCGAGCACTACCGTAACACTAAGATGAAGGAGCTCTACGAGAAACAAGTTTCTATGATGCAACGGTTCAACCAGCCCTCCCCGCCTGTTCCTGCGCAGATCGCTCACCTCTACCCTCCCGGTCCCACCAACCCTCACTACCAGAAGGCGATCGAAAGAGAGGCCCTGCGAAAGGGTATCGCCCCTCCGGCACCAGGACAGGAACAAGGAGACGGAATCCCTACTATCACATCGCCCGGTGCGCAGGCATTGCAGCAAGCCAACTCGAACTTGAGCCCCCAGCAACAACGCCAGCAGCAGGCTTCCGCAGCTGCTGCCGGCTTCGCCGACAAGCTTACATCGTCCATGCTGGAGCAGGAGCTGGATGAAAGCGAGCCCCCAACGATCAAGCTGGGCGATGCATCCGTCGCTGCACCTTTCACTAGCAAGCTGGCCAATGTGGTTGCCATTCCCAACATTCTTCGTCAAGGACGTTGTACGCTCGTTGCAACAATCCAGATGTACAAGATCCTTGCTTTGAACTGTTTGATCAGTGCCTACAGTTTGAGTGTCATTTATCTCGACGGTATCAAGTTTGGTGATGGACAGGTGACTATCAGCGGTATGCTGATGAGTGTTTGTTTCCTTTCCATTTCGCGGGCCAAGGTAAGTCAATATGTACAAATATTTTGAGAATGACCGCTAATAGCTCTTCAGTCCGTGGAAGGTTTGTCCAAGGAGCGCCCACAGCCTAACATTTTCAACGTCTACATCATTGGCTCTGTGCTTGGACAGTTTGCCATTCACATTGTCACATTGATCTATTTGTCCAACTACGTCTACTCTATTGAACCGTATGTCCATTCTTTCCCAAATACCTGCCTTTGACTAACCCCTCTTCAGGAGACAACCCGACATTGATCTGGAGGGTGAATTCGAGCCATCCCTGCTGAACAGCGCCATCTACCTCTTGCAGCTTATTCAGCAGATCTCAACCTTCTCCATCAACTACCAAGGCCGGCCTTTCCGTGAGTCGATCCGGGAGAACAAGGCCATGTACTGGGGACTGGTGGCAGCCTCTGGTGTTGCCTTCTCCTGTGCAACCGAATTCATTCCTGAGATGAACGAGAAGCTCCGTTTGGTTCCTTTCAGCACTGAGTTCAAGGTGACTCTGACTGTGCTGATGATGTTTGACTACGCGGGCTGCTATATCATTGAAAACGTTCTTAAGACGTTTTTCAGTGACTTCCGACCCAAGGACATCGCTGAGCGTCGGCCGGATCAACTCCAGCGTGAAACGGAACGTAAAAACAAGGAGTTGTTGGAGAGTCAGACAAGGACTGCTTAATCTGATCGGACATTTGGTCGAATTGGGGTGGATTGTCTATTGTAGGTTATATGATGAGAAGTTTGCTTAGAAGTTAATACTATTGATGAGTGGTAAATAGAGACTAGAATTCCATGCCATTGATTTACTCCAAGACAACTAGATTCATTCCTCAAGCCATAATCGTCACAGCAATCGAACACCATGGAATTACTAACTAGGATATCAAAACATCACGACATCAAAAACTGATTACCTCTTCAGGCAAACACAGTGACATCAACGATGGCCAATCCAGACAACCAGACACAGTCTAGACGTGCTACCAGCAAACAGCAGGAAAGAATTTCTCTCGTTCAAACCGATTAGAAAGCTCTCGAAGCAACATAAATTGCATGGGTATTGACGAGGTGGTGGCTCTTAATCCACCACTTTCGCCTGCGCATTACCAGGCAATGGTCTGGAATGATATCCCCCGGAACGAATATTTTCAGAAAAAAAGAAATCTCAAATGGAAGGTCGAATGCAACTGCTTTTCCCTTGGGGGCTCAAATTCCGGCCAGTCGGTATACATTGCCTCTGCGATGAAAAAGCGCCTCTCAGTGATGTCAATAGGAAATCATCTCAACGCCACGAGAGATAATATAAGGGGGGGATTATCTGGTCAAATTGGGTTTCTTCTTTTCCTCAGATTCAGTTTATCTAGTGGATTCGGATCTCCTTTCTTCTATTAAGCCAAAAAACACTTTTCTTTACAGCAAACGAAAAAAAAAAAAAAAAAAAAAAAACTTCAACACCATCAAAATGGTCGACTACACCGACGACAAGACCTACGGTACCACCGGCACCACCTACGGGACCACCTACGATGGCACCGCTGGCACCACCGGCTACGGCTCTACAGGCTATGGCACAACCGGCTATGGCACCACTGGCTATGGCACCACTGGCTACGGCACCAGAGGGTACGACACCACCCGGGGCTACGATACCACCGGTGCTGGCACCACTGGCTACGGCACGACCTACGACAACGGCTATGGCAACACTGCTTACGACCCCAGCACCGGCGCCTACGATCAGCACATGGACTACCGCACCGATAACTCGCAGCGTCACCACCGCGAGCGTGTGAACCCCAGCGGCACATATCGTCACCGAGACGTTGACCGTCGCGACGATGGCACCACGCGTGTGCACCGTGAATACGACAACCCTAACACTGGGACCAGCTACCACCGGGACTATGAGCGGTAATAATGGTGGAGCGGAGTTTATGTGGATGTTGATTTTGGCTTGTGTATAGATGGGATGGAGTGGATATATGAGTTATGATGAAAAAAATATATATATAAAAAAGGCAAAAAAAAAGTGGAAAAGGATTGAAAAAAGCAGCAATAAAAATTTTGTTTATTAGCGAATAGAAAAAATATGTCACGATTCTTATGAAATGCGTATTATGCATAACGTTCAACAACACCTGGACGAAGGGCGAGGTCAGGTCTTCCATCACCAACAACCTCCCTCTCATCGCCAGAATTCATCATCTCCACAGCCAATTGACATCACATCTCACTGTCCATAATTAGCGTGCTACAAGGATAAAGAGATGTCGTTTCAAGCTGCCCCGCCTCAATGATCATCATCAACCCGCCTCGAGTGATTGGAGCTACAAAGTCAGAGCGACATCTCGACTTCTTTCAATCCAACCCGCCTTACCCAACACGGTTCTTCCTCTAATCCGACGGCTAATGCGATCAAAAATCCATGATCAATCCGATCAACATGTTGCGCAACCAGCGTTCCTAAATTTGAGCATATCTCGAATCTACATAACAACGGAGGGGTCATGAAGGCGTGATCGGAGCGAGAAGCACACAATCCTCATATCGGGCAAATCATCTCCCCCATACCCCAGTGATGTTCTCCAATTCAAACTACAGGTGATCAGCAAACTGACTTAGTTCTTATTTTTCAATAGATTGTTTGTTTCTAGGTTAAGGGATCCATTGCGGGTTGCAAAAAAAGGCACGCGCGAGAATGGGGGGATGAGACAATTCGTGATTGCGAATTCGTCTTGGGAAAGCACATCGTAGATGGGTTGGGATGGCATCATCGCATGGTGTTTCGGAGCAATAGTTACTAGAGGCCCCCTCGTGGGCCTTGGGAACGTCTATATAAAGCGGGGGTTGCTTGCTGTTGCGACGATAGTATACTCTTGAACAAGGAAAAAGAGAACCCTCGCAGGACGATACATAAAGATAACAACCCGAGATCATGTCAAACATCGCTACTCTCCAGAATCATCCCACTCCAAACCCCCCTCCACCATCATCGGACCCCGCCATTTATCAAGCTCACCATGACGCATTCGCGGCAGAGGGGCAACCCACTACCACCGCCGGATGGCTGGAGCGGGCTCAAAAAGTAGCCGAGATCTATGCCCCGGATGCTGGAGCCAGAAGCAAGGAGCAGAAGATCCCGCGAGCTGAGATTGCCCTGCTCAAGAGCTCGGGACTGCTCAAGGTCTTGGGTGATGTCAAATATGGTGGCGGTGGTCAGAACTGGGAAACGGGATACAAGGTCATCCGAGAAGTTGCCGCTGGTGACGGGTATGTTATCACTGCATGTTGATCTTGCTGGAGACATAAGCTGACACTGTTGGATCTGTAGATCCATTGGTATGCTCCTGGGATACCACTTACTGTGGTCAACCACTGCACGCATCGTCGGAACACCAGAGCAACAGGAACGAGTTGAGAAGCTTATCATCGAAAATAACCACTTTGTGGGAGGTGAGTCTTTCTTTTACTCTCTGGCAAAAGGTCAATTGCTCATTTTTATATACTAGGTGCTGTAAACCCTCGCGACAATGACAGCCGTGTCACTCGTGCACCATCAGGAGACGGCCTCGTTTTCACTGGTTTCAAGAACTTCAACACAGGTGGAGTGATTTCGGATCTTACAGTACTGGAAGGTGTCTACGAGGATACCGAGGGCCACATCTTTGCGATCGTGCCAACCAACCAGCCAGGAATCATCTTCTCTCACAACTGGAACAACATCGGCCTGCGTCTCACCGAGTCTGGCTCTGTTAAGATCGATCAAGTCCCTATCGCTTGGGAAGATGCGCTGGGATGGTCTGCAGAGACAAAGGCACCAATTCCTGAAGTCCTCCAGGTGCCATTCGCGTCTCTTCTCTTGCCCAGTATCCAGCTAGTCTTCGCCAACTTCTACATTGGCATTGCCCACGGTGCTCTCCGGACAGCTCGTCACTACACCAGAACTCAGACACGCCCGTGGCCATTCACCCATGACCCCAAGCAGAGTGCGACCGACGAACATTATGTTCTTGCTCGCTATGGAAGATTCCTTGCCTCTCTTCGCGCTGCCGACACCCTTGCTGACCGGGCCGGAAAGGAGATTACCGATGCGTTCCACGAGCACGGTAGTAAGAGGGATATCACCGCCCGTCAACGTGGAGAGGTGGCCGAATGGGTTGCCAGCGTTAAGGTGACTGCAACGCATACTGCTTTGGAAGTGACTGCAGGCGTATTCGAAGTCACCGGTGCCAGATCCACAGCAGAGAAGTATGGATTCGATCGCTTCTGGAGAGACGTTCGAACACACACTCTGCATGATCCAGTAGCCTACAAGGAGTCGGAGTTGGGTAGATTCTTCTTGCTGGATGAGGTCCCAACCCCGACATGGTACACTTGAACATTTTAGTAAATATTTAGTCGATGAAATAATAATCAATGCAAGAAATAATGCCAGCATAACCCCGGAATAATTGAATATGATAGATGCTTAATAGCGTGACGAGGCAGGCAATAATCGTTCTGCCTTAGTGTTGTCAGGCGGCAAACGCAAGCGTTGGATTAAACTCCACCCTCTCCACCTCTGCTTCTCTCGTCCCTCTCCAGCTCGCCGCATGCTGGGCTGTGAGGCTCTCGCCGCGACTCCCTCCCATCGCCCCCATTCCTCTATACCTTCCTACTACCGCTCCTCGCGGGCCACACTGGCTTCTCATGCTCCCATAATCAAATAAATCATGTCCCGGAGGACGCTGGGTGGAGGTCGTGTCCTGGGCACCGCGAACGCTCTCTCTCCAGCGGCCGCTTCACTTCCGTCTCCGCAACCAAAGCCAAGGGTTCTGTCGCCCTCCGCCAGCAGCCTTTCTCTCAGTTCGCAAGCTTCCGCTTCCCAGTTCTCAGCAGAGACTCAAGACCTTACCTCGCGCATCTCTCTCGAGAATGGCGATACCTCTATTTCCGCAGCCCCGGCGGCTGCCGGAGCTCAGCTTGCCTGTCCGATTTGTAGTGAGGAGATGGTATGGACCTCCCCGCTCCTTTTTTTCTCCCCCCTTTTCAGCCTCCTCTTTTGGTGGCGCTTTCCCTTTGATATTTTTTGCTGACAATCTTGCAGGTGACGCTGCTACAACTAAATAGGTACTACCTCGTGTGGCTTTTGTTTCCCCTTGTACCTAATTAATGCGATCTGTAGGCATCTCGATGACGTACATCAAAATCTAGAAGACGATCGACAAGATGAAGTCAAGGACTGGTTCAAAGTTCAGATGGATAAGGCAAAACGTTTCCAACCCCTGGCAGTCCTGAATCAGAAACTGAAAGGACTCGACGTTTTCGAGTCGAACGAAAATCTCCAGCCCCCCGCAGTCACCGCCAGTAGTAGTCGATCCTCTGCAGGAGCCCCAACACCTGCCATCGACGCCCCGAGACCGGTGGACCCTGAAGATGTGATAACAAAGGATCACTGGCAAATTCGGGGCATGTACGATACTTGTTTGGAGCCATCTTGTGGACAACGACTTAACGCCACCAATGGCTGCGTTAACTGTCGGAAATGCGGGAAGTTATTCTGTGAGGAGCATACAATGTATCAGATGAAATTGTCTCGATCTGCGCAACATGAACCCGTAAGAGGCATGTGGTTCAGGGTCTGCGAGACTTGTTATAAATCACGGGAGGGATATAATGACCACAATGGTAGATATTCCCTACTATTCAATTGGTATGGGGGAAGCTAATTGAGTATCAGGTCTAATAAGAAATCGATTCGATGATTTCAAGGCTGTGAGGAAGCCAATGGTTGATAAAGCTACATTAGAGGTTTCTCGGTTGGAGAAGCGTTTGACACGGCTTACCCAACTGTTGGCTAACTTGCCCCTGGAGCAAATCCAGTCGGGTGGCAGCAAATTATGGTCAATTCCATGGCAAAGTGATCAGCGAAAGTCCCTTGAACAAACAATCGTCAGCTGGCAAGATGACTCCACTGTTTCTAGATGTCCATTTTGCCAGCAAGACTTTACTGGCTACACTTTTCGAAGACATCATTGCAGAACTTGCGGGCGAGTTGTATGCGGTGATCAAGTGACGGCATGCTCTAGCGAAGTTCCCTTGAGCATTGCGCCCTGTATGCAATTTACCTATTATTTCTATGGAACTTACACTAACCTCGCATAGTATCAAGGGCGCCTGCAGAGAAGTCTGCCAGTACCGGTGTAATTAACATCGATGTCAGGCTGTGTAAAGAGTGCAGAGCAACGTTGTTTGATCGACGAGATTTGGAAGCAGATCTCATGCGAAAACCTCCGGACCTGAAAGCATATGAGAACTTGACGCAATTCGAAAGGGGCATCCGGCTCCTGATGCCTAAGTTTCAGAAGCTATTGACAGCTCTGCAGTAAGCTTTGAACTCACGTTTTTCTTCATTTGGACATTATTCTGACGGCGAGCCATAATAGAGACACAAGACGACCGCCATCAGGTGCTCAAATAGCCGAAGCATCAAAGGTCCGCAAGCGACTTACAGATTCCTTTGCCCAATACGATGTCGCTGCAAGGCGCATTCGTGACCTCCCAACAAATTCTCTGACGCAACAGCTCCTTCAGAAGGCGATCTACCAACAGGCCACCAATTTCCTCCATCTACATATGCTTCCTTTGAAATCTCTGCCTAAGATTCTCAGGCAAGCAACAGCCAACGGACGGCTTCCCAGTGGCACTAGCTCCCCTAACCCCAATACCCCTCATATAAACAGCCCACCAAGTGGTCTACGACCACAGGAATCCGCCCTTGCATCTATAAAGTATGGAAGAACTGCTGCTAGCGGAAGCAACGCCAGTCTAGCAAGTGATAATAGCAGTGCCATTTCCGCGATGGAAGCAGAGGAGAAGTCTCTTCGAGAACGACTCATTGTGCTGGAGGAACAAAAGTTTTTTGTTTCCGAAATGATTGCTGACGCAAATCGTCGCCGTAAGTTCGACGAAGTGAGCAGTCTTGCAATGAACGTTGAGGATCTCAGTCGTGAGATAGACCGTGTCAATGGCATGCTGGATGGGTTGGATTTTGAGGGCGTTTACACGAGTGGTCAACCGACGCACACCTAGGGGTGGTTGCTTTCCGTGGTCTGTGGTATAATACGCCCCTTGATCATATTTTTGCTGTCTAGACCCCGTTTATTGTACGAGGGGGCAGTAGGCTCTGAGGCCTGTTGACGCAGTGTTTACGATACATTAGGGCCTAATGAAGGTCCTGCCTGTCGTGATACATGGCTTAGTTCGGGGGCTCTCGGTGCCTGGCGTGGCATTGTTGTTTTCTTGATGATACTCGCATAGCACCAGGCGTTTTGTGCAATACATTGATTCCGTGAACCGGCTTTCTTTTGGCCATTTCCTATATATATGGGTTTTTAATTCAAGGTCTTCTGCGACAGGCGTACTGCTTGCTACTCACCTGCCTCGCTATGCATAGAGCCACGCCGACGCTGATCCACATGGGGAAGGAAAGCAGAGCAAATGTCCTGGTCAAAAAAAAAAAAAAAAACAACATGCAGCAGCAAAAAATGCAAAAAGGAAAGCCGAACGCGGGGGTCGAACCCGCAGCCTTGAGATTAAGAGTCTCACGCTCTACCGATTGAGCTAGCCCGGCTGCTCTTGTTGTAACAGCGAGCGTGAAAAACTCTGATATTGCTATATTAGCTTTTGCATGTCGGCTCCACATTGCTCCACATGCTACTACTGTATGTAATGCACCACAAGTCTCACTTGATTTTAATTCGCAAGACACATATAATTTTTGTATTGACAGTTTAGTAGACCTTACATGTGCTGATATATCAATTTTAAATAGTTAAGAGCGTTTTTGGCTTGGTTATGCTATATGCTAACCCCCGCTTTCCCCTCCGCATGTTCGTCACCCAAGCTTGCTACACTGGACATCTGCGATATTCTCCAATTATCCTCTAAATCTCTTTTACCACCTAGCAGTGGCCTTTGCCTTAGCGCCCCCGTCTACCTGCTTAATGCACACTTTGCGTTGTTGAGATCTTCAACAGGGTTCCCCGCCACGCCTCGCATAGACCGAGATATGCTTGTCGAATATCGTATGGTCTGCTGCTGCATGCTCCCGATTATAACCACTATTTCTAGTTGAGTGGAATATGGTTCTCTTGCCGTCTGTTTCTAGGGCAGCTGGCTTATCGTCGTGGTTGTTGGTACTATGTCGACTTTGCAACTGCTATACATATGTACACGGGCATGGTTGATATATATGTCTAACACATGATGGACCTAGTAGACGCGAGTCTTATCATGAAGATCCATGACTGGCAATTGACAAAATACTCAATCGATCAAATTTCTATCATCGGTTTGGGGAGTCATTTGGCGTGTAGTGGTGTTTGATATTTACAAGGGTGAGCGTGCACGGGCATGACAGGGGTCCCCTACATCTGGCAGGGGCAAGGATTCTGATTGTTCAATTGTTTTGGCTTATAGAGCACTAGTTTTCAACGCTATCCAACAAGAGCAGCCGGGCTAGCTCAATCGGTAGAGCGTGAGACTCTTAATCTCAAGGCTGCGGGTTCGACCCCCGCGTTCGGCTTTCCTTTTTGCATTTTTTGCTTGGTTTTTGCATATTTACATTTTTTTTTTTCTTCTTCTTTTCCTTTATTTTTCCTTGCTTGAAACGCTATCCCAGTCAGGTAAATAAAGCAGACAATAAACACCAAGCCTCCAAAGGCAGATAAGAGATCGTTATAGACATAGAACATAAATCATCGTAGTATCAAGCATAATGCATAAGATCAGTCTGCGCGCCCCATTACCATGAAACTGCTTCAATTCCAGCAAACTCGCCACTACCATCAGCAGCGGCGGTACCGGAAGAAGAGGAAGGGGGAGGGGGGCCAGAAGCAGTAGTAGCAACAGCAGCAGTGGCCGCGCCCTCCTTCATGCCCTTCTCCTCAGTCAATGTCTTGACCATCTCTGCCAACACTATAACCTGTTCCTTCAACAACTTGACCTCCAAGCTACAGGGATCCACATGAACATCTGGCGTGGAGTCCTGCACCGCCTGCTTCCAACTGTCGTCAATATCGAAATCCACTTCTTCCGCGACGTGCTCCCATTCTTGTGCGTTATTGTCGTCTTCTTCGCCGCGGCGACGGTTCCATCTGATTCGTCGAGCTTGGCGAGTCTCGACTGTTGCGGTGATTAGAAGTACGGGTGAGTAGATGATGCCCATGACCACGTCGTTGGCCTTTGAGTAATAGCGAGCCGGTAGCCACCATTCAAACGGGGCGATTAGGAAAATGATTTCTAGGAGGTTGAAGGCTAGATAATTTGACTGTTAACTAGGAGTCGTCTGTAGTAATAGAGCAGCGATGGACCTACGTGGTATGAACATGTTCTCGTCTGGTGCCCGGACAAACTGCATTGTCTTCTGGGCAAAAATTGCCATGTACTCGTCAATGGCATTATCAGAGACGTCTTCGTATGCGCTATTGTAGAGTGCAATCAGAATGTTCAACAGGACTATGTCATGGATTAGCGATGATTTTTTTCAAATGTTAGGTCAGACATTCATACCAGTCATGACAATGAACGTGAAAATGTAGTAGAGAATGATACCAAACGGGAAAGCAAACTCTTGAAAAGTATCAAACTCAGGGCTCTGCATGACACTATTTGCCATTCCTTGAATAATAGTTCTCGTGATGGGAATGTCGGAGTCGACTTGAGCCATTCCCATAAATGCCTGGAAGAAGCCCACGAGAACGACGAAAAGAAGGGCAAAGAAGATCAAACTTTCCTTCATCATAACCCTGAGAATGACGAACATGGCACCGAAGAAGCGGAACGAGTCCAGGTAAAGCATCATGCGCATCCAAAACATTGGCCCCGCAAAAGCTAGAAAGTTGTAGCTGAGCCGATTGTACTTCAACCTTAGCTCATCATTTGCAGAGGGTGAGTGTGCGAGTGCAGTAATGCGCAGGAAGAATGACACAGCAAGGATCGTATAAAGTGTCGAGTTGAAAGCATTCCAAAAGTCAAAGTAGTTCTTTCCGATCTTCCAAAGTTTGGTCAACTCGTCGCAGATGAAGGCAAGCGTCATAACGTAGAGAATTCCTTCAACAAAATCCAAGTCCCCGGTCGGATTGACAGTATTGATGACGCCAGTGTACAGCGCCAAGTATACCAACGAGAAGAGTATCTGGCACATGTTCTGATACAGGGGAGTCTTCATCCGATCCGGGTGAAAATGAGACCAAAAATCAGTATTGTCTTTGTTATGGTATTCCACAAAGTTGGTGGGGTTGCCGTCCTGCTGGCAATACCAGCCATGCCAAAGATACTTAATACATTTCTGGTAATTCGAGGACCCAATTACCCTAAGGGCATGAAGGTCCACGGAGCGTTCGATGACGTTTGCGGGGTATGTCTCTTCCCCGTCTACGAAGATGGAGTACCGCTTCAACAGGGCCTCTTTGAATAGAAAGTCTTCATCTTCCTCGGATTCAATTCTAAAATCCCGTTAGCAGCTTAAAATAACGGAGGAGCAAGAGTTGAAATACATCCGCTTCGCAATAACTTCACATGCGAGGGCTCGACATTCGTGAAGGTCAGAGTCCCAGAGCTCGACAAGAGCTTGAATCTTGAACCACCGTAGACACACAAGCAGGCAATAGAGAACACAGGCCCGGAGCTCCTCTCCACCAGCTTGCTTTGCGGTCTGCAGCACGTCTTTGGTGATGATGCGGCTATTCGGGTCGGTGATGAGGCTCTCATCGAGCTCGCAGGAAACAACTTGTTCAATCTGATACTTCAACCGAAGAGCTACTTTAGCAACTTCTTTCGAGGGACCGCTCGGAGCTGTTTCGTCGGCGGCATATGAAGGCAGCACTTTCAATCGTGTTAGCTTTTGGTCAAATGCTGGTGGTGTTTACTATGACGTACATCGGCGCCTCTCCATATGGAGACGATGTCGAGCCTGGGTGTCATCTCTGCTGAAAATATCCCTCCAGTGACCCATTATGGACAAGGTAGAGCTATCTTTGAAAGATAGGTGATAGATAGATGGGGTGGTGCAGCAGCAGGGGACGATGCAAGATCGGGCACGAATGCAGACCGACAAATGCCAAGTCTTCCCCGCTAGCCTCGATAAGGTTCAGGTTAGTCGATTCAGGCAGTCTATCCGTAGATAGCTATTTAAATAATACGATGCTCTGGAAATTGATTAGACTGTCGCGTATATGTACAATAGATCGATACGAAAGCTGATAGCCTAACACATTACACCATGTTAAAACACTTCAAAAGGGAGTAAGCTTTAATTTGCAGATCTAAAGGTACCATTTAACAACTTGGACCCTCAGGCCCCAAAAAAAGAAACATATGTACACCAGAACATGGAATCGAGCTCCTCTCATCCAGAGTTCAGCTGTAAAAGGAACACCCAAATGACATGGCGAATCGACACCATACGGAAAGCAGTGTTGGTGGCATGGCATCTCACGGATAAGTCATTCTCAGAGTTAACTGAGAGCAACACACCCCCATCATTGCCTTGGACACTGCTCCTGACCCCGATTCCGCTCGTGAGCACATTAAACCGTCTCCCGTTTCATTACTCATGTCATATTGAAACTCAATTTTTTCTTCGTTCCCCACCGTCCGTTCTTCGTTTTTTTTTTTCGTGCTTTTCGAAGCGTGCGCAGACAGTTCGGTTGCTTGCCCAGCTTCTTGCGGCTAAGAAGTCGCCATTTGATTGCTGCTGCGTACAGTTTATTCGGGAACGCCTTCGTCACTGTCGGACATGTCCTCGTCTCCGCTGACCTGCATGTTCTCACGCTCACGCTTCTCCATGAGCTCTTGAAGGGCGGCATCGTCGTGTTCTGTGACGGCCTTGGGTGCCATCTTGGTGATGCATGCACCTCCCGACTTCTTGATGTTGGCCTCGATCTTCTGAATAGCCTCCTCGAGCATCTTGATACCGGTGGACTTATCCAAGCACTGGCTTGTCAAAACGTAGAGGGGAGGGGCGACCAATTTAACCTTGACCTGGCTTTCTTCGGTGTTATCGGCTTCGGCGGTGCGCAGGGCCTCCTTGACGGCGTCGATTCCATCATAGCCGAAGCATGTAACCTCGATATCGGCACGGACCTTTGTTGGGTGGGGAGTAAGCTTCTTGCTGATGTACAGCGTCAACTCCTTCTTGACGGCCTCGCTGGGGAACTCGGTCTCATTCCAGGCATCGGGGTTTCTAATTCAGTATGAGTCACCGGCCAAAGTTCTTCCTGCAGATGTTGTTCTTACGTGATAGATCTCTTGAACGCATCGTGCGAGTGGCCGTATTTCCGGTCCAAGGGCCATGCAATCTTCTGGTATAGGGTCTCGAGAGGAGTCTGGGTAGCCTCCGCAACATGACGCAAGATAGAGTGCACTGCCTTGCTCTTGTTATATCTCTCCTCACACTTGGTGACATCTTCAGGGGAAACTCGGCGCTTGGAAAGATCGATATATCCTGCACAATAGAAAAGGAAATGAGTCAGCGCTATTGTCTAGTCACTCAAACGGGGTTCCCGTACCCTTTTCCTTGTCCACACGGAGCACAATAACGACTTCGTTGCGTCCAATACGGATGAGCTTCTGAATACTACGAATACGTCTTCGCGACAATTCAGAAAGCAAAATCATTCCGTCGATGTTGTCATATTCCAGCAACTTCACGTACGCACCCATCTCGGCGATCTGCAAGGTTGGAACAACAACGATTAGAGAAAGTCCCTGGAAGTTGCCCGTATAAAGATATTCCCCGAGATCATACCTGCTTGACATTGACCATAACATAGCTGTCAATCTCCGGGAACTTCTCCTCGTAGAAGCGGCAATTTGTTAACGACATTTTGGCGGGGTTGCGCCGTGTTCCAGGCAAATTTATTAAACACTGATAAGAACGTCGAAAAAGCACTGATCTGCGTCGAAGGATGTTCCACCGACGTAAAAAATCACTTCTGTTAGAAGCAAATGTCCGAGACGAGTTGGACAAGGGTTTTGGCGACAGGCGACTGATGGGATCGAAGCACAATTCAAATCGCTTTGTGGCGGCTCAAAACCCACTTTTGGGATATCACGGGACGCCACAGAGACCACAACCGCATTCACGTGAGAGATACACTCACCGCCTGCAGAATCCAATGATAAGGTCTTATCCGTATCAGCGATTGCTTCATCATTATTCCGGACCTAAGGCACGCACTTGGGCATACAGGGCGCTGAAAAGAATTGGAAAAAGCACCTGAAACTCGCCTCTGAGCATTGATCAGCTGAGCTATTTTACGTAAACTCTGCGGCTATTTATTACCATATCGACCTTCCTCTTTGGTCTTGATGCTTACCATCCCGCTAGCCAGCACTTGGCCACCGCCCACCGCGCCGCTCCTAGTTTTCAACATCATTCCTACAATTATTGTCTTCAATCCGCTCCCATAGCACCTATGGCGGTTTTCCGGTTATCTTTGGCCCTTGTATATCTTATTTGAGAGCCGTTTTTGGTATTCGTTTGGGAACATGTCGGGTGCCAATTCCCTAGCTGACGAGACGGGATCGCGTCCTTCTCTCCGAGATCGAATCCTCGGTGTCTTTCGTTCCTCATCTTCAACCAGCTTCTCGGGGTTTCCAGATAACATCCCCGTCGACGATGGGACACAGGACCTCGACCCGGGAGTAGGGAGTTTGTCTGGGGAGCCTGATGCAAGGACGCGACTCCTGGAGTCATACAACCGGCACGATCCTCTATGTGGACAGAGATCCTGTGACCACGGCACGTTTTCGCCACGACCTGAGGAGCATGAGAACTCGCCATGGGCTGTGAGGTTCATGCAGAAAAACGGCAATTATGGAAGGAACGACGAAGTCGCAGGCGACATGTCCAACAGCGCCCAGTTCTCACGCCCAACTTCCGCCCCAAGATCGGATACTATGCAGTCAATGGAGTCTTCCTTTTCGACACCATTCCCAAAGCACCGTAAAACATTGTATGTCCAGACCTCAAAAGGTCCCTTATCCTTTCACTAGAAGATCTCCTTTGCCGCCCGAAGTGGAAAACAGGCCATCTGACAATTGCCCAGATACATTTCGTATTACGTTCCGTTCTTCAATTGGATTACACAGTACCGCCTGTCCTACCTCCGGGGAGACTTGATAGCTGCATTGACAATTGCCTCGATTTATATCCCGATGGCGCTGTCATTATCAGAAAATCTTGCCCACGCCCCTGCCATTAATGGCCTCTATTCTTTCGTGATCTGTCCGTTTATCTATGCTATTCTGGGGAGCAGCACCCTACTGGTAGTTGGACCAGAAGCTGCTGGCTCTTTGCTGACTGGCACGGTTGTCAAGACGAGCGTCAACCAAGGAATCTCCGGAGAGGAGGACGAGGCTGCAAACGCCATGGTTGTGGGAGTAGCGACGGCCATGGCAGGCGCTATGGTTCTGGTTGCTGGCCTTACTCGATTAGGCTTTCTGGACAATGTCTTGAGTCGACCTTTCCTGAGAGGCTTCATCACCGCTATTGGCTTCGTGATCTTTGTGGACCAGCTCCTCCCAGAAGCTGGTCTAGCGCAACTAGCAGCTGAGGCCGGTGTGAGCCATGGGACCACTATAAACAAGATTGGTTTCTTTTTCAGGAACATCAAAAACGGCCATGGTCTCACTGCGGCAGTGTCCTTTGGCAGCTTCGCCATAATCATGGTGTTCAGGTACGTGATTTGCTCTTTTCCACAGCGATATCACATCTAATGGAGTGCGTCCTTTAGAATCATTAAGAAGAGCCTTGAGCCAAGAATACCACAAGTTGTCTATTTCCCCGACCGCTGCATTGTGGTCATCCTATCGGCGATCTTGACATGGAAGTTTGGTTGGGACCAACAAGGACTCGAAATCCTAGGAGCGACGAAAAACAACGGCAACGGGCTATTCGAGTTCAAATGGCCGTTCCAGTTCAGCCACATGAAACACGTACGCGCTGCAATGAGTACATCTTTTGTTATTGCAATTCTTGGTTTTTTCGAGTCTTCAGTGGCTGCCAAGGGTCTAGGCGAGGGCCGTCGTGACGGTGTAAAGGGCATGTCTGTCAGTGCCAACCGAGAGATGGTTGCTTTGGGTGTTTCCAATGTTGTTTGCGGATGTTTCATGGGTCTTCCTGCTTTTGGTGGGTATGGAAGGAGTAAGGTCAATGCTTCTACCGGAGCCCGTTCACCGATGAGCAGCATTTTATTGAGCATCATCACTTTGATCTGTATCATGGTGCTTTTGCCTTATCTGTATTATCTCCCGGTACGTCCAGTCTCGAACAATACCCTGGTTCCAGTTGGGGTCTCTCTCGCTGATCTTCTATTTTTCAGAAAGCGGTTCTTTCCTCGATGATTTCTGTCGTTGCCTTGACTCTTGTCGAAGAGTGCCCCCACGACGTGGCGTTCTTCATTCGTTTACGTGGATGGACAGAGCTGGCATTGATGCTCCTCATCTTCACTACGACAATTTTCTATTCTTTAGAAATGGGAATGGCGTTTGGTATTGGTCTTTCTGTTCTGATCCTCATCCGCCACTCCACAAAACCGCGAATCCAAATTCTGGGCAAGGTCGCCGGTACAGAAAATCGGTTTGACAATGCTGAGCTTCATCCGGAGAATGTGGAGTTGGTTGCAGGCGCGCTGATCGTCAAAATCCCTGAGCCTCTCACATTTGCCAACACTGGCGACCTCAAGAATCGTCTTCGCCGTTTGGAGCTTTATGGTTCCAGTCACATACACCCGTCCCACCCTCGAATGCGCTCGCCCGAGCATAACAAGAACATCATCTTCGATGTCCATGGTGTGCTCAGTATTGATGGCTCTGGAGCACAAGTTCTATACGAGATTGTCAAATCGTATACTGATAACGGTACGAGAGTTTTCTTCTGCCGTGTCCCCACCCGCAGCGTTTTCCGCAGGTTTGAGAGGAGCGGTATTGTCGACGAGAGTGGTGGAATGTCTCATTTTGTTCGTGGTGTCGATGAAGCCCTACGGCTGGCCGAGTCCGAGGAAACTCTAGAATTTTGATGATGATGATGACAACCAAGGAAACACTATTGTACACCAAGGGGGTTCATATACAATTCAGCATACATGAACGAATGTATGATTTATGCCCATTGAATGTCAATTCTCTGAGATATTTGTCCAAAAGCACATATTAGCGCTTTAGCCCAGTTGATGTATTTAGTTACGAACAACGAAAATCTGCTTTATTCTGCAATGTCCACCTGCACCTGCCCAACCCCAAGGCTCTGTGGCGAGTTCTTCGTAGATGATGATTTAACATCGTACACTCACAGTGGAACAAAAAACCTTGCATGGGCTTCCGAAAGCAAGGCGAGTGTCAGATCGATGATATTTATGGTGTTGATATCTACCAGTCGACTTCGAATGGTGTATATTAACCTGAAGAAGCTGAGAGGTATTCCAAGAATCGAAGCCAATTGGCCTAATCGTAACTCCCTAAGTTGAGATCGAGATTTTGAAATGGGTATCCTGCGAGGGACAGCCGCTGGTCTCCCCCGAGCTTTCGGTCTAGATGGTGATATAAAAACGGGCGTAGTAGAGGAAACATTTCCCTGTGGCTCCAACGGAGACTTCATGTGGCTTGACTTTCACCCGCAACAGCCCTCTGTATGACAGACTGAAGGAGAGCCTCACTCGCACGTAGCATGAGCTGACCCCTTTCACTCCGAGGTTCTTCATCGTTTTGTTTTTCGTTTGCGCTTTCAGCACGGCCTGGGGAACCGACAAGCTTCATTCGCCCTTCGCTACCCAGAACAAAACCCCCGCATGCGATTTTGGAAAGGCGCACGTGTTGTCTTGCCAGTTTATGGCTCTTAGAGGATGAGTCGCCCAGGTCTAATTTCATAGCTAGGTGTTTCTCTAGATAGGCAGAGAGACCTGTCAAGAAGGGGCTGTTGGCGGAGTTCGAAGTTGGATTGCCGCTATTGATGAAGCTCGTGCAGGAGCTGCGTGGAATATTGACGTTGAGTGTTCTCAGTTGAGGTGCAACAGATGGCGAGAATGAAAGAGTAAGCTGCATTTCTTTAATCACATCTTCTAGGATGGACCGCTGGGAGGTATTCGACGTGAACACGTTAAGATAGACCTCTAGTCCGGTGCTCATGAAGCTGGACGGTAGACGCAAGAGCGAGCAGTAACTGTCAAAGTTCGTAGACAAGAAAGAAGTAAACGTTTGACGGAGCGCATTTGGAAGCCGTGTCATGAGCAATGGGAGAAAGGTTGAGTCTTTCTCATGCGTGCGGGAGTCATCTGGCCCCGCCAGCAAAGCGGCTTTGTAGGTGATGTTCTCGTATTCCAGCACCACTAGAATTCCAAAAGCATTCTCGTACGAGTCCGAATTGGCTTGCTCATCATCAAGTTGAGACCATCTTGCTAACATTTCCCAGGTGCATTCCTTGAGAGCGCCAGTCTTTGACAAGGAGGCATCTTCATCCGCGGCGCCTACCCCGGCTTGAAGCCCAGCAAGTACATCTCCGGTGAGTTGATCTCGCAATCGCGTTGCGTAAGTCTTTAGAGCGACCGGATTACCTAGGAGGGTTTGAAATTCCTTCCCATGATGCAAAGGAGAAAGACGGTGTACCGTCCATGAAGTGTTCATCAACTGTCGAGGGCTTGCTTGCGCCATTGCGGGACTCTATTATTTGGAGATAGAAATTAAGATTGCAATAGCTTCAAGGTTACATATCGAGCCTGATGCAGCTCTCTCCAGGTAAATTAATCAAGCCAGTACCGATAATTCTGGAAATGCGATGCAGTTATGCATGTAGTTGGACTTGAGTTGGACTGGGAGACGCGACGCCATCGCGCAAACATGGCAAACAAAGCATTTCCCAAAAGGGGACTATATAGGGCTTAGGGTTGCGTAGCTTATTCGACTACATGTATTGACATCTTACTTGCTTGCCCATAAATTTGTTTGCTAACCCCAAAATATCCTTCAATAACTTGAAATAGAAATGTCTATAACAACTGTGATTCCTCCAATGATGTACCCGTCCCATGATATATGCCCCGAACAAGAGAACGCCGTGCACCGAGATTTTCCCGCCTGAAAACGATCAAATAAACAATAAGTAGAAGATCATGCTGGCCATCCTATATGTTGACGGCATTCTGAACACCCAAATATCACGGGTATATCATTCCACACTAATATCTTCTCCGGGTCATGTGGGAAGGCTTTCCTCTGGAACAGCTCCAACATGGCAACATCAAACCAAATATCTCGAATTGAAGAGTGCATATTCCTGGTGGATCCGCTTCCAAAAACCAATGTATTCATATCATCCTTTTCGTTCAACGTTATGTCATTCTGAAAGTTGTACATGAAATCCTTGCGCTGCATTCGCCGACCGCCACCATCACCAATCTCGGCGGAGAAGAATTCCACCACCCGTACAAACGGCGAAACGGTGAGCAGAGAGCCGATGAAGCTGTCGTCTAGTTCCCCGGGCTCACCAGGCGGTACGGTATTTCGTAGATAGGAAACAAGGAGGTCCATGCAGTGATGTGTAGAAATGAGGGTAGACGTGTCTGTAAAAGGAGGTGATTGCAGAATTCTAAGTTGCAGTTCTCGGTACATTGAATTGCGTGCTTCCGGAGATATAGGGAGCGAAATTCGTCCAGCCTCGAAATCGTGCAGAAGAGTGTTCGTCTGCTCTCGTCTAGCTAGAGAGTATGTTTCAAGGAAATAGAGGGCGTAATACCTATAATGAGAAGAGATACATTAGACAATTTCCGGAGAGATCACCGAATCAACACTTACATGTGAGGTATGAGGTTGAACCAGAGGCTTGCCACCCCTCGCTGGACAAGAGCTTGTCGCTCGTTCTTTGACGGGAACATGTTTTTCATGAATACAGGCTCGCTGTTCGTGAATCGATCCATGATTCTGCCGGCGATATAATAGCAAAGCCTCGAGCAGAGCTTCTGCCGGCGTCGCAAGCTGTGCACATATCTAAATGTGTATAGGTGACCACCTTTGGCGCTCTTTGCGGGTGGGAAAAGGTCCGACAGGAGTACTACATCGTCCTCGGGGTTTCGCGTATATGATCGCTCGCTGTCAATTGGTGATGGAAGTGTTCCATGTCGACGTTGGCGGAGATATTCCCGAGATATTGATGGTTCATGGTATTTGAGGAGTTGTTGAAATGATCGGCAAACGAGTCTCAAGGGTAGCAGATCCTTGACACCACAATGGGCGAATATTTTTATTTGGATTTCGACAGGTAGCAGGTCCCAGGGCGAAGAAGTTGGTACAGGATTGAATTTATCTGCTCTGGAGATGAATTGAGCGATTAGTAGCGATGAACAATGCAATCTGCTGTCGCAAGGAGCATAACAAAGCTTACACCGAAGTTGATGACGATGCAAATGCACCGTGCTTGGACGGTTGGCCCTTCTTGGCGTTTGATTTCTTGCCTCTATCAAGGAGAGAACGGGCCTTTTTTGCTTGCACTAATATCTGAAAAATTGATGGAGTCATTATTGAACCCCAGGAAGCAGAAGGAGGCCAGCTCCAGATTCGAGATCAGCACTGGAGAAGCTGTCATTATGTATTTCGCGCCCTCTCCGCCTCCGATATTGGGAAAGAGGGGAAGGGAGATGACTAATTTGTTGCTATAAAAAGAACTTACGGGCTTTTGAGACACCCAGGACGGATTGCAGATGCAAAGCCCCAATCGATGAGACTTGCAGTGAGGACAGAATACGAAAAGCTCGAAGCGAAGCGCCTGGGAATGCGATGGCAAGACTGGGAATCGAGAATCGAGAATCAGACTACAGCGAGCCTCGATGATGATAGTGACGTCAGGGTAAAGCACATTACCCCTGCAGCATGGCGTACGCAGGGGGTGAATATTGCTGGGAAGCATTAGATCGAGTGGATTTTTATTCTTGATTGCAATCTCTCTCATCAAGTGAAATCGCCGGAGTGACCTGGCTCTTTTCATACCTGCAACTATGCACAACTTACATGACCTACGTCATTTAGCTGCTGGCATTGCGTCAAGTCCTATAAGGACATGGGTGTTAAAGCCGCTTAAGCCCACCTGAAATGCAGTATCTTGAGTATCAGGGCCGGGGAATACCCGTTCATCCAATAATTAACATAAAATGAATAGCAACATCCTCATCGTGGGCGCTACCAGAGGGCTTGGAGCCTCTTTGAGAAAACTATACGCCTCAAAGCCATCAACTGCAAACACATACGCAACTGCGCGATCAAGCTCTCCCCCAGAAAATAGCACAGAGCCTCGTGTATCCTGGATCACGGATATTGACCTCTCCCAGCCTGATGTTGGCCAGAAGCTCGTTTGGCAGCTCCCTCAATCGACGAAGATATCAACAGCTATAATTACAGCGGGATATTTCGGGTTCGAAACATTCGATGACCCCAATTGGGAGAAGGAAGTCAGAATGTATACTACTTCAGCCATTGGACCGGTCTTTGTTGTGCAGAACCTTGTTAAGGCAGGTCTATTGGGCGAGGGAAGCAAAGTTATCCTCGTTAGTAGTGAGAGTGGAAGTATAACTCTTCGACACGAGAAAGAAGGCGGCGGTAACTATGGCCACCATGCTAGCAAGGCGGCTCTGAACATGGTTGGAAAGTTACTTTCTTTGGATCTCAAGGAGAAGGGGATCGCTGTGGGTTTGGTGCACCCGGGATTCATGCGCACGGAAATGACCAAAAGTGTCGGCTTCGACAAATTCTGGGATGCTGGCGGAGGTGAGCTTGTGCATTCGATTACCTCTGCTTGATGAAAGCCAAGTAGCTAATGAGTCTTTACACAGCTGTTACCCCGGACCAAGCAGCCGAGTCGCTTTCCTCGTTTGTTGAGGGGTTTGGGCTAGACAGGACAGGGGAATATTGGGCACCACGAGGCCCTGGGTATGTTCCTTTTCTTATACCAGAGCATTTTGGACTGATAACAAATCTCGACAGAGACATTGGAACTGCAGAGGCTACATTGGGGAGAGATCTTCCAACACCGCTGCAATTGCCGTGGTAAAGGGATTGGAACGCTGGGTGGAATACCTGACCTTTAGGTAATTCAATCCAACGCCATGGTATACAGCAAACATGAATGTAACCGTGCGATATGAAAGGTTACATCTCTGGTCAAGATAAATTAGGTTCCTCAAGAGTATTAGTTTTTACTAATAAATGGGGCGAGGATATAAAAATGAACGTTACGATCTAGCATGCCATTGCTACAGTTCAAGCTAGCATTCCAGTCAAAGTTGGAGACAGATAGCAGAGATAGGATAACCCCAAAGATGAAGTATGAACTACGTAATGTTCTTCTAAACTACTAAATGTTAAGGTATACAAAGCGAAAAGCAAGACCAAAAAGAAGACCTTGCTTGATACATACCAAAAAAAAAAAAGCAAAAAGAAATGCATCATCCGTGAATCGAACACGGGCCTCATCGATGGCAACGATGAATTCTACCACTAGACCAATGATGCTGTTCTTGTTAAAGAGTCAATCATCTTTTTGCTTTATGTGGGGAAAAAGAAGGGAAAAAAAGAGTGCAGAATTTGTCTGCGACGGCCCGAGAAACCACGCTATCACCTAATTGGGTAAGGCGATCATTACGGAGTTGCCCAATTCGGATCCCGGTTCTCCTGTTCACAGTTCATTCTTATCCGTCCTCATTCTTCTGAATGTTAATTCCACCTCTATAGTATGTCCATCTGATGATCCGGTATTGTCTATCAAGGCCAAGGGCGGGATTTATTTCTCCTGGTAAATTGATTTGATCCGTTTCATTTGTGCATACTCTAGAATCACGCTAGTCAGCCTCGCACTCTTTATCGCGAGGTACTCGTAGATAACCATGGGGCATCAGTAGAGTTTTACTTCGTTTAACTAGACAACACCACCTAGCACTGCCCCTTTGCGCCCGATATTTAGGATAAACACATCCCGAAGCGGTGTGTTTTGTCTTAGAAGTGTTTCCATTCTCGGAGCCGGGCTTGTCCTGGTGAAAGGATTCGATGTCAAGATGAGCCTCATGGCTTAGAACCAAATAAATCCTTCTGACAATGGAGCAGTGGTGGGTAGGAAACCATGTCCGCGTCCGCATCATGATTATGTGCGATTGAATCCAACGCGGATGATCTTACTATTGCTGTATCTTCTGAGCCTCATGCTATGTCGAGGCAGTTGGATGCTGTGATCTGTATGGCTGTTAGGCGTATTTCAGTGATCTCACATTAATTCAGCTTGAAGATGGAGGCATTGGTCAGCCAAGGTCTTCCTGCTTGATAACTTGACATCTTCATCTTAGTGATCTTATGATCGTCAAGGGTCATCTTTGAGGAGTAATGGCCGCCAGAAGACATCTGGAAGCCCACACGTTCACGTGGGCAGTATCATGACGTCGTCCAAGGGCGGGAAAGCGCATGGCTGCTGGGCAACAACACACGCTTGGAATGGATGGGCGCTGGATGAAAGAAAGACATTATTAGCTCGAGCTGGTGGAACAGACGGAGTTTATCGAAGGTTCGAACGCATTGGGCGAAGCGGATACCTGCGAACTTGGGATGATTCTTTCCTTTCAGAGATACTATTCATCGCAGTTGGACCCTGAAATAATCGAAAACCAGACCATCATTAGCATCATCGCCATCGAGATCCATGGAACATTACCAATCTGTTGGTTAATTAGCTCGTATAATCATGGACAGAGACCAATTGCCAACGGAAGGAAGCTCTGCTCAGCCTTGGGAGTTGGCACCGGTTTGGGGCGGAGCAACCAGCGAGCAGCCTTAACACCCTGGGGTCCACTGCGGAGCTTTGCTGGTGTGCCCATCATCTCCATGTAGTACATCCTTCGTCTTTCGAGGGCAGCCGTTGTTTTTATTTAATCCCCGCCCTTGTCCTCGTGTCTGACCCTTTCCTATTTTCCTTTTATTTTATGCATCATTATTATCTCTTCAGTAACGTTGCAGCAAGGATTCCAGTTCATCACACTTTGACTAGTTATCCCGTCTCCTTTGATCAACATCCCTGTGAAAAGCCGCCCCCATCTTATCCTTTAATCTCCTTGTCCGACTCTGACATACCATATTAAACCCATCTGGCCCCCATCTAATCTGCCATTTACCTTGCATCGTTATCTACCAATATGTCTTCTCCCGACGCGGCTGATATTAACGGTAAAGCGCCAGCTCAGAGTCCTGCTGCCGCCAACCGCCCACGAGGTGGTCAAGTGGTAAATGTGCAACCTGCACGCCTGGCCGACTTGCAGCCTCGTTACGCCCAGCAGATTAACCATGAAGACGCGAACAATACCGCAGCGCACAGCTGGTATGGCTCGCTGAGTATGTTTACCCCTCTTCCTTCGCTAAGTCTGGGCGCTATACCTCAGGTTACTAATTTCCTACCATAGTTCATGGTCTGGGTGAATGTATTGGATTCTGTGGAGCCATTCCCTGCTGCTTCTGTTGCCCGAACCCATTCAAGCCGGTCGCTCAAGGTGAAGTCGGTCTCGTTTCGAAGTTCGGACGGTATGTGATCGCCCGACTTATCTCCAGTTTAATGACATGTGTTCTGACTTGAATCCCAGATTCGAGCGCTCGGTGGATCCCGGTCTGGTCAAGGTGAACCCGCTCAGTGAGGAGCTACGCACGGTGGATGTCAAGATCCAGATCGTCGAGGTTCCTCGCCAGGTTTGCATGACCAAGGACAATGTCACTCTCAACCTGACATCAGTCATCTACTACCAAGTCACCTCTCCCCACAAGGCTGCGTTCGGTATTTCCAACATCCGACAAGCGCTGGTAGAGCGTACTCAGACAACCCTGCGCCATGTGATCGGAGCGAGAGTCTTGCAGGATGTCATTGAACGTCGCGAGGAGATTGCCCAGTCGACATCTGAGATTATCGAAGAGGTCGCACACGGATGGGGTGTTCTGGTGGAGTCGATGCTCATCAAGGATATCATCTTCAGCGATGACTTGCAAGACTCACTTTCCATGGCTGCGCAGTCCAAGCGTATTGGTGAGAGCAAGGTTATTGCTGCTCGCGCCGAGGTCGAGTCAGCCAAATTGATGCGTCAGGTACGTTGCATTTTCCCATCCCATATTCAAATCCATGAATGTGCACTAACAGGTGTGTCCTTTAGGCCGCTGATATTCTCTCCTCTGCTCCTGCTATGCAAATCCGGTACCTCGAGGCCATGCAGTCCATGGCCAAGACTGCCAACAGCAAGGTCATCTTCTTGCCTGCTATGAACCAGACTGTGCAGCAACAATTGAACACCGCAGACAATGCCGGGGAAGGACCAAGCAGATACGCATCCCAGGCCGACGACGGCTTCCAGCAAGCCATGAACGCTCGAGTTGTTGAGAACATCTAAAGCTGTGCGCTTTGACGGCGATCTGATTTTGCATGAGGATATGGTAATGCTTTATAACCCTTAATGTGTCATTTATACCTTTTTTTGGGACCGATGATTTGAGTCCATGGTGATTCTTGATTATGTCCTTTTGATATCCCCCCCTTTTTTTATGGTTGAATATTGGCTCTTGTCTCTTGATGGGACTTGGGCCAGTGATTTACTTGACGATACCCACATTCGTTCATGTTATTTGGTTGGCCGATGTTTGGATTGATGAGATACGGGACTCGTTCTTCTTTTGTATTTTGTCTATAATTTAGCACTTGCCTGTTGCAACCTGAAGTACTATTGTTATTTATCAGATTCCTCCATATTTATATATAAAATAGCCCCAGGATTTCTAGTTGTGGCTCTTTTGTCTATAGATAGATTGATATTGCCGAAAAGCGGTGAGAAAATGTAGGCGCATGTGTACTGATTATCGTGGAGTCTCCAGGCTGGCTATTAGAACACAAGACCAGAAACTGGATTATCAGACCCTAATTTTCCGCTGCTAATAATCGGGACACTACTGGTTATTCTCTCCGAGAAGCCCTTGCAATAAGTGTTTATAACAGGGCGACACAACCCCTCAATGCCTCCGAGAAGGAGCTCCCATTCAATTCAATAATATGGCTTCATCGCAACCCCCCAGCTCAGCTCGCGCTGTAGCAGCCAAAACATCCAATTCAACCTCCCTCGAGACACAGCCCAACTTCACCGACCCATCCTTCGACCCTGCCGACTTCCTCAACGATACCCTCCCACCACTGACGCTGGCGTCATCGCAGCCCAACGCCTCTCGAAGCCCCGGCTCCATCCCCCTCTCCGAACTCTCGACACAAGTCCAATCGCTCCTCTCTCAGGTCAACGCTCAGAATGTCCGATTATCCAACAATCTTACCCAGCTCACCGATGAAATCCTACGAAGTGGCGGGCGGCTGGCGTATGAGGTTGAGGTGCTGCGCGGGGAAACGGTCGGGCTGTCGGATACGTTGACAGAGGTGTTGCGTGATGATATTACAAAGTTTGTTCCGGATGGGCTGGATACCACAGCGGAAAAAGGGGGTAAAGATGACGAAACGGAGGGGGATGGGGATGTCATTCCGAGCTCATTGGATGCAGACGTTGCTGTTGATGCTGCTGCTGCCGCCCCTACGATTAAAGATCCTGAGTACATTACGAAGTTACGCACGTTGAATCAGGTGCGGGCGCGTTTGGAGGAAGTCGTGCAGACTTTTGGGGAGGCGATGGAATGGCCTCTTCCGCCATCTGAGACTTCCTTGACGTCGTCGTTTATCTCGGTTTCGGGCCCGGAGGCCGGCCCGGATAGTCACAGTCGCGAGGAGAAGGGACAGGAGATTATGAAGAAGCTGCGAGCAGAGGTGGCGGCGCTTCTGGATAGTAATGGCGGTGGGCTGGAGGGAGTGGAAGCAGCTGCCCGTCGAGTGGAGGCTGTACGAGTGTTGGCGACGGTGTGGAAGGGATCCGCGGAGGAGAAAGCACGGAATAGGTTCGTGGATAGTCTGGGGAAGATGGTTGAAGACCGTCGCAGAACGCTGGAAAACCAGGCGGACCAACAATCTCAGCAACGGTCGTCGTCGTCGAGCAGAAGACCGGCTCACCAGCGTCAAGAAAGTGAGGGGCCTGGAGGTGGTCTGTTTCGCAATCTACAGCGCTTACGGGAGGAAATCTACCTGGAGTGATTATCTAGCATGCATGGCGTACATAATTGATGATATGGACGTATATAAGAATGAACACACCCGATTACCTGATTGCATCTTCATCTAGATAATGCAACTAGACTAATTTCTCCGACATCCACCCACGTTGCTACTGCAAGTCACGATGCGAAACCACCAGCCAAGGCTGGGGCAGACGCAGCGCAGTGACGTGGGACACCCATGGATGACGCGGCCAGAAGTGCAACAAGTCTGGATATTGACGGACTGACTGACGCTGCATCATGAAAAGGCATTATCCATGTGGAAGGCTGCTTCATTACTATATCTTGATCTTCAGTGACAGATTGACGGCATGACGCTCAGGGCAGGGAATTCGTGCCTGTGCCGTCCGGCAAATAAAATAAAATATCAAATTGGTCGCACACGGAAAGTCAACCGGCGATCTGCAAGTCGCAACTTGAACTGAAGAACAGACATTCTGACCATCTGTACTCTTTTTTTCTTGCTCCTCTTCTTCCCCACTGTCGACGTATATCATCGCCTGCTTCGGGTTTCACCACCACCGGTCAGTGCCTTGGATGCAACGTGCGCATTCCAAATTCTCCATCGTGACCAGACCTGACGAAACTAAGACTTTCAGCTAAACTACGGTACTATTCGTGACGTCTCCACCACCATCGTCAATAATAATAATAATAGTACTACTGTCTTCACCAGACGTCTTGAGAAATTAAATCCTACCATGCCTTGCTACGACCGTGACTCCTAATTCTCTCTTCCCCCGATACCACCCTACTCCATTGGCTCGAATATCTCGCAGGAATGTTCATCGCGCATGATCGAAGCTCCCAGTGGCTGATACCAATCTCATTTTCCTATCGGTGGGACTAAGATCTGATCGTCGTCCTCCGCCCTTACTGAAGAATTCAAGGAATTCTGCAGAGAAGGAATTCCAGGAACGCCCATACATCGTTTCGCGCAGGCTTGCAAGATGGCTACCCTGGGTGCTCCGGGCCCTATGGTCGATCACCACCATTCCTTACAGTCGATGGTGACGACGCTCTGGCGCCAGGTCAACTACCATCGTCCACGGACTCGCATAGCGAAAGCTCTCTCCGTTACGGTCGCAATCTGTTTGTTTCTTATACTTTTCTCCTCGCGGTCTTCAGGTCCGGTGAGTTTGGTTCCCCTCCCCCGCCCCCTCATTCGCCTCTTATGGAGAGAGGGGGCTTCAGGAGTCCCGGCGCAAAGGGAAGAAAAGGCCGTGTTGACTGACAGACTATCTTGCTTCTCAGACTGTCAATTACTATACCAAGTTCCCATCTCATTATCCGACCAAGGAACGCTCCGAAGACGCCTTGATCCTTTCCGATGAAGCGATAGCCCTCAACAATGGCACTCTCCCCAGCAGTATACAGAAGACAACTTCATCCTTTCACCTCGTCCTCCCCGCGAGGCGCACAAGCCCCGCACTCTGCCGGACGGTGACCTCTGCGATGATTATGGATTTCCCGCCACCGACATTGATCAACTATGGCAAAAAGCCCGGCCGGGATTCCACGGATTATGATGACATGGCCGAGATGGTGACGGGTGTTTACGAGTATCTCAAGAATACCCCACATATAAAGGACGAGGATCTCGCTCTTGTCGCTGATGGACTCGACTTCTTCTTTCAGCTGCCCGCTGAAGTGTTGGTAAAACGGTTCCAGAACCTTTTGCGAGAAAACAACTTGAAGTTGCAGAAGAAGTATGGCTTTGCGACAGTGGAAAATACGTCTGACAAAGGAGGGAAGCCGGAAATCGTCCAAAAGTACATGCAGCGGGTTCTGTTTGGCGCAGGAAAGGCATGCTTCCCGAATATGGAAAGGGATGTCGGCTGTGTTACAGTGCCGCAGTCGAGTCTTCCTCCGGACGTCTACGGGTGGAAAACCGACATCCATCCGGATGGAGTTTTTTTAAATCGGCCCCGGTGGCTGACTCCTGGCGCCGTTATTGGTCAAGTTGGCGATCTGAAGCTAATCTATGCTGAGATCTTGCACTCAATCAAGCAGCGCCGGAATAGAAATGGTGACCACCTCGCTTTGACGCAGATATTTGGTCGCCAGGAATATGTGCGTGAGCTAGAAAGACAGAGAACTTCCAATCGGGCCAAAGAATGGCTGTATAGCCAGATTGGCATCTCCGATGCTACCAATATTACAGACGCTTATACTCCATATCTTGAAACTGGACGACGATACGAATTTGGAATTGGTGTCGATTACGAATCTCGCATTTTTTTCAATTCGGAAAGCTCTCATTGGGATGTTGAGTGGTTCAGATACAACAATATCAATAGAACATCAGAAATTCAAGGGCAATTCGGCATCCCACGAGAAAGGCGCCTTTTGCTTCCAACAGATCTGGAAGCCGAGAATCTCGAAAGCCCTTTTACCCAGCGGAGACTTGCCAAGGAAGAAATGACCAACCTTCCTTACAATGAAACGCTTGATGATCTTCCAAATTCCAAAAAGACTTCGTGGCACAACATCCGATTGATGACCAATGTCCACTCAACGACCGTGCCCGCAATGCTGCACATGGAAGATGATGATTATCTACGAGATTCCTGGTGGGAGCAGATGTGGTTCTACCCATGGGCTCGTGCTCTTCTCCGCAAATACATGCGGTCACCGCGTGGCTTAGCCGTCGCCCAGTCAGCCCTGCGTGGGGGACAAGACTGGTGGGACATGCGCGGTGGCAGAGGAGGCGTCTGGACAGATAGAGGGGAATGGATTGACTATGGTGAAATGTGCGGTGGTTACGCACGAGACATCTTCAATGATGGTTTTGGGCCCTGGGGTAAAGAAAACGGAGAAGACGACGAGGAACCCGTCTACAACCAATTCGGGAACCTGGTCAAGGGCCACGAATAATGAATATTGGAAACTGATTCAGAGAAGGATGAGAAATCATCTTGGTTACACCTCTCTCTCTTTACTTACTTGGGATATCCCAACCCAGTGCCCCTTTTTTTATCCCTCCCTGCATATATTCCTTTCCAGCTGGCTTTGTCTTGGGACATACATGATACAGCACTTGGGCTATACAAAACAACAGCGTGAAGCAGCCATCTATCCCTTTCCTGCATATACACAATCTGCGCGGTGTTGGGTGTCAGACTTGTTTTTTTATATATTTTTATTTCCCCTGATGTAACTTGGTGTGTTTCTCAGGACCGCGGCGCAATTTGCTTTTTTTTTTTTTTTTTTTTTTCTTTCTATTTCTTGTAACTTTACTCTCGGGTTCTTTCCGAATCCCGGTATGATACCCGAATGAATCAAGACATGGACTATGTACCCAGGCTGAACCATTTATGCCCCTGTACCTCCTTTGCCGATAACCGTTCCTCTTGTTTAAACCGGAATAACCGCCTCAAAAGATCACTAAAGAGCTTCACTTCCTCTGGCGAGATCTCCCGTTTCACATATTCAAGTTTGCCCGGAGTCGGCCAAGCCTCATACCTGAATCCCGTTTCAATTCGAGCTTCAACCCCCTCGGGCTTGTTTGAGTTGGGGTCTAATTCTATCGCACGCCCTTCAGAATCCGGCTCATCTTTGAAACACTTCCGGCGGAATTCCCAGCTCGTTGACCACCATGGCTCTGGCAGAATTCCAAAGAATATAACCATCAGATAAAGATATTCATCAGGGTCATCGTCGAACATGTTAAATAGCTTCCTTCCAGTTCGAATGCTGAATAGTGTGCATGCAAGCGCCCATAGGTCACTTCCAGGGCTGGGTTTTTTCCCCTAGTAAAAGCTCAGGCGAGCAGTAACTTAATGGAGTTCCCACTTCACCTGGTGGATCTGATTCTGATATATTGAAAGATTCGCCAAAATCAATGATGTATATCTTATCGCTTAAAAACTGAAGGTCTATATTCCGGAACTTGATAGGAACAACAAGGTATTTCGGTGCTGTTTCTGGTGGTGTCTCTCCGGACTTAGTAGTGACTTTAAATGTCTTTGGTGTGCCTAATATCTTAAGCACTTCTTCTTCAGAGAGGCTGTTAAGACCAGTTACCCGGAGAAGTACATTTTTTGGTGTCATATCTAGAATAGGTAGGTTAGATGCTGAATATTTAGTATATCTATAGGTAGATTAACCTCCATGACAGATGCCATGATCATGTAATGCAGTCAAGGCCTTAACAGTTTGAAAAGCAATCCTCCGCAGTGTCCTATCATGATCTGTAAATACATGCTCAATAGCAGAAACTGCTGGCCCAGCAAGAGGGTAGACAAAACACCAGTGCTCTCCATTTGGACCCGTAATTTTGAACTGATCCAGTGGCAGGCATATTGAATCATTATCAATCTTTAACTGGGCCACCTTATTGACCTTTAGTTCATGGCAGTTATCGTCAGAGTACTCAGCCATGATGATTTTGAGCGCCACATATGTAGGAATTGGGCCCAGAATCTGACGACACAGCCAAACATTTGCGGTGCCTCCACTGCCGAGTTTATGAATGACTTTATATTTTCTCTGCTCTCCAAATCGATCGCCCAGGTGGACTGGATGGTGGCCGCCGGGTTCATATTCGTATACGTTCTCTAAACCCCTTGGGAAACCGTGGAGTCGTAAATTGAGTCCAGGGTGTAGAGAGGGTGAGGCCTGAACGTTTTCTTGTTTTGACATGGCTGATGGTTTGTCGTGAGATCTGTTGAAGATGATGACCCAAGGCTGACGAGCATCCGCATGAGGGGCAGAACCTAGAGCTGCTTGATTATCTAACAGGTGATCCGGTCAACTAGTCGCTTGGATGGTGTTTTCAGTGACTAGTAAGACAGCATGGCATGCGACATGGGAGATTGGCGATGGTATAAACTCATCAACACAACGGAAGATAATAAATACTACTACGGGGATTCGCATCCAAGGGCGAACCTTGCCATAACACTCAAAGTCTTTGACTTTGATACCCAAAAAGGATACCATGCACTGTACGAAGATGCAAATTATATACAATAGGGAACAGTTAACAAAACCAAACCCTCCATAACCAATGCATTTACCAAGAAATAAACAACGAAGAGAAAAGAAACTCCATACCCCTCCCAAATCCCAATATCACGAATAGTATATAAGAAAAACATAGCAAGAGGAAAAAGAATTTATTCCCCAGCAGCCCCCTTCGACCCCAACGTCTCCCGAATAATCGCCAAAACCTGCGCGACATCTTCATTCCCCAATCTCTCCTCTCGCTCCTCGATAACAGTATCCAGCAAAGCCAAAGCACCATAATCCTCCTCTGAGAGTTCCCCCTCACCAACTTCACCACCCTCTTCACCTCCAGCTTCAGCCTGCGCAGCTTCTTCCCCAGTACCCTCCTCACCACCGTCGACATCCATGCCCTCCTCGCCGTTTGCTTCCGCGGGCGGATTCAGACCAACACCCAGGTTAACAATCATGAGGACCTCGCCCTTTGTTAGCCCGAATGGTTTGAGACGGGCGACGAGATCGCGCAGGGCAATGTCCATTGGTGTGGGGGTGTTCGGTTGGCGGGGTGGGAGGACCTGAGGGGCGGTTGTGGATGATGATGTTGACTGTGCTTGTTGCTGTTGCAGTTGGAGGGCTTGGGGGTCACCGTGCACGTAGCGGGGGTAATCTAGGATGTGAGGAGCGAGACGGGAGACATAGTTGTGTATCTGGGGTTTGGCAATGTTAGTCGTTTTGATTTCAATTGGGGTCCTCCATATCCAATTGAAGTGGAGGGGAGGAAATAAGGTATTTTGAGGGGTTGTAATATCTCACCTCCTTAACGACGGTGTTATGATCTCGTAAATCAGGACTAGGAACCCAGTTCCTGGAATTCGGAGGCGCATTGGGAGGCCGTCGTGGTGGGTTGGCTGTTATATGTGCCAGGACCTCGACGTTGGTGAGCACTGCTGTCTGGGGGTCTATGATCTGTGATTTTCGCGTGGTTAGTGTCTTTCTGCATGATATGTAGGAGTTTATGAGCGTACCCTCATTGTGCTTTATGGTATTGTGTTAATGATATGTCTTGAAAGAGATCGAAGCAAAGGGAAAAAGTGGTGATGCTGCGGGGCGGAGGGGACGAAAAATGCCCTTGTGCCGGCAGAAAATGAAGGCGGCGGTTGGCGTATGTACAATGATGAAGTCTGGACTTCTTGATCAGGCAATTTTATAGAACTTCCAAGAGTGCTTGCTGTATTTGAAGTACTAGCCATCCTAGTTATGCTGTTGGCTACAGAGGAAAATTGAATATGAACATATTATTGCTAAACACTGTACTGCCTTATACCAACAAGCACCTCTGCGCCATGGATAGACGAGTAAATCTCATCTTTTAAATGCCACCCAAACATGCACTCTGAAGCGAAAATAAGAAAAAAATTCAACCCACAAAAGTATGATATCATACATAATTGAAGCAATTCATGAAGCAAACTTTTGAACATCTACTCATCGCTCTTCTTCTTCTTCTTCTTCTTGTCGGTTGCGTCCTCGTCCGACCTCTTGCGCTTCTTGTCATCGCCCTTGGAAGACTTCTTCTCTTCCTTCTTGGCCTTCTTCAGGTCCTTCTTGCTGACAGAAGAGGGGTTACCCTCAGCGTCAAATGTGATTTCACCTCGCTCAAGCTTGCGCTGGTATCGCTTAACGCTGAGGCCAGCCTTCTCTGCGAGCTTCTCAATGTCGGAGTCCTTGCTCTTCTTGGACTTCTTCTTCTTGCTCGACTCATCTTCGGACGAGTCTTCATCGTCGTCGGAGTCAGCGTCGGCCATCTCCTCATCCTGAACCTCCTCGATCAACTTCTTGTCCTTCTTGCTCTTCTTGGCAGATGCAGGCTCTTCCTCAGCAACGGCATCGGCATCGGCGTTGTATTGTCTAGCCTCGTTCATTTCAAACTTGCCGGGCTGGCCGTTGGGTGCAATGGCGACACCGCGGGGCTTGAGGGGCTTGCCCTCCATACCAGCCAACTTCCGCTCAAGGTTGTATCTAGCCTCGGTACCCAGAGCAGCCTTGTCCTCCTCCGTAGCATCGTCGTCCCACTCAGCGAGGGCATCCACACGGAGACCAAGGGAAGCCTTGGCAGCCAAAATTCTTGCCATCTTACCCTTGTTCTTGCCAGTGGCCTGACCAATCAGGGAGGCGTGGTAGATAAGACCGTACTTGGGAGTGTCGTGCTTGGTCTTCAATGCACGGAACAGAGCCTTCTCGGCTCCGAGAATCTGAATGGTACTGGCGGGGCTCTTGGACAGGTTGGTCAAGCTTCCGGCGTGAGCGATGAGACGAGCGCCAACAAGGTCGCCAACCAGGGCAGTCAGGTTAGGCGCAATAGCGTTCATACGGGAGGTCAAGTAACCGGCGAGCTGCTGACGGTACTCGGCGAAACCAACAACCTGCTCGGCCAGAGCTTGGATGTTCTCCAAATCCTCTTCACTGATCTCGGTACCCATGGATCGGTCAGCGGCGGCCTTGACAACGCCCTCGAGCTCCTCGGGGAGGATCTCAGCAAGATCCGAAGTTTCCCAGTTGGATCGCATGCCCATCTTCAGGACAAGTCTGGCGTAGGCGATGTTGTCGTTAAGGATCTTGGCCAATTCGGGGAAGTGCCATCCGTACCATTCCTTCACACGCATGGCATAGGTGTTCAGCTCCTTATCCAAGTCATCAAGAAGACCAATGGCCTGGACAATCATAGTGTCAATCTTGTCGGGGGAGAACTTGAGCTTGTGTCTGGCGAGGGAGTGAGACAGACCCAGAGACATGGTAGACATGTCCTGGGGAAGGAGACCAGGAATCAATGTGGGCAGATGTTCGCGGATCGCACGGTAGACGTCTGCGGTGGTCGAGTCGGCAATACATTGCACGTCGAGGCCAGGAAGCTTGCCAATGGCATTTCCTTTACAATTTCAGGTCAGCAAAAAATACTTTTCAAGAGCGAATGCACCGTCACATACCGAGCTTGGGGTCGGCAACAGCCAAAGAAACCTTCTTCTCATCCTTGATCTCGTCGAGAAGACCGGCCAGGCGAGGAGTGACCTTTCCTTCAACGAGCGAAGCAACTTCTTCCAAAGCTGTAGCAGCGCTGTCGAACTTCTGGAAACTCTTCAATTTCAACCTAGGTATAAAGTTAGAACGTGGTTCATGAGTTAAAAAATTTTTTGGTTTCGACGCGCTCGATGCAAGATCTAGAAAAATCTAACCGAGACTGGTCCTTCCATTTTTTTCTGGCAAGAAAATTCACAAAAGAGAATGACTTACAGATTCGAGACACCCTCAGCAGTGGAAGCCTCAGTAGTCAGGTCATCTCTCTTGAGGAGCTTCTTGTCCTTCGCTTTAAGCAGGGCATATCCCGCGCTGGTTTCGGTAAGAATAAAAAGCGTCATGGTGGGCGGCCGCGACTCTCAGCTGCTTCAATATTAATTGATGGACAGCGAGGAGGAGAAAAGAAGGAGAAAGGCCGAAGTGCGTCAACGACCGTGGGCGAAACCTCCGTGGGCGAGCTGGTGTCGAGGTTTTTTTTTTCTCTGTCGGCGGGAATTTTTGCAGCAGACTAGGACGAGAAAGTGAAAAAAAGCGTGCGCCGCCATCTGAGTGGCTGGTGCTGCGGCGGTGCGGCTTACGTAACGCTTGGCCGCGAAGAGCTCCAGGTGTCGTTGCGGAGCGCCGTGGGAAACCTCCAGGGCTGCCATCACCGTGCACCATGGAGGGCTTGTTTTTCAACGTTAACGGCGGGTAGGTTTGACTTCTGTCTCTGGATGGGCATCAGTGGGCTATTTGCTGATCACCGACCGCAGTTACATTGAGGGGATTGTCCGAGGGTATCGGAACAGCCTCCTCAGCAACCAGAACTACAACAACTTGACCCAATGCGAGACTATCGATGGTCCGTTTCTCTTTCCGGCTGTCTCGCTCCTGTATAGTGTCTTCTAACATATCGGTTGAATTGCAGATGTCAAGCTTCAGCTGGGTCCCGCATATGGGGACTTCCTCGCCTCACTTCCTCCCAACCCCTCGACCTCCTCCCTCGCCGGCAAGATGACCGATAAGTTGGTTGCAGAATTCCGCTATGTTATCGCTCAAGCTACGGGTTCCAACGCCAGATTCTTAGAGTATCTGACTTACGGATATATGATTGACAACATTGCACTTCTCATCACTGGCACTCTACATGAGCGGGACACCCGCGAGCTCTTGGAACGATGCCATCCCTTAGGATGGTTTGAGACTCTGCCCGTGCTTTGCGTTGCCACCAACATCGAGGAACTGTACAACTCTGTCTTGATCGAAACCCCACTGGCTGGATACTTCAAGGGGAGCCTTAGCCACCAGGATCTCGATGAGTTGAACATCGAAATCGTTCGCAACACCCTCTATAAGAACTACCTCGAGGACTTCCACAACTTCGTCAACACCCACCCAGACTTTGCGGGAACTCCCACGCAAGAAATCATGTCTGAGATTCTGCAGTTTGAGGCAGACCGGCGTGCAATCAACATCACCTTGAACTCTTTCGGTACCGAGCTTTCGAAGCAGGAACGGAGAAAGCTGTACCCCGAGTTCGGCAGGCTCTATCCCGAGGGATCGCTGATGCTCTCCCGGGCTGACGACCTTGAGGGTGTGTCACTCGCTGTCAGCGCCGCTGCAGACTACAAGGCCTTTTTTGACGCCGTGGGCTTGACTCAAAACGGCGGCGGAGGACTTGGTATGGGTGGAGGCGGTTCGGATGGAAAGAGTTTGGAGGATCTGTTCTACCAAAAAGAGATGGAGATGTCGAAGGTTGTGTTCACTCGCCAATTCACCCCGGCCGTGGTCTATGCGTGGATGAGGTTAAAGGAACAGGTGAGTTTCGCATGAAATCAATGCTTTGGTCATTGGGCTAACGGTGAAATAGGAAATCCGCAACGTCACCTGGATCGCCGAGTGCATCGCTCAGAACCAGAAGGAGAGAATAGGAAACTTTATCTCTGTCTTCTAAGCGACCTTTCTCCATAATTCCCGTCATGACAATCCCCCATGTTTTTTCTACATTATAAACCTCATCATATCCTCCAAACTCCCACACCTCCCTCCCTTCAATTTCGCTATTCCATTGTATCTAGCTCAAGTTGGTTTTGGTTTTTTGTTTCATCGTCGTTTATCGAGTACCCGGTCTCTGTAATGAGCGCAAATCTCCCGGCATATCCGTGCCGGTTTTTTTTTAACTGTGATTTCTACTGTCCTTTGCCTAAGGCGTTTGGAGAATCCTGATTCATGTGACATAGATGGAGAAAAATAACTTTTACGAATTCGGCTGTCGTATAACCTAAGCATACTAGGCTGGCTGGCTGGCTGCAGAACACACTTAGCACGTAACCAAAAAAAGCCAACTGTTGACCGCAAAAACAACATACATATATGAGTTGAGTAGTGTAGCTACCCCGCACGGGGGTTTGGGACCATATCAGAATCCCTGCGACAATCCTTGCGTCTGCGCGACATGCCACTAAAATAAACCTGATCTATTGTCTATAATCCATCACATCAGTATTCAATGATTGTACGTGCCTCTACGTCACACGTTCTGAATTCCAGGACCTGGTGAGTGACTGGTAGTTGTACAAGTTCGATGTTTGAACGAAAAAGGGCATTATCAATTATCGATCATACTGCATAGTTGAGCTATACTGTGCGTGGATGCAGATGTTGGTGTTACCAAGGGAGTTGGATCCAGACAATAGTTGGAATTGAAAGGCAAGACAAGCAAGCTAGGCTGGCTATATAGCAACGCTCATGTATATCATCACTTTTTAAGACAGAAGCGCCGGTTTATTGCGGCGGGAAGAGAATAGAGCAAAGCAAAGAGAAAACCCAGTAGATTCATCCCGACAAGTACATGGCAAAAGACGTTGCTTTTTTGTTTTGATTCAATATAGAACTGGTCCTTTCCAAAAGGCACCCTTTACATTTTGTTCCGACTCGGCGTGTTGTATTCAAAATATAAGAACATCAAGATATTTTCGGATATGGGAATCGATATGTCTAATAGAATAGACATGGTAGTAGCAGAAGGTGTGTGATCACCCTGGACATAATCTATGTCAAAAATAGAAAACAGTATATGGCTTCATTCATTGCAGTTCCTTTTTCTTTTTTTGTTCGTTTCAAAATGTCATTTTTCAAGTAAAACGTGAGAAATTGCACTCATATAGACATTTCCATTAGTCATACTGGAAAAGAACGCTGATACTCTCACCGTGGTGGACACGACGGATGGCCTGCAAAATATTAGATACCATCGCTCATTAAATTAAGAAAAACCGGCTAACATACCTCTGCAAAGACGTGGCCAACCTCCAAAACCTCCAGTTTGGGGCAGTGGCGCAAGTGCTCAGTCTGGTCAACGCTGTTGGTTACAACCACCTTGTCCAGGGCACTCGCGTTGATGCGCTCAATGGCATCGCCAGAGAGGATTCCATGGGTGACCAATGCATAGACCTGAGATGCGCCCTCTTTCTTCAAAAGTTTGGCGGCTCTGGTGATGGTATTCGAGGTATCCGCAAGATCGTCGACCAGAATGGCTGTCCGGTCTCGTACGTCGCCAACCAACATCATGGTCGCATTCTGGCGATCCGTGATTTTTGTTGGGCGTCGTTCCTGCAGAATGATTAGACGCCTTAATTCAAAATGCGTACAACAAACGTACCTTGTGAATTAGAGCAAAGTCGATGCCCATGGAGTCTGCAATTGCAGTTGCTCGCTTAGCACCACCTGCGTCGGGGCTGACAACGACAGCGTTCTTGTAGTTGGGGATGTTCTGAGCGATATAGCTCTTGAGGAGCGGCCTCCCATACAAGTTGTCAACAGGGATGTCAAAGAATCCCTGGTATTGAGGGTCGTGCAGGTCCATAGTGATGATGTGGTCTGCACCGGCGCAGGTGAGTAAGTCGGCAACCAAAGTACCTGCGCGAGCCAGCCACTGCTTGTAGCCGGGACGAGGTTGGAAACCGTTGATTTTCGACGAAGCGCTTCCCTCATCTGACTTGGCCGATTCAATAGTGTTGCTGCGGGGAAGTCCATTCGCAGGACGCTTCTTCACCGGACTGCCATTGATTGCATCATCTATTTGAGCCTTTGCGAGGCCCTTCTGCAAATTGTCGACGCTGTTCAGGACACTGACACTCTCGGGCTTCGCAGGGTGCGGGGTTGGCGGGGTACTCTCGAAGGTGTAGGCATTGCTAGCATCAGCCTTATCGTTCGTGGGAACTTGTGCCTTGGCAAGAGGAGCTCCAGTTTTGTTGTAAGGGATATCGCTTTGGCGAGAGTATGGGAACAAGGGCAGGACAGCAGTCACTCGTCTGGCGGAGGCGGTCTTGCAGGCAGAAATGGTGATGAGAAGCTCCAAGAGGAGATCATTGACCTTTCCACACCCGGACTGGATGATATATACATCCTTTCCACGAACGGACTCCTTGACTTCCACCCGAGTTTCGCCCACAGCAAATTTTGAAAGCAGCACATCCGCTTGTGGAATACCCAGCACATTGCATATCGACTCGGTTAAGCCCGGGTGGGAGGAACCCCCAATGACGACAATATTGCGAACCATTGTATCGGGGTGCTCGATTCGACGGGGTTGGGGAAAGCTAGAGGGATAGAGGGCGACTGGAGAGGGAAGTGGTGGTTGACCCGGAAGCGGAGACAGACGAGGTTCCGAAGAGGGAGGAAATCTGGGGGGGCGATCAAGACCGGTGAGACAAAAGGCCAAAAATAGGGAAGCAAATCGAAGGCGAAATGTGTCAGAGCGAGGGACGTAAGAGAGCAACTACCTCATGGCGGACAACCAAGAGCGTAAATAGGGTCCGCCGAACAGATCAAACAAGGCATTTGAAACAGAAGAGAATTGGAGCCAAGGGATCTTAAGGTCCCGCGATAGAAAAAAAAAAAAAAAAAAAAAGCCTCTCGCAGTGGAACCAACCGGACGTTTTTTTTCCTGCCTCGGGCGTCTACCGTGGCAGCCTCATAAAACAGGCAGAAACATACCGGAACAGGCTTAGTGCGGGCGTTGCATTCTCCAGAGCCCCGCCGAAGCAGGAAAAACGAGGGAAATAACATCATCCAGGCAACAAAAGAGCAATCAGCAAATGGTCAGCATGTAGCACAAGGCACCATGGAAAGCTAGTTGCTGATTTACAATGAGGGCATGGGTCTCCATTTGCTGGTAGATACATGAGAGGTTGCATTTGGGAATATCCGTTCCAAGAGTATTAAGAGAACAAGAAAGAAAGAAGAAAGGAAAGGAACTCCTGATAAAGAACTCCTCATTGCTCCAGATCCAGATTATTGATTTTTGATACAAATATAAAAAGGGAGCAGAAGCATAAGCTCGCAATGCGCAGATCGTTTCATGTCTGGAGTGTTTATTCTCCCGTTCCAACCTCACTGTAGATCATATGATTAGTATCTAGGGCTAATCGAAAGAGGGATTCGACGGGATGAGAAGTTTTGCTCACAGGTCAATTTGGACACCATTCGAGACACCGTAATCCTCCAGTGTAAGTTGGTCTTTGAAGGGACGCTCGCCCTGGCGTTTAAGTAGAATCTCGTGAGGTTCGCGCCCGATACGGGCAGCAACTTGGGCCTTGAACAGCTCTGGCCAACGTTAGACAGCTGCGATAACCATGAATAGGAGGGAGGGAACAAACTAATCGGGTCTGACGCCAGACAAGGAATCGCAGCTTTCGTTCCCAGACGATCGTTGACATGGACAACAATCATCGGCTCTGAAGATTGCGGCATAGCTGCAGCGGCCTTCTTTTCCCTCTTCTCTCTCTTTCTTTCCCGGCGCTCCTCTTTCTCCTTGTCGCCGTCGGGTCGTCTTCGATCGCGATCGCTATCCCTGTGTCTGTCTCCATACCGATCTCCGTCCCTGTCCCTTCGTGGCGAACGTCCCCGGTCTCCGCGATCGCCTCTGTCTCTGTATCCCCGGTCTAACCTGCGGTCGTCGCCGTGATCATCGTCGCGTCTTTTCTCCTTCCACCGGAAGCCTCCTCCTGTCTTTTTCGGTCGGTCTCTTTCGCCATCGTATCTCCTCCCTGGAGATCTGCTTCTGGCACGTCCTTCCATTTTCACGGACGGATAAATGTAAAATGTGGTGGTTGTGTTTGACAAGACAGCCAGCGGTTTACACAGCGATGCGCTCTGGGGCACGTGATGATAACAGTCACATGATCAACAGAAGGGTAAACATTTCTTTTACAGCAGTTTCGACAATTTATAGGATTATTTAGAGACTCTCCCGGAAACACTGGAAGAGGCATCTATTGGTAGGAATTAAATAATTCCATGTTCTGGTCCAGTGGATTCGGATCATCAGAAAGCCAACGGCAGTCGCTGTCGTATCGGCAAAATATACTTCACGAGTTGAGCAACATGCATTAAAACCAAATAACCAGACTCTTTAGAAAGCCTGAGGCTTAGTAACTTAGACTGCATTACATGAATCTATTAGCTTCTAGCAGCCATTTACAATCTGCAGTTAATCATCACTGCATGCTGACACTGACTCGGACAACAGCCAAGACGGGGAGTATCGCCTGGATAGCATGCGGCAATGCCTAGAAACTACTTTAGAAACAACATGCAGAGTTAAATTGGGCTTGAATTCAGATCTCTGGCAAGCGGGGTAAGTGGGTCAATCCATTCAAGTTTAAGATCTGGACAGGGGATTCTCAGTCTATAATCTGCATGATAACCTTATGGAGTCGTCGCTGTTGAGGTATTGGGCTGTTGGAGATAGTATCCGATTCTAAACACGGATTTGTTTGGGTAAAAATGCCTATTGAGAGCAGAGCAGCTTTGAAGAATCGCCATGACTTTGTCTTCGTCAGGGATAAGTTAGATGTAGTTGTTCCTCTTGCCGCAAGGGCTCTTAGACACGCGATGCATAAACCGAGGTTTATCCGAAGTATAAAGTCAACCTTTGATCGATTTATTGATTCATGATGATCTAAACTGTTTCGAGAGATGTTAATAGAAGGCACATTGGTGCCTTGCATCGGAGTTGCTCTATTTTATCTGATTCTGGGAGAAGCGCTTAGAGCCTGATTGGCGCCAAACAGTATTATTCCATTTGTTCATCGATATGTGCATATAAACCTAGATATAATTAGCTTGCCCCCATTGAATCAGTGATATGAATGAATGATACTCGACTGTGATTCATAATGCGTATTGTGTACATATCTAACCTTGTAAGAATGATCTTAGTACATACCCGACATGGGTTCTGATAGATAATAGTGAGCAAGGCTGTACGGTCAACGGCTCGCAAACTTCAATGCCACATTTTTTGTGTTGTCCATGATCGAGTAAATGCTCAAGGCTCGGATGTTGCCCCTTGCCTTTCTTATGCAGTCAGCCTGCTATCACACGCTGTGCGATGTTGATCTAGACGTGGTCGATTTCATTGGTTTCACAAGGTGGCGGAATGCAACTGGGACATCGATTTGCATCCCTATCTCGATTACTGGGCTTGCAAGGAATACAGTCAAAAAGCTGCGGCTATAACTATAAAGGGGCGGCTCTTCAGAATCCCATAAGTAAGCCTACACGTATCTCAACCCTCTGAATATCCGGCAATTCGGGGGAACTAAAATGGTCGACTATTGCAGCAACGCAGGTGTTAATATTTCGCCGAGTGTCAAGGAAGAACCAGCACGGGATTCAACAAAACATGATGAATTTGCCATCCATGTCAGCAGCCATGGTGAAGAAATGCCCCGCCAGTTCAGCTGGTCTTCTGCTCTAGCATTGGGGTTCTCAATCACGAATTCATGGGCTGGATACATGGTATATCTACTTCAAACTAGCAGCGAATATTGTACTGACTGGTGGTAGAGCAACTTTGGTCAGAATGTCACCTATGGAGGACGACAAGTCTGTCTTTTCAGTCTGCTTGTCGCATTCGCGGCGCAGTTGATCATCACAGTTGGACTGTCTGAGCTTGCCTCAGGGTTTCCGGTGTGTAACCCCAGTGGTATCCTCAAATGACTAATTTAATGCCTTCTCTAGTCGAGCGGTGGCCAATATTATATTTGCTTCATCATCAGTCCGGAAAAGCATCGTCGCTTCTCTGGGTTTGTTGTGGGATGGATATCCGTTTTTGCATGGTGGATTGTCACGTATGTGCCCATTGAATGCTCATTAACCCTGTTGGCTAAAACACTCGACAGCTGCTCTGGAATTTCTCTCTCCTCCAATGCTCTTACTGGGATAGTCCACTTCTGGGATTCTGATTTCGTGCCCACTCAATGGCAAACTTATCTTGTATATGCTGGCGTCTCTTCTGCTACATGTAAGTGGTTGAGGGTTGACCAAAGTTTTGGCAAGTAAGCCCTACTAATCGTCACAGTAATTCCACTATTTGTGGTACCGAAGAAAGTCTCTTTGCTGGTACAGTGCACGTTCTATATCTCCATAATCGGATTTATACTCTTCTTCGTGGTCTCTCTGGGAATGCACCGGGGACCGCAACATGCCGAGTACATCGTGCAATCTGGCCAAGGAAGCAGTGGCTGGGGTGAAGGCACCGCTTGGATGCTTGGGATAGCCAACGCCATGTATCCTTTTGGAGGACCAGATGCTGGTGAGTTCCGGGTATCTGTCTGGTAGTGCCGTGACTAAACAAATAGCTATCCATATCAGTGACGAGATAAAGGACCCGGGACGTCGCATACCCCAGGTCATGATGGCAACCTTGGTTATCGGCTTGTTGACTTGCTTCCCCCTCTTCGTTGTCTTCATGTCGTTCATGAAGGACATAGACGCCGTTGTCAACGCGCCACTCCCCAGTATCGAACTGGTTAACCAAATGTATGCCCCCCCCCCCTTCTCCCGCCGTCAAAGCGAGATAGGGCTGAGAGTTAATCAGAATTGGAAACAAAAACGTAACAACGTTCTTGTTTGTTTGGCTATGGATTGTATATACAGGTAAGTCCGGTTCTTGTGCTTTGCGGAGCTTGAACTAAGGAACGATAGCTGCAATTCCCGCGCAATGGATAACTTGTGGAAGAACTACCTGGGCATTTGCACAAGATGTGAGTCTTTTCTCTTGCCATGTTAGTCACTTTCAAGTACTTACCAAAGGCAAGCACGGCCTTCCCTTCTCTGAATATTTCTCCCGAATCGATCCTGGACTCAAATTCCCCGTGCGAGCCACTATTGCCGCCTTCCTTTTCACCTGTATCTATGGCCTTCTCTATCTTGCATCCAGCACGGCATTCAATTCAATCATCACCACAGCAGTATTGTTCTTAACCACCACCTATGTGGTCCCTCAGGGCATCCTTTTGTCCCAGGGTCGCTCGCGCTGTCTTCCAGAAAGCAGATATCTCAAACTGGGGTACGTTGGCCTTTTCTGTAATGTATTCTCAGTCCTCTATATAATTGTGCTGGGGACATTTCTCTGCTTTCCACCGTTGCTTCCGGTGACCAAAGGCTCCATGAGCTACACTAGCCCAGTTCTTGTTGGTTTATTTGCGGTGATTGTTGGAATGTGGTTTATATTTGGGAGAAAGAAGTTTCAAGGACCAAAGATAGACTGCGATATTCCCAGAAATAATGAGAAATGAAGGAATATCAACACTAAAATGATGATATTGAAACAGAATATCGATACCTGACTAAGCAAGATACTCAGGCTAAACCCAATCTGGTAGATAGCTGTGCCAGCCAGACTAACCCGTAAACGAATTAGATCAGGTCAAGGGTCCCTGAGCATTTATGATGACGGCCTCTATCTCCAACTCATTGCTAAATCGCGACTGATTCTAACAGGCCGTATGGCCCCAATTCGTCTTTATAATATACCAAGAAAACTCCCAAATACCAATCCCTCATGCCTGTCCGCCTTATAGTCCGGCGTCCCTCCCCGACGACCGTATCCTTCACCATCTCCAACGCGTCCCACCGAATTAGCACCCCAGCGAAACTCCTCTTTTACCTCCAAATCCTCCTACGTGCGTTGGTTTTCGTTTGTGTACTGCTGGTGGATATCGCGAAATTGCGACACTCGTTCTTTACACAAGACGGGTCTTTTGTGCGCTGGACGGCTATATGGTCGAGTCCGTGGGGGGCATTTGCCTGTCGCATTGCGGATAAATACAGCCCGGGAATAATAGCGGTGGTGAGCATATTAGTGATCTATGCTGTCTTCAGGAAGGAATATACAGGTATGTTTGAGACTACGCTGTGGGATATACGGTTATGGTGATAGGTGCTCATCTGGAATACAGAGGAATCGCTCTTGGTTATACGTGGTCTGGGTATTCAGACGTCGACTTCTTCCTCGACTTATTTGTCCAAAGCCGCTACGAGATTCATTCCAACCACTCAGATTCAAGACATTGTGATTCATGAGGCTTTCAAGGGATTCGAGGTCCGGTTTTATCTTGCTGTGATAGTGGAGGGGGAGCCTAATGTTCTGGTGGTGTTTCCTGTGAGTATTTCCTGCATGGAGGATTGTCCCCGTACTGACAAACATCGCGTTAGACATTACTACCAAAACGACCGATGCTGGAAGAAGTCTGGAGAGGGTCTCGACACTGTCTGTATGATGCAAAGTCATGAAAATTATGTATTTGACGGGTGATCAAATGCTGCTCTATTTGGGTTATTTTGAGGTGAGTATTTACAATATCTATCTATGCATTTCCATCATTTCCATCTTGCTTTTTCGCAATTTTCCGTTGCTTGGTTGCAAGCCACTTTGCGTTGAGAACCTCTACGCTTTCCACCTTTCTTTTCTGCATGACGGGAATATACTTGCCACCTACTCTGGGCTCGTCACCGCCAGTAAACAGCTTTTGTCCTCTGTTTTGTTTTGCCGAGCTTCCCTGTCTGAAGCCTCCCTGGCTGATAATGCTTTGATCACCCTGACTAACGGCCAAGTCGATTAGGGAACTTGCCAGAATCTCGTCCATTTTGCGCTGTCTCCAGACAGACCAGAGCCCGTCGACAACCCCTCCAATACCAAATTTGCCGTCTCCCTTGCCGCTCTGCGATTTGAACATTCTGGGGTCACCGGCATGGATCCATTCCAGGGAATCCTCTTGGCTGTCTGTTGTCTCATCTGGGAAGATGCAGTCCCAGAGGACAAGCGGGGCATCGGAGGCCATCTCGTAGGTTGGCTTACGCGGGTTCTTGGAAATGTCCAACAAATCGCGCACAATAGTCGGCGACTCGAGCCCTTGGCCGACTAAGAATAGGACGCCTACGATGTGCCGAACCTGGTGCCACAAGAAAGCAGAACCATGAAGAGTGAACACATAAACCTGGCCTGTACTAGGAGCATCAAGGCCATTTTCCATGGGCGTGTCCTCGAGAGCTTGGAAACCTGGTTGACCCACATACCCTATTGAGTTGATTTTGGGATCGACAACTTCAATATCAGCGCGTGCAATAATGCGTTCAAAGTTTTCAATTTGCTTGCTGGTATCCACCTTGCAGAAGTTTCGGAAATCATGCACACCCTCGAAGTACTTGGCGGCTTCGCGCATAGCATCGATGTCCAGCCAGCCTTCTCGGTACTTGGTAGGAGAGGTACCATTTTGCGAAAACCCAAGAGGTCCAGGGGTAGGAGAGAATGCAGGCTGGGTAAAGAAGTATTTATATCGGCGCTGGCGGCAAGAAAACCGGGCGTCAAACCCAGCAGGCGGGTGTGGACACCATGCCAACATTCGAATATCTTCTGGAAGCACTCTGTTCAACATGCTTACGTAGGGCAGCTCGTCTGCAATATCATCCCAGTTATCCTCGGCAATGGTGTCCTTGGAATCCCCATCTTCTGTAGCAGCTTTGGTATTCTTTGGTCGCGCACTTCGTAGTCTTATTCCAATGACTTGTCCAAAAGCACTCACACCACGGTCAGTGCGCCCAGCTTTAGAGTAATCGCAACCCTCCCAGTCAATCGAGTACGGCTTCAACACTCTTGGTCCTTGTTCTTTGAATTCATCTGACGTCGGGTTCGTAGGGAGAATCAAACGAGTCCTCCGCAAAGCCTTCCATAACTCCTCCTCAATAGTCGGAAGCGGCGTGATATTGCCATTCGCATGCTCATATCCATTGTACCTCTGGCCCAGATACGCAAATTTCAGTGCGATGAAGCGAGTATTGTACTTGGAAGGATCAATTTCCCGACCACTCTTCAAGGGGCGACTGGGCGCGGGCGTATGCGTGATGTCGGTATCTCCAGGTGACAGCGGTCTCTTCTTCGCATTCTTTTCTGAAGCACCCTTAGCCGAGTCCTCTACCGCTTTGGTATTATCATCGCCGGAGGGAATAGAAGGAGGAGCGGGGTTCGAGGCAGCGGCGTCGGCGGCGGCGTCGTTCAGAGCAGGATTGGAAGGCGAAGCAGAATATTGAGTCGTACGAGAATGCAACTGACGTTCCAACTCCGTGATCCTAGAAATCAAACTGGAATTACTCCAAGTCGAGTAATCAGGTTGTCCCTCGGGGACTGGCTCCCCGGCACTGGACATGGTTTTGGTCGTGGTGATCGGGCGAATATTCACGTGTTTGCGGAGGGAGGACGGTGTTTCTTTTCTGAACAGGGCGTGCTCTGTAATGCGATTCAGGCCGGAAGAGGGTCTTGTGTGGAATCTCCACATTCCCTTGGAAATTAGAGATGGTGGATGTGGCTCGGTTGGATTTTTGGACGGGGAAAATGGCGGTTCTTCTCAAAAATTTAGAGTTGGGTTTCTGCGATGTAATTTTCGTGTATTGTAATATTACCGTGATTGGGATGGACGATAATGTAGATCTATCAATGATTATTTGTGTTTATCAAACTTCGTTTACATATAGAAATGACCAATTATAAACTCGGATATAAACATATATATCTCTTCTGGCCCTGCGAGCTTTAAATTGTCTTCTGATGGTTGGTTTGATGCGATACATACAACCGTTCCCCGGATCCTTATCTCGATCTCCATCGACTTCGTGACACCAACTGCTTCAAACCAGCTTCACATCAATGCTAATTCTACTAATTACAGGGAATATATCCTATACTAAAAGACCTGCTCCCAAAATTTCCAAGTAATATCATACAGAGCTCCAACTTGCTCCATGGCAGAGCCAGAGAGTCGCCCAGAAAGCGAGACAACCGTCACCATATTACTACTGGGCGATTCAGGATGTGGAAAATCAACGTTCTTGTCGTGAGTTGAAGCCCCGATGTCTCTTATTTCCTGGACATTTAGTCTTTGGGCTCTGGGACTCTTAAATGAAAGACAGAATATCTAACATGCCATATAGTCGTCTCAAAAACGGAGGCAACCTGAGAGCACCATCAGGTGGCCAACTTGAACTTTTGCGTGACAGTGACCAGCCATTCATTTACGATATTCGCTTCTCAAAGAAGAGTTTTACTCTCGAACTCTACGACACCGCAAGTCCTAATCAGCACTGGTCAACATTGCAGCCGGCGGTTGTGCTTCTGGCATTTGATATCTCGAATAGAGACACATTAGCGGGACTCAAGAACGTACGTACCCACTCAATTCCCAAGGTATCTGGCTTGAAGAAACTAAACAAAAGCTCATTCATGCGTAGTGGCGAAACGACATCACGAGATATTTCCAGCATGGCCATGGCGAACGAATCCCCATTATGATGTTAGGTCTGAAAAGGGATCTTAGGGTGGACGGCGAAGGACTTATCTACCCACAAGAGGTAAGTGGAATCAGTCCATGTTGAAGCTCAGTTATCGATCTTTGGGTCTAATTAATGCAGTCATACCGTATCGCCCAGGAATTGCGCTGCGATCGATATGCAGAATGCTCTGCTGTGACTGGGGAGCTTTTGGCCGAGACATTCGAAGATCTTGCAAGGCTTGCTGGTATGACGACTACAACGACTGGAGGGCAGACAAATGGTGGTTGTACTATTCTTTAATATTGGGTGGTGTTTTTAGGTGTTTAATGATATGTTATGATACCATGAAATCTTCGAAGCATGTTTAGACTGGCTTCTTTTGTAGTACGACTATTTTGAAGTATTGGCCAGGGCAGATATCTAATGCCAACTGGAGATACTGTACGACATCATTTACCATCCCGGGAACTTACAGTGTATATAAAGATTACGCGGGAAGACAAGGATATGGTGCACAGGTGGTAGGATCATTTTCAATTACGACTGAAATAAACATACAAGGAGAAACCAAGGTAACGATTAAGTCCACCTTGTGAAATTGACAGCACAGGGCTTTCCCCCAGAAGTTAGAGCAACAACTGGATATCTTTCCCTCATCAAGCGCCAGTCAACGATTGGGCTATGCAATTCCTCCCCGATGTAAAAAAACAAGACGTAACGTAATGGAGATACCATGGATAGAAAAAAAAAAGGGCTGAGGTGATGAGGCTCCCGTTGAAAAAAGCTTTCTTCTTTTTTTCGTTTTGAAATATTTCCAGAACAGAGAACTAGGATAGACATGTCAAGGGCTTTTGCGGGTGATGCCTGCAGGGGCGGCTGTCGTCAATGGATCGTGAAAAGAAAGAAAAATGTTCTTTTTTTATAATGCTTCTGCTTCTATGGCGGAAACATCACAATCCCCCCCGGATCGCCATGGTCGTAAAAATCTTTTCCCTCTCAACAGCTGTCCTTTTCACCACGAACTTTTTTTTAAATCTACCACTTGCCCTCGGCGGGCTGGGTCTCAGCCCAGCTCTCACCGGCGGGAGCGGGAGCGCTGGCAGCAGCCCAGTCACCACCGTCAGCCTCCCAGCTGGCGGCACCAACGGCGCTAGCGGCGGCGAAAGCAGTGCCGGGGGCGTTGGCACCAGCACCCTGGACGTCCCAGTTGTCACCAGCGAAGCCAGACTCAACGGCACCAGCGCCGATCTCCTCAGCACCGGGGACCTTGGTCTCGTCGGCGATATCCTTGTTCTCCTCAGCCTCGGGGTCACGGTAGAAGTACAAGTCGACAACGGTGTCCCACTCAACCTCACGGGAAGCGAGGGTACCACGGAGACGGAGGACCTCACGGGCCAACAACCACCAGACGAGACCGATGGCGTGACGACCCTTGTTGTTGGTGGGGATGGCAACGTCAACGAAGTCGGTAGGGGAGTCAGTGTCGCAGAGAGCAATGACGGGGATGTTGACGTAGCTGGCCTCCTTGATGGCCTGGGCGTCGGTGCGAGGGTCGGTAACGATGATCAGGCGGGGCTCCTTGAAAGAGCGGGTGATGTAGTTGGTGAAGTTACCGGGGGTGAAACGACCAGCAATGGCGGTGGCACCGGTGTGGGAAGCGAACTTGAGGACAGCACGCTGACCGTAGGGACGAGCGGAGATGACACAGATGTCAGCGGGGTTGTCGATGGCGGCGATGATACGGGCAGCCAGGACAATCTTCTCCCTGTAATTTTTGCGCATATTAGAGCTGGCCCAAAAGATCGGATATATAATATCCAGCTACATACCAGGTCTTGCCAATGTTCAGGACATTGACACCGTCAGGGCGAGTCTTCCAGAGGTAAGGCTCCATGTGCACCTGGAGGTTCTTGGATCCCAGGTGGCACTGAGCTGCCAGGAGCATCTCAATGTCCTGGGGGGTAGGGTTGAAAATCGGGGGGAGGTTGGAGGGGGCCATGGTGGACGATTGATATGGCAAAGGACAGCGAATTGAGTATATCAATCGGTCTGGCGGCTTGTCGCGATGGTGTTGAGGAGAAAAGACTGACGCCAAAGTGAACTTTCCTCTCCGCGCTGAGAAGTTCGACGAATATTTCGCTTGCGCGTTGTGAGCTTTAGGGCTAGGGTTGGCCGCCGCGGCAGAGCCTCCGATCCCGTGCCAAGTCCAATCACGTGATGCTACCTCCCGATGCGGACTAGCGTAATATGGCGGTCTTGAGATTTCGGAGTCTCCAAAGGTTGCGGACGAGTCGATTATTGTTGTTGCTGGGTGTCTTGCAGCCATTGTACGTCCGCATCAACTCATCATGCCTCCCCGTTTGTTTGTCCAGCCTTCTTTCAAGGCGTTTTCGGGTATGTTTATTTTACTATTGAGTCCCCGTTCTAAATGCCGGAGCTGACGGACGATATCAGGTTCTTCCTATGCCCATAACCCGCTCGCCGCGCTGTCCGCAAACCCATGCAAGACCTCTGTGAGAGCTGGATCTCTGGAGACCAGGGAAAGGAGACGACACGACCCGTTTTTGACGGCACAGTCCCGGCAGCGCAAGGCTGCCAACCTGTCTCGCCAGCAAGCCCTTGTCCAGGAACGGGAGGCTAGTGTGGGCGATCCGGTGCACAGCGAACCAACCCCATTCATTCAAGAGCTCAAGTCTGCCCAGCCGAGCCCGGATGCGAAGCTCAATCATTTTCTCAATGCGGAAGGCCTCGAGCAAGCTTTGGAATACTCGAAGAACTTGACGTCACCTATCGAGAACCAGGACCGTGACACCGTCGACCCCCAGCTCGAGAAGGAAGCCGCAGAGAGACATTTGAAGGAACACCAAAATGCCCAGGAAGCGATCAACCGCATCATCAACCTCAACAATGGAAATAACAAGGACCGTCTTCGCGTCAACGTTCAGAAATGCATCGAGACTTTTGGACGACACAACACCGAATCGTTTCTGCCTCCAAAGCCCGCGGCCGTAGCGCACGAGTCCGCCACCGCTCATCCAGAGAAGACCCCTCGCGTTGGACAGGATACCGGCTCCCCGGAAGTGCAGGCCGCCATCCTCACCGCAAAGATTGCCAACCTGTCTAGACATCTCCAGTCCACCAAGAAGGATATGCACAACAAGCGGAATTTGAGAATTCTTGTTCACAAGAGACAGAAGCTACTGCGATACCTCCGTAAGAAGGAAAGGGGTGGCCCGCGATGGCAAAATCTCATTGAGACTCTTGGGCTGTCGGACGCTGCCTGGAAGGGTGAGATCAGCATGTAATGGACCGTGGGCGTTTTAATTTCGTTTTTCTTTTTTACCTCCAAAGTTGAGTATTGGCGTGTACCATTTGGCATTCGGAGCACCCAGCGTGTACCACAGAGAGCTTACAAGTTCTCCCTATCGAACCACTCTCTTCCATGATATTTGTGATATCTACTGAGAGACCTATCTTGTATAAATAGACACCTTATTCTTGAAAATCATATTCCGTTTTATGAAACCCAGGGTCTTGTAACTATTGGATGTAGCAGTAGCTGCCATAGATTGAGAGTGTAGTTAGGATTTCAAGATGCGAATGTTGACCAATTCACAGTGTGTTATTGACTCACCATTAATTGTATTCAATACTTGAAACCCATGAAACACAGGAGTTTTTTATTTCCAAGACATTCTTCTTATGATATCTCATAAAGCAGGGAGTTTATATTTTGAAACTCCGTACTACCTACTTTAGTAAAGGCACAAAATAGCCAAAAACAAGCAGACCAGACAATTTCTTCTGATCAAAAATTTCCAGAAAGGTCCATCAGAATCAAGGATTGAATAACCCAAAGAAAAACCACCTGTACAATGCCATTATCCTCTCCTTACCCCTGATATACCATCCACGACCTCCTGCAGATGGAGGCGTTGTCCACGTGTTGACCGCCTTCTGCGCGATTCTGCCGGGACGTCACCAATTTCGATTTTCCATCTTCCCTTCCCTGCGAGCATCATTTTGTTTGCGCTGCGTCGACTTTGATATTCACCATCGATCAGAGGTAAGTGAATATCGACGCTCGAGTCGCCTGGGAACCGAGGCGCGTCACGCACAACGCACGAATATCAAAAGTCATAACAGAGCAGGAAGCTCTATCCTCTCCCCCAAGTCGCCCACTTTTTTTTTTTTCTTTTCTCCCCATCTCACCTCCCCATTTTCCCCATCTTCCCAGCAACCACCGTACATATCTCCACCTGCACTGTTATTCTTGTATCACAAAGATTCTTCTTGTACAAAACTCACTTTCTGCTGTATTTCTCAGCTATCTTCCACTCTGATTTGCCTTCGCGGCATCTACTTCTTTACTTCATTAGCGGTTGATCTGAGCTGCAGCGGCCGTCCAACGGTAAACAGTCAACATGCGTACTCGCTCGCAGCCTATCTCTCCTGGTAGCCACCTCTCCCTTGAGAACGCTTCCGGTCCTCGTCGTACGCGATCAACAAGAAGCGCTTCGCAAGCAAACACACAAGCTCCAGCTCCTCAAGCCGCTCCTCAAGCTGCTCCTCAGCCTGCTACTCGATCGAAGAGCCAGCGTACAACCAGGAAAACGACGACTTCTACTGCTACCACAGCTACAAAAAAGACCACTAAGACAGAAACACAAAAAGCGCCCAAAAGAGCGACGCGAAAATCGACGCGAAAGGCAGATAAGCAGACGTCTGGCGACGAAGAACAGGACTCGGCCGACGCCGCAGAGCGAGAACCCACAGAAACCCCTTCGATAGAGAACAAGGAAACCGAGAATGAAGACACCAAATCCCCTGAACCCGAATCACAAGTAGTTGATACTGCTCTCTCTGAACCGAAGAGTACTGATTGTGAGTACCCTATTTTCTTTGAAACCCCTAAGGAACCCCCTTCCCCCCTACCCATAGAGGGGCCCCAAGGAACCCAGGAACCCCAAACCCCTCAGGACCCCTTCGAAAGCCCTCAGTATCAGCTTGCCCTTGAGGGTATCAGTGATGTGGGGTCCCCTTTATCGTTAAGGTCTAGGACCCCGTCACTGGAACCCGATGAGGCCATACTCGCTCTTGACCTCGAACTGGACGAGTTGCTCGTGGCGGAGATAGAAGCCGCGTTGGCTATTCACGACTTTCGGGAGTCTGCTGCGTCTCAGGATGTAGCTGCTCCCATGGTCGCTGAAGATGATGCCACCAGCATCTCGGTCGAGCAGTCGGCCTCAGAGCAAGCGGGACCGGAGAATCCGGAACACCAGGCCATTGCGGAGCAGCCAGAACAGCCGCTTGAATGCTCGCCATCAACTGTTTCGCCGCCGCCTGCAGCCGTCTTTTCCGGCGAGGAAATAGACGAGCTGGCAGAGCTTCTGAGCAAGCTTTGTCTTGTAGATCAGGCTGCTGTTCTGGTGGAAGACAAGCCAGGACCCACTTCATGGTCTATGGGGATGCAGCCAACCGCGTCGATCTACGACGAGTCGAGCCCTGCTTGACCATCTTTGCTCACCCGATTGAGTTGGGTCCCCGGTCCATCTACGACGATGAATCGGCCCATTCCCCCAATGGTCCTGAGAGACACCCACCCGTTGAAGAACCGCGGCGCAGGTCAACCTTTGTCCGACCTTTCGTTTCCGTTCCGTTGTCTCCTATCCCAGAGGAGTCCGAGGAGCCTGCGCCCGATTCCAAGCCGTCGTGGGAGCCCGCTGTTCCGCCCCCGATTCTTGGGGAGTCAGAGGTCACTTCGAGTGTGGAATCTCCTCTCGGGGGGATGAAGCCTTGGAGTGGTTCCCCTTTGGCTCCCTGTGATACTGAGGAAGAACCGCAAAAGAGCGTGGAGGAACCCCGTTGTGCCCCGGTGGAGGCGCCCATCGCCAAAGCCACATACAAGCCAAAGAGCAAGAGGCTAACGCGCCGAAAAGTAAACAGAAAACGCGGGAGAAGCAGCCCTAGCGACGAAGAGCAGCCCGGCCCCGAAACCCCCACCAACAAGCGTCGGAACTTGGGCCCCCCCGGCAGTACGCCCTTCGCCCGTCGCCTCACTCCTTTGTCTCGTCGATTGTCAACAAACGCAGCACCTTACTCCGAAAGACTTCGTCGGCGAGCAGTCGAAAGACAAGGCCGGATTCACCGGACCGTGTTCCGCCTTCCTCAGCTTATCGCTCAGACAGAGGCAGACCGTCAAGCTTCAGAGACACCCCCGTTGAGCCCATGCCCCGAGTTTCCGCACACAAGCTTTGACTTCAGAGCGGAGCGCACTGAACAGGAAAACCAGCCATCCACAGATGAGTCCGAATCTCAACAACCCTCTACGCCAGAAACACCTCAGCAGAGAGGTTGGAACATTCGTGGACTGCTCAATTCTGTGCCCCGTTCATTCTCACGGTTGATACCGACCTTCGGCCGATCTTCTCGGTCGTCTGAAGCATCAGGTAAGCTTACCCACGTTGTTTGTCGGCATAGTGTGCTTTGCTCACTAAATTCTAGCCGTTCCGCAACCATCCTCTGAGCGTGTTGCTCGCACAGCACCTCCTCAATCCGACTCTACTACTAGTGGAAGTGGCGTGAGATCTCACCGTCGTCGAAGTGATCAGCCATCTGGCAAAGTCGACCTGTCCTACTCTCTATTCCCCGCTCGCATTGACAGGAACTTGTATCTTCCACCACCTCAAGAGCCTGAAGCACCTCGTAGCCGTCCACTCGATTCGGAAAAGCCTAGCGCCTCACAAGAGGCCCAACCGAAACTTCAACATGCAGTAACATCTGATACTCTCGAAACGGCCGATAAGGGCGATGAGGTTTCATCTCAAACGCCCAGCGACGCGCAGAAGAAGCGAAAGAGATCGTCGTCTCCCGATGTCATCCCGAACCCGGCTGGCTCTAGTTACGGATTGGATCTGGACTATTTCTGCTACAGCTCTGACAGCGAAGAGGAAACCGAAACTGAAGCTCAAGAGTCTGAGTCCTTTATGAAATCTAGTACGCTAGCCAAATCTGCAGTCCGCAGTGCTCTCCGATCAGAGCGACCATCGAAGAAAGTTCGCTTTGACTCGAGCCCGGAAGATACTCCCTCTAAGCGTCGTTTCCTTGCCCGCGCAACCGACCCTTACAACGGCCGACACTTCATTGGAATGGGCGATGCTGCGCGCAGCTCGGAGGCAACGACCTCAGCTTCCACTACCACAGGGCCAGCGACACCAACACCCCCTACTCGTGTTTCTCAGCCGCCGCAGCGGTCTCCAGGTTTCACACCTAATAAGCAAGGCACATTCGCACTTGATTACGATGATTTCTCAGATGACTCCGAATCGAACGTTCCGCCATCTCCTGCGAGCGCTCTTTCTCCTAGTACCGCACCTGAGCAACGAACTCCTGCACGTGCTGAGACTCAGGAAAGGTATGTTTTAATTAGAGTTCCTTTTTCTAATATTATTAAATACCTAACAAATAATTCAGTGTCCAATCGCCACGCCCAACCCCTCGCCAGGCACCACTTCCCTCTACACCTGCAAAGGTCGACAAAGAGGCCCTTGCCAAAGTCCGCTCCCAGGCAGAGAAGTACAAGCCGAAAACTCCCAGTGGTCTTCGTACTACAAGCCGATATTCGAGTCCCATGGTCGCTGCTCCCGACGCTGTGACCGAAAAGGAGCCGGTCGAAAAATTCGGAGAAGATCAATTTGCCCAGGATGCCCAGTGGCTTTACGACAACTGTCCGTCTGGAGATCTTCGACAACTCGCGTGGCCAGCTAAGCAGAGTCTGAAGGAGAGCCTTGGAGTAAGCACTGAAGCTGTGCGAATCTTGGATGACATCTGGGATGACTCTGAAGTGGACGGAGCTTACAACGTTTTCCGTCAAAGCCTGGAGGAATTTGGACAGACTCTGGCGTAGGCTGGTCCTATCTGTTCCAATGTTCGTTTTGGTGTTGTGTAATTCGTGGTTGTGTTTCCTTCGTATTCCTATAGGGATGCATTTATCTTCTTTTACTGCCGAAGTCCATTTGTTTGGCCCTCCCATTGATGGTGATGGGCCCAGAAAGTGATCGGCGGCTTTATTTCGGATATCGGGCATGTTTTACTTTTCTTTCAGCACATCCCCTGTTGCGGCCTCCTTCAACCCTGTGTATGAAGGCCCTTCTCGGGTCGATGTGTCTACGAAGCATTTTATGATGTCGGGTTTGTGTTTGTTTTTGAGCTGGGAGTTTTGATATCCCCCTTTTATTCTTGTCCAGAGTTTTCGCATATCAGCAAGGCGGTGTTTACTTTTGTACTTAAAAAAAGATTGCAAAGCATATCTGAGCGGTTTCTAAATAGAACACATGCATTGAACATTACAATTTACATAGCAAATCTGGTCTGAAAGTAGCCAGAAGAATGGACAAGAGTACATTATGTGTTAGCATAGAACTTATTCAACTTTCTTGTTCCTTCGTTCTTTCACCTGAATCATTACCATTGTTCTTCTAAGCCTAGATCTGAGCCATTCTATTCAACAAAGGGAAAACTAATAGGTGAAATTTCCATTCCAAGAATACTATCAAACACATATAATCAATGTAAACACGCCATGAACTATCCAAATCCCACTTGCCATTGCAGCACAAAAGAAGTCATCCTCAGCATTCCCCTCACCTTTGACAGACAAATAATCAATCCATTCCATGTGCTACTTCTTCCCCAACCTACCCCCGTGTGCCTGCATCCTCCAACTCTACCAACCATGCCAACAAGCACGAATCCACCATCTCCCCGACAGATACCCCGTCCCCATTGTCCAAGTCTGTGGGAAAGTGTACTTTGTCCCTGGGGGCCCTTATCGAATCTGTCCTCGGTGTCATGCTGGGTTTCCACCTGGAGTTGGGACATGCGTTGCTTTGGTGGGTGTGGGCATATGCATTCCTGTTTTACAGCAGCAACAGCAACAGGCGATAATGAATTCAGACCAGAGGGTTATTACGGGCGGTGTTAGTTCTGGGGAAGGGGGGCTAAGACGTGCGAAGCGATCTCAGTTTAGAAGACAGCGTTTGTCGTCGCCGCAGTTGAGGCTGCGGAATAAGTGGTTGAGTTCGCTTAGAGTCGTGGAGGAGGATATCTGTTGCTGGGGGCCAGGGGGTGGATTCTGGGGGTTTGAGTTCTTCAGCGGGTGTGAACTTGGGCAATGGGGTGGATTGCGCTGTGAGTTCATCGGAATCACCAAAGGGTAGTGAGAGACCATGATCAGAAGAATGAAAGTGATTTCAAGGATGGAAAATGGAAGTGTTGGGTGGTGATTTGTTTGAAAGATATATGGTGGAATGGAAAGAGTTGTTGACCTTTGATACCAAGCACTTTATATGCAAATATCACAAAACCTGTTCGCCATGCGTCTTATCACAATATGGAAAGGATATAATACAGGTATCAAAATTATCCAAAACAAATGCATGCTAGTATATACCTTCGGGGCGTTTAATCGAACCCTTCGAATTCTTCTTCCTTCGCAGAGCCCTTTGCTTCCTCCGCCTTAGCTGCCTTTCTTAATCGTCGTTGTTCTTCGTTCTTGGCTCTGATTTCTTCCACCATTTGCTCTGTCTCGCGAGCCTTTTGCTTCTCTTCATCGGTCATCTTCTCCCATCTATGCATATCTTGTCGTGTCTTCTTCGCCTCGCGTCGCTTCATCTTCTTGTTCTTAGAGTCCACGTTATTGCTCCATGCGACGCTTTCGCTGGCTGGTCTCTTATTGGAAGTTTGCTCGGGAGCGGCCGCAGCCTCTAGCAGGGCTTCTTTACGGCGCTTCTCCCTCTGCTTGTCTTCATATTTGTAGTTATTCCAGTCGATATCAACACCCAGAGTCTTGTCACCCTCGAAGTTCCTCAATTCTGGCATTTTAGGTAGTTTCAGCAGGCACCATGCCTTGCCTAACCCTTCCCAGTCAAGATCTGCCACGCGGAAGATGCTGCTTGCTTGGTGTTTGCTGTAGCTCCGGAACCAACTAACAAAAGCCTTTTGGCCTCTATCGTGAAGAGCGCGATCTGCCAGTACGGCCTTGCGGACGGCTTTCGTAGCTGCTGCTTCGTCGGCCTCTGAGATAGCGATTGGTTTAAAAGGGGCCACTGGCGTCTTGCGAACTTCCAGGAAAGGAACATAGTCTTCTTCACGTCCTGGGTGCAATAGGACAACACTCAGACCTCTTCGACCAGCTCTTCCGGCACGGCCACATCTGTGAATGAATGTCTTTGGGTCTGAAGGGGGGTCAATTTGAACAACGAGGTCAACGGAAGGAATATCCAATCCACGAGAAGCCACATCAGTGGTCAGAAGTATGGCCGGGGTGGCAGAGTTAACGAAACGGTTAAAGTTCTTTTGTCTAACGTTGGCCTGATGTTTTCCATGAAGAGGTATCAAAAGGAAATCATCACTCAACAACAATGGGAGTATCGCAGATAGGTAGTCGACAGCGGAGCATGTGGAAACGAAAAATATGGTCTTCTGGGGGGTGGGATCAACGGAGGCAAGGATGTGTTTTAGGGCTAAGAATTTTTGTGTCGGAGGGGTAGTAAGGTATGTCATCTGCAGACTATTTTTCAATTAGCACAGTATGCACATAGCAGAATGAGAGAAGTAGTTACCTTGCTGGTGTGCGCTTATCTACGACACCAGAAGTTCCCTTGACCTTGACAAGAACCTTGACGGGATTGCGCAGACCAACTCGGACGATCTGATCAACAGCCTCGCTAACACTGGCACTGAACAATCCGGTTCGTCTTTGCTTGGGCAAGCGGCGCAAAATGTTCTGTAAGTTCTCTTTAAATCCAAGATCCAGGAGTCTATCCGCCTCATCCAACACCAGCATTTCGAACGACGACTGAGGGCAATGAACATGAGGCGAAGATAGTAGCTCCAGAAGCCGCCCAGGTGTAGATATCAACAAGTTCGGCGATCGCTTCAAAAAGTTACTCAAATCCTCGGCGGGAGACGTAGTACCACCGAGCAACAGCTGTGGGACAACCTTGAGTGTAGATGAGGGGTATTTTTGGCGAGGCGCATCGTCGTCTTCGGGGGGGTTGATCGCAGCAGCAGATGGGGCATGAAATTCTAATAACGACAGTAGTACCTTATAAATCTGAGATGCAAGTTCCCTAATGATATATATCAGTCAACAGCGTCTATGTATCTTATGAAAGATTGTTTACCTGGTGGGAGAAATGACAATGGCACCGACATGATGCTTCTTGATGGGCTCATCTAGGCGCAAGAGTTTCTCCACTATAGGAATCAAGAAAGAGAGAGTTTTACCACTGCCAGTAACTGCCTCGACCACGACATCTTTGTGGCCCATAAACAAAGGAATAGCAGATGCTTGCACGGGCGTCATGCGCGAGAAGCCCCAGGAAGAAACGGCATCCAGCGTCCAGTCCGACAGAGGGGGTGTCAGAGCATCCCACGCTCTCGAAGACGCACCAGAAGGAGGTTTTGGAGCCATGGCAGCAGCGAGACACGAATTGAAACCCTCACGAAGCTCTCTCCAACCTGTCGCTTTGAATCCTGATAACCGCCGGACGGGAAGAAAAAAAATGTCTTATCAAAAGATCGCCGATTAGATACTGCAGGCGGTGAGAATTTCTGCCCCACCACACGTGATCACATACGGCTTTCGGCGGATCCAAAAAGACACGAAAAAACGACGACAGCAAAGGAAAAAGCAAATATTGAGAGGAAGAAGGATTCATCCGTGGGCGATTGTCAAAGAGATTCGCCCCAATTTGACTACTTCATCTTGTCTTTGGACCCTCCAGTGGTCATGCCGATCTTTCTTTGAGTGCACATAATGCGCAGCGGCCCTTCTGCCTTGTCCCTTGGTCATCCCATCACTAAATAATACATTCCCTCAAATAACTTTTGCTTCGTTGGTCTTGGATTTTGTCTGAATTATAGTCAGTCGCCCATCATCGTGTCTTTCGAAGCAGATCTTTTCTCTCTTCCAGGCATCTTTGCCTACAACCATCGTCCTCCGCTTCGACGGCCTCTATCCGGGCTGATCCAAGCTCCAGTCTTTCCGCCTTTCGAAATGTCGTCACCAAACGCCGTGCCTGAAACTCGAGTGATATCTCCTTCTCCCACTCCTTCGGAAAGGTCGGACTCGCGAGAAGGATACTTTGGGCCCACGACTCGTTCTGCCGCGCGACGACGCCTGGCAGACGTATCGGAGGAAGGTCAGGACGGTACAGAAACGGATTCGATACGCTCGCGATCGAGATCGAACAACTCGACAGCTACTCCGTCAGCGCGCCAACGGAAATCGAATCCTATGATGCCTGCGAAAAAGCCTGAGCCGCTTACCAACGGGTATCTCGCACCGGAATCCCCTACGGAACAGGGCAGCGTCTCTCGATCACCATCCCCCTTGGGCCTCATTCCTCTCCACAGTCGTTATCGCTCTTTTATCCACCGCCATGAGATTCCACGCAAGGTTCTCCATGTATCTATCGGATTCGTCACCCTTGAGTTGTACAATCGTGGAATCCAACCTCTGCAGATCACACCATGGCTGTTTTCGGCCTTGGTGCCGATCGCCGCAACAGATGTGATTCGTCATCGCTCAGAGACAGTAAATAAGTTCTACACTCGCTGTCTCGGCGCGCTCATGCGTGAAACCGAAGTGTCTGGATACAATGGCGTTATTTGGTACCTATTGGGCGCATACACCGTCCTGCGCTTCCTGCCCAAGGACGTTGGAGTCATGAGTGTCCTGCTGCTCAGTTGGTGCGACACAGCCGCTTCTACCTTTGGCCGTCTTTATGGCAGACACACCTTCCAGCTCCGAAAAGGAAAAAGCTTCGCTGGAACTCTGGCTGCCTGGTTTGTCGGCGTCTTGACTGCCGCCGCATTCTGGGGATACTTCGTGCCCCATGTCGGGACCTTCCCCAACGACCCTGAAGGGTCTTTCATGTTCACCGGTCGTCTCAATCTTCTCCCCGACTGTGTCAAGGGTCTCCTTGGGTGGACCGCGGAGACCTCGAGCGCCGTCATCACTGGCCCTGTGGCCCTTGGTGTTATGAGCGTGGTTTCCGGCATCGTCGCTGCCGGGAGTGAGTTTGTGGACCTTTTCAGCTGGGATGACAACCTGACAATCCCTGTTCTGAGTGGATTTGGACTATGGGGTTTCTTGAAGGTTTTTGGCTAAAAGAGTACCGCCTCAGGGCCTCACATCATCTTGCATTCTGTTCACCATTAAGCAACCAAGAAGCCGAAATAAAGGCGTTTCTCTTTCAAAACTTGGCTTGTGTTTTGCATATTTCCTTTTCTTCTTTTTTATCTTTGAGAGATACCTCTAGTCCCGCGGTTTTATTCTGTCTAACCCCTCTCTTTTTTATACACCTTTTCTTAACACTCGAATATCTTGGCTATAGCAGGCGTTGATAAAGCATATATAGTTACACCTAGTATAATAGATATTGTATTATTGCGCTTCCTCTAAATCCAACGATCATGCAGTGATCCTCAATTTTCGGATCATCGTTGGAAGCATCTCGACTGCGCCACTCAGAATCCCACCTAGCATAAACAAAGCAAAGCTGCTTGCGCCCGACTACCTCAACCACTACCCCTTGATTTCTCACTAGGATACATAGGAGCAGTCACTGGCTATTCTTTCGAACTGACTCCTGCTCTTTGGGTTTCTAACAGCCTTCCAAAGCCCACGTAACATCTGCATCCAACTTGTTGGTGTGTGAGGATGGGGGATGCCGCACGCCCAAGTGACGATGAATTCAGTCGCGTCCTTGACGAGAGCTTCAAGATACGGTCTTCCTATCAGGGTTCTGAGAGTAAGGATCACATACTTCCCCAGCAAGCCATAGACCTGAAACCCCTCGTCAGCCAGACCCCGCCTTTCCTCGGTGATGGCCTTGCTTCTGTTAACGAGACGATGTCGTTCGCTTGCGAAGGAAAGCAACCAACACAATTGAAAGGCAGACTTTTCGTCAATGGCCTGTCAACATGGAGGACTTCCAAAGGAACCTGTGACCTACAACCAAGGGTCCTGCCTAAGCAACTTCTATTAGGAGTTAACAGTCGATTAAGTGTGAGGTTATCAGAAAACTCTCCTTTCTCAGACTGGCCCGGTGTTCAGGGGCTGTCAGGTTACGACAAAGGAAACTATCTGTCAGTCCTTTACTTTGCATGGGCCTATATACTATCTGCTCCGTGGGTTGAGTTGCTCAGTCGCTCTGCTGATCACGAATGCCATATGGGCTACCCTACGGAGGGGATGGAAGGTCCATTGCCACAGTTGGACAAGCAGTCCATGACTCAAATTGATATTGGTGATGATGCTTCTGACGAAGAAGTCCTCTGGTGGCGCACCATTTTGTGTTGTGACGAGGGCTGGGATGCGTCCACCAAGTACAATGGCCATGTCTATTTGTCGCCGTGGTCAGTGTCAGCGAAGAATGCAGGCTTTACACTAGCCACAATGCCTTCTTTGAGCACTAATTCAGAGCCCCCTTCGTCAGCCACCGCTGTCAAATACCTATCTCGTTTCTGTGTTCGCCATCGCCTTTATGCTCAGTGCTCAGTCTCCCTTGCTGGAGTCCTTTGCATCCCATCTCTGAGGGGGCGAGCAGTCTCCCTCCCACTATCAAAACAAGCGTCCCGGCTGGAAGTAGCAGAAAGTACTGGTGACTCATCTGTTTCTATTCCCGATCTCCTCATTGAGCTCAATGAATTGCTTCCTAAGTACATGACATTGAGTTCCAATATATGGGGTTTGCGCTCTCTTCTGTACAGCACCTTCTTCAATCCAGACATCGAGTGTAACCTTGTCAGCGCCTGGCTAAATCCGGCTTTTGCGATTCTCGATTCCATTTCGTCCAGGAAAAGCTCATTGGCTGCGTTTTTGGCAAATCGACAACCTCGTCTCGGAATCCTCTGGCTCGGTGCAATTGTCACTGATCTGGCAAAATCTATTTTGCGCGACGCAAGAATGGGAATGACAGCTCTGGATCTTCCAGCTTCTGCCTAGACCGGGACAACACAGACGTTTCTGACCTCTAAAATGGGCGCCAGTAATGGTGATTCGATACGCCGGGATGATGAATGTCGGCTGTTATTCATTACCGCTTGCGAAGCTCATGACCGGCCTCCAATTTGGGTTTGGAAGCCCTCTGGGGAAACACAACTTTGCGTTACGCAGCTTCCCGTTCAACGACATGCCCAATGTGCCGGTCATTGTTTAGAATACGAATCTTGGGAATGGATGTTAACAAACGGCCGTTCAATTCAAGACTTCTGCGAGAACAGTAGCCAGCCCCCTGGCCAAAAAGCACATTCAGCCCCCAACATAAAACCAGTTGCACTCAGCAATTATAACTATGATCTCTTCTCAGAATCCCTTTCTGAAGGAGCCACGCGTGGGATATTTGGATGGTTAAGATCAACGGGGTACCCTCTCCGCGAAAGACCGATATACCAGCATTCATGGATTGATTTGGAAGACACTGACGAAGAAGAAGAGCCTGATGATGCAGAATCAGACGTAGAAAAGCATTGGAGTCCAAATAAAAAGCACGTTGAATGTTGGCTTGATGGTATTGAGTAGGCAGGCGTATATAAATAGATAGAAAGGTGTCTCAAGATAAGACGAATCCTTCGACTGGAAAGCAACACTATGAGTCACGCTTATCCTCGACTACTATCTTTCAATATCCCAAACCCCATATTTGAACACTCAATATCCCTATACAAACACCCATACCTTGTCCTGAGTATAACATAGCATAGCATACCCATCACCATGCCCCTCACCATCCGCCCCGTCACAAACAACGACGCCCCCAAACTCGCCCACATCATGTGCGAAGCATTCAACTCAAACACCATCCACACAGCCATGTTCCCAACCGAAAACAAACCCGCACTGGAGACATTCTTCACCGAGAAAGAATTACACAACATCAACTCCCCGAAACATACTGTTCTCGCTTTATGCGATGATACCTTGGATGATGGTGGTGGTGAGATTGTCGCGTATATCACCTGGGTGACGCCTTTGAAGCATCTCGTTCTTGATAGTAACCAGACTGGTGAAAACGTCCAGCAGCAACATGTTTCTGGGGGTCTTGCGCCTCCGCCTGGTACGAATCAGGCGTTGAGTGATCAGATGCGTGATTCGAGGAATGAGATGAAGGCGAGATATTATAGGGCTAAGGAGGATTATTGTGGGTTTCTGAATTGATCATTTTCGTATGCGTATGATCTTCTACTGATATGGATGTAGTGCTTTCGTTGATTGCTACGCATCCAGATCACCGAAATCGCGGTTGTGGTTCTCTACTTCTCAAGGCGTGCATTGAGGCAGCTGAGAAAGTAAATGCGCGAATCTATCTCCATGCATCTGAAGAGGCATATAGTCTTTACAGAAAGCATGGATGGAATGAAGTGGACCGATTTGTGTTGAATGTTGGCGATGATCTGGATGCCACTATGTTTGCAATGATCCGAGATTCGGCATCTACTACTTCTGTATAGGAAGTGCCGGTGTAAGAACTGTAATCAAAAATCAATAAATGCGCTGGAAATGCAACGTTGTACAAATCAATTCTCTATTTACAATTAATATTCATTCGTCTTGCCAATAGGCAAGTGACACAACTCCAACGCTTCTGCGTCGAGTTCCAATATGCAAGATGCATTCATTATAAAAACAGTATGCGGTGCACAGTCAACGCTGAAACCATGTAGCTCCTATTGACGCCTGACCCAAATTTCAACGAGAAAGAATGGCAAACACAGTATAGTTTGCTGTAATAATTTCAGCTCAAATCCAGAATGCTCACGCGTGGAACTCGCTTCTTTTTAGTTTGATCCCTTTTCGAAACTCTGGCTGGATCTGAGTCGTTGGACTCCACTGAGGCCAGCTCAGTTTCTGTTTCCACCCTCCAGAAGCCATTGGATGCAGTAACAGATTCTATATGCCGAGAACCCTCGTCGGCTTTTGGTTGACTGCGTTTTGCTTTTCTTGTTTTTATTGACTTTTCTTCACATTTAGGTTCAATATCGCTCTTTTCAGAACGTTCGAGAGTCTTCTTGGTTTGCTTTTTCGAGTTGATAACGACTTTTGGTTTCTCTGCCACTTTCGGAGACTTTGGTTTGAAAGAAGACTTGGCATGGGTTTCATGAAGGCTGTTGTGCTTCAGTAATGACAACGAAAGCATGGCATCTTCGAGTTCATCAACAACTTGTGACTCCTGGGAGACCTGAGGAATTGGTTTCTGCGAGGCTTTTCGGCGACGCTCCCTAGCGGTAGGAGAAGGAAGAGCCATGTCTTTGGTGCTTGCCGCCTGGTCTTCTATCACCGAACTCTGACAGTCGAAATTCGAATAACTCATTCTAATTCCTCCAGATGATGATGGTGGCGGGGAACAATCCCAGGAACTCGAAACTTCCAAATCGAGATCCTCTACTTCAATGCCATCCGAGAATGTAGCGGCACGCCTCGCACTAACCCGAGGTCTGTTGACCACTGGGGGACGTTTAATCCATAGGTTAGGCGATATTGTGCACGAAGAAGAGAAAACATCAACAAGATCATCAAAAGGTGTATATCGTCGTCCGGTGCTTTCTGCAGGGCCTAGATTGTACACATCACGGATTGGCGAATTCCCTAAAAAACGACTGGGCGACCCTTGACTATGTTGAGTTTTTGATGGACTAGTCTTCTTTGGCGTTGATGAGGTCGCTGCCTCTAAAAGTCGGGCTTGCTTGAATTCGGAGATATCAGACTGTTGCTTTGTAAGGGTGCCATATTTCAAGATGCTTCCACGCTTCATCCCTGGATCTATCGGTCCCTTTTTCCTAGGGCCCGTCTTCCGCGCAGCCGGCTTCTTTTTTGCAGCCAATTTCGCAGCCTGTTCCTCTTTCCACTTTTGCACGGCTTCCGGGATGCCTATTGTGGCCAAGGTTTCAAAAACCCAGACCTTTTCCAAGGCATATGGGTCAAATCGTTTTGTAACACGTTTCTTTACTGGAGATTGAGTTTCCACCACTTCTTGATCCTCTTCTTCATCCCCTGACACCGTCGTTTCATGGGATGGTAATGGGGGGTTTCTTGGCTCGGCGTCTAGGTCTAACCCAGCGACGTCGATAGGCACGATGTCAAGTTGAAACTCGGTCAACCCATCTGTAGCAAAGATTTTCCGCTCCTTGTATATTTTCTGTAGCATGGGCTCGTTGCCGTGGGACAAGGAGGGACCCCGGGGGAAGGCTAATGGTGACTTTCCGAGACGAAGCCTATAAAAAACCAATGGTTCTGCAAGTAGCTTAACCACCTTTCTTGCTCCAGAGACATAGTTCCAATCGAGGTATTCTGCGGCAAATCTCCTGATCTCCAAGACATCGATGTCCTGGTCCCAGGCATTCAATAGCCTATTCCTCAACTCTTCCAAGTCTTGCGTATTTGATACCACCGGATTAGCATAGAAGGACAGAATCGTTCGATCTGGAAATGCCTCTGGAATCCGGACGGCTTTGTGCTTTGTTTGGAAGTAGCCACTCTCGTTCTCATCCAATTCATATTGAAGCCTTTCTCTCCACTCATTTAACATCGTATCCAACTCGGGACTATCAGAGTAGACGGCATCCAAAAGGTCTTCACCAAAACCAGCCTTTGCGATCTCAGCAGCCAATTTGCTACCGCATTTTTGAACACCAGCTGGTAGATAATCGCCCCCGCTAAGCATTGCAAATAGAATGATACCGGCGCGGTCTATGGGAACGTTCGATGCGTTTGTTTGGCCGCCCATTCGAAACCAGGTCACATGCGAGGCAGAAGTGGTACCACTGCCAGCCTCTTTGGAAAAATTCATAATGGTCGACGACGATCCGAACATCAATGCGTCAACATCGTTGCTCATTACCGCATCAACGACCCCTTCTTTTTGCAGTTTTGCGCATTCTGCCTCCGCTTCTCCGGGAGCATCATGTATGGGGAATCTAAACAGCTCAATCAGAGCTTTTGAATGTCTGATAATAGGCGCGTTGCTGTAAGTTCGGACTGCTTTGCCTCTTTTGAAGGACGGTTTGTCCTTTCCATCATAAACAAAAAGAGGATGGACAGGCAAGGCCAGGAATTTTAATAACCTGTAAAATAAGGTCCGCAGTTCTGGATTTTTGCCTCCGCGGCCAGCCTGCACTTGGAAGAGCCAAATTGAAATGTCAACAGCAATGCGGATAGGTCTTGCTGTTCGCTCCAAGTGAGTTACAGCCAATCTGGATAGCGAAATTCGTTCACCAGAGCCAATGGCATTCAATAGCCTGTATTGAGTCAGTTATCTGGTGTCTTTCCATCAGCGATGCCAGCCAGTTGCCACTTTTATTCGCGCATCAACTTTTGGCGGCAGAGATATATATTCCCGTGTCGAAAGCATTGATGGACTTACCCAGGAATCCCCATCTGGAAAAATTCGCTCAAAAACTACAAAAAGAACAGCATCAAAATACCAAAAGACCTGCCATCAAAGAAACCAAGAACGCCAAGTGGGTTGTTGAGCTGCCTCTCTTTCTGTTCTGTTGTTGTTGTTGACGTCGAGGAATTGACGCGAGAGCGACGGGCCGATGTAGACCCGGTCGGGCCATGGGCAGTTGTCCTTCTGCACCTTCTTCGCCTTCCATCATTCAGCTTTGAAACTACATTTGAAAAGATTGCAATTGGCGGTCCACTGGGCTGGTCATTGCTGTGGGAAAAAGGAAAAGCATACCTGAAAAACGAAGCATGATTTGTGTGTGGCTAGCATCGATTCATCCTCTTCCGTCTCCAATTATTCCCCGCGTTTTGAATTAAGCGGCAGTAAATACGATTGTTCAGCAACTTCGGGGAAACCGATTGAAAGAATTCAATGACAATGGCGAGTTCATCAACGGCAGGTAGTGGTGAAAGCAAACGTCCGTTTTCCAGCAGCTCGAATATCCCCTCGAATTTGCGTCACAGCCAATCCGCCCGACCCTCCTCTCCTCATACACCTTCACATCAATTGCGCTCAAACAATTCTTCGTTCGCTAGTACCTCGTCTGCAAGCTCCTCTTTTCGCGGTGAAGGAGATGCGATCATCTTTGAATTTGGCTCCAGATGGCTCCGGGCAGGGTTCGAGGGCGATAGTACACCGATGTGCGTGGTCGGATTTGGACCAGAGGAATCGAGGAGAGCTGGTGACTACAGAGGATGGCTGAAAGGCAGCTCTTCAGATGCTGCACAATCGCAACCACTCAAAGCAGACGAGTGGACTAGCCCATATGAGCTATGGAGGATGAACTTGCGCGATGTTGATCTGGGGCTTGTCGAGGATAAGATCGAGCGGGTATTTCGAGAGACATACAATAAACATCTGTTGACAGATGCAGGGACTTCACGGCTGGTTCTGGTTCTACCATCGGTTATGCCTCATCCCTTATTGTCCTCAGTTTTGTCGACTCTCTTCAGTCGTTGGCGATTCCCAAGCATCACGCTTGTACCAGACGCTGCAATGTCTGTTACTGCAGCGGGAGTACGTTCGGCGCTGGTGGTGGATCTTGGCTGGGAGGAGACTACTGTAACTGGGGTCTATGAGTACAGGGAAATAGCTTCTAAGCGAAGTACTAGAGCTATGAAGTCTCTACTACAGCAGACGGGCAAGTCGCTTACCAAGCTTGCCTCGAACGGCAGCCGGGGATCAATATCAGAAGATGAGATTTCCGTGAAGTTTGAATACTGTGAAGAAATCGTCAGTCGATTCGCGTGGTGCAAACCATCCAACGAAGCACCTGATTCATACCAACATAATATGATTTCAATTCCGTGTCCATCCAATCCTAGCTCGGCTTACATTGACGTCCCTTTTTCTACATTCGCCGATCCAGTGGAAAAGGTGCTTTTTGCCGAAGACATAGCTGAGTGCGATATGGATGACGAAGAAAAGCCAATTCATCTGCTTGCCTACAATACCCTTCTGGCACTACCGCCTGACGTTCGCGGTACCTGCATGTCGCGCATCGTGTTTGTCGGCGGGGGTTCAAATATTCCAGGTGTTCGACAGCGGATTCTCAAAGAAGTGGGATTGTTAGTTAAGAAACATGGCTGGAGCCAAGTTCGAGGCAAGGTGATTGAACGACAACGCCAACGGATGCAGAATCTAAGTCTTGTGCCACAATCAACACCCGCTAAGGAAGAAGCTAGAATGGAATCACCCGTATCTCCCACTGCGAAGAAGCACCACGAAGGTGAAGAGCAACAAGAAGAAATCGATTTTGTCGAACAGAAGCTCCGACGCAACAACAAAGATAAAGACATCAAACCCCATGTCCATGGAATCCTGCGCGAAGTCGAATCCCTTGGTCCATGGGCTGGAGCAAGTCTCATCACGAGCCTCAAAATTCGAGGTCTGGTAGAGATTGAACGGGAGAAGTATCTCCAGCATGGAATTGCTGGTGCCAGCCGAGATTTCGAATGTCATGGCCATGTCCCTGATAGACGATCAGGGTTACGGTCAGGCGGAGATCGGTCGAGTTGGACATTAGCTGGTTGGGGATGAGCGTGCATTGAAGAACATGGAGTTCCGGTACTGATTTTGACTACCCATCCCACGATACCCTCTTGTGATAACGACTGGGTGAACTGCCATACATCCATTTTCCCAATCATTGTAAGTAATTGAACAAGTTAGCTTAGATACGATACCCGAGTTTCAAATATTTCTTTTTTCTATTGGGTCTGGACTGCGCTTTTGGTTCGGAAGAGGTTATATTTCTACCTCTTACTTTGGACATAGATTAATTGATGCGTAAAAATTATATACACGACTAGAAAGATAAACGGCATGCCAAAATCTGCTGAGCACTATTGAGAGAAGGAAGCCACGGCATAGCATTAATTCAGAAGATGGATTCATTAATCGAATCTCACCAAATAAAGACAGAACTTATGCAATGGTACCAAACTTGTAGGTAGCCCAGTTAATGGCAGGGGCAGTGTTGGGGGAGTAGATCTGGTCAGACAATTGACCCCATTGCGGGTTATTGATGCCATCGATCCAGCCCTCGGTTTCGATGACAAGGCAGCCATATTGGTTGATATTCTTGGCACCATCATTGCCGTTGCGTTTCTGTTGGGATGGCTTTGTGGGGATGGTGCCGTCTTGCGAGTTGCAGGCGTAGATCTGGAGGGCTTGTTGGTTGGTGGCTACTTCCAGGCTGATGCCGGTGGTGCTAGAGTTCATTCTGACGACGGGGACCAGGGAGTTGGGTGCTGAGTATTGCAGAGGACGGTCCACGATGAAACAGTTATCGTATCCGGTGCAGTCATCACCGCATAGTCCTTTTGTGTCTTTGATATCTTGTCCCACGAGCTTTCCTGTGGTGAAATCGGCAGCTCCGTTGTATGTGTCGGCTACTTCGAGGATGGTGCCGTTCGGGATTAGGATGCCATCTGTGCCGATGTATCGCTTGGATAGGGGGAGTTGGAGGAAGGTATCATTCAAGATGTCTTGTTCTTTGAACGCATTGAGGTTCCAGTAGATGTGATTGGCGAGCATGATTGGGGTCTTTTCCGTCAACGCCAGTGAGACCAATTTGCTGGTCAGTTGAGGCAGGCCATCGGGATTCTCAGGGGAACGCGCAGTTTCCACACTGAAAATGGCATGGGTGATGACATCGCCGGGGAAATCTTCCAGACCATTATCGACCAATGTGAAGGTGATGGATGAGTCCGAGTGCGCAGTCACCGTCCAATTGCGCTGGTCATAGCCCACAGTGCCTCCGTGGAGGGTATCAAGGCCGTCGTTTTCATTCTTCGGAACCTTAGTCGTAGTTCCATCAACGGCAAATGTGCCGTTCTTGATTCTATTCGCGTATCGTCCGACAACAGCACCAAAGAACGTATGGTTGGTCTCTGTGTCCTTGAGGTAGTCCTTGGGGTCATCGTAACCCACGACTACATCCTGCAGATTGCCGTCACGATCAGGCACGAGCACCGATGTCAAGCGCGCGCCGTATGGAATTAATTTAGCGGTGATATTTTCAGCCTTGATGGTGTATGACTCAAAGTGATCAGCAGCCCCTGTGGATTGTGGGATGCTGGATGCGACAGATGATGAAGAGCTTTGCGACGATGAAGAGCTCTGCGCCAACGCGGGCAGTCCGTGGAGGACGGCGGAGAGATAATGTTTGACATGCATCTTGGAACCCAGGAAAGCAGTGACTGCAAGAAATATGAAGCAGTACACGGTCAGGACGCGAAGAGAGAAACGAGCAGGGCAGAGGACAGAGCGGAAGCAGCCAAGAAGCTGGGGACTGCCTTCATTAAGTACGGAAGCAGGAACCATGATCTCGCCTCATCGCATGATGGGCGCTCGGCCAGAAAGGCGGGGAAAGAAAAAGTAAATTGACAAGGTCTCCGCAGTCTGTGAGCTAGTTCGATGTCTCAATTCGCTTGATTCTTCGTAAATTATCCGGGGAAAAAGACGCAATCGAACGGAGGGTTGGTTAGTGTTGGCCGATGCGGGCGGAGGATTGGAGGCTGGAGCTGTCAGACAGCCAGGGGGCCAAGCTTTGACGGTGAGATGCGGACGAGATCGAGGGCATATTTTGCTGCAAAAGTCTTCAAATAATCTATATGCATTTTCGAAAAGTCATACTAGCATATTAGGATAAAATATCAGTCATAGTAGACGTTCATGTTGGATTTTGCATATCATTGTGGTGATGTCTCTTTTGATTCCTGAAGGATCGGGCAGAAACTAGCCCAGAACAGAAACTCCGGTGGAGAGATCCGAAAGCAGAAATTGCGGGGAAGCAAAACGTCGATCCTTTCTTTGTCTGCATCTCGTGATCTCGAATGCTTCGAATGACGACTTGAGATTGTTTGTGAGATGCAGTTGATGGATCAAAGCTCTGCAATACACAACTCAACAGAGTTCTAAGTTCAGCCAGCATCAAAGCGCTACAAGTCAGTAGATGGCACGTCTCTCTCAAGTCTATACGAGGCTTAACCGGAGAATTTTTAGTGTGGCTGCTTAGCCAGATCCAAGGCCGATATGGCAGACGTCATACTGCAAAAAGATTTGTTTGAAAGTTGACTGCCCAAATATTATGCATGAATAAATGACAATTAATCGCGGATAATACACAACAGCTTTGAATGCCCATAACAGCACGAACGATTAATTCTCTTCGAACGCTGAATTCATCATAAAAGTGCACTTTAGGTCCTGTCGACCTCCGTACGGCCGGGATAACATATTCCCGATTATATAATCCTGTCGCGTCTCCCCTCCTTCTCCGACATCTCGGCTTGCCTGATCGGGAGACTTGTTTATCTTGGGGATTTTATTTCTTTTCTTTTCTTTTCTTTTTTTTTTTTTGATATTGTTGGAGTCCTGATCCATCATACGGAAGGGCCTGGCGCCCAAAGGACGGTCGATTTTGCCTCGTCTTGTAGGCTCTTGGAGCTTCTTTATTTCAATCTCGAGCTCAGCAACGCGCACCACGGGCCAAGTCACCGAACCGCATTGTTTTTTTCCAAGTCCGCGATGCTCCCTCACAGTTCCAGCTCCTCCCCCGACGTTCTTGGACCTTCTGGCGACGACGAATACCTCATTTCATCCCCATATAAACCTTTCTCGGGCCGTCAAAGCTTCATGTCGCCCGCCAATTTCAAACTCCTTCAGACGCCGCGGCCGGGCAAAGGCAAAAGGCCGCGGTACAGTCTCAGCCCCGCGAAAAGCGCCCATTCGATTAGATTCGACGATGTCTTGCTTCCTGCCTCTCCTTCAATGAAACTGAACGGCGCACAACAATCATTCTCACCCGACAAGATCCAGCCTGATGGGAACGTGAGTCCGTGGAGGATTCGGGTTACGCTCGAGGCAACCCAGGATGACGAAGAGAACCCGGGCAGCCCGTCGCGTAAGCGATTAAAACCGTCGAATACCATGACCACAAAAGTACCTTTGAAGGGTGAACCGGAACAAGTCACATTAACTCCCAAAAGAGGTAGAGGTCGGCCAAGGAAGTCAGGCACTCCGTTGCAGAATGCGACACCAACTGCAGGAAATCCCGGGCATACACCAGGCCCCGGACACACTCCTGGACCTGAATACACGCCTGGACCTGGACACACGCCCGGGCCTGGATTTACACCGGGGCCTGGACACACGCCTGGCCCTGAATACACACCAACGCCCGGACCTGGACATACCCCAGGACCCGGACACACGCCAACGCCAGGACCAGGGTATACTCCAGGACCTGGAGTAAATACACAGAGAAGGGGACGGGGGCGACCGAGAAAGACCAGGTTAGATATAGTAGAAGTTGCACAAGCGAACGATCAGTCCACTATTCCCGTTGCCCAGCCCGAACAAAGACATAGTCCTTCGAATTTTGCCGGCGATACACAAGATATTGAGGCGAATGATGGATCCACTACACCGATGGCTGACCCCGAACAGAGCTGGGGCCATTCGAATATTGCTGGAGATACAGAAGACTTTCAGGCTGGGGATGAATCAACCACCCCCATTGTTGAGCCCGATCAAAACTGGGGACCTTTGGATCTTGCTGCGGGTGGAGATTCTGATGATGGTTATTCAGATGATCAACCGGCCGACATCTGGCTCGATAACGAGACAGTGCAGCCCAATGAAGCTAATTGGGATAAAAGCTCTCCTCGTGGGTCTTTTCAACAGGAATACGAGACACCGGACATTGGCGTCATAGACCGGGGCTACATGGATAACGACGATGAGAACTTGCATTCTACCCCATCAAAAATGCCGTCGCCTACTCAAACCTCGCAGATTATTTCCCCAGACAACACCTTGCATGCCGGCCGTACACCTAGGCCGTCACGCCTTTACCCCACCCCGAAGTCCTCATCGTTGGTTGACGAAGAGAAACAAGGCCAGTCGAAGGAACTAAACAACCCCCCCGGAAACCTCCATCAAGGTGAAAAGCATACCGTAAATGACCCAACGGACGAGCATCGTGAATTCGATTCCATCATGGAGAGTGAGGGATTCAGCATGGTCTCGTTAGAATCATTACCGTCAGCGAAACAGCACGCTCTCAGCACCAACCAAAAAACCGTAAAGGGGGCTCTCAAACCATTTCTCGAGCGCGAAAATATCGGCATGAAAGAGAGAATGAAACGCAAGTCTTCTGTCTCGAATAATGATGATTATCGTGAAGAAGCCTCGGCTATGGCCGCGGGACCGAACCAAATTTCAAGAGAACATCCGTCATCAAAAGTATCATCCCATTCTCCTATGCCTGAGCGAGTAACAGAACGTTTGGCATCGAGTAGCAAACGGACACCCGGGGGCAACTTGCCTTCTAAGCTTGCTAGCTCGCCTATTGTACCATCACCAAGTCCAGTCACACACGAAAGGAACTCATCCGCTAGGTCCGCAGAGGTTGCTCCCACGGGCATCGATCATTCGGCTACATGGAGGAATGAAAACGGAGAAGGTACATCGAGATATCCTTTCGCGACAGAGGGACAGTCCGATGAAGAGGACCAAGGTGACGAATTTGAATCTTCTAAGAGGCGCTTCGAACACCTTGTCAGTGACATTCTTCCTGATACCCAGCAAGAAGAGCGGAAAGACTCGGGTTCTGGGCAGGAGTTGGCAAAGAGGCAAACGCAGACAGAGACAGAAAAGGCCAGAGAAGAGCCAGCTGTAGAGGCCACAATCGATCAATACAGGGATGCACACGTATCCGAGACACCACATCGAGAGCGGGGTAGGGGCTTCATCCAGGACACACCCGGAACGGAGATGAAACGACGAATGGCAGAATGGCAGCAAGAAAGAGAAGCAATTAGCCGAGAAATTCAGATGGCAAACTCGAGTCAAGTTATCGTTATCGGCAGCGATGGGAGTGAACAGCAAAGCCCGATTCGTCACGAGAACTTTGATCCTGAGCCGGGGCCTGAATTCGAGCATGAACTTGAACAGGAATCCGAGCATGAGCCTGAACAGGAATTCGATCCCGGGCATGAGTCCGAGCCGGGATCTGAACTTGACCAAGAAGATCATGGACTACAGGACGAGCCTGAACCCGAGCCTGAACTTTCAGATGACGATGGATATGAAGATATCTGGCAACAAGAAGCTAAGGATCAAAGCCACGTCTCTTCACATTCTGATGATGCGAAGCAAGAGTCTAGTCCGTGGAAGAGTGACAATGGAGCAGCCCGCTCTCCAGCTTACTGGACCACGGGAAATAATAACGTGCCAAATTTGGGACGGTCTCGGGTTAAACAGCTACGAGAACAGGATGTCGATCTCTCGGTCTTGCTTCGAAACACCCCAAACCGTTCCCGTTACTACTATGGAGGAAATAGCCCCCGGAAGAGTAGCCCCCAGAGTGTTGCGAATACCCGATCTCCAGAGCGTCAACGGTCTGTTTCCGGATCCAGCGAGAATGTCGACGAAGACGTGTTTGAACACGATCAACAATTGGAAGATGTATATTCGGTATCAAGTCCCGACCGGGTCTCAGAGGATGATGACACTTTCCAAGTTGACCCCACAACAAGGCATGAGACTGAGAGGGCACGATTTGACCAAAGACAAGAAGAGAATGAGGACGGGGTTATCCCAGATGATGCTGGTGTATCTGAGGAGCGATCTACCCATGAGAAAATTGATGCCACACCGGAATTCTCACGACATGCCAATGCCAATACACCGGCACCATCATCCTGGTTTCAAAAAGTTACTAGCTTCACCCCTCGGTGGTTGAAAGCTCCAAACCGAAGGTCAATTGAACCTGTCAGTCCTGCCATAGCCGAAGAAGAAGAACCCTTGGGAGACGAAGAAGAGATGCCCAACGTCGAATCCCCCAAGGATGCGAATACGCATCTTGACGGGCATTATTCAGAAGACCAAGAAGAGACGCCAAGACCACTTCCACGACGTACAGATCGAAGACATAGGCGGCAGAGCTTTTCTGGTTCCAACGTTGACCAGCAGTTTGAAGACTTACGCTCGTCGCCGAAAAGGGAAATGCGGCGTGAAGAATTTGCACGCCCTAGACCATTGGCCACCTCTGGATACTTCAGTGATGATCATTATGTCGCTCTCCGCCGTCTCTATCGCTTAGCAAAAGGGTCTCCCAATCGTTTCGTCTATTACCCAGCTCCTGGCCGCCCTGATATTATAGGTGACTGGATATGGACATCGGACGGTACCTACGGAGTTCCGGTCACTGAGAGCCAGTTTGCCATCATCGACACTTTCGTGCAGGAACTTGCTCGAGCTGACATTCAGAACGGTGGTACTGGGCAAGTTGGTTGGACAGAGGCTGACTTGCACCGGCGACTGATTAGTGTCATCATTGGCGAACAGATTAGAGAGGAAAGAAAAGAACAACTACGCCTAGAAGAGACCAGACGAGATCGGTCAAGTAGAGAAGCTTCTTTTGATATCTGGCGTCCATGATTGCCCAGAACACGAGCTCTTCAGGATTTTTCTTTTGGTAATGGTCTTGACCTGTCAGAAGCTCATATGATCAGTCATGCATCAATATCATTTTTTTTCTTGGGTTCGGGGTTACATATTCTCGGGGCTTTGCGGGAAGGTGAATGTTAGGCGCACTAATTGAGGCGCTCTACTGGTTGCTGTCCGTTGGGTTTCCAACTCATTTCTTTCATTTTGGGTTATTTTTGTCCTTTATTTTGATTTCTTATGTTTGTATAGCAGTGGATTATGTATGATTCCCCATCAGTATCTTTTTTTGGGCTTGAGTTTTCGACGGTTACTGGGTGGTTTTCACTCATTTATGGAGTACATGTGGATAGCTGCGTTGTTTCACATTCGTGGAAAGATGGCAGTTGTATTATTGTTGGATTATGCATTCGTGCACTCGTATATGACTCATTGATACCTCTTCTATGTCTTTTGGTTCCTTCCTTGGTTTCCCTGAAAAGCCGTGCACAGCAGCAGGTCCAGATGCCGGATGGACTGGTTTATTTTGAGACATACCGTATATTGGGAAATGAACCCCCATAAAAGGAAACACTTGTCGGCCCGTCGTCTTCATCTGACGATGTATTATAGAGTACTATTGGTGGAAAGGCCAAGTATCAGGTTTTGACTACAACTGGCACTGCATCTCCATTTCCTTGGACACGGTTCGATTCGCCACGTTTTTCTGGGAGATGCAGGCAATGCACCAGGAGTAATGAGACGCAAACGGATCACCTGGATTGTTTGCCCCCCAGAGGACGAACGCGACGAGTCCAGACACCATTTGGTGGGGAGTCACATTGCAGTTTCGACCAAGCTGCAGGCCATTGAACTCTCGTCCATAGTGCGATGGTACTACCGTACCACGTCAGCCCGAGAACAAGGCAATAGACGCCTGGGGAAAAGCGCGTCTGTCCTTTGGCATCCTTCCCGGTATCCGCGCTTTTCGTCACTATAGGGGGTACATTTGGGCTTGGAGTGCAGGGGTAAGGTGAAGACGGGATATGAGATGTATCCCCGAAGTAGGAAGTATTTAAAGAGGCGCACGATCCACGAGAAATTCAGCAGAAGCAAAAAGAGACAGACAGACAAACAGAAAGCAAGCAAGCAAGAATCGACACACACCAGAAACTCACAGCCAAGATGCGGATGAGCAGCACCGTCAAGCGCGTCTTCCACTTTTCCTTTTCGCCCAAGCGCTCCTTATCCTTTAAAGGCAAAGGGGTCGATCAGACGACCATCGACGTCTGCTATTGTGCGGAGGTCCATGACCCTGAGATGGCGGTGAGTGACGACTCGTTGGACCTGCAGGCGAGCAGCAGGAAAAAAAGCAGCAGCAAAAGCAGGAAACGCACGCATCTCGTGCGGGTGGTGAGTTGGGCGAGTATCGCCAGGGGCACCTGTCGACGATGGACGATGGAACAGGAACGCGAACTGAGAATAGCCGAACATGAACTGGCGAGATGTCAAAAGGCGTGGAGTTCCGAGCAGGAGTTGTGGCTGGCATATGTGAGTCTTTTTTTTTTTTTTTTTTATTTTCGTATTTGAAGCAACACGGAGTGGAGAGGGAATGCATGCAGGGGGAGGGGGGGAACATCACCAAAAAAGAAGCGAAAGCTTCATCTATACTGATACCCAACAGATCAAAGCCCTTGAAGAAGAAAAAGAAGCCCATGAGGATTTCTACCATAACCGAGCCAAACAACAAGACGATGAACAACAGAATTTCCGCAAAGCGTGGAATCGACGCAAATCCAGCGACATCCGCGAGGAACAGCGCGAAGTGATGCCGAGGAGCGACCATCGACGACGTTTACGAAAGAGTCTGGATAGATATAGATGAATAATAAAAGTTGGTTCTTTTTTACATATCCACCATGAAACCCGACGGAGTACACCACAATAGGAGAATAATCGAGAGTTCATGGAAGAATCATCCGATCCGAGGCAATAGTCAATGTGCCTTGCATGAAGCAGAAGCCATCGTGGATTGCAACCAACTGGACGAGAGCAGATTCCATTTTTTGCGATGCGCGATTATCATCCAATGAAGAGTATTTCGTGATGATATTCAATGTATCTCGTTGAATCCGGAATGTCTTTTATCTACGGAGTACTACATCGTATATTCATCTAACTATCTGGATGATAACAGTCAACCATGGCTACCATCGGCCGGTACCGATAGTTACTTGCTTACTTTTTCTCTTCTTTTCTTTTCCTGCATAGATTGTAATGATATTTATTATATGCCTTTAGATGATTTGCACTGTCTTACAGGGTTGCGCATCCATTGGATTGTTGATAAACAGCCAAATGCCACTCCATACAAGAATACTAGCAGAGCATAAAGTTCCGTCAAAAGGACGATCAATCGTCTTATCTCTGCCGTTTTGACTAAGTTGTAATAGTCAAAAGTGCCACTGATAAGAATGCCCATTAATTTATTCTTTATTCCATGGAGAATAATGAAGATATTGCGGATTGTTGAGGATCTGGCCGTTATTGTGTGCTGCGACAATCCATATTGTCTGTCTCGTGATGCATCACATCCTCTTATCTCCAGTCTTCTTCTTGCCCTCACCACCACTGCGATCATCACCACCTCCATCATCGCAACCATCGTCAAAACTATCAATTCATCCTTGGACGTACCTGCAATGGTTTCTCATGATCCCCATCCCCGCTAATAATAATCCCTCTCCCCATCGCACTGCCCCCTCTGGTCGGCTTGACTTCTCCGTGGATCCTGGACTCGGCTTCATCATCGTCGCCCTCTTGGCCTCCTATTTTTTTTTCTTTTTCTTTTTCTGGTCTTCTTCCTAGTGCTTGGCTTTTCTCTCTCTTATCCTGCAATCAGAATGAATCAATTTTTCCCTTTTTCACTCTTCTTTTCGCCCCTTGACAATCAATCTCCATCGACTTGTGGGACAACTCCCCATCCTCTTCTCTTCTGTCCTCTTCTCTCGAGCTAGTTCTAGGCCTCATTGCCACTATTGATTAGCCTCTCCCAATAATGCTCAAGGCTCCCTTGCTGCTCTTGATAAGCCTCCTCCTCCACCAGTAGGCGGTCCTTCCGATCCCCGAAGACCGTCCTCTCGGTACGTATGCACTATCTCTCTCACATGGTTTCTTTTCTTATGCCTGCTGACAGCTTCAGTGCCCATAGATACCACCAGGAACTATTGGAGATCCCCGCTTGACGTCAAGTTGATCTCCGGCCCACCTTCGGTCTGTTGAGGTTACATATATTAATTGCCCCCTCCACTCGGGCCATCCTCGCTCTCCTCGTCTCGATCGAGGTTCGCCATGAGCGCGCAATGTCCAGCATAACGTCACTTTGGTGGCCAGAAGACAGAGTCAAGGCCACGATCTGTCCCGAGTATGTCGTCAGTCAGCTTCAACCTGCCAGTTTACCTCGTCTTGTCTCCCCGCTTCCTTGGGGTGAGGGCTTGACCAGCGAGACCTATCTCGATTGGATTATCGCCAAAGCCGGTCGACTCTTTCTCATTCTTGTCGATATCGGTATTCCGGAACGTATCTTCGCCTTGGTCGATGAGTCATTTGATGATGTCGACCTTCCTATTGCCTCCCATAGTATCGATCGGCTGAATCTCTCGCCTGACGGAGAGAATGTCGCTCTTGACATCAAGTTTTTCCATGCTCAATGGCGGTTTCTCGTGCGTGGAATTGGAGAGGGTGAGCATGTCAAATACACGGAGAATGAAGGTGTCCCTGTGGAGTTACAGCGCAGCGAAACGTCTCTAGCTAAGGAGGGAGTGGAAAAGGTCATCCTGGCCGGTGCAGTCTGTAAATTGTACCTACGTACACGAGTGACCATTGGCGGTGCACCGCATTTCTTTGAAGAAGATGAGGTGCTGGAGGAGGTTCGCTCTTTGAGAAGACTTTCCCACGAGCATGTTTTTTCCATCTACGGTTCCTATTTTGTCGACAACACCATCTGCATTCTCTTCTCGGGCATGTACGAGCGTACCCTCATGTCTTTCCTCTCCGATGTACCGCAACATTTCAAACGCCTACCTAAACCTGAACGTCGACAAATATTGATCAACTGGCCGCACTGTTTGGCAAGTGGCTTGTCATGGCTGCATGCGCATGGCCAGGCCCATGGTGCTATTCGCCCATCCAACATCTTCGTCGACTCGGAATACAGGATCTTCCTGGGTCAGTACGAGGCTCTTGATACACTGCTACCTCCCGTCAAGGTAGACGACGTCCAGGCATACCAGTACGGTGCTCCCGAACGCTGGGTTCGCTCTGCTGCCGTCCAAGATACTGGCTCTAACCGATCCCTACTTCCATCGGGAGGACGCACTGGTCGCAAACAGCCATCGCGCCCAGGAAAACTGAACCTGGTCGGTCTGAAATACTTTCAAAAATCAGATTCTTCTGCAGATGGCGCGGCATCCGACTCGGTCGCCTCTCATGGTACTGCCATTCGAATCGGATTTCCCGACTCTCCTTCTCGGTTTTCTTTTGCGCTCTCCTCGTCATCCTCGGGATCTAGCGATGGAAGCGCTCGCAAGCGTGGTGTGTCCTCTCTGAGGAGACCTATCTTCTACACCCCATCTATTTCATCATCGAATTCATCGGGTTCGTCTTCGTCTCGCCCTGTTTCTACTGTTTACAACCCGGTTGGACTACCGAGCGCAAATCAACATGCAGCAGTCGTTCACACCTGGCAGTCGCATCAGACTAACCCTGAAATGTCAGACATGTTCTCTCTCGGTGCAGTCATGCTGGACATTTTCACACATCTGTGCAAGCGCAAGCTGTCCACATTTGTCCACCATCGCGGGGCCAAGAACCGAACAGCCGGTCGTGGAGGCGGGGTGGCCGATTCCTCTTTCCATCTGGACCGGAATATGGGCCAAGTGAGTTCGTGGATCACGCTTCTGGATCATGATGCAAAGAAGCGCAAGGATTCTACGTTTAACGCGGTCAGGTCGATGTTGGCCATGGTACGAACCATGCTGGACAAAGACCCTGTGAGCCGTCCGTCAGCGGTACAAGTCGAGCAATACTTTTCCCACACCATCCAGAAACTAGAGGGTATAGTCAACCTGCATTGCAAATCGAAAATACCCATCCGAGCAAAATCAAGAAGCCCGCTGCGCGAGACTCGCAATAGAGAAACCGGAGACGATCACAGGCCTAAGCCCAGGTTGTCCAACCTCACGATCCCGACATCCTCAACTAGCAGTCCATTTACGACACCACTCCCTTCTCCTTCGATAATTGAACCAGGGGGAATATTGCATCTACCTGGTATTCAACCATCTCCGGCCGCGTCAGTTTCCAATTTCGATTTGCCGGCTTGGTCTGATAGTGATGACGAGGACGACGAGGAATACAGAAAGGCGCATGAGAATGCCCCTTGGCATGATCCAGGCCATTTACTGAGCCCGATGACTTCAAATGATTCAGCACTGGGATATGGCGTTGCTGTTTCTCCTTAACTGGATACGCCACCGTCAGTCAAGATCCTGATTTGGACTGACTACAGTCAAATTACTCATTGACCTACTTCACATCACGACACTATACCCTACCTACTCAGTACATTTCGACCAATTACTTTTCCTTGTTACATTACTCTACATCATATCCATTATCAGATCAGCATCGGTGGTCACCTGTTTCTTTGTCACACTATACACTCACTCTTTTCTTTTCTTTCTTTCTTTACATGTATTCTGCCTTTCTTTATACTTTTCTTCTTACTTTGTCCATTTACCTTTTAGCTCACGATGAAAGATATGTTTTATGTATGTCATGGGTTGGTTTAGCGGGCATATTTGGGTATCTACACATACTTATTAATTTATTCAACTTTCTTCTACAATTGTGCCTTATTTGCTTAAAATAACAGGTATTTGAAATAGAGTATATCTTGAAATAAACCAAGTGAATGAAGCTATAATTGTACGTTTGCAGTCAGTCATTGTATATTCACGAATGAGTCATTCCATTGGCCTTCACTCTATCTGTCTACATCAGCCCCTATCCAGCCCACCTATCCGACTTGATACTTCTCCTTGACGTCGTGTATATCATAAAACATTACAACATGGACCAGTCTCTCATATTCTATAATAATTATACACCACCAAAAACCCTACCCAAAAACCTACACAATTGAAGTGTTCCTTCCCCAGAATTTCCCCCCAAGACGACAGGACAGCACAGACACACAACATGACTCGACATCATCCAAGAACGACAAAACTAATGAAATCATGATTCGTGAAAAAGGGGGTCTGTGCAACATGTATGTATGTACTTATGTATCTCATATCTTATCTGCCTGTGATTTACGCAACCCCTATCAGGTACATACTACTGGAGTTATTAATTATTGCCGCCCCAAGCGCGATATCCGACGCTATAGTTAGTTAGTTAATCCATGTGTGATTATGTGCTGTATTATGCGGTATAGCCTCAACTTATTATGTTCACAATGACATACGTCTACCATTGTGATATACCCGATTGCGCGTCCTTTCTATCTATACACCAGAGCCGAAGTCAAGTCCAAACATACAAGCTTAGGACGGACACATGTAATGCAGTGGCTCGCACCCTATATCTCAATCCAGGGACCGAACGACGTCATACAAGTCGATCATCCAGCAGGTCAAGTCATGATCGACTATGGAGTATGCAATCCATAACTACTCCAGGATCTGCCTGGCGCAGATGCACCGATGATCAGGCCGTGGATTATCAACTACGGATACTATACCCCAGACAAAATGTACATGATCTAGTTATGACCAGAAATAGAAAGAAGAGATATATCATTTCACCAGCTATACCCGAGCTACTTTTGTGAGCTCGGCCAAAAGATAAAATAGTTAGTTCTTCTAAACAAATATCAAGCAAAGGGTATAATCCAGAACTTGGAAAGGGGGAAAATTGCGCAGTGAAGATGGAAGAGAAGTGAAGTGAAGTTGATGCGTGGAAGCGAGCTAGCCCTATCAGGTGACTTCGAGTGACTGAACTTCTTTCACTTCAACTTCCAGCTTTTCTGTTCTTGTCGAAGACTGAAGACTCCAATCGTCATTTTGAATATCTCTGAAGAAGGTAGTGTGTGTAATAACATCATTCATATACAATGATGAAAAGCTGTATGGGAATATAATACTAATCTAAATGAAACTTAGGCATCACTACAACGCAGAGATCCGTAAAACGGACGAGCAACAGTTTGCATCAATGTTGAACCCCTGGAATCACTCAGAGAATAATAACTCCCATCAGAACTGCCCATATCATTTGAATGAAACATCGCGGTGTCCACCCCCGCACTCGAATGAGGGACTTTTCCGGCGGAGATGGCATATTTCCCTGTAGATCACGACGGAGGAAATGATGGAGGATTCAATGTCTCAGACCCCGCAATACAGATGGAACTCCGGGTGGGACAAGAAGGCTAAATAGCTTTGGGATTGCAATTCAAGTCTATCAAAGACAACATGAGGCTTCTTGCAACCGGTTGGCTGTTTGTGCACTTGTATGCCCTCAGTTGGGCACATGTCACTTTCTCTACGGAGCACTTTGCCAGCATTCTAGACGCCAACTCTGGAGTGCTGAGGTCCTTGAATACCACCGCAGATGGCTTCGATTTCTCGCCATCCGATGTCTTTGACCAGCGCAATTTCAATGGCAACTATCACACCGGGGACATTACTCTACGATATCGCGTTGGCAATGGAAGCTGGATCGAGTCCGATTCGGCGTCAAATCGCACCAGGGTTTCCCAGACGACAACTGAAACCACAGTTTCTGCGCAATTGGATTCATCCATGCCAAACATCAGCCATCGGCTCTCTGTAAAACGGACATGGCACAACTACGACGGCGACCTGGCCCTCAACTTCACCATCACCAATCAAGCCAACGAGTCCATAGAGATCGGCAGTGTGGGCTTTCCCATCGAGTTCAACAACATCTTCACGGGGCGCTCTTCGATCGACACGGCCGACAAGTGCGTCTTCGTCGACCCCTTCATCGGTCTTCAGGCGGGCTATCTTCAAGTCACCCGCTTACGAGGAATTGGGCCGCACCTTGTCGTGACCCCGCTTGGTCTCAATACCAGCCTGGAGGCATGGCGCTTTCTCTCCGAGCCCACAGACACCAAGTTGGCGTATCAGAGCCAGACATTCGAGGGCTACTATGAATGGCAGGTTCATACACAGGCATACGCGGAGCAGGAGTGGAAGGACGCGCAGCCGTGGAATGAGCCGACATCGCGAGTCTTGACGCCCGGAGAGTCGGTCACGTATGGCCTGCGATTTACTTCATTGTCGACTGTCGAGGAGATTGAATCGACCGTTGCCTCGCTTGGATTGCCTGTTGCTGTCGGACTCCCGGGCTACGTCCTGCCCAGGGACCTCAAGGGACGGCTTTTCGTCAACACCACATCCAACGTGTCGTCAGTCAAGGTATCTCCGGAATCATCTCTCTCAATCAATTATACCACCTCGCACGCCTCGACCTGGCAAGAATTCGCTTTGACTCCCGCTCCGGATGCCTTTGGACGCTCAAGAATCGAACTGGTCTATGACAACGGAATGACTCAAGCCCTGCACTACTACATCACAGACACCGGTCCTGCAAGAAAGCCGCGTCTGGATCGCCGGTCTCAGCGATGACGGCGGCGCCGGCTCGTACGAGGCAGCTGCCATGAAGCAGAGTGTCCAGCCTTCTGCAGCAGAGGTCGCGAAGTTAGAGCAATTTGTCAATGAGACGGTGTGGGCCAGGCTACAGCTGTCCAGCGGACCGCAGCAGTACGGAGTCAAGAAGAGTCTTTTCTACTATGACCCCGATGTACTGCCAGACTTTGATTATAGCAACACCATGGACTGGCAGAGTTGGACTTCGTGGAACAAACCTGACGCATACTTACTAGACCGCACTTATAACTACGTACATGTTTCCTGTCTACATTGGTCGTTGTATCGGGCAGGACGAGCCGTTCCTAGTGTTCTGACGATGCAAAGTCCTGAATGGTATCTGTTGCAGTCATACAAGACGTTAGTCCCCTCCACCCTCTTGTTTACAGAAAAGCACAATTTAACGTCTCAGTGTCCTCTTCGCATTCGGTTCCCAACCCGACGGGTCTAATAACACCTCATACCGCGACGTCGGACTCATGGGCGAGACAGTCTGGAAAAATCTCATCACAGACCTCCAAGCAGAAAGCTACACCTCCGAAGCCACCTCTCTCCAGGACGCAATGAAGCCGCGTGCCCAGCTCTGGGCAACACAAGAAGACCCGTTCGGTAGCGAGCAGGCATGGGACTGCACAGGGCAAGAGGGCGTATACGTATGGTCCAAGTATTTCGGTTTCTCAGACACGGTCAATAAAACCATCGACTCCATCCACGGCTACATGCCTTCTATTGCGCATTGGGGGTGGAATGGAAATGCTCGTCGGTATTGGGATTTTACGTACGCCCCCCTATCCCTAATTATTCTACTATATCAACCATATTTAACAAACCCAACATATAGAACAGCCGGAAAAACCAGCCGCATCGAACGCCAAATCCACCACTACGGATCCAGCCTCAACGCCCTCCCCCTCCTAGACAACTACCGCTCCTCACCCTACCCCTCCTCCCTATCAACCATCTACAGCCTCCGCGTCGGCTACGGCGGCCACCAAGGCCCCCTAACCAGCATCGCGGCCGACGGCTTCGCATCCATGGCCTTCCACTCATACCCGGAAACTCTCGAGTGGGATGCATACACGGGCGACTATGGACTTAGCTTTCTAGGCCATGTTCTCGGCTCTGCGACGTATCTCGTGCGACATCCGGTTTTCGGGTGGGTTTGTTTCGGGGGGAATCTTGTTGATGATGAAGATGAAGCGGTGGTTACGGTCGAGCCGAGGGATACGGTCAGACAGCGTATATATATCTCCACGTTGGGATTATACGTCTCCCTAACCGCGGGAACAATACAACACTTCACACTCTCGGAGAAGGACAAGGCCGTCTCGATCCAAGTATCTGCGGCGATACCTGGGCCGGAGAAACTGCATGTTTCGGAAACTGTGGTTCAGTATTCGGTGACGAGGACAAGTGAAAATGCCAGTGCCGAGCCAAAGATTGTGGAAGACGGAGACGGTCTACTGAAGTCGTGGGTGAGCAAATACTATAAACTTGGATTCGGGGAGGGGGGCGACGCAACTATTACTTTTGAGTGGTGATCTATTATCTGCTTTGGTGTGTATCTGGGGTAGTTACCGAGAATTGTTGGAGATACTGCTTAAACAACTATCACTACTATTTTTGGTATGGTGCTATATAATGACACACCAGGAAGAGGGGGTTACTATGAATATATCTCAATAATTGTGGGTGAACCACGAGCGAACCCCTGCCGTTGTATCGGTTTCTCTTCTTGATTTCCCCCTTTATTTTTACTAGCAAAGCTCTAGTTTATTTTTATACTTTATATTTTCAGTTGTATAATATCTAAATATGTGTGCTACTCTAACTGGTTGCAGACGGACGGAATTGGCTAGGTGGTCTGGATGAAACCAAAAATTACGATAGTAGATTACTACCCATCATGTCTCCATTGATAGCTTCTTCTGTTACTTTACCGGAAATGGCCACTCGATCATGCAAAGTAAATTCATCGAATCATACGTGTGTATGCTAAGAGTCGTATGTCTATACAATTCTAACTAGACGAGGAACAGTAATGACCGCTATGCAGTAAGACCATGCAAATACTTTTAATAACCATAACCCATCAATGCGTAATTTAGAGCCACACGGCCATGGCACCAACCAGGGTGCACAGCAGAGCAGACACCTTCGCCAGGCGATCGGAACCATTCATTCCAGCGACCGTAGCGGTGTTTGAGTTGCCAGAGCTAGTAGCGGAGGTGGAAGTCGCCCCGGTCGAGGTTTTAGATTGCTTGGAGCTAGCTGTGCTCGTGGCAGAAGAGCTGGGGCCAGTCACTTTGTAACTTTGGCCGAGAGTGGGGAGAGGAGACTTGGGATCAACGGCCCAGCCTCCAGAGGTGGATGCAGGGCACTCTGGGGGCGTGATGGTGGATGTCGACTTGGAGTAATCAGACAATGCCACGCCGGTCGGCGACAGCTTAGACCATTGGGATTTGAGGTTGTTAAAGTCTGGGTTGACAGGGGTAGGAACTCCTTGGCGTGTGTAACCGTCCTGAATGAGCGTGTTGGTCGCAGGGGCATCCTTGACTTTCGAGCCGTAACTGATCAAACCGTAGTCATTGGTTTCCTCGATCCATTCGTAGATCATGGAGCCAGACCAAGTGCCAGACATCTCATCGCCAAAGATGGCGGCCTGGTCGTCGAAAGTGCGAGGAGGGACAGTATTGCAGCCAGTTTCGGAGAAAAAGATAGGGATGGGGTAGTCTGTCGCGTTCTTCTGGAGGATGTTGTATCCAGAGACCTGGTATGAGGAATGACCGCACCACTCGTAGGCGTTGAGAGCGAAAAAGTCCAATCGATCGGCGGGGTCTTTGAGACAGGCCATATAATTTTGAAGCATGGGACGCAATTCGGCAATATCAGCCGCGGAGTATCCCACGGGAATCTTACGGTAGTTCTTTTCATCCCGATACGCCTTTATGTCACGAGCCGCAGCAAGGACGTAGGGAGCCGCAGCCGAGCCATCCTTGGTGGTGAGAACTTCGTTGCCGACAAACACACCGGCGGTATTGTCAAACTGTTGGAATTCGTCCAAGACGGCCTTGAAGTGATCGAACTGTGTTTGGTTCCAGTGAGGTTCGGTCTAGATGGTCAGTATCGTGCTGACAGAGGTATTGGGCTGAATCACCTGTTCAATCTGAGTATTGAAGGTGTCGAGATCGACAAACAGATAGATGCCTGCATCCGCAAAAGCCTTCATGCAGCCTTTATGGTCGGCGCTGGGGTCGACATGGTAAACACGAATGGCATTGGCGCCCAATTCCGACATGCGAACAATATCACGTTTGCATTGAGCGGTGTCGATCAGAGGGTCCTCAGGGACGAGTTGATAGGCGATTCCTACGGGTATTAGAAGTGATCTTGGATGTCAAACACAATGCATACCCTTGAGAAAATATTGCTTTCCATCCTCGTAGAAGAATTTTGAGCCAACGGCGGAGATGGTCGGCACAGCTTGTGCGGTCAGGGCGTGCAGACTGCCCATCAGCAATGAAGCTGCAGACCACGACTGCGAAGAAAACAGCATCTTGTCACGCCACTCGTATAGCTGGTAGGTAGTTATGCGTGATAATCCTGTGGTGAGTAACTTGGATAGATGAGGATGAAAGAAAGAGAGTGAGATGAAATCCAACGAGGAAAACAGCAGAATCTATAGTCGAGCAAAGAAGGAACGAAGATTAAGCTGGGGATCGAGGGAGGAAGGAACAAGGGAGCCAGAAATTGGCGAAAAACGCCCTTACGGAGAGGTTGAGGACGATGCAGGACAAGCGGCGAGAAAACAAGGCCGGCGTTGACCTAGACAACCTAGATAGGCATGATGAAGATATTAAGGCGGCGGAAATATGAGATCAGTGTTTCAGCTCTGCATGCCCGGTATCCCTGGGGACAGGCAGGAATGATGGTTGAACACATGTTGTATGGATATTTGAAGAAGTTTAATGCTATTCTGGTAGTCATTAGTCTGGAGGTTAGTCTGGTAGAATTGATTGATGAGAGTGGCATTATGGAAGGTGGTGGTGAGTCGAGGTTGGTGATGGTGAAGCTGGAGATGACCCCGCCAGATCATCTGACTGAGACATCGAGATAGGACATGTCTTATTGGGCATGAATCCTATATTATTCTGAAAACAGCTGTCCTGACTTGTAGTGACCAGTGACATTGTCAACTATGGCTATTTTCGTCTTCTGAAAGATAAAGTCGCAGGATAAAGTCGCATTGGACAGGTGTACTACAGTAGCAGCTATAGGTGACGGAGGGCTCCGGTCGGAATCTGGAGATAACGTCGAAGATGCAGATTCTCCGCCAGGATGATGAAATATCACGATCAAAAGTTCATCAGGCGAAAATCGGAAGCCGAGAACTGCCCTACGATCTAATCGCTTGAGTTGACTGTTTTGTTAAGGATCGATGGTGGAGACGGACAGAAGAGGAAAAAGAATAGGAATTAGGATAGGAGGCTACACACTACACAGTAATACTCCCTCTACACAGTACCTGTTTACCAGTACTTGATCAGGGGTACCACAACAGAGTAACAGTTACTGTTAATATCTACTACTATCTCTACTAATTAATATTTTCTACTTGAGATTCCTACTTAAATATTTTATTACTGCTACTACCGTGGCGTTATCGACAGGCCCAGACCAGCCCCAAACTTGTTTCTTTTCCCATTCTCGTTAAGGATCGACTGTTATTCTCGTGGTGGATCGGCAGACCCTGAGGCTTTTCTTGTTTCCTTTTCCCCCCCTCCTATTCTTGCAGTATTCTCGCTTCCCCTCCTGCCCCTTAACCGTTGCTGTGAGATAGGAGAAATGTAAGAATATTTAACTATCCAATAGTCTTGTATTTATTTATATCTGTAATATCAGAATTATCACCATAATACTCTGTAGGATGATATGAAATCAATACTGTAATACGGATCGCCAGACCCATCGAGATTCGTAAGTGCTGGTCCACCCGCCATCCCCAATAATTGCGATCTTCTCTTGTCAATGTCCGTTGCTGCTTGACTTGCAGTACGTGCACCCTGGCTAATTCCCTAGTACAAAAAGACCCTTTCCCCTCATCCTTCTTTTTTCTTGGTTCCTTCGACCTGATGTAAAAGTTCTTAAATTGAAACCATTTCTTCGACCGATCGACACTGGCTTGCGTGGATGACGTGCCGTGGTTCTCACATGACGCTCGCCGCTTCCGGTCTACAAGAAGATAAACTCGTCCGCTTCTAAAAATCGCTGCGATCCCCTCTTGTGCCCAAACTCAACCTGAACTCTTTTTTGGTCCTGTCCTGCCTTTCCAGCCTTTCGTTTCAGCCTTCGAGATTCTTCTCCTCTCGACAGTCGTCCTGTCGCTTACACTCGTTTTCTCGGAACATGCAATCCATGGTTCCCCGCTGCCTCCAGACTGTCTCTCTGCCACCCCTCGCTTCAACGATTGGTTTGGAATCGCGGTGATTCCTCCTCTTCGACGTCACCATTTGCTTGCCATTGTTTGGCGGCGATTTTTGCCCTAGGATATAGACACTTCGTCGCGCGTGATCGGACTGTCTTCACTCAAGCTGGTACATTGAGCGTTGGATTATCACTATATAATTCACAATGAGCACTACTTCGCCTTTCCGAATCTCTGCTCGAGATCTCGAGGATCTCGAGCGTAACGATGCTTTCAGAACGATCAGAGAGCACCTGAAGCGTCAGGAACAGGGGATGCACGCCCCAAGGTACGTTGAACAATCAATTGCAGTCAACCCAAACGGATGCTAACGACCTTCTTAATAGTTTCTGTGCGACCCATCGCCACTCCTGCTCCAGCCAGGACCAGGAATCCTTTCGTTTGCACCGCGATATCATTCACACTCTTCTCCTGCCCCTCTTTCTCCTCCACAACCAAGCTTCCCGTATCGCCTCAAGCGTCCTGCCCAGTCAACGCGCCTCGGAACCGGAACGCGCCTTTCGCGGGGAAGCCCGCAGTGCCTATGCTTGGCTGCACTGCATCCTGACCGAAGAGCACGATTGGTACTTGACGGAACGATGCCCCGCCTGTATCGTCCTGCATGCTCTTCACTCCGAACCCACCATCCGGTTCGTCGCCGTCGCGTGTCTGCTCTCCGACCACCTCCAGGATCTGGGTTTCCTCAACGCCAGAAACCGCCTGCCGGCATTTGAGTTTTGGCTCGAGGCTCTGGAAACTGCCGTGTGCGAGGATCCTTTCTGGGGCAATGACTTTTGGCCCGAGATTGAATACCGTGCTTGTGGTCTGACCGATGGCGTCAAGCAGCTAGTCCTGCAGTGTATGGAGATGCGGACTGCCCTGGAGCGACAGAGCCTCCAGGCGCAGAGCTCCTACGGTTCCCACTACCGGGCGGAGGCCTCGCGACAGCAGCAGGTGCATACCATTGCTGCGAAGAAACAGGCCCGCATGACTGGCGAAGAGCCGAAACGGCTTTCTAAGGTCGTGGTCAACTGCTACATGCAGTCGAACCGGCCCCAGAGATTCCACAGACGATCCGTCACATCTTGAACAAGGCTCTTGAGTTATGGGTTTACTTTTTTGATGGACATTCATCTACGCATCCAGTCTTCCACAGATCCTACCTACAGAAATGGCACATTCGCTGGATAGGAAGACACGGACGATGCACACTTCCATAAATGGAATCAACAAGCCACTACGCAACATGGCCAGACACTCGTCTAAGACAGATGTCATGACAGTGGCAGTGGCAATGGCAAACCAGTCGACATGACTCGCCAAAACGTCACGCCAAACAATCCTCCCACGGTTGACATGACGAAACATCTTCATACCCTCCCAGTAACATGGGGCTGGGATTGATGGAATGGCAATGCCTCCGATCGGCAGATGCTTAACAGTCAGCCCAAGGGGCGAAAACATGGGGTCTGCGTGTTGATGTGCGTGGGGGCCGGGAGGATTGCGTGGCAGTGGGGTTGACAGGGACGAAGGATGTTATAACATTGTGACGCAATGTCATTACTATCTAGGTACTATTTACTACTTACTATCATAATGTTTAATCCATCTTACTATTGATTGGCTTGATGTAATCCGTAATTCAACAACAGTAAAGTAAGCAGTGTCAGCACACTATTTTGATTATCTCTGATTCGCCTGATCAGATAATAAGACAAGACAATCAACATACGATGATAATATCATATTAGATATTACTCTGTAGATCATAGACCAGCTGATGACTATCAAATCCACGATCACTTCATCCGATACAAATCCAGCATCATCCTGACGATCTGAGTGATTATCCAACAATCCTGCAACACCTGTCTACGCGTCCAGCACAGCCGAAACAGACTGACTGACTCTCTCGATTCAATTCAATTCAATCTAATCAAAATTCTAGACTCAATCATCCCATCTCGTCTCATACATACAAACAAAACCAAACTTCCACTTCTCACATGAAAGGAATCCATACCTTTAATATCCCAATCCATCCATCCATCCCCCACACCTACCTGCTACCTAGCAACCTGAGACAATCTCGGTTCCCTACACGGGTGGATGTAATATATCTTAAAATTAAAATTAAAATTTACATTAATCCATGTCTGTACTCTGTAACAAGTCACAGAATAATAGAAAGAAAAGCAATGAAACTGCCCACGTTTCGCTTGGTGAATTGTATACATGAGACAAAAGCGGGACGTGTCTACGCTGCGAACCATAGTTATGCTTATGTAGCTACCTATTACCTAGTCGATAGTAGTAGATGGGTAGATGGGGAGGTATATTAATAGATATATTTGTGGAAATTAGGGCTTAACGGTAGTTATGGAGGGATTATTAAGGATACATAACTAATATAAGTGAGGGATAAATTATACAGTTTCTGCATAATTAATATGAGCGCTACGCAGTCTCTCCAACCAAGGTAGAAGGTATGTTGTGTGATTTTTCGCCATGAATAAGTTGGCCAAACCATGGTACGCGCTGTTTTGGGCGAGATGGAAAGGGCAGGACAGGGATTTCCGGCCGTTACGGAGTAACTCCGTTTACATTTATTTTACTTTTGAGGCGTTGGAAATGGCTTGCTGGCTGGCTGGTTGGCTTGCTGGCTGGCTGGTTGGCTGGCTGGCTGGCTGGATTTTGTTGGATTATCTTGTTTTAAATATGTTGGAAGACCGAGAGAAAGGTGAGGTGGAGGATGTTGAGTGAGTGTTGTCAGTGAGGTGTTCGTACATGGACTAAGGTAGGTACTTATGCGGGTTTGATGCAGGTGCCCTACTAAGTACTCGCTAGTGCTGTATACAAGCCTGATGAAATAGCCATAATATTATTTATTTGATTCTAAAGTAGAAGAACGATCATAAGGGTCCAGGCTAGGAAACCTCCGGATCTACGCACGATCACAACTGACACTGACACCATTGACCATCCAGAATAATTGCGGATCTACTCGGCACATTTCCATTCCAGTCCATTCCAGTCCAGTCCAGTCAGCAGTCAGCCAGTCAGTCACACAGTCTGGCCAGACCCGAAGCGCAGTCGGGCCCGAAAACCGCTGAAAACGGTAATCGAGTAAATCGATCAGCCGATAAAAAAAAAATGGGGCCAAGGTTCTTTTCGGACCCAATGGAAGGGCTGGATCTAAGGGGAATGTCGAGTAGTCGACGTCAGGAAGAGCCCGGATTTCTGGGAATTGAAGGGGAGCGAATGAATCCGGCTAGAGTGAAGAGGAGAGATTGAGTCACTGTGCATGAGCCAGGAAGCACTGACTGATCTGTCATTTGCGGTGCTTGGGTCAGGATGTGGTGGCTGCTCTAGTATAGTTGATATTAGATAGAATAGTCTAGGGATAGCTGTTGATCTTGCGATATTACATGATCATTACTATTAGTCTTCAATACTGGCTGATTCCGTGACTAGTAGTAGGTATATTGGCTATAGCACATAGTACATCGTATATAGACGGGATGAAAAAGAAATGCTGATATACATACTAGAGAATACTATGTGCAGGAAACAAGAACCGGGCAGAAACAGCGAGAAGAAAAGCAATGGTGTTGTTGATCATCTATAGTCATCGTCATGACTCTACGGGGTACATTCCACTGTACCCTGCACAGTATACAGCACCGGTATTCAGTTCCAACATATTCCACAATCCTTAATCTCCATCCATCCATCTCATCATCCATCTCATCATCCATCTCATCATCCATCTCATCATCTCTCTTAATATCTTAGTTCTTAATCAATATCTACAATCATCTATCCCAGACAGATCAAAACCTGCATCGCCCAACTCCATCCGGCGGGTCCAATAGTTGCCTGGTGGGTCTGGTTGGGGGCCACTCTTGGCCTTTGCCCCTAGGCTTTTCCGGGTCTAGACGGGCCGGATGGCAAAAGAGTAGGTATACTACTATGAAGATATTATAATAGTATAGATATTATAGAGATATCATAGTATAGAAATAATATAGAAGAGAGAGAGAGAGAGAGAGTGTGTGTGTAAAAGAATATAGAATAAGAATAACAAATAGAAGTGAAGAATAACATAAATAATACAGAAATGGTGATGAGTATAAGTGTCATGATCCACTCGGTCTAGAACCCCGGTGGAAAGTCGCAGCCCAGCGCTTTTCCTCTGGCTCGCGTTTTCGTTCTGGCCCTTTTGCTTTGCCTTTCTTTGGGTTCCTTTTCTCCAGACTTCTTCGACTCTTCTTCTTCTCGTCATTCTTCTTCCCTTATTTTCATCATCTTTTTTCTTCTCCACCGCTCCTTCTTAACTACCCGATCCCCCTCTTCCAAATCCGTGTCTTCCGCTTCTCCTGCGACCGTGCTTGACACATCTACTTACCTGTCAACTACTACTACCTACACCTGCCAACTACTACTAACTACTACCAAGTACTACCAACTGCATGAGCCTTGACTCGTTCTCGCCTTAATCTCCGATCGACTGTATGAATCATTCACCGTGCCATGGACCGTATCGGCCTGTGTCTGTGGTGCAAGACAGCCCGGTCATGCGTTCTCCATCTTCACCTTGTTTCCCTTCAGACTCGTGGGAGGAATCCTCCTGCTCTCGCCAGGCTGTCGTAGCTGCAGACCATCAAGACTCCTTCCGTTCCGCCCCATACTCCCCCGTGCGTTTTCGAGACCAAGCCACCATCCTTCGCCAGGACGTGACCCCGGCCAAACTCAGACGTCGTGCCTCACAGAGCTGTCTGCTCACCAAACCATCCACCGTCTCCCGTTTCTTGTCCAAGAGTAACTCGCCTCTGCGGTTTCAATCGGAGAATCTGGGCCGTGTGGGAGGATCTGCTACCAAGATTGAATCACGAACACATTCGGCGGACTCGCGTCTTCACCTGTCTGCTACGTCGAGCTCTCTGTCGGGCCGAGCGTCGTCCTCTACCGTCTGGGATTCTGCATCCAAGGGCAATTCCCCGGGCGACTATCCTTCTGCACTCCCGCCAACACCCCCGGATGACGACGAGCACGTTGCGTGGAATCCTTCGTCCGGAATGTTGTTGTTCGAATCCCAGGTGAAACCGGATCATGGGTCCATGCCCATGGACGAGGGCCCCAATATCGATAACAGATCGCGGTCGTCTGCTCAGGACAGCCTTGGTAGCCCGTCGGATCAGTCGTCAAATGGTGCTTCCAGTGCTGGTGGAAGCCCTAGATCACCCAGTGGTGACATGGATTGTGATCCAAGTTCATGGTTGGAGAATGGCATCGATTCTGCTGGTGAGTCATCTTCACATGCTTTGGTACTTTTAACCCGGTCTAATTTGAAACAGTATCCTCGTTGCCTTACTCGAATGCCCGCGGAGAAGCTGTAAAGATTGTATCTCAGATGCTTCCATATCCGCGCGCAGCCGACAAGTCATCAGCTCCTCCCACTGATGATAGCGTCTTTTGTTCACTGGTTCAGACCGTACAAAACCGCCTCCAACAGGGCCAGTCGCCGTACATCAACGTTACACACGCCGTCCCTGAACAATTTAGCCTCTCCAATCTCCCTTCCTCTCCCCCCAACACTCCTCGTCTCCTCTTCCCCGGTGACGACTATTTCAACTCTACTATCTTCTCCAGTGCAGCCGTGGTATCTGCCTACCATGACTTCCGGGGCCCTATCCAAATGCATCCGGCACACTTCCCGATGCCGGTCGTTCCGCCCCACTCTGTACATATCTCGGTTCTGGAACGGTACCTGCCTCCTTCCTCTGCCCAGGAGTACAAGGACTTTTTCTCACCGAACCGACCATCCTTCTTGGCGGATCGGATGTCCGAGCTCTCCCCTGAAGGTGGATCGTTGCTCTTGATCTACCCTACCCGGAGGGGTGCCCAGACCTTCAAGTCGCAGTATCTCGGACCTATCCTGGATCCACTACTGCGCCAGCTCGTCGTGGTTAACGAGCTGTCGGCCGACATGGGCCGCTATTTGGGAAAGATGTCTTCCGTCTCGCAGATGGAAGACTTCGATACTATGAAGTCAAACATTGATCAGCTATGCCGTTCTCTAAGTTCGGCATCATCCCAATTCAGCGTGGTTGATGCTCGAAAGGGCAGTGCCGGTCTCGACCGCAAATTGTGGACCGAGTGGTTCATCCACCAAGACAAGGCCCGCATGAAGGAAGTCCTCACCATGTACTGGCAGAACGGCCGACGTCTCCCGGCGAACAAAGCCGTGTCGACTCCCCAGAACCACATGCTGGCGGACAAAGAAGTGACCTCGGCCATGTTGCTGGGCGAGATTCTAGACGGAATCCGGAGACGACCCTATGGCGAGGAGAATGAACCTCGCGATGGGGTTGAACTGGGAGTTTTTGTGATTCGTCGTTCTCATTAAGACCTTTGTCTAATTACAAGGGCGTGTTTTATCTATATACTTTTATTATGATTGGGATGTTAGGCTAAGGTATTTAAAAAGGTATGCGGTGGCGTCCACGGCTTTTGTTTTCTGGGATATGGAATCCTAATGTGTGCATTGTTTGGTTGGATATGAATACCCATGTTGTTTTCTGTTTATTATTGATGGCCCCATCATGTTTAGACCGTGGTATATGAGATACCGGTTTATGGATGAGGAGGAGATCAATAGCTTGATTGTACAATAATTGCTGGTCAATGAGAAATGTACTACAAAGAATCGAAGATTCCAACAGAACAATACCTCATAGCTCATAGCTCATATCTCAATAGCTCAATGTAGCTCAATAAGACTAGTCATTATCTTTTTCATCTCCATTGAAGAATTCCAATACAATCAAAGAATAATAGTTCTCTGTCGCTAAACTTCTATTGTAGATTCTGGTGGGCGGTCAAAAATGTCCCCGAGGCTATTCCGCATCGGGCCAATAGCCGGATTCCCGCTTTCTCCTTCATCTCCAAGTGTTTCTCTTCGCCCTCACACTTAGTCCAGGGATTTCTACTTGGCTCTCCCCTTCATACTTTTTCTCTCGTTTACTTCTCTTGATTCTTATGCATATTACTCTTTCTTACACTCCCCCATCGCTTCTGCGACAGTCTCCAAGACAAACCCAGTCTCATCTCTCATAGCCTTTCACCCAGTACCCATTCTTCAACCCAATAGAATACATACCCTCACCAACACACTAATACATCCACCCACATCATGGCCTACTCACCAGCTCCAGCATCGCCCGGAGCAGCGCAGGCCTTCAGCAACAGTCTACACTCGCGTGGCCGCTCCAACAGCCCCCCCACAAGCGTCCCTCTCACAAAACGAGACAAGCGCCGCAGCGCATTACAAGAGCGTCTCCATGATCTCACAGCCTCGTTCTCCCAGAACAGAGATACCCAATTCCGCCAGCAGTTGCATGCCCTCCAGTGTGATATGACCCTCATCAATAATGCGGACCCCTACACGCCGGGCCCGCTCCCTGACTCGGCGGACGAGATTGCGCACTTGATTGAGAGTACCGTTGGTGGGGGGAAGTTTGCCAAGGAGATGGCGAGTCTGGCTGGGATGTGGTATTCGAGGTTTGTGCAGGAGGTGAATTTGGTGAAGGAGGATAAGGATGCCGATTTGGCTATGCTTGTGGTGAGTTTTTCTGATTTTGGGGGGTTTCCCTTGATCCGAGTCTTGTGCTAACTATGTTAGAACCGTCATAATAGTAATCTTGAACGTTTTCAACGCGAATACGCTTTCCGTGTACATTTCGCCGCCGAAGAATATAATAACCTCTCCTCCACCCTTCGAGAACGGCTGGTGCAGACCATCTCCGGCAAAAAGGCCCGCTTGATGCGGGAAAAGGAACAGTTGGATATCGCAGACACCAATGCTCTTCTTCTCCACCCCAATCAATTCAGCATTACCAATCCTGCGAGTCCGGGCGGTATCCATGGGAACCGCAAAACTCGACACACCCGTCACCGTGTCGATTTGGACGAGCTTGGGAACGGAATTGGATCGGAGACGTTCAACAAGAGGAAGAGGAAGGCGCCGGAAGAGGATGTTGGTTCTCCGGTGCGGGAATCCGGTCATGCTGCTCCGGCTGAGCGCGCGAAGAACTATGTCGCTCAGCAGCAACAGGCTCCGGCTTATTCTATGCACTCGCTTTTCACGGACAAAGAGCTCAGTGCTCATGCCAATCAGGCTCATGTTGCTACTGTCCACTTCTTCTCTACCTCCAAGCGAGCCGATCAGCCGTCTGGTGCTGCTACGAATGGCAATAATACTGATGTGGAGGAGGGCTCGGGCGTGGGCGATGGCACCGGACAGGAAGATAATGGCACACCAGCCACCGACATGATTCGGACGGCTAGTCAGAACTTCCACGCGACTCGTTCCACACGGACGCACGGTAACAACGCCCTCAATGCCCTCGCCGAGCTCTCGGACAAACCAGCCGTCCGCCCCAACCTGCCCTACAACATCCTCGCCAACTACCACGCGCGCCCCAATGGCAACGCGCCACCCCTCCCGCCCCTTATGAACGAGGAGGTAGACGACGACTGCGCCCGAATGAGCCTATTACACACCAAACCCGCCGGATGGGTAGACAAGAGCCTTATCGACCTCCTCATCGAACCCGTCCCCGAAGACGGCGACGGATCCCCCCAGAACCCGAACCGGTTCAACCTCTTGCATCCTGACTTCCCATCGGACATGGGCATCCATCTGTATCCGGCGAGCAACGGCATCAGCAACGGCAAAGAACCCGAGCCGCTGGGATCCAGTAATGGCAGTGAACGCGCGAAGCGGACAAAGGTGGCATGATATTTGGCAAAACCATGGCGTTCATATAATAAATGCAGGGATTGGTGTTTGGATGGTCTTGACTATTGGGTGTACGTAGGCGTTTGGATAGGTTGGGTTGTTACTATGCTATGTACATTGGTCGTTCCTTATTGTTTATTTCTTTGGCTCGATCAGACACACTTCATATGTTGCCTCTGGCGTATTGAAGATAGATTTCTTTTGTGGGATAGTGAATTGACTACTGTATATGATCAACACCCATCTTCATCCATCTATACTCCCTACCCCAATCTATACCAAGCAGTCCCTCCCCTCTACAGCCAACACTCGGTCACAATATACCAAAAGTACATACAATCGGATAGATTCATACAGGGAGCTTACCAATCCAATCTGACGTCATCCACCCAAACCCCGGACTTCCACTCCCGCTGATTGGCCACGGCTGTGGTCGGATGGCTTTTGCGCAGATGTAATTGGTGGATGCGGAGCACGCCATTTGGTTTGGAGATTGGTATTTTGTCTTGCATTTTGTTGATTAGAAATGGTGTAGGTATTGTATTAGAAATGATGGGAGGGGGAGGGGTATATAAGGGTTTGGTTTGCTTTGGGTTGAATCTTATCACTACGACATACATACTTATCTTGTTAAGATACTACCTACCTTGCTACCTTAGGAGATATCTCAAAATGTCTACTACAACCACCATTACAGCGACTGAATATATCCCCCGCGGCCCTGTCGAAGCGGAATTCCTCTTCTACGCTCCCCCCGCCGACAACTCCGCGCCCTACAACTATGTCCAGTCCCCGCCCCCAGGCGTCCCCCAGAGAAACTACCAACAAGTCCCACACAAAGTGACCGTAGACGACATCCGCGGCCACGAAGCAGAGTACACGCTCGACGGCGACGCATTCCAAGTTCTGCAGAACGTGGCTACTGCAACGTCGTATGCCACTTTTGATGATGATGAAGCCGTGCAGAGAATCTATTACCCCGAGGTTGAGAAACTGCTGCTCGATAACGTCCCCGGGTCTCATAAGATCGTTATATTCGATCACACGATTCGCAGACAAGGGCGCAATGCGCCCCGACAGCCCGTGAACCAGGCCCACGTCGACCAAACCGACAAAGCCTCCTTCGACCGGGTCAAACTACACGTTCCCGACGCGGCGGAGGCCGAGAAACTCCTCGCTGGCCGATACCGCATTATCAACGTCTGGAGACCGCTGAACGGGACTGTGGTTTCCTTGCCGCTTGGGTTTGCGGCTGCGTCGTCTGTCGATGCGGAGGAGGATCTGGTGCCTGTTCAGCACCGGTATCCGAACCGGACGGGCGAGACGATGGGGGTGAAGTATAATGCGGCGCAGAGGTGGAAGTATCTCTCTGGCATGGAGACTGAGGAGAGGCTGTTGTTGAAGTGTGCGGATAGTAAGGAGGGGGTTGGGAAGAGGGTGCCGCATTCGGCGTTTGCGGATCCGAGGACGCCGGAGGGGGCGAGACCGAGGGAGAGTATTGAGGTGAGGGCTTTGGTGTTTGGGTAGATGGGGGATTGTGTATGAGTTATGAGTTATGTCATGTGTTTTTGTTTTGCTTTGTTTTGCTTTGTTAATGTAGCAGATAATATCAGATTGTATGATCCGCGTCATTCTCACCTCAGTAGATGTTTACATGAGCAAATCATGACGATAATGCCAGACAGCTTCTAAACATCACACAAACTGTAGTATCATGTAGATACAAGCCTCCAGATGGGAACATGGACGGCCGAAAAGCCCACGACAACAGCCTCCTCGAGCCCAACATCTTGCGAGGAAACATATCCCACCAGCTCCGCACTTTCTCCAACAACATAGCAGCTCCCACAGCCCACATCCGCATCCTCGACGCCATCCGGTACGACCATCGCGAGATCATATCGTACTATGAACTGATTGTCAACTCCACAGACCGTGAGGAGCAGACGCGCTGGCAGAACCAGTTTACCTGGGAACTAGCCCGGCATGTTGTAGCGGAGGAATTGGTGTTTTATCCTGCTTTGGAAAAGTATTTGGAGGATGGGGAGGAGAGGGCTGAGAAGAGTCGAAGGCAGCATAAAGAAGTAAGCAGCCACCTGCCACCAACCATCTCATTTGTCCTTATCATAGCTCCCCCCACAGTTGCAGATGCTGATAGAAGCAGATAAAAGAGCAACTCAAAATCTTCCAAGATCAGAGCCCAACAGACGTCCACTTTCTGCACACCATTGAAGGCCTCATGGAGAATTTCAAGCATCACGTCAATGACGAAGAAACAGACGATATTGTCAGGCTGGATGACGTTCTCACCCAGGAACAGAGCATCAGCTTGACTCGGTCCCTTGAGCGAACCAAGATATTTGTCCCCACGCGCAGCCACCCGATTGCTTCTTCGAAACCTCCTTTTGAGACCGTTGTTGGGCTGCTGGCGGCGCCGTTGGACCATCTAGCGGATTTGTTCCGCAAGTGGCCGGATACTGGGGGGACTCAATATTGAATCTGTCTTTACTCTTTGCATTTTTGGTTTCTATTTTGTAAACTGGATGTTAGCTTGAATAATAATAGTAATGATGATGATTTACCTGTAGACATTGTGATTGACATGAGTTTGCTGATCCTTCTGCGCGTGGAAAAAAGAGCGTCGCGTTGGTTGCCCGATCGAGCGCCCCACGTGCCTCTCCTTATCACCACAAACAGCCTCAACATCAACCAATATCACACCGGAGGATTGCAATAGTCCATAATACCAGCTATCATGGTTCACTGTCAGCATCCTGATTCCTGCCTCCATATTTATCTGCCTAGCTGTGGCTGCAGGCTGGCGTCAAGGCAATCCAGCAGGCAGAAGATCGTCGAAACACGCCGTCGCAAACCTACGCCCCACGAATCAGACTGCAAAACGGCGTCAATCCGGGCGCTTCTTCATCACGCCGCATGCTGCTATTGCTCCTTGGTGTGTTATTTTTATCCCCCCGTTCTGGAGCCTGAGACTGACGGACTCTAGCCTCTTGGTTTTTCGGTCCAGTGTCCAATCGTTCGTCAGGTACGGCGTACGCACCACGCACCTTTTAATATCAGGCCCTCCACCTCGGCCAAAACTAGTCATGGCCCATTTATGAATGAATCTGCAGGAGAGAGGGTCGGTTAGAAACAGTCTCACTCTCATTTTAAAGGATTAAAAAGACTCGAGAACTCAGGAGTTGGTTGATGGCTGTTTCTTCGGTTTGACTTCCGGCCTTTTGGAGTTTGGTCGTGAACCGTGCCTTTCCCCAGCGCTACGCAATTCAACTGTCGATCAATGCAGGTCTAATTCGTTTATCCCGGTTGCTGCTCAGTTCTAGCTGGGTGGTTATAATCCCCCTGTTCTGCTCAGAACTACATTGTTCTCTCGTTTACTACTGAGCCCTTGCTGCTCTCCTACCCCAGATTCTGCAGCTGTCAACTCTTCACTACAATATGTTTGTCCGTGCTTCTGGTCTACCTTATCGTGAAGATCGTCGCACCGGCTACTCGACCTAAAGATGGCCCTCGGGAAGGACTTGGCTGCTCGTGCAGCAAATAACCCCCGCGATTCTACATCAAGCGATTTCAGGCATTCCCGAAATAGCTCAAAGAATGACTCTATTTCGAGCGTGGACTCTTCGCGTTGGTTTGCAGGCTCTTCTAAGAGTCATTTACACCATGGACGAGCAGATTCAGGAAGCAATGTACCGCTGGTCGGCGAATCTGCCGCCCCTTCGATAAACGTAACCGAGAGTGCGACGAGCACAACCGTCGCCCCAGTTCCTCAAGCCATCACCGCCAAAGACAAAGGCGGTCATGCCCATAATCACTCGGCTAGCGGTGGTGATGACCTGGAGAGGTCAAAATCGTTTATAAAGCGACTCTCGAGCCTGAAATCACCCCGCCTGCGAGCAAACATGAACCCCCGCAAGGATCGATACTCCCGCCTCCATGAGTTGGACGACTTCCACGGCGAGCCGATGGGGGTGGATATATCTTCTCTTGAAGGGCTGCCATTCGGTATGCAGTTTAGTGGTGCGACTCCAGATGAAGAGAAGGAATCATATGGTGATAGGAAAATACCATCCGCATCGACATCGGACTCTAGTCTGCAGGCAGACAATGCGGAGGAACCGACCAAATCCGTAGGCGTCACGGTATCTGAACAGCGGCGCACAACAATCATCTCTACCAAGGGCGGCTTTGCAGCGGTCGATCTGAGTTCCCTGGAGGGACTGGGACAGTCTGGATCCGAGTCCTCCCCCAAGTTGAAGGAGTCATATACCGGCTTAACTGATATGAGTTTGTACCCGACTAGTTCAGAAAGACCGAATTGGAGACCTTTTTCGATGAAAAACCTTTACATCATAATGTTGATAGTCGTGTCGCTCACACTAGCTGGCGTTCAGGAGTATCTCTGTCAAAAGTCACAGCGACTGGAGAAACAGGGCAGTGGGTTAGTCCGGTACAACCAAGTGGAGAATATGCCCGTGTCTGAATTCTTCTGTTGGAAGTACCTGCCAACGATTGTCATGGTCAGCTACGGCGTGTTATGGCAGATTGCCGCCTACGAGATTCAGCGATTGGAGCCCTACTACCAACTCTCGCAACCCACCGGCAACACGGCGGCTAAAAGTCTCAATCTCGACTATGTCACCATCTGGTCGTACTTTGTTCCATACAAGGCGTTCAAATACCGACACTGGCTCGTTTTCGTTTGTTCCATTGGAACCATCCTTGCCACGACAGCTGCACCCTCTCTCCAAAACCCCAGTCTCATAAGCGTCAAGAATCCCCATTGCCACGGTGTCAAGGACTGCGGTGGTGATTTCGCCAACATCCTTCGAATCCAGCCCATCTGGTCTCGTCTCATGACGGCTTGTCTCATCCTCGTCGCAATCCTCTCCACCATCATGCTGTTCATGCTTCAACGGAAATCAGGACTCCTCAGCGACCCGCGCGGAATCGCAGGCGTCGCATCCATGGCGACCAAATCGCACATCCTCCGAGACTTTGACGGAATGGACGAATCCCTCCATGATGACATCCACAAAAAGCTCCGCCACCGTCGATACATCCTCTACAAATCCACCATCTGGCAGGGCGAATTCACCAAACAAACCGAATTCGATCCTCCCGAGTTACGAGTCGAAAACCCCAACCCGAACCCGCAACCCATCATCCTCCGCACCTACGTCCTCCTCGCCTTCATCGCCTTCATGGTCGTCTGCCTCCCCTTCATCCCTGCCATCTCTTACACCTCCCTCAACAAAATCACCCGCACCCTCCCCTGGCTCCCCGTCCTCCTCTCAACCCTCATCAAGCAAATCTGGGCCACCCTCGAATTCAACGTCAAAATGCTCGAACCCTTCTACACTCTTTCCAAGGGAAACGCCCACCCCGAACAAACCCTCACCCTAGACTACCAGGGTACCCCATATGGCCTCCTCCCGTGCAAAGCCCTCTTAAACCGCCACTACCTCGTCGCCCTAATCGGCATCGGCTCCATCCTCGGCGACATCCTCACAATCACCTTCTCCTCGCTCTCACTGGCCTCCGAAACGCCTTCTTCCTTCTACTCCTCCTCCATCCTGTCAACCACCATCGTCTCCATCATGATTTTCTCCGCGTTTATCGCTTTCCTCCGGCGCAGACGCCCCTTTATGCCCCGCCAACCGTCTACCATTGCATCCATCTTAGCCTTCATCCACCAGTCCCGTATGCTCGATGACTTTGTCGATACGGAGCTCTACACACATAGCCAGATGCAGGATATGCTTATTCGGAAGGGCAAGACGTATGGGCTAGGCTGGTTTAGAGGAAGAGATAATCGCCCGCATTGTGCGATTGACCAGGAGCCCATGTTGAGTCGGTATCGGCATGGGGTGAGTTACATCCGGGCTCAGGCGCCGTGGGAGGAGAATATTGGGGTTTGATGTCTCGTCTATATCTGTAAATATTATCTATATACCCTACATACGTTGTTTTATATGGCTGTCTATACTGTATGTCTGTCTATGTCTATTTTATCCTGTTTATACTATGAAATAGATGAGATCATTGATAATAAGTATAAATGAAGTATAAATTTTATAACAAATGGAAATGGATATCTATTCACAGCCCAAACTTGTGACAAGGGCATAGTTCAAAACAAAAGAAAAAAGAATACAAAGGAAATAAGATAGTAACCAAACATTCTATACACCAAACCCCGAAAAATCAATCAAATGGAAAGAAAAATCCACCCAAAACTCAAACTTAGTACATGATCCCAACTAGAACAGCAGCAGCCGTCCACCAGAGACCCGAAGAGGCAGAGATAGACGAGGCAGCGCCGGTGAAGAGGGGAGTGCTAGGCGAAGCAGACGAGGGGGTCTGTGATGTTGAGCTGCCCACCACCGCGCTGCTCCCAGGGACTCGAGATAGAGTCGATGGGGCCGCGGATGAGGACACGGCTTGAGAGGATGTCCATGGGTTTGGAATCCGGGTTGTTATGGGCGTAGTGGAATCGTCGGCATCAGTCACTTGCTTCTCCAATGGGAGGTTTGGAGGCTGTCCTCCGGTTATTCCGGTTTCCACTGGGGCGAGCGGGTTGAAGCTGCCGGTGGGGAAGCCTGGGAGGGTGGTAGGGAGACCTGGGAGAGCAGGGGGCGTGAGAGAAACCTGGGGCACGGTGAAGGTGTAAGAGCCGTAGGTGATTGTCGTGCAAGAGGGTTCGGGGGCGCCTGTGATGGTTGCTCCGACGGATACACTTGCGGATCCGACCAGAGTGACTGTGCTTGGGATTGCGGTCACGATGGCTGGGTTCTGCGAAACATAGGAAGCGCAGATGCCGGTGAAGAAGGATAGAGCGAACTGGATTTCAGTTTGGGATGATCCCGAGGATTCCACGCAGGAGATGACCTTCTTGGTGAACTCAGCCGAGGGACAGAAGCAGCTAGTGTCGTGGTTGGAAGAGCACTGTGCCACGTATTTCGAACTGTCGATGCACTTAAGCGCGATGTTCGAGAATGGGTTTGGTGGAAGGTTCGTGGGTGTAATCCGAGGAATGACAGATGCTGAAGTGAGTGTGACTGTGGAAGCAGTGGTGTAGACTGAAGTAGAAGTAGCACCATTCGAAGTGATGGTGGAAGTAACAGGGCAGGTGGTCACAGTCTCATAAGTTACCAGAGTAGTGGTTTCCTCAGCCGGAGCAGAGGAGACAGGGACAATAGAAGATGCGCGAGGGATAGTCGAGGTCGAGGTGAGAGTAGCTGTAGACACAGTGCTATACACCGAGGTGACCACTGATCCACCTGAAGTTGAAGTTGCAGTAACAGGGCAGGTAGTCACAGTCTCATATGTCACCACTGTAGTTGTGTCCTCACTTGGAGCCGAAGAAGCAGGTGTAACCGATGGCGTGGGAGTAATGAAAGAAGAGGAACCAGGTGCGATAGACGAGACGCGAGGGATGGTTGAAGTTGATGTAAGCGTGGCTGTAGACACAGTGCTGTACACCGAGGTAATCACTGATCCTCCAGAGGTAGTGGTTGCAGTAACAGGGCAAGTAGTCACAGTTTCATATGTCACCAGAGTAGTTGTTTCCTCAGCTGGAATTGAAGAGCTTCCAATGGGAGTGGAGGCAGCGACCGAAGAAGAGGGGCTAGCTGGCGGTGTGACGATCACAATCGACGGGATGGAAGCACTGCTGCTTTTAGGGATGGTAGAGATCGATGTGAAGGTGCCCGTCGAAACAGTGGTGTATACAGAAGTAACTACCGAGCCACCGGAAGTATGGGTTGCAGTGACGGGACAGGTAGTAACGGTTTCATATGTAACCAAGGTAGTGGTATCCTCACTTGGGACCGAAGAGCTTCCAGCAGGAGTCGATGCAGAGGGGCTCGGGACGGGTGTGATTCCAGGGATACTGATAGCTGGAGTGCTTACCGGGGTCACAGTGGAAGAGTAAGGCGCAGGAATTGTGCCAGTTTGAGTTTCCGTGACAGGGCAGACGGTGGTAGAGACAGCAATAGTCGAAGTAACAACTGAGTGCGATTCCGCTGGGCAATCGGTGACAGTAGGCGCACAGTTTGTAATAGTGTATTCGCTTGTGGAGTACACTGTCGAGGTTGTCATCTGAACTGGGGCTGTCCAAGATGGCACCCCGGGTGTAGATACAGCGCCGGTAGACTCTCCAGGGCAGTCTGTGACATGAGGGGCACAGCTTGTGACAGTAGCATAGTGGGTAGAATAAATGCTTGAGAGGCTCTGGTGTCCTGGGGTTAAACCGATAGGAGTCGATTCGGCAGCTGTAGCTGATGGTGGCACCCCGGGTGTAGAGGTTTCAGTTGCTGTGACGCTAATCGATGTTCCCGGGCAATCCGTGACATGAGGGGCACAGCTTGTGACGGTAGCATAGTGGGTAGAATAAATGCTTGAGAGACTCTCGTGTCCTGGCGTCAAACCGATGGGAGGCGTGGATTCAGCAGTAGATGACGATGGTGCAGATGTAGAGCGACTTTGGTGTCCCGGTGTCAGACCGATAGGCATAGTCTCACTAGCAGAGGGCGATGGTGTCGCAGATGTAGAGCGGCTCTGATGTCCGGGTGTCAGACCAACAGGCATAGTCTCAGAGGCAGATGACGAAGGCACCGCAGGTGTAGAAGTTTCAACTGCTGGGACGCTCGATGTTCCTGGGCAATCAGTGACTTCGGGAGCGCAGCTCGTGACAGTAGCATAGTGGGTAGAATAAATGCTCGAGAGGCTCTCATGCCCCGGGGTTAAACCGATAGGAGTCGATTCAGCAGCTGTAGCTGATGGTGGAACCACGGGTGTAGAATCAGTGTTAGTCTGAGTTTCAGTGACCGGGCATACTGTTGTTGAGATAGCGATTGTAGAAGTAACGACACTTGCAGGGCAGTCTGTGACCTCAGGCGCGCAGCTGGTGATAGTAGACAAGCTGGTAGAGTACACAGTGGAAGTAGTCCATTGGGGCGGGACGCTAGGAGCAGGTGTTGTGGAAGGGCGGCTCTGGTGTCCTGGTGTCAGGCCAATGGGCATAGTCTCAGATGCAGACGAAGATGGTGCAGGGGTAGAGCGACTCTGATGTCCGGGTGTCAAACCGATAGGCGTTGACTCAGGTGCAGCAGATGACGGGGGCAGGCCAGGTGTTGAATCAGTGTTGGTCTGAGTTTCGGTGACCGGGCATACTGTTGTCGAGATAGCAATTGTAGAGGTAACGACACTTGCCGGGCAGTCTGGGACGTCAGGAGCGCAGCTCGTGACGGTGGACAAGCTGGTAGAGTACACAGTGGAAGTAGTCCATTGGGGCGGCACGCTAGGAGCAGGTGTCGTGGAAGCAACCGAAGACGAAGATGGGGCAACAACCGAAGAGGTGGCCGGTGTGGAACTGGGTGTTGTAGAAAGTGTCTCGCTTGGGCGGCTCTGATGTCCTGGTGTTAGACCGATGGGCATTGTAGCAGACGAAGAAGGAGCAGCTTCAGTAGGCGTGTACGCAGGAGTTGTAAGTGTCTCAACGGGAACACTCGACTGCACTGCTGTCGAGCTAGCTGGGCAATCGGTAACTTCAGGACCGCAGCTAGTGATAGTAACTTCATCGGTAGCATACACAGTAGACGGGCCCGGCACCTCAGCAGGGGCAGAAGATGGCGGCGGCGGAGAAGGAACAACAGAAGACGAAGCGGTCTGGGTCTCAGTCACAGGCGTCGGCGGCGTCTCAACAGGAACACTCGACTGCACTGCTGTCGAACTCGCTGGGCAGTCGGTAACTTCAGGACCGCAGCTAGTGATAGTAACTTCATCGGTAGCATACACAGTAGACGGGCCCGGCACCTCAGCAGGGGCAGAAGATGGCGGCGGCGGCGAAGGAACAACGGAGGAGGAAGCAGTTGCAGTCTCAGTATACGGAGGTGGTGATGGTGTCTCAGCAGGAGCACTCTGCACCTGAGTCGAACTGGCCGGGCAATCGGTAACTTCAGGACCACAGCTGGTAATGGTAACCTCATTTGTAGCATACACTGTCGACCCCGGTGTCTCGACAGGGCCAGGAGCGGGCGTTGTAATAGCGACAGGCGGGGTTTCTGTCTCGGGAGTAGGTTGTTGGACATTTGTCGAGCTCGCCGGGCAATCTGTGACTTCGGGACCGCAGCTTGTGATGGTGACTTCGCTAGTGGCATATGCTGTGGCTATATCAGCTGCTTCTTGAGCTCTTTTGTCCAACGAGGCAGCCTATGAGACAGGTGTTAGATTCAGAATCCCAAACTGTCCACTTTGATTTCTTGGGAACCATACCACTCCATTGGCTTGAGCCAAGGCCAAAAGCGAAACGAAGGTAAACGAAGTTGCGACTCTCATGATGAACGAATATTACCCAACGCAAGATGGGAAGTCGAAGTAAGAAGAAAAAGTAGTCAAAAAAATTCTATCAAGAGAATCCGTGATTATTATTATCGTACGCGAGCGATAACAATAACGAAAATATAACAAAGGGTATATAAAAAGCAACAGGAAAGCGAAAACAAAGAATCGCAATCGCAGTCGACGGTCTTAGCTCTGGCGACTCAACCAAGACAACACCAACCAAGTCCAATTCAATTGGACCTGGACTTCAAAGGAAATAAAGATAAAGATAAAAACAAGAGAAGAGAAGACCTTGCTCAAGGCCAATGAACGAGGGAGAGAGGAAGAATATCTATGTAAGAAACAGTTCGGGGGGCCTGGAGGAGAGGGGCGAGGTAAGCTCTTAAAAGACATCAAGAGTCAGACAACAAAGACAGCAGTGTCCCACTTCTTTCCCCCTGTTCTGCTCAGCTATTCCCACTTGCATATCCATCAGCAACCAAGACATTCTGAAGAACGGCTAGGCGCCCCCAACTGCAGTTTGATAGAAGCACCCAGACCCGCGGCTGAGCAAGGCAAGCGTATGGATCGAGCCCATCGGTCTAGCGCAGGAACACGCAGGAAGGGCACCCAGGGAGGCGCGAAGACGTTAGCCAGTCATGGCCCGTAAGCGTGAGATGGGACATTGCAGTGTCTGTTCGGAATGGGTAGCCGGTAAGGCGCATCAATCATCGATTGCAATTGATCGAGAGGCAAATCAGTCAAGTCGAGAAAAATGAATAATAGAAGCCAATAGGAGCATTCAATGGGTCTCAAGACACGCTCGATGGGTTGTGATTGAGGCCCAAAGATCATCGTCAAACAAGCGCCGGATCGACATTGAAAGCGCCATCTTCTGCAGGGCAGAGGGAGGGGAATAAAAATAGCACGTAAGACAATTTTATTCTTCCGTAATCAATGACAGATGAGATAATAAATGGAAGATGACGCTAGATCGGTTGAATTGATAATGGATGAGATGGGGTAAGATGGAATGCGATCCATGATGAGATGAGGGGAGAGAAGAGGAAGACAGACCGAGAGAGAGAAACAGCCCCATGCCTCCTCCAAGCCCATCAGACTCCAGCCTCAATCCAGACGATCCTTCGACTAAGATATGAATATCCAATGATATAATCATAATCTTTTGAACATTAAACGAGAAGACAATAACAAATAACAAAAAAGAAACCCTCCTCACCAAACAGAAAAACAAAATAAAAACCCCTCAACCACCCAATCAGATCGTTCCTACTAAATATGCACACTGAACCCGGGCGTCTCGCTGAACTCCATCACCATCTATCCATAACTCCCAGTTAATAAATAATAATAATAAATGAATCCATTGTCTATTCACTGTTATTTTTATTCCGAATAGTGCTCATCTAAAGTACTTATACATACACATGTAGTGCTGACGAGAGGACCTAAAACCCATCCGGGAATTTCGCAGACGATCCTAACCGCCCTGTAAGAATCTGCTGATGCATTCAGCATCCAGCATCCACGATCTGCAAGAAAAAGAAAACTAAGCCTCAGGAGACTTGGATTAGGAATACAAATACAAACATACATAGCCAATGATCCTTTACGGCCCCAGCCCCCAAGGAAGTGACAGTCGGGTGTACCTCAATATAGGTGACCTGTATGTAGGCACACTGGCAAGGTTACACCAGTATCCCTGATTCATCGCCTGCAAAGCCTCATCGGCGACAAGGGGAAAAGCAAAAGCCACAATCTGTCTGCGGATTCAATTCTCCTTCTCTTTGTTTCTTAGCGTGTCGCAAATAGATTCTTGTTTTTTCTTTCAATCAGGTGGTTTAGGATTATAGTATAGTGTACATATCATCAATCATCATCGCGTGGAACAAGAAACAATAACTTTTAGAACTGTTTTTGAATTGGATATTTTGTTGCTTGGACGCTATAACATCACGACATAAAAAAAAAATAAAAGAAAAGAGATTCAAATCAACACTCCGTAAACAAGCCTGAGGTATCTTTTTTTCCAAACAAATTGACATGAAATCCACATTCAAACCCCGTTATGAAGGAACAAAAACAAAGAAATTTCAACATGCTGACTCGATCAGTCAACTCTCGGTCATCGTCGTTTGCGTGACCATTTACTTTCCTCCTACAAATGCGCGACATAATATGAGTCTGATTTGATATCACTCACTCAAATCTCTTTCTAGATAGAGCTCCAAGACTGTATCCAGACGGTTCGCAGTGAGGACCAAACTATTCTGCCCTTGGGGCAACAAGGTCTATGTTTCTAACACAGACAGAAGAAACAAAACCATCTTCGGTTTATCGAGACATCACATATTCATAAAAAATGGTGGTATAGTGTAAGTCGGCTCATCACGCTCTGCAAAGATAGGATAGATGATAATTTAGAAAGGAAGCTGGCTGCGTCGCTGCGCATCCATAAGCTTTCGTCGGACTGCCTCGCCGCCCGCGTACCCGTTGGCTTTACGCTTCCGTGTAGGTGTACGCTGGTCAGCGTGTCTGGCATGTCTAAACACACTAGCCGGTCGGGAGGGAGAATTGGCCGGCATGAATTCGCGATGCTGGGGGAGACGCAGCAGCGCCTGGTATCGGTTGTGGTTGCGACGGAACGCTGTCACAATGCCCCGGTCAAGATGGTTCAGGAAGCGCTCGGCACTAGTTTCCGGTTGGGCTTCTCCGAATCGGTTAGGAGTAGGGGTGCCGGCCGCTGGCTGCATAGGTGCAGGAGCCATAGGAGAGGCGAGTGCGTCATCCTCAAAGGGCTTCGAGTCACTCTCCTCATCCGATGAACCATCGCCAAAATCAATAAAGTCATCGACATTCAAGGCCGACTCTGGGTCCTCGTCGTCATCATCCTCAAAGGAGCTGTCAATGGCAAAGTCCCGGGATGGGTAGAAAGCTTCAGGGGGGCCCATGACCTGACCGCCCGGAGCAATGTCATTTCCAAGAGCGGTCATCATCAGGTTGGCACTGGAGGCCAGCATGGGGCTGAAATCAGCATGGTTCGGAGATGCCAAAGCATCCGTGTCACTTTCATCAATAAGATGCATAGTGGTCGCACGCGGGCTGTTGTTGGCAGTGCCGCTGATACTATTTGTGGCGGATTCAAGCCAATCATGGCGAGAAGAAGCGTACGCAGGGATGATTACCAGGTGCTTGCCAGTGCAGTCCACCAGGGCAACTGGCTTGTTAGGGTCGGCAACAAATGTTCCCATGACCGGGCCACGCCGGCGAGAGGCGGGCTCACTCTTTTCATCAGAGGGGGGAGCCAATGAAGCAGAGGAGTCACGGCGGAGGATGGACCGTGGGTGTGTGATGGTAGCGGGAGGAGGGAGGTCTTCGTCTGTGGTTTCACCATCATCGGCTTCGAGTGGGTTAGCATATAGACAAAGGAAATTGTGCAAGCAATCAGCATACTCTCATAGCCACTCGACTCGGATTTCTCCGAATGAGCATCGGACTCGACGTGGTAGATGTTCGAATGGCCATAATCCGAGTCTGCAAACATCTCATCGGACTGACGGCGGTTGTGACGGGAGTTCTCGTTGTCGCTTTCGATCATACGACGTAATTGGGGATCCAAGCTATCCTGCTGGAGGAAGTCCCCGGGGATCTCATCATCCGTGTGCGAGTCACTGTCAGATGAGGAGTCGGAGTGCTCTTCAAAGTGAACACGACGCTGCATGGGTGTCTCCACAGCGGTTTCACTGGCCAAGTCGGTCTCGCCAAAGTTCTCCATGGCACCATAAAGCTGGTCCTCATCAAAGAACGAGGCCGTCGACAGAAGCATGTGATCACCAAACCCACCGGAGCCGGCCCAGTCGTTGGTGCTGCTCGACTCAGGGGCGGAGAACATGCCACCGACACGATCTTCTTTTTCGGACTCTACGATAAGCAACTCCTCGAGCTTCTCCACGTCCTGCTCTTCATCATCACCATCACTGATGTAGTCAACAGCAGCGTAAACATCATCCGAGCTCTCAAACGAGTCGTCGTAGTCGCCATCAAAATCATCATCCAGTGTCATTCTCATCTTCTTCGCTTTCTTAGCAGGCTTGGGCCCCGTCTTATGGGCCTTGTCACGGCGTCCATAAGACGGGGCGCGAACAGACGGCCGTTCCTCTTCATCATCAGCATCTTCTTCCGAATCATTTGCGTCTTCACTTAGGTCATCGAGCGATGAAACCGACGAGACACTGGACACCGAAGACGAGGCTCTTCGTTTCCGGTCCGCATTGGCTGTCCCCAATGACACTGCCTTGCTTGATCTCCGTGGAGAGTTATGGGCACCCTTGGGGTGCAAGTGGTGCAACATGTTGGCCAGGGGACTGGAGCTGCGGTGGTGACCAGACTTAGAGTGTAAAGGCATTGTGTAAATACAATGGAATATGTATGAGGGGGTACGATATCGTCAAAATAGGTGGATTTGGGTTTCGGAGGCTTGAATTAGGACAAAGTTTGTTATCCGGTTGGTAGGCGCAATGAGGACGATTGCGTAAGAGACTCGCGGGGAGTTTGTATAGGTCGATGATGAGGTGGAGAAAAGGTTTCTAATCGTAAAGGCGTACAGAAAAACTTTTTTTTTGTAATCGTAATCGTAAAGAGACAGAAAAGAAATATCGTAGAGAAGAAAGATAAAGGAGGATGGAAGAGGTCGGAAAGGATAAGGTGGTGTCGGATGAGGGAGGGAAAAGGGTAAAAAGACTTTTCGAGACCAGAAAAGCACCTTTACAGTCCAAGAGGGACGCCAAAAGTGCTTCTTCAGTGAGTGAGCTTAAGGGCAATTCCGACGCTCGAAGGAAAAATGCGTCGAAAGAGGAACAGATATCGTCAAGTTGTGAATGAATTGGGAGATGTCTCGGAGCTGCTGGACTGGGGAGCATACGTTAAGCCCCCCAGTGAGGAATCTACAGCTCAACGAAAGCCATTCTGGCAGAACTCTTGACAATATCTGGATAAAGGGGGAGGGGTAAGAGGGAAAGAATTGAAGCTGAAGAAAGATAGTCGGGACTGAAGGAGGAGGGGATGAGGGGTGAAATGAGATGGATCTTCTGCTGGGAAGAAGGGAAAAAGAAAAGCAGGGAGGTGGTAAGTAATAATACAACCGGCCAGAGACGCCTCGGATGCTGCTTGGCTGGGGCGGGCCAATTTTTCCAGCCGGTGGGGCCAGCCATTGGCCGGGCTCAGAAGGCAGGCCCGTGATTGGCCGGGAATGACGGCAAAGTGGCTGCCCATTCGCTGGCGGGTGTTCACCGCATTTTGACCTGCTGCCTGGAGCCAATCAGCGTGAGTCACGGCTGGATACATGCTGATACGTTACATACAGAGAGACTACAGAGGGAGACTACATTAGAGCAGTAACTAGATATTAGGAGCATTAGAGCACGTTAGTAGAGTAGATGGAATATTAGTCGATGGAGTAAAAGAAGAATGAGGATGGAGGGGTAGTTCGCAGGCTGAGAACAGCTGGATACCCACTCAATGACAACCGTTGAGAATGACAACGAACTGTTCAGATTCGGAGTGACTCACTAACAGATAGGATCATCCTAACGATGATGATAGACAATGACAACAAACACCCAACCCCTGTAAGCAGTAACAGTCATAACCAAGTAAGATTCCAGAGAATAGAGAATCAAAAAACTGCCCAAGTGCCTAAAGCCTAAATGGCGTGCATAAAAAAGAGTGTAGATCGTCTGAGCCGCCGATAAAATGATGGGAAAAAAAACGGAGATCAGAGAGGGACTAGGAGGGAGGAGAGGAGATTACCCCTCCGGCCAGGGGCATTTTCTGACCCGTGCTATCTGTAATCTGCATGCTCCCGGGTAGAGATACATGCATGTACATGCAGATGGAAGTTATGACTTGGTTCGAATCATGGTCGACAGGATATATGATCCATCATTTATCTTACTGCATAATTGATGCTGTATTGAGCAGAAAAGTCATAGCAATAATACAATAGTCAGTCAGTCAATGATGATCTCGGATTGACCCCGACTGAGTCAACCAACCAACGATGATTCATTTATTTGGCTATTATTAACGCTATTTATTATTATTATTTATATATTATTATTATTGACTCCCATTCGTTCCGCCAGATTTCCGCTCTACTAAATTTCTTCACTTCTCCCCCACATTTTTAAAGTGGCAAGTAATTTAGCAGACTTTTCAGTTATTATTATTTATTTTCCATTGCAGTTGGCTATTTTAGTCCCTCCCTAGATGCATATTCAGATACTGCTGATTGGTGTAAACCGGCGGTAAGAAATGACAACTATCACTGTACTGCAGACTGGCTGTCTGATTATCAGCGAAATATATTCTCCTAAGTACAGTCGACAGTCTACGGATACAGAGTGCAGAGTGCAGAGGATAGATAATCTAACTGCTGTTACAACTAGTACAGCTAGTAGTTCTGTATAACAGGCTAGATGCAGCCTCGTCGAGGCAAGGAGGCGAATTACTATTAATTTGATTCTAATGACGATGGACTGAGGCAATCCCAACCTCTGGTCTCCACTTTAGGAGGGAAAATTCTGCCATCACATACATCCATCCATGCCTATTCCATAGTATCTTGCATATTCTTCAACTAGCAGTAGAATAGAATAGGAGTATTTTCTTCTTCCTTTCCTTCCTCCTCTTCTATCTGGTACTCTGTATTGAGATAATTGAATCACTGAATCAGCTCTGATCCATCATATATCGCCAACCTGGCCAGATCGGCAGTTTCGCATGAATCCCATTGGCCAATGCATCGTCTTCCTCCTGCTGCACCCCGCAGCTGTCTGTATGGTCAGCATCAGTATCAGTACATGTGGCAGTACTATGTAGTAGCCAACGCAGTATGATTTCATACACATCAATCCGGTTGATCGTAGAAATGGATGGAATGGGAATCCTCATCCCCATCATACGATACTACTCCATAACTATTGATATTCCAGAACAACTTTGATTGCCGCCACCGGACGGAGCCACCCCGTTCCGATCGTCAACCATGGCACGTTTGATTTTCTCCGTCTCGCTGTCTCTCTTTTTTTAGTTTTTTATATCTTAGGAACAGGTGGCCTGTATTTCGGATTCTCAGGGGTAGGGGTATTGGTTATTTGAAACACTATCTTAAAAAGCAGAAATATATAATATCATGTACCTGGATATGGCTCAATCTTCGTGCTCGGTGATATCGGTGCGGTGTTGGACCTCGACCACATCGAGAGTCGTGACTTGGTCCGAGTCGGGATAACCGGAGCGGGTGTAGGAGGTGCGGTCTCGTTGCCGCTCTTCCTTTGCTCTTCAGCTGCTGCTATGGCCGCATCCCGTGCTTGTTGTGCTTCTCTCACGCCAGTCCGGATCTGTTCTGTCGAAGCTCCCTGAGGTGCTGTTGTGGTGAGAGTCTCCGTGGTACGGATTTGCTCCTCGGCCGCCTGCTCATTCAGTTTACCAATCTCCTCCTCTGTCACGAGTCGCTCGTTTTCTAGTCGAACCTCCCGACCGCGTTTGTGGCAGTACCAGAGGACGAACAGGAGGACTAGACATCTGTTAGCTTGGTCGGTATACTCCATTAGATAAAGGACTTACTAGACAATGCCAATGACCACAGCACATTCACACCCAGCACCGCCGGGAACCGGGCCCTCAAAAACGCTATGATGGATCGCATCATCCCCACAAGCGCTGCCGGTTTGGCAACCAGCTCCTTCAAGTTAGGAACCTGGATGCCCATCTTACTTGCAGCTGCCGCGGCTTTGCCCATGTTATCCAAGTTCACCCCACTCTTTCCGGCCTTTGCACTGGCCGCCGCAAGAACTTCGGGCGCGAGAGATTCCGTCCATCGTTCGGGGAGTTTCTGGATCAGTTTCTGCAGCGGGCCGGGCAGTTTCGTGTAGGTATCTTGTAGTTGTTTGTTCCCATTGGTCAGGAGCATCTCAAGGTCATTGTATGCAGTCGGCACACCGTTGATCAGGTCCTTGAAGATGAGCTTAAACTTCCGCATGAGTTCCTGCGTCTCTTCACTGATAGAAAAGACCCGGTTATTGTCCGCAGCAAGGTTCAATTGTTCCAGCACCTGCGTCATATCCTCTGCATCCTGCCGCGACGCATCATCGTTTGGATTTTCGGTCGATGCCTGAAGGCTTTGGGCGGTCGCTGCTTTATCCTGTCGTCCGATGAGAATCACTTTCTATATCTTACCCCAGCAAAGTGCAACATACCTGGACCTTCCCACTTGGCTTCCTGCGCAAAAAGCTCCAGGGCCTCCACTTCTTCTCCTTGCCTACTATGCTCCCATTCCTCGAAACACCCGAGTCAACGGATCCTCTCTTCTCACTCGCCCTCCGCCCTTGCTCGCCGAGCTCTTTACCAAAATCCTCAGCCGGCGACGCCGGCAATGGTGTATTCCGCGCCTCATTCGTAACAGGAGTTATAGGACTAACGGGCGACAACAATGTGTTGTTATTCTCATCCCCCGGCGGAGGTGATGAAGCCTCACCGCCATCCGACCGGGACATCATCTGCTGGAGGAACGCCTCATCTTCGGCGGTCAAGACAGGATCGTGCTGTTGTTTATCTTTAGCAGCAGGCGGCTGCTGCGACGAGTATCGCCAGCTTCGCGTTTTGCTGAGACGTTGCATTATCGATCTGATCGCGATATGGAAATTATGTGTGTGTCAAATACTCCGCAAATCGAGCTGAAAAATGTGGGCGTGTCAGGGAAGAAAGGGGGCGTCGAGTCGTATGGGGTAAATAAATAATGTAATAAATCAAAACAATAGACACATCAGATGCAAAACATGAAAGATAAACAAAAGGGGGTATCACTAGATATGTATGGAGAGATATTCAACGCAAGGACTTCATTTCGCATGCAGGGCTGAACGAGCGATCGCATGTGCTTTTTATTTGGCCTGGGGGCATCACGCGCTGATGTCATGGCTGGCACGTGCTTGTCTCAGCCACTGTGGCGCAGTTGATAGTTTGCACCGCCACGAGGCTTGTTTGGGAAGGATCTGCGGGGAAGGGCGATCATTGGTCGATCTCGATCTTTATCGATTATCTGATCTGTTTTGGTATTTTGTTTACATTGAGATGATATAAATAGTAATGGCTTTGAGTACTATGGCTATCATAGATTAATATCAAAGGTAAAGGCATGAATCTACATATTCAAGAAATGATATTGGATATATATATTGAATACATCCATGCAATATATCCTGAACAACAAGCTGCCACACTTATTTCCAGTAGTGATAAGACACCATCATCCCATATGAACAGTTCTCACACCAGAAATCCAGATCTTCACCAAACTGATTACATCAATAGTACTTCATACTTCATCTGAATTAAGTCCATCAGACCCAGATTCCAATATGACATCCAGACCTCATAGCAGTAAAGGCATATTCTGCCCGCGGCATTTCAAGGAATATCCCGAATAGATCTGTTTCAAGCATCCAACCATGAGATGTAAGCTTGCTACTTAAGTATCAATATCACGGAGAAAAGCAATATAACAATCTATATGAAGGAGATTACCACTAGGGAAAATTTTTACACCATTAGCTGACTACTATATAAACCCCTATCCTCGCCTCTGCTTCTCTCTACCACCCTTTATCACTGCACCAGCTTAGCTTCATTTTCAGAGCTAGCCTAGAAAAGCCAATTTTTATCAGTATGGAGAGCAGAGTCATCAAGGGCTCTCATGATGAGTATGCCGAAGAGACAGTGAGCGATGATACTGGAAATCAACCAGTGGACATTTCCCACGAGCAGCTTGACCCATTATTGTATCAAAGTAGGTCTTTGTGTCTCTTATTTCTTAGAATGTAAACTGACAGATCCCAGTATCCGAAATCTCGAATCAACCAGCCAATAATCAAGAAAAAGTGAACCTACCCGATAGCCTGGAATTTCCCAGCCCAGCAGATACCTCTCCAGAGAAACTCGCAGTGAATGCATCCAAGCCCACAGCCCCTCCACACAAACGCCAATAAACAACCTCCCACAAGAAAATCAACGCAGACATGGACTCTGACGATGATCTGCTCTGGCACCTCAAGCTGGCAAAATGGACCGAAAAAGATATCCACCAGCGCTTTATAAGAGAGGGACGAACGGGCTATCGTGAGAAAACGATCGGTACGCGGTTCTGTCGGATGAAGAAGATAATGAGATTGCACACGGATAAAGGGCTTGAGAGTGGGATGGGCGGATGGCATGAGGGAGATGTAAGCCTTTAGTATTCTTTCTTATTTCGTGTGAAGATACTAATCGCATACAGGACGATATCCTAAATCAAGCCGTCAACAAAGCCCAAGGCGAAATAGCCAAAATGGTGGCTGAAATTGAGCAGCAAAAGTGGAAGTTGGTGGCTGAGTATATGAAGGACACTAAACCGGCGGTCGATTATTCGGACAAGGCATGTCGGGATCGATGGGAGGCACTGCAGAATGGGACAGCTAGCCTTCCGTTGGAGATGAGGTCGGATCTGTTCCCTGAAATGGTTGAGGTTATTCGGAAACGCAGAGAGTCGGAGGAGAAGATTCGTCGGTATGAGGGGGAACGGCCTAGTTGAGGCGTTGTGAGTCTGATTTATTCTGGATATTGCTATTTCTGACCAGATATCTATAGGATGCTCTATATTGCAAACTAAAATGTGTTTTCAGAATGTGCTCTGACGGAAATGGGGTAGGTGACAGGAACAGGAATTGTATACAGAGGATAATGAATGATGATGTTGACTGTCTACAGTTTATCTTCCATCATTTTCTTCCAGACCGACAGATAAGGTATGAATAATTCGATATTCAAACTGATATTCAACGGATATTCCCTCGAAAGGCATACCGAAATTGCAGGACGATCTGACAACATCCTAGGATGCATCTGCCAAAACCTCGGTATAGCCTCAACTGCCGAAGCCAATATCGGCATTTACATTTTCATGAATAACGCCAATTGGACAATGGGTGGCATCCTGAAACACCATGGATATCCCCTGGTTGGTGGGTGTGTTCGTATCTCGGGTCAACCTCGGTAGTCCAAAAATTGAGGCTATACAAGCACGCCAGCTTTTCTGGAATCATGTCAAGTTCAAACTCTATGGATTTGAGTCTTTTCTTTTTTGTTCTCTCGGTATATCCGAGATTATTATTTTTTTCTGCACTTCTGGACGATTCCTGCGCTGTGGAACTCGGGTTTATTCGAAACAGCAGGGTTTGATACATCATCGAACCCATTTTTGAGTCAAGCACGAGAGACGATTCCTTGCCCCACCAACTGCGCCATTTGATACCATCCAAGTCTTCCAAGACCCAAGGAACCAGGTTCATTTGGAATAGATTGAGTGTGTTCCTGGCTGGCCTGTGGAATGTGACAGTTAACGATCGTCCCTCAAACCGCCGTCTATTCAGGTGGTGAACCGGTCATCTGTCACCGTCATCACCAACCATCGTCATTCAATCCAAGACACGGTAAATGCTCCGTTGAAGATTGAGTTGGCATCAGCCTTAATAATTGGATAATATCCTTGGATGATTCGGGGAATATCTTTATCCATGTGTTTTCTACTCCGAAAAGATCAACGGCGAAGCCTTTTGTGTGCCCACAATTCTTCCACAAGCGGGTTTTCTCCGAGAAGCTAGTCTGCTTGGTTGCTCTGATCTTTTTGGCTTTTGTATCTTTGACCTGTTCTAAGATGAAACCCCGCTTCCTTGTGATGGTGGATGAAACGATGCTGGCCGTGGCTTGTTCGTCGCGGTTCAGTGGAGGGTTTTCCTCTCTGTCGTCTGCAGCATATAAACTGGCTGTTTCCCTCGAGATGAGATGAATGAACAGACAGAATTCATTCAATCGTTTATCTCTGACACCTTCACAATGCTCTTCAACCTTCCTACCCTCATTGGGGGGATCGCATTGATCTCCCAGGCTTCTGCTGCCCCATCTCTCATTTCCAGAGCTACTTCTGGTTTGTCCTCTGAAATATCTCTGTGGAAAGCAGTAGCTAATAATTCGATATAGACCCCTCGGCTTTCTCGGACCTGGAAAGAGCAGCAAAGCTCTCTTCTGCAGCCTACACTGGCTGCAGTAACACTGCTTTCGATGTCACTGTCACCAAGCAGATCAACGATGCTGTGACTGACACCCAAGGTTTCGTGGGATACTCCGAGTCCAGAAAGGTCATCACAGTGGCCATGCGAGGCTCCACAACCGGTAAGTCTTTTCATATTGAAATAATACTCCATACTAACTTGCACAGCCACTGATATTGCCAACGACGTCGACACCTCCCTGGTAACTCCCAACCTGTCCGGAGTCGACTGGCCCTCTGGTGCAAAGATCATGAACGGCATCTCCCGTCCCTGGTCTGCTGTCCACGACGAGATCATTGACGAGGTCAAGTCTCTTGTGCAGAAATATCCTAGCTACAGCCTCGAGTCTACTGGACACTCGCTGGGAGGTGCCCTCACCTACATCTCCTACGTTGCGTTGGCCCAGAATTTCCCCAACAAGAACATCACCAGCAATGCCATGGCTGCTTTCCCTATTGGCAACTCGGAGTTTGCAGACTTTGGCAACAAGCAGCATGGTACTCTGAACCGGGGCAACAACAACGGTGATGGCGTGCCGGTTAGTATACCCAAGAATCAATAGTAGATGAAGCTAATATTTTCTAGAACATGTACGTGATGTGGCCTTGGAGCTTCGAGCACTACGGCACTGTGAGTTTCTCCTGCTCTTAATAAGTGACAACATGTTAATATCTCTGCAGGAATACTACAGCTCTGGGAACGAGGGCAGCACTGTCAAGTGTGATGGCGAGCGCGATAAGTCCTGCTCTGCTGGAAACGGTCAGATTGGTGTTACTGCTGGCCACTTCCAGAGCTTTGGTGTCACTCTGGGAGCAGCAGGATGTGGTTCTTCGTTGCTGTAGGCATAAACACTGAATGAGACGGATAGTATACAGCGGGTTATTGTATTTATCAGCATGATTATTGGCAGATGTATTTGATTATATTAAAAGATATAAAATATTTTTTTAGTTAGGGCGTCAATCATGATGCCTATGGTGCTATCATCAGCTGATCACATGATCCCATCACATCCCCTCTTCGTCTTCAACTTCAACTTCTTCGTCTCGCTTTCTTTTTCTTTCTTCACGCTTCCTAGAGTCGACCGATTTCCGCTACGTCGAATCAAAAATACTCGATTCGCGTACGCGAAGCCAGTCCATCAGGACTTGATCCTTCTGTCCAAGTCTTTTCCACCAAGAAGACTTGGAATAAACAGAAAGCATCATTTCTCTGAGAAAACTGCTTCCAGGACTCTCTCTCTCCTCACATGCTGCCCAGCGCGTGATCTGGTAGCGTCGCCCATCGCCCATGTTCTTTTCTTTCTTGTGACAATAGTTCCTGTCCACTCTACGTGACTCCGATCTGAGTTGTCGTCGCTCTTTTTTTATTATTATTTTGTTGTTGCCCGTCATGTTCGCTTCTCTTCGACAGATTCTGTCTTCGGATGACAGTATGCTTAGGCGGTCTTTTAATTCAAAGGGTCGAGTAGGCAAGACTGTCAAGTCGTCTAAATCTAAGAAGACGTATGGTAAACGAGTCAAGGCGAAAATGGAGGAGAGTCTCGAAGGTCCGGTGGAATCGTGAGTTTCATCTATTTTTATAAATCTGCATTTTCTGTATCTATGGATGTAAGCTGATTGCTATACAGCCCCCCTCCTAGTCCTATGGTTACACTAGTTGTAGGCTCGGAACAGCGCACTTTTGCAGCTCATGAAGATGTTCTGTCCCGCTCGCCTTTCTTTTGTGCCATGCTTCAGGACCAGTATATCGGAGATTCTGCGAACAAAGTCATAGACCTGGCTGATGAGTGAGTCATCTCAAATTAACTTTGATATGACCTGCACAAACTAACAGAACTAGAGAGCCAGAGATTCTATCCTGCATTCTCGAGTTCCTGTATAAAGGAGATTACTACCCCCGCATACTACGCAACAAGGACCAAACCTCCTGGGGCCTCGAAAACGCCCAAGACATCAACAACACCGGAGGCCGCGGATCCAGCGAAGCCACATTCTTCCACCCACGCATCGACAACCTCGTCCTCAGAGACACAGTCGTCTACTGCGCCGCGGAGAAGTACGGCCTCGAAGACCTCAAGCGTCTGTCCCTCCGCAAACAGGGCCTGCAGAGTGGCATCCCCGTTGATGTCATCCTGCGATCTGCCCGGTATGCGTATGACAACACGCCGGACTCGGATTCGCGCCTCCGCGCTCATTACCTGGCGATGATTATTCGGACCCGGAAGATTTTCAAGAGAAGTGGCACTATGCAGTTGGAGATGGAGATGGGACATGAGTTCTTTTTCGATTTGTTTGTTGCGATGTGTAATCATATGGATGATTTGGGGGAGGCTCGGTATGTCTTCTCATCTCATCTCAACTTATGTTTTGCTTTGCTTATGCTTATGCTAACCTCTATAGCAGCAAGCGATCACCCAAAATCTCCTAAATTACACTGTACCACCAACTCCCACACCAAAAGCTAAAAGCTCACGATTCCATCCACCAAACTACACAAAACCAGAATACCAGATTCACTTTATTTGCAAACGACAAAAAAATCCAAATCAACATCAACACCTACATTCCCTTCTCCCGAGGTCGGCCACAAAGTTTTCAAGTTGTTTTTGGTCGAAAAGATCATCTACTCTACTCTTTTTTAATCACAACCTTTGGCGTATAGGGTGGTCTGATTTGATTTGATTTGATACAGATCCAATCTTCTATAGGATGGGAAGGTTTCTTTCCGTTTGCAGGAGAATGGTACTGTGACTGACTGACTGACTGGCTTTGTTTTTTTTGTTCCATCTCAACTCTACTATTGTTTTGAGCTTTTTTCGCAGTTTGTTTTCTCTTGATATTTATCAAGTGTCTGTCCTTTCATTGATGACTCGATATAACGATAACGATAACCATAACGATATAAGAAACCAAGAATGAAGAATGAAGAATGAAGATATTGGCCACCTCATATGATTGCATTTCGTACTTCATATAGGAAATTCAGTTCAAGTTGATAAAATCTGGTATTCATGATTCCATCAATCGGATAACCTAAGCTAAACTAACTCCCCTGGTATTCGCACATTGACATTGAATTCGATCAAGCACACAGATTCAAGATTCAGCTGGACATGAGTAAAACAAACCAAGGCGCTCTCACAACAACATACAGTGCGAATATGATAAGAAATGAATCAAAAAAGATGATGAAAAAGACCGAGAAGAGAAAAATGAAAGATAGGAATTAAGACACCATTAGAAATGAAAAAAATAGTAGAATCTCGATCAACTCAAGTCAAACCAGGCCACCCTTTTTTGCCACATAGAAGAAAGTATAAAAAAAGGACATTTAGGTAGACTTCTTCTTGCGGCCTCTCTTGGGCTTCTCCTCTTCGACGTCTTCTTCGTCGGTCTCGGCTTCCTTGACCTTCTTTGCTGCTGCAGTGGCGGCGGCTCGGCGGCTTCGCTTGGGCTTCTCCTCTTCAGCGGCGGCGGGTTTGGGCTCTTCGTCACCGCCAGCGGACTTGCGCTTGTTTTGCTTGGGGGCTGGCTTGTCTGCCTTCTTTTCATCAGTTGGAGCCTTAGCAGGACGGCCTCTCTTAGCAGGCTGCTTGGCCTTGGCCGCGGGAGCGGGAGCAGGTTCCTCGGCCTCCTCGGCGTCATCAGCAGGTGCAGCTTCGGCAGCTTCAGCCTCCTCAGCGGGAGCGGGAGCGGGGGCAGCATCCTGTTCCTGCTCCTCTTCGGCGGGGGCGGGAGCAGCAGCTGCCTTGCCACGGCCTCCCTTTTTGGCCTTCTTGGCCGCGGGCTTCTCTGCTTCGTCTTCGGCGGTGTCTTTCTTTGCTGGGCCACGGCCGCGTTTCTTGGGAGGAGTGGCCTCCTTTTCTTCGCCGGAGGCGTTTTCCTTATCCTAGACATGTTAGCTTGAGTTGATCATCTCGTGATAGTACAAGGTATACATACCTCGGCGTCAGCAGCAGCGGCATCCTTCTTCTTACCGCGCACACGGAACCCAGTCTTACCGGGTCTATTCATCTCAACATCCTGCGAACATGTTAGTTGAAATCTTATACCCATAGAAAAGAGAACAAGGGAAAACATACACCCTTCCACTCCTCATCATCAACATGACCCTGTTCCAAGGCCTTACGGATCTTCTCCTGATGCTCAGGCTGGAGATCCTCAAATCCATCCAAGACAGAAAGGTCATTCTCATCGCCACCCTCCTCAACATTCTCTTTGAGGTTGGCGATGATCTTAGGTGTGACACAGCCCCTTGTCTTATGTTAGTCAAAGAGCATCCAGAATCACTACACAGTCAACTCACCAGTGTCTCCAGAAGAAAGTCTGGATACGCTCCGAATCGACCCAGCTGCCGAGGCGAAGTTCGCCCTTGAGGATCTTGACCTTGGCATCTTTGCATTCCTTGTTTTGGCAGCCGGCTCGGCCGGAAGAGGCTTCCTCTGTGGTATGTTAGTTGTTGAATTTAGATAGAATGAATGATCGAGTCATGGGGAAAGCAAAAATATAAAACATAAACATCAAAACTTTGAGCAGACATGCACATCATCAAGATAGATGGCCAAAGAGCCAAGTATGCTGGATTCGGATAACACGACAGCAAGACAAACAAAAAGCTAACCATCAAACAAACAGACAAATATTTTCCAATTTACTCCAAATAGAACAAAAGATAAATAGATAAAAAAAAAATAAATAAACTCACCCAAACGATAAGAAGGCATTCTGAAGCAAACTGACGCGACAGTCAGATGGGCTCGAAAACACACGCGGGAAAGTCTTCGCGACGACTTAAACTATCAAAACCACAAAAGGATGAATTAGTTATCCACGATGCTATTCCCAGAAACTCGAATAGCAGAATCAGTGGAATCAGAGAAGAGGGAGCCGTGGAAGAAGAGAAGTTGGATGAAGGAGTGACGTTGAGAGGGGAGGAAGAAAAGAGGACGAAAAAGAAACCCACGGAACACCTCAAAGACCAATGCCGCAGTGATGCAGCAAAACACGGCCACGTCGGGGTTTTTTCGAGAGATAATTATGTGTAATTGGGATTTTAAATGTGGAATTTCTGTATATGAGGTTTTGGCCTTTTTTTCTCTAAAATTCCTGTTGTTTTAACTGTTTTTTTGTGGTGGTTTGATCCCTCCAACACCAGCAATCCCTGTCGCATTCGAGGCCAAAAGTACTGCATTGTTATGGCTTGTGATATTAATCAGGTATTGGTGATGGATTGATGAATTAATTTAAATGGTTTCACATTCATATTAAACTATTTCGACCGTGTTATAAGCATCGAATGCAATCAAAGATCCGTAACTACAAATTAAGACTAAGTACTATAAGCAAAGTATCAACAACACCCGAATGATCATTCAGGCGCAGACCCAGGAATGAGGTCTGATACAATCTTCTCAAGAGCAGTTATATGCTTTCGAAGCATTACAACTGCCCCCAGACTAAGACGGCGAACGAATGGCGACGCCACGGTATGCTCGTCGAGCTCCTGGCTCCTAGAGGTATTATTGTGATGCTCAATCATCGTCAGGGCTTCATCTATAGCCTTTTGCAGTAATCGAGGGCGATTGGAGCTATTGTAATTATGCGTAAGATCTGGGAGGTAATTCCAGGTTAGAATATCTTCGAACCCTGCAACGGGGTTTTCGAGGGCATGCTTGATGAAAGTTCGTGTCATCAAAAATGCCTTTTCCGTATATTGAGCAGACTCAACCCGGTTTTTGTCTTCGGCCGCGAGTACTTCATATCCAGCTTCGTCTATTTTGATCAGCAATCGGGATAACCTTTGATATCTAGAACCAGCTTACTGTAGAATGGCGTTTTCACCAGCACCAACCCCATGATGGAAACCAAGACCTGAAGGATAGTAGATTTGAAAGGAGACCACCTCTCATCTGGGTTCTTGGTGGGCCACGTCCCGAGGATGCTGAGGCAGATTTTACCGTCCTCATACAGATTAGGATTGATCATCCCCGATCCATTGGCCCACGAGTGGAAAAAGGATGCCGGTGGTGAGTTGGGAAAGTCATCTTGCAGATGGAAATCAATCACAAAGGGTGCATACTCGTATGGCGTTCCCTGAGGTCCAATGATCAAGGCTCGCATCAGGTCGATCCTAGACTCCCATGTCCGAACGAAGATCCCGGGAGGCAACGAGGACTTGAGAATATCATACTCTTTGCGAATCCGTTTGAGCCGAGGCCCAGAAGCCTCTAGCATGGATTTTGAAAGAAAGTTATGATCAGATGGAGGAGGGCTCTCTAGCACATAAAAGCTTGCGGGACAAGACTCTGCCTGGCTAGACGAGAGACTAAGCGATTCCGTGATTTCGTGCTTGATATGAGAATCCTCTTCTTCAGAATCGGACTTTTCAGCAGCACTGATTTCTGCGACTTTAGATACAAGTCCATCACTATCATCGTCGGTTTCAATCTGTTCAACATTCAAATCCCCTTCTTCATCACGGTCGTCGGATTCGTCTTCTGTCATCCATAGGTAGTCACCACTGTCGTCGTCAAGACGTTCGCCCCCATCGTATTCAAATGTTTCATCACTAAGCTGCTCGAGGGCCGTGTAGATTTGTGCGGATGATTCGTCCAATCTCAAAAGTGCAGATATTGCAGATTGCAAATTCGAAAGGGTTGAAACTGTTGAAAAAGGTGGAATTGGAGCTGCACTCTCATCATCAATCACCATAAGAATTTTCTCCCTGGGCACACGAATATCGCGGCAGTTATCAGCTCCCGCAAGTCGAACAATAATGGTACCGTCAGTACCAATTGCGATTATCCGGCCGATGAAATCGACAGGCGTTTTGAGACCGTGTTCATCGCGATGGAAACTGAAGCGTGGAGGCAGGGAAGACGAATCAACTTCGGTTGTATTTTTGAACCAGTCCATAGTCACTATCACTTCCTTTATGTCTTCGAGATACATGCAAGCCTGGGAGAATGCGATAGGACCCAGAAAACTGTGTAGACCGGTTCCCAGAGCCATTGGCGGTACGTTAGTAGCACCTGACGGTACCAATGACTGGTGGACCTTATCCGGGACCAGAAGTACCAGGTTATCGAGGGACCTGCTCAGGCTGGGATAGGAACTCAATTCATACAAGGAGACATCTGTGGTTATATCACCAAGTTCTCCCAGGACCGAAGAAGCCCTTAGCATATTCCCCTCGTGAAGCAGCTCGACATCTGGATCCTTGTACCAGCGGACTGATGCTATTCTCTCCCGGCTATCAACAATCTGTACAACGCCAATTTTCTTTGGACGAAGTGTTTCGTAACCGCCGTCCATATGCGCATGAACTTTCTCGACCGCCTCTCTCAAAACGACGAGATTTCCCGGCCAAACTTCGGCTTCTGTTTCTGTAGCTCTATGCACAGCTGTGGCATCTTCCGTCGTGATACTGAGATCCTGCCATTGAATGGTGACTTCTGTCTTGGATGATATGATCCGAAATACATTCAGATCGTACCCCAATGATTGGTCACTTGGGATAGGCTGATATTGCGAGTATTTAGCAGCGGCGTCTATTGGATCTCGGAAGCGAACTCTATCTCCAATACTAAGCCATATATCGGACTTGACGGTTTGTTCTTTGAAGTGACCAGAGGGCAACTTGCCAAAGTCGCATTTTACAGCGTGTCCCTCCAGTGTAGATGCCCTTATCACTTCTTTACTGGGCCCCTCACAAGAGCCCCCCACTGAGAAAACATTGGGACACAGCCAATCAACATGTATATCCATAGCTGGTGTGGCTATGACATGACCTTCCGGTCGTTCCAGCCCTGAGTAAGCACCAGAAATCCAGTACCCACTTCTCAGATTTCTGGATGTTGTGAATGCGTATTGGCCCGGGTATAGAAGCTGAGGTTCCGTCGTCCAGACAGACTCCCCATTGCCCAAGGGTTTCAATTTCACTGTATCTGGAAGGCTAGGTAATGAAACTATAGGTTTTGATCCAATATCGAGCGGGATCTCAAGGGCTGAAGGGTTCAACGGAGACACGGCCGTTTGATTCTGAAGAAGTAGAACCACATCACGGTCAATGTTTTGGATCACCCCTACTTTCTGCCGGTAGACTATATAATCCCCTTCGTTGAATGGTTCGTAATGCTGAAGCTCTGACAGGGGAATATCACGCAGTATCCGAGATTCCAAATCATCCGTCTTATCCGCTTCAAAGTCAGACTGCACGGCTTTCTCCGTGAATTGTAAAGGGCCATAGTCTCCCGTCGTTGGATCGAGTGTCCGATAAGCAACCGGTTCGATATCGCATTTCCTAGATGTGCTGATTACCGTGCCACTGATAGTATCTCTTGAGCCTCGTTTCACGATTTGACCTAACGGCATAGGCCGATTGACAAGGTCAAGATCGTCTTCATGTATAAGTGATGACCCTTGCGAGGGCTCCGCGAAGCTGACAAAGACGTACCCTTTCGATGGCTATAAGATAGCACAAGAATCAGCGCGTGGATTCAAACCATTCCCATCCATGGCAAGAGCATACCGCGCCGGTTTCCAGGAATTCAGTCAGCTCGTGCTGGGGCACAGAAGAGTAGGAGAGAACCAGGAGATGATTCAGTGGTCCATGTGTATCAGCCTTCAACTAAGTTAGTTGATTCGATTGAAGAAATGAACCAGGCCAGCGGCACGGGAGTGTTACATCGTAATATGTTCTCTGTGACACTCAAGTTAGCACGCGATAACGCTATAGTATGCCATCACCAAGTACTCACAGTGACGAATCCAACCAACGATGGATCTGATTTGAGACGACAAGCATCATCGAGATCGAACTGGATGGAATTTCAGATTTGATTCTCGCGATGATAGACTGCAATCCCAAGACTGACCTTTCTGCTATTGCTATCTCCCGCTTGGATCGAGTCCATTGCGATAGCTCTGCGGGGTAGAGATACGGGGACAAAGAACACAGAGAGACAAAATAATTAATTGAAACAGCATAGACTCAGTATTAACGCGAATATATATCAAAGAAAAGAAAATGTGAACAAAAGAAGCGGCAAGTGAATTGAACAGCAACAAACAACTGCGATATGCCAGTGGTGTCACTGTCACATGTGCCGATGATGGGCTTCCCTACAGATCTGAGCTCAGAATCTGGCTCTCACTCGTCTTTTTTACAATCTCAAGTGCGTGAAAGCACCTTCAAGCTGATAACCATCTCATATTCAGCAGAACAATTAATCAACCTGGAATAATCCTTGGGATGGAGGGGGATCGATGCTGGGACTGAGGGGATCAACGATCGATGGCCGGCCAGAACCTCACCGCTTAGAATTTATCCGAAAATCTGCTCAGAGAACAATCTTCGCTTCTTCCATAGAACACACGTCCTTCGGACGGAACCTGCTTTTTCTCCCTCAGCAGTCAACGCTTTTAGCATTATATTTCCTTTTCTTGACGCGTTGGACGCGATAAACGTCATTCTGCGCAAAAAAAGTCGCCATCAATCAGAAGGGATAACTGAGAGAGGAAGAAGTTACGTCAGAACGATTCGCTTTTCCCATCCCACCCACTGTCAACGCAACGCCATAACCATCGCCGCTTGCCCCCCCTTCCAAAAAATACATACACACATAGAGTTCAAATCGCAACAATGTCCGAACCGGGCCCCGAGTCAATCCCTACAAGCGCAGACCCGCGCAGCAAAAGACCCGTCAAGCGCCGCGCAATCACGCCGCACTCGGAACAAGCAACGCAAATCGACTCCCTGTTCAAAGACCCATCAAAGGAAATCAAACTGCCCGACACTGCGAAGCCACGCTCTGTGGCGTCGTTGGCTGCGCCGCCGGAAATCGTCGCCAATGTGCAGGGTTCTTCGGCGGGTGCTGGGTCGGGCGAGTTCCATGTCTACAAGGCGAGTCGGAGGAGAGAGTATGAGCGACTACGGATGATGCAGAGTGAGGTTGATAAGGAGAAGGAAGATAAGGATTGGGATAAGGAGAGGGAAGAAGCGAAGCGAAAGGATGAAGAGAAGACGGAGAAGAATCGGAAGAAGAGGGAGAAGAGAAATGCGGCGAAGAAGAAAAATAACAAGAATGCTTCGGGCAATGGGCAAGAAACGGACAAGGTGGAGGCCAGAAAACCAGCTCCAGCGCTCAGGTTTCCTGGCCAGAAAACAGACGAGGATCAGGGCCAGGAAGATGGGCCAGCACCGGCCGAGGAGGTTGGAGTCATCATCCACGATGACTGAGTCTACGGTTTTGGATCGAAGTCAAGTACAGTGGGCCGTTCCAGGTGTGCGATTTGAAGATACCCATGTAATTTTTAGTCTAGGATATTCATACAAACTCAAGAGGTAATCATGTAGCATTATGTACGCGTTTTTATTCCATTGGCCTCGTCCTTTATTCATCTCCACCGCCAACACCAGCGCCAGCCTGCTGCGCGGTCTTGCCGCTGCAGATATCATCCACACGGAGGAGTAGGCAAGCCGACTGAAGATTTCATTAGTTGGGATATATCTCAAGTCAGGGAATTTGGTAAGACTTACCTCGACAGCTGTCTTAATACTCTGGAGCTTGACAGCTTCAGGCTCCCAGACGCCGTACTCCTTCATGTCAACCAAAGCACCCGAGTCACCGTCGAGACCCCAGGTGGTCTGGCCCTCAACGTGCTTGGCCCTCATGCGGGTAAGGACACGGATGGGGCTAGCACCAGCGTTCTGGGCCAATGTACGGGGAATAACCTCCATGGCATCAGCCACGGCCTTGTAGGGCCACTGTTGAACACCCTCGATGGACTTGGCGAGCTCGCCCAATTTGACGGAAACGGCCATTTCAATGGCACCACCACCGGGGGACAGTCGGGGGTGGAAGATGACGTTTCTGGCAACGGACATGGCGTCCTGCAAGTTTCGGTCGATCTCGTTCAGGATGTCCTTGGAAGGACCGCGCAGGAGAATGGTGCAAGCCTTGGGAGTCTTGCATTTTCTCATGAAAGTGAAATATTCATCACCGATCTTCTCAATCTCGAAAAGTCCACACTGTGTTCCGACGTCGGATTCCTGGATGTCGTCGACACGGTTGACAATGGTTGCGCCGGTGGCTCTGGCAATACGGTTGTTGTCGGTCTTTCTCACACGGCGAAGAGCTGTAATGTTGGCCTTCATAAAGAAGTGCTGTGCAAGGTCTAGAAAGTAAAGGTCAGACAATATTGACCGCAGGGTTAGACGGGTCCCTTACCGGAAACACCCTTCTCGGTGATGACAACGTCGGGCTTGACAGCCAAAATAGCATCACACATGTGCTTCACTTGCTCCTCCTCAATCTGCAGAATCCGGTTCCAGTCATCCTCCTTGGTAATCTCAATGTTCGTTTGGGACTCTCCCTTCTTGTACTCCAACGGGCAGTCAAGCAAGAGAATTCGGGGGTTTTCTATTCTCCTCCGCATCTTGGGGTGGGTGATATCCTTGTTGACCATGACACCGTCGATAACCTCGCTGTCCTCGATCTGTCCACCAGGAATCTTCTCAATACGAGCGTAGCGCTTAATGTCAACCTCTTGCTTTCCACCACCGGCGTCGAAGGAAACCGTTCGGACGGCCTTCAATGCCAAGCTGCACATAAGTTCCGACCATCTCGACACGAATTTGGTTCCAATGGAAGAATGAATAAGGGTGTACATGGCCTTGTCATCATTGATGTCGACGGGTACCGAAACCTCCTCCACGATGGCAAGTGCGTCAGCGAGAGCACGCTTAAAGGCCGAGATAATAACGACAGGGTGGATGTTGCGTTCGAGTTGGGGGAGAGCCTGAGCAAGCATTTCACCGGCTGTCAAGGTCAGCATCATACAGACCTGAAAGGATGTTTTAAAAAGACAGAGAAAGAATTACCAAGGATAATAACAGTCGTAGTTCCATCTCCGACCTCCTCATCCTGAGTGCGGCTGAGCTCAATCATGCTCTTTGCCGCGGGGTGCGACACCTCAATCTCTCTCAGAATAGCATGTCCATCGTTGGTCAACACAATACCGCCCATCGGGTCGAGAAGCATCTTCAACATGGCCTTGGGACCGAGACATGATCGGATGATGTCCGCAACACTATTGGTGTTTTATATGTTAGACACGAAGCGGGGGAAAGAGGTAGTGAAAGTCCACGTACGTCTTAGAAGCGGCGATGTTCGAGAGCTGTGCTTTCCGACCAACCTGTCTATCACCAGCATTGGTGTCTGGATGAACGGATTAGAATAATCCCAAGATTGAAAGCCCAGACGATCCCCAACGGCATGACTTACTCATTACCACCACCGGTGCCTGCATATTGGCGGTGGTCTGTGGATTTGTTTCGAAAAAAAGAATTTAAAACGGCTTCAACACGTCCCAGGGAGTTCCTTTGGCTCAAAGAAAAGGATTCAGACAACGGGGCTCGTGAGTTAGAAGACGTGGAGTGGTGTTCTCTTTGCCCGCATCGCCATTAATTTTCCAGTGAACCTCGAAGTGGGATTGCGGCCAGAAGCTCAGAGGCGCTAATCTGTGTTAGGACTAGCGCGATATCCCCCCTGAGCTGTCAGGCAAACCAGCCAAACAGTATTTGTGAGTTTGGGATAACTTCAGACGAGGCAATTCGGTTTCATTTCATTATTGTATGGCTGTATTTCAGATTATCTATTCGCTTTATGGCTAATGCCTCCATTAATTCAATATGGCCCAAGCATCGTTCAAGATCCAACGCAACCGCGTATGCTAACCCTTTCCATTTCCTTCTTCCGACTTCACTTGCGCCAATACTCCAATCCCAAGCCGTATCAAAATCTCATCCATCATTGATAACCGTCTCGATCTGAGACTGTTTACCACTTCTTGAACATCTGGCTCATCCGGTAAAGCTTCTTTCGCACCCGAACTCGCATACTGTCGAGGACAGAATGTTTTTTAAACATCCGCCCATCTTCATTGGGGTGCATCGAGGTACTGGAGCCCACGAACGGGTCTGGTAGGTATAGCTCAGTCTGGCGTGTGTCTGGTTCTTCGTAGTGAGTGAAAAGAGGGGTCGAGATCGTATGGTTTCGTCCATGAGCAGGAACAGGATAGCCATCGCCCATTTCAATTCCCAGTCCTATTCCCATGCCCACTCCCATGCCCCATTCCTCCTTTGCCGGCAAGGAACTGTCACTGTGTCGATGGTGAAGCACACTTCCGGTCTCGCTTTCTTCGTCATCATTATCGTTATCGTAATGGTCCTTTTTCTCTTTCTCTTCTGTTTCTTCGTACTGCAACTCTTCATGCTTCGGTTCGTCGTACTGCAGTTCGTCGTACTGCGGTTCTTCATGCTGCGACTCTTCATCCGGCATCTCTTCATTCTGTGCCTCTTCCTGCTGCAGTTCGTCATTTTGAGACTGTGCATCCTGCATCTCTTCATGCTGCGACTCTTCATCCTGTCCCTCTCCATCTTCATCCACAGTCGAATCGTTGTAAAGTCGCCAACTATTCTCATCCTCAATCACTAACCGAGCAATCCTATCCCGATACCACAACTCAGCGTAGAACCCCATGAAAAAGTCCTCGCCATGCTGGATCGCTAAACCCGCATCCTGATGCCGTCTCAGACGCTCAATCTGCAGCTCTCGCATGTTACTCTGAAGATGAAGCGGGAGTTCAGCCATGGCTGCTGCGTCAAGTTCATAGATGACTTCGACTTCATCTTGCATGGATGATTCGTCACTGTCGCTGTCGCTGTCCTTTTCATCATCGCCATCTTCACCAGCTTCACCAGCGCCAGCATCATCAACATTATCGTCAATGCCGATCTCTTCCTTCCCAATATTCCCCCACGGCTGACTTCTCCACGAATTCGAACTGCTGCTACTGCTGATATTGTTATCGCCATTCGAGCTGCTGCTAATATCCCAGTGGCTCGTCTCTCCGTAACTCGCACTCGAACTAGGCTCCTGGTTTAACAGGAGGGTGAGGAGGGATGGTGGATAGTAGGAGTAAGAGTACATTTTTTCTCTGTTCTGTCTTGTCTTGTCTTATCCTGTCTTCTTCTCTCGCAGATTTGCAACCTGTCGACCGCGTCCAAGACAGGGCGACAGGTGGGGGAGCCCCTGCTGGCTTTTGCTTTTGTTATTATTGTTTTGAGCAGGGACGTTCTTTTGGCATGTGTCTGTGCTGGACTTACCGGTATAGGAGGTTATCTGCCTTTGAGGTGGAGGTGTAGTTTTTTTTTCTTGTGTTTCGTGGCCTTCAGGGGTTTGTAAAAAAGTGGGAGTACTGATTATTTTTTTTCTTTTCCCAACTGTCTATCCAGGTAAGTGAGTGAGTGTATTAGTCGTGCAAAATAATCTGGCTGGCTAAGCGGGTCCTGGGTATGAGGGTTAAGAGTATATCGGTTTTGTATAGGAAAAAAGTGATGGGGATCAACTTTCTGCACTTTCTAGCTTATATCCCTTCAAGTGAACTAGATTTACTTCTTTATATTATTTGTTCTATATATCTTTGTATTACTCTGTGCTTTTTACATATAATTTGAAAATGGTGGTTATTATTTTATACACAGGAGCTTTTCCAAACAAGGGAGTTAATAAAGGTGAGCTTCACAAACATCCACTCTTCCTCTCCCTTTATAGGTTGAATACCGAATATATTTGATCAAACATCCAATATTTAAGAGGTATGGGGCTTATGTAAAACAATTATTATTATCTAGAATCTCATATCCAAAAATCGTTATATACCCGACAGACACCTTTCCCAACGTATTATACTAAGTACCGATATGATTATCCAAAAGTAGACAAACAGACAGACAAGCACAAGTGAATCAAAACTCGCGACTCTCTCCGATATCGCAAGTATCAAACACCCCGGTCTCGGGGATATCGTGCTTCTTCAGCGCCTCCTTGAGCTTCTTGGGCGGTTCGAGGACGTCTTCCTCTGTCAGCACCCACGTGCCCCAGTGCATTGCCAGGGCCTTTTTGCATTTCGTGTCCTGGAAGATCTGCACAGCATCGTGCGGATCGGCGTGCATGGGACTCATTATCCATCGCGGTAGATAGGCGCCGATGGGGATGAGGCCTAGGTCGAAGGGCCCGCGGAAGTCGCCTACTTGTTTGAAAGCCGGGCAGGAGGGGAAGTCGTATTCGGGGGCGTGGTCGTCGGTGCCCTTTGGGAGGTCGGGTACGGCTCTATACCCCGTGTCTCTGGTTGAGTGTTAGCTGGGCTGGACTGATATGTGGTTAATGATATCAGGTTTTCAGTGCGTACCCGGCGAAATAGACCTTGCGGCCTCCGGATTCGATTGACCATGACGCCCACAGCGTTTTCGATCGGTCAAAGACGCCTCTGTTGCTGGTGTGCTGGCATGGCAGACAGCTGATGCGAGCTTTGATATCTGCCTGCTTCGATGCAGAATCGGGTGTGGTTTCCTCGACTTCTGTTGCTGGTGATTTGGATGGGGAGAGGGTGATGTCGCGTTCATCCCACCAGTCCAATTCCGTCATATTCCCAATTCCAGAGCTACTGAACCAGGCCTTGTTTCCCAGCGGAGCGAAAAAGTGGCAGTTGGGATGGGTTTCGGATATCTCCTTGACGGTTGGATACGACAAGTGATCGTAGTGGTTATGGGAGATCACCACCACATCAATGGCGGGGATATCTTTGATTTTACAAGGCATCTCTGTGTATCGCTTAGGACCCATCCAGGAGAATGGGGAGCAACGATCCTCAAAGACTGGGTCGAAGAGAACACGCAGGCCGTCGGGAAACTCAACATAGTAGCATGCATGGCCTAGCCAGGTTGCTCGCAAACCGGGTGTCTCTCGACTGGGGAGAAACTCTGGTGTTTGAACAGGGACAGTGGGAGGCGTTGTGTCTGGGATATTGGCTTCTCCTCTAATCCGACGGCTTTGGGCGTGTTAGAAATTGGCCACCGAATGAAACGTCAGATATGACTTACGAGATCAGATGTCCAATAATCGAGATGTTCATTTCTCGCCACGAGCTGAATGGATCAATTAGTCCCATAACAATCTATCCTCGATGCAATCAATTCCTTACCTCCATGGATTCTTGAATGCATTCTGCGCATGATGGCTCTTGGCATGTGCATCCTCAGGGCCCGGTGACACAGGCGATGCAGAAACAGTGATGGCATAAAGAGCAGCAGCAGTCGAAGAACCCATAGCGAGTCTTGATGAAGATGAATTGGATCGTGCAGATCCAGAGCCACGTTGTGCTTGATGGCGAAAGCAGAATAGACGTCTTATGAACGAGCGCATTTGTGGAACACGGTGGTATGCTGGTATCGACTTTCAAGGGATATGCACAATTTTAACAACTCCACGAGAATATATACAATTCAGCAATCTCAGCAGCAGTGAGGTGTAAAATACAAGATTATATTATGTTGCCTGTTCGAATTGAAAAGACATGAAGTGAAAAATGCGCTGTCAGAATATAACCCGTTCGTTAAGCCCGTTATTTCCGAAGGCTCCGAAGGCCGAACGGGGCGATTATTGGCCCGTTGGCCGTACATGAAGACAGGATGTAAATGAATAAACATTCAAAGAATTGAATTGATATCGTAGGTATGAGAAAATAGACAAAATCAGTGCAGTTGATGCTTTCGACAATCTAGCATCGCCTAGTATCTTAGCTATATGGCTTAGTTAATACTATGTAGTATGCCGCCACAGATATAGCAGTGGCATTGACAGCAACATTTTGTATAGTAATGACAAGGAGACACAGAACAGCAATGCAATCTGATGAGAAGATGGCCATTCTTAGTAGTTCGCGGTTAGCAAATATCAGCATAGTCACTACCAACCTATGGTTGATCAATGACACTGTTTATCTGCATGAAATAAAGCCCAACTGTGATGTTCAATTCGATCTAGATGTAGTTCGGCATATGTAGAGGATAAGTCGAGGGGAGATCAGCATATAAATGTCTGGGATGGAAGATGTTAGTATTAGATAAGCCATCTACCTCTGAGGTCAGTCTGGAGCAGTGGATAGTGCAGTTGTTCCTTGGGGGAGTCTTTAATCAAAGAATCTTCAAGAATAGAGATTGTCCAGTAGTGGTAATAGGAGAGAATAGAAGTTGAATGATCAAGGCAACTTTAACCCTCGCCAAGCATGACGATACATCCACATGTGGCTGAATACAAGATGAGGGAATAATCACAACGGCTAAACATCGGAAGACTCGATCACTTGGCTTGATGTATACAAAAAGCCAGAATCGGGCCGTGCAGACGGAATGACGGTTTGTACCGACAGTCAAGAAGTGTGGAGTTGACGGTTGAAGTTTCTTCTATACTAGACAGTGCATTGTGTAGGGCGTGTGGGGAGAATATTCTCAGAATGGAATATTTTACGATCATCCGGAGTATAGTATGGCGGAGTATCGGCATGGCCATGATGCAACGAGCATATTGGATCGTATGACGGCCAAGAGTGGATATGGAGAAGGAAGAACAGCGTGGGGGAACACCCAGTATGGCAATAGGTATGCTGAATATCCTCATCTCCATCAACTTCTGAGGAAATAATAGCGCAACCCCACAGTCTTGCCCCGCCTCCAGATGCACTCCGCAAGTTCAACTCGGGATTATTCACCATCAGTCATCGGGCAGTAATTGTCTGACCGGAGTTGTTTTTACTCTGTTTAATCTCTCGCCCGATATTACTTTGTTTGCCTGTTTTCACCCCTCGCGTCCGGAGGATTTCCGGTCGACCTTTTGCCGAGATTAAGAGGATTATGGCTTATGCAAGGCGATGGACTTGGCAGACTGTCTGGTTTGAATGTGACTATTTGCAAGAGATGGTAATTCAGGCGAAAGTGTCCTGGATATTATCAAAAGAAGGTTATATTATATGCCTGTCAGAAATGACAGCCATGTGGCCGGACTGGAATGTTGATCGTAACTGTTTGATCTTCGGGGATGTTCAGTGTCTATGCTGTATACAGTCGATGGTCTTCCTCAACTGTTTACAAACAGTATCAGCCAATCCTAGCAGCTCCTCAAAATATTTTTCCGGCTTTGATGCATCGGCAAGACAGCCGGACGACGATTGGGAAATATCACGGATGATCAGATCGCGGAGTATCGGCCTGGCAGAGAAACGGAGGCTTCTCTTTCTTTGAACTCCACTTTTCATCTGCTCTCGGGCTTTGCTTTGGATTCTTTTGTATATCGGGTGGAATATCGCCAGTGTACATGATGTTGACAGCTTAAATTACCACTAAGTAGCAACTTCCACCGGATAAATGCCCCCTGCTAGTCCAGGGTGTTGGCTGTGGAGAATGACGTTGATTTCGATCTGTGATCTTGGTGGTTAAATTACATTGACTTGGATTTCATCTCAAGGAGCACTGGTAACTATCAGACGTTTTAGAGACAAACCTTGCTATGAAGGAGATGTCTTACCCTTGCTGGAGTAAGGTGATGATACAAAACCATTGAAAGACAAACAAACCATCACATCTCACATGTCGTCCTGTCCAGCGTGATCGTGATGTACTGCATGCATTGCCATGTCGAATCCCGACTCAATCAAATGCGGGGGGACTCACAGACTTGATGTAACATGCGCAGGGACCTCACAAGTCACAACAGCTGCAGTCAGTATACAGAGTACAGAGTACGGAAGATGCGAGATTCTATCTGATGCCGGCATAATGCCGATTCCCGTAGATTAACCGGGTTTTGGTTGACGGGATCGATGGAGATGTTGAATTGGGATGGCCGTTGGTGTTTGTATTTGTACGGTATTGTATCCTGTATTATTCCCCAGGTTCATCCCTTGGTCCTGGTAACATTCGCATATCGATAGATCTCAACTATCTCTACATCTACATCTCCAGATATATGATAATGACCATTAGGTATTCAATCTGCAGTCCATACTAGATAAACATATGATATCTATATTGAATATTCCGAAATCATTTGACTTATCCGATTGCATCTGTTTGTGGGGATCCTGTAATTTACTAGCAATTCTCGTAACACTAGTGTAATCCATCATTACCGGGGATGGAACCCTGTCTACCCCGAATTTCCTCTCTCTCCGCAACAACTTTCTCTTTTCATCTCCAGCTCAACAGCTCCGGTTGCGGGGAATCCAGCATCAACACACCGATGAATCAAATATCCCGTATCCATAATACACATTATGTGTAAAAAACAACCCATATAGCCGGCCCGACTGGACTCGGACTGTGGCGTTACCCTTTCTGCTTGTTGATCCGCTCTATTGACCTGACTGCTAGTTTCGGAGGGATCTGGAACAGTAAACCTTGTGCTGCATGCGAGGGTCTGTACTTGCTGTGACGTCGGATTATTTCTTTGCTTTTTATTTTATTATTTTCTCCTCTTCTATTCTGTCTCTTTGCGAAGCACTATATAGCTTCCCCTTTCCCCCTATCTGGGTAGTCTCTTTCTCTCTTTGTTTTGTCTACCCATCCACCTCTCATCAGCCATTTTGATCCTGCCTTGGTTGTGTAACGGATCGGCTTAGTATATTTGTTTTTGCTCTTCTCCCCTCGCAATCATGAGGTTCGGTTGGTTGGAGGTAGCCGCTCTTACGGCTGCCTCCGTGGTCAGTGCCAAGGTACGGTGTCGCGATGCCTCTGGATAGGCCCCAATGGCTTTCTAACAGCTCTGTCTAGGATGACCTGGCATTCTCCCCTCCCTTCTACCCCTCTCCGTGGGCAAACGGTGAGGGTGAATGGGCAGACTCGTACAAGCGCGCTGTCGAGTTTGTTTCGAACTTGACCTTGGCTGAGAAGGTCAACCTTACAACTGGTTCTGGGTAGGTTTACGACTGAAGGTTTTCTGGGACGGTCATTGCTAACCTTGTTCAAGCTGGCAGCAAGAGAGATGTGTTGGTGAGACGGGCGAAGTTTCTAGGTAGGTTGAATTCCTGCTTACAGCAGTGGAGAGAGCGGGCTGTTGACGATGCAATTGCAGACTTGGATTCTGGGGTATTTGTTTGCAGGATTCTCCCCTGGGTATTCGTTTTGGTATGACGTCTCATCAAGATCTTATTTACTTCTTACTGACGATGATTTCATTCAGGCGACCACTCCTCCGGCTTCCCCTCCGGCCTCAACGTTGCTGCAACCTGGGACAAAAAGCTTGCCTACCTCCGTGGTAAGGCAATGGGCGAGGAATTCCGTGACAAGGGCATTGATGTTCAACTGGGACCTGTCGCTGGTCCCCTTGGCGCTTTCCCTGATGGTGGTCGAAACTGGGAGGGTTTCGCTCCCGACCCTGTGCTGACTGGTTTCCTGATGTCGGAGACTATCAAGGGTATCCAAGATGCTGGTGTTATTGCTACTGCTAAGCATTACATCGGTAATGAGCAGGAGCATTTCCGCCAAAGCGGCGAGGCTAAGGGTTATGGTTACAACATTACTGAAAGTTCGAGCTCAAACATTGATGACAAGACAATGCACGAGTTGTATCTCTGGCCTTTTGCTGATGCCGTTCGTGCTGGTGTCGGCGCGTTCATGTGCTCATACAACCAGATCAACAACAGCTATGGCTGCTCCAACAGCTACCTGATGAACAAACTCCTCAAGTCTGAACTAGGCTTCCAAGGATTTGTCATGAGTGATTGGGGTGCACACCACAGCGGTGTTGGCGCTGCTTTGGCTGGTTTGGATATGTCCATGCCTGGTGACACTGTCATGGGCGACCCCTACACCTTCTGGGGAACCAACCTGACCATCTCGGTTCTCAACGGCACCGTCCCCGAGTGGCGTGTGGATGACATGGCCGTCCGTATCATGGCTGCTTACTACAAGGTGGGCCGCGATGAGGTTCGCACCCCTCCCAACTTCAGCTCGTGGACCACCGAAGAATTCGGATACGCGCATTATGCTGCTCAGGAAGGATACGAGAAGACCAACTGGAATGTCAATGTCCGCCGCAACCACGCCAAGGTCATCCGCGAAATCGGTTCGGCCAGCACGGTTCTTCTGAAGAACAATGGCGTGCTCCCCCTGACCGGTGATGAGGACTATGTCGGAATTCTGGGCGAGGACGCCGGAGCTAACCCCTATGGTGCCAACGGCTGTGAAGACCGTGGCTGCGACAATGGTACTCTCGCTATGGCTTGGGGCAGTGGTAGTGCGGAATTCCCTTACCTTGTGACTCCCGAGCAGGCCATCCAGAACGAGGTTCTCAAGGGCGAGGGCTCTGTGTTCGCTGTGACCGATAACTGGGCTCTCGAGCAGATGGCTTCTATTGCTTCGCAGTCCTCTATCTCTCTCGTCTTTGTCAATGCCGACTCCGGAGAAGGTTTCCTCAATGTGGACGGAAACATGGGTGACCGCAAGAACTTCACCCTCTGGAAAAATGGCGAGAATGTGATCAAGACTGTCACTGAGAACTGCAACAACACCGTTGTGGTCATGCACACTGTTGGCCCGGTCCTGATCAAGGACTGGTATGACAACCCTAACATCACTGCCATTGTCTGGGCTGGTTTGCCTGGCCAGGAAAGCGGAAACTCTCTCGCTGATGTGCTTTACGGCCGTGTCAACCCTAGTGGCAAGAGCCCATTCACCTGGGGCAAGACTCGCGAGGCTTATGGTCCTTCTCTGCTCACCACCCAGAACAACGGCAATGACGCTCCCCAGCAAGATTTCACCCAGGGTGTCTTCATTGACTACCGCCGATTTGACAAGTTCAACGAGACTCCCATCTACGAGTTCGGATACGGTCTGAGTTACACCACCTTCAACTACTCCAACCTCGAAGTTCGATCCCTGAATGCATCGCGGTACACCCCAACCACTGGCAAGACTGATGCCGCGCCTTCTCTGGGCGAGGCTGGCAAGGCCTCGGACTTTTTGTTCCCCAAGGGACTGAACCGCATCATCGGCTACATTTATCCGTGGTTGAACTCGACCGACCTGAAGTCGGCGTCCGGAGAGAAGAACTATGGCATGAAGGCTTCTGAGTACATTCCCGAGGGAGCCACCGATGGATCCGCCCAGGAGCTCCTGCCGGCCGGCGGTGGCCCTGGTGGTAACCCTGGTCTGTATGAAGACCTCATCGAGGTTTCTGCTACTATTACCAACACTGGCAAGGTTGCTGGTGACGAAGTCCCACAGCTGGTGAGTCCTCTCTGACTGATTCTGGTTATTTATCTGATACTAATTTTTCTGTAGTATGTCTCCCTTGGTGGTGCCGACGACCCCGTTCTTGTCCTCCGTCAGTTCGACCGTCTCCACATCGAGGCTGGAAAGCAGGCAGTGTGGAAGACGACTCTTACCCGCCGTGACCTCGCCAACTGGGACGTTGCGGCGCAAGACTGGACCATCACGAAGAGCGCGAAGAAGGTGTACGTGGGCAGCTCTTCGCGGAACCTGCCCCTCAAGGCCAAGCTTCCCACCGTTCAGTAGACTATATAACGAAGACCGGGGCGACCGAGTTGGTTGTACAGGCATTTGCTTTTCGTCCTTAGATGTACAGACAGGGTTGTGTCGCTTTTGATGATAATAGGTTTAATGACATTGGAACAAACAAGTTGGTATAGTTAGTTTAGACAGGCAGCATAGCTGATCCAATAATATTCTTTACCCAAAGATGCACGTCGCACAGCATAGATATGCTGTAAGTCATGAAATCCTGTTCAAATGGCGGTGTTGAACCGAGGCGTGCCGAGCGGTGCCGACGTCATTTTTCCCTCCACAGGACGACCGGCTTCAAGTCCGCAACAACAACGATCCATCCATCCCTCCTCCATCATCGACACCTCCAACAACTCCATGGCATGCAGTAGTGTGGCCTCGTGATCCTCTAATTACTGCGTGTATATATCTTTCGTCAATTGCTCTCTCTTTTCTCTCCCTATCCACACACCAACGGAGAAAAAGAACGACGAAAATCGAAAACCAAAAAACATGGCCTCTCCCGCCAGAAAATCACCTCCCTCCATAGCAACGACACCCCCAACCGCCGTCCTCCTCCTCTACCCCATCACATTACTAGTGGGATCACTATTCTCAATCATCTCGCCAACAGCGCAAGGCTCCCGAGATCGCCCACACGAGCACGTCGACGCCCTCGCCGCAAGCACACCCAATCCCGTCAACTACTTCGCCCGCAAAAACAACATTTTCAACCTCTACTTTGTCAAAATCGGCTGGCTATGGACGACGCTCGCGTTTGCGTCGCTGCTTGTCTCGCAGAAGGCGTACACGGCCCCGAGTAGCCAGCGCTCGCGCAGAGTCGCGCAGACGGCGCTGCGGTACTCGCTCGCGACGGCAGTGTGGTATCTCACGACGCAGTGGTTTTTTGGGCCGCCGATAATCGACCGCGGGTTTGTGGTTACGGGGGGGAAATGCGAGAGGGCGGTGCAGAAGGTTTTGGCGCCGGATACGCCGGTTTCGAGTCTTGAGACGCTGTTTACGGCTAGTGCTTGTAAGGCTGCAGGGGGTGTTTGGGCTGGTGGGCATGATGTGAGTGGGCATGTGTTTATGTTGGTTTTGGCGACGGCGATGTTGGGGTTTGAGGTTTGGGGGGTTGTCATGAATGGTGCTGAGGCTATTGAGAATGGGGGTAAGGAGAAGAAGGATGGTGAGGGTGAGGACGAGGGTGAGCAGGGGGTTTTGAGTGTTTGGTCATTGCGGTTTGCTGGGGGTGTTGCTGGTTTGGGATGGTGGATGCTTTTTATGACTTCGATTTGGTTCCATACGTGGTTGGAGAAGGTGAGCTGCATTTCCTCCCTGGTCTGGTTGATCTTTTGCTAATATCTTCTAGTGGACTGGTCTGTCTATCGCATTGGGCACTTTGTATATCATATATATCCTTCCGAGGACTGTTGCCCCATGGAGAGATATCGTGGGAACCCCGGGAGTATAAACATTGGATAGACGGTGTCGTGGATTAATATGATTTCGGGTTGATAATACAGATAGAATGTACAACATAGCAAACTACTTATTGGATGCCTAATACGAATACACATACAACTCAAGCAGGTACAAGATTCATAAACCCCATTGCTTCTTTTGCATGTTCTCGAAGAATATCAAGGTCCAGTAGAAATGGCTCTTGTGAATTGCGCCCTGGGAAAGCATTTGGTCCAAAAAATGTGCGGCGAGCGAGTCTAATGTTCTGGCCCTGGCCCTGTGGCACAGGGAAGATTTGCTAGCCACCATCAATTATCACCTTCACAAGAGCGAGTGGATATATGAAGCATACCTCAGTTTGCCCAAGGATTGGGATACCGTTGGTATCAAGAGAATATACCTCAGCAGACCCCGCAACAAAATTAGAGCTCGACTTTCCCCCCATTTCAACAAAATAACTGCCATGACCGTTCCATTTCCTCCCACAAGCCAAAGATTCACGTCGTCTTCTAGCCTGGACCACGACTCACTCCACCCTGATTCCATCACGACTGTGGGGAGCCTCTATCCACTGGGGCGGATGAGAGGGTCTGGTTCCTTTCTCGAACCGACATAATCGCCGTGTACGAAGTCAATTGCTGCAAATGTCAGCGAGAACGCCTATAAGCTAATGCGTTCAATGAGAAACCTACTGGTACCAGCTGTAGACCGCAAGTATCTTTTCTCGTCACGGGTTAACAGGCCAGTCTATCTCCAGATATTCTCTTGTTCTCGATACCACGATTGGTGGCAGTCGAGTAGATACGTCGGCATCACGCGTACCCAGAACACTTTTGTGCTTGAACTGTACTTCTTTCTACAGGGGTTTTTAGCCAAATGAAATTATTAGGAGAATGAAAGGTCCATCTACCTTACCTCCCTGGTCTTCGCTCGATATTTTTATTCAAAAAATCAACGACTTTCTTCCCTCAGGGCGTAGCTACATCCGAAAAACAAGCTCCTTGTAGCTATTGGCCGTGTCTATGACATCCAGGACGAAGGTAGAGAATTCTTCTTCGCTGTTGAACCTCTTTGCAGAGACGACTTTGTGATGATTCGGGGTTTGCTCTTGCTCTCTCTCCTCGGGGAGTCGTTTGGGGGATGGTGGTAAGCTTCAAGGTGGTTTGGGTACAGATTCAGGAATAGGACTATGAGGAGTGAATATAGACCTGCGCTACAAATGTTGCTATCGCCTACTACTACTGGCCAATGATGTAATGTGTGAATAACTTTTTATTTCACTGCTACTCTTTCCACGTCGATTCTGGCTCTGGGCCAAAATAACCACTTTTAAACGCTGCCATCGTCAGTATCTCATACTCTACTACAAGGCAGTAAAACTCACCACCCGGAATCAACGCAGACGCATACATCACCCTCGTGATAGGCCTCAAATCAAGCGGTGTCAAATCAGACGAAATGGACAACTCCATATACGGATCCCACGCGGTGATGATGGCATCCGCATACACCTTCAGGTCCACCGCGCGCTCTTTCTCGCTTGGCTGCTCTGTCTGACACTGGATGCCCATGCAGGTGCCGAATTCGCGGAATGCGAGACGGTGTTTGATGTTGCGGTCTAGGTAGCGGTTTATTTCGAAGAGGTTGTCTGGTACATGTTAGTTTAGGGTTTTGTGAGAGGAGATGGTGATGGTGGTATACAGATCTGTTCAAAGCATCTTCCTGCCAGCCGAGCCGCCCATTCTTCTTTCTCGGAGAACCAATGCACCGTCCACATTGTCATTCCTAGATCTAGTGGATCAGTCGATACGAAATGTTCGCCTTTTCTGTCCATCACGCGTTGGTAGTCTCGAATCTCCTCTGCCAGCACTTCACCCTCGCCTGCTTCTTTCGCCGTCGCCTGCAACAGTCGATACACTACAAACCCATCAAGCGGGTCCAGATTCCCCTCTGAACCCACCAACGGCACGGTCAAATCGACAGACATCTTCCATACCATGCGCGGGTATTTCGACTCGCGGTTCACAAAAAAGTGCGGATGGATGGCTTTCGCCAGCGCCACGGCTTGTTGGTTATAACTCACATCCCCCGTCGCCCGGGATAGACGATTCAGCGCAAACATCCACACAGTCAGATAATGATGATACTGGCCATCGCCATCGGGTCCCCGTTCTTCATCTTTCCCTATCCTCAACCCCCCGCCTAGTGGATTCTTCTCCGTTGCGCGAGGAAGTCGGGCTATTCCATCACGCGTACGCCCCAGCACACTGTGTACTGTCTCGACTAGTCTCTTCGCAAGAACGAGATACCGATCGTCGTCTTTTGTTGCGGACCCACCCGCTTCCATGTACTCTTTATGCATGGTGAGGAGGTTCAGAACCCCGAATGCGTCGGTCCAGAGGTATCGGCCGCGATGGCCGCCGGATTTCCCCGGTGGGTTCCAGGCGGATGGATTTGTTATTGAGGAGAAGCTGCCGTAGAGGGATTCGAGGGCGCTTTGGAAGCGGTCGAGGCGGGGGGAGGGGCTGTAGATTGGGGTTGCCATGGTGGGCGTGTAAGTTCTGGTTAGGGGTTTGGATGGAATTTTTGTGGAGATGGATTTGAGAAATTGCATTGAATTGCTTTGTTGCTTTCGGTAATGTTGGCTTGGGTTCTTGTTTTGTTGTTTGGGTGTGTTGGTTCGGCATCATCATGATTTAGGGTTGACGGGGATATGATCTCATTGTTTGCCTCTTGGTCTTATATCCATCTGAAGTTGAGATGGGGATCACAATCGATTATATCTCAATTAATACAGATGAAATACTTCAAGCGAATACCATTTCTACGCCCAGACACGATGACTCAACTCCAGGAGCTTTTTAACACGGCGGTGCATCCGCTGCCGCCAATCTCAGACTCTCACTTTGCCTCGCACTTTGACAGCTTTGGGAAATACAAAGTCGTCCTACTGGGTGATGGCAGCCACGGGACTTCCGAGTTCTACGCGGCCAGAGCGGAAATCACCAAGCGTCTTATCGACCAGCATGGGTATACCATGGTGGCCGTGGAGGCGGACTGGCCGGATGCCGAGGCCATTGATCGCTACGTGCGCCAGCGACCCGGCCCCAAAGCCCAGATAGGCGGCTGGGCTAAGAACTATGAGCCCTTTAAGCGGTTTCCGACCTGGATGTGGCGGAATCGTGAAATGCAGGATCTGGTTGAGTGGATGCGTGATCGCAACACCAAGGTTCCCGCAGAACAGAAGGCTGGGTTTTATGGACTGGAACTCTACAGCATGGGGGCTAGTATTCGTGCGGTGATTGATTATCTTGATAAAATCGATCCTGCGGCGGGCAAGATGGCTCGTCGACGGTATGGCTGTTTGGAGCCTTGGGTTGATGATCCTACCTCGTACGGACTGGCGTCTCTCCGTGGGATGGAGGACTGCGAAGCCCAAGTAATGAAGATGCTGCGCGACCTCCTCGATCGGAGACTGCAGTATTCGCAGGAAGATGCTCGCGACAGCGATGAATTCCACAGCAGCGAACAGAATGCGCATGTTGTCCGGGATGCGGAAAAGTATTACAAGGCCATGTACTACAGCTCCGCAAACTCATGGACGCTGCGAGACACGCACATGTTCGACACCCTGCGACGTATCTTCCAGCACAAACCCGGCTCCAAAGCCATCGTGTGGGCGCACAACTCGCACGTTGGCGACGCCCGCTACACCAGCATGGGCTTGCGTCGCAACGAAGTCAACATCGGCCAGCTCTGCCGTGAGGGCTTCGGAGAAGACAACGTCGCCATCCTCGGCTGCGGCACGCATACAGGCACTGTCGCGGCCGCGCACGAATGGGATGACGACATGCAAGTGATGAAGATCCGCCCCTCACGCGATGACAGCTGGGAAATCCTGGCCCACGACACGGGCATTCCGCGGTTCGTCCTCGATCTCCGCAAGGGGAAAATTGACCCGGCGCTGCGAGCGGCGCTGGTGGCGGAGAATAACCGGCTGCAGCGGTTTATTGGAGTCATCTATCGGCCTGAAACAGAGCGCATCTCGCATTACTCGCAGGCTTTCTTGCATAAACAATTCGACGCGTGGATTTGGTTTGATCAGAGCGAGGCCGTCAAGCCGTTGGAGAGCATCCAGCCCGCGACGCCACTGGGCAAGGGAGAGACGTATCCATTTGGACTGTAATACTAGACACAGATTAAACTTAGATTATAAAGTAATTGATGATGATAACAATAATAATAATCTGAAATGACAAAGAAATAGAGATCGTCGTAGAAGAAGCTGATGGCGATAAGCGGTTGACGTCAAAGGGCCGCTCACCGCCTGCGCTTTTGTTTACTGTTTATTTCGCCTCGTCTCCCTTGCTCCATCGTCAATCCCTTCGTCGCCTCCTCGCCCAACGCCCATCGATCGCTTTGTTTCCATCTCCATCTTTCCATCGATTCTTCTCCTCGCAATTGCCCGATTTCAAAATGGCGGTTCGCCGTTCCGCCCGTCTGCGACGCACCCAGGCCTCCGAGGTATGGCACATCATCCATTCCAACGCACACACAAATCATCATCATCCCACCTTCTGACCCAGCAACGCCTCGACATTGTCAGGTTGGGTTTGCGTTTCACCATCGCTTCAATATCCTTGCTTTATTATCGATCAAACTAATCAATTTTGTCTTCTTTTTTTTGTAATTGCAGGAGCCTCAGCCTCAGCCTGAACAAGTCAACAAACTCTCCGCCGTCATGGAGCGCGACGAGACGCCCGACGTCCAAGCGCCCACTACCGTCCAGACTCCTGTCAAGACTCCAAGCGATAAGACTTCCATTAACAAGACTCCCACTGCTGCCAGTGAAAAGAGACCCACGGTTACCAGAACTCCCAGCGCCAAAACTCCCAGCGACAAGAATGTCAGTAGCAAAACCCCCAACAAAACGCCCAGCGAGCAGGCTGGTACCAAGACTCCCAACAACAAAACTCCCAATGCCATCAGCGAAAAGAAATCTGCCGGTGCCAAAACTCCCACCAGTGCTGCCGTTTCTCGTCCCTCCCACAATTTCATGCACCCAAGCAAGGTGCACCAGAGTACCACCAAGCAGGCGGACTCGGGATTGATACTCGGCTTCAACCCCGTTCAGAGAGACGCCAATGGAAACATTATCAAAGAAAACATCGCCCAGAACACTCCGACCAAATCAAGGGCTTCTCCTGCCAGCCAGTATGGTACTCCCGGCTTCGACTTCAAGTTCGCCTGCCAGGAGTCCGAGCTAAGCGACGAGGCCAAGAAGCTGATGGAGAGCGTCCGTGAAGATGTCGCCCGAATCAAGTCCCAGATGGTCCTCGACAAGGGAAATGAAACTTCCCAGGAACAGCAGGGTGAAAACCGAAAGATCGCGAAGCCTATGGGCAAAACTAGTCGTTTCAGCAATGCTCATATGGCCGAGTTTAAGAAGATGGATTCTATTGCCGGACACGCATCCGCGTTCAGAGCCACACCCGGTCGCTTCCAGCCCGTTCAGGGCAAGACTCTTAAGCGGACCAACTCCAAGGCGCGCCTCGACGAGCCCGACAGTCAGAATTCGCCTTCCAAATCGGCTGTTAAGCCTTCGGCACCGGCAGCGTCTGGTGCTAAGCGTGTCAAGCACGACAAGACCGATGACACTTCTACCCGTCGTCCGGCATCCAAGGAAGAAAATGCGCCGAAGCCTACACCGAAGCCCACCCCTAAGTCTGCCATTGCACGCCCCAGGCCTGCAGCCCGCAGCTCCCTCATGACCCCAACAAAATCCTCCGCCGCCCGGCTCTCGTCTGCAACTGTCAGGCCATCCAGGGCCTCCATGATTCCTTCGTTGACTCAGTCTCCGGCCGGAAAGACTGTTGCCTCCCCTCGCACTCCTCGCACCGATTTCAACCCTCGGCTTAAGAGCAACTTGCCAACGCTGAGTGGTCTCAAATCAATTCTTCGTCACCGCCAGCCCTTGTTCTCCCGGGACCCGGCTAAGATTGCCGCCGGAACCCACGCGGCAGCCCCCGACTTCAGTTCAAATCTCCTCTTGGGTGGGGCCAGGGAAGGCACTCCCACTGAAGAGCCAACTCAGACCCCGTCGCCTAAGAAGCGCGTCGTGTTTACACCGTGCACCAAATCTCCCTATGAGCTGGCTCAGGCATCTCCTTCGCCGTCCAAGATTCCCACCGCTCAGCCAGTTTCGTCCGATGTGGTTTATCCCACTCTGCCAACTTTGACACCGGAGAAGGAGTCGGCCGCTGCGCAGTCTGCTCCTAGCAAACAGAAAACTCCAACAATCCGTCAAGTCCGTCCTTCCGACGTCGCCCCTAAAGCTACTCCTGTTCCTGAGATCTCTGGTGTGCTTCATGGCATTGGCAACAAGAAGAGACAGCGTTCAGAGACGGATGATGAAGCTGACTCGGAGAATGTGCCTCCTGCGGACCCCACTGACGAGCGCAGCGCGAAGAGAGTCAAGATGAACACTCCAATTCAGCACAAGGCCCCTACTCCCAGCCCCGTGAAGGTTCGCACTACGAACACGCCCCTTCGAAAGACCTCGGGCTCAGCCGCTGGAACCCCTGCGAGCGCGAGACAAAGGAACAGGGGTGTGCTCAGCCTCAGCCGTTTGCACATGCTCGCCAAACCCAAGGGCCGATCTTAAGGATTGAGCAGTGAATCTGTAAATTCTGTTTTGCCTACTTATGGGCGAATTACTCAAGTTTGCATTTACAATTGTTGAGGTGCACATAAGATGGCCGACTTCATTTCTTCTACACATCTTCCTTTTTCATACAATCTATCAAGGGCCGCAAGACGTCCAAGGTTGTGGGTGTGTTTGTGTATTTAATTGATCTCTGGGGCTGGTCTTTGTTTTTCTCTTTTTCTTTTCTTTTCTCTCTTTTTTCTTTCTTGTTCAAATGTTAGGAAAGACTGGCGCTTGGATGCATCTGGTATGAAAGGAATTACCTGGCAATGGCGTTCTGTCTTTTATGTTTCAATTCTTTGTTCTTGGATGCTTTCTTTTGTATCTATTTCCTTTTTGTCGACTTCGACTTCGAGTTGAACTTGAACTTGAATTAATGATAACCACATCTGTTGTTTGTTTTATGATAAACTGTGGAATTGAATGATGTTGATTTTTTCTACACTTGGCCAGTTTCTACGACAAGTATTTATCCGTAGCGGCTATTTGAGCAGGAAGAGAAATGATCTCGATCAACCAGTCTTTTAGAAAAACAGTATAATAAGAGTGAGGTAAGCAAGTATATGTACAAGTCCATCATAAAATACACTGGGTTAAAAGGAAGAAAAAAAAAAAGATAGAAAAAGAGTAGAAAAAACAAATAGTAAAAACATAGCATCGCATCGCATTAGCAGCATGAGTTGAATTCAAGGGTCCTTCCTTGTCCCCATCCATCCATTCCATTCCCTGTCCCTTTTTTTTAATCTTTCTTTCTTGATTTGTTTTTTAATGTGTTCTTCGTTTGCTCCGAGGCATTCGTTCAATCAATGATTCAATCAATCAGTTCCAGTCCAGTCCAGTTTCTTCTAACGCCAATAGGTGGGGATTGAAACGCCGTCATGCTGCTGCTGCTGTCCCCGATCTGGAGAATAAAAGTAAAAGGTGGGGTAAGAAAAGAAAGGAAAAGAGAAAAGAAAAGAAATAAAAGAATAAAAGTGAAATAAAATAGACAAGGGAGTCATTCATGCATCACATGGCTGACGTCTCTAAAATGATCCGATTCCCCCTTCCTCTCCAATAACTCCTGTAGAAAACCGACTCCACCGTTTTTTCCGTGTATTTTTGTTTCGGGGTTGGTAGAGATTAGGAATTAGTTGATTAAAACCATGACAGTTCATATGCTGGGTTGGTGATGATCATCATCCTTTCATGGTGGCCAGGAATGAATCCAGGTTGTATTCTTCCTGGTATTGTCGGTCGTCCCAGAGCTCGCCTAGATCGTCGAGCCAGCCCTTCTTGCCCTTCTCCTTGACCTCGCCGTCAATGTCCACCATGTCAACCTCGTTGCCGGCCGCGTCTGAAGGTTTCTCGGCACTTTCGGCTGTTTCGCCGAGATTGAATAGATCTAGTAGTTGATCTGTGTCCATTGTACCTAAACCGGCGTTTTGTTGATTGACCACCGTAGAAGCCACGTCGATCTTGAAGCGTTGGAGACTAGAAGCAAATGCGTTAGTACTTGGGTAACTGGAAAGAATTATGCTAAATGGGGGACAAGACTTACTTCAAGATCTTCTCTTCCAAAGTACCCCGAGTGATCAATCGGTAAACATTAACCACCTTCTTCTGACCAATACGATGAGCTCGGTCCATGGCTTGGATATCCTTCTGAGGGTTCCAGTCGTGCTCCACGAAAATGACAGTATCGGCACCAGTAAGGTTCAGACCCAGTCCACCAACACTCGTGGTCAGCAGTAACACGTCGTAACTAGGATCCGAGTTAAATTTGTTGACAATATCCTGGCGCTTGGTAGCTTCGACACCACCATCCAAACGCAAGTACTGAACAGATGGGAGCAGTTTTCGGAAAACCTCTGTCTGCACGATATCAAGCATCTCTTTCATCTGGCAGAATACCAGAGCTCTGTGGGGGCTCACGTAGCTAGCGCCAGGATCCAACTCGCCTCCAGACGAAGGGTTGACACCGATACCACAGTCGAGAAGCAAATCGCGTAAGGCACTAAGCTTAGGCGCATGCGAGACATCCCGGACATGTGAGTTCTTGTTGGTAAGGTAGTTTTGGACTTCGTTGTACTGCTTGTGCCCTTCCTTGACGACCAGCGCAGGAGAGTTACAAAGACGGCGCATGTACTGCAAAGCTTGGAAGATGTGCTCCTTGTCGGATTTTTCGGAGCTTCCAACCTTCTCCGCAAGATTCTTTTGCTCCTTCTTGGTGAATGTCTCGAACAGTTTCTTCTGGAGCTCACTTGGGTCACAGTAGTAGTTCTGGATGATCTTTGGTGGCAGATCATTGAGCACCTCCTCCTTCAGACGTCGGAGCAAGAACGGAAGGACTTGTTTGTGCAATGCTTCGATTGCCAGTGCGCCTGCCTCCTGCTCCTTGGATGACGACTTGCTAAATCGGCTTGCCGCGATTGGCTTGGCGAATCGGTCCAAGAAAACCTTTTCGGTACCAAGGAATCCGGGCATCAGGAAGTCAAACAAGGACCAAAGCTCCAGCACGTTGTTCTGAATAGGAGTTCCAGAGAGGATTAAACGGTGGTTACTGGGGAGACGCTTGACTGCTAGTGTGACCTTTGCCTTGGGGTTCTTAATGAGGTGACCCTCATCCAGGACACAGTAGTTCCAGTTAATCGGGTTCAGCACATCATTATCGTTTCTAGCAATATCATAAGAAGTCACAACAATGTCGGCATCGTCAAGGGCACCTTGCAACCGTGAACGCTCGGCGGGAGGGCCAACATAGGCAACGCAGTTGAGGAATGGAGCGTATTGCTTAACCTCTTGCTGCCAGTGTCCAGAAAGCGAGGGCGGGCAGATAATCAAGGATGGGGCCTTTCTAAATTCCGGTTTCTGCGTGCGAGCATATTCATCGGCTCTGATATGGTGATCACTGGCGACAATGCAAATGGTCTGAAGGGTTTTACCAAGACCCATGTCGTCGCAAAGAATACCGTGCAAATTGTAGCGATTGAGGAAAGCAAGCCAGTTAACACCATCCTGTTGGTAGGGTCTAAGCTCGGCCTTGATTGCGATGGGCATCTTGAATTCCTCCACCTTTCGGGGATCCAGCATCTGAGACATGAAGTTTCTTTCACGGTCACGTCCCTTCAACAGCTCCTCCGAAAGACCGGGAGGGTCTGGTATTCCAGCTTCCAAGGGTACAAGTTTAACCAATGTGGCAAATGATGTTGTGGCTAACAGTCTCACATCATTATCTGAATCGCTCATTCTGCCGAGAACAGGGACGACGAGGAAGATAACATATGGCAAAATTCCATCCTCCATGACATGGATCAAGTGATAGATACACTCGACGACTCCTTGGCGTTTGTGCACGTCCAGCGTATCATTTATAGTAGGCAGCACTTTCTCCACCAGCATAGTCATACCCTCGACACTGATGACACTGCAAACAGTGGCAAAACATTTTGCAGCAGCGTATCGGATAACAGACAAGCGGCATCGAAGCGCTTTGGCGATAATAGGCATGAGATCGACGACCCAAGGATAAAGCCCAGTGTGGAACTTGGGAAGAAGGGCACGTAGTGTAGATAAACCGTCCACGATCTCCTGGCCGAGCTCGTTGTCTGGGTCGTGAATATTCTGCGGAAGCTCGTCGCCGGTAAGTGCATCTCGTAGTGGCCGTTCAACCAACGAGGCAAGGTTGGGGACTTTGTTCAAAAGGTCAGCTCCGAATTTAACAGTGAGCTGTTCCAGAGCCTCCTTGGCACCCCTGCGCATAATTCTCGCCTCCTTGGCCTCCCTTTCGAATTTGGCAGCGTCTGGGTGATCCCGCCGGTCCTCTTCCTTGCGGAGGGATAGAATTGACCGCTCAAGGTTGGCATTGTGGTGGAATTCGGGGGTTTCGGAAGTGTCAACGCAGCAGTATTTAACCAAGTTTCCAATGACCTTATCCACCGGGCCACGCTTCGTAGCCTTTGTATAGTATTCAACCAGAGAAGCAACTGCAGTGGCAGAACGTTGCTGGAGCTCTGCGTTCTCTTCGCTCTTAATGCTGTCCATCATTCCCTTGATTATATGACCAGGCTTCTTGGGAATGTCCTGCAAAGCAACCAGCGCACCTGCAGCTGCGGCTCGAACACGCAAGTCTCTCTGCAATCTAACGTTTCTAGCCTCATTAATAGCAGCTTCAGCAGTTGCACGAGTGTCGTTCAATACTTGAAGAGCAGTGACACGTTGAGCGGGAGTTAGGCTCTTCTTCAACCGCTCGAAATCAGCACTAACCACCTTCTCAGCGTCCGACAAAGAGAACGCGCTGGGACCAGCCTCGGCATCGCCCTGGACAATAACAGCAAGAGTCGGAAGTCTTGAGGAAGGAACGTGTGCATGATCTCTAAATGCATTGAGCAAGGAGTGGCACTGAGCACGAGCAACATGCAAATAGCATGCAATGTCGCTGTACCACAAGGGGCGTTCTCCTTCGAGGATTGGACGCACGCGCTCGCACAGGGTAGGAGTAAACTTGCTACTAGGTCCCGCATGTCTGGCGTATTCCTCAACAACCATGGCCGACGAAAGCTGCGAAGTAGATGCGGTAAAGCTGAGCCCATCGATGATAGATTGCCAGAGATCCTGCAGCTCGTTCTTATCCCAGAAGTATAGCAGGTGGCCGAGTGCCTTGGCCGCGTAAATCTTCGACCTGAGCATTGTATCGGTACCAACCAAGTCGATGTCACCTTGCAGCATATGCCCGTCGACATTATGGGCCGATGGTGGAGGAGGTGGAGCTGCTGCGGCTGCGGCTGCTTCCTTTTTCTCTGATTTGCGCCTACGCCCCTTTGTCGGTGCCTCCGTGTTGACGTTGTTGGCGCTTGGAGAGGATTTTGCTGGAGCAGAAGCGCTCATCGGGAAAGGCAGACCGGAGGGTTTGATGAAGAGCGAAGCATTCATGGCGATAGGGTAGCGGGGGACACCGAAAGGACCCATGGTCAGGGTAATAAGCGGTGTAATCTGGCCCAGAAGTTCGGTATCCGACTTGAAAGACCCACGGCTCTCCAGAGCTTTGAGCAACTCTGACCAGACCTGGAGCGACAGCTTCAACACGCCCTCGTTGCGCTCCACCAGCAGGTTCTGGAAGATCAATCGCAACACTTTGCCATCTACCCAGTCGTTTGTACCCTCGCCTTCCAGTTGTAAGAAAGTCATAAGAGCTCGAAGAACAGCGGAGCGGACGCTTGTAATGGTATGCCGTAAGAAGGGGTAAAGACGAGGAACCAGTTTGCCAAATGAGGACTCGGGGTCATCGGCAGCGTTTGCTTTCATTGCATCCAAAACCTGGCGGAACGTGCAAAGCTTCGCGAGAAGATCCATGACAGATCCTGTACTGGCGCTAAGGTCATCCTGCAAGTTGGAAAGGCAGTCCCAGACAATATTCATCAAGAGACCCAGAGTGCCAGGACGAGAAGTGACGAATTCCTCCGCAATCGGAACAAGCGTAGCAGCACTCACTGCACGAACGTCGTCATCGAAATCGCCCAGGCCCTTCATGACCGCCTTCAGAACACCATCCATAAGCTTTGAGTCCTTGACGAGCAAGTCTTTGCGGACCGCCACCAAATACCTCAGGCCAATCATACCACCATGGCACACTTCCCAGATCGGGCGATCGAGACCTAGGTCGGTTTGCATGACGATCCGGTAGAGGCATCTGTAAACGGAGACGACAGACCGAGATGGCAATTGTGATAGAAGAGCACCCAATGTCTGGCCCACTGTTTCGCGAATAGGCGCAACGACATTATCTGAGATGTAATCCCCGAAACGATCGAGCATGAGCACACAGAGAAGACGACAAGCTAGGTCATCTAACCATTTACGATTCAGAACATCGTTTTCTGATCTACTCTTTCCGTCCATGCGCCCGGCACCAGCACCCTGGACACGAATTACTTCTCGAAGGGCCATGGCCGCACCGTGGCGAACTTCCCAGTTCGGATCAAAAATATCCACCATCAAAAAGTCACACATGTGCTCGAATGGCCATCCAGGGTTTTCGCCATCCTCTGTCGTTTCAGGCTGCAGTAGCGGCTTCTCGGGGGCATCGGCTCCCTTGAACTCGGTGACAAGCTTCGAGTCATCATCGCCCTCTGGTCGCTCGAGAGAGAAGTAGTCGTTCTTCGATTCGCCGTTCTCGCCATTCTCTGTCTTAACAGGGTGGGGAGTCGTAACTGAAGGTGTCGTAACATTTTCCGATGGCCTTCGAGCACCCAAATCAACGACACGGACTTTGTTGGCACCCATCTTAGCACTCTGTTTGTTCTTCCGTTTTAGCTGGTTCAACTGCCGCTTGCTCAATCCTGGCTCTTCCCCGTTGGCGGGTTCATTTGGTGACGGTAGAGTCTTAGGAGCAGCACTCTGCAAGCTGGTGTCCCGGGCCACGGAAGTATCGATTTTGGGTGTCGGTGCTGCCGGTTTCGAAACCAAGTCGGTATCGTCGATCAGGTCCTCCTCGATGTACTCCCCTGCCAAACCGAGTCGCGAAATCAAAGTCTTCTTCTGGTGCTTCAGCCGCGAGGCTGGGTCCATAGCACCCAGCGAATACTCATACTCCTTGCCGGCACTACCCAGTAGCCGCTTACCAAACTTTAAGATGGAGGTAATATCCAGGCGATCCAGCTGAAGCAGCGGCTCGTCCGGTGATGGCGGCTGCTGCTCTTCGGATTTAATCTCCACGCCATCGTCGTAGTCGTCGTCATCTTCGGCCTTCTTGATGGCCTGTCCGTCGTCCTGGTTAGGATCAAAAATGTCCGCATTCGTCACGATGAGACCGATAGCCTTGGCGGCAGCGGTCCTGGTATCCCACGACTTGGATCTGAGATAGGGCAGGATGCGCCCGAGTAGATTAAACAACTCATCTGGATGCTGCTTCTGCACGTCTGCCAACTGCTGGGCGGCAGTGTTTCTGATCAGAGCGGTGCTGCCCGTCTCCAACAACCTATATGCACGTGATCAGTACGGTCCAATTTGCGGCTCCTGCAAGGGGAGGGTCCACTCACGTGACCAGGCGATCCAATCTAACCGGAAGAGCATTAGCGTCATGTCAAGAAGGAAAACAACGGGACAAGGGCTTACCTGGAAGTCATATCGTCACTGAATTATTAAACAGAAAACAGAAGGAGAAGAAGAAAGAAGAGAAACGCGAAAGCAAAAAAAGACAATGGGGTATAAGAAGAAGAACGAGAAAGTACAAACAACGACCCCCAGACTCCCCGCAAGATTAAGTAAGAAAAGAAAAAGGGAAGTATGTATGTATGGAGAGTGTATGGAGAGAGGTATGGATACAGGTTTGTTACACCCACGCCCCAGCAGCCATGGACGGGGACGGCAAACTGGAGAATAATCAATCAGTAAGAGCAAGGTAAAATAAGAAACGGAGAAATCAGAGGACCAAAAGGATCATAATAAGGCCGATCAAGGGGGGAGGAGGCTGGTGATCGAGGAGTACGTACCGGAGTATACGTGATCAGTCAGCGGCGCAAGACGTCTTGGATCGACTTTTTCTCGCCTGCTTCTTTTCGAGGTCACGCAGCCTGTTTATATCATTGGGGGCCCTCTTTGGCTCGGCGCGCCTACCCATGTTTGGGCCCTGCGCGCTAGGCCGCATCGGGGTTAGGGCCTCCACCGCCGCAAAGGTTTTCTAATGTCACGTGATATCCCTGCTTTCAGTCGGATTCAAGATAAAATTGTCTGATCACAATTAAAGTGAAGTGAAAGTGAATTGAGAGTGATATTCGTGTCATTTCTATGCGACATAAAATATGTGCAATGGAATACTAGGAGTGGTGACGATCCAATCACAATGCCAAGAAATGCCAGATGGCCTCAGAGAGAAGGATTCTTCGCCAACAAGCAAGAATCCTCGTTATACAGTATGTAGAAGTGGTGATAGCAGTCGCAATCTCGAGTTGACACATCCAACTGTGTTGTTTCACAATTTGAGATGGAAGAAAGAAAAAGATCAATCTGAAGCTCTGGACAATGGATGCAGATGGATGCATATCGCTGCCTCAGGCTGCCAGGTGGCCTGGCGACTGCTGCTCCAATCACACCCCGTCTATTTTTGATTTCTGTACTTTTTTCGTGTACTTTTCGTTTCTTTGTCTACAAGCAAGGATATCTTATTTTGCTTTGTTATATAAATTCAAGTAAAATTCAATCCATCTAATTGTCAATTTTATTTTAGTTGAATAGAATATCGCGTGTCGTTGTCATGATGTAACTATTTCCAAGTGACTGTATATATATCTAGCTCCGACATCATATACTCGTCTGTGGCAGCCCTACGCAATCTTCACTTTACCGTATCTTTAAATTTCCTTGTGGAGCCTTGGTTCTAGACCAGAGAAGCAAGTCTAATAGAATGTTTTCAAAAGAAAAAGCAGGAATAAATACAATAGTCACTTCACCAAAGCTTGTAAGATAATGAATGCACTGGCAAGGCAACTGCGAAGCCGAACATGAGAAGGCAAGTCAACGAATGATGAATGACAAATACTCCAGTTTTCAAACTACACTACATAACAGCCAGGGCATTCTTGAACTGATAACGATTGCCATTTATACAATCAAAACATCCATGTGGTAAGAGCGTACATTGATATGAAAAGGAAAAGTAAAACAACCGCACTCCGGATATGCGCATCACTTCTTATTGCTTGGCCAACAGAGCTGTCGATTCTTCATCCTTCCCTAACAATCCCAGACTGCGAATCTGCTCGGCCTTGGGCGCATTCTCACGGGGGTGTGCTGCTTCGGCCTTGCGGTAGGCGGCCTGCAGCTTCATTGTTCGCAGAGCCTAGTGAATGAGTTAGATATTCGTATATATCAAGTATCGAGTATCTCCAGTATATCCAGTGCACTCCGTAGTGGATTCATTCACAGCCACCTCGTCGTGAACAGGAATTGAAGAGCTGGCGTACCTCTTTTCTGTGGTGAAGACATTCGTAGTAATCCTCCAAGGCGGGCATGCACTTCTTCTTGCCGGCCTCACCCTCCCCGGCATTGACAACGTAGCAGCCGAGGGTTTCCTGCCAGAAGGAATAGCAGCGGGAGGGACCTGTAGAGGTACAAGAGATGAATTAGCCGGAGACGCCCGTCAAAGAAAACCGCAGCACAGCAGGCACACCCCACTGCCATGGCGACCGCAGACACGCCAATCGAAGGGCAATCAGTACATACCGCCGTTAAGACCGAAACCAGAAGCCATTGCGTGAGATGGAGGGGACGAAAAGCTGATGATCGAGGGGCTTTTCCAGGCGTGTTGGACCGATCGGAGGGACGTCGAAGTGAACGGGAACTGCGCTTGGCCGCTTTCCGCCTGGCCCGAGCGCCCGCCGTTTTGACGTTGTCTGCGAACACATCACCCGCTTTGCCTTCACGATCCTCACGCCTTGTCTCTAAATGGGAGTTTTCTAGTGGCCATGGCGGTTCTCGCAGGGCTCTCTTCCGCGCATGCGATTCTTCTGGCTACTGACCTCTGTGCCAGTGGCAATGTTGCTCATCTGCCACAGCTGCACTCTCTCTACCCCGGCGTTCTCCCTCTTGATCGTCTCTTGCGCATCATCTTAACCTTTTTGCCAGAGAGCACGGAACCTCAGTATTACACCCCTGTGCTTCAGGAGCTCGTGGATGGTACATCGTCATCTGCGGATGACGATATCGACATTTCTTCTGTCAAAGATCTGCCTGAGCAAGTTGCAAGGAAACGCGTGCGGAAGCTTCGTTTACTACCTCTCAAGCATCCCGACGACGACAACGACGACAACACTGCAGACCCCTTGACCCAATTCTTGATCCATCGGGCGCATTTGATCGACTCCGAAACTGCTCTTCAACCGCTGATCCTTGACCTCTTGTTGCCGTTCTACCACCGCTCGCCATTTCTACGGACCTGGCTGATTTCTAGCTTATTACCACTCCTCCGCTTGAACTACGAATACTACCCGAGCCGAGATGAAACCTTCACTTTGGACATGATAGAGTCTATGGATGGCCAGACAGCAATCAACGTACTCCTTTCGATGACAGGTCCGCGAGCAGACAGCATGGATTTAGTAAACAACCTTCGTGGGCTGGTCGGTGCTTGGATTCACGGCAGCAATCGGTCGAAGAGACGGAGGCTCAACGAAGCGGCACAGCAAAGTTCAATTTCTCTTCCGCAGGACGAAGTATATCGCCCAACAAAAGGTGGTGCACATTGGCAATGTGTGAATGAATGGCTGCTGTTGCGGAGCTTGGTCGATCGTGACAGCGTGGTGAGCGCCTTCGCTCACTGGGATGGACCTGAGGACGTGGACCTCGGTGGTTATGAGAAGGAACAACAGGCAGAAGACGAAGATATCGCGGATCTACGACTGCGGTACGGACAAGCTGGTTTGGCTGTGATATACACGAATCCCGACCCCAGCAAATCTGCATTGGAGGGCTCCATTCAGATTATCACCCGGATTGCCAAGCTGCTTGACCTCGACCAATCCTCTACAATACCAGGCGACTCAGAGCTTCCCACCGTAACATTTGATGCGGGGCCGATTTCGTCAACGTCTCGAGCATCATTACTGCCAAACGCTCTGCTGGCGTCTTCAAACCCATTGACGCATCCTTCTACCTCTTCGATTTCATTCCTCGGCGCCATCCTCATCTCCCTCCAGACATTGAACGAACTCGGCCATCCGATACCGTGCCGGACAGCCGCCAACATATGCCTCAACAGTAACGAGGATATGCAACTGTCGGAACTACGAAGCGTTGTCACCTCTATCACTAACCAGACCAGATCTGGTCGTAACTGGGGAAAGATCCGCCAGCAGCTGCTCTGGCTTCGGGACTGGCAGGCAGATCACAGTGAACGAAAGGACCAAGGCTATCATGGACTTTTCTGGAGAGTTCCCCGACATGTAGTAGAAACCGAAATCTTGAAGGCTTTGCTAGAGGCCAGAGGTAAGCTATACATTACGACCTCCCAGTTGCCCATGCTAACATACCCAGAATACCAACTGGCCGTGGACATTTTCACCAACTGGGAATCGGCGCCCCTGCAACCAGCCCAGGTTGAAGCCGCTGTCAAAGACGCCAACTTTACGGCATACGACAATGCGAGCAACGGTAACAGGACGCGGGGTGGAATGAAAAGGGCACATGATATGTAAGTTCTGCTCATAGGCCGAGAGACGAGCAATGCTGATATTTTACTAGCCTGCAAGCCTTCAAATCACACTTCTCGGATTCTGTGTCATTCAAGCAGATCCAAGCTCTCATCTCCGCAACGCATGCGTTGTCCTACTACTCTCTCACTCTACAGCATGGCGTCCCCTTCCAGCCTGTCAGCATCCGGGTCCACTCGGACCCTCTTTCCCTCATCGAAAAAGTACTCGACCAGAACTCGAAAAGCTACACAAAACTTGACGACCTCCTGTCCATCGGGCGAAATCTGGTAGCAGCTGGCTTTCCACCGAGTGTATCAGACGATGATTCACACTACGAACATCCCCCACCCAGCTCTTCAGAAGACGCCATCGTCATGGCCGAAAGACGCATCATCTCCCTAGCCATCTCATCAGCCCTCTCATCCAATGACTTTGGCACTGCCTACTCATACATCCTCACCCGTCTCACCCCCCCAACCCACCTCCCAACCTCCCCCCTCACCGACCCCGTCGTCAAAGACGACATCTCCTGGCGCGCCGTCTACAACGCCGGCCGCTACCGCTCCCCCGTCCCCTCCACATCCTCTACCCTCCAATCCCAAATCACCCAACTCTCCCAGCGCATGGAACTCCTCTCCCTCGCCCTCGTCCTCGCCCCCTCGCCCGACCCCCTCCCCGAAATCCTCGGCGCCTGGCGCCGCTGCGACGAGGAACTCTCCAACCTCCGCACCCGCGAATCAGAGGAAGAAGACGCCTGGGACACAAAAGGCGACAACCTCTCCTCCGTCCCCGGCGGCTTCGGGCCCACAGACAGCGAACGAGACGCGTTCGAAACGCAACAACAGCACGCGAAACGCGCGCGCGCAAGACAACAAGGCCGCTCGAATTACGAAGAAGCACCCATGGGTCTGTTCGAAGTCGCCCGCGGCGCCGCCCTCGCGTTACACAAGAATGCGTTCCCGCTTCATGGTGGCGCGGCTGCTGCGAACTCGTCGGAACATGGCGCCGAATCGCATCTCGACCATGACGATGATCACGAGGATAGAGTCCGCAAGAGAGACGTCGTTAGTAATATGGTCACGGGCGGCTTGGCGAGTGGGATTGGCTGGGTCCTTGGTGCTCAGCCTGTTAACCGATAGATGCCTATGCCTGTCTTAGCTTTTCTTTCGATGATAAATGAGCGATATGATATCATGTACAGTCTAAGCGTGGAGTACTGTAATTCAATACATAATAAATGCTAGAGCGCAGAATACACTATTCTAACAAATGCGTCTTTCTTGCCATTCAAATAAGTATATACGACACATACATACACACAAAAACCAAATAGGTACTATACTAGAAAAGAAAAGGTCAAAATCCTATACAACAGAATGTATGTATGTACCCATCACGAGAATATGAAAGGCTAAATAAAAACACCACGAGAAAAAAGGTACAAGATGAAGAAGAACCATTTGTTTGTCCCGGTCCGAAATATAAATAAAAAAAGAAACGAAACAAAATGCGTCAGCACTGCTGGCCGCTGACTGCGATGAATGAACCCTATTTTCCCCTGTTCGACAGAAACCCTGCTGGCGGGAATGATGAAACAAAAAACATATATCAAGGATCGAATTCGTACATGGCCCAAAAGGAAAGACGTAAGTAAAAAAAAGATATTTTCCAACTCCAGGTGCCCACCCAAGAAATGACGTTGTAATGAGGAAATGAGCGTAGTGTGTCATGATCACAATTCGTATGGTTTGACAACCAGGTCAATCCAACAGGTCCAGCCAGATGTGGTATGCATAAATAACAATAAAGGAGAGACCATGAAAGATGCAAGGGTATTAAAAGGCAGCGGAAGCAGGGATGGCGAGTTGGGTCGAAAAGAAGACGAATGATGGCGGATGCAATGCGGTGCGGATGCGGAGCTTATTCTTTCCAATCCCATACTTGTTTCACAAAGTTGGCCATGTTGACTTTTTTGTTCTTCATTTCCTGCACCCAGGGATGTTCCAGCATCCGCCATGGAGTCGCTCGTCGTGGGGGTTCTTTCTCGAGACTAGAATCAAGTCAATAAGAGGTTCAATCTGCCGCGAGACCAAAGTACACACCAGCATTCAATGAAGTATTTAAAGCTATCGGACCAGCGAATGCGGTTTGCTGGTTCATCCTTCAATTTGGGAATCGGTTGTCGGACAATATAGGTGAGAAGGTCTATCAGGCCGGCGCGGGGCTGCATTTCCGTACCATCGGCCGGGAAGGGGAAGCGATGTTGGGCGACTTCGAGCAATGTGACTCCGAGAGACCAAACATCTGATGTGATTGTATACGATTGACCCGTGATTCGTTCAGGAGCCATATAGTATGAGGTACCGATAAATGTGTTGGCATCACCTTTTGTGCCGAATTCGCCACTGACACCGAAATCGCAGAGTTTGACTTGACCGTCGCGGCATAAGAGAATATTCGACGGTTTGATGTCTGCATGAATTAGTGACTGCATATTGCAAAATCTCCGAGAAGCATACCTCGATGAATAATTTTCCGGCTGTGAAGATATGTCAAACCGTTCAGGACACCTTCTGCGACCTTGCCCAAGACCTTTTCACCTGTTCGACCTCCCAACTTCTTGACTTCTTTGTATATACTGTCCAGACTTCCACCTTCGCAGAATTCCATGGAAATCGAGATCGTACCCGTCGACTTATCCATAAATGCACCGTAGTATTTGCAGATATGATCCGAGGCACAGTCTTTGTTGAAATTCAGTTCTCGAACGATTTGCTTTTTGACATCGGGGTTGGGGTCTGTAGTGATAATCTAGATCATATATTAGCATAAAATGACAAACAACTTTTACCCAAACTAGACATACCTTTAATGCGAAAACAGTCTTTGAATCCTTGAGCCTGCACCTCGTAACAGCACCACCGGCACCCTCACCCAAACTTCCCAACTCAACAATTTTCTTTTGCTCACTAGCAGCAAGCCAACCTTCATCGTCCAGATCGTCGGGTTCGAGGGGCCGGCCCTTTTCCAGACACAGCTTGTCCAAATCCGGGATGAGCGAGTTCACACCGTTGTCCCGTTCTGAGACGCCCTCGCGGTCGGAGTATACAGAGCTGATAGCCGACGACGGATCCGGGGTTCCATGCGGTTGCCGCAGACCCATGGCGAACGAAAGGGCGGAGTAGTTGGATGAGGAGGCCGAGGCGGGACCGCTAGCCTTGCCATCGAGATAAGTGAAGCTACCGGATCTCGAATGACCGTTTGCTTCGTTCAATCCAGTGGTAGCGAGGGGCGGAGGAGCCGGTCTGCCGTTGGCAAGGCGAATAGGGGCCTGCTGGGGAACTTCTGAACTGCTGCCCATGGGAGTAGCGAGTCGCAACTGCGGGGGAGCTGGGCGCTGCGCAGGACGCTGGAGCGGCGGAGGGGCCTCGGGGGCAGCAGCGGCCGCGGCGGGGATACCCGTTCCATTGACAGGTCTGGCGTTGGGCGAAGGAGGGATTCCAAGTGTGAGTTTGGGAGGACGAGGGCCATTGCCGTTGTTGCGATTGCCGGGCACGGGCGGCCTCAAAAGAGGGACGGAGGATGAGGTGGAAGAAGAAGACATTGCGAGATTGTTTTGCCTCTCACCAGGCAAGAACAACTCGTTAGGATCAGCGAGGGTAGCCAGAGCGGCGACTTTGTCGGAAGACACCTTGAAAAAAGGGAAAGGGAAGAAAGGGAAATAAAAAGCGCAAGGCTGAGGGGAGGGGAAAGAGAGAGGGAAGAGGAGAGGACAGTCGGAACAAAAGAGGGCCGTGGGGCCGTGAGCACACGCGGCGGGTTTCTTGCCAGGGAGGGGTGCTGCGATGGTGATGATGATGGTGGTGTAGCAGAGGAATCAAGGGATGACACGAAGATAGATGAGGCTGAAGAGAAAGGGTCTGGATGGATGGAGAGAGAGAGCCAGATAAGGCAGCGAAAGAGAAACGAGTGTGATGGCGACTGGAGGAGAGGCGTTGGTTAGACACAAGAACGGTCGGTGTGAGGGGAAGAGAGCGTACTAGTAGTCGAGGATGACAGCGAGCGAGAGAGAGAGAGAGACAGAGACAGAGGGACAGCCGAATCTGGCACTTTTGAGGCTATGATGCCAATCTTCCTAATTAAAGAAGAGCCGATGCCAAATATGAGACAGAGCAGGATAGAACCAGCTGAGTGGGAAGCGAATGGCTAATAATAAGATAATAATAATCACGTTGAGAGTCTCCGAAACGGTGGAACCAGCCGGTTTCAAAAGGCGCCTAAAGATTTGAAACTGTCTTGACAGATCATTTGATATTCTCTGTACACAGTAGACTGGAGAGTATTCTGTAGAATATTATTGTCGTGTGGTTGACGATGATTTTGTGGTGGTGAGTGGAGGCATATCAGGCATCCATGTAAAAATCATCACCTCATCGATCTTCATTTCCATCATACTCATCTCATATTCCAGTATAATAATAATAAGAATAATCGTAATAAGATCTTCAATTCATATTCATCTTGATTTCATATTCAATAAAATTTACCCTATAGTGAACAGTCTACTAACTACACAGCCCGGCGTCTCCTCCACCAACCAAACCGCCCGCAGCAACTCCATCACCGGCATCGACAGCTAAGCTACAGCAGCTAGTCTGGGAAGAAGCAGTAAAGACAGAAAGATCTCCACTGGTGCGTTGTTCATGACTTGACCTGTCAGTTTCAACGGACTTGGATAGACGTTGAGTCCTGAAACAATAATGCCCTGGATTCAGGCATGAAGTTGCTATATAAAAGTGCGTCCACCACGTCAGCTTTATTGTCTATGATCAGCTCTAGAAATGCAAAGGCTATTGTTGATCTACATCAGCCTTGTTCACTACGATTACTATACGAGGATACGTATCCATTATCCATATTATCCATACTATGTATTAATAGATGCCCTTGTGCCTTGATTCTATTGATATTGACATCATATCACAACTCATCCATGGACAAGATGAATAGAACCGTTGATGATGATAGAAATGATTAAAGCCCCACAGATTAAAATAAACTGTGGCTGAGACTTTCAAGACACAAGATGGAGTCTGGATAGCCCTGTTGGCACTTTGGCTGGTATTAATCTCCGCGGCTCCATCTGCTATTCTCGGTATATCCGATCACATTCACATTCACACATATCATGATAATATCTCAATTCTCAATAACTGTTCAGGATTCTCAAATTCAATTCAACTGACAGCAACTGAATAGTTCTACAGGATGTTTATTTTTCTACTTTGCCAGTAAGACGCGCGGCGTGAAGATCTCGCTTGGAAGCTGGATGGTTGGACCCCACCAGATCATCCGCGGAGTTCGTAGGGAAGGGAATAGGGATAACCATCGACATTCGACAGATAAAAAGAAAAGAGAATGAGATAAAGACGGAATCATAGAATGAAAATAGAAAGAAGTTGGGATGAGATGGATGATGGATTAGATGGATGGAGGAAAAAGGAAAAACGAAAAGAGATGGAAGAAGGAAGAGTTATTAGGTGACCACAGCAACCAAACTGCCGACCAGAACGAACTTCCCCTGTTGATCGGTGGAGTAAAGTTTGCTCCCAATATCAGAAATCAGAATCAGAATCAAAATCAAGATATCTGAAATCAATAAACGATTCGATTCGAATAGTATGTCTGAGAGTCTGGTCTGAGAGTCTGGTCTGGACTGTCACGATATTGCGATAATCCCGCATTAGGCTCGGATCAAATGACTGTCGAGATCAGATACAGAATCCTCTACTAGTCGAAAGTTGAACCCCTTTTCAACGGCACCACCGAAGCCAACTGGAGTAGTCTTGACGAAAACTAAAAATAAAGACGCACTTGGCAAGGTCGCAAGAAAGACATCGAGCGACTCCATAAATAGTGTTGCAGAATCTGGAGAAGTACAGTAGCACGAGGCTTCAATAGTGCTTAAAGCTGGCTTGGATAGGTCAGACTCCATATGTTTATTTACTCTATCCGGACAAGCTTTGAAGGTAGTGGTTGATGTCTTGATTCAGAGTCAGACTGCATGAATGATACAATCTGTCTTGGACCCTGGCAGGATGCAGTGGATTGGCCGTAGTTATTCCGTTTGTTTTACCTGTCTGGTCTGTGTGTGTCTCGGAGTGTCGGCTCTACAGCCTCTAATATTACACGGGATTTCCTACCCTACCATAATAGTATTATCCCACCTAGATATTTCCGACAATATTATCTTACCTACCACTGAGTAAGAACAGACTCAGTCTGCAGATGAGGATAGACAGCCGACCATGCATGTGCAAGCATGTCACTGTCTTCCAACTTCCGCCTTCCTATGAAAAGCAACACGTCCCAAGGTTGGAGCAACAGGGGAGGCTCCACTTGGGCCAACTCATTGGCTGGAAAGCGGGGTAGAACCCACCGCGGGAAAACGCCAAGCCCCGTAGAGTGAGACGGCGTCAGGAACGGACCTACCAAAGTGGGAATCAGCAGTCTGATTGGCTGCGAGGAGAAACATGAAACTGGCTAGCAACGGTGTGGCTCAACTCATCGAACTGAGAGATAGCGATTGTATATACAAGATACGAGTGTATACAGAGAATCTAGAGTAGAGGTGTAGAGAAATATAAGAAAATAAACAAGAATAAGGTAGCATCAGTATGTAGTATGTACTATGGAGTATGTAGAGGTAAACAACTCAGACAGCAGAAGGATCATCCAACTAATGGCACTAGTGCCCCACCATCACCCCGATTGGCTGTGGGCCACTTTGCCACACCCCCCCCACGAGGCCAATTGGACGAACACACCGCATCTCAGGAGAACAACGAAAAAAAGGAGAAGATGCGTTCAGGAGAGGCGACGATCTCCAGGTTAATCTCCCCGGCCATACAAAGGCCCCGGACGCCCCCGTCCCCTTCGATCTCTTCTTGTTGTTTCCTTCTCTCAAGCCCAGACTTCGAATTGCAATTATTCTCTTGACTTCGGTCAGCCACTCTTTAACAAACCAACTATCACCACTCTCTTTCAATTTTCAACAGAAAATCATATAAAACTCCTTTCTCTCCCACCTTGACGGTTATTTTTTATTTCCACACCCACAGCAAATCATTCAATATGCGTTTCACTGCTGCCACCGTTGCTCTCTTCGCCAGCCTTGCTGTTGCCTCCGAGACCATCTACCAGACCGAGGATGTCACCATCACCTCGTGTGCTCCCACTGTCACCGACTGCCCCTCGCGTCAGACCTCCACCCCCGAGGGTGCCGGTGCTGTGACCACTGCTCCTGCTCCTGTCAGCAGCAGCGCCAGCGTCTCCGTGGATGTCCCCTCTGAGACTCCCGTTGCCCCCGCTGTCCCCTCCAGCAGCGCCCCCGCTGAGTCTGAGTCTGTCTCTGTCTCCGTTCCCGCGCAGACTCCCTCCGCTCCCGCTCCCTCCAGCAGCGCTCCCGCTGGCACTCCCTCCGCTCCTGCTCCTGTTGTCCCCGTTCCCGTCCAGAGCAGCAGCGCCTCGGTCATTGCTGTGACCACCTGTGTGCCCACCGTCTCCTACTCCACCATCATGGTCCCTGCTGCCACCCCCAGCAAGCCCGCTAGCGCTGGCTCTTGGGCCTCTTCTTCCGTCCCCGTTGTCCCTGCCCCCACTCCCTACGGACCCGGCAGCGGCCGCAACGCTACGTAAGTTTCTTTACCTCTTCTATCAGATGAACCCAGCTAACAATAACAGCGCCTCCACCTCTGCTCCCTCTTCCCTCTTCACCGGTGCCGCCAGCGCCAACACCGGCAACTTTGTCTTCGCTGGTGCCGCCGCCGCCGCTGCCTTCTTCCTGGCATAAATGATTCCCTTCGTGTCTATAATGTAGCCCCGGGTTGCTCATGTCTCCGGCTCCGCTCTGAGCGGGTGCTTCCAGGACTGGCTCCCTCCAGCTTCCTCGGAGCGGGTTCCATCATGGACTTGTGGATGATGGGAGTCAAGGGGTTTGTTAATTAGTTGTGGTTATTTATGGGAGAGTAATTTTTCTTTCACCCTTTTTTTTCTGATTCTATATATATTTTTGCATATATATACTTCTCTTCTTGGGCTTCCTGGATAGCTTCGGAGTTGTGTGAAGCGCTTGGTGGCTGGTATGATTTAATGTAAACCATGAAAGCTTTCACATTATTCGTTCCGGAGTATCTGTAGCTCAATTGATTTTGATATCCCAATGTACTTTCCTTTGTTCTGACCCTCCTTTAACTGTAAGCAGTGTAGCGTAGTGATGTCGTGTTCTGTGGTGTAAGGCTGTAGGCTGTATGACTTGCGGCTGAGCTGTAGGGCGTAGTGCATCGGACATGTAATCCGCATATAGCATACACAGCCCCATCAGGGCTATCGATCGGAACTACAGCCTTGTCAGTAATATATCTCGCATGATCTATCATTCGATAGATTAAGATAGATTAATCGTTGGTATGTTCGTGTTGGATGATAGGTAGTCAGCAGATACCTTATTCTTTGTCCTTGGTGCTCTTTCATCTCGGACACTCGAGGCAGTGGAAGTGTCAGGTGGCGTACGTAAGTGTAAGAAATATAAATATCACGCTGGGAACCGGTGAGCTCTCTTCTTTGTTTAGAATAAAGTGTGTTGGTGTTTCATCTCGTGGTCCTTTATTCGTATAGATAGTACTTTGGGTAGATGCAAACCCCATGATGTCGTTATATGGATACTGTACCTATGTTTGGGGACGTGATGTGGTGGATAGGTGAGGTAAGGCAGGTCAGATTTATATTTATATTCTATTATGGGCAGAAATGAGTCGATCTATCATCAGATCTCTGCTTAGACAATGGAGCCCCTCTTTATTTTATATTCTTTTCTTTCGTATACACCGACCTAACTTCGATCGAATCGCCCCAACTCCGCCACGCGAATAGGGGCCATGTTCTTTTTTTTACTCTGCACATACTCTGCATGCTCTTCCCCCCCACAGCCTAATGAACCTCAACCGTGGGAATGGCAGGAATGAAATAATGATGCGATGGGAATATCCAAGCATTGCCTCCTTAGGCACAATCTGTCTTCTCATCCTGGTGGCAGTGTCGTTCGTCCCGGCCAATCAGCGCCGCCTTGACCCAACAGATCCAGCCCGCCGGGTGTTGGATGGACTGACATTTGCTCGGCTTCACTTTTGCTGAACGAACCACGCGGGGGGTTTCGAGTTGGTTTCAGCTTCATGTCCGTTCTATCACGGCTTGGCCGTCGGTATCCCCGATGATTGTCGTGGGCTATACTATGCTATCCTGTGCTGTACAATATTCAGCTTTGTGGAGGTGAGATGATCTTCTTCCTTTGTTCCCTTTGATCATCCTTCGATCTAATTCTAATTGCCAAACACAGTAATTCCTCACTACGGAGGCAAACTGACTGTGAATGACTGTTTCTGAGTATATCTGCTCTACTCCTATTCCCATGAAGCTTTGGACCCCAACCGTTTTTTCCATATACGATATTTCTGCGTATACGTATCTTTTGGCCACGCAGCGGGAGGATTCTCATCCCCACCTTTGACCAGCTCAACCAGTCGGTGAAGGCAGTCCGGATTAGGGAATCGATGGATTGATCCCTATAAGGTTGATTCTTTGTTTTTTATTTTTTTTGTCTGTTTTTTTTTGTGTTGTTGTGTTGGATTCGGATCCTCCATACTGAACCGATGCAGAGGGTCGGACCCATCCGTAAGAGCTGGCCCCTGTGATATTCTCTTATTTCATTTTTGTTGTTATTCTGCTCGCCCGAATCCTGATTTTTTATTTATTTATTGGGTTTACTGCTTCTGGTGTTGTTCAAAGGATTCGCAGTCTAACCAGCACCGCCTCTGCCACAATCTGCCCTGCCCGGCTCTGGAGCGTCATCTCCATCAGGAGAAAAGAAAGGTAAAAAGAAAAAAGAAAAAGAAAAGGAAAAGGAAAAGGAAAATTTTATTTTATTCACCGTCTGTCATATACAAACTGGCACTCTCGTAGCTTGTTTGTTTTTCTTCTTTTTTTCTTCCTTCGTCTCATCTTCCATCATTCCTCGCACTTTTCGTGGCGATCCACTTTCCGTCTATCAGACCCCCTCATCATATCCTGGCTTTGTCCATCCTGTTTTTTCTCTCGTCTTTCTCTTTCTCTTTTCTTTTCTCTCCTTCCGTTCCTTATCCATCCTGTGAAGACTACCCCTCCATCATCTTCAATGCCGCCCAAAATGGATATGGATCTCTCCTCGTTGGAAGGCCCTCCCATCAACGATCCTAGATTCACTATTCCTTCCCCTTCGCCGAGAAGAAGATACATGAATATCCCTCGGGTCCAACTGGAGCATGTGTCTCTAGCCCAGACCCCCCTCGACAGAACTCACCACCAACAACGGGGCATCATCCCCCCCAGACCATCCTCGGCCGGCTCCCTGCTCCCCCAGAACAAGCACTCCAGCAGAGATCGTGCCCACCACGCCCGCTGCAACCGCTCAAACGGGAATCTCCATCCCACCTGGCCCTGTGGCCATCACCTCTCGCCGGACACCGTCCACCTGCACCCCTCAGAGGCCCGTCTCCAGTCCCAGCGTGTCTACCAGCTCGTCTGGCTCGAGAGCGAGCGTATCTGGGCGATGGTGGAGTGCTCTTCTTCGTCAGGATGCCCAGATCGCTCGGAATCGCCGTCTCCCCCGCTGCCTAGACCCGCGAATTCCGTCCCTGCTTCGCCCGTCTCGTCTGCTACGATTCCCTCTAATGCTTCTACTACTACTCTTGCCCCGCCGCCGACGGTGACTTCGCCTCCGAGGTATCCTCTCCCGTCTCTCATTCATACCCAATCCATGGATGACCGTCTATGGGAGGATATGCTGGATCAAGGCAAAGAGGGGCCTCCGTCGTATGAGAATCATTATTATGATCGTTTCGTTCCGCCGATGAGATCCGCTGTGCGTGAGTCTCGGTGGACGGAGATTGCTCGTCGGATTAATCGTGTTGTCGGCTGAGTGATCTGACACTTGCTTGAATATTTCGGTGGCATATCAGGTTGATATGCTGTCTACATCTATCTACATTGGAACCCAATGAACGCCCTACTACCGGCACCCGACTTCGAAAGAAGCACCCATCCAGCATGATGAGAGATTCTCTTCGATCTGAAACACATGAAGAATGCCAGAATGTCAGAGAATGCCCCACGTGCTATCCACAATGACATCTGAGTCAGACGATAGTCAGACAACCAAACCCAAAACCAAAACCCACGCTGGCGTGGGTTTAGCGGTTGGTCGTTGGTATAGACTGCTTGGAAGGACGGAGGACTACACTACTTACTACTTACTTACCTTATACTATTTAACTCTGGAAATGATGATTGACGACTATCTGGTGCATTTGTGATACCTACTCTGGCTTGGCCTTGCTTTGTTTCTTTCTTTCTTTTTCTTTCTTATGCTATTGTATTTGTATAATATATTCAGTTTAATCTATTCTATTATTTCAATCAGATAAACAAACTGTATTATTTCTTTTCTTTATACTAGGTGGGCATGTAATGTGCAGTGTTGCTCAACGCCGAGAACTACCCATTGTCATGACAATGACACTCTCATCCATCGCCCTCGGTGATGGTTAATGAGGGAATTCACCATGTTATTGTTTTCATATCAACACTAGACTTTTCTTTCCCTTCACTCTTCACCCTTTCTTTCTTTCTTCTTTATCTACCTGATACAAGACAATAGTTATCACGACTTGACTGACTAGCCCTAACTTACTACAAATATAACTTTTGTATTAGGTATACATCCTTCCTTTCCTCTCCTTCCTCTCCTTTTCATTCTACGTCTGTCTGTCTATCTCAAGACTTACTTATCTATCTATACAGCACGCAATATAGCTTACTACACAGCCAAGTCTCAGCCTTCGGCTCAACTAACCAACATGGGCACGAACACGACCACGACCACGGCCATGGACATGGACGTTGACACGAACACAGACAACCAAACCATGCACAACGCCCAAATCCACTTCATCGCTGAACAGACTGCCCTTCATGCCCGTTCATACGAGGGTCAGGGTGTGAGTACGTCTGCCCTATTAAACAAACACAAGAGACAACCCTACAGAAAAATAAGAGCGAAAATGCTAATGATACGTATGATATGTAGAACCCACCCTCCCCGACCTAAAAAACCACTGGTTTTCTCTCCCCGCTACTCGTGTGGAGGATTACTGTGAGCGGGTTAGGTTTCTTGATGGTCGGTTCGCTGCTGCTGGGTTGGCTGGTACTGGTACTGGCGATGGCGGTGTTGGAGATGATGAGAGTGGGTCCAGGTATCGTGGTTTTCTGGATAAGATCTATCAGAAGCTTTTTGGGGGTTTGGAGAGGGGGGTTCTTGGAGGGTTGGTGGTTTCGGGTGAGTATTATCTTCTTTTCCCTTCTTGCTTTTTTTGTTGGTGATGGGTGATGGGTGCTGATTACCTAGTGGATGATTTCAAGAACCAGGTTATCCAGCTTGACGAGGATGAGCTAGTGAAATCGTACGGAAACATGCATATCTCTCCCAAGACAGCAGACAAGATCGCAACCCTCTAAGCAAGCGTCTTGCAAGGCGTAACGGCCCTCGAGAAGCTACGCACCGCCTTCGAACGAATCAACACAACCACTCCCCTCAGCGAAACAGACTGGCAAAAGGAGATCAGCGAGACACTCAAACTCGCCACCACAGATAGGGTGATTATCGGCGTGGTAGGCAGCACGGGAGCGGGCAAGTCGTCGCTCATCAACGCCGTCGCGGACGAAGAGGGCGTCCTTGCGACGAACTGCATGCGTGCGTCTACGGCCGTCGCGACCGAGATCTCGTACAACCACTCCAGCCCGCGGCGATACAAAGCCGAGGTAGCGTTTATCTCGCGCGAGGAGTGGGAGCGCGAACTGCAAGTCCTCTTCCGCAGTATGACGAGGCAGACGAGGCAGACGTGGTGCGGGATGATGTCGCCAAGGATTCGGATGCGGCTGTTGCGCTGGATAAGATCCGTGCTGTGTATCCGTTTCTCGGGGGGAGGGATATTTTGGGTTCCTCTGTTGAGGAGCTGCTGGGGCATGCGAGTGTGGCGGGTTTGCTGGGGAGTACGTTGAGCATCGAGGAGGATGATGCGAAGATCTTCTCCAAAAAGCTGAAGTCGTATATCGACAGCAAAACTAAACGGCGCGGTACCAAGGGAAAGGCGAAATCGACTGCGTCGATACCCGACCAGCCTGATAGTAATATGGGTCTTTGGCCACTCATCAGAGTCGTACGGATCTACGTCAAAGCGGCTGCTTTGGCCACCGGTGCTGTCCTCGTTGATCTACCAGGGGTGTTTGATTCGAATGCTGCTCGGGTTGCTGTCGCAGAGGACTACATGAAGCAGTGTTCAGCGCATTGGGTGGTGGCGCCTATCAACCGTGCCGTTGACGATAAAGTCGCTCGAGATCTGTTGAACAAGAACTTCAAGATGCAGATGCACATGGACGGTGCGTTTAGCAATATCACCTTTATCTGCACCAAGACCGACGATATCTCTGTTGGCGAAGTCCAGGATTCCCTGAGACTGGAGTCCACGGCTACCGATGCGCGGGAGGAGCTCGAAGAGATGTGCGAGGTGGTTGAAGACGAGTTGAAGAATCTTCACAACGAGCTTGCCTTTGTCACCAAGGATGAAGAAGACGTGAATGATGAAATTGGATATTTGGACTATGCGGATCCTTCATCGGACTCGTCTGAGTCTCCGCTTAAACGGAAGAGGCAGGAGTATGAAGAGCGCTTTTCGTCTGACAGAAAGGAGTCTGTTCCATGAAAGACAACAAAAATGCCCCTTGGGGCTTCATCAAGCAGAGAATAACCAACCCGAGAAGGAAGTACCCGAACTCCAGGAACAGAGACTCGACCAGCAAAGGCTGGGATTACTCGCACGAAGAAAACAACTCTCCTCCAAGCATCGAGCCCTAAGCCAGCAAGTCAAATTAAAAAAAGACGAACTCGAGAAACTGCAACAGGAGATCGAAAGCGCAGAGGCCAACGTTTTGCGCGACTGCATCGAGGCTCGAAACAGCTACTCCAAAAAGGAGATCAAGCGTGACTTCGCCCGAGGAATCCGAGACCTGGACGCCGAGTTTGAAGACGACGAAGTTGATTTCCACCAAGGCGAAGGGGAGTCCTCATCTCGCGACTACAAGGAACTGGAGAAAGGGCTTCCGGTCTTTTGCGTGTCGATCCGGGCATACCAGAAGCTTCAGGGGCGATTGGCGCAGGAGACTGCCGTGGCGGGCTTCACGGCGATCGAAGAGACTGAAATCCCCTTCTTGCAGGCTCATTGTATTGCGTTGACGGAGAAAGCGAGAGAAGCGTCTGCCATTCGCTTTTTGACTCGGTTTGGCCAGCTTCTTCAGTCTCTTTCGCTGTGGGCGACACGAGCAGATCCGGCTCTTATTTTGACTGATGAGATGAAGAAACAGTTGGAGGGTGGCTTCAATGAGACTATTGCTCAGATGATTAGTGTATGGTTGTCGAAGGCCTGTCTGTTGGTGATAGTTCTGACTGTCTAGGGTATGGACAATCTGAAAGATGCGCTGTTTACGCAGCTTCGCCAATCGTTGGACACGACTGTCGTCAGTAGACTTGGTATGTTTCCCTCCTCCTGTATAGGCAATGGCTGACTGGTGTAGATGTTGCGGCGAAATATGCGTGCGATCACTGTGAAAAGGTCGTTTCTATATGGAACAAACCTGCCGTCGAGGGTGGTGTTCGATTCAACACATACAGGGCAATCTGTAACCGCAGTGGTTCGTTCTATACGGCTGTGAGTGGATCGCATCGATGACACCTGTGCTTTGCTAACTGTGATAGGATTGGAACCAGGACTTGTAAGTCAGTTGCCATGTATCAGATCAGGATCTAACAGCAACAGAGCGAATCCAATGCGCCATCGAATGATGAACGCATGGAGAGGGTAAGTCAGACATCCTCATCTTGGATCCCATACTGACTGAATAGAAACTTCTATTATCAAGTCCCAGGGCAAATCGACGCCTTTATCGCGAACATTAATCGCCAGCTGTACGCCTTTCACCAGGCCGCGATTGCCTCTGCCGGAGGCACTATTTCGACACAAAATGTCGAAAAGCTTAATGGCATTCTAAACTCGACTTGCAGCAACGTCGAGCAGGAGTTCAAGCAGATATCTACTGGCGTGAGACGTGCATCAAAAGACATCAACAGGGGTTTTGCAAGTGTCATTGCTGCCGAAATGACCCCGATCTATCGGGAGTGCGCTCTGCAGACTGGTATTTCCCTTCATTCCAGTCCTTTTTGTCAATGCACGAATGCTAATCAGACACAGGCAAAGGAACTCTTAGTCGCGTGCGTAATATTATGAGCCAGGGAACGGCAGACAACCGCACCCAGATATTCAGCCATGTCGTCCAGCATATCCAAGAGCACTTGATGACGTTGATGACGAATCTCGAGGGAATGATCAAAGACTGTCTGACGACCTCTGCGGGCTATATGTCGCGAGACTATTATGCTGCTATAATTGCGCCGCAGGTGTATGGTTATTCCCAAGCGTTGAATGGGGTTAAAGACGAGGTGACGCTCATTGTGCAGGAGGCGGCTAGAGAGCTTGGACTGGGGATTGTTTGGGAGAGGGAGGGGGAGGGAAACGGAGAGAATAAGAATGGAGAGGAGAAGACTGAGGGAGGGGTTACAGTGAAGGAGGAGCCAGTGTGATGGATGTGATGGTGATGGCGATGGTGGTTGGTGATGGGAATTGGCGGTTGGTGAATTGGACGGAATAGCATCAAGGGCACGGTCAATGGACAGCATCAACCCTCGAGGCAGACTACGGTCTGAAGACTGGACACACCAATGCAGGAAGAGATCCAATTACGACTACTTGTAAGAGAAATACTGATTCTCTGGACAAATACAAGCAGACAGCCACGCGGATCGATGGGATTCCACGTCTGCGCGCTAACACAGACCAGCGGTTTTCCAGCCTCCATGATTTCTTCAAGTGACAGATTATGATATTCCATTATGCCCAGTCTTATAATAAACGCTGAAGATATTCTTGTTTCTGATGATCTGCTGTCACTTTAGTTAAAATAGCTGCTGTCTGCTGTCTCTGTTGTCTTACCGTCTGTCTTCTATTCCTGCTGTCTTCTGCTTCATACAGCATCACAGTACAATTCTACTTTACTCTACTCTACAACTACTCAACTGCTCAACTCATTTATTCTATCTATCTCATCAATTATTCTCCTCCTCCTACTCATCCCTATCATCATATCATGTCCATCTAACGTTGTGGGTACCTTTCTTCACTGCCGAAAAAAAAAGATTTCCACCGCCTTCGTTGGACTTCGATATACCCTCATTTTTCTTCTTCCCCCCGAAAAAGCTTCCCAATGGTTCTCCCGCTTTTCTCCCGTGACAAATCCAAGAAATTACCCTCCAAGGAGAAAGAAAAGGACAAGAAAAAGACTTCCTCTCCTCCTCCTCTTCCTCCCAAAGATCCTCTCCCCCCTCCTCCACCCTATCATCCGCATCCTCAACCTCCTCATCGGCTCGTCGACCGTTCCAAATCCGCTCGCCACCCTTCGTCCACTCCTCCTTCTCCCTCTTCTTCTCTTCCATCCAGGCACAAATCTTACGCCTCGCCCCGCAAATCTCCCTCCAAATCTTCCTCTCGTCCTTCTTCGCTCGCTCACAGCCGTTCTTCTTCCTCCAATACTGTCAAATCCCATAATCCCTCCCGCTTCAGTTTTTCCTCGTCGAATTCTTCCCGCTTCTCCTACTCTCGCGATCCCGACACTCATCCGCTGAATCTTCCACCCGACGAATTACGTCGTTTGACCGCCATGGCTGCTGCTCGCGAGGATCAGCGGAGTTCGATGGATATCGATTCTCCCAAGGAGACCAACGGCGTCAATGGCAACAAGAGTCCCACCCCGCCGCCTCATCGCTCCAGTACGTCCGCTGCCGAAGCCGATTCTTTCAAGTTGGCTGGCAACAAGTTCTTCAAGGATGGCAACTATGCCAGGGCTATTGAAGAATTCAACAAGGGTATGTTCTATTTTTGTCTCTTTCTTCACATGGCCTATCACTAACGTCACTAGCCATCGAAATCAACCCCAACTCCTCTGTCTACCTCTCCAACCGTGCTGCCGCCAACCTCTCGGCCCACCGTTACCTCGATGCCTTGGAAGATGCTGAGCGCGCAAATGAACTCGACCCTAACAACCCCAAGATCCTCTACCGTTTGGCCCGTATCCTGACCAACCTGGGTCGTCCGACCGAGGCGCTCGACGTTTTGTCGCGTGTCCAACCTCCTGCCTCCGCCACCGACCGGGCTGCCCCCGAGAAGATGCTCCGTTTCATCACCCAAGCGGAAGAGACCCTCTCCCAGGACCGTGGTGTTTCCATGGTGCTGTTCTGTCTTGACCAGGCACGGCAACTTCTGGGCCGGGGCGTCAAGGAACCCCGCAAGTGGACGCTGCTCACTGCGGAAGCTCAACTCAAATTGGCCAACGACAACTCGTTTGGCAAGGCGCAGGATATCGCCATCAACATGCTCCGTGAGAACAGCCAGGACCCTGATGCCCTTCTGATTCGCGCCCGGGCTTTCTACGGTCTGGGTGAAACCGACCAGGCGCTGAAGCTGTTGAAGATGTGCCTGGGTCTGGATCCCGATATGAAGCAGGCGATTCGTCTCCTGCGGATGGTGCAGAAGCTGTCGCGCACCAAGGAGCAAGGAAACGCTGCATTCAAGGCCAGGGACTACAAGCAAGCCATTGACCTCTATGGAGAGGCTTTGACGGTCGACCCCAAGAACAAGGACTTGAACTCGAAGATCCTGCAGAATCGGGCACAGGCCTACATCAACCTCAAGGACTACGCCAGCGCTGTCAATGACTGCACCGAGGCCTTGCGCCTTGACCCATCGTACCTCAAGGCTCAGAAGATGCGTGCCAAGGCCCACGGCGGTGCCGGAAACTGGGAAGAGGCAGTGCGCGACTACAAGGCTGTTGCTGAGAGCAACCCGACCGAGAAGGGTATCCAAGAGGAGATCCGCAAGGCCGAGTTTGAGCTCAAGAAGGCGTCGCGTAAGGATTACTACAAGATCCTCGAGGTGTCCAAGGAAGCCTCCGACCAGGAAATCAAGAAGGCCTATCGCAAGATGGCTATCAAGTACCATCCTGACAAGAACCGCGATGGAGAGGCTGGTGATGAGAAGTTCAAGGAGGTTGGTGAGGCTTACGAGACTTTGATCGACCCTCAGTATGTGTCCTTTTTCCATAATCTCGTCTGTTCAATGCTAACGATCACAGGAAACGTGCTGCTTACGATAACGGAGACGACCTCATGGACCCAGCTGACATGTTCGGCGGTGGTGGTTTCGGAGGCGGTGGCTTCGGAGGCATGGGTGGCATGGGAGGTATGGGTGGTATGGGCGGAATGGGAGGCATGGGCGGTACACACATCAACATCGACCCGAACATCCTGTTCAACATGATGAACGGAGGCGGCGGTGGCGGCGGCTTCTCTGGCGGCTCGTTCGGAGGAGGAGGGGGTCAGCGTGGCGGATTCCCCGGCGGGTTCCCATTCTAAACCCATACTACCAACGGATGAGACAGAACGTTTGGATCGCAGGTTACCCTGTCTTCCCTCCCCAGCTCAGCGAACCTGCGATACAGGAAAAAATACGACAGAACATGGACGATGAACCGGACGGCATTCTCTTCTTGGACGGGCTTGCATGTCTCTCCTGTGTTTTCTTTTCTTTTTACCATTTTTTTCTTCCCCGTGTCCCGGTGGTCGTCCCTTTACTACGGATGCATTGCATGATTCGGACTGCTACGCCTTTATTTTTGATGTCTGATGTGTGATAGACCTTGTTTTCTCGCTTCTACTGTTTGATTTCTTTTCTTTTCTTTTCTTTTCTTTTTTCTTTTTCTTTTTTTTTTTCTTTTTTCCAACCCCCCAGCCGGTATAGACGGCGTGTGATTTCTTCAGCTTGTGATATCTATTGATATAGATTTGAAAAAACAGGCATGGGGGAAAAGATGGAGATTTCCATCCGGCTTGAGGATGAAAACATTTGTGCGGCGTTATATACTCCATTGACGAGACGGGTTTTCTTTTCTCTTTCTCTTTTATTTTATGTTACTCTTGCTTGTCTCTTATCTATTTTATCTTATTTTCCCCGGGGAATATCCGGTGGACTCTTTTTTCTCTTTTTTCTCTCTCCCACCATCCATCTGGGTTTTGTGTGTGTCTATTTTGGTTCGTGTTATCTAAATAGGATAATCAAGGGCTTATCCATTTCGTCACTTTTATCTTCGCATAGCCTACAACAGATGTGTAGTTTTGGTAGAGGAGAAGTAGCATTATATCATGGCTAGACATACACACCTACTCTATAGGTAAATAGCCAACACAAATCATCCTACATAAAACGCAACCGCCCCCTGAGACGACTCCAACGATACATCCATCCGACTCCCCCACCACCGCTCATCATCAGAAGTATCAGACTTCTTGACGCCATCCACGACTTCATCACTATCCTTGGTAATGTCCACACCGAGTCCACCAACATTCACACTTCCCTCGGAGCGGGCGTGAATAGATCCCGCCCATTGGCGGGGATACGCGATTTGTAGACTTCCTCTGTTGCTGTGGTGTGTTGCGTGGGAGATGGCGGGGTCGGATTTACCAGAGTTAGAGTTAGCGTTGGGGCCCAAGGCTGGGCTGTTCTTAGACAATGATGATAATGATGATGAGACTTGGTCGGCGTAAAAGGGCTCCGTGAGATGAATCTGCTGACTGCCTTCTTCGGATGTAGTCGTCACGGACACATTATGATCTTGGCCTTGATCCTGGTTCATAGAGGTGACAGGTACCAGAACTGCATTGATACTCCCAGTTCCCGTAACGAGATGAACAGATGAAGAGACCAGGAATCGGCCAGCGATGGACCCAGTCTCTGTTTGGATGTCAATCTCGTAAGGTCGGAGAGGGAGGAAGTTAGGATCAGTATTTGATTCTTCAGCGGGCAAAATGCGCTTTTTGTTCTTGTTCTTATTCTTGCGGTGGCTCTTGCATGCGTTGGTCCATTTGAAGAAACCCTTCTGGGTACATCCTTGTTTATTTGTGAGTCTGTTATGGGTGGTGAATTTTCCTCTCTTGTCATTCTTGCGTTTGCTCTGTAGGGCTTTCTTTTCGTTTGCTTCCTCCTTCACCATATCATCCATCATCATATCCATCTCAACATCCGGCATTGACGCCGCTGCCGGCGCAGAGAATGAGACAGTCACACTACCCGACGTACTCCGGATACGCAATCGAGCCGGCTCATCGGGAGATTCAGAGCTAGCGAGTTGCGGGACTACGCTTACCGTGATGTCGCCGGTGGTGGTGGAAAGGGATAACAAGTCGAAAAGGGGATATCGGCCTTGGATACTCTGGGGCCCGTTGTCGATGGTTATTTCTCGTTGTTCGGGGTTTTCCGCGCAGGGCTGGTATAGTTGGATAGTACTATGTTAGCATGGATGTATGTATGTATGTATGCTATGTGCATATGTGCCTTGCAAGGCAGATCCGGGGAAAGGAAAGACATACCGGTCTGAAAATCGTCCCCAACAGTCTATACACCCAGAACAACACACCGAATAACACGAACCCCCTGACTAAACCAAGTAGGCAACGTCCGCGACGGGTATTCTTCTTCTTGCCTCGATAACAATTCCCCCTCGGGTTACTGTCGCTGCTATCTTCATCTTGGAAGTAGAAATTCTCGCCGCCCCCACCCTCCTTTGAATCCGTCGGCATCCCCGAAATGACCTTTTCGTACTCTGGGGGCCGCTCGTTCAAGAACGGGGCTTGTTCTTCTTCTTGTTCTTCGTCATTTTGGAGCATGTCGATGTGCTTGAGATCGTCGGCGGAGAGTTTGGATGCGTTCATATCCTCCGATGTGGGGGTGTAGATCAGCTGGCTTGACAGCGTGGATTCTGTCTCTGAGGGGGTGTAGTCCTCATGCAAATATTGAGCATCATAGTTTGATGCCATTATTGATACTGCAGAGAATGTCAATGATGGAGTTGTTTGATGTTGGGTGATGATCGATCCGAACTGATATTCGAACATGACGTAGGCTCGGATGACAGTGAGTTCCGAAAACGGAATAGCGCCGTTGGGCACCAGTAGGACAACATAGTATAGAGCACGTAGTAGATGGACTTGGATAATTGCAGAATATTATAATCGAATATTATGTACACAAGCAACAATGACATACAGGTGACAGTTCGATCGTTAATCAATAAACAACATCAGGGGGAATCTCATTATCCAAAAGAATGGACGCGTCATAAAGGCAATATGTATGAGGCTTTTGGGAACAGAAAGCAGCAGAAGAAATGAAATCCACCACTATGAGATGCAAGACACTCCGGCTATATAAGCCGGCCAAAGACCAACCCACGGCAGATAACCCTATCCAAAAACTGCAGGTGGGGGAGGCGTCAGCATACACTCAACAATCGACTCAAGTCAATGGATAGGAAATCTAGATATAGCCCAGATTCTCCAAGAGGGAATGTGATTCAACCAGGGGCAAGTTAACCACCCCCAGAGCTCTGACTTGCGTTCCCCGTCGGAGGCGCTGCAGCCCAATGGCCACCTTCCATCCTTCGGTTTCATCCAGAATGAAGACATATCGCTTGCCTTCCTGGTCACGCATGCTGGCACGGAGCACATGGAGCCTCGCCTTTTCGCCCTCAACACCCCTGAAGTCAGCGGGTGACGCCAGCCGGCACGTATTCTTGCACACCTTCAACAGGTTCCCAAGATACGCGTCCGACTCTTCCGGCGTCGGGCCTGGCGTGTTGCGACGGAAAGGGTTCGAGGGTTTGACAGGATTTGGACGGTCTCCGTACTGGGGGCACCATACCTCTGCCAGCTTCATCGTCCACGCCTTGACATCCCATTCTCTCTGTGGGACACCGCGAACATCATCGTCAATGAACAACCCTTCCGTGGTGATGCGAAGCACCAATCCGTCCGTCACGATTCCCTGACCGGATACCAGCTGCGCAACCGGGTCTCGAGGGTACACATTGTTGAACGCAAACACTCCTTGGATAACAATCTTATCAGGATCCTTGGTTGAGTAGGTTCCTCGGTTGGAGGGCGGGGGCGTAGTACGAGCGGTTGACTGTGAAGGCGCGTATGAAGATTCGGAGTAGACCGAGGACCTTGAGGTTCCCGATGTACCTGATGCCGCGCCCCCATATGGTCGTCGAGGTCGCTCGTAGGGCTGGGAAGACTCGTCGGTCCTGGTTTGCGTTGAAGGGGCTGGTTTCTTAGGTGAAGGAGATCTGGGGGGAGCTGCGGCTGCGGCTGCTCGAAACTCCCTCTCTTTAGCTGCTGCTTCTTTAGCTGCGGCCTCCTTGGCGGCCGCTTCTCTAGCCGCTGCTTCTCTAGCCGCTGCCTCTTTAGCTGCAGCCTCTCGTTTAGCAGCAGCCTCCTTTGCGGCAGCCTCTTCAGCATCTTTGGCCTTCTTCTCGGCGTATTTCTTTGCAGCAGCCTCCTTGAGAGCCGCAAATTTGGCATCGGCCTCCTTCTTCGCGGCCGCTTTCTCAGCCGCTTCCTTCTCAGCTGCTTCTTTATCCGCTTTGGCCTTTGCTTCAGCCTCCTCCCTCTCAGCCTTGGCTTTGGCTTCGGCAGCGGCCTTCTCTTGCCTCTCCTTGGCTTCGGCGGCTTCTCTGTGCGCTCTTTTCTTCGCCTCGGCTGCCTCTCGTCGTGCCCTTGCCCTCGCTTCTGCTGCTTCTCTATCCGCCTTGGTCTTGGCTTCTGCTGCTTCCCGGTCAGCTCTGGCTTTGGCCTCTGCCGCTTCCCTTTCAGCCCGTTCTCGTTCGGCTCTGGCTCTGGCCTCTGCTGCCTCTCTCTCCGCTCGGTCTCGTGCTTCCTTCGCGGCGGCCTCCCTGGCTGCCGCAATCTCTTTCTCAAGCTGTTCTCTGCGCTCCCGCAGCTCTTTCTCCATGGCCTCACGCTCTCTTTGTCTTTCCTTTTCGCGTGCTTCTGCCTCTCTTTTCCGTTTCAACTCATCCATCCTCCTTCGTAGCTCTTCTTTCCGTCTAGTTTCTTCACGTTCTCTCTCCCAATCTCGATCTTTATTCTGATTGGTGTTGGGGGGCGGTCCAGTGTTCTTATTGTTGGGAGGTGGGCCAGAATTTGGTGGAGGATCCGAATTAGAGGATGGTTGAGGTGGAGGACCACCAGCACCACGTTGGTTCCCAGAATACTGGCTTCCTGGATTAGGTCCTCCACCAGAATTTCCTCCGTGGCTTTGCTGCTGTCCTCTATTCTGCCCCCCGTTATTTGGAACATTTGACTGGTTTGAACCTGCCCCCGCAGATTGGTTCTGAGTGCCAGCTCCACCAGCTCCGGAGCCTCCGGACCCAGAACTACCTGACCCTGGACGCCTCCGCGTCCCTCGTGGGAAGCCGTCCGCTTGATACGTACCGACGGCCCATCCAACCAAGGCCACACTTATCGCCAAGAGAGCGATGCCCATACCACTACCGCTAGCGGCAGTCGCGGAATACCAGGCTTTGAGGAATGGAGAGATATTGGCCCATACTATAACGACAAAAAGTGTGCTCGCAGAGCCAGCAATGAAACTATTGCGTTGGCATTGTAAGGATGGAAGGTAAAGGAATCCCGAGCCGGAGGAGTGCGGAGGAATGACGAAGATGTCGTAATTTCCTTTGGGGAGATCTGATGACTTGCGATATTCCCCCTCGGTTGTATGAGGGTTTTCTCCATGAGGGGGAGGAGGAGGGGGAGGGCCATCATCCATTGTTGGAGACTATTCGGTTCGTATTGTCTATCGTAGGCGGCGTAGGCTATTATTGGCATGCGATTGTCTTTGTTTATGCTGATATGTCTGGTTTTCTTGTGAATCCTTCTTGTCTTCTAGAAAGCCAATACTCGTGATGGCAGAATCTGAAAAATGAAAGAAAGCGATGGCCTGGGCATGTTCAAGGTAGCATTGGAACGGCACTGAGGCTCTCTGGCACTCAGTGCTTAGGTGTCTATCAATGAAGATAATATGTTAGAGCAATGAAAACGAAGCCAATTTGACAGAAGAGCGTACCTGGATTCGGTGCGGAAGAGGGATTATGGGCGGGGAGAAGATGTGATAGTGATGGGGCTGGGGTGATGGAAGTGGGATGGAGGGAAAAAAGAGGCCAGGCGGCAAGAGATGGAGAGCAACAGACGATCAGCGGCAACCAACAGGCCGTCAACAGAGCGATGATTCGTCACAACCGGGAGATCGAAGGGAAAGGAAACGTAAGAAGTGAAGAAAAGAAAAAACAAAAGCTGTCAACATGTCAGATTGGTTTGTTTACGCAACAAGAAGATTGTCTATTGTTTTGTCGCTGGTATTACGGCAAGGGCAGACGATACATCGACTACATACATTGATTACTATGCTGCTTTGAGATTGAAGTATATCGAAATCAGCTATATCCATTAAATGGCATTCCATAAATGTCTCTGATTCAATATATAAAGGACTGAGGATGAACCTTATCAAGAAGGGGTACAGAGAATACCATAGATCTTGACATTTGACGGTGTATTCTGACAGGAATGACTCTGATGGGCATCTGAGACACTGAATGCCAGGCATTGACATATCACGAACCTGCCAATATGGTAGAAACAAAAAAGAATAGAGCATCAGCGAGATGGATGTGATGTGATGCTATTCAAAGATCGAATCCATCGCTTGTGTTGCTTGTTTTGGTTTTTCTCTTTAGGTGATGGCGTGGTTTCTGCAAACCTTGTTGGTGGATGCTGATTGGTCGGTGGATGTACTGGAATACTGCAAAATAAGACACTGAATTTCTTGATTATAACGAGAATATTCAGAATATAAAGACAGTCAATACAAAAGACTATGAATGACAAGAATTCTTGCCGATATTAATATCGATTCTTTGTCTGCGCAGATCACATGTTCTCCAACTATTCTGCCAGTCGATACCGCCCATGTGTATTCAGTCTTCAGTAATCAAAATAACAGCATCCAGCATCATTAATTCAGAAACAAGATGCATGTTGATACTCCATACTGTTGGGGTACATCACGGGGTATGCCTTTGAGGACTGCACAATATGCAGTTATTGAATCGAACTGCTCAACAGTCTCCATTTTTTTGGTGGCAATAACTTCGGCTATTGCTGCGGGATCATATTGCGGTGAGACTGGACGGAGGAGGGAGCAGTTGATAGATGTTATTCAACCTGATTAACTGCAAGCATAAAGCAGATAGAATGGCAATATGTCAATTATCGCCGGATTCTTTTGATTGGAACCTCATGCCCTTGTCAGTCATATGTACTCTGTGGATGCAAGTCAGTTGAATGCGTCGTGGATCCCATGATACTGTTCCTGCTGATCTTCAACTTCCCACTGATCTGTATATCTTTTTATGCTCCGTAGAATACGAAGCACCGACTATCATAAACACCAAAATCAATCAAATCCATAATGTTGAGATCCTCTATCCGTAACGATGCTGAAGAACGGTCGGGGAGCCGCAGCTCCACCCGTGATTGACCGATTCTTGATTATTGGTTCCCCCCAGAAAAAGAGGCAACAGGAACAGCGACACCAACGCCGACTCGGACAAGACAGACTCAACACTATTTTCTCTTCTGCTGCTGGCCAGTTCGAGATCTTCTTCTTCCTCCTCCATCTCTCTCTCCATCGCCTCATCTTCTTCCATCCACATTCCTCTCCTATCTTCCTGGCGGGGGCACCAGTCAGGTACCGCCCCCCAAAACTCCTCGCTATCCATCACTGCCCTCCCCCGCCAACTGTCCTCTCCACCCTGCCCCGAAAAGGCTCACATCCACCACCAATCTCCTTTCCTCCTCGTGGTCCTTCGTCCTCATCTCTCTATGCAGTCTCGATAGTTATCGCAGTCGTCCGACATCTCATACTCGCCCCTCGAGGGCTCTCGCATTAAATCCCCATACCTCCTACCGACGATGGCCTACCACTCCCAATCCCCCTTCTCGGGTCATATTCCCGCCTATAATCCGGTGGCCGCAATGACTGCCCCTGCTGGTACCTTTTTGCCTGGCACCAAGGTTCAGGTCGGAAGTCACCGTGTTGTGGTGGAAAAGTACCTTTCCGAGGGTGGATTTGCCCACGTCTATGTCGTCCGGCTCCCTCAACCCGTTGATGGTGTCAACACGGCGGTCTTGAAGCGGGTGGCCGTCCCCGACAAGTCGGCCCTCGCCAATATGCGCACAGAGGTCGAGACGATGAAGAAGCTCAAGGGCCACCGGCACATTGTCAAGTACATTGACTCCCACGCCTCACAACTTCAGGGGGGCGGATATGAAGTGTTCCTGCTCATGGAATTCTGCTCAGGAGGAGGTCTGATCGACTTCATGAACACGCGGTTGCAGAACCGGTTGACGGAGCCGGAGATTATAAAGATCTTTTCGGATGTGTCCGAGGGCGTGGCTTGCATGCACTACCTCAAGCCTCCACTACTGCACAGGGATCTCAAGGTGGAGAATGTGCTTATCTCTCGCCAGGGCAGCACGTCCTACTATAAGCTGTGCGATTTTGGATCGACCGCTCCTCCTCGTCCGGCGGCCACTTCAGGCGCAGAGGGTCGGTTGATTGAGGATGATGTGCAGCGGCACACGACACTGCAGTACCGGAGCCCGGAGATGATCGATGTCTATCGGAAGCAGCCAATTGATGAAAAAAGTGACATCTGGGCCTTGGGAGTTCTCCTTTACAAACTTTGTTATTATACCACCCCCTTTGAGGAAGTCGGGCAGATGGCCATTCTCAACGCGAGCTACAAGTTCCCCTCATATCCTCCTTTTTCGGCTCGGCTGAAGATGTTCATCGGTATGTCTATTCTGCCCTAATGACTGTCCGCTCTCTGTTACTGACCATATCCAGCTTCAATGCTAAAGGAAAACCCTCAAAAACGCCCCAACATCTATGAGGTCATACGCGAAGTTTGCCTGATGCAAGGAAAAGAGGTTCCTATCCGAGATGTGAGACAACCCCACTTTGACATGGAGCCATTCAGGAAACTGACTCGTCGCAGATCTATTCTGGTCGCTCAACGTCGGAAGCCCGTCGATACCAAGAACTGCCTCCCTCTCCCACGGAGGCCCCGCAAATCGGGGCTGTCTTCTCTCCCCCCGTCCAAGAAACCCAGATCATCCCCGAAATCGCCCCCATGCGCCGAGGGCGCCCAGCGCGGCCAGACACTTCTCAGCATAACTCGGCCAAACCCAGTCCGTCGCCATACCGCGGTTCAACAGACCCATTTGCCGCTCTGGATGGAAAGTCTCGTGGCTCAACTGAAGAGTTTGCAAACCGATTTCCGTCCCTGGACCAGTTCCAAATCCTGCACGAAAAGGGAGGTAAATTTGACTTTGAGCCAACCGTCGCGGAGAATCCAGAAGACGAGAATCTATCCCAGAGGCTCACCAATGCTCTGGCAGATGATGCCTTTGCCAAGCGCCCGTCTTCTGAAGACGAGCCGGTGCGCGAGTCGTCAATCAATAGGCGATCCCAAATTCCCTCATCGTCGGATGTGAAATTGGCCCAGCCGCGCAACACGCGCGAGGAGTCTCGACAGCAGACACCATTGTACCAGCCCGTTCCGCAAAAGCCTGTTATGGTTTCTACGGGTACGATGACCTCGCCACCGGCCACTCCAGGGCTGCCGGATTTGAATCTACCGGCCCGGCCCCCGATCCATCGGTTCCCAGCAACGGAGCACCCGCGCCATACGTCCAATAATCCTTGGGCTGATGAGACCGAAAAGAGGCCACCGGTGCCCAGCAAGGACCCTTCGCCTACGGTACCATCCTTCAAGGCTGAACCGAACCCGCGAACTTCGGCGGATAGGATATCGAATGTTTCGGCTTCTGCGAGGCCATCGCTGGAAACTGTACGCCCTTCGAATCTGGACATCACCGACCCTATGACTGGCAGGTCCAAGTCCGCCAATGCCAAGGCGCGGCCGGTGTCTGTAGGAGCTAAATACGACATTCCGCGAGAGTCGGGAAGCACTCGCTCGTCTCTGGAGCTGCCACGACCACCGTACGATGCTGGAGCGCCGTTACAGCATGCCCGAACCGCCGTGGACCGGGAGTACGAGCGGGGAAACATTTCCTCGGATGTGGACTACCTTCGTGCTAGGGAAGAGGAGGAACAGTCTCGGAAAAAGGAGAAACGGGCGAGTGGGAGCTCGAAACACACCAAGCGCTCCAGTCTGTCCAACCTGTCATTCTCGGGGACCAAGACCATATTTGCTGGGCGATTTGGTGATGCATTCCGTCGGTTCGAGAGCAGTAACCAGGACGGTAAATCCAAGACGCCGTCTCCTGAAGATACGCCCAAACTGCCCACGACAATCATGACCGAGGAGGTGGCGGAACCTGGTATTATCGAAGGGTTCGAAGAAGACGAGGAGGATATCTCACCGGAAATGCGCCGCGAGCTGGAGCGTCGACGTCTGTCACAGGAAGAAAGACGAGTGGCCGAGGCGGCGGCGGAGTATCGGCGGCGGGCAGCGGAACGAGGCGAAGGCGGCTGGAGGCCTGGCGGAGATGGGACCCGGTCCGCCGTGATTCAAAACCGGGTGCAGTCATTAATGGGCGACACCAACAAGCCTCTGCCGCAGAAGACGGCCACGGGGTATGGGCGATTCACAGACGAAGCCAGTGAGACTAGTCCCGCTTTGCAGGCAAAGCAAACTGATGCCCGTGTGGTGTATGGGACCCCGACCGGACGAACGTCGCCAGTGAAGGAGGGCTGGGGCGCACGAGAAGCACCGCAACAAACAACGGGGTCGACAGGATATGTCGCGGCGCAAGATTCGGGGCCGCGGCCATCTTTACCCACGCGGCCAGCGGTGGCCCCCAAGCCGGCACTGCCACCGAAACCGAAGAATCTTCAATCGGGGGTAACGGGGAGCCAGGGGAACAGCCCGACGGTGCAGGAGACGCCGACGGGGGTGAATGAGGATTGGGAGAGCAACTTCAGCCGACGGTATCCCAGCCTGTCCGGGCTGGAGATGGTGGAGACGGAGATTGAGATACCGAAGGTTGCAAGCATGCGAACCAAGGAGGTGTAACTGGAACATATTGTATGGTTATAGACTAGCTACCTAATTTTGCATATATCCTAGATTGGATAAGTATATTGTAACTGATCTTTATTAAAGCTGTAATAGTAGTAGATGTAGGAATTACCCAAACGGGTTAGATCGACTCACACTCCGCCCTTTTGAATCTTTGCTGTCGTTGAGCTTCCAAGACGATCCGATCAACCACTGAGCAGTCAAGATGGCGCCTGTCACCCTGAGCACCGTGGACAGTGAGTATCTCATTGGGATATATATATATAAATGCGACAAACTAACGGAACAGACGACCTAAAGGACATCATCCAACACCTGTTTGAAATCCAATCCGCCGTCCATGGCTACCTAGGCCCCGAGACGCAACAAGAACTCGTCCGAAAGATGTATTCCTCCTCTTAATTCCCACGATAAAAAGAAATGACAAAAAAAAAATAAAATAAAATAAAGAAACTAATAATAATAAAATAAAACAGCAAAACCCTCACCGTCGCCCTCTCCACCCTATCAACGCACACCTCCCAACCCCCATCCCAAGAACCCCAAGACAACAACAACAGCAACGACCCCTTGATCAGCAACATCCACCTTCCCCCCGAGATCATCGACTACGTGGACGCAGCGCGTAACCCGGACATCTACACGCGCGAGTTTGTGGAGCTGGTGCAGCGGGGGAATCAGGATCTCAAGGGGAAGAAGGAGGCGTTTGCGGGGTTCCGGGATGTGTTGGCGAGGGAGATGAAAAGTGCGATGCCGGAGTGTGGGGGGGAGGTTGAGAGGGTGATGGAGAGGACGAGATCTGCGTGATTATTTCACTCATATTTTTTTTCACATATGCGTTTTAATTGATGGGATGGGACGGGATGGAGTGTGATATGGACTGCAGCCTACAGCCTACGGAGTTACAAGGGTGGGTTTCTTTTTTCGGTATTTGTTGGAGTTGGAATGGGACGGAGTAAATAGGAAGAACTACATAACATATGACCAGGAATCAGAGGCCTGATTACATCATGAGAAATTATGCTGACTGGTATGATATAATAAGAATGCAAGAAAGAGCAAAAAATATCGCATAAACAAGGCGAGAAATTGAAGAAAATCCCTGTCAGACGAGACTAAATAAGGCTGTGGGCGATTGTCGGTCAACGAGGCTGTGTCGTTGCACTGGTTATTATTAGATCAGAGAATAGGATAGAGGATAGAGGATAATATCATCATTAATATTAAGAATAGATGGAATAGATAGATAGAATAGTAGAATAAGGAATAACGATGAGTACTATGTGTAGATGATAGAGAGTATTGATGGACACGTGCGTTGAGCACGTGTGGCAGTAAGGGATATATTCTATTGAATATTATTAAATAATTGATTAATTTATTCATCACATTTTATATTATATTATTATCATATTAAATGAATATTATGATGACTCTTAATGAATATGAATTCATGATCTATCAGTATACAACATCTACATCTACATACTAATAGATACAGATATTGATAATTGATAAATGATATGGATAGACAGATAATAAATAATAGATAAATACTATAATTCATCCAGCAATGATCGCCTCCCCGCATCTTTTTCGACTCGACCAGTCAAATTTCCCTTTCTGGCTCATTTTCGCTCGTTTCTTTCTTCTCACCTGATGTTTTCCTCTTCTCTCTTTCTCTCCACTTCCCCAGATCTCTTCCTCTTCTTCCTCCCCTCTCCATCTTTCTTCACCATCTCTCTTTATGTCTATGAATATGCCCTAGCACCATGGTCAATGGGACCAATACACCCGGCGATGGCATCACCGGGGGTTATACCGGTCACAACCTGGGCATCCAGATCACCATCGCCACCCTCGCCGGCATCACCTGGTACAATGCCATCGAGCTCATCATCCTCGTCTTCGTCACCTTCAGCCAGTATCGCGGCCTCTACTTTTGGAGTCTTTTCGTCTCGGCCTCCGTTGGTCTCGTCCCCTATTCTCTCGGTTTCCTGCTCAAGTTCTTCAACCAGAACCAGATAACATGGCTGTCCGTCACCTTCATCACCATCGGCTGGTACGCCATGGTCACCGGCCAGGCCTTTGTCCTCTACTCGCGTCTCCATCTCGTCCTGCGCAATCCTCGTGTCCTCCGTCGCGTCCTCGCCATGATCCTCCTCAACCTCCTCTTCCTCCATATCCCCACCACCGTCCTCACCTACGGCTCCAACATGCCTGACCGCTCCCCCAGCCGTTCGCAATACATCGCCGGCTACAACGTCATGGAGAAGATCCAAATGACCGGCTTCTGCATCCAGGAGTTCATCATCTCAGCCCTCTACATCTGGGAAACCACAAAGATGCTTCGTCTCGACCCTGACGGCGGCAAGCGCAAAATCATGTACCAGCTCGTCATCATCAACTCCCTCATCATCCTCATGGACCTCGGCCTCCTCATCATCGAATACCGCAACTTCTACATCATGGAAACCATGATCAAAGGCGTCGTCTACAGCATCAAACTCAAGCTCGAATTCGCAGTCCTAGGCAAACTCGTCCACCTCGTCAGCTGCCACGTCTGGAACTCAGACTCCGTCCACCACGTCGCCGGCATCCTCATCCCCTCTCGTCCGGGAATCTCCCCTCCTCCTCACTACCACCCGGACTTCCCCGACTTCGTCGACGCTACCCGCGTCACCTCAGACCTCACCCACGCCCCTTCTACCGCCCGTCGTCGTTCCCACCCCTGGATGGACTCGGACGACGTCTCCATCGCCATGTTCGAGCATTCAAGCGTATCCAGGGACCACGAGACGGGCCGGTCCGGTCACTCCGGCCACTCGGATATCTCGTATTCCTGGAGTGGCGAAACTCAAACTAACAACCACCCTTTTCCAGAGCGAGAACTAAGTCCCCTTGACTTTACGGATTCTCTTCAAAAACAAAAGGATCATCGTGAGGATATCTGATTTATCTATTTGATGCATCTTTTCTCTCCTTTTACGAATTACGAGCCACGACTTTACGTCTTGTACACCAGGATACCTCCCTCAAAGGGAATACTTTTACTTTCTTCTTCTCATTCTTGGAAAAAAACAGTCCAGTCCATCCATACCAATCCGGGGAATCATAATTATCCCTGTGAATACCCAAAAAAACAAAAACCCTACATATCGGAAATGATACCCCCCTTTTTTTCTCTCCCTTTTTACTTTTTGCTTTTTATTTTTATTTTTTAGTGGGTTTCCACCATCGTATCCTTACCTGGTGGGTTTAGGATAGGTAACATACATTCATCACATCCCGAAGCTAGGGCTTTCGGAACGGGCTTTTGTATTTTTGTCGGATCGGATGTATATCGGGCATATTAAGTTAGAAATGAATAATATAATAAATTATTGAAAATAAAACCATATCTTTTCTTGTTATCTCTATTTTCCGCAAAAGCAGCACTGTACTGTACGGAGTAAATTAGATAGGTAAATAGCATTGTAATCCACGTTTAATACTAGCAGAATGGGTATTAAGCCCAGCACGGAGACATCACATCGAAGTAGACAAAATACGATCAAACACTAAATCCAGACAAAACTAGCCAGTTCGTCATCTCATAAAAATATCAAATCAGCTCAGCTCAAACATGAAACGCCCGACTCGCCTCAACAAGGCCATCAGAGAACTTGGTCATAGCCGCCCATCCAGGACTAAACTGTCTAATTTCATCCAGTGCCGGAATCGCTCCAATCTGATTATCGTCACTCCATAGGCAAACCACCCTTCCTTCGAGAGTTGTGTCCTCGGCCCACTCCACGTCCACGGTCCAGGTTCGGTCCCACGTCCGGCTCCACAGTCGGATCTCCCGCGTTCCATCGGAGGAGCTGTGCGGGAACCGTGGGTCGTATGCGCTCCCTGCGACATGGAATTCGGATACCGAGGTGTCAAACAGTAGCTTGCAGGCGCGGGTGTTTTGACCGGTAATCTCGAATCGAGCTTGAGATTTGTCGGGGGTTTTGTTCACGTTGAATGATAGCCAGTCTTGGTGTGCCTCGTCTTTCTGACCAGTCACGTGTGGTTCGAGGCCCTCCCAGGAGCATTGGAATCTCTCAGCGAGTGGTTCGCAGCTGACATTCTTGCCAGCGGCACTGGGGAGGGCCTGGATGATGTCACTGACAAACGGCGTGACTCCCGTCAAAGAAGCACGGTTGACTCCAGTGTCGAGATCGACCCGCTGTATGAAAAAGACCTTCAACCGACTTGTTTCGGAAAAGGGGAACGCAGCAAGATTATAGATAAGTGTACCCGTGAAAATCAACAGCAAGAACACGGGTATGTGATAAGTATACCGGTGGACGAACGGAATAAGGGGAGTAAGCAGCAGCGTGGTGAAGGCGGCGATGGAAAGGTAGATAAAAAGCGAGGAGCTTCCATCCTGGCCCGTCTGATGAAGCGCGGTGGTCAGCAGCAGCGCAATTGGTCCGACCATGATGATGACAATGGGAGAGATAAGGATGAACTGCAAAAGCCAAGTCCATTTGGGCATCGATGAGCTCCACGACTGCTCGTTTGCATACACGTTAGGGTCAACTTCCTCCTCTTCCTCGTTTGCAAGATCGGCAGTCGACCCGCCCACTCGAACATAGTTCGCAAACGTGGTCCGATTTCCATTGCGTAGCAAGGATGTCGTTTCAGTTGCCTCCTCCTCGGCATCCGCGTCGTCCTCGTTCTCATGACCAGAAGTCGACCCGAATCGGTTTTCATGGCTGCTAGTAAGCCTCGAAGCAGAGCCATGCTGATTCGCGTATTCGGATTTGCGAGGGAGAGAGAAAAGCTCCAAATATGAGATCCACGTAGCCAAGAATACTCCTGCATAGGTAAAGAAGATGAAATAACCACCTGCCAATCCATATTTGTTCTCATATGTCGTGGCGATAACCATAAGCACCCATGTGAGAACAAACATCCATGTCAGAGTATAGACTCGATGAAAAGCCGATGGCCGAGCAAAGTCGGCCACACGAGATACGAACCACGCCAGGAATGTCCAGGCGGCGACCATCATAGTCCAAACTGCATACTCGCTGCTGTGAATGATAAAGGGGTTGATCTTGGTCAGAAGGTACGCCAGGCCAACGGTCACAGCCGTCGGGATGACAAAGAGAAAAGGAAACCGGAAGAAACCTCGCAGGCCTAGCAGCGGAACTCCATCAATGATATCCTCTGATTTGGCCGATGATCTAAACAGATACATCTTGTCAGCCCTCGTAAGTGCAACACTAGTGAGAATCAAGGTAAGTGGTGCCACAATAAGAAGCGTCACCGACAGCGCAAAGAGCGTATGCAGACGGAAGACGACAAATGTACTTCCGAAAAGATCAAACCAGACTGCCTGGTTGCCCGATCCACTGGGAACTTTGCCGTCATCTCGAGCAGGCCCATCAAACTCATTGCTAGAATCAGAAACCAGACCATGAGTCGTCGCAACGGCCCCCGACAGCATATGCCACAGAGAATCCTTGTTGGTGTGTCGAGCATCATCCTGATCCGTGTGGTACCTAGCTCTGGGCTCGATAAACGCAACATCCAGTCCACGTAGACCCATATCGCCCTCAAACACGACATAGTCTGTCTGACTGCGGATCAACCCCATCTGGAATCCATTGGCGCTCAACACCGACCCAAACGGATGTTTCGACCCCATATACGGGCGAGTGACCTCGGCATCGGAGCTACGAAACAAAGTCGCGCGACCACCAGCTCCTGTTCCCTCTAGGTTCAAAAACGTATGTGGGAGCTTTGAGATAGGATGCTGACTGTATACGCGCGCCCCGTTCAGATAATCTTCCTCTCCATTGTTGAAAAGCACCACCAGGCCTCGTCGGGGTACATGTCCTGGGGTAGTGAAGTATTTGATGAGCTGAAGGCACGTAATGACTCCAATCCCATCGTCCGTCGCACCGAATCCTGTCGACACGCTGTCATAGTGTGCGTTCACGAGCACTCCTCCTTTGCCTGCCGGTGTTCCGTTCGGATCTTCCCACCAGCGCGTCTGGTCATCTTCCGAGCCCCGAACATAGACGATAATATTTGTTCCCTCAAAATATATCCCAACATTGTTACTTCCAGTGAACGAAAGGTTCGATTGCGTATCGTCAAATGTGAACACATCGGGTTTCTCCTCACCGACAGAGCGGTACTCTTCCGCCGAAGGAGCTGTGTCGATTATTTCGTTGATCCGCGTTAGCAACCACTCGTGGACTTTGTCATTTTGGTGAGAATTATATGGATGGTATCCGTTAGTAAGGGCTTGAAGGTCCCCCCAAGCTTCGGTGATATTCAAACCAGAGGGGCTGGTTTTGGGCGCCGAAGGAACGACATGGTGGATGACGAGCAAAGGAATGACGAGTGCAAAATACACGGTCGTGGTGATAAGTGTAACAGGCCAGCGAGTAAAAGCCAGCGGGTTGGCTCGCGATGGCTTGACTAGAGAAGCCATTTTTGACCTCGTCGCTGTGGAAAGCGACGGCTGCGCAATTCCCAGTGGAAGAGACGGGTTTTGAGGAGATGCGGAGGAGAAGGCGGAAGGCGGGGAACGTCAGCTGGTATCACGAGGAAATCCAGTCTGCAACAATCATCTCTAGAGCTATTATTACTATTATTGAGGAGCCAGACTTGGAATCAGGAGGAAATCAAGGATTTATTAAAATAAAACCCAACTCCATGGATGCATAGTGCCCTTCGTTATCTATCACTGCCATCACAGATTATATATATCAATCTACGCTGCTACCAGACCAAGAGGCCGGCAACTTCATTCCAATTGAAATCGCGTATATGCCTAGTCCCGAATAGACACAACAAAAATAAAACCTGAAATCAGGTTCCACGCTATCGATGCATTTCCCAGATAACAAACAATTGTGATAGCCCTAATTCATCCGAGTAGAAATAAAAAAGCTCGCTCTTAGGCGGATATCATTTGGACGGCCGGCGTGCCGTCAGTGGAAACAAGAGCGCGGAGAAAAAGACTCAATAGAACAGACACGCAAGAGAGGAAGGGGTATCAACCGTGAGGATGTCCGATATCAATGTATTCTTCGTCGTTAATGGCGGTCGCATGCATCAGGCCAGTCACTTGGCCCTCTTCTTCGTCTAACTCTTCATCATCATCATACATGGTGGCTTCGGTCTCTTCGCGGAAGGGAGGTGCGCTTCGATTTAGGTAATCACGCAGTCGACTCACTCCGTCACCGCTGAAGACACAGAAGACTTCGCGTTGCTGTTGTGTAAATTCCGGAGGAGCTTCACGGCAGAACGTGGTAAGCTCCTCACGCAAGAAAGCATGTACTCCCGTAAGACTGAGATGGGTTAGTCGTGGGCAATGATTGAGCAATGCATGGATTCCCTGCGCACTTGATGTCAGTATGGGTTGCCTTTAGCCTCATGAGAAAGGAGCTGCTAAAACGTACCCCCATTGTCAGGTTGAGACAGTAACTCAGATGCACCCGCTCCAAGCTACTGATGCCCACATGGGACACTCTGGGCCGTGCCAAAGCTGATATACTCTGGTCGGTGATATGCTGGCACTTGACCAAACCGATTCTTCTTAATTTCGGTAGCGTTGCGAGTTGTTGAACACTTGCATCCGTCAAACGGTTACAGCACGCCAAATCAATGTACCTGATACGATTACAAGACTTGACAAGTTGGATCACCGCAGTATCTGTGATATTCGAGCAGTGGCCCAGATGAACATAGTGTAGGTTCTTTCCCAGTTTGCAAATGGCCAGTACTGCACGATCGGTAATTAATCTGCACTTGGCCAGTACGAGATTCCGTAAGCGAGGAGCAGAGTTTACAATGCGTTCCACCGCGTCATCCTTGATATTCTCGCAAGCCGTTAAGTCAAGTATGCGAAGGCTGTCAAAGGTAAGGCGTTCAGGAAGGTTCAAAAATGCCGAGTCATCAATCTCAACACAGTGTGCTAAACGAAGCTCCCGCAGATTCCGGAGTGTATTGATGAGCGAAGTCACCGATGGACTAGTGACGAGCTTGCAGTCATGCAAATCGATCTCGAGAATAGCCGAGCAGTTGGCGGCGAATGATATGATAGATCTATCCGTGACTGATGAAACGCCGTTGAGTTTCAACTACTCCATATTAGATGCACATTCTATAGAAGCAAAGGTCAGACGTATAACTTACCCTTTTGATCTGGCGACAGTTTTCTGATACGAATATCAGCGAGTCGTCGGTAACCTTGACACATCCGGTGATATTCAAGCCCTGCAGTCGCGGGCAATTCTTAGAGACTGTGTACAGAGTGTGGTCCGTGAGAGATCGCAAATCCGAGACATCCAGAGCCTGCAGATGTCTATTTCCTTCCACCAGATCGGAGACTCCCTTATCCGTGAGCTTTGAGCAGTTAGTAAGCGTCAGGCGCTCGATACGTTTGCACTGAGTAAACGGAACGACTGTGCCGTCGCTAACATCCTCCGTCAGAGCAGAAAGGTTCAACCTCTTGATAAGCTCCGCATACAAAAAAAGACTGTCCGGCTTTCCCACCGAGGCCGCAACGCTTTTCAAGTTGTCCCAGTTATTGCATGATGGTCGGTGCCATAAAATCCCAACGCTGTTTGCTGCCCAACCTCTGCATACCAGCATACAGCTCAGCATATCTACAGGCGAGCTAAGCTTGGCGAAGATTGCGATCAATATTTCAGGCGGAAGACGCCCGATCGGCGGGAGCACCACGTTTCGTGTATTATGTACATTAAGATCACGGAAATTCGCGACGCCAATGGAAGATTGCGAGTCATTAGCCTGGGCCATGAAGAAGTCGGTATCATCGTCGGCGGCGCGTTCCGGTGACGTCGAGGATGAGGACTCGGAGGGGACTTCGCTCGACAATCGAGCGGGCTGCCGTGAGCGGGGCATGAGGACCGCTTGTTGAGAACCTGACGTTCCCAAATAGCTTTCAATAGCTCCTAGATTTCATACACAAGATAGACTTGCTATAGTGGACGGTGTCTTCCTGAGACTTCCGCCACAGAATTCGTAGGACAGACCCAGCGTGACTCGAACTTGTTATGGTCGTCGTCGCACAGAGCCTCGTGTCGGGCGCTCGTATTGGGACCTAAGCCTTTGTTAGGGCGGCAGGAGAGTAAATTCTTTCAGCAAGAAATATAGCTGAAAGATGAATATCGAGACCGAAGGCGTTTGGGAAGAGGAACGCGCGTTGGGCGTGCAGTTGCACAAAAGGGAAGGCAAGGGAGGGGGCAGTAAGAGAGGGAGAGAAGCGGCGGCGGATAGAAGTCGGGGAGACGCTGGATGTCGATCGGAGAATAAAATGATGAACCTAGATGAGAGCCTCCAACCTCATCAGAAGAAGCACCATTCGAGTGATTTGAAGACGAATCTGTATTGGCTGATGATCAGATCGACCGAGTGTGACGAAGTGACGCGGCGGCGGCTGCGAAGACGATGGAAGGCAAAGAGGGGGGAGGGGGAGAATTTCTGACGCTGCTCAGCGGTACCAAATCCCGGACCGCGACGTTAGATCAGGCGAGGATAATTTGTAAGCGTATAGAGATGGACCATATGCAGCGGATGGCCGGATCGCAGAGATCAGGGCGAGGGAGGAATATGTAACCCAGATGATGAAGATGAACAAATCCGGTGGTTCTTAACGCTGGTCGGTTGACGCTGTCCCGTGCGCGGATGCTTTTTTTGGGCTTCCCCGCGACTTCAAGATGGTTAACTAGCCACTGGCGCGATGAACCTGGTTATTCTATTATTATATCATGGGATACAGGTCGAATTCCCTGTTAATCCCTGGTGAATGAAAAACCAGCCCTTGCCTTTCTAAAGCCAGGAATAGCGTTTACCCTCACAGCAACAGTTCTGAATGCGGTTAAATCACCACCCTTGTGCCCTATTTCCAAATCGAGATTCTGATGATAGTAGAACATAAAATAATTCATGGCGATATTGGATCTATGTAAGGTTTATAGCACATAATCTGCTCAGCTTCGATTTGCCCACTCGCGCAGGATATTCTTCCGCACCTTTCCTGTGCTCGTCTTGGGAAGTTCCGCCACCACTTCTACCTCCCGAGGAACCATGAACTTGCTGATTGCACTGTTGTTCCTGGCCCATTCAATCACACTTTTGCCCTCGAGGTGTCTCCCTTGCTTCACAGTAACAAACGCCTTGGGTCTTTCTCCCCAGTGACTATCCTTGACCGAGACGACTCCCGCCTCTAGAATGTCGGGATGCGTGACCAACATGGACTCTAGGGCAACGGAAGAGATATTTTCACCCCCTATCCGATTATTGTCAGCAACATGTCAAACAAATTTTCTTGCAAACACAAAACATACCGCTAATGATGATATCCTTGGCTCGATCGAGGATCTGGATGGCCCCATCTGGGTGCCAGACTGCTAAATCTCCAGAGTGGAGAACGCCGCCAGCGAAGAGTTTCCGCGTAGCTTCGGGGTCCTTGTAGTACCCTTGCGCGCAGATATTGCCAACAAAGGCGATTTCTCCAATCTCTTTCCCGTCTCGCTCGACGTTGACAATACTACCCTCGGGGACATCGGTTTTGATCACTCGTGCTGGTAAACTGCTCACAAAGCCATGGCCCTGTCTCGCCATTTTTTTATATTTCTCTTCAACCGGTAGATTATCCCACGCGGGCATGTAATAGCCCTTGGTAATGGGGCCATATGTTTCCGTCATCCCGTATACGTGTACGGGGTGCAAATTCAGATTGGTCATTTGTTCGAAGAGATGGGGCGTAGGCGGGCTAGCGGCCACTGTTACCTGTACAGGCTCAGGGAGCTTCTCGGCTTCGTTATCATTGCAAAGCAATGTGTTCACTGTTGGGGCAGCATTGAAATGAGTGACACGCTCCTCCTTCAACAATCTCCAGATTTGTGGATAGTCAATCTTCCGTAGACAGTAGTGGGTTCCGCGCACTGCTGTCACTGCCCAAGGGAATGTCCAACCTATGCAACCTGTCAGATATCAAGATTACCGACATTATTTTGATGGGGAAGAGAACTCACCCATGGCATGGAACATGGGTAACGTCCACAGATAACGACAGCGTCCCCGGGAGGAATTTAGGCCGGATTCAATCACATTTCCCATGGCGGCGAGATAGCAGCCCCGGTGGGTAAACTCAACACCCTTTGGACGCGCTGTCGTTCCACTGGTATAGGCCAGGGCAATGACGTCTCCTTCGTTGGCCGCCTGACTTTCAAGCCCATTCCACCCATTATTCCCTGTATCGGAGTCATACTTCAACCCCTCCAGGACAGCATGGTCAAACGGACCCGCAGATGGACCATCTGTAGCCTCAGTGTCGGTGTCAATGATGATGGGGATACTTGGTTTCGATGTTCGGTATGCCTGAAGGAGGGGCAGATACTCTTGATCCACAATAATAACGTCGGCGTCCGCGTGCGAGAAGATGTAGGCAATATCGTCTTCCTTGAGACGATAGTTCACGGCTATTGTTGGGTGAAAAATGACCTCATTAGCTTGTGCCTGGTCGATCTATCGGGGGTTGGCTTACCGATATTAACTGCACCAGCGGCAGCAATGCCGAAGATAGACTCAAAGAAAGCAGGGGTATTGGGACATAGGATGCCAACTCTCTTGAACCCATGTTTTTTGATGTAGTATGAGAGGCCCCTTGCACGGTCCGCGGTTTCAAGATATGTTCTTCGAAGCACGTAATTATTTGCTGTGATGTGGTAGATCGCTTCTGCCTTTTCATTTCAAACTTAGTTAAAATCAAGATTCAGAATTAGATGGACAAAATATATGCACACCTCTGGTTCTATAGCTGCTGCTCGAGGCAAGAAGAATGTCGGGGAGAGCGTGTGAAAGTTAATGTGGTGTTGAGGTGGAGCATCATTCGCCCCGAAGGGTGAAAGGTGTCCAAGTAAACCAGACAACCGAGACTTTGCGGCAGACATAGTTGTTATACAGGGGAGAAAATGGGATTCGAAGGAAGGCCTGTCCGATATTTATGTTAATTCGTAGCCCTCTGCAATATGCAGATAGCTGATGGTGGCGGCGGTTTGAGCGATCTAATAAGTGGACAGGCGCTGGGCCCATTCAGCGAATGCGGGGAAGGCCGAGGCGGTTGTTAAGCTCAGCCAGCCGCGGAGAAGCGGATAGCGGGTAACCATCGGTGCCCTAGCAGTCACTAAACCAGTCTAACTCCGGGCCCAGCTGGCTCTAAGGCTTTAACGAGGTTATAGGGCCTGTTGTTTAGACACGATAACCGAATTATACAGGGCGTAATAATAACAGGAGATAATGATCTTCAATCCCCAGTCCGGTCAAATGGATGACTCTCTACAAGTGTACGTTACGGTAGAACAAATACACCGAGTCTGGTCTATGCCAAATCGTGCGAATGAGAGAAAGAAAGAATATGTCAAACAATCGTAAGAGTCATTCTGAACTCAGAAAGAGAAATTCTTGGATTAAACCGCCACGGCGCGAGAATAACGGTCAGCTATTTTGAACAACCTTTCCATCCCATGCGACTCCGTTTTTATTTTTGTTAAAAGAAATCGGTCTCTCCAGCCTCCATGTCCGTCACAACATAATAAATTTGTGGTATTCATGATGGGGTAGGGACAAGTGAAAGAAAGGTCGATCCGCTTGCCGTCCAACTTCGCTGAAAGAAAACCGCTCGCGATCCCAACCAATTCCTATCACTGACACAAGCAACCAGCCGCGCAACGAGGTATCTAGTATCCGTACTGGGTGAGCTGGCTCTTGGTCTTCTCGTCAACACCCGCCGACTTCTGGGCCTGGGTGAGTTGGCGTCTAGCGGCCTTCTTGCGCTCGTAGTATGCACTGCTCTTAACCTTTCTGCGCTCCTCAAGTCTGTAGTAACCCGTTAGCCATTATACACCCATAAAATACCAAAGAATCCATAGCATGATAAACGTACCTGGCAACAACGTCCTGGTACTTCCAGCCAACCTCGTGGCTGAGACGACCGACGGTGCAGTACTTGCGGCCGGGTCTGAGTCTGAGAACACGCAAAGCCTGGGGGACAACGACGCGCTTCTTCTTGTCGTAGGGGGGAGGGACACCCTCGAAGACCTTGAGTCTCTCCATAGCGGCGGCGCCGCGGGCGGTCTTGTGGGGAATCATTCCGCGGACGGCCTTGTAAAGGATGCGAGAGGGAGCACGGAAGTGGAAGGGACCTGAAATGTTCATCTTCAGTATGGTGTCCGATAACAAATATCTCGTTCATGACGAGTCGGGCTGAATCTCACCTCCACGAGTGGGGTTGAAACGGGTCATCTTGCGAAGGTAGGCGTGGTACTTGACTATATCGGTCACATCCAGTCAGCTCTTATTGTCCACCAATATCGTTTCGATCATCGATCCCAAAAATCTCCGTGTCTGTTCCCTCCTCTTTCCTTCCTCCACAGATCGTTGTAAAACAAATGAAAATCGGGTCGGAGTAACGTACGCTTCGCGCGGAAGAACTCGCCGGAGATGTTGAGGGCTTCACATCTCACGACGACGATCTTCTGGCCATTGAGCAACTGCTTGGCAACAGTGCTGGCCAGACGACCGAGGAGGTGTCCCTTGCCGTCAATGACGACCTGTAAATCCCCATCACCAGTCAGCGATCACTCTCTCGACAATATATAGAATCCAAAACCAAAAAAACGGCATTCATCGGGGGTGCATGTGAAGGGATAACGCACGACTGGCTCGATGGCGGACATCCTGCTTTCACCGGTTCAAAAGGAAAATATCCAGCGAAAGAAGAGCGCTGCTCTAGGATACTCCCTTGGGATGTATGTTGTCGGCGGTTGTTGTCGTTGTGGTTAGGTCAACGCACACAACGAAGTCGGATGGTTCGCAGATAGGTAATGGTTAAGCGAGGCTAATTTGTGCGGAAGATCCGTGAGGGCCACAGCCCTAACCCGACCAATCCGTTGCGCGGAGTCACGTGCTACATCAGTCCGCCTTCGAGATTCCAGCCCTTTGTCTTTTTTCTTTCAGAAAATACGGTGAGATGATAGGCTGTTTTTGCCTTGAATACTTTTTTGTTTTATCTCTGGCATAATTGTGCCGATCGACGGTGTTGGTGGTGTGGCAGACTGGGAGGCAGAATGCTGCAACGGTGCAACCTTAAGGTCTACGAAGTACAGCTTGATACTCATACTAGCATTGAAACCCCTGGCATGAACATTTCATTGACTCGAGAGTTCTCATTGGTTTCAGCTATTTCATCATGTAATTTACCATTCTCTATCACTGTCTGTACTTATTAGGGACACTTGTGCGATGTACAATATATATATACTGAGAACCTGGATTCTGGCTATTGCAAGAATGGAAGCCATGGTCCTTCGATACAAATTACTGAATCGCAATCGCATGCCGACGAAATTCGATACAATATCAGCCTCATGGCCAATAATGGTGGTGTTGTCTCGTTCTCAGACCCTCTGGAGAAACTAAGTCCTCTGCAACTGCAAGCTCAATCGAGGGTCCAGCGGAAGATCACTGGGTCCGCGGGCTAAACTGCTTTGGGGTTTGATGCCTCTCTAGAATCAGGTGTCAAGGCATCTTTGGCGTCTCCAGTAACAAATAACACTTATTTTCCTGGGATAAGAATCGTAAAAACAACCACCAACTTGTGCTGCTTCCACCGTTGGTTTAATCCTACAAGCCCATGCCGTGTGAGGCTTTTTCCATGGAAATCTGCTGATACCCATTCTGTGATATTCCCTGACAACGGCTGTATTTCGACTTTGTTTGCGAGGGCGTCAGCAGACCAATTGGCTCTGAATGCTAGTGATAAAACATGTATCGAAAGACACGATTCGTCTGTGTGTCTGACACTCATGCCTACACTCCCTCAGAAGCAGGATATAAACTATCGCCTGGTGATGTTTTGATCCATGCCGGGGATCTTACCAATCAAGGAAGCATGTCTGAGCTACGCAGAACAATGGACTGGATCTCCAAGGCTGACTTTGAAGTCAAGATCATCGTTGGTGGTCAGCATCCCTAAAACCGCATTTTTGTTCACTATCATGTACAAGGCGCGGGGAAATGCTAATACTGCAAGGCTACAGGGAACCACGACATTACACTAGACCCAAGCTTTTACGCCGAATACGGATCCAGCTTCCACCACCAAAACCTCGAAGATCCCCAGAAATGCATACAAGTAGTAATGGAATCATCGCCTTCGATCGTGTTTCTCAGGCATCAGTCAGCGCTAATTCGCCTGACCCGACCAGACGGTCCAAACACGTTGTTTAAAGTCTTTGGTTCCCCACATTCCCAGTTCAAAGGGAACTGGGCATTTGGCTATGAGGACGCAGATGGCCCTGTACTTTGGGATCAAATACCATTGGATGCAGATGTTGTTGTGACGCATACACCGCCTCATTCACACTGCGATAGGAAATTGACGGGAGAATCGAAGGGGTGCAAGGCCCTCCGCCAGGCTTTGAGCGATGTCAGACCAATGCTTTCCATTTGCGGTCATGTACATGAATCGCGAGGCTATGAAAGGGTTCGATGGCCACTCACGTCTCCATCCTCATGCGCAGGGGTCGAACAATATTCAGTGATCAGGGGAGTTTTACCCCCTTTAGGAAGCAAAAAGCAAAGCCTTGTGGATCTCACAGGCAAGAAGGCGCAGCGTCTGGACAATGATGGATTCTCAAATTACGGCCTTCTGGCGACATCACTTCCACCATCACAAGATACCGTAATATTACCGTCTAGCCGTGACGGTTTTCCTGACACTAATCAGGAGGTGAGGCGACAGGCTCAGCAGATGAATAATCAGAATGATTTTGATGACAGAAAGCTTGAGATACGATCACGTAGGAAGGAAACCTGCATTGTCAACGCGGCCATCATGGCAAACAGCTGGCCTCACCGAGGGGGCAAAAAATTCAATACTCCTATTGTGGTTGACCTGGAACTTCCAGTATGGAAAGAAGGGACAGAGCAATGAGTGGGATCTTCGTGTTGAATAGCTACCTAATTCTACGACGAAATGCGGACTTATACAACCTCGGGATTCGATCATGTTCTTATCTGCAGTTTGATAAGATAGTTATCACCTGATAGCGGATGATTCAGCAACCCCACAGAAGCTTATCTCGGAAGCGTCCTCCGATCCTCTTTTACCATCCGATGTGATTCCAAGTACCACATGGCATACCATCCAGCATGCCACGACCCCGAGATCAATCGAGGGTGACAAAGAAGTGCGCAAAAGCGTATGTTGGTACCCTGTATTACCGTGATATATTGGATGACTGAACTTGTCAAGCTGTGAACAATGTCGAGTAATGAAAGTAAAGTGCTCCGGCACCCAACCTTGCACACGATGCGATCGAAAGAAGAAACCATGCCATTTCTTAGTTGAAGACAAACGAGTGTCGGTTCCGGAAAGGTGACCGACTACCATCCCCAGGTTATCTTCACTCGAAGTGTTGCTGACCTTTTCACAGCTATCTCCGAGAACTGCAACAGCGTCATAGTAGTACCATTACAGACTCTGGGCAGTACACAGCTGCAAGGTCACGTACTGGGAGCTTCCAGGGGAATATCCAGGCACCAGGCATGAACCACCCGGTTCTGTCACCGAATGCACACGTGGTCGCAAGCGAGGGCTTAGCTGCCAACGGGAACCCTAATGGTAGATGCTCCTTAAGTATATTAAGTATATAGCCTCTTCGATGCTGATTGATGGCCTTTATAAACAGAAAATCCTAAACAGCCATCTGAAGGTGAATTCCATCGTGATAATTCTCACTCAACCAATGAAGGAGTCGGTTCTGTTTTCCAGCAAAACCCCTTGGCGGACAATGATTATACATTTGCTAAAGCCAATGGCAGATACTGTGAGTGTGCACATGTGCATGTTAGACGCTGTAATGCTGATTTCTATCAAAAGGGTATATGGGCCCTTCTTCGTCGTGGTCTTTCTGTCGTCGTGTTTTAGCCCTCATTGGGAAACACGTCCCCGGGGCAAGTTGTCTTCCTGATCCATGGCATTTCGACGGGTCTGCTTTCAAAATGCAGTGGAAGCCTTTGGGACTTGATGAGACCCCGGATACGTCCAATCTACCCCCTCTAGATTATGCAATATTTCTCTTCAACACAGCGAAATTCTATCTCGGGCCTATATTTTTTCTAATTGACGAAAAAGAGTATCTCCAGAATCTGCACGAGCTATATGAAGATGCCACAGCTAAAGTGAGATCCTCGAGGCTTTGGTTTGCTCAGTATCTGCTTATTCTTGCTTTTGGGAAAGCTTTTGTTGTGCAAAACCACTCGCAAGAAGGCCCAGCGGGCTACCAATATGCGATCAGAGCCATGGCCCTGCTACCAGATTTGTCTGGAATGAATCGTGAGCCTTTGTATTCAATCCAAGGACTTACCTTGGCAGCATTATACTTTCAGTCTGTGGATATGCGGGTAGCAGCCTTTCAGCATGTAAGCATCCTAAACAAACCATTGACGAAGCAGTGTTGACAAAACCAGATCGGACAGGCTTTGCGGGTCTGTATCATTGAAGGCATACATAGACACATGCCGGAGGATGTGGTGGGTGCTGAGCATTCGCAACGCTGTGGTATTATTTTCTGGGTGGTCTATATGCTTGACAGGGAATTTGCTGCCCAGATAGGAGCCCCGAGTTCCATCCGAGATGAGGATATCACGGCAAAGCTTCCCTCACAGAACAGCGACTCCCTCAATTCGCAGAGCATGACGCTTCATGTGCGACTTTCCCGCCTAATGGCACAGATTCTGGCCAGTAAGTCTTCGTTCGCCTTTTCACCGAATTAAATTGCTTATCATTGATTAGCGGTCTATGGGGTAAAGAAGGGATCACACGAGTCACTTGTGAAGCACACTCAATCCATTCTTCGAGATCTAGCGGAGCTGTCCAAAGACCTCACGGGTCTTCTGAATACTCATTTCCAGGGTTCCGTTAGCAGAGCCTCACGGATGGCACTCCGGTTAATCCTTTCCTACCATCACGTAAGTAGCCTGAATTTTCTTTTAGGTTTGGTCCTGATAGTGACAGTGTGTGGTTTTGACCACTCGACCCCTGGTAATGTGTGCGCTCCATATGCATATAGAGCGGCCTGAAGGCCAAGCAGCCCAAACAATCTCCTTATCACCTCCAGTGGCGTCTCTTATGCAGTCATGCGTCGATTCAGCCCAGACTGTACTCCATATTCTTCGCGCCCTTGGTGACGAGGAGCTCCTAGGTAGGTTATCTTTTTGGTGTTACAGATCAGTTCTAATCATAGCTCAGAGGCATTCCTCCCCTTCCAACTCGAAGACGCATTTTCGTCCGCTTTTCTTCTCCATCTCATCCGCGTCGTGGCCCCTTCTCTTCTGCAAGACGACTCGTGGTGTGATAATATCCAATCAATTCTAAACACGATGATATCAAAAGGAAGCTTGGTAGCGCCATTACGCAAAGCAGAGCTTAGCCAGCTAGAGCATATCATGGCACCTTTGACACCTGGCGCGATGCATTTGACGACACCTACATCCCTCAATAATGCCCAACAGGATAGCGTAGCTGAAACGATGCCTACTCAGGACATGGGGGAGCATGGATGGGATGTTTTTGACGCAAATATGGGAGTCATGCTTTCGCCTCGGGAGCTGCTAGACTTGGCCGAGCAACTTGACATGGAAAGCCTGATTCATTCCGTTACTCTTTGATGACATTTTTCACGATACTATGGATTTATGACTATTCAACCTATAGCAAAGCCAGCATGAACTCATTGATGTTTCATTTACTTTCATCTTATTCCAAACTGCCACCGACTACGCCATGGGTTCACGCACAGCCGAAACATACTAACCAAGTCAGCAAGACATCCCAAATATGAGAATTGAAATGAACACATACCGGAATAATCTGAGCCTTCTCCAAATCCCAAACACCGCTCTTCGCATAAGTGTCGTTGTTGATAATCCTCCTGACCTCTTCTACATTTTCGCCCGTGTATACAATCATACTACCCTTGAACAAAGCCGGTTCGCCCTCTACCGGGTGGCTTTCAAACATGGCACCTACAATATATAAGATGGTATATCAGATAATCCCATTCTTTCTGAATATAGCGATAATAGTATGGATGGTAACTCACCACCAGCGACAAGCTTCCCCGCCGCAACGAGAGGACCAACGCCTTCATAATGTCCTCTTAACAACATTAGTAAGATCAAGAATCAATCCAATAATTCTAATACATACTGTTTAGCCTTACTCCTCAACTCAAGCACATTCGGCTTGTCGGGGAGTATACAAAACCATTCTTTCTTCGGGCTGGCGGTGGCCATATTCCTGCGTGTCATGGTATTTAGACCCCTGGAGATTGATCGAGAAATGGTGAAAGGGATTCGAGATGAGATGAACATCTTAAATTGCTGGGATGGTGATGTTTGTGGTGGGGTTTGGTTGTATGTTGAATTGTCGTTGGATTTGACTTTATACAAGTGGAAAAGAGAGAGTCGGAAGGTGAAGCCGATGGGTCGGATGGGGATGATGATGATGATGATGATGATGATGATGATGATGATGATGATGATTGTGCATTCTGTTACATTGAAGTTGCATATTGATCATATTCAGGGCTAACAATTAATCAAATTGATAACATATAGGTATCAGCTGAATTGAATAATATCTTCTACTACAGAAATGATCACGTCGGAGAAACTCTCCGATACTTCAACGACACCGAGTATACATCCCAATCTACAGAAAACAACATAATATCTAATAATACTCTATCAACGATCAAATCAAACAACCGCAATAAAATCCACCTGGATATCAACCCCAGCCGGCAAATTCGACACTTCCACCATCGACCGTGCGGGTTTCTGCGGAAAAGCTGCATCATAGATGGTCGAGAACTCGGGCATAATACTAGCATCTTTCACATAGACCTTGATCAGTTATTCAGTGACGATGATTCTATCCAAGCTGAAGAATATTATATGCATACCACCACCTTGACGACATTCTCCAACGACGATCCAGCTTCCTGCAATAGATTGTCTGTATTCTGGATGATGGTCTGAGTCTGGTCTGTTATTGAACCTTTGATGAGTTTCCCATTTGCGTCTGCTGGGATTTGGCCAGAGAGCCAGACGTGGCCGGGGGATCTGATGGCTTGGGACTGTGTTGTATTGTTAGTTTGATGTTGAAGTTATATTATATTATATTCCATCTTAGCGTACGTAGTGGGCAAAAGCTATTCATGTCAGTGTTTATTCTTTCTACTCAGTTTAGAAACCAACGCTTGTAGCTTTTATCGGTATGGACTGGAGTCACGCATGACTTGGCTCTGGTAGACATGATTCGGGGTTGGATTCGAGGGGATTGGACATGGCGAGCAGTGCTTAAAAGAGATCTCTTGAACATGTTGACTTGGATTATTTCGATTTCGATAAAAGTGATTGAGAATGAAACACGAAGATGGATGAAGATATCGTGAAGACACCGTCGGAAGGCGAACCCGACGACAACCAAAGAAAACGTCGGGTTGGAGAACCGCGGATTGTTGAGTTTTGCCTCTGTTAAATAAACCAGAATAGCATCTCATATCAACTGATTGAAATCAATAGAATATTAGATCGAATCAAGATACCAGACTCACAATGACTCTTGTCAAGACATTCTCTCGTCTTTTCCCTCGCAGGTAATGTCCATTCTTACCTTCAGATGAATCACTACTAACAGCATCTAGACAATTGATATCGCCTGCAAGATCTTCATTCCCAACCAGAATGAACTCATCATCATCATCATCATCATCTGCAGCGACAGCCCAAGCACAAACCAACTACAAAATCGTGGAAAAAGTCACCGACTTTGAGAAAGTGCAATCCCAACGCCCCGACTTCGACCACTCCAACACCCCCATCCAAGTCACCAAATCCCCCAACCCAGACTGGCAATACGGATCCGGCCTGGGCAAACACGCCCCAGCAACCCCCAAAACACACACCGAGATCGACCCCTACGCAGCGGACCGGCCGATGGTGAACAACTACCGGCTGCTGGTGTCGGGGATTGCGCCGCGGCCGGTGGGATTCCTCAGCACGGTGTCCGGGGACGGGGCGACGAAGAATTTATCGCCATTTAGCTATTTCCAGGTGATTGATCATGATCCGCCGATGTTTATTGTGGGGTTTTCGTCGCGGCCGGGGAGGGAAAAGGATACGTATCGCAATTTGAAGGAGACGGGGGAGTGTGTGATTAACTCTGTGTCGGAGAATATGATTGAGGCTGTGAATGCGTCGTCGATTGATGCGCCGTATGGGGTGTCGGAGTGGGAGGTGTCGGGGCTTCATGAGGCGGCTACGACGACGGTGACGCCGTCGAGAGTCGAGGAGTCTGTGTTTTCGATCGAGGGCAAGGTGGTTGATATCAAGGAGTTCACGGATCATGTGAAGCCTGGGATGAGTCTGGCTGGGGTGGTGTTGATCAAGGCAACGCGGTTCTGGGTGCAGGAGGACGCTGTCAATGCGGACTTGAGCCATATTGACCTGGACAAGTTGAGGCCGGTGGGACAGCTGGGAGGCATGTCGTATGGGCGTGTTACGTCGACGTTTGAAGTGCCTCGTAGACGGTGGGACGATGAGCATCCAAAGAGCGAAGTGTTGAGCAAGCTGGAGGGGTCGAAGCCAAGGTCTAGTCAATAAATTATATCGTTTCTTTTATATCAATGTTATATACTTTAGATAGACATAAATATAACCCATAAAGAACTATCCAAATACCCTCCTCTTCAACTCCTTCTTCAATGCATCCGTCATATGCTGGCATCTCTCCACTGCCCCCCGATTCTCAATCGCCCTACGATGCAAATACCCCATACACTCACCAACAGATCCCCAAGTCAGACATTTGAAAATCCTCGGCACAGACGACCGATCCATAACCCGTTCATAGTCTCTCTCAGATTGCTGCAGCAAATCGCAGCTCAACTCATCCGCCATTCCCTGGATCTGACCACACTCGAGTGGCACGGTGGGCAGGCCCGCAGCGAGGCGTTGGCGATGGGTCGAGAAGGCCCTTTCCACGCTGGCTGCGTTGTGTGTTGCGAGGAAGAGTGCCGCGGAGGGAAAGGGGAGGTTGCTGTTGTTGATGGTATCCGGCTTTCGCTGGCTGATGAGTGTATCAGCGATTAAATCGTACGAGGCATCCGTCTCCTCTTTGGTATCGTGGATCAGAGACCGGACCTCGTGCTCGATATAAGCACCCCGGACCAGCTTGATCGCTGCCGCAAAACCCTCCTCCGCAGCTAGGGTAATATGACGGTCGACGTTGGCTTTGGAGGCCTTCAAGTATCCCTGGATGGTATTGTAGACGAGAATCTGACCGTCGTGATTGTATCGTCGCATCAGCTCGATGGCCCAGTCGTCCAGTCCGTTCTGGAGAACTTGCTGTTCTGCATCCAACCAGAGGCGAGATCCTTGTTTGGCGGTTTCGATGCAGATTTCATCCAGTGCTTTGTCGACGGCTTTGGGGATGGGTTGATGGGCTTGCATGGCGTCAACGGAGATAGGGCCTGCGCCTGTAAGTCTGTTTTGCTTTTTATAAGCTTCATATCATTAAACTTCATTGTTCTAGGTATAATACTCACTTGACAGCGAGAAAATCCCCGGGTCCAATCATCCGCAACGTCTTCAATGTCCCCTCCTTCCACTGCTCAACTATCTCATAACACGCAGGACTATATCCCTCTCCACCAGCAGGGTTATTCCCCTCCACCGGATCAAGGACAATCTCCTTGGAATAACCCAAAATAACACCATGATACCCCATCTGCTGCTTAACCTCAGCGACAGACTTTAGAACCTCCTGACGAGTCGTCCCCGCCCCGAAATGGTTGTAAATCATTAGCCGCAGGATCTTGTTCAGGAGCACGTTGCGGTCTGGGTTCCACAGTGCAGATTTGGAGTTGGTCACAAAGGCCAAGAATGCAAGGGAGGGTCGGAGGAGCCAGCTTCTGGTCATCAGAGATGTTAAGACTAGGGAGCGGAGGAGGGTCTTGAGCGGGAGTCTGGAGAGTGGTGCTGGCTGTTTCGTTGATGGTGGTGGGCTTGGTCTTGCCGCGACATCGCTGATGAATCGTCGCTGTAATGATGAAAGTAGACGTAGTGGTTGATGTATTCCCGTGCCCCGTTTGAGGGGAGTGGGATATCGAGATGCCATCTTGTGGGTGAATCAGAGACTTGTGGCCACCGGTCTATACAATAATAACCACCAGACACTTTGATTGTTGGACCAAAATCTTGTCCCTCGAGCCGTGTCTACTACTTATTCTCATTTACTCCAAATACTGAACTGGCAGTCCCGATCAAAGCCAAAATTTTCATTTAAAGGGGCATCTTGGAACACCCCGCCGGCAAAGATGTCGGAATGGCCTTCCGGGTTGTTGTATACTGTCTATCTTATCGAAGCGAGGGGGTAACAGAACGCCAATCTGAGCGAGCACAGCATATGCAGGTTGACAGATAACTGGTCTATCTTAAGGTGAATTTGGTCCGGTTGTTAGATACCGGGATGGTACGTTCGTTTCCGACTGGGAACACTTGTTCACCAGTTACACAACTTGCTGAGATGCCTCGTGCCCACAAGACTCACCGTTGATATCATAGCATCTTCTACCCCGCCATCGAGAAGTGGACCAACTTGGAGAAGTCGGTTTATAACGCCGAAGCGGGGATAGGTACATACCGTCGGGATGCACGTCCGATGGACGGCCACGAACACAAAGTTCTCCAACATATATACCAGATGAGTTTCCTTCACGAGACTTTTCGACGTACCTGTTATCATGCCATCCATCATGCGGACATTTGCCTTGACACAGCGTGTGCAAGCGGCTGGCCTTAGGCATGCCAGGCCTAACCAGATCGTGACCCGGAGGGGGTTGACAATCTGGCATCCACCAAAGTTTGAGAATGAAAAAATGGTGAGTATGGTATCCTTCGCTTGATAGAGACAGATATGAAGGCTAACATGGTCCAGCTGAGCTATTCTAAAGGGTCTTCTGAGAGAGCCCAATTGGCCGAAACCATCAAGAAAATGAAGGGAGAAATGCCCTTCAAGATTCCCCTTCAGATCAATGGCGCTGCTGTATGTCGATTACTCCTACCTATGATTGGATCCGATGCTGATAGGCTCAGGTGGAAACCCTCAAATCCCAAAAGCAAGAAAACCCCTCGAAACATAGTGAGATCGTCGCCGAGTATGCATCTGCGACACCAGACCAAGTAAACGCTGCAGTGGACGCTGCTCTAAAGGCCAAACCCGCTTGGGAGGCAATGCCATTTGAAGACCGTGCTTCCATCTTCTTGCGCGCGTGTGAGCTCATCACGGGCAAGTACCGTTCTGAGATTGTCGCAGCCACCATGCTGGGGCAAGGCAAGAATATCTGGCAGGCTGAAATCGACGCGCCCGCTGAAACGGTCGACTTTTTCCGCTACTACATCCAAGAATGCTGGAAATTGTTTTCGCTGCAGCCCACAGTGCACCCAGACGGCAATTGGAACAAGCTGGAGTACCGTCCCCTAGAGGGATTTGTGTACTCCATCGCGCCGTTCAACTTCACCGCGCTGGGTGCCACACTGATCGGCCCTGCCGCCTTGCTTGGAAACGTGGTTATCTGGAAGCCATCCGACTATGCGCTCCATGCCAGCTGGCTGCTTCACCAGATCCTTTTGGAGGCGGGTCTGCCCAAAGATGTGATCCAATTCCTGCCAGGTGATGCGGAACAGGTGACCGACACCATCTTGAACAGACCGGAATTTGGCGGTGTGAGCTTCATTGGGTCTACCCAAGTCTTTAAGGGGCTGCAGAAGAAGATCGGAAATAAGGTGGGTGACGGGGTGTACAACTCATACCCACGTGTGGTTGGTGAAACCGGTGGCAAGAACTGGGGAGTGGTCCACCCGTCGGCGAATATCCGCAGTGCTGCGTTAAACACCATCCGCGGTGCCTTTGAGTACCAGGGTCAGAAATGCTCAGCCAATTCACGTGTGTACGTCGCCGAGTCGGCCTGGCCCGAGTTCCAGAAGAACCTGACCGAAGAGCTGGGTAAGCTCAAGGTCGGCAATGTCGAAGACTACGCCAACTTTATCAACCCGGTGATCCACGAGCGCTCATTCGACAAGCTGAACAAATTCATCGAGGACGCCAAAAGTGATTCGGAGCTGGAGCTTATCGCGGGTGGGACAGCTTCCAAAGCGGAAGGATACTACGTCCAACCCACGGTGTACCGGACGAGCAACCCTCGCAATGAGATCATGTCCCGGGAGCTCTTCGGTCCCATACTCGCAGTGTATGTCTTCCCGGACAATGAATGGGAAAAGACCTTGCAACTGGTAGACACCACCTCTCGGTATGCCTTGACAGGTAGCATCTATGCTCAAGATCAGTATGCCTCGCGACAGGCGCAGACAGCACTAAAGCATGCTGCTGGCATGTTATATCTCAACACTAAGTGCACAGGATCGACGGTGGCCCAGCAGCCGTTTGGTGGTAGCCGAGACTCTGGCACCAACGACAAGACCGGCACGATGGCACATTTGCAGCGATTTACCAGTGTGAGGACGATCAAAGAGGAGTTTGTTCCTTTGGATAGGGTTGATTATCCGTCCAATGAAGTTTGATAGCACGATTTTTTTTTTTTTTCTTTTTGTTTGTTTTGGATGTATGGAGTGCATACGGAGTACGTCAATGAAATTGGAGCGATTAGTGATTAAGTGAGATATTTTGCAGTAGCTGGAAATCAGAAACAGCCAGTCGATGGAGCCAGAACAGAGTGGCATGACCATGATCCGACCAGTTAAAGGCGCCAGAAGGGTGGTTACCGCGCTAGGTGAATATTCCATGTCAAAAAGAAGTCGGATAACAGGCACGGGTTGGAGGGCCGTTGGAGAGGAAATGCAGGTGAAGAAGCCAAAGTGCCAAGCCAGCAATTTAGGTTTCGCATGATGATGATGATTGCTGAAGAGGAGAGCATCTCCTGCATCCAAACAGGACCGATGGGGGGTGCAGTGAAGCGAAACCAAGCGGCTAGCAGGGCGATCCCTGGTCCGGCGGACGAGTCTGGAATGAGGGGGAATTATCTAGTGTCGTGAGCACAGCGTCGGATTGTATCTCAGAAATGGGTCCAGGTGGTTGCAGATGACTGTTCGAGGATCATCCTATATTGCGCTCGGATGGTCACGAACAAGTTGTGTGATGGTATTTATGATCTGGAGTTGAAGCGGAACCGACCGGGAATGACCCGTGGAAGAAGCACGGGATATGGATGATGACAGCCAGGAGGGATCAGGCACAGATGGAAGACAGACAGAAAAACACGACCTCGGGTGAGGCGAGCGAAGCCGCAGAAAAAGCCAGACGATCGGGGATGATTGGAGGACATCCTGGGGCAGGCGAAGGTGATGAAATCGGCCGTGGAGCCAGTGAGACGATGGCCTCGGACGGTGGAGGGAGACATTTTCATCCCAATCACAGCCGGCAGTGCGGGGTTTTTAGGCGGTGGTTTCTGTTTGGTGTCTTCAATTCCCCGTCTGGTGTCTCATTGAACGCCCCGCTGACCGGTGACCTGTAGACTGGTTAGTTACAGCTTTTTGGTTGTTGCGGTGGTGATGAGAAGGAGGAATGAGCGTTGCGAGTGAAGCGCTGAGGGATGGAGTAGTGGTGCTATACAGCTGGATGGTATTTGTATCCAGTCGTCCTCGATGACATGAAGGTATCCAGAACAGATTGACCGCTGTTTGGTCTGCTGAGTCCTTTTTTGGGCTTTCACCGCTTATTATTCTTTCTTTTCTTTTACTATGATTCATGAATATTGAATATCTCATCCAGATAGAATAACCTCAATTATTAAGACCTGGCATCATCGAGCATCCTCTCGAACCTTGACTAAGCCCTGCTGCCACCTCATCCTCTTGATCATCATCGCTCATTGATTATCATTATTATTATTTTCTTCCTATTCTATTTATTCTCGTCGAATTAGATTGAATCGTGGCAGTGTTGCTCTGCGTCGTCCCTGCCCCTCGTTCTGGCTGGTAATCTTACGACCACCCCTTTCCCCGCCGCCCAATCACCGCGTTAATTACGCCGTTACTTACCGTATTACCCTGACCATACCATCTTGTTTCGCCTCTTCAGCAACAGAACAACTTCTTCTTCTCTTTCGCTCTCGCTGTTTTTCGCCATCCTCTCTCTTCTCAGCTTTCCATTGCTTTCCTTTTCTTCATCATCAGCTCCTTGGATCACCCGGTGCTTCGGTCATCTCTGCATCCTGATCTCATTTCTCCTGCTTCCTTTATGAATTGTCCCTCCCCTCCCCGCTGGAATTCGACCATGAATTGATCGTCACCAAAACCCACGTCACTCTCATCCTTCCAGAAATCAATCCATTCAACCCCCTCAAATACGAACGCCTCCTATTAATCTGTCAACGCCAATTCCGCTCTTTCTCCCAAACCCTTTGAATCCTTCCTATGCTCTTTTTATGTCCCTCAATCGTCCGTTGAGTCTCTTATCACACCATGTCATCCGCTCCCGATATCGATCCATACGTTGTTTTGGGGGTCGCGAAAGAGGCGGCCTTACCGGAAATCAAGGCCGCCCATCGAAAGCTTGTCCTGAAATGTCATCCAGATAAGATCCAGGACGAATCCATGCGGAGTCAGGCTCAGGACCTGTTCCAGAAAGTACAACAGGCCTATGAGCTGCTTTCCGATGAAACCCGCCGTACCAAATATGACCAGAAAGTTCGTCTGGCGGAACTCCGCCGTGAAGTGAATAAGGAACGCGGGGCGTCCTATTCCTCCACACGGGCCAGTGGTTCCGCCAGCCGGGAGTACCGAGATGGCCGGATCTACGAAGAGAGAGCCCCCGCCGATGCGGGCTTCTTCGACGACGAGATGCGTTTCACCGATGAACCCCGCTCGACCACCCGGAAACACGACGATTTCGGTACTACCCGACCGCGATCCAAGGGTGCCGATGACAAGAAAAAGTCCAAAGGTGTTCCGGCCGGTGCCTTTCGCGCTGCAAAGGAGTCGGCTCGCGAAAGCGCAAAGACGTCTCATTCCAATCGTGCCAAGAGCCGTACCAAGGAACGCAGACGGGATGCCTACGAGAAGTATGAACATACGACTCCCTATGTCGACTCGGATTCCGGTGCATCTGATTCCTCGAGCGCCTCGTCTGTCAGGTACGTTCGCGTCAAACGACCTTCCGAAAGACGAAGCTATGAATCGTCGTCTCGTAAACCCCAACCTACCGAGTCATCCTCTCGCCGCCATGAGAGTCGACGCCACGATGACGAAGCTTACTCGGATGAGTGGAGTTCCAAACACGACCTGTTGCACAACACCGCGCAGGATTATATCTTACGCTCCAAGGGTACTGTCCCTGTCGATGGCGACCGACGCCATCGTTCATCCCGCTCTCCGCTCCGCCATCGCCCCGCTCCTCCTCCGGAGGCCCCGGAGCCCGAAGCAGCCACCTCGCGCCGCTCGGGCCGGTCTACTCGATCCAGGGAAAACGTTCGTCCCTCAGAATCCCGTAGTAGCTCATACGAACATCTAGAGCAGACTCGGGCTTATGAGACAAAGGCTCCTCCCAGCATGCCGACCGCAGCCACTTCTTCTCCCCGGGTCAAGGTCTCGGCCTCCACCCGCCCTCCTCAGCCTACACGATCCGCGACGGTCGGTGGTTACTCCCGATCCAAGCGGGAGGGCTCTGGTCGCTCGGATCCCGTTCTTCTTAACATGGTTTACCCGGATGGCACCTCTCGGTCTTCCAAATTAAGACCAGAGCGATACGACTCAGGATACTCTAGCCCTGGTACGCCAGAAATGCCGGCCGGCGCTAGTCCCCCCAAGACATCGACTCGCTACAAGATCGTAACCGAACCGGACACAGTTCTTATCGAGCCCGATCTGCCTCCACCTTCAAGACATCAAAAGGCCTATTCGCCTCCTCGTCAAGAACAACGCCCTCCACCATCCACCCGGACTGCAGCCGTCCCCCCACCCCCACAGAAATTGAGCAGGAGTAGTACAACGTATGCCTACACTCCTGATCCATCCACTCGCTATGAAAGCACTCGTTCGAGTAGACACCCTTCAACCAAACCTTTATTCGGAGAGTTTCGCCCGAAAGAAAAGGATCCCAAATATGCCCGTGAATATGGGCCCGACTACGGCCGCGAGCCATCTTCCCGGCATCACTACGAGGAGCCTCGTGTCCCCACAGGGAGACGACAATCCGCTTACGCTTAATGACCTTACGATATCGACAGAAACTCCGATCAGGCTGCCTTATATTCTGCCCATCGTCCGAGTCCAAATACAGAACAGAATGTCTCTCAAGCAGAGAAGAATCCATCGGCTCTTTGCATATGTTTTGGAATCTTTTCGTTGTATTTGATGCATGTCCTCTTATGGATTACGGGCGTTGGTTGTTTCTTCTTTTGTTCTCTTCTCTCTTCTCTCTTCTCTTCGCTTCTCATCTCCCTTCAGGCTAAGTCATAACCTATATCTATCCATTCATCCATACATTCATCCATCCATCCATTCACATCAGATCGTCACCTTGTCTTTTCTATCATCTTTATTACCTTTTACTTTTAACTATTCCGTTGGAGTCTGTCCAGTCCTGTCTTTCGATTTTCCCGCACACACACACACACACACTAACACACGATACATTTAACTTTTTTATTTTTATTCTTATTTTATTTTTGATTCGGCCCTTTGAGGTGGTTTCTCGGAGCATATTATGATCATGGTTTGTTATGATTTACGAGGTTGGGTGGTATCTACACACGCATATACACATACATACTACTATATTGGATTCTATAAGAGATTACTATGCAGTTCAGTTTCTTTCCTCATCTTAGAGATATTATCCTTTCTGACGCATCGAGTAAGTTGGATCTTTTCTTGGCTTTGCCTTTCTTTTTTAACCATAGGAGAATGTATTGTTGATTAATGGGGATAGCCCTAGGACTATGAAATGAGATCTACAGTCAATGACAACGGCTAGGTACTGCAGTAATATTATTTCTACCTTCCATGAATCGTCTGAAAGCTAACATCCAGTTTTCCCGAGCCTTTCAGAACGCATCAACCATATACATAGAACTATAAAAAAAATGCAAGAAGAGAAAAAGTAGGGACAAATCGTCGAACGGGGTATGTATGGTGAGAAGTATGACGTTTGAGTTTTATCGTTTCCGCTCGATCAGGTCGTCCAAAGGGCTTTATAAATTCCTTCCCAAAACTGATGACTTCGCTAGGAGACTCGTTCATGAGATGAAAAAAGAAAAAAACAAAATCATCTAGGATACGGGTGAAAAAAAAACAAAGGCGGAAGAAATTGACGGTTCGTAGATTAAAATGTTGTGCTTTGGGAGTCTGGTTTGACCGATTTATGGCTCAGACCAGTCGACTTGGTCTGTTACCGGGCCCGCACCGTCTTTATCGTATGTGACTCGAAGGCGAAGACGAAGCTTGGGTGGGAGTGCCTAAAATAATATTAGACAATAATCGGACTATGAGTAGATTGTATAAGACTTACCCCACTGACACCAGCCACTTTGAGCAATTGGACGCCTTCGTCACCTGCTTCAAGGTCGGCTTTGTTGATTGCATTGAGTTGAAGTCGTTGGCTCTTAGGCACCGCAGCCTGTAGTCCCACATTGGAAAAACTGCTCAAGCTGGAGACGTTGCGGAAACGAGCCTGGATCTGCGCATTGCCGTTGCTGGCCCGCTGCACCTGCAGCGTGAGAACCAGGTCATTCTTGTTGAATGCAGTATGTACTGGGGCTGCGGATGGTGAAACAGCGGGGGCTGGTGACACAGTAGATCCCATTCCCCCAAGGAGGTCCAGAGAGGCGGATGCCGGCTCCGCAGGGCGAGGGGATGGGGTGTTTCCATTAGAGTTGAACAGGTCCATGATGGCACTGGTGTTAGATTGTGCCGGCTGTTGGGCAGGCTGGGGAGCAGGTGATGAGAGGCCAGAGTCTCCACCAAGGATGTCTGCCAGCAAATCGGCCGTGTTCTGCGATCCGTTCACAGTTGGGCTGGTTGCTGGAGCGTCGGAACCGCCCATGAGGTCGAGAAGCATATCCTGCTCGGCTTGTTTGGCGGGTTTCTTCGACTTGTCCTTCAAGATCTTGCTCTGGCGCTTCTTTGTCGGAGCGCCCAAAACTCTTTGCTCCTCGCGGATTTCGGGCGGGGGCATCCGCTCCAAAACACCACGGCGAATTTGGTCATAACCAAAGAGGTTGGTATACTCGACGGCTCGCTGTTGGATCTCGACACTCAAATCGGCAGTCCTGTTGCCAAGGAAGCGACGGAGCCGCTCAATCTGCGCAGTATCCGTCATTCGCACGGTAAGCTTCATCGAGGCCGTGATGATATACTCAATCACAGTCTGCGTAGCGTACGTGCTGTTGAGAATGTTGATGAAAAGATCAACAACATCACTCTCTTTGACCTCTTTGACTAGCTCCTCCTCTTCATATTGACCGCCACGCAGCAAGTTGTCGCCATATTCACCAATGACCCACGTGCCAGCAAGGATAAGTCCTTCTTGCGAGATATCCTCCTTCAAAGACAGGTAGAGCTTTTGGGTCGAATAGGTTTGCAACTCGGGTGTAGTCGCAATCAGGCGTACAAACGAGGCTAGGATTTGTTCCTTGACGTAGCTACCAGCCAGCTTAAGGACACGCAGAATTGTGTCGACATGCCAGCGCTTGTTGGGGGCATATCTATCCGCAGCAATGCCAATCTGGGTTGTCATTACCGGCTTAAACTCATTGTCGGCTCCTTCCAAGAAAGCGAGAAGCTCCCTGACAAGAACACGCACGTTGCTCTCATTGATCAGCATAAAACTGAGGTCAAGGGCACGCCTCCTGATACTGATGTCTGGATCACGCAAACATTCAAGGATTGTGTTGCGATGTCTCTGCACGGCATTGGGTTCAATCGCGACAACCTTATTCAATGTGTTCAGGGCCACATAACGGATATTGTTGTCTTTGTTGGAAAGGAACTTTCCGAGAATGTTGACACCCAAGACTCTCAATCCCGAGTCGGCCTCGATGTCGAGGATGGTAAGAACGGCTTCGTAGAGGATAGCGTTGCCAACATTCTTGGTCGAATCGGTGTTGGTAGCCACTTGAGCCAGGATGTCGTTGATCAGCTCACTCGTTGCCGTATCGCCCCTTGCAAGAACCTTCAACAGACGCAGAATCTTGACCTGGACAAAGGGGTCCGTGATACCAGACACATCATGCTCGGGCGCATAGCCGGAGGTCGTCAAGCCCTTAAGGGTGCGAACAAGACCAGGAGCCAGGGGTCGGAACATCTCGATCACACCCTCTTGTCCCTCTTCGGTTTCTTCCGCCTCACACATATCCGTTACGAGTGTCAATCCACACAACAAAACACCATGGTTCCGGTCCGACAAAAGGATTTTGGCCTTCTCGAAGAAATGCTCTTGTAGGTCGGGGACCTTGCGACAGATGCGCATGGCACACAATGCCGCTTTTCTTCGAATGTACGGGTTGGCGGTAGACATGAGGTTTTCGACTTCTGGGAAGAGATCTCGGGACATCTCGACGGAGGCAATATTACCTAGGGCACAGAGGGCCAGTCCGACGATATACTGGTTGGAGTGATTGAGGTCACTGCATTCCATTAGCCGGAGAAGAGGGGTGTAGGTAGCCATCCGAAAGAAGAAACACACTTTTTGAGCGAGTTTGTTACCAATGTCAGCACCTCTTGATTCTCATCCAGCAACAACATAGTACCCAGATATCCCAGCCGCTTGTCTGCGAAACGATGAGACGCCAACAGTTTCAGACATTCGATCTGACCAAAGTGTGTCCGCTCTCCCAGAGTGAATAGATAGAGAAGTTTGGCTACATTGTTTCGCCTGCGAATAGAGATGAGCCGTGGAGAAGATAACAGGTGGTGGTGTCTGGTGCTGACCGTATGCCCGAATCATGGCTCTCCTCCCTGAACGATGCACGAATGGCGGCACTTTCTTTTTGAATTACAGCTCGTTCATCGGCAATCGTCTTAGCCGCTCGGACATTGCGAATGAATTGCTTGACTGTTTGGAGACGCAATGAGATGGTTAGCATTCAGGGAGGGGAGGACCGACAGTGTGGGGGACTCTATTAAGGGAAACACTCACGGGAGGACATGGCGGTCGCAAGGACCCCTAACGGAGAGATGGAGAGAGAGAAGGAACAATAAGAAAGAAGAAGAAATAAGAAACAAAGACCGGAGTAGGAATGCGAAGAGCCCGTCTGCGCAATCCCTAAGCTCCTCCAAACAAAAAAGACACGAGATTATTATTTAGTCCTGGTCGAGATGCTTTGGGTTGCAGGTTGAGAATCGCCCGTCCTTCGCTCGACCTGTCAGTCTTGGCACTGGGCCGCCCTAGACTGTCTTGGGGCTAGTGCCCCTCGTGCCCTTAAAATCACGTGGAAACCCCGTGACTCTGGCCTGAGGCATCCTGATGACATAACGCGATGGGTCGTATTCGTATATCGTACCATCATACCCCTGCCGTACCGTACTTCGTAATCGTACCGTACATCATACACCATAGGTACAACGATCCGTGAAATGGAGATACCGGGGCCGGTTAATCCGCGGGCCGGTGTCAGCTGCATCTAGTATGACGTGAGGCTGCAGGTGGTTTGTTTTTTTTGTTGAGGTCAGGTTTTCTGTTCTTTCAAAGATACCAGATTGAAAAGAAATTATATCATTCATAATATATATAGAATAACGGGCAGAGACTGGCAGTAGTGCCGTCTTTACAGTGTGGCTGATCGACAGCCCGTGAAGATCTTCCCCCGTTTTGTTTTGACTGCAGCCTCAGCCTTGCCCAGATCAGCCTCCCTCCTCGATGCTCCGTAGAATTAGTTGACATCGGATCCACACCACCGAATCGGATCCTTACTTGCAAGGCCTCTATATATAACCTGCCTTCTCTCCTTTTCTTCTTCGTCATACTGGAACTCCTTTGAAAAGGCTTCTTCGAATTCAATGTGAACCTGTCCTCTTCTTCTTTGATCATGTCCACCGCAGTCGCATACGGAAATGACCAGGACCTCCGACCGCGCGCTGTCCAGGACGTCCAAAAGTCCGAAGATGTTAATATAACATCTTCTCCGGATAAAGCAGCCGCTGATTCCAGGTAGGTGACACTGCGGAATGGACAGATGATCCGATTTGATGGCTAACCGCGGGCTGTTGACAGTGGTGTTTCGACCCCTCTCTCCGAAGATGCGCCCCCCTCGGCCCAATCGCTATCCAGCGCGAGAAAACAAGTAAGAGCGCGCAATCGCATATTTTATACAATCGACTATGTTCCTCGCGTATCGCACTTTGATCCGAGAAGCGATTATCATAACTTCCGTGGGTTCTTCGCTCTTTTCTGGATTGGGTTGTTCATCATGGTCGTCACTACAATGCTTCGGAATATAAAAGATACGGGATACCCGTTACGAGTAAGGGTATGGGGTTTGCTCTCGGCCAATGTATGGCAGATGGGTCTTAGTGACCTCGCCATGGTTGTTACCAGTGGACTGGTTCTGCCACTCCATCGTCTGATTAGGGGCAGCAAAGGCTGGCTCCAATGGTCGCGAGGTGGGATGGTTGTGCACAGTTTGTTTGAAGCTTCGTGGCTTGTCCTCTGGATCAAGTGAGTTCAAGCCCAAAATCTCCAATCCGGACTCAATCACGCTGACCAATTCTCAGATGGCCATTCATGCTCCGCTGGACCTGGACTGCCCAGGTATTCTTGACGCTCCACACATTGACCATCCTCATGAAGATGCACTCCTATGCCTTCTACAATGGACATCTCAGCGAAACAGAGCGCCGTTTATCCTCCCTTGATACCCCTGGGTCCGCGTCGATGGAGGCAGCTGTCCAATACCCAAAACCATCCGGTTCTAAGCAGAAATCTAACGGTCGTGGGAGATCTAAATCTGTAGTACAGTTGCGCGAGGATCTGGCCACGGAGCTAACATCTCCTTTGGGTCATATCACGTACCCACAAAACCTCACGCTCGTCAACTATGTGGATTACATTTTCTGTCCAACACTCTGCTACGAGCTTGAGTATCCCCGAAGCCCGAATTTGCAGTGGACAGAACTGGCTGCAAAAACCCTGGCTATTTTTGGATGTATTTTCCTCTTGACCCTCACGAGCGAAGAATTCATTGTACCGGTATTGAGCGAAGCCAGTTCCGAGTTGCAACGGGTAGCAAGTGTGCTCGAAAAGGGATTGATCCTCGCAGAGACTATCAGCATGCTTCTCTTTCCGTTCATGATCACATTCCTTCTTGTCTTCTTGGTTATTTTCGAATACGTCTTGGGCGCATTCGCTGAAATAACCTGTTTTGCCGATCGTCACTTCTATTCGGACTGGTGGAACTCTTGCGACTGGTTCGTATTACCTTTTCAAGAATATCTATCCCATCAATTGTTTGCTGACTGTGTGTTTGTTTCCCCAGGCTTGAGTTCTCCCGCGAGTGGAATATCCCCGTCCACAACTTTCTCCGTCGACATGTCTACTTTCCTTCCAGGAGGAACTTCTCCCAGCCCGTTGCTATGGTCATCACTTTCCTCGTGAGCGCCGTTGCCCATGAGCTGGTGATGAGCTGCATCACCAAGAAGCTACGTGGGTATGGATTCTTAGCCATGATGCTCCAGCTGCCCATCGTGGCAGTTCAAAAATCAAAATACTTCAGGGGCAAAACAACTCTTAACGTAAGCTCAATCACTCTCATGTTCGGATGCAATCGTTATTAATCCCAAACAAAACAGAACTCTTTCTTTTGGGTTTCTATGATCTTCGGTCTCGCACTGGTAAGCAACTTGATCACTCCGTCTGTCATCCCAGTCAGATTCTAACTGCATCCAATAGATGTGCGCTCTATATGTTCTAGTTTAGAATGTGGGATTCATAGAATGGGTATGTGAGCTTATAGAGGAAACGGCAATTGTTCCTTTCTCCGGTACTTTTTTTTAACCCCCCGCTCTGTATCATATTGCATGTGTTATATACCCTTATATACCCTCTTTTTTTTTGGGAAGTTTTCTTCTTCCATTCTCACCCATTGTCATGTTGATCTTGTGCTGGCTATGATCAGTTGATCGTATCTTGTGCAACTGACAGGCATATCTGGCTGTCATCATTGATTTATCGATTATAATCTAGACCGCTGAAGATTTTTTTTCTTTTTCTGAACTACATTCGAAGGGAACAGTTTGGTTAATCATTTATTTCATTGTATATGCTTCTCTCTACGATAGGCTATCCTATCTATCCAATCCAGTTGCATCTAATCCAAAGCAGGCATGACCAGAAATATCACAATGCAAGAAGAACCATTACATCAAAACAAGAATGACGACGAACCCTTCTAACAATATGGGGTTAAGTATATAGAAAACGCAAAAGCAAACCAAACCATGCATGCATACACAATGTAAACCGAACGTTCGGGTGATTGAGATCAAGTCAACACCAAACCAAAAGCAATATAATAAACAAATGCAGAGTCCAATCATAAACAAAGAATTCAAATATGCTCAATTGGCTCCTCGGGAAGCAGGACTTCCTGCTCTCTCCTGGTGCGGGGAAGGCATGCCTTGAGTGGGGGGCGGACAATGTCGTTGAACAAGAAAGTTCCGTAGACGAGTAAGGCAAAGCCAGCAACCTGAAGCCACTTGAATGATTCCCATCCGAGGCCCAAAGAGACCAGCCAGATAAAGAGAGTGCGACAAGTATCAATTGTACTGCGAGATGTAGCGGACACGGTGCGGGTGACAGAAAGGCCGAAGAAGTTGAAACCACTGCGAAGGAATATGAGTATTGATTCAGGTTACTTCGCTGAAGGAAAGGAAAATCTCCAGTTACATACCCAATGCTGATCATAATCAGCACACTAGAAAGTGCAACATATTTGTTGCTGAATACTTGGTGCCATCCTTCTTTGACATCAAAGTATCCGTAGCGACCCGCATCTGTTCGTCCAACGGCCAGATACATGATGATCGAAATGACAACTGTAACGGAGAAGCCAAAAACACCTTCCCAGCCAACGACCTGGAGTGGATCCATTTCATAATTCTCCAGAATCCACTCCTCGAGCACAAACTGCGAAGCGGTGAAGATCTGAGCTGCCGCAATGAGAAGAACACCAATAACAGCCTTGGCAGCCTCCGGAGTTCCTGCAACAGTCCTAACATGCAGCATGGCATGCGAGGCAACCTCCATGGCATTCTTTCGGACGGTGTCGTCCTCCTGGGCATCACCGAAGAGTGCACCTGAAAGACCGACCAGCGCAACGCCAAGAACAACCACGAAGAGTGCAAGCCATTGGTAGAAAAATAATTTCCGGTGGAGGAAAAGAACGCTAAACAGCCCAACAAAGAGCACTAAAGCTCCGCGTGTCATTTGGTAGATGCTGGCAGCGACAAAAAGCAAACCAACGTTCATGAGAGTTGTACCGGCAATATCACAGCACGACGGTGCTGCAAGCAGGAAGATCTTTGTGCCCTGGAGCGGTATCCTATCGTCGTCGGAGCCAGGTTTGTAAGGGCTGTTCGAGGCGCCCGGTCCATCGACGGGGTGATCCTCATCGTCGTAATCTCTATCGTCCGCATGAACCGGGTTATAACCACCGGCAAAAAGGGGGGAAGCATTTCGGGACAGACGCGGGGAGATGTAGCGTTTGAAGATAATCGATGCGCCAATGACGAGCCAGCAGCCCATTTCTCCAATGAACATCTGCACACTATTTTGCCCGAAAGAGCAATATAATCAACGAGGGGGAACGAAGTCAGTGGCGAGACACGGGGAAACCTACGTCTGAATAACTGGCTGCTCAAATGTCCGGCGGGCTTTAGGATCAGGGGAGTCACAGTTCAGCACACATTGCATATCCTTATTATCACTGTGTTAGCAGAGTTGGAAATCGGGAACACATAGCGGTCTAGTATCCAACCTGGAACTTATTAAGAATGGTATTGCAAACCCCGGTCACGAGCATCATCGTGACCAGGAACGGAATGATTGCATTGTTCATTATATCGGCCTACGATAAACGAGCCTCGATAAAGCGTATTCAAAGAAGCCTGACAAAATGACGGGAGGGAACGGCGAGCAGCTCTTGAGCTGGATTAATCTGTCCAGCTGAGTAATATAAATAGAGAATTGAAACAAGACCAGGTCAGAGTAGATCTAGCCAGGTAATTGTGAGATTTAAAGGTATATTGGCGATTTATCAAACACCCATCCCAATGAATAAAGGAGGATGGGAGAGAAAGAGGGAGAGAGATGAAGCGGACAAAGGCGAGGGAAGGCGGAGAGCTGTGGAGGACCTTATCAGCAGCTGATCTGGCTGTCGATCAGCGCTGGGATTGGCTGGATCTGGTGGGTCCACTGGTACTGACGTTACCGAACTGTATTGTACCACGGGTCGTGTGATACCGTCACATTTTGTTCATAAATTACGCATAGCATCATCCTTTGGTGGAGGACCATCATACAGAAAAAGGTATTATTATGGCAAGAAAAATATCACACAAGAAGTCCAGCCAGTCGACGAAGGCCTCGGCCCTGCTTGTGGAAAGGCTCGATGCTGTCATGTCAGGTCGAGGGATTCTTCTTTCTTTTGTCCGCTCCTTTTAACGCCTCCGCTGATCCAGCTAAATCAAGTGAGAGTAAAAGGTTGAAAGAAAAGAAAGCGAAGATATCAGGAGAAAAGGTAATCAAAAGAAAATAACAACCAAAACAAAAACCTCCCCGCGCTGGCCTCATTTAATATGCATAATCATTCATATGTACGCCAAAAATAAAATCAACCCACACGCCGTTCGCTTGCCTAGATCATAATTCAAAATATGCACCATGTTACATGGCATAGATGGCGATTCCACTGTCATCAACATTCATGTCGGTTTCTTTCCTATCGATTGTCTCCCAATCAAAATCCTCCCAGGATTCATTCATTAAAAGGCCGTCTTCGAATCGGCTCGGAAGATGGAACCAATCCATAGGAACCCAATTATCCTCAGGAGCACCTTCAATCTTAATGTCAAGGTCCTCATCCTTTGAAGGGTCATTGTCCTTGGGGGTTTGAGTAGCAATGCCCGTCTCAACCGAGTCCGGAGTGTCCTGAGACTGGGCCTTGGTGAACATCTCGGCATTGAGGAATTCGTCGACTGGATCGAAGCCTAGACTGTGGAGCCCATCATCCCTAAAGTCCACAAACGTATCGTGAATTGCTTCCAGAGAGATGGCACTGTCCACCCATGGGTCCTTGGTTGCCTCAGCAGAAGACGGTACCTGGTCCTCTGGTTTTCCTGCTAATCTCCTACCATCCTTGCTCATGACAGGCTTCATGGAGGATGAGGTAGGCGGCTTGCCCGATGATGGCCGAGGGGTCAGTTGTAGATTTGATGCCGGCGAGGCGGATTTGGGTCCGATTTGGCTGGGGACGCGTCCCATAGAAGTTGCACCGGTGATCATCGGTGTCATTCCTTCGTGCTTTACTTCGTTTTTAGCAGGAGACGAAGCTGCCCCAGTCTTGTGAGGTGCCTGAGGAATTTCGAGAACAGTTGCGAGACCGTTCTTGGAGTCCTGAGCTTCATTCTTTTCCTCTTTAACAAGAGTTCGGAAACCTTCGATGGCGAACTCAAGAGGGTTATCAATCGACTCCTCAACATTGTGGTTCTCGTCGGTGTGTTTGTCTAGAGCTGATTGGGTAGCAAAGCCTTGGTAGTGATAGTGACACTCCAGTAGACTACATTTAAAGGGGCCTGCCGAGATTGCAGGGGCGGGCTTCGTGTCGGCAGCTGACTGCTTGGTTGTTTGGGGCTTGGAACTTGGGGTTCCCGGAGCCTGGGTCTGGCTTGGGGGGGTGGGACCCGCGTGTGACTGCTTCCGTCTTTTCGGTGGTGGAAGCTTTAACTTGTCGGGAGGCATGCCTCCAGGACCATAAGCATGAGGAACCCCTTGGGGAGATGGCGCTCCAAATGGTGCTGGCGGCACTGCTGTGGTCCCAGTAGTACCTTGGCTAGAAGCCCGTCGGGCCCGCTGTTTAGCTTCCTCTTGCTGCTGAAGCTGAAGCTGTTGTAGATTAGTCGCATTGAGAGCAGGCATGTTTTGGTTATTCGGCTGTGCTTGTGACGAAACACTGGGTCGCTGGCCAGGAGGCTGGTTCTGCTGCTGATTCACGCGAGCGATCATGACCTGGAAAAATCTCCTAATATAATTGATGGTGCCTGTCAGCTGCTCGGGGGCAATTGTGATGTGATCATTGAGCGTCCAATCCGGCCCGTCTTTGAACTGCCTCATCAATTGAATTCGCTGCGATGTGTTAGATCAGGAATAATTTGATAATTTAATTTAGATCACGAATTTTTGTGACTTACCATTGCAAGAAGACTCTTCACATTCTTATCTTGGCCAGGGATCTTCGAGAACCACTGCACCAACGTGTCCATCCTACCAAGCATGTCGGTACAATCACGGAGCTGTTGGGTCATGGTGGTTTTCTGCTCTGGTGTGAGAGGCACAGGCTCCGCGGGTGCCGTATGGGTCGCGATTTCGTTGTACAACTGCCTGATCTTTTCTGGCAAGTTGCGCCACGCCTCCTCTGCTGAGGCTTTACTGATTGGGACACGCTGCTGATTCTGCCTCCGCATTTGAGCCTCGACTTGCGCGCGCTGTTGTGGCGTCATTGTGGCCAAGGCAGCAAGTTGTTCACGAGTAAATGGCATGTTTGGTGGCCTGGGAGCAGAGCCCGGGGCAACATGCGATGCTGCTACTTGCGGCGTTTGCTGAGGATTACTCTGTGCTTCAACGATTTCCTCATTGTTGGATTTTCTCTTTGTGTTCTGTTTCGGAGTAGCTCCTTTCGCACCCTTGCCGGGTGCTGCCCCTTGAGTCACTGCGGTCTGAGGTACTTGACTAGGTGGCGGCTGCTGTTGCTGTTGCGGTTGTGGTTGCGGCTGTGATTGTGGTTGCGGCTGCGATTGAGGCTTAACTTGGGGAGTACTCTGCGGTGCGGTGGCCGAAGGCGGCTGGGATTGTTGGGTCTGCTGGCCTTGATTAAGGCTCTGGATGCTCCGGGCTCGCGCCTCCATAACATGCTTCTGCCTATTTCTCTGCAACACTTCCTTAAGCTGCTCATCTGTAAAATTTTGTACTTGAGGACCGAAACGCTGTCGAGCCATTTGAATATCGTTCGCGGTAATTGGTCGCATGGCAGGTATATTAATAGGAGGCTGTTGCTGGCCATTTTGCAAGTTCTGTGGATTCATAAACGGCTGTTGTGGTCCTTGAAAAGACCCCATCGACATGCCAGCGGCCTGCCCATTCTGAGCGTTCTCCTTGCCCTGTGCCAGCATTTGGGCAAGATGGTACTTCTGAAGAGCCAATAATTTGGGCAAATCCACCCCTCCCAGAATATGCGGGTTTGAGTTCGCCCACTGCTTCAACTGACCCCAAGTTTTGATATGTTTAGGGACGGGCGAGTTCGGGTTATTACCCAATATCGAAGGTGGAAAGGGGAAGCCGTCCATCTCCTTGAGCTGGTCAGGCGTCATTTCACCTTGATAACGCAGAAGATGCATTTTGTACAGATCATGCTGGCGTTGCTGCTGCTGCCTCTGCTGCACGGACAATTGTTGCCCAGGAAGCATTTGATTCTGCGGCTGCGCCCCACTCATGCCGGTGAGTTGTTGCTGCTGAAGACCAAGAGAAGTTCGCATGTTCTGGTTATTGGCCATCTGCCCGTTTGGCATTTGCTGACCTTGGCCAGGTTGCGACAAATTTGGTTGCATAGGCATTGATTGCTGTGCGGCATTAGCCCTCGCCATGTTTTGATTATTAATTAGAGCCCGGCGCTGTTGGGTCATTAAAACAACATTGAGCTGCTCTGGGGTCATTCGAGCTAACTGTTCCTGGGCTGCCGGCGGCAGTCCAGGGGGGATCTGAGGTCGAGCTTGCATTGTTGGCTGGCCTCCAAGACCCTGAACTCCAGCTGCATGCTGACCCATACCTGGAGGCCGTGATGCAGGCCGGACTTGGGCGGCCTGCGCCGGAGACAGCTGTCCAGATCCCATAGGGCGATTTAACATTGGCATTGCAGGAGTCTGCTGGCTGAGCTGTTGCTGCATTGGAGGATTCACTTGACTAGCCTGGGACGATATTGCCATTTGAGCTTTTTGGGCTGCTTGTGCCCGTGCTTGTGCTTGTGACTGCGCTTGAGACTGAGATTGGAACTGGCTAGGCTGTTGAGCTCTGTCTTGTGGAACGGCTTGTGGATTCTGCAAATGCTGCTGGGCAAGGAATTGAGGGCTGATGCCGCTTCCATTTACATTCGTCTGGCCGTTTTGACCAGGCTGGAACGCGTTCTGTGGTGTTGCGAACGGCTGCTGGTTCATTTGAGACGAGCTGGCAGGTACCACAAGCTGGCCCGCTTCCTGTGAGCGCAATCCATCCGCCTGTTGCCCTTGAATATTTTCCACATTACCGATGAATGATTCCATTCCTTGTTGGGCATTCACGGGGAACCCTGAATTGCGCTGGAGATTGATCATATTCTGGAACATTTGTCGCTGTTGAGGTGTCATTATCTGATCGCCCATCACAGCACCAGGATCCACTCCGCCATGCTGTGCCATGCGATTCCGCTTATGTCTCCTCAGATGATTCAGAGCTTGAGTGCGAAAAAAGTAGATCATCGGGTCCATATTCTTCCTGACTAGATATTGTTTTTGTTCAGGAGTCATGTTCTGCAAATTCAACTTGATCTTTTCTATATCTCCCGGAGAAGTCTTTTCAAGCATCTGATGAGCCAATCGACAAACGTGGTCAAACTCTTGGGACGAAAGCGTGCTTAGATCATCAGGCAGTGATACGTTATTCCCGGTTCTTTGCTGGTTGCGTTGCTGGAGAATTGCCTGCGATTGTTGTTGTTGATGCTGCTGTTGCTGCTGTTGATGCTGTTGTTGTTGCTGCTGCTGCTGCTGCTGTTGCTGTTGCTGTTGCTGTTGCTGTTGCTGTTGTTGATGTTGATGTTGTTGCTGCTGCTGCTGGCGTTGTTGCATTGCAGCTTGGTTAGGATTATTAATACCCATCGGCATTTGTTGTTGACCAGGAATCGGAGAAGGTTGTACAGGTCGGTTCAGCTGCTGGGGAAATGGATTTTGGGCTTGATTCTGCGCTACACCAGCCATTGCAGCCGCAGTTGCTCCTTGTGGCATCATTCCATTTTGCATTACTGCCGCTTGCCTAGCTCGGGTATCTCGAATATGCACGAGCTTCTCATTGCATTCCTTGTCATAATCAACCTGGTGGGTATCGTTAGGATCCTTGACGCCAATGCAGACTCAACAACACGTACTTTTTCTCTCGCGTCCTTGAATGCTTTTTGTTCGAACCTCAGGGCAGCTTGGGCGGCATTCTGTAGATCGATTCGGGGCTGGATTAAACGAAGAGATGTGATCCTAATTGGAACAAGCTAGTCAGCATTCGCAAGAAATGAACACACAAATAGCATCACCCACATTTGATAAACCTTCAAGGCTCGATCCTTGATGGGGACTTCCCCTCTCCATCCTGTGAAAGGGCCCTGCGACTGCAGAGCTTGGGCAACATGGTTCATAATCACCTGTCCACTCTCGTTATTCTGGGGGACTGGCATCTGGCCATGCGGTTTGGCTCCGGCAGGCATGCCCCCGCCGACATTGGAAAAGGTTGCGGGATTCATGTCAGCAGCCCCATCAATGGGGATCGGGGAGCAATCCGCGAAAGCCTTCCTTTGACGTCAGCATTCGCTGGGGGGACGTCAACCCTCAAGAGCAAGGAAAAATTTTATAGTCCCGAAATCCACGAAACACGGGGTCGAGAGCTGTCCCAGAATATGCGGTCGGAAACGAGGGGAGGGGCGAAGAAAAGTGAGGATGGAAGGATGAAAAATAGGTCGATCGCGGGTGGGACTCGATCACGGAGCAACGTTTTGAAGATCGTTGTATGTAGTCGCGCAGTATTTTTAAATCGGACAAAATAGACAGCAGGACAGTGGAGGAGAGATGAAGCACGCAAGTCGCAAGACCAACACAGCAGAGTAAAACAAGGCGTTCGTTCGGGCACCAGCGTCAGTGGACAGCAAGTTCGTTGGCGGGAAAGCCCAGAAGTGGCTTGGTAAGGACGAGTATTGCGCAGAACAAAAGTCGGATCCGTGGCAGGGATGTTGGCCGTAGAACCACGATCGAAAGAGGGAAAATAAAAAAATTTAAAAAAAAAAAATGAACGATACAGGGATAAAGCGAAGTGAAGAAAAAAGAATCCGATGGGGTTGGGAGAAATATCGCGAGTATTCGAATTCTGTTGCTAACCCCCGAATCCCAAAAGAGGTTCGGGTTGCTTTTTCAAAGTACACGGTCGGTCAGGGTGTGGTTACAGAACAGGGGAGAAAGCTAGCCGGTGGCGGTGGAAAGATGACTGTCAGCCGGAAGACGAGGAGAGTTGAACCACAAGTGAGAGAAAAGAGAGTGGGCAAAAAAAAAGAATTAAAGATTAAGAAGATGAGAAACAAAGGAGAATGAGAAGAATGAGAGCAGAATGAGATGGATTGAGAGGGATGAATGGGGGTGGAGGAGAGGAGAGGAAGAGACTGCAAGCAAAGCAAGCAACAGCAACAGCAAGCAAGAAGAGAAGAAGAAGAAGATGCTGAAGATCCCGTTTGGCGGTGGTGGGTGGGTTAAGGTGGAAGGGTGGATGGGTGGAAGGGTGGGTTTGGACTAGGTCCTATTGGGCCTAGCCCACAGGCACATACAATACAATACCGACATTTAATACACAGCGCATACAAAAACAGGCTGACTGGCACCTGGTGATCGCTGCCTGTCGCCCAACCTGGTTTAGCGCGGGTGTTGGTTCGAGGCTAGTCGGGGACGCTAAAGGCAGGCGACGGCAGCGGATGGGGACCAAGCGGGCAGTTTGGGACTTTGGGAGTGGCCGACAGAGACGCAAGGTCGGGCAGGCCAAGGCTGGTGGTTTCGCATTATGAGCACCACCATTGGTGATTTGCCCTGGTTGGGACCAAGGTAAATTAAATGAAGACACCATTTATTATTTGAATACTTACAGTCTTACAGAGTAGATGTAGTACATGGTACAATAATTGTTGGAAATCATAATAAGAATAGAATCGTAGTAATATTAAAATAAGTTTGCTTTTTGTTACTTATTGTCAATTATTATAAACCACCTTACGGACTACCTTGATGGCTTGCAGTCGTAGAATAGTACTACCTACATTATACCTAGTTAGCTACCTCTAGGCTCTACTACCTAGCTATCGTAGATCTGGGTGCCTTGGTGCCTCAGAAATTCTCCACATCCTGTTCCTTTTTTTGGTAGCAACGGTCGAGTCATGTGCCGTCACGTGAGACGGGCTGTCGTCACCATGCCTTATCGTCGACGGTCGCGGTTTTGCTTCCCCTACGTTTCATCCATTATTATACCACATCCGACGTCGACCTCAGCGTTCGATTTCCTTTCCTTCTTTTTTTGCCTGCTTCGTTCTTTCTCTTCTTCTCTTGTTTCTTTGACCGGCCGTTTCGTCTTCATTTCTCCGCCGCTCGTCATGATCAATTGATACCATCGCTTTTTCTTGGTCCTCGATTAACTATCCCCCAGGCATCAACCATGATCTCCACACCCCCCATCCCCGTGGGTGGCAGCGTCTTCTTTTCCATCGCTCTTCTCGCCATTTCTGTACTGACGCTACTGCTTCTACGACGCTTCTTGACTTTGCGCGCCACTCCTGCCTATCTTTCAGTTCCGGTCTTTCTCGCCCTCGCTCTTCCCGCCAGTGTCGTGCTTCTTGTCCCCATTGACTTGTCATCCAGCTCGCGTGACGATGGTGGGCCCACGGCGATATGGCTTCCTGAGCGTCTGGTACTTGTGTCATGGCGCATCGCTTATTGGCTGATCTTTGTTCTAACTTGGTTGGTGACACGACTCGTTGGCTCAAATAATAATTACGCTTGCTAATCATAATTTCGATCCTCAGGCTCATCCTTCCGCTGCTTGGCGAATACATCGATTCCGGATATCGTGAACCAAAAGCCCGCATTATGTACTCGATCCGCTCCAACGCCCGCTATCAGTTAATCGTCTTAGGCTGTGGCATTGTGGGGTTGATTTATGTGTCCATCCAAAAAGGCTTTGAGTTCACTTCGATCAAAGCGCTTATCATGGCTATTGCCTATGTGTGGGGTTTGGTTCTGGCCATTTACCTGATGGGTCATGGACTCGTCTCTATCCCTCGCACTTTTTTCCGCAACGCCAACAACAGTGGACGGCTCCGGAGAATTCATGCCCACGCCCCCAAGGTGCATGACCGTTTGATGGATGCAATCAGCGACTTGGAAGTCCTCGAATCGCAAGTTTTGCAGCTGCAGCGTCGCAAGACTGGCACCGCCCGGGACTTTCAAGATTGGATCGAGGAATTGGCTGAGGCTTCCAGTCCCCCTGAGTTGCGATCGGCTGTGATTGACCCATCAGATGGGTCCAACAAGATTCCTGCGATTATCACGGAACGCTATCTGGCTGATTTGACCCGGCGTATCCAACGCGCTCGACACCAAAAAGCTCGGTTTGTTGATGAGTGGGACCGCCTTGTCATATCCGCTGCCGATGTGCAGGCAATCATCAATTCTTGTGCATCGAAGAAGCTTGAGTTCAATAACTTGTCGCAACGTTCGTTCTCCACGCGTATGAAGTTTTTGACCCCTTACATGCGGTATCATGTTTATGTCAACATAATCCCCAAAGTGAGACTCATGCTGGGTGCGCTTTTCTCGTTCGCTTCCTTTTGCATCATCTGGACCGAGTTGGTCAAGTCCTTGCCAATCCGCTTGTCCGTCGTGGGTTTCATGGTGACTTCCAATCGGAAGGATCCCCAGCCTGTAGGCTTCGCGGGACAGGTCAGTGCGTCTGCTTGGTTGCTGTACATGTGCTCTGCAGCCCTAGTGGGAGTGAATGACGCCAAAGTATGGGGCAATCGTGCTTTGGTGCGCCGCAATACATACGGCGAAAGCGCGTGCTGGTACGCAGGGCTGGTTGCTAGGCTTACTGTACCTCTTGCCTATAACTTCTTAACCTTTTTGCCAAAAGAAGTCCGACGGGAGACGACCTTTTATCGCTTCCTTGGCCAGTTCATTGATTTCACGTACCTTATCAAAGGTTTTGACTACATGTTCCCCGCCTTCATTCTCATTCCCGTGTGTGCCACTCTCTTCAACCTCTACGGACGAGTCAAAAACATCTGCAGTTTTGGACTTGCTGAGGAAGATGCCGATGATTTGGAAAACAACCCCAGCGGATATGGAATGGGTGGCTGGAGAGAAGGCCGAGAGCTCATTGATCGAGAGTTGAGTGGCATAGGATCCCTACCACTTTCTTCCCGAGATGGCCCGTCTAGGCGGTTAAGTCGGGAAAACAACATCCGTACCTCTTCCTCGCACGACCCTCTGATCGAAGGCCCTCGAGTATCTCGACCTGCCAGGAGCGGCTTGACTTCTTCCGATCCGCTTGAGGAAGAAGAAGAAGGGTTCTTCCAGTCCTTTGCGCACCGGGTGAAAAATACCTTTGAGACCGCCAACACACCGCAATGGCTCCAAGGCGAACCTTTCCGGCTTCCCAGGTGGATGTCGAACGACAGCAATGAAAATGGTGACGGTCTTTCTAGGTTATTTGGAGGCCGACCCGCCAACGTGAGACTTTGATGTCTGATTACAGGATGTTATGCATGGTAAAGGCGTTTGATAGGATGGATCAGGTTATTAAATGTATTATAATGTCGCGCCCGTATATATATATATATATATTATTTTTTTTTTTTCCAATTGATGCACATATTATTTATCTTTACAATAGCCTCAATGTCGCCAGTCATTTGAAGTGTCGCCAAGCATTGGCCGAAATATATATTTGACGACCAGATGAGCCGCCAGCCATAGAATAGGTGCTTCCACAAAGCATATGGATATAGAATGCACCAATTATCACATAATTTTTCAGCCATGGTCAAAGCAACTGGATCAAATACTTTAATTGCCAATTGATCTCCAGTGAGAGTTGAGATGAAACATCCCTGGCTGTTGACCGGCAAAAAAAATCACCTCTCTCCGCCTTTGTCTGCCTATTGCGGACCTCCTAAAGAGGCTAACTTCCATGCCTTCACCATCGTCGCTCTCCTCTCTGCCCCTCATTTGAGCCCCCCGATCCATGACCTTGCTGCCTTCGCACTTGGCGCAGTCCTCCTTGGGCGAGAAGTGCGCTTTTTACCTGGATTCTGTTGCTGGCAACGTCCCCGTTTCATTGCACACCCTCCGCCACCGCGTTGTCACTACACTACTGTCGGTCAAATCGTCAAATCTCTTACACTCCCTTACAACCCACCCGTTGGACTCGAACCATCCCCTCATCGCCGACAAAGCTGCTCTCATCCTAACCGTCATCGCCTGTGTGCTTGCTCTCGCCGCCATGAGCTGGCGCAGTCCCTTCACCAACCTTTGGCGCCGCAACGCCCCGGCCCCACCGCATGTCAGCGATAACTCTTACAGCTACATCACCGACGATGATGTCTACAATCGGCCATCGAAAGCGTACGGCGACCAATACAACGAAGGCGGAGACGCGGAGCCAGACATTCTGCTCCTCAAGCACCGCAAAACCACCTATCCCCTGCACTTTGCTGCGTATGCCATTGACGATGAAATCCTCAGTGTGGGCCATCTGAGACAGCGTGCTGCGGAAGCGACGCAGACGTCCAATCCCAACCGCATCAAGCTGCTTTATAAAGGGAACCTGCTGAACGACGATGCGCGGTCGTGCAAATCGGAGGGACTCAAGCAGCACTCGGAGGTGCTGTGTGTGGTGTCGGAAGTGCAGCCGGGGGAGCGGACGCCCAGCGAAGGCTCCGATGTGGAAAAGAGCGATTCCATCCCCGAGGGCGCTAAAAAGCCGGCCAAGAAAAGCAAGAACAAGAACAAGAACAAGAACCGGAAGAATAAAAACAAAAAGGACGAGAGCTCCTCCGCCGCACCCTCCCCCGCCCCATCACCCGCTCCACCGCCGAAGCCTATCGGCAATTCCTCGTCCCTGCCGCCGCCGGCGCCTAATCTGAAAGCGTTCGACTCACCACTCGATCAAGCCAATGCGCTTCATTCGTATTTCCGGAGTGAACTGCAGGGCGGGGCGGAGAAATACGTCACCAACACGCCCACCGAACCCAAGGCGCGGGACTTTGAACACAAGAAATGGAGCGAGACGATTCTGGCGCAGGTGATTTTGAAAGCGGACGGCATTGATGTAACCGGGAATGAAGATGCTCGGGCTGCCCGCCGGGCTCTAGTCAAGGAGGCGCAGACGATGCTCAACCAGCTGGATCAAGCTGTGAAGGAATAGACTCATTGCATATATTTTTCTTTTTTTGTATATTGATGGAGGGAGTCCAGTTGCAAGAGATTCATGATCATTTATTAAGGAATAGACTCTGGATTGGTTTAGCAGGGGAAACTCTCGGTGTATTCTAAGCCCACACAGCCAATCAACACGGACATACATCACTTGCAGATGGGGAGGGATTCATAAGGGAGCATACGTACCTACAGTTACGATCGAGATGACAGGTAACTTGGACCAGTCGCTGGATATCACAAAGCAATGACAGGCGCACATGTTTCTCCTGACGAGGCGAACACGATGGCGAAGCTACGCGTAACTCTGTTCGTCGTAGTACTTTAGATAGTAGCCCTCATCCGCACGGCCCACCAGCCCATCCTAACGCCCAAGGCCCCAAGTGTCATTTCCAGTCGATCCACCGTTAGTGATCAAGGGAACGGTCTTTTAGTTAGCCCAGCTATCTATGGAAGTACTAAGAATACTAACAACACTAGGTAGTAAGTACCCCTGTAGGAATCGAGGAATGGGATCATCCGGCCTCAGAAATTAAAAACGGGATACTACCATCCTGGCTCAATCTGAATCTGATCTATCCATCTCCATCTAGTGCCTCACTCTCTCGCTGCTCTACGCAGCTGCACCTCGTATCCAGCACATGGTCAACCGCTGGACTGGGAGGATTGGCCGATCCCCTCGAACCCGTCACTTCCTGTCGATCTTGGTCTTTTTTTTTTTTTTTTCTTTCTTGTGTAAATTGTACCAAGTCAATCTCATATTATTTAGTCGAGTCAACCCTTTTGTGCTCTTTCTTTTCTTTTTTCTGTGATTGTGAATAGTTCCGTGACTGTCTCCAGCGACCCGCAGTGGTTCGACAAGTTCGACGCTTCTAGGCTGTCTCTCTCGCCCTTACGCTCTCAACCTTTCTTTTCCCTCCTCTTTTCTTCTTCTTCTCTCTCTCTCTCTCCTCCTGTTCTTCTTTTTCTCCCTCGCTTCAATCTTGACTTGCTACTAGTGCTCTCGTCTCTTCTCTTCTTCTGCCTCTTCTTTTTATCTAACTCTATTTATCTATCTATCTGTGCAATCTAAACGGAACTAACTGCCCGCCACAGTCCAGCCACTTCTTGTTCATCCACTCCTTTTTTCCTCTTTCCCCCCTCTTCTTCTTCCTCGCCTCCCCCTCAAACGGGTTTCTTCCCCCGATCTCTCTGCCTCGATACCCAGCACACCTTATTTTCTTTTCTTTTCTTTTTCTTTTTGAATTTATTTTTACAACCATTGCATTTTTTTCCCTATTTGTTTTCTTTTTTTCCCCTTCAATTCTTCATCTCCATCTTTGTTGATCCCTTCTTTTTAATATTCCGTCTATCCATATCCTCTAGTTTAGAATTCGTTGCCCACCCACGGTACTAACTCCCGGCTCCCATCCTCACCCGTGGACCAGCTACTATTTGGCAGCGAACCTCGTCTTCCAACCCGGTCTCTGGAAATAAAATAACCTAACCCTGACCACTTGACTCCACCGTTCCCTCGGGTTAATTATTTACAACTTGCTCTTTTCGGGCCTCTATCCGCGATCCGTTAAGCTCGTTTCTTTCCCTCCCCCCTTTTGCGCCTACGGACCTTTCTACCCGCACGTTCTCTCCCGTCGCGCTTCTTTCCACCCCCCCCTACTCCGCATCACACATTGGGCGTGTCGAGTAGGACTTTTATTTCTTTTCTTTCCTTTTCTTTTCTTCTTCTGGATTGTCGAGGGATAGGCTCTGAGCGTTCATTGGGATGGCCTAGTTGAGGACGAATTATTGTGACCGGGTCCTCTAAAACAAAAAAAAGAAAAATTCCCCACCATACATAATCGAGTCGTTGATTCGGGTTCCAGCTGGTCTGGCCTTGTTTTATTCTTCTGAGTTATATTCGTTGCTGCTGGGATGGCGGGGGCAACGACTGCAGCGTATTCCGCAGATATTTTGACGTCGCCTGGCAGCGTCGATGGACATCACGACTGGGAGTATTCTGTTCCGATTAGACATGATGTAAGTTGTTCTTGGAAGCAAGAATTACTCCTCTCTCCCTAAGTCCCCCTCCCACTGACCCGCGGATTTCCTGTAGAGTATCAATCGTCGCTCCAAGTCACGGTCGTCTCACGACTCGGCCCGAAAGTCCAGAGATCGCAACTCCAAGGGCTCTCGAAGCTCCTCGATGTCGAGACAGGTGTACATGCAGGATTCGGGTTACTTGACCTCGGCCCGTGGACGTCGCGAAACGAGCCGCAATCGAAAAGGGAGCGAAACGAGTAGTTTGCGGGATATTTATGGACAAGAGACGGCAAGCCGCAGCGCGGGGAACCTGAGAGAATCTGGGGAGAGCCTTCATCACAGTGGAAAAGGGGCTGGTGATGCGCACTGGATCCACCGTGATAAGCTGGCCCGGATTGAGAGCGAGGAGCTGCATCAGATTCAGGCGGCATTTATGTCCCGCCGCATGGACAGCAAACGAGGGCGGAATCATGACCTGTACCATAGTGGTGTGAGTGGATCGCCCGTGACAACGCCACCGATGACAGAGCAAACGGAGCCGTGGCCGGACCTGCATGAAGAACAGCGGGGCTATATCGATTCCCCGGGTACTTATGATGCGGATGGCATTTACGAATCGGACAGCGAACGCAAGAAATGGGATCTTCGTCGACCTGAGGAAACTGCCACCAATGATCTCGATGATGGTGCTTCGGGCATTTACCAGAACCCTGCTCTTCGAAAGAGCTCCTCTCGCATACCCATTTCGACAGGCAGCCCGGCGCCCACAAATGGACGTGATTATCGCAGCATGTCGGGTTCCAAGTCTCGTCGAGCCAGTGAAGCGGCTGCAGCGGACTCCACGGATACCTCTACTCAATCTGGTGGAAGCAGACCGGGCAGTCGAGGCGTGACTAGCACAGCGACCAAGAAGACCCCGGCTAAGGGAACCGCCAACCGCAAGGCTTCTGCTTCTACCACGAGAAAGGTCACTCCCAAGCCCCGGACTACATCTGGGACTAACGGACAGCGCCCTACCACAAGATCCGGCGAGATTCGACCAACAACCGCGGTGAATCGCCCCGAGGGTGATCCTCCGTGGCTGGCGACCATGTACAAGCCGGATCCGCGCCTTCCTCCGGATCAGCAAATGCTCCCCACTCATGCACGAAAGATGCAGCAGGAGATGTGGGCCAAGGAGGGCAAAACGCCCACCACATATGATCGCGAGTTTGCTCCATTAGCCATCAGTCCTGACGACGCACCTCCTACCGATGAAAAGACTCAGAAGCCTGAAGAGTCCCCCAAACCCGAAGAGGAAAATAATGAAAAGGTAGAGAAAGAGGAGCCCCAGCCTCCGCCCCAAGAGCCAGAGGCATCAACCTGGCCGCTCACCTCTCCCAAGAGCTCCGAAACAGGCACTCGACCTAGCACTGGCACTGGATACAGCCCTATGCCCAAGTTGCAGGAGCCACCTTCAGCTGGATTGACTCCAAAATGGAGCCCACCGGTCGTTACTGCACAAGAACCCCCGAAGAAAGAGAAGGGGTGTGGATGCTGCATTGTTATGTGAGCGGATTCCTTTGTCTGCCTGCTTTCAATTATACTCGATTTTGCTCTCGATCTCGATTCCGTTTTTCATTCCGAGTCACCGATTTACATTCTTATCGAAGATACCTTCTAAGCTCAATGCTTTTGATTCCATTTATTGCTTTAATTGCTGTTCTCCATTTGTTCATTCAGCGTGTCAGGGTCGGTCGGTGTTTAGCATTGCTCAACAGTCAAACTTGGCTTTCGTTTTCTTTCCCCAAGACCAAAAAAAGAGCCCATTTAATTTCGTGTCATTTTTTTTATTCTCTTATATTGACTTGATATCATTTCTCTCCTTCTCCACTTCTTGCAGCCGTGTTGTTCAGTCGTTCCTTGCGAGATTCCCTTGCCGTCTGGTTTGATTTTACCGTGTCTTTCCCGCTGCTTGAAGAAAAGAAGGCTCCAACGAAGACAAGAGGTTGGTGCAGGCATATCGTCTCGTTCTGTTCATATCCAGTTGGAAGACAGAAATCAGCACGAGCATAGCGAGTTCATTCCATAACGACCTTCACGATGCATTCTTTCCTTCCCCCTTTTCTTATTTCTTTCACCCCAGATCGATCCCTCGAATACGTGGCCATTGCTCTCTTCTGTCCTTTCTCTTTCCTTCTTCGCTATTTATAAACCTCTTCAGCCTTATCGGTCGTCTTTCTCACATACTCTACACTTGCTTCAATTTCTTGTCTTTTTTGATCTACCATTCAGCTGAAGCGGGAGCAAGTGGATTTTTGATTTGATATACATAAGTATATCGTGTCTGGCATTGAGCTGGACTGGTCAGATAGCCATAAAAACTCAATAAGTTCAACTTCTATACCCCAACTTAAATGAATTCTATCTTCTATAATATGCAAGACATCGGAGAAAACACCCTGTAATACAGTACCGTAATAACCGACCAACCTAGGCCTCCAGCTGACAAATCATCACCTGACATCATCGGCCAAAAACCATCCGTCATTATTATTCTTCAGCGCACGCCATTTCTCCAATAATCATCCATTCCTCGCCCCCATCCATCCATCCCTATATCTACCCCTCCATCCCCTCACCGCGGTCTCATCCCCCAAGTTGCCCACCATTGCTTCCATATTCACCCGTCTTTTCGGCTCTTTCGCCGCTCCATCGCCTGCCGTCATGTCTGCCGCTAAGACCAAGGCTCAGACTCTTATTAACGAGAATGGCGTTGGTGAGTTTACCGTTTCCTCCATCTTATTTATTATGAGGATAATGCTAATGATGGAATGAAAAACAGTCGTCTTCTCCAAGTCCTACTGCCCCTACTGCACCGCTACCAAGTCGACCTTGAAGGATGCCGGTGCTAAGTTCACCGTTCTCGAGTTGAACGAGATTGGTTAGTTCAACTGCCCTTCCCGAATAATAATGATGATGAATGTGTTGATGCTAATTGAGTAGATGACGGACCTGCTATCCAGAACGCCCTCGTCGAGATCTCGAACCAGCGTACCGTGCCCAACGTTTTCATTCAGGGAAAGCACATTGGTGGAAACTCGGACTTGCAGGCTAAGAAGGCTCAGTTGCCTGCTTTGTTGAAGGAGGCTGGTGCGCTTTAGATTTGCTTGATATAATTCGATATACGTGAAGCGTTTGTTATGTGCTAGAGAATACATACATAGACACATACAAGCATACAGACGGACAGAACAGACGGACAGAACAGACGGACAGAACAGACAGACAGAACAGACAGACAGACAGATGATGCGATGCGCGTGTGCTAAGAGTAGAGTCTTTGGATCTGGTAGATTACACATAGTACATATTATGGATCGATAGTATGGTAGGTATGGCATGTTTAGATCACTTTTTGGACGACGGTTCCGACGGGGCGTTCCACGATTCCCATTATGCCATCCACGACGCTCTGTCGCGCGCCCTCGCTGGAGACGTTCTTGCCGGCCAGGTAGTTCAACCAGACGAGTCGGCTGATGCGCTCATCAGATACACGGCCCAGCCATCTCATGGGCTTGGTGGGATCTGGGTGGAAGAGGGCATCCATGTCGCCATTCGCGTTGCGCACCAAGAGCAGTGTCTCGCCCTTGGGCACATTCTTGCGCTGACCCCCACCAAACAGAGCCTTGAATTCACTTAGTGCGGGTCCGAACGAGTCGTCCCCGAACTCGCCGGGCGTCGTAGATCCGGACTCCTTGACCTTGGCGTTGGCCTTTTGAGCGCGGCCTGTGATACCACGAACCCAGCCGTCGCGCAAGTGCAAGAAGTCCGTATTGCGTGTGGGGACGATGCGGAATGCGGTCCGGAGGCCTTCCTGCTTCAAAATCGCATCCCATGCGGCATCACCCTTGTCCGCATCAAGGAGAAGCTCCTTCAGCTGCTGTCGCTCTCCGGAGACAAGAGAAGTCGCGGAGCCAGCTCCAGGAGTACCGGTAATAGCCTGTCCCTCTCCTGGGGGGTTCACAGCCGTGCGGACCAGCCGCCGCTGCAATTCGGTGATATCGGATTTGGCCACGTACAAGCCAACAACGTAGACCTGGATTCGGAGGAAGGAAACAGTGCGAATACCCAGACCCAGAAGCTGGTATTCCTCCTCTTCCTCTGCCGGGCCCAATTCCTCATTGGGTTTTATCGAGGCACTATCAATCGACTTGGGCAGCTTCATTGTACTGGGGAAATAAGGCACCGAGCTCGTGCCAGTAGCGACCTCCTCAACTCCATCCTGTCCTTGTATACGGATCACAGATGCGTTACTGGGGAACCCATCCGGACCATCCATTTTCATAGCCCCGTTCTTATTATCACCGCTGCTGCCCTCCACTTTCTCATCTTTCCCTTCCGCCTTTTCCGGCTTGGGAAGTCCGAACGGATCCAACGCAATGACACCATACATGGCCACCGCGCAAGCAGCAATTCCACCCACCGAAATCATCATCGACCGACGGGACTTTGCGGCATCCTGAGCCCGTGCGCGCGAAGTAGTGGGAGATCGTAGGGGATTATTTCCGGCGGAGCGGAGCGGGTTGGTCGTCGAGAGGAAACGGTTCTGGGAGCGCGCTGGACCGGAGCGGAGGTATTGACGACGGATACATTGTCCGCAGGCTCGCCAGGGAGCAGAGCCCTGGATGGCAGATGGTGAAGCCATGATTTTTTTGGTTTTTGAGGGTTGATGATGATGGAGACGTTGGGGTGAGGAGAAAACAGCGACAGGTCGGCGGAACGTCATTTTGAGCCATTGCCAAGTCGCTAGGAATGCAGCCAATTAGAGTCGACCAATATCTGATATACCAATGACGAGAATACACATTCATAAGATATAAAATAGCTAATAACTTTATAGAGAGGAAAAGGAAAATAGTAAAATAGTAATAGACTATCTCATTTTACTTTGCATTGTCATGGTGTCACTGCACTAGAAGCACTCGACGCAGGATCCTCTAGTATACCTCATCTTATCCTTTGAAAGCTACATCTAATTTATCTGGTGTAGTCTCTGAGCTCAGCCTTTTCACATTCTGGTTATCTTGATCTAATCCTGCTAGATTTATTTAACGTAGAGAAGTTTGATATAGAAGCATGCCACGTGACTGGGATAGCCCTTTGAAGGGTATTCGATTGGAAATGAGGGTATATGATATTTCAGGTAATCAACAACAGAGCCGACAAGTATCATCTGATGTGACAGACGAATTGTATGATTCAAATTATTAGTCCTTCGAAGAATCCTAAACGCCCTTTACAGAGTAAGCATAATGTCGTGAAAGCCATGATTCATGAAACACAATCTACACATCATCGAACCCCAAATCCTTGCAACACGTAGGGCACAGTATAATGTTACAGATACTGCAGAGCCGTAAGCGAGCATTTGGAATATTGTTAGGGAACTGTATTGGATGTGCCGAGGTAGGATCAGAAGGACACTTTGGGACAACCCGACACCAACAACGCTCGCATTCGTACTCCAAAGTCGGATCAATCTCCGAGTCTTCTGCCTCCTCGAAATCATGCGTACAATGAAACTGGTCAACTGTCGTCTCGTTTGGCTCTTGGCCGAAATCCTCCGGTCCATTTTCCCAGTGTGTTCCGGCATCCAAGTCCACCAGACCGTCCGGATGAATGGGGACCGGTTTAGCTTCATCTTGTGTTTCCCTGACTTGATCAGGTAGACCAGTACCTTCTCCCTCTTCATCTGCCTTTTCATTTTCTTCGTCTTGTTCATCATCATCATCATCATCATCATCATCATCATCATCATCATCATCATCATCATCATTATCATTATCATCATCCGCATCATCTTCGGAGTTTTCCTCTGAGTCTCCTTCTGCTGCTCGTTCCTCCTCCCATCCGAAACACGGGTACGTCTCGCAGGTATCTATAGGCTCTGTACAAAACCAACACCACTGTGCACCGCAGCGACATTGCATGTGACGACAGCCATACATCCTTCGAACTGCTGCCCGGCATTTAGGACACCGCTTGACACCCCATCTTTTTAATAGATCCGCCAGCTCAGGACTGATATCGGGAATATCTGCACAGGGAAAACCTGGGTGAATAAGTTGCTTGCACGTAGGACATATCTGGACTGCGCATTGCGGACAAAAGACGACATAAGAAGTTGAAAAGGGTTCATCGATATCCATCTCCATGCCACCTGGCTGTGAAACGGTTGAATCGGGAAAAAGACGACGTGGTAGGAAGGTCGAACAGGTCGGAATCGGACAGTAAGACCGGTTTGCGGTGCTCCATTCCTCATGCTTTGCTTTGAACAGACCAATCTCATCCAGAGAGAGCACGCGACGGCCAACAGCCAAGGGAATCGCCTTGCAACAGCGCGGAGGCATATCGGATTCGCTCTTGCAGGCAGCGAGGAACATTCGTCGAATGCATTGCGAGCAACACTGGGATTTGCAGATGTTGCAGGGCTTAATCACGTCATCCCCAATCGCATCGTAGCAAAAGGCGCAGCAGAGGACTTCAGTTGCTGTATCGGAATCGTCGTCTAGAGACATGGGATCATCGTGAGCTTGCTCGACCTCCATCACTGGTTGTTCAACGGAAGATCCGTTGATCATGGTAGAGGTCAAGTAAGCGAGATGGATGAGATGAGGGGGGAGGGATAAGTGTCACCAGGACGTCTCAGCGACGGAAGGCTGTAGGACTGGGATATCCTGGTCGGCGACCGACGTGCTTGCTTCATTCACTTGACCGGGAAACTCGAGATAAATCTAAGATATCTGAAACCAACTGTCAAATGTGTCTTGAGCGATATGGCGAGGGACAAGTTGAGAACCCGTGAGTTGGAACCGTGGAAAGCCCAACGCTGCTTATAAGGCCCTCGCGAAGATGATGCCGTCTAGATTGGGTCATTGATATTTGGAATAAATACCAACATTCTGCTGCCTAACAGCATTCCTTTATATCAAAACTTGTTTTATTGAGTCATAGAGGAGTATTTAATTTTGATAAATAAAGATAAAGGCCGAGAATATCAGCTGACAATTACTTTGTACGAACCCCCTCCGCTGACAGTAACAGTGGCTGTTTCGTCAATATAATACACTCCCCTTGTCACATTATTTCCATCAATCATAATGGATGGTTTCTTCGAGCTCTCAACATACGGCAAAGTGAGATTCCCCTTTGTCCCTGCTGGCACCGAAAAATCCAGCGTGTATCCCTTCGATCCTTTCACCCAGGAAGCATGGAATTTTCCAAGCGACGTTGTAAATCCTCCTTCGACAGACCTCAAGTCCGCAAATTGTGGTGCAATCTTCCACGTCGATCCCCGTGGAGACGTGATAGAGAGCCCGAGGATGTAGTTCGTCAAAGCAGATGTCGGTCCTGCCGACCACCCGTGAGCATGAGAAATATAGGACTCTTCGTAATCATATCCACGGCTGGACCGGTATCCAAACGTGCCATTTTGAAGATATCCCTCGACTACAGTGCTCTCAGTGCCGTTAGGATTGTTGATGTACCAGCCCCAGCTTCGTCGGATGAGTTCCAGTGCTCGCGCAGGCTGCCCAACAGTAAAATGGCCTTGGATCTCAAAGGAAGATAGGAACGGAGATATGTTTTCAGGAAGCTCTGGGGTGACAGCACCTATAGGGGTCCAGTTGTCGGTCAGTCTCTCTGAAATTCTAGCTGCACGTTCCTTGTCGACAACTCCATAAAGTAGGGCCATGCTATTCGCGTCCTGTGGATGTAAAGCTGTTTCCGTTGCGTTGTCTTTGAATGCACCATATTCATCATCCCAGCAGTATTGGTTGATCACTATTCGCAGACTGTCAGCCCTCGAGTTCCATGTGTCTGCCAACTGTGTAGCATGTCCTGCCCAAGATGCGAGGTATGCACCTGTCCTTAGGGTATGATATAGACTAGACTTTGATTAGTATGAATGCAGTCTTTATAGCCATGAAAATGTAACTCACATCATTTGGGCCTCCGAATTATTATAGCCTTGTTGCCAGCGGGCCCAGTCACGAGTGCCGGTAACATTCAACAAACCACTCGAGTTATCCATCTTTCCGTAGATATAATTCATAGCCTTCTGATAGCCATTCCAATTTTTGGAAAGAAAATCGGTGTCTTCAGTGTAAAGTATGTAGTTGTAGGTACCAACCATCGACCACATATGGTACGTGTCTGAATCTTTTTGGCTCAGCGGTGGTCCTGATTCATCAAAAGCACCTGTTGATTGATCCTACAGCTGTCAGGTAGACGGATCACAATTCAAGAGGTGGGTAATGGCTCACCTGTGTGTCATACATCGCTTGAAGAGCGTTCTTCACACTTTCCAGATCCCCAGTGCTGACAAAGGATGAAGGAACAGCAATGCCCATGTCTCCCGGCCACACAGCTCGATCACGCTTGGCTCCATCCACAATTATAGTATCTCCAGGCCCCAATGTACCATTGTTTGCCCATCCTTCATTGACCATAGGAACCTGACGCCCCGTATCTACAGGAACCGCATTAGTCTGGAGTGTGTAAGCTCCGCTATACCAGATGCGATTCAGCAGCTCGTCATCCGAATAGAAATATCCTTGATATGCCCGTAGATTCGACCAGGTAGGCTGAAACGCAAGCTCCAAGCTAATGCCCTCAATTCGAACCTCGACCGAATCGCTCGCTATCAGAAAGACCGTCATATACCGAAAACCACCGCGCAGTTTCTCGTCCGGCATGACATACGTCCCATCCCCGGCTTTTGTAAAATTGGCGTATATCGCACCATCCGGACCTTTAAAACCGCCATTAGATGAGTCTGACCACTCTCCAATCCAGTTTTTCGCTTCTGTGAACGCCAGTCCGAGAGCCCCGTTGCCTGTCGAGGTATAATTCAAAGTGACGATACCACCGACCTCGAGGCCAAAGTCGAATACAACCGGTGAACCATTGCCGCGTAGGGTAGGTATTTGTGATTCAGTATAGTTGCTTGTATTTGTATTCGTAGTCGAGAGAATCCGTTTAGGCTTGACAGTTCTAGACGAAGGTGCATAAATGTTCTGCTCCCATGGTCCAGAAAACGCACTCTCCGTTGGACCCGAACAGGAAGTATTCCTCCAACATTGCTGTGCCAGGGAGTGAGGGAGAAGAACCAAAAAGATCAAAAGAAAGCGAGACAATTGTAGCTCTGCCATTGTTTCGTAGGGTCCTGAGAGGACTGAGAGTGGTCCACTTTGGATTCAAAGAAGCTTGTGACGCGCATGGCTAGATATAGGGCGGTTAGTACGAAGTAAATATTATCCGAGCTTTTCTCTCCAGCACTTGAAGAGGGGTAGTCGTCTATTAATTAATTCTTGGGTAGTCTCTCGCCATGGAATGGGGAAGTGTTGCGAATAGGGCTTGAATAGCATCATTGGTGGAATTATTGCATTGTCGGAACCTCCCTGAGGTCCAGGTTAGCTGACCTTTTAGCAGCGATCGACATGGAAACCTGCATCAAGAAGAGAAAAGCAGCCTATCTTCATGTTTTGCAAGCTTCCCCAGTTTCTTCCCCGCAGCCATCCATCCCCACGAATGGATCGATTCCAAATCTCGGCATAAATAACGCCGAATGCTTGCTCATTTAGTCGATTGCTTGAATGCAACTTTCGACATTCCAGCGGAGCAAGATGAATATGATAAATAAGAAGAGGAGCGAGAGCTGGAGTTGGAGTTGAATGAGTGGGTACCCCTCGTTGCCTGAAAAAAGACACCCAAAAAATGCGACTGTTCAAAGCATCTGTTTTCTTCATCCCACTGTTCCTAGGGCCGACAGCCAACAGCTGTGCTCTTCCAATCGAAATCAGCGAGAATAATGTCTGCACTGTGACGGCAAACGGAAACCAAAAGGATGACGTACCCAATATCCTAGAAGCGTTTCGAAAATGTGGGAATGGAGGAACAATTGTCTTTCCTGAAGACCAGTCATACTGGATTGCCACGAGATTGAACCCTGTCTTGAATGATGCAGTAGTCGAATGGCGAGGGAAATGGACAGTAAGGCATCAAGGGATCTAGCTCATTTACTATCTTCCTCTACTGATCAACCTCGATACAGTTCTCTGATAACCCGAGCTACTGGCGCAACAACTCATATCCGATCGCTTTCCAAAACCACCATGCAGGCTTCATCATCAGCGGACACAACATCACAATCGATGGATATGGTACTGGTGGAATCGATGGCAACGGCAACACCTGGTATACTGCAGAAAAGGGGGATACTCAGCCCGGCAGACCGATGCCATTCGTTTTCTGGAACGTTTCCGAAGTCAATGTCGAGAACTTCTTCGTCAAAGATCCCCCGCTTTGGGCTCTCAATATCATGAATGGTACGAATATGCGGTTTAACAATATCTACTGCAATGCTACTGCTGTGGATGCACCGTACAGTGAGAATTGGGTGCAAAATACGGATGGGTTTGGTGAGACTCTCTTCTTTTATCTGGGGCATACAGTGGCTGATATGAGACTTTATAGATACGATGGATGTTGACAACGTAAAACTCACGAATCTGGTATACCAAGGCGGAGACGACTGCGTTGCGATCAAACCCCGATCTTACAATGTGGACATTCACAACGTGACATGCGTCGGTGGTAATGGGATTGCAGTTGGAAGTCTGGGGCAGTACGCATCCGAGGATTCCGGAGTAGCCAATATCTGGGTGGATGATGTGAAGGTACTCTCCTCTCTTCAAGGAACTCTGACTATCATTGGAATTCTAACACCATGCAGATAATCCGATACAACGAAGACATGCATAACAGTGCCTACATCAAGACCTGGATGGGTGGCCTTGTCTCCCAAGACTCATACGAGAGTGCAGGAGTCCCTCAAGGCGGAGGCTGGGGTAGTATCAGAAACGTGCTCTTTTCGAATTTCGACATCAAAGGCGCCAACTCAGGACCCTCCATCACGCAAGATAATGGCGACAATGGCACTTTCTCCGGAACCAGTCTCATGGCTATCTCTAACGTCGCATTTGTGAATTTCACGGGCTACACCAACGGCGATAAGGCTGTCATAGCTTCAGTTTCCTGTTCCAAGGTCCACCCTTGCTATAACGTTGACTTTGACAATGTTGTTTTGTACCCGGGGAAGAATTCAACAACTCCAGGGACTGGATCTTGCAAATACACTGCAGATGGAGGTGTTCATGGACTTGATGGATGTTAGTAGCTCATCATCGTGTCGAAAGATAATATGTTTCGATATCCCTTATCTTATCGTCTCTGTCGTTAGAAGGGCGTGGCGTGGCGCCGATCTTCCCCGCGAACACAAAATTGCACCACTAGAAGTTCATTTATCTAGACCCCATTCGCCTGTCATATTATAGAATCCAGAATACTGCGTTCAAGCTTAGAATTTATCCTTTCTTATAAGAAACAATGGGCCAACAACCAGAGAAGAAGCCATGGATAGAGACACCTTTGATTGAGTCTGCGGCACTCTCAAAAACAGCGGGATGGTGCATTCAATTCCAATTCCAATATCATCATATCCAATACTAACACCGTGTCCTGTAGTCGAATATTCCTCAAATTGGAATTACTCCAGCCCTCCGGCTCGTTCAAGTCTCGGTACGATCTGAAAAAAGAACACATCATCAAGTCATAGTCATCAAATACTCACACTCTCTAGCGGGATTGGCAACCTGATTCTCTCCTGCCTCGCAGACCCAGCTAATCATGGCAAGAAGCTTCACTTCTACAGCTCCTCGGGTGGTAATGCGGGTCTTGCCGCCGTCACCGCCGCAAGAGATCTGGGTTATGAATGCACGGTTATCGTACCTCGCAGCACAAAGCCTATGATGGTTGAGAAACTGCACGAAGCAGGCGCTGCAGATGTGGTTATTGCCGGAGATAGTTGGTTCGATGCTGACACATTCCTGCGGGAGAAGTACATCGAGAACCAAGATGAGCACGCAGAGGAGAGAAACGTTTACGTTCCTCCCTTTGACCATCCTGAAATCTGGAAAGGCGCAAGTACCATGGTGTCTGAAATTGCTGCTCAGTTGCCTCCTCGGGCGGCTGGCGAGTCCGAGTGTCCCTTTCCCGCTGATATGATTGTCTGCAGTGTTGGTGGTGGGGGTTTGTTTATTGGGCTTATCGAGGGTCTCGAGGGATACCTGCAGTCTCACCAGGCGAATGTCAGTAAGGGTTCGCAGAGAAAGAATGTCCAGGTCCTAGCCGTTGAGACTGAAGGAGCGGATTCTCTCGCTCACTCTTTGCGAAGTGGGAGTCTGCAGTCACTTCCGGGGATCACCTCGTTGGCAAATACTCTGGGAGCCATACGTGTGGCGCCTCAGGCGTTCAAAAACGCACAGTCCCCTCCAGCCGGTATCGAAGTCAAGAGTTACGTTGGTCCTGATTCTGAGGCTGCTCGGGGCGTTGTTCGTCTGGCTGAAACGCAGCGATTGCAGGTTGAGCTGGCGTGTGGGATCAGCGTTGAGGCTGCTATGTCGGAAAGATTAAAGAATCTTGTTCCTGGATTGACGCCTGATAGCCGAGTGGTCATTGTCGTCTGTGGAGGAAGCACGATCACCACGGAGGGGATAGTAGAATATGCTGAACGGTTAAAAAACGGATGGGTCTAGAAATTCCTGTTTATAACGATGGAGCAATCTTATATATCAAAGTTTGTTGGCTTCATATATCCAATAGCTTTGACGTAAATCATATTGCGAAATGATGTTGAGATGTTCCCTCCAAGCTAGTTGACACCGCAAATCCGTTAGTAAACGGCTGTAAGTACAGTACAGACATTTTCAGTAATGCTGTATTGCTTCGCCAGATTTAATTGATCAAGTCGCTATGCTATATATATTCAGGAGTAGACAATCTAAAGTTGCTGACCAGTAAGTGTATTGCATCCTACAACTCACCAATTCCCGGTCTCTAATATAAACGAAAAAATTCAACAATGTACACTAGGCCAAGCTCTAAGGATCAAACAAAGGAGGGCAGGGAAGAGTATAATATCATCAAGGTCGTGTATCTGGTCACTGGAGGAGATAATGATCCCGTTTTGACGGCTGCTTCTTACTCGCTGTCACTGGCGCTATCGTGCATGGCATCATCGTCTCCATCATCTCTGAGACCCTCTGCCAGGATATATTCAGCCTGCTGAAGTGTTGACTTGATTTCCGGCTTGTTGTAAACAAGCTCAACAGGTTTTTGGCCATGCTTGTTACGGACACGTGGGTCACAACCGGCTTCGCACATCATTTTGATCATTTCCAACCCGACTTCGGCGTCTTTTTCGTTGGCATATCGCACGGCGGAGTGTAGAGGGGTATCTTTATCGAGGCGGGTGAGAGGATCGCATTCGAAGAATTCAATATCAAAGAGGGCGTCCATGGTGTCGTCTACAATGACAAGGAGTTAGCCGGGGGTTGCCTACACAAGGGAAAACCATGTGTGCAAACGAGCAAATTGCAATTCTTGAAAAAAAGTATAGTCGCACGACTTACAGCTTCCATACGTAGCACAGATGTGGAGGGCGTGGTTCCCCATTGAATCCGTCACATTGTTGAAGAATTCAGCAACTTCTTCATTCGATTTTTCTCCCATGTCGTTTATCACCTGCTCCAGCAGATGCGGCTGGTCACGACGACAGGCCTCCACGACCAGCTCGCGAGGTGATGCACCCTAACCGATCAATATTGATGTCATTTAGCTCAGGGTATCTAAACACTACTCACATCGTCCGCCATTGTTGCCTAAAAGAAAGATATTGGCTTGAAGAACGAATCGACTGGATCAAACTTTGCAAAATAGAGAACGCCAAGGGCTCTATTTGGGAAATTGTAGATATAAGCGGGGTCCGGAGGGACAGATATGGAGAGGCTAGGTTGCAGCGGAGTTCAAACAAGCTAAGAAGTATGTACAAGTAAGCAATCAATGAAAGTTTCAGCAGTTTTCCAGGCACCAGGTGGCTTCGAGAAAGAAAGAAAGAAAGAAAAGCCACCTGGTTAGATATTGACTTACATGAGGTTTAGATTATTATCCTATGTAGTCCCCTGAGCCTCCGTCCCTGCATGTACCCTTCTCCCGATTGGAGATAGCCGCCCGGAGCATCCATTATGCCGTTCCGCCTCATCTGCCCCGCGTTGGCGTGTGTAAGCAGCGGCAGTCGGTTCTACCCGCGCGGCAAGCCCGGCTCTCTCTCAACCAACCACATTGCTGGTCGATAAGCTCTGCAGTGGCTATCAAAATGCTTTTTTAGGTACTCAAAAGCCGTTGCGTTGGAAGCAGTATTTGGCCGGCTGCACTTGTTATTGCCTTGATGCAGGTTGAATAATGATAATTTTTGCTACTCTTTGATTCTACCGTTAAATTGACTTTTTACCAGAGATCAGCCCTTCAAGATGCCGTTGACATGTCGGTTTTACCCCTCCATGCAAGGAGCCCCTCGTGTTTGAAGCAAGGAAATAGAATAAAATGCTGACTTTTTATCTACGTATACAGTTTGCCCGAACTGCAGTAATGCACTGACGATTTCTCGCGCGGATCCTTCTCCCCAGTATCCTCTGGGAGTCAACCGGTTCGAATGTCGCACCTGCCCGTACCAATATGCCCTGGATAAGGATTGGTTTGATAAAACCGATATGAAACAGAAAGAAGTCGAGGATGTTTTTGGGGGCAAGGAGGAGTTTGCCAACGCAGACAGCATGGCTAGTAAGTGGTGGTACACTTGGATACAGGGTATCTGGACAAGGGCTTACTCGTGCTTCTTTTTTTTAACAGCTCAATGCCCCGCGGAAGACTGCAATGGGGACCGTGCATATTTCTTCCAGCTGCAAATTCGGAGTGCAGACGAGCCTATGACTACGTTCCTTAAGGTATGTTTTTTTTTTTTCGAGCTTTATTAGCTTGTGCCCATTTACAGGCGATGTTGGCGGTACTGATTGCGGTTTCAATAGTGTACCTCATGCGGTGCCAGATGGAGAGAAAACTAGATGTGCTTCACACCATGGAGATTTACACACAATTTACTCGAATCGAAGCTTCAAGAAACAACGAGCGATAAAACAAAAGCATGGCGATATGATTATTCTGGTAATAATTTTTTTGGTGATACGTGTGTTGCGGATTTGCGATAGCCTTATCCATAGCTTAAAGATACCCCTCAATTAAAATTTGTTGATTACTACCGACTACGTATGGGTGTCAGATCACTGATCAGCCCGAAGAAAATTTTTTTACTATTAGGCTGAAGTAGGGTAGCCCGCAGAACCATGGTAGCTGGCATGTTTCTACCAAACCTGAGTCAGAGAAAGAAAAATCTGACCTCCTTATTTTTGTGAGTGTACTCCGAAGATGAGGGGCATTTTTTTGATAGTGGCGAAAAAAGAAAAGCAAAAAAAAAGGGAAAAAAAAAAAATCTACACTCATTCACCAACAGTTTTTTTTTTTCTCTAGCTGTAAGGATGTACGTCAATGTGGATCTGGCGGGCGCGACTCGGCGGTGGCACAGCGTTTACGTCCGCTGGTCACAGACAAATAGAAAAACACACTGGCCACTGGCCGCGGGGTCATATTGCAAACATGAACAACAAAAGGATCCCACCTTCTGCGTTGATGCCCAGCTTGCCAGTCCAAGGCTCCATGTAGATGGGAATTCGAGTGTATTATTTGTAGAGAGGGGCTGGGAAAAATCAAATCAGTGGAGCCCAGAACGAGAAAAAAAAATCACCGTGCCAACGTGAGGCTGCTTCCACGGACAAAAAGCGTCTGGATGGACTCCGCCGCCTGTGAAGATTTTTTGCTGGTCCCGCACTAAGCAGGTGGGGCAGCGACCCCTCCATGCCCAATGATAGGCAGCCCTCGCCAAGGGTTTGAACCCGCCGCTTAGTGGCTTTTCTCGCTTGCCCCTCCATATAAGGATTTCCCCTCCTCGCCCGTCCACAGAACTTTTTTCTTCTTTCTCTCTTCGTCCGTTTCAGTACGTATATCTTCCCCCCTATCTTCTTCCTTCTCTCTCTCTCGTCTTTCTTTCAAACCACTCTCTCTAACTAACTGCTTTGCTCAGTACCTCTACGCGCACAGCCGTAGTATCTGAGCAAGTTCTTTTTACAGACTCTTTTATCTTTTCAAAAAAAGTACAACGGTTCAGACCTAACCATTCAAAATGGGGTATGTGATGAGACTTTTTTCTCTCGTGGGTGTCTGAATAGCTGGCTAATCTGTTTCTTCTCTCCAACAGTAAGGAAGACAAGACTCACATCAACATCGTCGTTATCGGCCACGTCGATTCCGGCAAGTCGACCACCACTGGTCACTTGATCTACAAGTGCGGTGGTATTGACCAGCGTACCATTGAGAAGTTCGAGAAGGTATGAAGATTTTTTATCATACCCCGCCATGGTGGGATATTTTGGGCCAGCATGCTAATACAGTCCAATAGGAAGCCGCCGAGCTCGGAAAGGGTTCCTTCAAGTACGCTTGGGTTCTTGACAAGCTCAAGGCCGAGCGTGAACGTGGTATCACCATTGACATTGCCCTCTGGAAGTTCCAGACCTCCAAGTATGAGGTTACCGTCATTGGTAAGCACTTCTGCCTAGTGAAGGTCAACATGGTTCAAAGTCTAACAATCGTCTAGATGCCCCTGGTCACCGTGACTTCATCAAGAACATGATCACTGGTACCTCGCAGGCTGACTGCGCCATTCTCATCATTGCCTCCGGTACTGGTGAGTTCGAGGCTGGTATCTCCAAGGATGGCCAGACCCGTGAGCACGCTCTGCTCGCTTTCACCCTCGGTGTTAAGCAGCTCATCGTTGCCCTTAACAAGATGGACACCTGCAAGTGGTCCGAGGACCGTTACAAGGAAATTGTCAAGGAAACCTCCAACTTCATCAAGAAGGTCGGATACAACCCCAAGTCCGTTCCTTTCGTCCCCATCTCCGGTTTCAACGGTGACAACATGTTGGAGGCCTCCACCAACTGCCCCTGGTACAAGGGTTGGGAGAAGGAGACCAAGGCCGGCAAGTCCACCGGTAAGACTCTCCTCGAGGCCATCGACGCCATTGAGCCTCCTGTCCGTCCCACCGACAAGCCCCTCCGTCTTCCCCTCCAGGATGTCTACAAGATCGGTGGTATTGGAACGGTTCCCGTCGGCCGTGTCGAGACCGGTATCATCAAGCCCGGCATGGTCGTCACCTTCGCCCCCGCCAACGTCACCACCGAAGTGAAGTCCGTTGAGATGCACCACCAGCAGCTCACCGCCGGTAACCCCGGTGACAACGTCGGCTTCAACGTCAAGAACGTTTCCGTTAAGGACATTCGCCGCGGTAACGTCGCTGGTGACTCCAAGCAGGACCCCCCTATGGGCTGTGCCAACTTCACCGCCCAGGTCATCGTCCTCAACCACCCCGGTCAGGTCGGCAACGGTTACGCCCCCGTCCTTGACTGCCACACTGCCCACATTGCTTGCAAGTTCGAGAAGATCCAGGAGAAGATTGACCGCCGTACCGGTAAGGCCGTCGAGACCGAGCCCAAGTTCATCAAGTCCGGTGACGCTGCCATCGTCACCATGGTTCCCTCCAAGCCCATGTGTGTTGAGGCTTTCACTGAGTACCCCCCTCTCGGTCGTTTCGCCGTCCGTGACATGCGCCAGACCGTCGCTGTCGGTGTCATCAAGGCCGTCGAGAAGAGCGCCGGTGGTGCCGGTAAGGTCACCAAGGCCGCCGCCAAGGCTGGTAAGAAATAAGCGTTGGGCGCTTCGGTTATCTAAATGGATATTGTGCATGAATGATGGTTTTAGTTTGAAATGCGCATGAACTAGACTTTGACGAGTAGAAATAACTCGCAATGAAAATGGCTTTATGACTTCTTCAATTAATCTGTTTCCACTTAACGTAGCTCCAGTATTATATCCTAGTACCGCTTATTACATTGTACCTTGTGGTTTAGTGATGTTCTTGTGACTGCGGCAGACTATACCGAAGTCTTGTCCGGCAATAGACACGACGCACACACGGTGTTTAGGTATTGAACCCTGGTGAACCCCATTCGACTTGTATTTAATTCATCATTATCCTGTAACCCTTATCTATATATTACATCTGTTTACTTTGTACGATAAATATGATGCTGTTATCCTCCATTCTGAATCCAATATTCGGCCTAGGATTATGCAATACCACCATCGTCTTTCTCGTTCCTCTTTCTTATTTTCTTGTCTTTATTTAATTCTGATAGTATTCATGGATGTAAAAGTATGAATGTAAGATCTTGAATGTAGTTTGTGAGTTGTAAATAGTACTGAATGATCACTTCGTCGTGATATATATCGTCCGACGACCACAAGTCAAACTCCTAAGAACCAATTTCGAGCTACAGAAAACACATCGCAGACACGCACCAGCATCACTATCGAGTTCCAAATAATTAAAACCGGTCTGTTTGCTACGATCAAATTTCTATTGTCTACTAGAGGTCGCTGGAAGCTGTGTTGTGCCCCTCACTGTAAGTACCAAATAGTCGCAAGATCCAAAAAGCCGACTTTTGTGGAGAATGATCGTAATATGCCTGGATGGCTCTTCCATGCAGACCCTGAAGGAGAAGACCAGCCCATGAAATATCTAGAAAGAGGGATAAGTTATGCTTGTATGTATTTAAGTGAAGAATGGCTCTATCGTATTTTGCCGTGGAAAACCTTCAAGAGGTAGGTTTCTCGGAGAATGGGTTAAAATGATAATTCCCTTGTGGAGTGGGTCTTTTCGAGAGGATTGACTTGGGGTGAGACTTTGTTTGGGGATGTCGTGATACTCTAGGACTCGGACAGTATTTACTTGTCTGGACAGGATGGATGGACTTCCAAGGTAGGAATCATCCTGCCATACGGCCATAGGGTTGTATGAAATATTCAAATGGGTGATGGAAATACTACGTAGTAGCTGGAAGGACTTGGGCTATAGTAACGTATAATGAAAATCTACCTTTATTCTGGGTATCAAATTGACAATTTCAAAACATGACCAAAAAATCCTCATAATCAATCACTTTCCTCTTCTTCTTCCTCCTCCTCATCTGCAGGTCTTTGTCGGGATTGTCCCCGTTGACTTTGTGTACTCCTGCTCCCACCCTCATCTCCCCCCTCATCCTCGTCCTGTTTCTGATATCTTTTAATCCCAAGACTCCTCGCCAACCGATTCTCGAACTCTTCCGTCTTCTCCTGCTCAGCGGGTGTCAAATCACTACTGTCATCGACAGCATCTTGACGACCGAATACCTCACGGACTAGCCCCGCTACACCCTGCGGTCCAACCTCGACCTTCCCCCTCGGCCCTACCATATACTCAATCACCTCGTCGCCGCCGTCCATCTCGCGATTCCGCACCAGATACCCCTCTTTGCAGAGTCGTTGGAGAAACCGATCCGTCCGATCAACGGGCGTAAATGTGTCCGAGTTGGTCCGTTTCAGGTACCGTTCTAACTTAGCCTCCGGAAGAGATCCGCCATTGAGCAAGATCACGGCAATGATAAAGGTGTATAAGCCCGTCAGGGAGCTTTCCATGGGCGCTTTAGTCGGGGGGAGGATTTCCGGTGTTCGGTATTTGGGCGGAAGTGTACTCGTGACGATCCAGGTTTTATTGCTCGAAGATGGCTTTTCCACTTTTTGAGCAGCTACATGACAGTTAGCAATTGCACCCATCCCAAAGTGATGAGGGAAAAAGAAAAGAAGAAAAAAACTCACCCCGTCGCTGACTGATAGTCACCTTCTCCTTCCCCGGCAACTCAACCATCTGCATCCCAAACTTCCCCCGTAGAACCTTCTGCGCGGCCTCAAACACGCCCTTGAACTGCCTCGACCCCTGCTCTCCCAGCACCTTGGCACTGATATCTGTTCGTCGGATTACACCGCGCGAATACTCGCTCGCCAGCGCCAACCGCACCATTTTCTTGACCATGACGTCCGCGCTGCTCGGGGCGTGCGTTTCGCCATCTCCTCCATCGTCGGAGTCCTCTGATTCGCCCGAGTTTGGGTTCGCTATGGCTGTCTCTTCTGTGCGTCTGCGACGGCGACGGGCGCTCTCGGATGCTCCTTGTGTTGAGGGTGAGGGGTTATCGTCGCTTGGGTCTGCGTCGGCTTGCTGCATGTTCTTGTCAGTTGGGTGTTTCGCGACTTTTTTTTTTTCTTTTTTCTTTTTGTTGTTGCCCCTCCAGATAGTGGGGGTTGGACTTACTGCGCGACGCTTGCGTACGAGAGGCATTCTGTCGGTGTGTTAGGAGATGAGATAAGATTTGAGATAGTGATTATGTTGATTGATGATCTTGTCGTTGAATGATATTTTGTACAAGTTGGCAGACGCGTTTGACGCGCCTTAAGGTTAAAGTGGATCCAACGTGATTTATCCATTTTGGGTAACGAACTATAAACGTCAAGTCGATAAGAATCAAGAAGTTAATAACGTATACTTGGGCTTATATCGCTTCCTTTAAATTGCTTGAGAAGTATACATTAATGTATTATTTTACAGTAAATCTACAAAAATTTGTAAACATGTCGTAAACATTCACATATTCGCATAATTGGTGACACACAAAATTGTAGAGCTATAGAATATAAAAATAGTTAAGATTTATTGAGCTTTAAAGATGTATCTTTGAAGGAAGGAAACACGGCCAGCAACAGGAAAGAAAAGTAACGATAAATGAGGGAGGAGCCGCCAAAGTATCCAAAACACAGGTTGCGATGACAATTAGCACATCCAGAGGGGCGAATTAACATCAAGGTAAAAGAATTGAAGAAAGGAGAACCCGGCCAGCAAGGTTGTTGACTTCCTAATAGCCTTGACAAATTGTATCTTTTAGTCTGACATCAGCTTTGAAACATATTCTCAACATTCAGCATCTAGCTGTTGGTCTTTTCGATCGCAGCCTCTTTGGCTTGTTCCTTCTTGCTTTGCAGGAAGGTGTTGACATAAGCCAATGACTCTTGCGACAGGACGAGACTAGTAGTGATCACAGCCTTTCCTCGGGCAACCACTCCATCTCCACCACATTTCTTGTACTCGGTCCCGTAGACAGTGAAGACATGACCCTTTGCATCGCCAACAATCCGCACTGGATAGAAGGCACCGGAATAGATATTGTCCTTGAGTGTTTCTGTGTCTTCTTTGATGAAGGGGAATCTAGTGTCGATCCTGCTCAGACCTTGGTCTCCCAGTGAGTCTGCTCTAGCAAGATACGGAGCGACATAGCCATAAGGCTTCGACAAGTAGGGCAAGAAGGGCTTGGCTAAGCGGGTATAGCCCTGATCAGCGTATTCCAGCGATTTCGCGCCGTACTTGTTGCTTTTAAAGGTAGAGATGGAGTCATGAATGACGGGGTATGAAGTCAGATGCTAAAAAAGCAACGGTGTTAGTAGCTGTTACACGAGATTGGGCATCATTGGGAATCGAACTAACATCGAGGAATTGAGAATAGACCTTCTCCCCATTAACGGTAGGCTGGCCCATTTTGTCCTTCTCTGCGTGAGGCATGGGTATCTTATCTATCTTGGTGAATTAGCAAATTACTGACGAGGGAGCTTATAGCTGTGGAGCATACCTTGATGAATTGTACAAAGTGTACAGAGTATGTAAGGAATCTTTAGCCTCAAGGAAGATAGAGCAACAAGAAGCCCAAGCAAGCAAGCTGTAAGCTGAGACCAAGGAGATGAAAAAGGTGTAGAGAGAAGAAAGTGACGAAGGAGGGGAAGGCAAGGTTCAAAAAGAGAGGCAGACGGAAAGGACGGTTAATCCCAGACAAAGTCGAAGGCAATTTGGGAGTCGACCAGACGAAAAAGAAAGGCTTGTGCAGGTTCACGGCATGATAATAAGTATACGCCATCGACTACAGAATTATAAATTTCTTTTTTTTTTTTTCTTGTCTATCCTACAAGAGTAGTAAAAGTAGGTCGCAGCTAGTGAGCAACCTAGCATGTGATAGCGGGCCCCGAGAACAGGTCGCTTTGGAGGGGCGGCTTTCATCCGTCAATCACTTGCTGTTCCCTCTCTTGATATCCATATCCATTCTTTTCGACCTAACGGGCGCAATCATCATCCGAGTCTGGACCCTGGTATTTTTTCCATTGTCTTGGATAGCGAAATACTCATCTCACCATGACTTCATGAACAGGGGAGGCAAATATGGGAGAACACGGCGCCCATCCGAGGATTGGGTGGAAAGCATGCCATTCTCCTTCACGGAGATAAGAGTGTCAACATGTCAACTACCGCTTGCGTCTGCGGGAGTTGCGTTATCTGGGTGGCGAGACTGAAAGGCAAAGAGTAAAAAAAAAAAAAAAAAAAAAAAAAAGAAGGGAGTCAGTGTCAGTCAAGAATGGACGACGATAGCAGACGTTAGAGAGGAAAAAAGCATGTGATTGCGGGTCTGGCGATGCTAACAGTACGACTTTCTCTCTAGTTGTCGACTCGCACTGAACGAAATCATCATCCGATTATCGCACGACATGATGGGACCTATTCCCTTTCATTTCCCAATTTTCAGGACAATCAATACCCCTCGGCGGTACTTTTGACCAGGGGTGATGGCTCATCCGCATCTCTGACCCTTCTACAGAACCCTCCATTTGATACTTTCCTGGTCGATCCCCGGAGGACTATCGATTGCACAACTGCACAACCGGCGCCTGGGCCTCGTCTGAGGTTGACGATGCTGCACTTCGTAATCACTTTGCCGCATACAGATGCTGGGTTTGCATTCCGCCAGCGCAGGTTGAGCATGTCCCCGACAAGTCGTTTGGGCTTATCCACCCGGCTGGAGCTGGCCTGAGCGTCTGCTGTCATATCCCAAGTCTACAGGCCTATCGACGCTATACAAGGTCTGCCCCTCACCACTTGCATTGGTCTTGCAGACCGGTTTTCTGTCGCGTTCCATGCCTTTAATGTCACCTTGGATCCATCCGAGTTTGACAGTTGGCAGATAGTAATAATAGGTAATAATCATCATAATAACCTTGTACGTCGGAGCAGCAGGGCCCGGAACTCTGGAAATTCCATGGTTCCTAATGGCGTCGTGATTGTCTAGACTCGAGATCTTTCCGCGACCACACTATCGAACTATCACTGATGTTGAACCGTTGAGGTTATAAATATCCCCGCGGGGGCTGGGGCAATCTCCCCGGGAGAATAATATGACGATCATCCATCGCAACGTGAGTGATCTATACCTCTGTATTGGATTCCGTCTCTGTATGGATATCTTTGACTTTGCCATCCAAAGCCAATTACACCATCAAAGTATATTCCGGAGCTTCCGTCTGGAATGGTTCAATCAATAACTAGATGAACCGAGATTCCCTGTCTGGTTAGTTGTAGCGCTTAATGGGGTTTATCGGCATTTGTTGACATATTCAACATATTGCCTGGGAATGTTACCTTACATGGTAGATTAAACATAATCAACTGCTACCCTACTATCTACTGTAGTATATAATGTAATATTGATGCAGAGTAGTAGTGGAACTGGGCAATAAATATCATATATGATTCAAACATTTCTGTGCATCAGTCATGCATTCTACACGCCTTATGTATATGCTGTATGCAGTGTCGCTTGGCTAGACCAATCTCTCAGTCCGGGTCTTGGAATGGTCGCATCTCGACAGGTCTACTGTATCATACTAAGATATTATCGAAACAAGTTGCCTTGGAGGTTATCGAAATAACCAAATACGTGGGGGATATTTAGGATCGTTCATGCTATGATGTGGAGCGTAGTGTCGAACAAATCGATTGGTTCATCATTGCGACATGCCATTGTCCTTGGAGAGTTAAATGCGACAGGGACTGAGTTTCGATTTTAAAATTGTCGTGAATTCATTGATATGATATGTTGGATAATACACTAGTCGGTACGGAGTAGATGATGACGAACGGCGATGCGACGATCCTGTAGACAAAGACAAAAGTTGTGTAAAGGAACAAATGACACGAGAAAGCGGCCCAATTGCGCAAAATCCAGATTGACGTCAAAGTAGGTAATTTGTAACATGTTCATATTTTCCATTTCATTTCGAGACGGAGGCCAGATCTGAGTGGCTTCCCTCATTAAAAAAGAAACATTGGCCAAGTCCTGGACTTGCTCATCGATACACTCCCAATTCTGCTTTCCGGCTATGGTATACTTCTTCGGTTTTCCCATGCGCATGAACCGAATGTGCTCGATGCTTTTTTCCCTCTTTTTTGCCTCATCTAGAACCTTGCGCGCTCAAACGACAAAAACGCCCCCATTATACCCCGTTTAGAAACCTGTAAAACTCGTCAGCACATGGGCTGTCTCATAGAATATCCGCGTGACAAAAGGAAAAACGTACGCAGAGGAGTGAAGAACCATCTGTTCTTGCCGCTGGTGTATCTGTCCTCAAGGGCCTTCTTGATGGTCTTCTTGGAGTCCTCACGCTGAGAGACCTCCTTGAAGGTGTCGTTGGAGACGGCACCCTTGAGACCCTCGAGCTCGAGAGTGTAACGGGTAGGCATCAAGTGGTTGTAGTTGACAACCTTGATGAAAGGCTTGATGGAGCTGCGCTTCTCGACAGTCTTCTTTCCCATGCGGCGGGTGATCTTCGAGGGGTAACGCTCGATACCGGCGACGACGGCGAAGGGGAAGGGGTGCGCCTTGGAGCCAGTGTCGTTAGGCTGGACAATGACGACCTGTTGCGTTCCGAAAAAAGGCCCTGGTCAGCACATCTCGAATTTTTGAATCCCAATGTATATATCCTTTTTTTTCAATCCAGACTATCCGCCCCATTCCATTGCGACTAATCCTATCGCCCTGCAATCTATCGGTCTCGAATCGATTGTGCACATTCCCTTCATTTCGCCAGAAAACTTCAGGAGAGAGTGTTTTGTCGTACCTTCTTACCGGCATAACGGCCACGGGTGATGATGGCCACACGGCCCACTTTCATGACTGTATCCCAGCATCTCGAATCAGTATAATTCCAGCAGTAACAATCGAAACGCGGACGATGAACTCACACTTCATTGTGAAAGTCCCGGTGAGCGGCAAGGTCGATGGGGTGGTTGTCGAAGTGCTTCGGGTCGTGTCAAAGAGGTTCTCCGCGCTCGACGTTCTTTTTTTCGCTTGAGTAGTGCACGGAGGGTTCAGGGCAAAGCGATTTGTGTGCCGCCGTCCCATTGGCTGGCTTACCGATAGCGCCCGGACTAGCCCAAATCGAGAAAGTTCCCCCAACAGGACTAGCGCCCGCCCGGAACATCGGAGAAACTCACCCAAACTGAACTGTTTACGCAGCAACCACCAGAAGGTCCGTTGCTAGGAAGCAGCGCCTTGCGATGATGGACGACGAATTGTGCGTTGGACATTAATTGGAACCAACATTGGGTTGCGGTGATGCCCCATGAAGCTACCAGTCTTTGAGAGTTATCATCTCCACTCTGATGTTTTCCTGATCGCCCTGCCTTGAACTACTCTAAAACTGCGACAATTCCTCTGGTGTTTTGCGCCTGGCTTTGCATACTTTATTCCCCCCCGCTGTTGTTGCTTTTGTACCTTGCTCTCTCTGCTTTGCTTCTGGTCGTCGACCTCTTTGTCCTTTGTCTTTCTCCTCCTTGTTTACACCCCAGCAAGCGCATATCAATTGTCTTTTTCTTTTTCTTTGATCATCTGGTTTTTATCTATTATTCGACTCGGACTGGTTCGTCCTGAGTAATTGTTTCCCTATTTCACGACTTGTTATGCATTTACGACCCTAATCGCTTTACTGTTGACGATCATTCCTCCGCGCATTCCAAATATCTCTGATTGAGTCTTGTTTAAGACATCATCAACCGACCCAGTCAATTCAACACACAGAAGAATCCATCATGCCGTCTCACACGCGAGATGCCTCCCGTGACCGGGAACTTGTCCTCAGACACCAATCGGTGCCCATGTACGTGTTAAGATATCACCTTGATAAGAGGGCAACCTGCCAGCTCGAGCGATGGGAGACATGAAACTAACTTTGAGGTCGTGGAAACGAAGGTGGGACAGCTCGGACCCCGAACGGGCACCACCGCCGCTTCCTATGAATCCAAGCTCTACTAGTCCTGCTACCAAAGGGAACGTCTCTCCCAATATCCAAGCGGTAGCCGCGAATTTCGCAGAGAAGCCTCGCGATAATGGAGCCAGCCCATATACGATAAACCCTATGCCACCTAAGTCGCCCGAGAAATCTCTCATCAAGGGCCAATTCCACAAGCGCATGCAGTCGCTGCAAAATGCGGACACTCGCTCCGACTTCTTTAACTACTTGGAGAATAGATCACCTGAACGTCCTTTGCGGGCGTCCATTTTGGACTCTCCGACCAAACTGCCAGAGAAGAGTCCGACCAAGGTGGAGATTAATGCGCCTGCGGAGAACCGAGATGGAGAGAAGGATATGACTAACTTGTTGATCTCGAATCGCTATCTCTCGAAACCGATACTGGGTGAAAGCACTCCTCCCTCAGCCACAATGTTGGCCCTTCAGAACATGCAGCTACCTACCGAAAACGATACCCAACCCCAACCCCAACCCCAACCCCGAAGCAACTCTGATCCCTTCCTGGGCCCTAGTCTGCCAAACGGCTCTGGAATCGAATCCCTTTCTGGTCAGATTCACAGTCTAACAGATATTGCTAGCAATCTGCAGCGCGAGATGGCCAACCTGAGCCGACGGAGCAAAGACAATGCCACAGACCTTGTCAGTCTGAAAGCTGCGACAAACGCCCGAGACGAGGACATTAGAAAGAGCCTTCGCGACCTTTCTTCAAATTTAGCATCCAGGTTTCTGGAAAATGATGGAGCCGCCAGGTGGGATTTCGGTGCTTTTATGGGATCCGAGAATGGTATTAACCCTAGGGAACCGGATAGTTCTCCGAATTCGAAAAAGAGCTACTCAGCGCCTCGAATGTCCAGTCCTAATCCATTTGCCTCCATTGAGCGAGAGATCTGTGGGTCTCCTACACCTATCTCTGATGGTTCTGCCAGTATCGCTCTGCTGGAGAAGGTGCTCCGGGAAATGGCTACGAAGGAAGGACAGGAAAAGATTAACGAACTCGTTGAAGAGATCAAATCGAGGCCAACATTCGATACCACTGATACGAACACCGATGCCACGACCACGAAGATGTTAGAGGAGATTCTCAACATTGTTAGGGCCGATTCCGACAGCAAGGCATTGATCCGTTCAGGAGTCCCGCCTCTGAACTTCGATAAACCTCGCTCAAAATCTTTCGACCCAGAGCAAGCTTTCGCGCCGGATATGGAACTATTCGACGGGGATAATGCGGTGGCAGATCGTCCCTCAGTTGAAATGGACCGTGCTGCCACCGAGGAGATGCTGGCCATCATGCGAAGAGTAAAGAGCAGTGTCATCGAAGGAGGTGGAATGACAAACGAGGTTAAAGCTTTGGTTCGAGAGTTGCGAGGAGAGGTCCTGGGTATGGGAAGAGACCTCGCGCGAAAGCTTGAGGAGGTAGAAACTACTCGATCTGCCGAGGACCCTCAGCCACCAGCTCCTAGTCAGCATGAAATTTCCGCCATTGTTAATGAGAGCCTCCATGATCTGAGAGAGCAACTTTCATGCATCGTCAATGAAAATCGCCACCACTCCTCTGCGTTATCCGAATTCCGAGCCGCGGTGGATGGTGATCAAATCTACTCGATTGTCAGGAGTGCGCTCGAGGAGCTCGAGCTACCACAGCCGCAACTTGAGCCCCAGGGAGCTGCCATGCAGAAGGAGGAAATCCTTGAAACTGTTCGACAAGCTTGGGAGACCTATAAGCCTGAAATTGAGCTACAGAATTTTGGACTCGAACGGGACGAAATTCTTGAGTGCCTCAGCGAAGGCCTAAAGGCCTACCAGCCACAGCATGAGGAGGCTGTCACGTACGACCAGGTTTTGGCCGCTGTAGAAGCTGGCATGCAGAGCTTTGGGCAACCCCCGAGTATCACGAGAGAGGAAATAATCCAGACTATTCGAGAATCCATTGAGAATACTCAGCAGTCTGGTCCGCGCGCTCTAGAAGACGATCACCTGCGTGCGATTCGGGAAGAAGTGCTGCAGGCAGTGACTGAATCCGTCGCATCGCAAAACGCACTTACTAGGGAAACACTAAATTCCGGGTTGGGTCGCGACGAGATCCTGAGAGCCATGGCGGATGGACTTGAGACTCACTTTTCCTCGTCTAGGAGCATCGAGCAGCCGCATGTTACTAAAGAGGATGTCACCAACGCAATCAACGATGCCTTTGCCTCTCAGAATTCTGCCCTCACCCCGAGTGTTCCTCCACCTGTTTCCCGAGAAGAAGTTCTCAACGCCATCGCAGAGGGCATGGAAAACCAGAGCGGAATGACGAGGGAAATTGAACTCAACAAGGACGACCTCATGGATGCCATTTCGTCTGGACTTCACGAAGCCGCCCATTCCGCCAACTTCAATGTTGGGGAGCAAGTCCTTGAACGTCTCGAAGGCATGTTTGAGAATATCAAGGCCGACTTCAACCATTGCTCTGCAGAAAATGGAAGGGACGCCGAACAAATACTTCATACAGTGAAGGATGGGTTCGACGTCGTCCGAAAAGAGGTCGAGGGCTACGCCGTAACCGCCACCGAAGCTTCTGGGAAGCATGAAATCATGGACACTGTCAAGGAAGGATTCAGACTTCTGCAGGCTGATATGGAAAAGACAATAACAGACACTGCCATGGCCAATGCGCGTCCTGGTAATCCGGATACGCCTGAGCTTCTGGACGCCATGGAAAAAGAATTCGAACACCTCCGCCAGACAATCAGCTCCCTGCTCATTCGCAGCAACGTTTCCAGTGAGAAGGATGAGATTCTCGATGCCATTCGTGATATCGCCGACAATCAACAATCCACAGCCGACAAGGGAGAAGTTGCCAAACACATTAAACAAGAGTTTGAAACCCTTCGTGAGACAATCAACATGAGTCTTGTTCGTGCTGAGCCTTCCAGCGACAAGGATGAGATCCTTGCCGTTATTCGAGAAAACCTCGAGGCCTTCCGACAAGAGAGTGCTCATGCTGAGCCTTCCAGCCACAAGGATGAGATTATTGCTGTTCTTCAGGAAAAACTCGAGGGCTTCCGACAGGAGAATGCTCGTGCTCTGCCTTCTTCTACTAATGACAAAGACGAGATAATTGCTGCTCTTCGAGAAAGCCTTGAATCCTTCCGACAGGATACTGTTCGCGCCGAGCCTTCTAGTGATAAGGACGAGATCATCGCTGCCCTCCGGGAAAGCATCGACGCATTGAGACAGGATAGTGCTCGTACCGAGCCTTCTAGCGACAAGGATGAGATAATTACTGCTCTTCGAGAAAGCCTTGAATCCTTCCGACAGGAGGGTGTCCATGTGGAGCCTTCCAGTGACAAGGACGAAATCATCGCCGCCCTCCGGGAAAGTATCGACGCATTACGACAGGATAATGCTACTCGTACCGAGCCTTCAAGCGACAAAGATGAAATCATTGCCGCCCTCCAAGAAAGCCTCGAGGCCTTCCGAGAGGATAGTGCTCAGACCAAGGACGCGACTGATAGTATCTTGACTCCCACCGATGAGCTTATTGATGCTTTCCAGGATGGTGTCGGTACGATAAGGGGTGACCTGGCAAAGCTTCTGGAAAGGCCGGTTGAGTTTGATACCAGCGAGCTTCTAGACACGCTCAAAGAAGGGCTTAACAGCCTGAAAATCGACGTGGAAATGCTTCGAAAAGCTCAGAGAGACGCCGAAGAGATTGAAACCACTCGAGGTGGCGAGCTCATGCTTGCTAACCAAGCGAATACTCACCAACCGAATATTGGTCATGACCTCGAGGGCCTTAAGGTTCTCATTTCCCAACTTCAAGTGAAGGTTGAAGCCATCGAAGCCGCTCCACGGACCCCTCAACCCTCCGAGGATTCTCTCAAGAAGGAGCATTTGGATGAGGTCTTGGTGGGCCTACATGAGCTCCAGAGCTCTGTCACTGGTATAGTTGCTCGCCAAAGTCCTACGGATGAAACAGCAGCTCGGAAGGAGGATACTGATGCTATCGAGACTTTGCTGCGTAACACAAAAGCACAACTCGACGAGCTGGTCTTCCCTCCAACAGATGAGCTAGCTAAAGCGGAGCAACTTGGTTCCCTCGAATCTGTCATCAAAGAGACCAAAGATGCCATCACTGAACTATCGACTCGGCTTGAGGCAGAAGGCCCGACAAAGTCTGAGATCGGCACCCTGGAGTCCCTCATGAAGGATATCTGGCTTGCCCTTGACGACGTGAAGGGCAAGGAGCCCCAGGGTGAAGGAGAAGACACGGACAAGTTAGCCAAGTCGGACTTGCAAACGGTAGAGGCAATGATATTTGAGGTCAAAACCCAGATTGATGAACTCAAACTCCCAGATGCTGAGACATTGCCAACCAAAACCGAGATCCAAGATCTTTCCGCTCTCGTGACTGAATTCAGACAAAAGACAGAAGCCGAAAATGAGCTGACGGCCCAGGGGTTCGATGCCCGGAAGGTCGAGCATGCGGGCCTTGCCGAAAAGATCGAGGAGGCTAAGGCTGTTGTTGAAGGACTCGGTGAAGAAGTGAAAAGCAAGCTGGATGGGTCTAGTGAGGGACTTTCTCAACTCAAGGAACTTCTCGAAGGTTTAACAGCCTCTGCGGAAACTTTCACGACGGTTGAGAACATCAAGGAATTGACTGACCTTATCAACCGAGAATTCGAGCGCGCACGTGGCGAGCAGGATGCTGGAAAGCTGGAGAAGGAGGAGCGTGATGCTGCTGCCAGCGTCAAACACGATGAAACTCGGGCTGCCATAATCGTCGAACTTGGAGCGAAGATCGATGAGAAGCTTGGTGAAGTGATGACCAAGTATGATGAGGCGCAGACGGCGATGGAGTCTAAATTCTCGGAAACAGAGGAACGAGACAACACTAACCTCGAAGCCGTTACGAACACTAAAGCCCTTGCGGAAGACATCAAGCTGGTGATTGGTGCCATGGGTAACAGCGTCAACGAAACGTGTGAGCGTATCAGTGTGGACACGAAAGCCTTCTTTGAGAAAGTCGACGTATCTTACAACAAAATGGAGGAAATGCAGAATGAAGTCAAGACCCATCAGGAGCAAGCCAATGCTGCCGCAGATCGTTTGGAAAGTCAGCTGCATGAATTTCATCCTCAGGTTCTTGAATCTATCCAAGAAATTCTCTCCATTGTTGGTCAGCACTACGACCACTCTCAGAAGTCAACCCAGGATCTCAAGACGGACTTGTCCGCTCTCCCCTCCACAATCCCGTCTATGCTACCTGCCCTCCCAGCTCCTGAACCTGAGAAGTATGATGACACCCAGGTCCATGAGAAACTCGACAATCTCCTGAGTCATGCCAAGGGCAGTCAAGTCCAAGAGGCTCTGGATATCCTGGTTGAGCGAGTCACAAACGACCAGGTTCATGATAAGCTTGAACAACTTCTCAACCAAACTACGAGCACTAATGGCCAGGTTTACGAGAAGCTAAACGAGCTGCTTGGCCATGCTGAGACAACCAATGGACCGATTCACGACAAGCTCGATACCCTCATTGAGCACGCAACGGATAGCCACGCCACGAATAGCGACCAGTCGGTAACTCAGATGATGAAACTGGATGAGATGCACAAGGACATCATGGAGACATCCCGCAGAATGAATGAGATGTTTGCCACCCAATCAGCACTTGTGGCTGAGGACACCGAGAGGAAACGTCGTGAAGCTGAAGAAGCCGCAATCGCGCTGGAGAGACGCAATGCTCAGAAGGAGCAGGTGGAGTCGGAGATTGTGGATCTCAGAGAGGAGAAGGACTCGCTCCTGAAAATGATCAGCACCTTGAAATCGGAGAAGGAGGACCTCGTTAAGCAGAACACCAAGCTTGGCAAGGAAGTGTCTGGCCTCGAGATGGCTCTTGACCTCCGCCACGAAGAGATGCAAGTGATGGAGGAGCGTGCAGACAGCCTCGAGAAACGCATCTTGGAAGGTGTTCTAGACCACGCTCGCAGCGTCCTTCTCAGCCGACCCAACAGCATGCAAGGCCTCAATATGAAGAAAACCCGGAGCTCTCGAGCTCGCAGACCCAGTGCTGCCAGCAATGCTAGCACCGTCAGAGACGCACGCAGCATTTTAGGCAGCGGTGTTGGATTGGCATTGAAGAAACGCGGTGCAGCTGCATCGCAATCTGGGTCTGGAGGTCAGCAGCCAAACGGGGGCAAGGAGAGGAGAATCCTCAGCTTGAGCAATGTTACGGCCAACCGAGGTACTGCAGACCGACAGGTGAGCGCTAGTAGCGGTTTCACCAACCTCAAGCGGAGTCATTCGGTCAAATCCAACCTCTCCCAGCGCAAAGCTTCATGGGGCGGTAGGAGTTCCGCGGCGAACAAGGAGAATGACATTTTCCCCGAAGAGGACGAGAACCAGAGCGGCGGAGAGAGTGACACAGGGATGGAGAGGAGGACTAGCTACGGAGGCAACTACGCAGCTGATCGACGAGTGAGTGCGGCTAGCTCTATCGGCCCGGGTCGCTCTGTTGTGGAGGATCAGGACGATGCAGAACGCGCCGAAAATGATGCGAAAACGACTAGAGAAGAGGAGGATGATCACTTGGGAGATTTGGATGGAGCAAACGCTGATGAAACCGAATCAACGAAAATGGTGCTCTATGGACAGCACAGTGACAGTGGACTTGGTACAGAAGTCACGAGCACTGTCTGATGACCCTTTGCCAGCCTTTTGGTCATGACCTTTTTTGTTTTTGATTTTTGACGAAGTATGCCGTCTGATGTTCCTTCTCTTGTGATATACCACCGACGTTTTGGTCGACATGATAGCCTTGTTTTTTTTCCTTCTTTTCTTTTTGTCCGATAAGGGCTCGATGTCTATGTATGCTGTAACACGAGGCGACCTTAGTTTTATTTACTTTTGTTACATTCCCTTTGTCTATTTCCTTTGTCTTTTGGTGACTGTATGCGTTCCAGCTTCTATTATCCTCCAATGCATTCAATGACACGACCCCCCTTACTTTGTCCTATCCCCATTCACATTCGTACTTTGTAGACGCAGACTGTAGAGCATCATGTGATGGTATCAGGCGTTGAGTCCCAACGCATTTTGGTGGCCTGAATTCCCAGGCAGCGCCCGACACGCGACCAACCGAGGCCTTTCCTCTTGTCGATCCTCTTAAGGCTGTCCAGCTTGCATTATCTCCTCTCCACATCCCCCAACCTCCATCGCCAGTTCTTCCATCCTCCACCATGATGGCTGGGCTCTAGTCGGTCTGGGTCTCGCTATAATTTCCCCTTTCTCTCCTTTCTTCCTCTTTTCTTTTTCTCAGCCTTATCTATCTCTTAAACGGTCCCAGTGCAGGCAGGACTGGGATTGTTTTCCTTGCTCCCAGCTGGCTCCTTGTTTCTTATTTCTCTGCCTAATTGTCCATAACCTCCCCCCTCTCCGCATTGGGGGTGGTTCATCACCATGCTAGATCCTTTCCCTCCCCCTCCGGCATGGCTTCGGAATGCCATCGAGCCATGGGCTGTGTCCGCTAACCTACCGACCCTACCTGACCATATCCATGAGGTCCTGTTCGCCTTCGCCTTTTACCAGTTCATCCACTCCTTCCTTTCGCCTTGGCTGTCCCCGCTGCTATTCTCCAATAATTATCCCAAATTCAACCGCCGCACGAAGCTTAACTGGGACATCCATGTGGTGTCGTTCGTGCAAAGCACCGCCATCAACCTGGCATCCCTGTACGTGATGTTCGTGGACCAGGAGCGCAAGGGAATGGCGGCGGGAGAGCGTGTGTATGGATATACTGGTCTCTGTGGACTGCTCCAAGCTCTAGGATTGGGATACTTCGTGTACGACTTGATCGTTAGCACGCTGTATATCAACATGTTTGGCGTTGGAATGCTGTTCCATGCTATCAGTGCAGTGTTGGTGTTTAGTCTCGGATTCGTAAGTACCTCTTGAGTGGCTTCTCTGTCTCTGCGCCCTTATGATAACAACATTCTAATTTCTTCGATTGTTAAAGAGACCGTTTCTTAACTTCTACTCACCCAACTTCCTCTTGTATGAGCTTTCCAGCCCATTCCTTAATATCCACTGGTTCTTGGATAAGCTCAACATGACTGGTGGCAAAGCGCAATGGTACAACGGCATGGCGCTTCTCTTTACTTTCTTTTTCTGCCGTCTTGTCTGGGGCACCTGGCAGTCAGTTCTTGTGTACATGGACATGTGGTACGCTTTGAAGCAAACTTGGGCTGCAACAGCCTCTTCCCAGCCAGGCTCGGTCGGCATCACTTCCCAAGTCTTCCAGACGCTGAATAGTCCCGTTGAAGCTACTGCAGAAATGTCCAAGTTCTCTTCTTACACCGCCCAGGGTGTACCCACCTGGCTGGTCCTGTCCTATGTGGCGTCCAACCTCACCCTCAACTTCCTCAATTACTACTGGTTCTCCAAGATGGTTGATGCTGTGCTGAAGCGCTTCCGCGAGCCCGCACCATCACCGGCCGCAAAGAAGGAAGAGGAGACACAGAAGCTCAAGGAAAAGAAGGCGCAGAACGCCGTCCTCGACGCAGCTTCCAAGCTCGAAGAGGAAGAAAGCAGTTTTCTTACCAGCGAGAAAAACACCACCTCATCTGTGGATACAGGTCTTAACGATGAGATGCGCAGAAGAAAGGCCGACTTGGCCTCAAAGGTCCCTCTTCCACAATCATAGTGGGCCCAACAGCCCACTGTTATCTTATACAAGAACATGAAAGTCAAGACAGGAGTGATATTGATACAGTTCCAATTTATCCTTTTTGTTTCCCCTTTCTCTCTGCCTTCTTTTCAACCGAAGCAGATATGTGGATACGGCATAAGTAACGTAGGTAATAGATAGTGTTTGTTCTGTGAACATTTATTGCATCTTTCATTTTGGCCTTGCCTTGACGTTCTCCTTTTCTTTGAGTTTGTCTCTGTTCACTGGTTATTTGATAAAGGGTGCTTTCCCTGCTCATAAAAACTTGGATGTGAATCATTTGAATTGATTGAGTGTTCACTTGCATAGAATGCCTTCATTGAACAGTTTACTGGATGGAAATAGATTGAACAGCAAGAAATACAAATCATACATCTTCAAATATTTCCTTACAGAATAAAATAATACAGAACAGTCAAATAATTACTTATTCTCATTTCAATCACATTCAAGAAACATATTATACGAATCGAAAAACCTATCCATCCCAGTCCAAACAAACACCATTTGAGCGCCCCCGAAATTCCTCTTGCGGTTCTTTTTGCGCTTCTATTTCATACAGGAATTTTCTCTTCCCCCCCCCCCCCCCCCCCCCCCCTTTCATTGAATTACGAATCGAAATGGAAAAAAAAAAAAAGAAAGAAAGAAAGAAAAATCCTGTAAATGTAAAATCAAACACCTAAGCCCCTGGACATAATACAACGAATCCGTTACACAAGATTTCATCTTGCAGCCGCAGCTTCAGGTTTGGCAAGCATATACCGCACTGCTTCTCTGGCCACTGGGGTATCCCATGCACCTTCGCTTCCTCCTCGTCGGAACTCGGGTCCGCTGCCATCTTCGCCGCCGCCACGGGTGGCCTCGCCCAGGATTGTCTCGAGATCCCGGCGTTGCGAGTTAATCCAGCGACGCACAAAAGTGACTGGGTCTTTGCTCAGTGCCGTGTAGAAGGAGTGTCTCGCCCTCGAGTGCGTCAGAGCCTGGACAATGAGTGCCACCTGGTCGTCCAGGGATGCAATTTGCCGCATTGCCGCTGTGTATTGCGGGTTTTGGGTTAGAGCCAGCATCTTGGCGCGGAGAGGATCTTCCACCGCGACTTGGATGTCGTAGACGGTAGGAGTAGGGTCCTTGTGGAAATCCTCATCCACGCGAATAGTGTAAGGGAGCTTGATGGGCTCCATGGGGCTGGTATGAGGGCCAATGCTTTCCGGGATTTGAGGGAAGAACATCTGCTCTCGGCCAAAGATCTGTGTAAAAATAATAGTTAGCGTCTGGCTATGCGTGAAAATAGGATGTTCGTACCGATCGCAATCGATGATCACAGCGCACTTGTCGCTTCTCCTCATCTTCCTGTAGTTCCATTGCCCGAATGTAATCCCAGATGCCGAGCACAATCCCGCTTCGAGCTTCCTCCTCAACATCAAGGACCTCTGCGAGCTCCTTGCTCAGTTTGTACCGCTCAGGAACCTCGTCTCTCACAAGGCTGATTGTGACGTTTAGGTTTTCTTGCGAAGCCCGGGAGAACTGCAGGGAGTCAAATTCCGCGGTTGGGGGAATAGATGTGGCATTTGGTGGTATTTGCGGTTTGTTCCAGTTGATAGTCTGAACTTCCTCGGGGTTGATTGATGGCGATTTGTCAAAGTCGACAGTGATTGTTTTGAAGAACTGTGAAAAGCGCTGCCTGTTTCGCTTGGGTGCCGATTTCTTGGGCTTTTCTGCATCTGCTCCATCATGCTCCATTGCATCTCCATCGTCGTTGGCATCATCTTCTTCATCCTCACTGTCATCTGGAATGGTAGGGTCGCTATCATCATCCAACAATCGTCCCTCCACTCTCACTTTGTAGCGTCCCGAACCAGGGTTGCTCGCTCCATTCTGGCCTGCAGCATTCTGCCAAGGCTGGCTTTCCACCGTGTTAGAGATCCAAATGCGCATCGTCCGGTACTTCTTGACGGTTTTGCTGATCGAATCTTGAATGTCCAATCTCTTCCGCACGATAGCGGCGTCCAGTCGCTTCTCCAAATCGCGTAGGCTCTTGTATTGCTGCACTCCCTCTCCAATCACCGCATCCTCGATGCCATCGGGGATGTTCTTGTCTGTGGGCTTGCGGCTTCGACGCAGGACGGCGTCGTTGGGGTGCGGCATGGCGCGCTGGGCGGGGATATATTGAGGGTTAACGGCGTGCTGAGCCATGGGAACCGGCATCGCAGGGCCAACTAATAGTAAATTTAAAGTCAGCAACAAAAAACTGGATTGTTTGGTGTATAATGCGACCAAAGCAAGGACACACACACCTGGTCCTGGAGGCCCGCGACGAGGCGTGGCAGGGGAGCGCTGGGCGGCTTGCGGGAAGCCACGAGCGTAGTTGGGCTGCATTGGTGCGTTCATTGGGTTCATAATGACAGCAGGCGGGGGAATCAGACCCGCAGAGTACCTAGATGCAAATTAAATGGATTCCTGGGGGATGAAGCTGCACCTCGACGGATATGAAAGATGCTCTTTGGATGTCTTGCGTTGGACGAAGGGTCGCGATTCTTTTGCCGCGGCCGCGCTTTACCCTTTTAGTCAGCCTCATCAGAACATCAACTCCAAGTGGGGACAGCATCACGACTAACAGAATGTCAAGCACTTTTGTACAGCTATTAGTTGATAATATGGATTTAATAAATGGTTCGTAAAGGATTCAAAAGAAGCGAGGTTACAAAACTACAATTGGTCCATGATGGCCATCAGCATGCATTCAATTATTCAGCTAATCACATTCATGCTCGCCACGTTTATGACATTTCTCAACATAAGGTAAAAAAGATAGAAGTATTAAGGGTCTTTACTCCAGCATAGAGGCCTGGTTAGTGTACAGCCCTTCCACCACATTGCTCAGCTTCTCAATGGTCTCCAGGGCAGCATCGTATGCCTGATCACGCTGTGTCTCGTCAAAAACGATCAAGCAACCAGCACCCTGGTCCAGTACACCAATGATTACCTTGTCCAGAATCATCTGTGACAACTTTCTCTCCACCTGCTGCGTATCCAACCCGACCATCTTGGCAATATGGTCCAATTCGACTCGGCTGAAAGGCTCAATGACCTTGATGAGATTTTGCTCCAACATGGCATCGTACAACTTTCGGAGGTGGTTGCGGATGAATACATCACTGCCGAGCTCAAATCGGTAGTCTGTCAAAGCCTTCTCATACTCTTCGAGAGATCGGTTTGCATGGGCACGTGCCACAGCCTTCATGGCTTCGAGTCGCGGGCTGGCATATTTCTGGGCTTGCTTGGAGCCTAGCAGGCTCGTCACGTCATCCACGTTGTTGAGCATAATCTTGCACAGCAGCATATACTGAAGAGCCGCAGTCGCCTTCTCGCCTTCATCCAGCGAGCTGTATCCTTCCAAAGCCTCAATGAAATAGGAGAACGAGGTGTTGAAATCTTTGTCCTCAGCATGTAGCATACCACTCTGCATGTCCAGATTGGCCTGCAATTGAGGAGGTGTGTAGACAGATGCAGCCGATGTCCGAGCTGCCGTCAAAGCCGCGCGCCCCTTAGCCTGGTTACCCAGGGCATGGTATACACGTGATTCCAACAGTTGCACCTCAACCAGCATAAGCTTGTCATCCAAGCGCTTGAGCTCACGAAGAAGGGGGGTGATGAGGGTGAGAGCGTCGTAGTAGGATTGCTTCTGCATGTAGACGCTCACAAGACGAGTCTGGAGGTTCTGTCGAAGGAAGGATCGCCTCTCGGAGATCGCCCAGTCTATGCAAGATGTGATGACGGCGGTTTGGATGTCAAGTGTGTTCGGGATTTCACTGAACTGGTCCAGAAGTTGACGAACTATATTAAGAGGCAATTCATTAATTTCCAAGCCCTTCTGCTGTAGAAAGTCCGTCTCACTTACCCAACTTGGCCGTCTTTGCCTTGGCAAACGAGGAGAAAGTATCACGGCTGGTCTTGATAAGGTCTGCGATCTCCTGTGGCTTCTTTTCATCTCGGTAGAGCTCTCCCAAGCTAATCAGCGCATTCTCGTAGACACGCGACGAAGTCTCCGATGATCCTGGGCCTCGAGAGAGAAGCTGTTTGTAGATGCCCTCAGCCTTCGAGTAATCCTTCCGGTCTTTGTAGATCCCTGCCAGACCAAGCAACGCAGTGTCCTCTGACGACCCTGCACCTTGAGAAATGATATCCTTGTAAATGCTCTCGGCCTTGGCGGGTTCCTTCTTTGCGAGGTTTCGGGCCTCCTCTATCCGCAGGGCGACGGTGGTGGAGGGCGCCATGATGAACAGGTGCTATTTGAAGGAGAACAGTTTTCGAGGAGCAACGAGGCTTCAGCGAGATACCGATTAAGACGGCCAGTGAGCCACGCACAGAGCTAGGAATTGCGGGATGAGGAAGAGGGGGTGATGGAATGGAGGGAATGAGGTTGATGGTTGGTTCTGGATGACAGAGCAGGCATCGTCACTGTTGGAGCTCGTCCGCCCAGCAGCTCTCTCGGCTGCCTCTCACCGCCCGCCCGCTTAGCGAATCAATCCGGCATGAGCAGCGAAGAAAAAAAACGCAGGAAATTTTACTGCCCGTCAACAACCATTTTCTTTTCTCTATAGCCACAGTGAGAGCATCATGGTAAGTTTATTTTTGAGGGATATTTGATTCAGAATTCATGTGTGTCTGACCATCATGCCAGAAAATCAAAGCTCTTTCGCGCCCCACTGCCTCGCAGCAGGATCCGGGATCTGGTGTCGTTCGACAGCCCCGGAACCTTGACCCGGCCCAGCATCCTTTCGAACGAGCTCGAGAATATACAAGGGCTCTCAATGCGACCAAGATGCAGCGTCTGTTCGCGGCTCCCTTTTTGGGACAAATGGGTGACGGCCATGTAGATGGTGTTTATACCATGGCGAAAGACCCAGGCTCTCTCGAACGCTTCGCTAGTGGCAGCGGTGATGGTATGGTGAAGGTCTGGGATTTGACCACTCAGGGAGAAGTTTGGAACACTCAGGCGCACGAGAACATTGTCAAGGGCATGTGCTGGACTCCCGAGCGAAAGTTGCTTTCGTGTGCCAGCGACAGAACCGTCAAACTCTTTGATCCGTACAACACCTCGTCCGATTCACCCCCGCTAGCGACCTACCTTGGCCAAGGTGCCTTTACTGGTGTCTCGCACCACCGCACTCTTCCATCGTTTGCCGCATCATCCTCTCAGATCTCAATTTACGATCTTTCGCGACCTTCCTCGACTCCTTCTCAGACTCTTCACTGGCCTACCAACGTTGACACGATCACATCAGTTGCCTTCAACCAAACAGAGACATCGATCCTCGCATCCACTGCTCTTGACCGTTCCGTGATTATGTACGACCTGCGTACTTCCTCGCCGCTCGCCAAGGTCATCTTGAAGCTAGCATCGAACGCCATTTCCTGGAATCCCATGGAAGCATTCAACTTCGCTGTTGCCAACGAAGATCACAACGCTTACATCTTCGACATGAGAAAGATGGACCGTGCTTTGAACGTGCTCAAGGACCATGTCTCGGCGGTTATGGATGTGGAGTTCAGCCCCACGGGTGAGGAGCTTGTGACAGCGTCTTATGACCGTACAATTCGCCTGTGGAACAGAAACCATGGCCATTCCCGGGATATCTACCACACACAGCGAATGCAACGGTATGTTTTAACCCGAATATTAAATTATAATTTACGGTTGCTAATCAATTCTACAGTGTCTTTTCCGCCAAATTCACGCCCGACAACAAATACGTCCTTTCTGGATCAGACGATGGCAACATCAGACTTTGGCGTTCCAACGCGTCTGATCGTAGTGGAATCAAAAGTGCTCGCCAAAGGTCCAAGTTGGAATACGACCAGGCTCTGATCAAGAGATACTCGCACATGCCGGAGATCCGAAGAATCAAGCGTCAACGCCATGTGCCGAAACCTATTAAGAAGGCTGGTGAAATTAAGAGGGAGGAATTGGCTGCGATTAAGAGACGTGAGGAGAATGTTCGCAAGCATCTCAAGAAGGGCGCTTTGCCCGCAAGACAGAGTGAGCGTGAGAAGATGATCTTGGCGAAGGAACAGTAAATGTTCTTTCAAACAAGAACCATCATCGATCACGCTCGATGCCTACTGCAACCGAAGCAGATGAATCGTCACGCAGTTGCTCAACATCCAAATAAGTTCCGCGGCTATACAAGTTCGTCGGGGCCATACTCTAGATACATTATATGGAATGAGGGTCGGGTTTTAACCTTGCCTTCTCGCCCATTACTTTGCATCGCTAAACATACCGCTTGTCCAACCTCCGCATCAGTCCGTATCTTCAGATTCCATGTCACTTTGTGTTTGCGGTCTCGTTGATGCGCCATGATCCTGTGAACGTGCTTTGGGTGAGGCGTCTGATGCAGCCCGATCGATTCCACTCAACGACCGAGCAATCTTTTGCAGGCCTACAGGTAGAACTGCATACCAGTTGATCAGAGCAGCGAAGGCGGGCAATCTGATCACTCCACCTCTTCCATTATCGATTGCAGAAACGATCTGCTGGGCGACATGAACCGGTTCGAGAACAGGTGCAAAGAAATTGCTTGGTGTCTTGATCCAGTTAAAAAGCGGTGTTGCCATCTGGCCTATCTCGACCAGTAACATTTTCACTCTTTCATCGTCACCTGAGGCGCGAAGCTCGGCCTCTAACGTCCGATGGAGAGAGCTGAGACCAGCCTTGCTTGCCGAGTAGTCAGAAAGGCCGGCCGCGGACAGATGACCCAACACAGAGCTGACATTGACAATGGTCCCTCCATTCTCTGCGGATAAAATGCCAGGCAAGAAGACTTGACTGGTGTGGAAAACGGAAAGGAGGTTTGTACGGATCGTTTTCTGGAAGGCCTCAGCAGGTATCGATAGAAACGGTTTGCCATTGATTCCTGCCGCAGCACAGTTGATCAACACCGTTGGCGTGCCCAACTAAAACAAAAAAAAGAAAAGAAAAGTCAGTGTTTTTTTTTGTAAATAGAAACTGGGATTAGCCCATCCACAAAATCGAGGTATAAAAAACATGGAAAATAAAAACGTACATCCTTCTCGATCCTCCTGGCCGTCATTTCCACCTCCTTCCGATTTCCAACATCGCACTTATAGTATTCCGCTCCAGAAACCTCATCCCAGCCTTCAATCTCGGCTACCTCTCTCACATCCAACACGGCAACATTCACCCCACGCAGACTATAGATCTGAGCAATAAGCAGACCAAGTCCGCTCGCACCCCCGGTGATCACGACGACCTCCTCACTCAAGTCGACTATTCGAGGCAGCCCATACGCAATCCTCTCATTGAAGACCCCCGCAACAGCCAACACAGTCAAGAAAATCGCGTAGCCTGTCGCGATGATAAAAGCGAGATCCGTGTAGGGGGTGACTTGGGCGCGGAGACTAAGAACCAGGATCCATGCGACCCAGGGATGGAATATGGTGCGGTTTAGCACGATCAGGACAACATCTAGGGTGAGATATTCGTGCCATTTCTTATCGCGGGTCGAGGATGAAGAAGAAGAGGAGGGAAGCTTTGAGGAAGAGACGATGCGCGGTGGTGTTGATGCGGTGGAGGTTGAAGCTGGAGCTGCTGTGGGTGTCGTGGTTGTCATTTTGGTGGTTATGTGCTTTTGCGATGATAATCTGAATTTTAATATCCTGTTAATTTGATAAAATATGAATGGATAAAGCAGAGTTCTTGTATGGAATCAGTTCATTGTTTGTCACTATGATCACCGCATAATCTGCTAGTCAGTGGAGCCAGAAAGAAGCAGGAAGAGAACCAAGCTAGTTGGGATGAGTCCTTGATGAGATGATGATGTATAGACAGTTCCTGTTCAGAAATCCCGCAGAGTAATGACGATGATCCCAAGAAAAATAGGTATGCGTGAGCGTTGAGAAAATGTCCGAGTTTCCTGGGATGGACGGACGTTGGAGTCGAAATAGCACGATGTGGGGTCGGCCTTTTGAGCATTTCTCCAACATATCCAGCTCGATCACTTCGACAACATTTCCTTAATTGTGTATATAATTTATGTGACATTTAAATGGCTGGATTTCCTTCCATTTATAAATTTGCTATAAGTTGAGTCCATCATTTTACATTATTGAACTCCCACCCGACAATACTATATATTCGGCCTTCTCCGCATTCATCGATCTCCTAAGTGAAGATCACATAACGATGCCACCCCAGCTCACGAGTCCTATAAAAACAATCCAAGGTGTTCGAATACCTGGACAATCCAACTCCCAAGCAATCTGCGATATCACCATCAGTTACCCCCCAGAGTCACCAGAGGGAACAATCGCTGCAATCACCCCGCATGGCGATCCCAACCCCTCGTCAACTCAAGATATCACCCAATTCCCCCTGATTGTGCCAACATTGACACATCCGCATATCCACCTCGACAAGGCATTCATCCACAGTGCTCATCGATATGCGCACCTTCGACCATCTGCCGGTTCCTTCCAAGAGGCACTGTCCTTCACCACCCAGGCCAAAGAGCAGTTCACCAAACCCGATCTTCGAAAACGAGGCGAATGGCTTCTAGCCGAGTCCTTGGCGTCAGGTGTCGCGGCAATGAGGGCATTCGTGGAGGTGGACCATACCGTGAAACTGAACTGTCTCGAAACTGGCCTCCAGCTGAAGGATGAATGGAAAGACTCCTGCCAGATTCAAGTCGTCAGCTTTGCGCAGGACCCCATCTTCTCCGGCGAGTATGCTGATGAGAATAAACGGTTGATGGAGTCGGCAGTTCGCGATTATCCCCAGACAGATGTCATCGGGACGACTCCCTATGTCGAATCAAGTGTCGAGGCCGCGAAGAGGAATATCGACTGGACTATCGAATTCGCCTTGGAGAATGATAAACATGTTGATTTTCATCTCGACTACAACCTGGACAAGAGCAAAGATGCCATGGTTTGGCATGTTCTCCACAAACTCAACCAGAAAGGCTGGACGGCCCAGTCAAGCAATAAGAGGGTGATGCTAGGCCACTGCACCCGACTCACCCTATTCGCAGACCAGGAATGGAGTCGACTCGCCCAAGAAATCCATGAAAATGATCTTCCTGTCAGTTTCGTCGGATTGCCCACTAGCGATCTATACATGGCTTCGCCGCCTAACCGATCGGAGGATGAGAATGTCCCCCCACATGAACGATCCAGAGGCACTCTACAAATCCCACACATGATCCGTAAACATGATCTTGACGCTGTTATTGGAGTCAACAATGTTGGAAACGCATTTACACCGTGGGGATCCCCAGATCCATTATCTCTAGCCTGTCTGGGAGTCGGAATCTACCAGGCCGGCACGCAAGCAGACGCGGAGTTGCTGTACGAATGTGTATCAACGCGTGCGCGTGCAGCAATTGGTCTATCGAATACCAACCAGTTGGGTTCAAGTCTGGAGGTGAAGGAAGGTAGTTGTCCTGATTTTCTGTTGATTTACAATGTGGATGAGACTGGATGTCAGGCGCCCAGGGCAAGAGAGAGCGTCGCAGAGGTTGTATGGGATCCGTCAACAAAGTTGACCAGGGATGTAGTATCGAGTGGTCGATTGATGTTGAAGCCCATGGCAGAGCAGAGGGCCTCTTCAAGTCCAAGGACAGTTATGCTGCATGAGGCAGAGTGATCGTCACGTATGTTATAACGCTCAAGAGCGCCATGAAGAACAAAGTTGGCAAGCTAAATGTGTGTAAATAAACTCAAGTGAATCTGAGTCTTCATAAAATCCGTGTATTATATTCATGGTGATGATCCAGTCCTCCAATTCGTAGTCTCTTTCTATAAAGTTCATACCAAAATACACACGTAGCCCTTGACTGAACGGAGGATGGAACATGCATGAATTCAATAACAGTAGCAATTATCACGTATCTGCGAAAAGAACTCGGAAGAAAACAAAGTAATAATCATGCTGTACCCCAAACAGGAGGCATTACATTTGCTTCTGCCCGAGCTTTGGCAGGGCCATGCAAAGCATAGCTGAATGTAGGACATGCAGAATCATCCCGCATAATATCAAGATCTTCAACGTTGAGCGAGAGACGGAAACCATTTCCAGCCCGTGGATACAAACGATGCTCTTGGAATTCTTCATACTCGGATTCATCCGAGTCATCGTGATGCTTCTTCTTTTTCTTCCTTTGAGATGATGAAGCGGAAGGTGGGGGGTTTGGATTTGGTATGGAGTCCTGCTGGTCAGCTAATGGAGGGTTGGTGGGCTCATGGGCTGGAGCGGTAGCTGCCGGGGTATTTGTTGAGTGAGGGAGAGAGGGAAGCGGTGCCATTGATGTACTCGACTGAAAAGAGAAATTTGACGTTTGTAAAGCCCTCATGTTCTCAGGGAATATCGGGATGGATAAGTGACTGTCTGATATGGTGACCAGGAGTTCAACCAAAGTTGCATGTGAAAGGCTTGACAAATAACCTCGTCTTTCATCTACTGAGAAACCCTCTCCTCCAACCTCAGCCTGAGGCATTGTCAAAGAAGGCCGAAGTGATGGACCGAGTGGTCCAGATGACTGACTCGGATTACTTCGGACAACCGTGGGATGGACAACCATGTTCTGCACAGGTTTGCACTCCCGGCAGAGCCATTCCTTCTCTTGCACAGTCACAACTTCATTATCGATAGGGGGATCATGGCATAATTGATGCCATGCCCCGTTGCACTCATCGCAGAAAACAATGGCATTCGATAATGGGCTATGCCCTCGTTCACAATGTATACAGTTGACATTCAACTCCTTCCCTTTGCGGTAGACGCGTTTACGTTTTCGGGCGACTGCGGTCTGGGTAGGTGTGATATCGGACGATTCTAAAGAATTGGATTTCTCTTTGTTGGCCACTGGAGATGGAGCTGCTGGTGGAACATAGAGAGAAGGACGATGCACTTGTCGACCGGACTTAGTCTGCGTTGCAGAAGGTGCAATGTCAGACTCATCAGAACTAGATTCTCCTGCTCTGATTACTCCTTCACCATCACTGTCATCCCCACGTCGTCGCTTTTTCAAGCGCTTGTTTCCCTTAGTGATGCTTCTCCGCTGGCGGGGAGCGGCTGGCGCTTTCTGTTGCTTTGCGGAGGACGTATTCTTGGCCACTGGAGCCGTAGGCTGTGATTGTGAGACTGACTGGATGTTTGTCGAAGTGGCTAAAAGCTTTGACGACGGTCCAGCTGGCTTAGGAGCAAGTGTGATGAGACCTGTTGATTTTAGATGGTTCTCTTGTGATGGTGTAGGAATGTGTTGGGGAATATCAGAGGCCACAGCAGTATTCGAGCACACAAACGGTGCCGTTGGGAGCTCTATGATTGCCGAAGAAGCTTTCATCTTGTTTGCTTCTCGACTATCCCAGCTATTCAAACTGTTATGATACAGAGATGAATTCCAACTGGCGAACTTATTATCATCTCTCTTCTTCTCTTCCTTTATATTCCCCGTCACCCGTGCAAGGAGCTCGGTGGTAGCCGCGGACAGTTTTGGAATTTGCACTTTACTTGAGACGGTACTCGACGGCAGATTAGGATTCGATGGTATTTTCCCAGACAATTGCTCAATGTTGGCTGGTGCCCGTTGTTCGAATAATGGAGCAGTTGGATGCGAACTCGTGATGGGGGCTGCGTGGGATGGTGGCGTAGTCTCTATAGACGCCAGGGAAGAAACCCCATTTTGCTGTGACATGCCCCAAATCTGGCTATTAAAAGACAATCAAATCGTGGGATGACCGAAGGAATGCCTCCATAAGTTCTGATTATTTGTCGTTTTTGAAATAACAGAGGATCGCATCGTGAACGGATCCAGACGTTTATATAGCATCACGTGATAGAAGGGATTTCTGTCCCCGCGCCCTTTCTGGGCTGCTCTTCTCAACGCTCGACGCTCGACTCTTGGTCTACCAATGCATTGTATATCATTAAGATCATCTATTTCTCATTGCCTCATCGAGGCTTGACCACCTGTTTACCTCTTTCTTAGGTCACTGGGCCGTGAATCTGTGGGCGGTCGACACCCCCCTTAAGAACCCTACGACGATGGCAGTGATGGATGATAGATCTTCTACGATACCACCCCCTGCTGCTTCAACCGAGCAATATCTTCTTCGCCGTAATCGAGGACTTGTCCAAGGATCTCATCCGTGTGTTGGCCCAGGGTTGGTGGAGGTGTTCTAACACCTGGCTTGGCTTCAGAATACTTGATCGGTGTATTCACCAGCTTGATGGGACCGCAGGCTGGATGATCGACTTCTGTGACCATTCCGCGTGCTTGGACTATATTGACAATAATTATTAGGAAAACTTTCGATCGTTTTGAAATGTTAGGCAGATAACTTACCATGGGAATGATTAAGGGTGCCTTGGATATCATTCACGGCGGCATATGGCATACCACTCCCTTCAAAGATTTCCAACCATTCCTGCGTGGTCTTCTGTTTGGTTGTCTCTTCAATCATACTGTCGATCTGTGCCCGATGCTGAACACGGACACTGTTTGTGATATAACGCTCATCGGTCTTCCATTCCGGGAACCCCAGCTTGTCACACAACACTCCGAACAACTTGTCGTTTCCACCTCCGAACAGGATGTCTCCATCAAGGGTCTGGTAGCTCCGGTAGGGTACAATTGATGCTGAAGAGATGTTAGCAATGAGTTACGTGCCCTGTCGTGAGGATTTCATCACTTACGGTGCTCTGTGCCCCATCGTCCGGAGTCCTTTTTCCCACTGATCAGGGCGGAACTTGCTATATTCGATAGAGTTGCGACTTGACAATCACTCAGACAGGCATCGATATGCTGTCCTTTGCCGGTTCTAGCTCTGGCAAGTAGTGCAGCCATGATGGCATTCGACGTATACAGTCCCGTTGTCAAGTCCGTGACAGCCACGCCGACTTTGACGGGTTCACCACCTCTACTACCTGTAATATGCATGAGTCCCATCTCTGCCTCAACCATAACGTCATAACCAGCCCGGTTACTGTATGGCCCTGTTTGGCCATACCCGGTAATACTTGCGTAGATCAATTTGGGGTTAATAGCTTTCAGCGTCTCGTAGTCCATGTTGTATTTCTTGAGACCTCCCGGAAGATAGTTCTCGACCAGAACATCACTCTCCTTTACAAGCTTATGGAGAATCTCGACGCCGGATTTATGGGCAAAGGAGAGGCCGACTGATTTCTTGTTGCGGTTCACCTGTTGCACATGTCAATTGAACTTTCAAAAATTTTCTTGAAAATAAGTTTGTCGTACAGCTAGATAATAAGCACTTTCCCCAGGGCCTTCCTTTGACGCATCTTCATATTTGGCGTATGGTGGGCCCCAAGCACGGGTGTCGTCGCCGCGCACAGGGTGTTCAACTTTGATAACATCTGCTCTGTAAAGACAATGTTAGAATTCTTAAAAAAAAAAAAAAAAGGAAATTGGGTGAAAAGAAACCAAAGAGTTATTACATACCCCAAGTCTCCCAATATTTGTGTACAGTATGGCTATATCAAGGGATGGATCAGTACCAGCCCCGACAAGACACATGCATAACTGCCCCAAACTTACACCAGCCAAAACCCTCGTCATATCAAGAACCCGAATACCCGCCAAGGGAAGCGTATCGTCCAGCGTGGGGATAGCGCTCGAGTAGCGTCGCCATTGTGTCGTGCGTCTGAGGATGTTGGAGTACAGCGCCGGCCGACGGGCAATGGCTTGTAGCTTCAGCGTAGCATTCATGGCTATGCGATTGAGATGCCGGACATTGAATAGTGGAATTCCCGCTTTCAACAACAGCAGCTCAAGTATTCAGTTTAGTTTTATACCCCAAGAACCAAGAAGATCAGTCGGAGCTGATGTTGAAGTTGCGGAGAAGCCAACGAGTAAGAAAGACGCCGACACCGGGAATATCACCGACTTGGAGAAAAGCCGAGGTCAACCGGGCGGAGTTGCTTGCCTACGAGAGCTACGTTATGTCGGCAATTTGGGTAATTTAGAGGTTATTGGAATGTACTAGCGAGCGTTCATGGGACAATTTTGGGATGGAAGCGAAAATAGCGTTTCTATAGAATGGATATTGCAGAAATGATTACCCAGCGGCTGGTAAACAAACAGTGGGATCACCTCAGCTATTATCTAATAAGAAGATGAGTGAAGAATAGTGGGATGGCATAAGATCGCCCGTGTCAGCTAGCTACTAATCTATGTCAGACCAGAACCATATCTGACAGATCTTCAAAACATGAAATGTCGCTGATTTGAAGCTATCCCCGTGCACATCCCACCAAACGGCCCTATTAGCTATTAGATAAGATAGCAGTGGTAATCCCACGGTCTATCAGCCCACCCCCAATAATAGGATCATCAATCCTGCAATTTAAATGATTAGCCTCTAGTGTCAGATTAATAGGAACTTTTTGGGCCTGATGTTTTGATATAAAAGCTTGGTCCTTCGTCGCGATTATAAATTGGGCGGTCAACTTTGATATACAGTCTTCCGCAGATCCCGCTATTTCTTCCCTTTTCTCCTATCTTTAACACGTATCAAATCACACTCTTACTTCAATCATGTTCACTGGTCTTGTTGAGAAAATCGGGAGTGAGTCTTTTTCTTGCTGCATATTGAAGTATCCTTTGAACTGACTGATTCTTTGCTAGCTGTCACGTCCTTGGAGCCCCTCGACACCTCGTCAAGCGGGGGCGGGGGAACTTCTCTGACCATTTCCGACTGCGAGGAGATTCTCACAGATGCGCATCTTGGAGATAGCATTGCCGTGAATGGTATGGCATGAATCCAAACCTCCAATTCCCATTGTCCCATCTAGCGGGATGAGAACTAATACGAATCAACCATGAATAGGAACATGTCTTACAGTTACTGAATTCGACAGAACCTCGTTCAAGGTCGGAGTCGCCCCTGAAACTCTCCGTCGCACGAATCTCGGATCCTTGAAGACAAACTCTCGAGTAAACCTCGAACGGGCCGTTAAGGGAGAAACACGAATGGGTGGTCACTTCGTGCAAGGTCACGTCGACACCATCGCTAAAATCCTCTCCGTCACACCGGATCAGAACGCGCTGGTTTTCCGACTGCAGCCAAGAGATAAGGGCGTTTTGAGATATATCGTGGAGAAGGGATATGTTACACTGGACGGTGCTAGCTTGACAGTGACCAAGGTCGTGGACGGAGAGGATGGGTACTTTGAGGTCATGCTCATCGCCTACACCCAGGAAAAGATTGTTACCGCCAGCAAACAGTCTGGGGAGGATGTCAATATCGAGATCGATATCGTCGGCAAGTATGTCGAGAAGAGTGTTGAGGGCTACTTTGCAGGAGCAGCTGGAGGTGACTTTAGCGTCCTTGAGAAGATGGTTTCTCGGATTGTGGAGGAGAAGCTCAAGCGATGATGGAAAAGCATGTTATAATGATTTAAGCACTGTAAATTTATGCAAAGCGAACAATTTAAGACATCAATTTGCCATGTTATACTATTTACTGTCCTTTTTTTTGACCATGCATCCACAGCCACAATCTTTGGGTATAATTTTGGGTCCTCATAATCTAACATCGTCTTTCAACATATCTCACCAGAAAGCTGTCTTTCAACATCTCGATAGATGGCGACATCGGGAGACCACATAAGCTGGAGAAGTATTCGCAGTCACCCAGTGTTTTCTCATTAGCCGTGCCCTTGACTAGAGATGCATTCTTGTCCGCACGGGAAAGATTGCGAAACTAGTTGGGAAGGATGGTCGAAACTGAATTTCATGCCGCTGTTCATTGTCGTAAGCGTAGCAACCGTAATATCAGAGCTAGAAACAGCCTGTTATCCTTAATGAGAAAAACGCCAACTGCCTCGAACTATTGGCGACTGTCGTGCGCGGCCATTCGGTGTTCCAAAGCCAGGTACTTGATACAGCAGTTCGGGGCACGTTGGACGCCGCTTCATGTCGAGAATGGACGATACTTGAGAAAAGAGCTTGCAATTGCGTTCTTTTATTCCTCCATCGACTCGTCGCTGTCCTCCACTTCATCCTCCTTGTTCTCGGCTTCCTCCTCATCAAAGTCATCGCTGAGCCAAGCTTCATCGTCATCCATATCAACATCATCATCGTCCTCATCATCGTTTTCGCCTCCCTTCCCTTCGGATCTGGCCTTGGCCTTCTCCTGCTTCTTCTTCTCGACGTTCTCCCTTTGCAGCTTCTTCCTAGCCGCCTTCTCCTTCTTCTTCTTATCCCAGTTCTTTTCCAAAGACTTAACTTCCTCTTCAGACTTGTTGATAAAATCGTGCCACATCACCTTTCCATCGCACAGTCCCTCTTCAACCTTGATTAGTCGAAGTTTCATGCGCGGTCCCAATTCGACCAGCTTGACTGCCCGCTTCTCAACTTCTGGGGCGCTGTTGATTTTCTTCTGGGCCTTCTCTTTATCCTCCGCTTTCATGCGTTGCAGCTCCCGCTTGTTCAGAACTTTCTTTGTTGTGCTCTCCGTAACCTCGACCTCGTTATCCGTGTCCAGTTCAGTTTCACTAGCCGAAGTATAACCAGCAGCTGATGGATCGAGCAAGTACTCTGCAGCATCCTCTAGCTTCCCCAGATTGGGAACAGCGGATTTCTTCTTTTCCTTGTTTCGGATCTCCTTGGGGTCAAGACGACGAATTCGCTTTGGCACACCGGTCTTCCTCGTGCTGATAGCATAGTGTCTGAGGTTCAAGACATATGAGTCCTCTTCCTCTCCCTCAGAGGACAGTTCTCGGTTCAGACACATGACACGGCGGATGGAAGTGAGAGGTGTAGCTTGAGGGTTGATCGGCGGGAAGAGGGATTGGAAAATGGTTGTGGTCAGGCCTTCCAGACGCTTGGGTACTTTTGAATTCTCGTCTGCGTTTGGGGAGTTGAAGTTGTTCATAACCAACAGAGGAGGCGTTTTGTGGTCTTGACCTCCACCTCTTGGGCGCTTCAATGCTCTCTCAACATCTCTACACAGAGAATAGTTCTCAACCTTGAAGTGAAGAGTCGGGCCTCGGGGAGTGAGGGCTAAACGCATATTCGTATTTCCAGTAGCGGACTTTGAGAAGAGCATAAGATGTGTGACACCGAGAGGTCCTGTCATTGCTGTATAATCTCTCAATCTGTTGGATTTGCGTTCCTGAAAGAAAATTTCGTTAGGCTTGAAATTGCGCGATGACAGCGGATGCATCTTACCTTCAATCGCACAGCCGTCTCAGGCTCCATCATCAAACGAACATCTTTAACCAGCTGGCTGACGCTGGATCCGACCTGCGAAGCACCGACTCGGAGGACCATAGACTTCGGGGATTTGTTCATGGACGAACCACTGCCTTTGGCACTGGCCGAGGCATTTTGCGCTCGAACATGAGTGCGCTTCTTGGTACGTGCCTTGGCCATTTTGAAAACAAGCCTGAGTTAAGTATATGGAAGAGAATTGTTTTCGAAGAATATTTCGCAAAGGTCTAGAAGGGAAGGTGACTTTTTTTTTTCGACTAGCGGAGCAATCCCGCGGATAAGCCCCGGATCAACGATGTTGCGGCGCCCAAAATTATTTTTTTACTGATGATGTCGTCAAGAAAAAACGACTCTACATTGAAATCACTGCCAATTTACAGATTATCATGCCTCCGATTAAGAAGAGAAAGGTTGCCAGTGAGGCACCAAAAGTTGAGAGCGATGCCGAGTCCACCAGCTCTCACGAGTCCGCCGTTGAAAAGAACCCTCCCCAGGACGATGCTCAAGCGCAAGACCAAGAAGATCAATCGGAGAAAAAGCCGTTGCCCAAGAGCTTCAAAGAACTAGGAATCATCGATCAATTATGTGAAGCTTGTGAATCTTTGGGCTATAAGGCTCCTACGCCTATTCAAGCCGAATCTATCCCGTTGGCTCTCCAGGGCCGCGATCTGATCGGTTTGGCAGAGACAGGAAGTGGAAAGACTGCAGCTTTTGCTCTCCCCATGTTGCAAGGTATTTACTGGAGATTGTTTAATGGATAATCCTATGGATGAAGCTGATATATTTATAGCGCTCATGGATAAGCCGCAATCGCTTTTCGGCCTCATCTTGGCCCCGACTCGAGAGTTGGCGTATCAGATTTCCGAGGCCTTTGAAGCACTGGGATCGTTAATCTCTGTTCGAACCGCAGTTATCGTCGGAGGAATGGACATGGTACCGCAATCTATTGCTCTGGGAAAGAAGCCGCACATTATCGTTGCTACGCCAGGTCGTTTGCTGGATCACCTCGAGAACACAAAAGGTTTCTCGCTACGGGGTCTCAAGTGTCTCGTCATGGATGAGGCCGATCGACTTCTTGACATGGACTTTGGACCGATTCTCGATAAGATCCTCAAAGTTCTTCCTAGAGAGCGCCGCACATTCCTTTTCTCTGCAACCATGAGTTCCAAGGTCGAGTCGCTGCAACGAGCATCGCTTTCCAACCCCCTTCGAGTTTCCGTCTCCTCGAACAAGTACCAGACCGTCTCCACCCTGCTCCAGTCATACTGTTTCATCCCTCAAAAGCACAAGGATATCTACCTGGTGTACCTCCTGAACGAATTCGCCGGCCAGTCCGCCATTGTCTTCACTCGTACCGTCCACGAGACACAGCGACTTGCATTCCTACTCCGAGCGCTTGGGTTCGGCGCAATCCCTCTTCACGGACAGCTGTCCCAATCCTCGCGACTGGGCGCTTTGGGCAAATTCCGTTCCCGCAGCCGAGATATCCTGGTCGCCACCGATGTTGCCGCCCGTGGTTTGGATATCCCGTCCGTCGACGTTGTGCTCAACTATGACCTCCCCACCGACAGCAAGACCTACATCCACCGAGTTGGACGTACGGCTCGTGCAGGAAAGAGTGGTGTAGCAATCAGTCTTGTGACACAATACGACATTGAGATCTGGCTCCGCGTGGAGGGTGCGCTGGGCAAGAAGCTTGGTGAATACGATGCTGCTAAAGACGAGGTCATGGTTGTGGCTGAGCGTGTTGGAGAGGCTCAGCGACAGGCCATTATGCAAATGAAGAGTTATGATGAGAAGAGAGGCAACAAGGCCGGAAAGAAGAGTGGCTTCGGGAAGCGCTCTCGGGATGAGATGGATCACGAACAGGGCTAAGGGGATTAAAAAAAGTATTTGCTTTTGTGTACTATTCTTTTTACAGGAACATTTTGGCCTGTATTTCATCCTGTATGATTCCAATACCCACCTAGAATTATGATAACTATGAATGCTTTCAAGTTCCGGATTACAGGCGCAGGGACAAAGCCTAACTGAGTGGAATGGTCTTGTGGAGAGTTAAAAAAGTGGTTGGAAATAAGATCATCAATTCATTTTTCGTAATAATCACCATAAACTCTATGACTGAAACCAAGTTTCTGCATGAGGCAACATCCTGTGTCATTCTATTGCCGGTTATTCTCCTATTTGAGATTTTTGGTTTCCCGTGACAATAGACCTCGGACTCTGTGTTACTGATATCTCATTTTGGGACAAATGCTCGCTAACAGAATTGGAAAATCATCTCGGAGAATTTTAAGTATAAATCAAGGCGTCCAAATATGTGACAGCTTAGGACTGAGTTTCTTTGCCGGAACCGGCCTCGCGGACAGCGTTGGCGACGCGAGTAGCAAGGTCCTCAGATTCGGACCGGCTTGCGGCCTCGGCGTAAACACGCACTGCGTCTTCTGTACCGCTTGCACGGGCGAAGCTTCTTCCCTTGTTATACCGAGACTGCAGGGATTCAATCTTTTCCTGAAGACCAGCAGGAGATTCCAGCTTGCGTTCAGCATCATAGGCCTTGAAGATCGAGCGATCGGCAACTTCGACACGAACGAGGCGGGAGGGAAGGTCTGTGTAGGTTCCCAACCACTCCTTGGGGCTCCATCCCTTGTGAGCAAGGATGACCTCGACAAGAAGCATGTCGGAGAGGGCATCGCCGACGGCCTGGTTGATCAGGTCGGTGAGGGCCTGGAGGCATTCAAGAGACCGCTTCTGAGCAGGGGACTGAGGCTCAGTGCTCTTGATAATCTTCAGGGCATTTTCGGAGAAGGTGATGGTGCCGTGACCGTTGGCCTCGAAGTAAACACCAACATCATAACGCATCGCAGCGTGGTGCAGATGCTTGACACCGGTTTTGGTGCAAACTGATGGGAGCTTCAACACCTTTTCAATGTAGTCGGTACTGGCGCCGTTGGCATAAGCGGTCTGGATGACACCGATCTTGATGTTTTGTGCGATTCCAGCGCTCCGGGCAAGATCGCCAATGAAGGACGCGGCGAGTGTCGCAATGCGGTCGCCATCAAGAAGTCTGAAGACGTTGCTCTCATCTTGGAAGTAATAAACAAGACGATCAGCATCACCATCCAAAGAGGCACAACGGTCAAGGACAGAGGCCTTGGATGAGGGAGGAGCACGCTGCTTTGTCTTGACATAATCGGCACCGCACTGATGATAGGGTTAGTTCTAGAGTTAGAAAGCAGGGAGCATGGGAGTCCAACCTCGAAGTTCAAGCTGTCAGGGTTGATGACATCGTCATTAACGACCTTAATATCAATGCCACCTTCCTCGGCAGCAGGCAGATATTTGATGAGTTCCCTCAATTTAGGTCCACCAACGCCGTTTGCGCAGTCGACGGTTAGAGAGCCCTTGACCTTGACGCCGCGGGTCACTCGCTTGAACGCTTCGGCAAGCTTCTCATAGTAGCCTTGCTCGGTAGGTTCACCGTACTCGTACTGTGTTCCCAATGTGTTCTTGCAGCGGACAATGTAGTGAAGCTGGGGCGTGGTCATGTATTTCAGATCGACGAACTCGACTTCAGTAGCGGTGAGTGCAGCGTTAAGGACGCCAACGAGGCGAGAGCCAGAAGCGCGAGTGTCTCGGGCAAAGACCACACGAGCCGGGTTTTCCATGTTGACATCAATCTCCTTGATGAGTTCATCGTAGACTTCACCGATATTCTCGAGAGAAGCATTGGCGAGCTTTGTGGCATATGCCTCCCATTCGGCCTACCGAGGAACGTAAGCTTCCATCTTGGTCACGATATATATTATGATGCCTACCTCAAGCATTTCGCCCTAATGAGGTCAACCGGTTAGAATCTCTATCCCCACGATTCGGAAAAGCTTCATTCTGGAGCTTACCATAGGATCGACCAGCTTGACACCATTGTCCTCAGCCGGGTTGTGGCTCGCAGTGACCATAACACCGATCCATTGTCCGCTGAGCTTCTTGGATCGAAGACCTGCAAGCAATCCCACAGCAAACACCACGGTGTTGAGGAGGTCACTATGAATACGTGTTGGTAAATGTGTAAATAAAAGGACGATCGCGGGGTATTGTGGAGGCGGGGCTGATCCATTATCGAAGAGGATCAGAAGGAAAAAAAAAAAAAAAAAAAGAAAGAAAGAAAGAAAGAAACTTACGCTTTCATACGAAACTGAAGAAATATTCAAGCTTAGCTAGAGTCCATAAGCTGGAGATGCCGAAGAAACAACTTACCCCAGCAGTACCATACTCGAAAACCTTCCCATCTGGCTTCGAATACTGCAATGCCGCCTTTGAGATTGCTTCCTTGATAGCCGGAGACGCCATGATGGCGCTAAATAGACAGAATTAAGGTCGAAAAACCCCAAAAGATATCAAATTAATCAACCAAGGGCCTCTGAACCTGATGAAGAGCAGCAGAAGGTAGAGGAAAGCGAGAAAAAAACAAAAGGGACAGCCCAAGGCAGTGGATTACTCTGGCATGCGGGCCAGCTTAGTTCCTTTCTTACTGCCACAGCCCAAGCGGTGAGCGGAGGAGGGGAAAAGGGGGGTTCGGCGACGGACCACCGCCGAGACAGAAAACAGAACGAGGTGGAAATAATAGCAGCTCTACGACCGATAATAGCCCAACGACATCGAATTGCATTTGGGCTCAACAATTCTACATGGATGCTTCTCCTGGGCGGTCGGCATATTCATCAACAATCATCAGGTTGTCTGAGCTGGACCTACTGTACAGTGTACGACCAAGCCGTATATGACCGAAGCACGCAATGTTCATTTTAAACAGCCACAGGGCTAGAGCAACAATAGATATAAAAGAAAGCAAGGGATTATAGGGAAAAAATAAACCGAGGGGGAAATCAACCCCACTAGATCAAGCTTTCAATCGGTGCCCGGCCACGTCATCTTGGACGTCTTTGATCAAGAATCTACCGATCACAAACAAAGATTAGCCCTTCTGAGTCAAGTCCAATGTCAAGGGTTGCACGAAGATACTTACGAATACCACCATGCAGTGGGGATCACAGTCCCCAAGTGCCACAGACTATGGGCATCAATCAGCCCATGCCAAGGAGGGAAGTCCAACAGTTCAAGACTCATGGCCAAAATGATCCATGCAACAATCATGCCAGGCCATGCCGTCCATGTCTTGAGATTTCTCCGATACCGAGTAATACTAAATCCCGTCCACAAAATATTTTGAATGATTCCAATAACGATATTCGCAATCATATTATAGGTATAATCCCACGACCAGAAACTGAGATAGCATACGTGCATAGTATAGAGCAGGATGCAGATCAGGGTTAAGAGTCGGCGCAGGGTCGGTTTGTACCGGAGATTTCCCTGGTCTAGACGCAATATTCTGACGACAGCCAGATAGAAGCCGTACATGACGTTGGCGCCTGCCCCGAAATAATCAAGCTTCTCTGTTAATGGAAAGTCCCTGGTGTGAAAGAGCATGCTGAATGTCCAGCACGCCAGACCGCAGTATCCGAAGGCGAGATAATATTGCCGCAGAGAGTGCCAGGTCGGGACCGACTCCTTAATTCGACAGATACCTTGCCAATGGGCGAGAAAGTTGAGGAGAGAGAAGAGAACCGAGAACGGTTCTTGCATGCCGAGAATCCTGCGGAAAGGCCATTTTCCATGGAATTGTACCACCGGGCTAATCATTGGGGGGTCTCGCGCGACTCGACGATCGGTCACAACATGCTGACAGGTATAATCGCATTCGGCGGGACAGGTCCATAGCATGAGGCGGAGGTGAATTGCTACGAAGAGAAATCGATCAGTCAAAGGGGGTTTGCAGGAAAAGCAGGTGAGGACATACGTATAGCCGAATTGCCATTCTGGCAGTTTTCAGCTTTACAAACCTGGACATTGGTTAACAAGCTGACCCGAAAGCACTTCACATCACCAATGCGCTATTCGTACCTGGACGCATTCTCTAAAGTCGGGGAGACGGTCTCCCAGAGAAGCCGTGGATCTCCCAACAAGAGCAGCAAAAAGAAGAAAAGCAAGCAAAATGCAGGACTTGCTTCCTCTCGCGCCCAGAATCATTGTGTTTCTATATCTGCGACCGAGGTAATGGCACTTGAATGTGGAGAGCCTCAGGAGAAAACAACATTCCACGACGGGGTCTATATGGCGTAGCTACAGGGCGGAGAGTAAAATCCCCCGGCAGAACTATGGGCACCAGTGTTCTTGGCATTCTTTTCCTCCGCGATAGTACGGAGCAAGAACATCTCGGTTCTTTTTGATGGTGAAGAATGACACACTTGGATATTTGAGTCTGAAGAAATCCCCGTAAATTATCCTTTGATATACGAAGGGAAAGATAGAGCCAAAGTTCTGTGTTGTAAAAACCATCTTAAGTCCGATGTCTTGATCTCTGCTCCACTTGATTGGAAGGCCATGCCAATCATAAGGCGACCTGGAGGGTCTTGGATGCTGGCCAAATATACCCTACCACCACAACTACTCCCAAACTAGTTGTTGACCAGAATATCCTTTTAATATGAAGACTTGCTGAAGCTCATGATGCCTAATATAAAATACAACTGCAAAGAACGCAATGAGTAGCCCTAATCAGATGAGGGTTCTCAAAATCACATGGCGTGTGCCAGATCCGGCCTAGCGCCAGTAGACACTCGGACTAACCGTAGTTGGCGGTTGTCTGGATGAGAATTTCTAAGAGTTTAAAAAAAAAGTCGGATTGAGGGGATTGATCTTCATCCTTCATTATTTATTGCATTTATTACAAACCAGGCATTTTTTGTCTTTTTGTTAATATTGTGTTCTTATCTGTTTGCCTTTTCTTTTTCTCCATTATCTTCTTTTGGATTTAGAAGAATATAGCAAATATGGACAGGCAATCTGCAGAGCCCGGTTTGATGACCAGCAGCGCGGACCGTATGGTCGGCATGGAGCACGCTGAAGTTCGCTACTTTACTAGGTATGGTTATAGTTAAATTCCTAAATGTTTGTGTTCATACATCGCTGACATTATGATAGCTACGACCACCATGGTAAATACTATCAATGACTTGTGTTCGGGATATACAGCTGGCTAACCATTCAACCCCGCTCAGGCATTCATGAGGAGATGCTTGTAAGAACAACCTCTTCAGTACCCCATACAGTACCATTTGCTAATGCATTCGTTTCTTCCTACAGAAAGATGATGTTCGTACCCGATCATACCGCGACTCTATCTACCAGAACCGTCACATCTTCAAGGACAAGGTCGTTCTCGATGTCGGATGCGGAACTGGTATTCTCAGCATGTAGGTCTACTTTATACAGAGACAGTCGGGGGATCACATACTAATTGTGTTGTGATTTAACAGGTTCGCTGCCAAGGCCGGTGCTAAGCATGTAATTGGTGTGGATATGTCTTCGATTATCGAAAAGGCCCGTGAGATCGTTGAAGCCAACGGCTTGACGAGCAAGATTACCCTTCTCCAGGGCAAGATGGAGGAGGTCGAGATGCCCTTCCCCAAGGTCGATATCATCATTTCGGAATGGATGGGCTACTTCCTTCTCTACGAAAGCATGTTGGACACTGTCCTCTACGCCCGTGACACATACCTCAACCCCGGTGGCAAGATCTTCCCCGACAGAGCCACTATGTACTTGGCGGGTATTGAGGACGGCGAATACAAGGATGACAAGATCGGATGTAAGATTTATCTTGACAACCATGAGCTATCAGGCCAAAGGCTAATGACATCTCAGTCTGGGACAACGTCTATGGATTTGACTACAGCCCTATGAAGGAAATCGCCCTCACGGAGCCCCTCGTCGACACCGTTGAGATGAAGGCCGTGGTCACCGACCCTTGCCCCATCATTACCCTCGATCTTTACACAGTCAAGAAGGAGGACTTGGCATTCAAGGTTCCCTTCTCGCTCCCTGCCAAGCGCAGCGACTTCATCCATGCCGTGATTGCTTGGTTCGACATTGACTTTACCGCATGCCACAAGCCCATCAGCTTCTCCACCGGTCCTCATGCCAAGTACACCCACTGGAAGCAGACCGTCTTCTACCTGCGTGACGTTCTCACCGTCGAGGAGGAAGAAGTTGTGTCTGGTGTCATCGAGAACAAGCCGAATGACAAGAACAAGCGTGACTTGGACATCGACATCTCGTACAAGTTCGAGACCCAAGACCCAGTGCGCTTCGCTGAGGGCAGCTGCTTCTACAGGATGTAAGCATCCTCTTCCTCTTCGTTCTCCTCTGAATATAGATGACTAATCTTTGAAGGTGCTAATTTGCTCGTCCCCTATAACTTTCGGCCCTTCTACTGTTCTTTTCTCTTAGAGGCATAGATGTTCTGTCAACAAGTTCTGGTTTCAATGTGGGCAGCATAGCGTAGGCAGAGTGCAGAGTTTTGTTCGTGTGGGATTTCTGGCGGGTTGAATGGCCTCATATGATTCTGGTCATTTTCTCTATCTCTCTTTTGGCGTTTATTGGAAGGCAGGGGAACGGCATTATTATTCGGCGTGATACGGAGAGATGATGTCCACTGACACGGTTATGAAGCTCCTCGAATTCCCAAGTAGATACCCCGAGTCGATGCTCAGTCCTAGCAAACTCCGACGTTCTCCTTAGTTTAATTGAGCTCTGACCCTTTTCTTTCTATTGCCTAATGAAAATTCGCATTAGTATTCTTGTCCGCGGTTTCTTTCCAATGATTAATATTCAGGACCCGTCTTGGTGGATGGCGTGTTTCGGTCCAAATCACCTAGCCGGGCGACAGGTCGGATCGAGCCTCGGTTCGGTGCTAGCCCCGCAACGAAGTCGTACTACATGTTAAGGATGGAGTCGCCCAGCTAGCTACTATTTCTAGCCCCGTCTTTCATTTCTTATCAATCTCTGTATATCTGCTGCTTTCAGAGTTCCCCATTCCTAGTATTATTTCGATTTTTTGAACCGCAGGGTTTCTGTTGTATTCTACACCTTCAAACTTCGTCATTTTCAAGCCAATTACTACCCCAATGTCGGCTCCGGGAGCTGGTCACCAATTCCCCTCCCAGGAGGTTTCCTGGCAAAAGCGCGATGTTCTGTTGTTCGCTAATAGCATCGGCTGCAAGGCGGATGAGTTGCACTTCCTCTATGTAAGTCCAGCCTGAAATAACCGTCTCAATCGTTCTCATCCTGACTATTACATAGGAGCTTCACCCAAACTTCGCCGTCTTTCCGACCTACTCTTTAATTCTCCGTATGCTTTATAAAGCCTACCCAGAGCCCTAGAGAGATGGAAAATACTAACTCTTCTTGACACATACAGCATTCAAGCTCACAGACCAAGAGGTCACGGATTTCTATGCTCGCTCACAGGGTAGTCCCATTCCCGGCGTTCCGAAATTCGACTATCGCCGCGTGGTGGACGGTCAGCGCAAGCTTACCCTGCTGAAGCCTCTCCCGCCTTCCAGCGCAGGCAAGAAATTCGAATTGCGTAACAAGGTTATTGGTGTTTATGATAAGGGCAAGCCTGGAACCGTCGTTGAGACAGAGCAGTCGATTGTGGATGAAACCGGGGAGGTGTACTCCAAGACCGTGAGCAGCAACTTCTTTGTTGCGCAGGGTAACTGGGGCGGTCCTAAGGGTAATAATTCATCTGAGTCATATTTTCCTGCCAATGACCTGCTAATCTGATTTTTCTTACAGGACCAAGCACTGTTAGCTATGCTCCCCCAGAGGGCAGAAAGCCAGACGCTGTTCATGTGATCCAGTCTACTTTGGAAACCGCCCATCTTTATCGGTATGATTCCACCAGGTCAAGCTACAGATTTAAACACAGTATCTAATCATAGTTGATATTTAACAGACTAAACGGCGACTACAACCCTCTCCATGCTACCCCAGAGCCCGGTCAGCAGATGGGCTTCGGAGGAATCATCATCCATGGCTTGTTTAGCTGGAACTCTGCGGCCCACGGCATTCTAAGGGAGCTCGGAGGCAGCGACCCCAAGAATCTGAAGGAGTTCCAAGCGCGTTTCGCTTCGCCAGTTAGACCCGGTGACAAACTTACAACAGAGATTTGGCGAATGGGAATTGTCCAGGATGGATTCGAAGAAGTTCGCTTTGTGACGAAGAACGACAAGGATAAGGTTGTTTTGAGCAACGGCCGCTGTCTGTTGAAGGTTGTTGGGCCAAAGAGTAAGTTGTAAGGGATAGATATCTTTATATTTTGTTATATAGTGCATCCTCATTCAAGGGTTTTTTTTCAAAATACGTGCAAACAGTACTGAAAGCTCCAGCCCTCGGTCGTTATCTCATATATGATCTACTTCCCGGTACATCGATCTACAAATGCAAGTACGTAGCCTACAACGGTATGATAACATCCTTTGGATAATTCTCCAATCAGCTATTGTCCACATTTCAATTTATCCTTTTCCCAAATATCCTTATGTCCGGTACCTAGGCCGTATGATGGGTGGCACGTGATAACAACCCAAACGCATGTGGGCTGTGGAGCTACTCCTCCATATAACGTCGCATCTTTTGTTTCCTGCACAAAAATCTTAATTATAACTATTTGGCATGAGTATGAGCAGGATCTCCTCTCCCAGGTCATTTGGGACCTGGAGAAATGCCGGGTAAGTCTTCTGGATATCATGCATGACGCAGAATATTCGACTAATGTAACGTCCAGCACATGGCACGTACCCGTTACCCCGAAACGCAGCCTGGTACGTAGCCAACGAATTGAGATATCGTCAATGCGTTATAGTTTTTTAAAGCTTGAGATGCTTTGCTCATTTATTTTTAGGGCGCAAGTTACAGAAATCTATCAACTATTCTTAGGCCTCGGATTCCGCAGCTTGCCTCGGGCTGCCGAATCCCGTCTATTGGCCTTCGAAGTAAACATTCTTCGAGTTGGACCGATGCGCAAAAAAATAACATCCAGACCCAGTCTGGAGAAAGGATCCTGGGACCTGAAAGAATACCTGACCATGTTCAATTGAAAGTCAACCCTGAAGGGAACATCGGGAACTTGTAAGGAACCGATCTAGTACCATTGGACGAATGACAGCTAATTCCACATACAGTGGGCCTTTCTGGCTTAGGTTGGCATAATAACCATATTTATATTGAAGTTAGAGGCTTATATGGCTATTTTTCTGATATTATAGGGAGAATTGCCAGTGCGCAAAGTGCATTCATCCAGATACGAAGCAGCGAGCCATAGATACGTTTTCGGTATGGCTGCTGCTGATTTCTTCTGCTGGAAGAATGCGACTAACTCATATTCTGCATTAGATGCCTCTAAATGTCAGAGCACGGAATGTCGAGTATGATACCGGCGGTGCTAAAATCGAGTGTAATGCGCTCACCAATATCTTTACTTTGAAGCTTTAAAGTTGTCAGACTGACTTAGTTAGGGTCTGATGGTCATATTGGTGACTATCCATTCGATTGGCTACTCCCACATCAGGAACATACTTCCTTGAATAGGAACTTGGTCAAACCAGAGCCGATGTCATTCAGGTACAACTACTCGTCTTGGCAATAAACCAGCTTTCTGTTAATGACCTTTTTTTTTTTTTTTTTTTTTATAGACCAATGCGTTCATTAGTACCGGGCCAATCCTCTCCAAAAGTGTCATATGAAAAGGTCATGTCAGAGGACCGTTATCTGTTTGAGTGGCTTGACAAAATAGTAAGTTCGATTTCCGGTGTTGGTTTAACCCTGTGGGTTCCAAAGCTGATTCTTTTAAGTATTCCTGGGGATTCTGCTTTGTCGAAGGCATTCCTATCAATCCGGAATCGACACAGGCTCTAATTGAAAGGATTGCTTTCATCAGACACACTCATTACGGTACTGTCTATTACCCCCTCCAAATTATAAATCATTCTCCGATGGTTGTTGATAGTATATAAGGTGGATTCTGGGACTTCACAGCCGACTTAACTTTCAAAGACACCGCATATACAAACGAATTCCTCGGCTCGCATACGGACAATACGTACTTTACTGACCCAGCGAGGCTTCAGCTATTCCATCTTCTATCTCATACTGATGGTGATGGAGGAGAAAACTTGCTTGTTGATGGTTTCAAGGCTGCCCAAATCATGCAAGAGGAGAACCCGGAGGGTCTCGCCACACTAGCTTCAACGAAACATCCATTCCACACCAGCGGAAATGAGGATACATGCATCCAGCCTGTGACCCAAGCTCGTGTACTCGAAACCCATCCCGAATTTGGATACCTGTATCAAGTTCGTTGGAACAATTACGATCGGGCACCCAAAAGCGACTGGTCTATACGTGAGCAATATCAATGGTACGAGGCAGCACGTCATTGGGACGAAATCATCAAACGCCCAGAGATGGAAATATGGACACAATTTAAGCCTGGAACGGCAATCAGTACGTGCAACCCCCCTAAAGATTTGATATCAATACAATTTAGTCTGACACTGATCTAGTCTTTGATAACTGGAGAATACTTCATGGTCGTTCAGAATTTACCGGAAAGCGACGGATGTGTGGTGGCTATGGTGCGTATATTCACCCTATGGTTTGACGATAGCTTCACTGACTATCTGAAGTGAACAACGACGACTTCATCTCACGGTTTCGTCTTCTGAAATTCGGCCGGGAGAAAGTATTGCAGAATCTCGGAAATTTCAGAGCATCTCCAGATAACCCCAATTATTTTATATAAGGGTGCAAATGGTCAGCTCGATCATTCTCGAAGCATCCATAAAAGTTGGGTCGTTTGCTTCTTGCTAGCACATGGCCCTCTGGACCACTGCTAAAAGACAGGGCCTGTTCGGTTTGGAGCAAGCGATTATAGAGTGCATAGTAGCAATATGAGTCGCCCTATTTACAAACCAGCTGTACATATCGATAGATAAAAATAAAAATATCAAAAAGGTTATAGAACTGATGCTGTAGACATAGTGGTGCGCAAGAGAAGAAGCACGCTATTCCATTCTTAGGACAATCGGGGTCGCTGCTGGTCAGCACATCACGTGATGTAGGCAGGACAGCTGACGTTGTTTGGCCGGAGCTCAGAAGCACCAGAACAGCTCTCGCTCTCACACCCACTTTCCCTCTTTCTCTCTTCCCCACCCTTAATATCTCATAGATTCATCCCTATTAACCTAACTCCCGATCTATTCGATTCGACTCACCCACCATAACCCGTGACTTTGCCACGCCGACCCCTCCGTTCCAACCATGTCTACCCTTGAAGATCTCGACGACCTTGAGCGTGAGGAGAAGAAGCAGGACCAAGGCGATGGCGATGGCCAGAAGCCCCAAGGAGATGGAGATGCTGAAATGAACGATGCGAAGAAGGACGAGGATGAGATCTTGGACGAGGAGATTATCAACTCGAGTACGGCCGATATCGTCAAGCGGCGGCGGATGTTGGAGAATGAGCTGCGTATCATGAAGAGTGAATACCAGCGACTGTCGCACGAGCAGAGCACAATGCGGGAAAAGGTCAAGGATAATCAAGAAAAGATCGAGAACAACAGGTACGGCATACGCATACATGACTATTCGCGAAGACCCAGTCGAACTGCTATCGTCCGTCAAGCCGTTTGAAGCAGTGGCAATGACTGGACTCTGATTAGCGAAAAGATACATCTTTGTGTTTTGCATATTTACTGACATTTCGTGACTGATAGACAACTACCATACTTGGTCGGAAATGTCGTTGAACTGTTGGATCTGGATGTCGAGGCTGACGCAGCCGAAGAAGGCGCCAACATCGACCTTGATGCAACCCGGGTGGGCAAGTCTGCTGTTATCAAAACATCGACCCGTCAGACCATCTACCTCCCCCTCATTGGTTTGGTAGACCATGAGACGCTCAAGCCCGGTGACCTCATCGGTGTTAACAAGGACTCATATCTTGTCTTGGATACGCTACCCGCCGAGTACGACAACCGGGTGAAGGCAATGGAGGTTGACGAAAAGCCTACAGAGAAATACACAGACATTGGTGGTTTGGACAAGCAGATTGAGGAGATTGTGGAAGCTATTGTATGGCCGATGAAGGAGGCGGAGAAGTTCAAGAAGATCGGCATCAAGGCACCAAAGGGTAAGCTTATCTTTATCTTCTAAAATCATCTCGATGGCGTTCCTAACATTTTTGTTTTCCTAGGTGCTCTGATGTACGGTCCTCCCGGAACTGGTAAAACACTCCTTGCTCGTGCCTGTGCGGCAGAGACAAACGCGACTTTCCTCAAGCTTGCCGGTCCCCAGCTTGTGCAGATGTTCATTGGTGACGGTGCTAAGCTTGTCCGTGACTGCTTCGCCCTCGCCAAGGAGAAGGCACCATCGATCATTTTCATTGACGAACTCGACGCTGTTGGCACAAAACGTTTCGACTCGGAGAAGTCCGGTGACCGTGAAGTGCAGCGAACCATGTTGGAGCTTCTCAACCAGCTTGACGGTTTCGCATCGGATGACCGTATCAAGGTGCTTGCCGCCACTAACCGTGTTGACGTGCTGGACCCTGCCCTTCTCCGATCCGGTCGTTTGGACCGTAAGATTGAGTTCCCTCTACCCAATGAAGAGGCACGTGCCAACATCCTGCAAATCCACTCCCGCAAGATGTCCGTCGAGGACAGTGTCAACTGGGCGGAATTGGCCCGCAGCACAGACGAATTCGGTGGTGCCCAGCTCAAGGCCGTTTGTGTCGAAGCCGGTATGATCGCCCTCCGGAAAGGCATGACCAAGGTCGGGCACGAGAACTACGTCGATGCCATCGCCGAAGTACAGGCCAAGAAGAAGGACACCAACATGGGTATTTATGTTTAAACAAAAGCAAAACGAGCTCATGTTTTCTGCTCTTTCTCTTTTTGCCTCAACCTTTTATGCCATGCCATGTATCTATGTCCTTCGTGTCTCGAAGCTAGTAATCGATATACATGCCAACGTCATCTTACTTAACTACCCTTTTGCTTTCCTTTCCTTTCCTTTCCCCGTCTTGCGATGCCTTGATTTTTCTTAAGCTCTTTTGATACAGCACTGCTTGGCTGTTGGCAGATAGATAAACAGGCGTAATGATAGTGTTTGCCTTGGCATCCTTTTCAACTTGTTTCATACAGGTAGATTACTCAGTAGGATCTAGGAACATAGTATTCTCAAAAGAGTAGTAACCCTCCGTTTTATTTCTTATAAGTCTTGCCTCGCCATTACTTTGTGCAGTATGAGAGTGATATATACTCCGATCATGGAAGCCTGATCGGGCCATATTATGTACTATACATATGTGCAGGTGAAATCAGAATGAGAATCAGATCTAAGATGGCAGAATGAAAATGAACAGCAAGAAAGCAAGCGAAGAAAGGAATAAATGTGATAAGTATGAGAAGGGAAAAGAGAGATATAGACAGGAAGAGAAGAAAAGAACGAGAATGAAGAATGAAATGGATGGGTGATGCCAATTATCAGTTACCCGCCCTCCACCGAAAGCGCCATGGGAATTAAGGAAGAAATGAAAATAGATATGGTATCCCCTCCCATTTTGAAAAACAGAAAACAGCAAATACAAAAAGGATATATGTCCATGGTATATGTTCAGGAAAGAATAACACCTGCACCGCGTGATGTGAGAGAAAAATAAAAAAAAAAAAATAGAAGAAAAGCGATCGAATCAACCCGAGATCGACGGGAGGATGCACAATAATCCACACGAGATAATCACGGGTGATGATGGATTAGTTCATATTCATCAGTCAGTCCATAACGCCGTTTCCTGTGCGTGCGTTGGAAATAAGCATGGTCCATGGCATGCGCGTTCAAAAGAAAGGAAATAGAGCCACACTGGCAGAGAAAAGAGGAAGCCGAAAGTCGAAAGTTCATGGGCGAAGCAATTGGATAGATCAACAATAGAAGAGATTATCGTGTCAATAGTTTAAAAGAGCCATTTGAGATCGATAACCTCGACATTAGCGGGACGTTCGCGTTCGATGTGAGACCACCAATCCCTGCCACTCTTATGGCTGGAATTCCACGATCCGTTGCAGGTATCCTTTTCCCAAGGTAAAGATGTGGACGAAAAGCTCATAGGTGTGGATGGAGTAGGAGGCGTCACCGGGCTGGAAGCCATTGTTGAACGGCTGCTAATGCTTCCCCATCCAAACCGAGTAGTCGTGGTTGATGCTGGAGATGGAGGTTCTTCAGGAGGAGGAGCTGGGGGGTTCCGGTTGCCAAAGCAATTCACGCCAACGCCGGCAGCGTATGTCAGCGATTGATTCGAGGCCAGAATGTGTTTCCACCCAACCAAGCCTCCATCTGCTTCTTGTCCAGGTAAATCGGGGCGTAGAACAAAACGTGGGATAGCCACATTGTTTTTCTTTGTTCTGCTACCTACCCGACCCATATATGCAGGCATTCGAAAGTCGTACACGGTTATCGGTCCATCGTGATCTTCCGGAGGGCCATTGGCTTTGAGTCTCTCCCGTGATTCCCACATCCCGAATTCATCCATCTCCAGGTCTTCCGATTCGTCGTCAGAGGAGGCGTCCAAGGCACAGTCGGGCACATAGGAGTCGGAATGGTCTGTAATAAGGACTTGCATCCCCGTTTCCGTGTCCTTGGCGGCCATGTCGATGAATGTTTGAGCCCGTATCCGAGCAGATGTCAAATTGTTCCCGGCAGGAAGGGCCTTTGGTCGGGTGCTGACTGAGCCGTGCGAGCTTCGGGGAAGACTGTATCGGTCTGGTTGTAGCAGGGCTTGTCCTCTGGGTATAGGTTGGCAGACAGCCTGTAGCACTCCTGGCGGTTCAACATCATTTGGTGCACGGAGGGCTTCTAACCGAGGGAAGCCTGTGGAGAGAATACTTTGGGCGAGGTGAGAGTTGGGGGTTTCGATATGCTTGGGCGGCTTCATGAATGGGAGGAAATCAAGTCTGCTGAGAGCAGTTCCAGGGTTCGGACAGGCGACATCCCAATGGAGATACTTCAGGCTCGACGAGGCCAGAAGTGGCTGGAAAACCATCTCGTCGGTATCCAATGTCGGACACTTGTCAGCTTGCACAATTTTGAACCGTTCTAGCTGACGAAGAGATGCCAGGATCTTAGAAATCACAAGCAGGGACTCGACGTTCTGCTCGATCAGGGTAAGACACTTGAGGTTGTGTGATTCGGGGTTCGACGTGTACTGCGATAAACCACTGTCAGTGATGCCCGGCAGGTTCTCCAGCCGAAGTGACTCGAGAGGCGGCAGGCACAGTAAAGCGCTGTCGGCAAAAGCGTCTGCGTTGAAGGATGATATACAGAGATGACGCAGCGATGGCAAGAGGTGGAACATGCGAAGAAAGACGCTTGGTTCCAAGGCACTGCCTTCACTCAAGCCATAGAGCGCCAGGGTTTCTAGATTTGTCCACGAAACGTGATAGTCAAGAAACTCGAACATCTGCATGGGTCCAAGACTGCCCGGGCAGGAGGTGCTACGGGGAGACACTTCTGAGGCCTCCGGGGCCTCACCCAAAATCCATGTGTGTTCCTTGAGCTTCTTCCTGGTGGACAATGCGTGGGTCAATCGGTCAAACTCGTGGTTGTAAGCGATGGTCAAGCCCTGCAGCCGTTCCAGGTTGGGGCAGACCATCACGACGGAGGCGACCAAGTCTCGGTATTCCTGCCATTGTGTGCTGTGCTTGCTTGTTGTGAAGAGCAAGTCCAGCTGGGGAACGCGGAGCTCCAGGACGAGATTGGCCAGCAATTTTCTCTCCCGAAGGGTGCGTCTCAACAGCTTCAAACGGCTTCCTCTCTTCAGTTTGTATTTCTTTAGTTGGGCCGGAGAGTCGTTTCCGATGATGTGAATACGATTGTAACTATAGGTCATGATCAGCACAATTACACTATAGACCATCTCATGCAGGCAGGTATCGTAACTTACAGCTTAGCCCGAACTGCCTTCTCCCAGGGCCGGCAGGTCAGGGATAGGGAGTGCAGGTCGCGTTGGTAGCAAGTTAAGCAGCCCGACGACTGGTGCGAGGTTGTGTGGAGCAGCTGCAATTGATCAAGAATGACATCGTACACTTCCTGGGGTACTCGTTTGAAGACCGGCTCCAAGATCTTGTCCAGCGAGGCTGCAGAGTCGAACTGACGGTATGGCGAGACAGGGGAGGTAGGGGAGCAGATACTGGTCGGGGCCGTGGATACACTGTAATTGGTCTTGAAGGAGGAGACGGAGGAATTTCGAGATCCAACGGGATGCACCGTGACTGGGAATGCAGAATCCTGGTACCCATGCACGCACTGGTCCTGGGGGTCGTGTTGTTGGTAGGTAGTGGTGTAAGGCACAGCAGCGCTCTCGGGTCTACTGGCGACAACACTCATTGTGAATCGCAGATTTGCATTTGACGACTAAAGGAATGGCATCCAACAGGATGAAGAAAGGAGGGGAGGAAAGCGGTAGAAGAGGTATTGGATAGTAACTAGTAAAGGGGGGAGGGAGAGAGAAAAAACAAAGGTGGGGAAAGTTTAAAAAGGAAGGGCAAAGCACGTTGCAGGCTGTGGTATGTAACTAAGAATAATGAGTGACGTGAAGAGTGTGAAGACTGGAAGATTGAAGGGTCAAGGGAGTGTGTGTGTGTGTGTAAGGTCACAACGATAGAAGAAGAAAAGAGAGTGAAGAGAAAAGAAAGGATAGCGGGGAACTATTTTGGGAAGAAGAATTGATTAGCCTCGTTAAGAAAAGAAAAGAATGATGAAGGAAAAGAGAGCGAGGTTTAGTTACCACGAGGCCATCAAAATCATCGGCTAGTACGGGGTAGAAGACATCACATAGACATGGTTACCATGGGACACGCCACAAGCTACAGTTGCTTCGTCTTCTTTTGCTTCTTCTTGTTCTTCTTCTTTTTCCTTCTTGTTCGATAAAATCAATAAATCGATAATTCTGAACTCTGAAGACTGACCCCAAAAGAGTTAGGGATGGGGGTCGACTGGGAGAGAACGCGCGAGAGAGAGAGCGCGGGCAAAGAGTTGTGGAAGGGGGCCGATCGTCCCCACCCGAGGAATGAGGATCTTAGTGTAGGTTCGTTTGCCGTGAGTGTTCAGTGTACGGAGTCGAGGGCACAGCAAGTAATGATGGCGGATGGTGATGGGCTGCAGCCACGGGTTCTCCGCTCTCCCTCCACAGCTGTTGGTTTTCTTTTCTTTTTCTCTCCTTTGATAATAAAATCCACGTTGCAACACGGGCTAGTGGGTTAGTTCAGCCATAGTGGAGGACATTGGCTTTGAGTCTTTCCATTGAGCAGCGAGTCACGACTCAGGACTCAGGAGTAGGGGTTGGACATGGAGGCCGTGCTACTAGGACTATGTTAGACTGTTCGTACTTGGATGGCCCGAAGCAGTAAGGATGTGAGATGGTACTCTGATAGACACGGTTGGATGGTTGAACTCTCGTGTGATCATCCTCCCTAGGCTGACTGGTCTGACTCTGCCTGCAACTTGAATAATACATGCAAATGAGGACGGAGGAGTCGGCTAGGAATGCACTCTGCTGCAGATTCTCACTGTGAAACCTCAATGGCTGCTTCATCTGGAGAAGGAGATAGATTGCGATGACGAACACAGGGGAAGAAAGAAAAACGCGCCACGAGACGAAATGGAGTCCGTGATACGCGCTAGCCGGATGAGGATTAGGACAATGGGTCCGTTTGGGTTAGCGTCTTGTCCCTGGCGCTAACCGTTTAGGTGTTCCCCTGGTAACGTTTTAAATGGTATGTAATATATACACTATATACAGTATTATTCTACAAATTAACATGTGTAATATATAATATAACAGCACCATACCAGTAATACACATACACCCCTGTACTTCCATCCTCTCGCATCGTCACTTTTGCATCCACGGTTCAGCGCTGGAATGTTGTCATTTCATCTTCTTCAACCTTCAGATCGGCTGGGAGTGATTTACCTGCTGTTGCGCTCCCATGGATCAGTCAAGTAATAATCAATAACCATAATCAATAATATCGTCATCTATCTCTCTCTCCATCCCCGTTAACCAGAGGAGCACGGTGACTATGCAAGTAATCCCCAAACTAAATAGTGTCTGTACTCTAAATCCTCCACTTCCAGGCTGCATATCGGAATCCGGAATCCCTCTCATAGGCTCTCCAGGTCCATCTTTGCGTTTGTGGTCCATTGCGTATTCTGCGTATACAACGCAGAGATATATAAATTATATAAATTATACAAAAGCATTAACCTACGAATTGCATTATCTGCATCCTCCGAGATCGATCGAGTGGGGATTTCAACAGGACCGAAACATTATCACATCACGCATATCACGCATTTGTACTGGAATAATAACTGTTTCGGGTTGGGCTGATTCAGACAGAGAGTAAGACATGCTGTGATTGAATTCTATTATTATCTAGTAGACTTAGTAGTTGTTTTGTCTTTGCTAGTTTGGGGGTAAATAGGGTCATTTAAGACAGTCTGAAAAATCTTCCATCGGACGACTGCATATGATTTGTGTTGTTTGATATAAAGTACTACTACTTCTTCTTCTTTTCTAAATATATCTCGCACTTTATTCCCTCCATTTATAAAGACTCGTATTTATTCCATAGTATCACTTGATACTATCCTTATTACTTGATAACTGCTAGGCTACACGAGATACAAGCTAAGATCACCGGTTGGTCGACAACGGGCCGTGTTGATCTCGAGTCAGTCTGTCAGTCTATGTGAGACTTTGGACTACAGTCAATATTCAGGAGTTATTGAATCAAATATAATTTATATATTATCATATCATTCCAAATTGAAATTCTATCCTTCCCCAGATTGAGATCTTCATCTCGCACGTTCTCCTTAACGAACACAATCCAACCGTTTCAGGAGTGGCTAGTCCTCTGCACGAGATGACCGATTCGGTATGAGAAGCACCCCCCCCCCGGTAATATAATAATGATGATCAACTGTCAATTTGTCACTTCATCGCTCGCATTCTCTCTCTCACTGGCTGTAAGGCCCGGGAAAAAAAAGGGGTTGGGAATCGACGGTGCAATGGGTTCGGTGGAGACCCTGAGGATGATCCCTCGCCCTCGACGGTTACGACTTCTGCATCTACCGACTGCCCTTGGCCTTTTTAGCGCCTCCGTCGGCAGTGAAACGCTTGGATCTTACATCCGACTTGGCTGTGAACTTCAATCCCATTACATCGTACAAGTGACTGATCCTGTGTAACAAGTGTACTTAATATTGGTGTAGAGATTCCTCATCGTTCGTTATCAAGTATATCGGTTAAAGAGCACCCTCAACGAGCTCCCCTTGCGCCACGTTGCCCGACTAACGCCTCGAAATGACTGCCTGTCTCGTCCACAAGACCACGCAGGCTGCATCGCAAGCAAAGTAAATATAATATCCCGTCGTCTGGTTTCACAAAAAAGAATTGCAAAGAAAACACTCCGGCATCTGCCGGAAAAGAAAAGAAAGATTAAACTACCGAAGATTGGTTGACTCAAAACATCATGAAACAGCTGAACAAAGAAGACAAGAACGATCTCCCTGCGTTTCACATCCCGTCCACAGAGTAGAGGTCAACCGAAAAAGGATATCTAATCCATCTATCCCAGATGGCCTGTAAAAGCTCCACGTGAATGCTAAACGATCGAAGTCGAAAACAGAGGGTCATGGTCAACGACGCAATAAAAGAAGAAAGAAAACCGGAAACGTGGGAGAACAAAAGGGTATTGTGACTTCTGTTCCCATATCGAGCCAAAGAGGAACTAGGTCGTAAACACTGGTAGGTGTAAAAGAAGAGAGAGAGAAAAAAAAAAAAAACAAGAAAGAAAACCATGTTTTAAGCCCCCTCATCCATTCATGAGGCATGTACAAGTCAAGAACAAGAAGAAAAAAATATATGCAAAATCAAGACTCCATTATCATGCAAGACATCATCACATGTCAAAATTTTCGTCAACGTTGAAGATGCCAGCCTCGCCCTCAGCCGTCTTGGGGACACCACCCATCTGGTGATCAACTGAGTTGCCGGACCGGTGGGATCGTTGCCACCTGCCGTCATAGTTGTCATCTTCTTCCATGTGTTCGTCGGGGTCTTCCGTAAAGTGGTGATCCATCGAACTTTCGTTGACAAATGTGAACCCCTTGAAATTGGCCTGCATACCCGGGGACAGTGGTGTGGATGCGGGCATCAGTCCATTCGCTAATGCGGCTGCTCGGTCATTCAACCGAGTGTTGTTGTCAAGTGCGTTGGTAAACTCGGGGTCGAAGTTCGATGTGTCCGTGTCAGACTTGAGCTTCGGCTTGAACGGAGGGATGACTTCCTTGCGACACAACGCGTTCCAGTCAACATCGTGGAAGAAAGGATGTGCCATCAGCTCGAGAGCATCCTCCTTGGCTCCCAGTCGGTGCTTGGGGTTTCGGTTGAGCAGGCCCTTGACGAAATTCCTTCCTTCTGTACTGAGGGCGTCTCGCGGGAATCGGACCTTGCCAAAGGCAATGTTCTTGTACATCTGCTGTGTATCTTCCGCGTAGAAGGGACTCCAGCCGCAGCACATCTCGAAAACTAGAACACCGAGAGACCAGAAATCGACCATCTTGGTATATCCTTGCTCATCCAACAACACCTCTGGCGCCAGGTACTCGGTTGTTCCGCAGAATGTGTTGGTGGTGTCGTTCTTGTTAAGGTTCGCCTTGGAGAGACCAAAGTCACACAAGGCAATGTGGCCGTTGGCGTCAAGCAGGATGTTCTCCGGCTTGAGATCCCGGTAAACAATATCGTGCTCGTGGAGATGCTGAAGGGCCAAGATAAGCTCCGAGATATAAAACTTCGCTCGTGCCTCTTGAAATCGCCCTTCTTTCTGAAGATGCCAAAACAACTCTCCTCCAGACATGTAGTCAGTAACAAGGTAGAGGTCGGTAGGCGTCTGGAAGGAAAATTTCAGTCCAACAATAAATGGAGAAGCTGCCATGGCTGTCCGGACGAGAATATTGCGCTCTCCAAGTGTGTGTGCCACCTCTTTCTTCTGAATGATCACCTTCTTCGACAGAACCTTCATGGCGTAGATGCGTTCCGTATCCTTCTTCATGACCTGGTAGACCTGTCCAAAGGTTCCTTTTCCGATGAGCTTGAGGATCTGGAAATCATTCGGCCCAACCTGCTTCTTGTCTGTTTGCTCAAAGCGCATCTCCAAGTAGATTTCGCCGGAAATCTGACTATCGCCTGCCCCACGGGCTGTCAAAGGAAACCATCCCTCCAGTCGGCTATTGTCGTCCTTCAGATTGATTCCTAGTCGTACATGACCCAGGAAAGCTTCCTGGTTATTACGGTCATAGACCGACACATCGACCTGAGATTGGTCGCCGAGGACATCACTGTAGTGGAATATTAGCAATCAAAGCTTCTCCAAGTACACCCACTTGAAAAAGGAAGGGGAAAAAAAAAATAAAATAAATAAAAAGAGAAACCTACAAGACAGCTTCGTGGTTCCAGTGGGGATCAGTTACAGGTGATCTCCCCTTGTGGTCATGGCCTTCTAGGCTACTGTTGTTGCTGCTTTGTCGACTCTTCATCGGAATGGCCATGGGTGGTCGACCTGTTTCGAGAGCAGTCTTCTCCAGCTCCTTCTGTTGCCGTTCAATAGAGGCCTCCTCCTCATCCTGGGCACTCTTGGAAATACATTCGTTCCATTCGAACACGCACACCACATACGGATCGAACCCTGGTCGCAGCCCTCTGGCCTCGGAAATCTTGACAAATAGTTTACCCTTGATCGAACCGGTAGGCGCGCCGGATTGTTGAGCGGCATCTGGTTGGGAAGGAAACGCCTCGTTAAGCTTCCCAGAGAGTTCGTCGGTAGGATTCGGGGTCTCATCTGTCTGCGGCGGCTGTGATGGCTCAGACGGCTCAGACGGGCGAGGGGACGACGACACTGGGGGGCTCTTTTCGGTCTGCTGGCCTTCGTTGGACATGGCTCGTGGCGTAAGGGGAGGAGTATTCTTTAGACGCGACCCATCGGGCGCGTTTCCAGTTAGCTTGGCAAGATTCTCAGAAGACATTGAGACATGTGGCTTCTCGTGCTCGAGGAGAGGAGCTTCCGACGAACACAACGCATCTGAGGCATGGGGGAGAGAGGGATTGGAGAAGTGAGAGGCAAGGACAGGGTCGTCAGAGATGCTGGAGACTGGGAGGGAGGTATGACGTCGTGCTTGAGAATCAGAGCAAGGGTGTGCGGGCGAAGAGAGATAGCTTTTCAAAGCAGTAAAAATGGTAGAGCCCATGCCCTTATCCGGGCCAGAAGAACAAAGGTCTGCCTCATCGGGTTCTTTCTGCAAAAGGGAGGAAGCGGAGCAATATGGGGGAGTGGGCAAGTTCGTGGGAAGCAAGGCCTCGGGCATGGTATCCTTTGCTCCAAGTTTTCCGCCTACTTGAGCGGGCGCCTTAAGCCCCGAAGTCTCCGAACGCTTCATCATGACAAAGGACCCGGAAGAAGAAGAACGACTGGAGCTCGGGTTCTCCCGTGTCCCCGTGGCATGCGTACTCGACTGGATGTTGTTCGTGGAAGCAGGACTCTCTGGGGGAGAGAAGGATGGTTTGGAAGGATTGGGCTTATCACCGCAAGAGGCACCAACCTGGAAGTAATTATGCATTATGGACGGCTGACGTTTGTCCGCTGGGTCAGGATGTGGGGTCACAATGCCAGTTGGAGTTGATCTATTGGAACCGACTTGACTCTGGTTATCGTCTTCCTGTGCACCATTTCTGAGAAACCGATTAGCCATGAATTCGAAGCTACGGTATGAATCACTGCTGAAGAAACATTTGCAAGTGGCATAAATCGAATGCTTCAATCAAAGACCGGGTAAGAGGACGAAGTGGAGGGGAGAGGGAAGAAATAGAAGAAAAATTGGTCAGGCAGCGAAGACATTCGGAAGTTGTGCCATAGGGCAACAACCTCCAAAAGTACGAATAGCCCAAGATGTATGCGACTCATCGCCGCCATCGTGACACTCCGCGATACGATCCAGCGATAGCAATGCAAGCCAAAAGAGGGGCACAAAAGCATCGGGCTGGGGATGGCCACGGAATGTATTATTTTTTTTTCTTCCCTCCCCTCCCCCTCATGGTCGATCCCGAAAAAAGAAAAAAGAAAAGAAAGAATAAAAATAGACCGATTGGGGAAGAAAAATGCAGCAGCAATAGGCAGAGCGAAAAGGCTGATTACTCACTTCTGGGAGATCGGCTTCAGCAAGTCTGCATCACCATGCAACTCTGTACCACTCTGAGTAGCAGCCATGTTGTTCCCATCCGACATCAATATCCTCCAAAAAAGAAGTAACGAAGAGGGGAAAAGCGAAAAATGAGAGGGCGGGGGGGGAGAGGAGTGGGAGGAAGAGATGCTAGATTCAACCGTTTGGCGATAAGAACGACGAGAAGCAGGAATAATCAGAGTGGTGTAGTGGTTGGTGGTGGCAGGGCAGTAATAATAATAATATTACTAGTGCGGAGTCGACGAAAAGACTGTGACGCCGCCGGGCGATGACGAGCTAAGGAAGTTTGCGGGATGATGAGGGACCCGACTCAGTAGAGGATCGGGAGCAACGTAGGAGATCTGGGAGAGATGTTAAAAGGGAGGATTCTGGAATACATGAAAGAAAGAAGAAAGAAAGAAAGAAAGAAAAAAGAAAAAGGAACGGAGAAACTGATAATTAATCCAAAGCAATCGAAGGCAAAGGAAAAGTGGTTATATTACTCAGAGTCGAACCAGGCGTGAAGACTGCCTGGTTTCCGGATTGGGACTAGTGGCTGACCAAAAAGAACAACAGAGAAGAAGATATATTGGTGACTCCGAGATGAGAAGGAGAATAATAAGATAAGATATTAGGATAGAGGAGAAGAGAAGAGTATTAGGATAAGAAGGAGAAGGAGGGTATTAGAAAGAAGAGTATTAGGGTAAAAAGAAGACAGGTGAGGGGAAGGGAAATGGCATCAACTCCAGAAAGAGGAGAAAAGAGGATGGATTATTATTTCAAACATCTAAGGTTGGTTGGGCGCGTACTGATTTCATGGGAAAAGAAGAAAATAAATAAGAAAAATAAGAAAAATAAGAAAAATAAGAAAATAAGAAGACCGGAGTGACTCCTATCCCAAACACGATAACAGACAGGAAGGGAAAAAAACCTCATACCAGGTGGAGATGATGCCCAGTTTGGGGTGCGAAAAACCACTCACTTTCCCCAGAATTTCAGCCAGTTTGTAATAATTTGTCCATTTCTATTTCAATAAATATTTGTGTTTTTTTAATTCAAATCATAGGCAAGTTTGTGGTTTTATATCAATCCAAAACGCCATGACGATATATGGTCGTCTGGCAAGGTCTCGAGGGATCGCCTCATTGCAGGTGATGCAGTGACCCATGCGGGTTTTGGAACTCCGGGATCTCTCGATACAATTACTATTCCTGGTATACAGTCTGATCCCTGTCCTCCTCATTTTGATGATGGGGATGCCGATGATGATGCTGAGCTGATTTCCTCTTATCTCTCCTCACGCTAGGCATACAGATGCCGCATGGAGGAAAGTGGCGGACAGGCGGAGACACCGGTGTAGAGGGTGGGGTAGTATGTATAGGGCGCCCCGTTGTCATCATCGCCGTTGACTATTGCTGGATCCATGCTAATTTATTATCATTACTGTCGATTCTATTCAATCTGTAATGTTTTGCATATTTGGTATGTACATAGACTTTATGGATGTCGTTGCCAACAAATCAGTTGGCCCAAACGCTTAGACAGCATCGATGCAACAATTTCCCAGTATTGATGGACACTGCTTGATGACACCTTATCTGTTGTCTATTCTATATCTTTGATTTATAATAATACATTTCCAATGTCAACTATTAAGCATGGGATCCCCGATGTGCAACCTTCACTTTCCAGATATGTGCTTGTTTGACAACGTCGTACGCTTTGCTTAACCCACAGGGCTGGAATGCAATATCAAAGATAACAATTTCGCCCGAACATCTTCAGCTCCCCTTGCCTACTATCAGGCTCACAGTACTCCGGAGATACCGATTATCGACTTTTGCGTTGCCATTCCTTACACCATGTGTCTCGCCTAGATGAGGCCAGAATCTGGTTTGCGGACAAATCAGCCGGGCCACATTCTTCACAAAGCTCAGCTTGCCACTAAAGAATGTCAATTGTACAGCTGGGAATCATGATCCGTCAATGTATAATTTGACTGGCCAGTGACTCCTACTCAGTACTCAGACAACAGACGCATCGGCGTATATACCTCATACTAATCTGGAGTATTTGATCCAATGAGCCACCCATCGATCAAAGGAAAATATCCCCAGATGCATCATAGCCTATCGATAGTATTATTCCTTTGTAGAAACTAGAAACACACACCGACAAGCAAGGAGTATCGTGGTCCGAAGCTACCGGGTCGGTCAGTGAGCAGGTCATCTGCAGGTTGTTAGTGGTGCGGTGTAACGATCTGCAAGACTGCACCCTCCAGTGCATGTTCACCCACGAGAATAATAAGGAGCTAAACAAAGCCTCCACGATCGTGCGCCTCATCCAAGGACCGGGAGCTTGATGTTGATGGGGAGGAAAACAGGGCCGTGGAGGATATGATGAATCATGGCGCGGTGCAAGTCACCCCAAGGTGCATTGATATGCGATGCGGGTGGTGTTTTCGAGAACAGAACCCACCGGTTTTCTTCTTTCTGTGACATGTGAATCCCACCCATTGCCAATGATTCATACCTGAATCCTTAAAATTATTAACGTTAAGCTGTGCTGATACCCACGTTGTAGCATGAGTACCGATCAACCCCTCATCCAACCATGGACGATAACACCATAGTCCAGCACTGATGCTATCGATCAGACCAATCGCATCATCCATGGAAAAGAGGCAACTGAGACGAGTTCAGGGCCATTGATCAAGGCAACAACCCGGTCTAAATAGACAAATCGAATGCCGTTGAAGAAACATCCGCGTCTTTCGCCATCGAGGGGAACGGAGCATGACGTCATGTAGGCCTCGAGCCTCTTGCCCTAAAATCCACTGCGGGTCTAGCCATAATGCCAAGACAAGCTAGGGCTCCCACTAGCACGTGGGGTCATATTATGTACACCTCAGGCAACAATATATCACGTGAAGAAGACTCACCGGGGAAAGGTATCTCCGGAGCTCCTCTTTCGCGATCCGTGATGGCCAAAGGGTATCGGTCTCATCTCCAACGCCGCGCTTTAGCTTTCTTTCTCCAGTAAACCAACTCTGCGGTATGGCGAGGAAGCTTAGAGCTGCTGCCCAGGCAGCTGCGCAGTCCTTGCGTATGTCAATTCTTTCTCCTTTTTTCCTTCAATTGCTCGTTCTTGTCCTTTTTTCGTCTGCAAGATAAAAAAAAAAGAAAGAAAAAAGAACACGCTCAACTGACCATGACCAGGAAATGCCCCCCCTCCGATCCCCGATGGTTCGGACGAAGAAATGGTAGAGGCGCCTCCATCGCGTGAAGCTTCCGAAGCAGCCGAGGAAGAAGAAGCAGATGACGCGTCAGAAGACAAAGAAGACCTCGAAGATGAATCGAAAGTAGAGCCGGAGCCAGAGGCAGAACCAGAACCAGAACCAGAACCAGAACCAGAGCCGGAACCAGTTCAGGAAGAGGAGCCTGCTGCACCAACGCCTGCGCAGGAATCAAACACTCCGTCGCGAGGAGAAACTCCTTCTCGGATGGGTAGAATGTCTGCGATACCGCGTAAACGTCGCATAGGTCGTCCTCCCAAGAACCGACCGCCTGACTGGGATTTGCCCGATGAGGGTGCCGCCCAGTCCCCAATTCATGTCAGCACACCGGTAAAGAGGCGTCGTGGGCGTCCTGCTGCAAGTGGTGGGCGATGGGCGCGAAACCGGGGACCGTCGCATGTCACGCAGGTGCCAATTGACAAGGAAGGGAACATGATGGATGTTATTAACGACGAAGTCGCCCTTCCAGAGGATCCCGAGGGCGAGACCAAAGTCGACAAGAATGGACTGCTTCAGGGCGACAGGGAATACCGAGTTCGAACATTCACGATTCAGAACCGTGGCGACAGGTATTACATGTTGTCGACGGAGCCGGCCCGTTGCATTGGTTTCAGGGATTCGTATTTGTTCTTCCAGAAGCATAAGCTTCTTTACAAGATCATCATTGATGACGAAGCGAAGCGCGATCTCATCGAAAGAGATATCATTCCGCACTCTTACAAGGGACGTGCCATTGGTGTGGTGACTGCGCGGTCCGTCTTCAGAGAATTTGGCGCCAAAATCGTTGTCGGCGGAAGAAAGGTCATCGATGACTACGACGTGAAAGGGGCGAGAGAACGTGGTGATGTCGAGGGCGAACTTGCGGTTCCGGATGATAAACTGCCCGGGCCAGGTGAACCGTACAACAAAAATCAGTATGTCGCATGGCACGGAGCTAGTAGCGTCTATCACACTGGCGCGCCATCTGTTCCTCTGCCTGTTGGCAAAGCGGTCGATTCCAAGAAACGCAAGGTAACAGTGACTGGTGACAATTGGATGATTGAGCATGCACGCGAAGCCAGGTAAGCGACGGTAAATTTAAACAACATGATCAACAGCTAATTTCAACCAGTAACTTCAACTCTGCCATCTCGATTGCCCGTCGTGCAAATCTGGGGGGTGCCTACGACATCCACACCAACGCCATGCAGTATCCTAAGATCATGCAGCCATCGCATGCCCGTTGGGAGCGTCTTCCTCCTCCCGACCCTCAAGTTGCCGCCAAACTGATGAAGGGAATGTCCACTCTGACCCTTGCAAACGGAACAGACGAAAAGGAACCCTCTCCCGAAGACCAAGGCCAAAGCCAAAACCAGGGCGAGGGCGAAGGTGAAGGTCAAGGCGAGACTCAGGAACAAGCAGGCGATGAGGAAGGAAAGGACCAAACCGAGACCAGCACCGAAGGAACCTCTATTTTCTCCACGATCCCCGCTGCCCTTTCCCGTCGCTTTGCCATCAACGACATCCACTACGAAGCCCCACAGTATTCCAACCAGGGTCTTCCCGGCCCAGACGGCAACGTGCATGATCTCGGGCCGAACGGGCTCCTCAGCGCCGCCAACCCCCTGTACCCCGAATTCGTGGGCGCAGACGTCCTGGCCGAACTGCCACCCGAGTGCAAAGAGGCCCTCATCGAGACCGCCGCTCAAGAATGGGAATGGAAGTCGAAATGGGGCAGCGAGGCTAGCAATGGTGCCCGAACTACGCCTTTGAAGAGTTATGCCTGGTTTCCATGATCTTGTCCTTTCCCCTTCCAGCTCTTTCCACCACGGCCGGCCCTTATCTGATATCCCCGATTTCTGGTTGTTCTCTTTTTTTCCTCTTTTATATTCATTCTGCATGAGCTGGGTTTTCTTTTCTTTTTTATCAAATGGATGGCAGGGAGAAAAAGGGAGTTTTATGCGTAGCTATATCTTGGTGGTTTTTCTTTTCTGCCTAATGTCTCTTTTGTTTCTCAGCATATGGCTATGAGGCGATTTCGGCCCTTATCTTACACAGATGTCAAACAATAATCACGAAAATTAGCATAAATATATCAATGAATAAGTCAGATGCCCGAGAATTATGAGTTGGAAGTGAAGTGGAAATATCGAAGCCTCGGTTGGGGAAATACAGAGCTAAAAAATGGAAAAGAGAAAGAGGGGAAGGATAAGACGTAAGCTTCGTTGAGGATATAGGCTTTAGGAATGTAAGGTAAAGCAGGTAGGTAGTTAAAGTAATAGGTATGTTTATAACAGCCAAAAAAAAAAAAAAAAAAGATAAAAAGCAGCAGGCAGACAGGACAGAACACCCAGAATTGCAGATAGACCAGGTTACGCCAACGATGTATAAGTTGGAAGATCGATTGATAAGGAAGACGAATGAAAGGGCTTCAACAAGACTGGAAGACAGAAAGAAAGTACTTGTAAACAGTCAATCATGCATACGGAGTAGTTGGGAATAAATTGCATAATTGGGAAGTAGGGAAGACGAAGAAGGCAAAAAAAAAGAAGGGACGGAGACTGGAGGAAATCATCCCATGGCCATTTCTGCGCGCAGCTTTTCGAGTTCTGCTTCTTCGTCTTCTTCCGCTGGTTCCTTGGGGTGGTGGACTGTGTGCATTGTTAGGACTGAGGATAGTATATGGATTGGATGAGACTCACGTTCTGTATTGGCTGCGTCTGGTAACCGGGTGAGACGATCTGAGACAGGCACAGTTCCAGTCTTGAGCATCCGCTCGTCCATGGCCTCCTGCTCGAGACCCTCGAGTTCTGCGTCCAGTTCGTCTTCGTCTGGCTGTTCGCCCACTGGGTTGTTGGTGATTGCTTGGGCGATTTCCTCGCTGAGCTGGTGCTGTTCCCGAAGTTGATCCCTGACCCGTCAGCACGATGCTTGATCAGATAAAACCAAGAATACATAACATACATAGTCTCATCAACCTTATCAATAGTCATAGAACCATGAATCTGGGTCATGGCAGAGCCAGCCGCCTTCATCGCGTTCAAAGTTTCCTGGTTGATATTCGCCGCCTCGATCGAGTATATTTGCTGCTCTAGCTGAGCGATCTGCGCAGTCGTCTGTTCAAAGTTCTTCTCGTGGACCTTCTTCCGTCGAAGGGCGGCTTTGGCGGCTGTGATTTTCCTTGATCGTCAACAAAACGCCCTGCGATAGCAAATATAACAAAACGAGAATCAGCTAAACGCACCATTCTTATTCGACGAGATGTTCTTCTTGGCAACCGCCTCCTGTTCCTCCATCAAATGCTCCAAATGCTTCTCTCGCTTTTGCAACATGTCCAGCTGCTCCCGGAGCATGAGGATGGCGTTCTTGGGCGCATCCTTGCGCTTCTGGGCAGCGGCACCACCGAACCAGGACCACATCTTGCTGTAGATATAGAAAATGACAGCAGTTTACTGTATTTTATTTCCCCCCACTAGACCTTCTATAGGACAATCCCTGATCGAATGGATGTCCTTTCTGTCCCCGCGCTGGAGCCTGCGGTGAAAGCGATAGCCGTTCAACGAGAGATGAACGGATGGGATTCGGTAACGGAGGGAAACGGAGGACAGAAAAGAAGAGTGAGTTCTCTGACAGGCAACTGAATAAAGGAAATCGAAACAAAATGGCCTGGCAAAGCACGAAAGATAAGCCGGAGTCGAATTAACCAGAGGGGAAAATGAGAGATTCAGTTCCCCTCGTTATGACATACGCACTAAGCCTATCGGGGATGGAGTCACGTGGATGAAAGCTATCATGTATTCTCGACCAGACGGAGTTGGGTATGACTTCAACAACAACAACAATCAACTGCAACATGTCTATATATTTACAACTATGAAAGGGAAATAATCTGTTAAAAGAGGAAGAGGAATGAATGGCCCACCCCCCTCAACCCGAGCATTCCTCTCTCAACTCCCCTCTCTCCCCGCCGACTCCAAAGTCCGCTTTCTAGGCTGGTGCGTTCTATACGGACATAGCAAGAAGAAACTTCCAGCCAGATGAATAAACAGAAAAGTTACTAATCGAGGGAAATTGTCTACTCTTTCAGCGTAACAAAATACAATGTCGCCACGGGCCATCTCATCCTAGAGCACAATTACCCGCGCAGTAGGGCAGATCTTCAACAACAGCATACCGTCTCGGTCGATATCAATGCACTGCTGGAGACGGTGACATGGGAGGAGCTGCGTGTGGGCGCGTGGATTAATGTATTGGGGTATGTGAGGAGGGTGCAGTCGTTGTATGTGGAAGCGATTATGGTCTTTCCAGCGGGGGCGATTGCGTTGGGGGAGTATGAGAGGGTGCTGCAGGATACGCAGGAGGTTGATCGGAGAGTGAGACGACCTGAATGAGATGGAGTTATATGATGGGATGAATTTGAGATTGAGGAGTGGAATTATTGAATTATGACCTGCAGATGATGCCATGTCTGCCTGCGTTTGAACCCACGATTCTCAAACGAAGCGTTTTAACTAAAGAAAAAATTAAACCAGATAAGAAAACGCTTTTGATACTCATAAACAATCGTAACACTTTTGACCTTGTGACCTTCATCTCTGAGACGTCATGAACACATGGACTGGCGTAGGCATCAATTCGTCGACTCGTGACATGCGGACTAGACCTCAGCTGTCTCCGTCTGTCCTTCCTGTCTCTCCTGTCCGCCACCTGCACCCAACCTTTCATTCTCCGCCGTCAGCTGGGCGATCATAGCAGTCTTCTCACGAATCTTGCGTCCATGTTTAAGAAAATAAAGCGGAATAGGAATTAGAAGGACTTCAATTAGACCCAGAATTGTGGCAGACCAGTTGGGGCCGATGCCAGAGAACATGAACGTGCCGACAAACGGGGTAATGCCACCAAGCATAGTTCTAATCACACAATTTCCCACCATGGCAGAGGCAGCGAAAACCCCATAGCTGCGGGTGAGGTAGCTGGATGCATAGATGAAGACGCCTGTGTTGCCTGCGCCAAACGGCACGCCCGCGAGGATAGGGACGATCCAGTGAATTGAAGCGGGAGTACAGGTCCATGCAAACCATAGCTCGCCAATTGGTACTAGGATAGAGCAGACACATATAGCCGATACGACGGCTTCGGGTGGCACCTTGCGTTTTGGATCTTTCGAGTCGCTGTCGGTCAACTTACGGATGACGGGCTCACAAACAATAACCAAGATGGTGCCGAGTCCGATTCCCAAGAAGGATAGGCTGGAGATGCTAGACGACCAGCCTCGAATCTGACCAAATACGACCGGATAGGCCGTGAAAGAAAGATAGAGGATTCCATACAATACTCCAACATACAGATTCCAAAAAATACTGACCAAGTTAAAGGTTAGTTCCTTGACACTTGTGGATATATTGATGGCTGGCTTACCAGATAGGCTCTGTAACGGCCATAACAATGGGACGTTTTATACTATCTCTCAGGGTTTTCACCAACCCGTCTTTAGACTCGTACCGAGACCACCAGCGTCGATCGCCGGTTATCTTGCGTAGGTGTGCTGCCCTTTGTTGAAGAATGATCGGTGCATAGGACTCGCGCATAGAAATTGAAACGAGCAAGGCAGAGCCTGCGGCGATGCAAATGAGCCAATTCGCCCAACGCCAGCTCAAATACTGCGTTGCAAATCCACCGACGATGGGGCCAATGACTGGTCTGTTAGCAAGGGAATGGTTGAAGAAAGATGAGATACGAACCTGGACCACTAAGAGGGCCCAAACCCCAGATAGAAAAGCACAAGGATCGGTTTTTCTCAGTCACCATATCGGACACCATTCCAGGAGAAGCGGCGACCATGACTGAACCAAAGAAGGCAGCCAGGAACCGGAAGACGAGAAGCATTGCCAGAGACTCGGAAAGAGCACATGGGATGATGAAAGCAGCAAACATGCACATGCAAATGAGCGAAACTGGCTTTCTGCCATATACTTCAGTCAGGGGAGCGGTAATCAGGGCGCCGGCTGCAAGACCGAAAAGATATGTTGTTAGCCCCAACGTGGTGATGGTTTGGGTGGAGTGCATCTCTTCTACAACCACAGAGATGGTAGGCGTATACACTGTCGAGGTGAGAACACTGGCGGGAGAATATGTTAGTCTGGCAAAATACGAGACAAGAGAAGATCAACTCACACAACCATGGTGTTATACGAGATACCCATCACAGCGGCATATCTATACATTGCAGACCAAGACTTTGGATTGCTCTTCTCTCCAACTGCTTTCCAATCAACCTCAAAGTGAGGATCACCAGAGCCGGGGACGGATGTGATTGTTCTGGTCAACGCGGGTTCTTCAGCTACTGAGTCTCGCCTCGTTGCTGCTCTGTCGAGGGTATTGGCATTGTCGGCAACCTCATTGGGCATGTTGGACGAGCTGGTATCAGTAATTGAATCGCTCGGGGTGATAGATTTCTGAGTACAGTTCGGCCATTTGTTCGCGTCTGATTCCACGATCTCGGCCATCTTGATTGGGTGTCTCTTTACGACCAGACACGAAGCATCGAGGCAAAGACCGGATGATTCGAGCTGATATGGCCAGTGAGATCAAGACAACAACCTGATCAAGAGAGGAGAGAGGAGAGGAATGACAAACTCTGTGAAAGAAGATCTGGAAATCACTTTGACAAGAAGAAGCAGAGTTCTTTGTGAAGGTCTGTATAAACCAGAAGGCAAAGAGGGATGGAGAGGACAGAAGGAAGAGGAGATGAAATAAAAATCAAAATGTGTGTTCCAGCAGAAAGAAGGGCTGGTGAGAAAAAATTTCACCTGTCAAAAGGGAATGTCGAAAGATGAATCGATCACAGAGAAGCAGAAGAGGAAGGGTGGGTCTTTGAGAAGATGAAGATGAAGACATGAGATTACAGTTACAAATGATATACAGATATTATAATTCTCTCTATATCTATCTCTGTCTCTATCTTCTCTTCTCTCTATACCAATCAATTCCCACGTGGAGGAGATGATATGATATGATGCGATATCAATAATGAAGCCAAAGTGGAAAGAACGCGATAAGCGATAAGAATTCTTGTATTTTTGATATTTCTTTTATCTTCTATATGCATTATACCATATTTATTTGTATTCTATTTGATTTAAATATTATTTATTATTTTACTATCAAGTCTAGATCTTTCGACCGGATGGCGCCATTCCGAGTCATTCACTGAGGCTATACACATCCACATCCAGTATTATACAGAGGGGATATTCCGATGGATATTCCGATGGGTATTCATATCGACTGAATAGTTCAAGTCGAGATATTGATATCATGTTTATTATATTTATTATAGGATATGATGTTACTGTGGTTGACAGCTTGGAGTATCTTATTTTAGAACCACGTGGAATGCATCACCTGCATATACTGGGATATCAGTATAGTGTACTACTACATCACTCTGTATAGAAGAATAAGATACTCTATATAGCAATACGAATAGGAACAGGAATGGAAATTGGATAGCTCCATTTCTTTATATCGTCATGTCTCACTTTCCCCTGATTTTCTTCTCCACTTCGCCTGGATATATCCTCATCCATCATAGTACTATATAGTATGTACCATCCTGCATCTTGATCGAGATACTATACTACTATCTTTGTAGATAGTAAAAAGATATAATATCTGAATATAATCATCTCATCTCCTCATCCACTGCCATCTCCCATGCTAATCAATCCAGATAATCCAGATCATGAAGATCCAAATAACCGAACCGACTAATTCGGACACCAAATCGCTTCGGCCGTCCTAAGTGGATTTCATCGCTTCTTTTCATGGCTCGATCGTTCCATCTCTCCTATATATATCTTGTCTCTATCTCCATCTCCATCGTTTTTATCAATATTCTTTCATCAACTCCTCCCACCCCACCCAATGCTTCTCCTCCTCGCCCTAGGCTTCGGCCTGGTCGCCCTCTATCTCCACCACGTCAATCGCGGCTTGACTGAAGCTCCTGAAGAAGCTCGTCGTCTTTCCCCGCATCGCTGGACCGAAGACGAGATCAAAGCTGCGTATCAGAAAAATATCGAGAATCCGATTAATATTACCAAAAGTCTTCCCCCCAAGCAGCAGCGACGCTATATCGTTGTTGGTGGAACAGGTACGTCTTCAACTCCTCATCCATAATTTAGAGACTGACATATCAGGCCTCGTGGGAAACTGGATCGTGTCGCATCTTCTGGCCCGTGGTGAAGACCCATCTGCAATCCGCATCTTGGATCTGCAATCTCCTCGCCAGCAAATCCTCGACCAAGGCGTCGCGTATCTCAAAACCAACATCGTCGACGAGACTTCCGTCTCCAATGCATTTTCCCAGCCATGGCCTCACCTCGTGGCCCATTTCCCCTTAACCGTCTTTCACAATGCAGCCGTCATCCGGCCTGCTGAGCGACACAAGGACTTTCTTCCCCTCTGCGCCGCAGTCAATGTCACCGGCACTGAAAACGTGCTCAACACTGCCAAAAAGTCCGGTACGACTTGCTTCATCTCGACTTCATCTGGCTCTATTGGACTCCGTGCTCCGTCGTTCTGGATCGCCCCCTGGACCAAGACTCCTCAATACATGGTTCAAGTTGTTGGCGATTCCACGGATCTCCCCAAGGAACACGACCAGTTTTTTGGTAACTATGCCGTTTCCAAGGCCGAGGCGGAGAAAATCGTCCGTGAGGCCGATGATGCACAGTCGAATTTCCGTACTGGATGTATTCGTCCTGCCAATGGCATTTACGGTATCGGCGGTGATGCCAGTGCAAGTATCGTTCGTATCTATCTGAAATCCGGCGGCAATCCTACGTAAGTCATCTTGATCAAACACAAACAATCAGATAAAACCAAAACTAATACATATGCATAGTTGGACCTCCAAAATCTTACAAAGCTTCGTCAACGCCGAAAACGTCTCCATCGCCCATCTCCTCTACGAACAGCGCCTCCTCGACCTCACCAACCCCATCGCACCCTCCCACCCAGACATCGGCGGCCAATCCTTCACAGTAACAGATCCCAACCCCGCCCCCTCCTTCGGCGACATCTACTTCCTCCTCAAAACCCTCTCCAAATCACCCGTGCACTTCCCCGTCGTGCCCGCTATCGCCATGTACCTCTTTTCCTACCTGGTCGAGTGGTACGCGTTGCTGCAGCATTGGTATTTCTCGGCTCTCCTCCCGCGCGTGTCGGGCGATTTGGCCCAGTTGCAGCCGGGCTTGTTTGCCATCTCCGATGTGCATGTTTTTGCGGACGATTCGAGGGCTAGGAAGGGGCCTGAACTTGGTGGGTTGGGGTATAACCCGCCTATTGGGACTTTGGATGGGATGTGTAGGGAGGTTGAGATGTGGAATCGGGAGTTGAATTAGTTCTGAGTATGTACTTTTGCAGTGCTTCTTGGTTATAGACCCATGTACAGTGTGAATAGTTGGTCATGTATACTTGAATTAGATAACTAGATAGACTAGAATCACGATACCAAAACCCTCAATGTTCAATCACTGAATATAAAACCGCTTAACTAGTCCATGAACATGCACCTACAAACGCGACAAGTTAACTACCTCCCCGGGCGCATGGTAAGTAGGAACCTTCATATCCAACGCAGCACCCGAGTATCCCAAATCCTCCGCCGTGAGAACTGCGCATTTCTCACCGATAAGCAGGGCCGTCTACACCATATTATCAGCTCCATACTGAGTAGAAGTAAGAAACAAAAGAAAGAAACTCACGCTAAAAGTATTACAGCCCACATTATCAGGACAAATCGACAAATCGCACACCTTGAGTCCCTTGACGCCGTGGACGTTGAGACGCTCATCGACTACACCGTGCTTGACGATCGAGTTACCCTCTCTGGGTGCCATGCTGCATGTTCCGAGGGAGTGCCAGGTTGTTTCGACGTGGCGTTGGACTAGGTGTATATGTGGTTAGATGTACTGTTTGTGTATGTAGGATTTCATTCATGTTTGAAGAACGACTCACCCCATTTCTCAATATGTTCGATATCCTTCTTGCTGTATTTGATCGGCGCTCGGGTTTCCTGTTTGTTGGAATTGAGGAAGGCCGTCGCGGGTGACTGTCCCGGTTCGATAGCAGAAGACCATGAACCATGCTGAATACCAGCCGAGATGTGGTTCGGACCAGCGTATGCTTTTGTCGTCGCGAGATCAAGGTCAAATGCACGAGCTGGGGAATCGTAGTTGAAATGAGGGTGCATGCCGGTTACTTCGCCGGCGTACGAGCTCATCCGACGCGCTGTCTCTCGGGACTTGATGTATCCCCAGACCATGGGGGCCATGTCGCGCTTGTCATTCATGAAGCCTGCGTCAAAGTCGGGGGTTTCGTAGGGATCGGGGGATTGGATGTGGGTGAATCCGCGAGAGAAGGGGTATTCCTGGTTCTTATCAGCATGTGAAAACAGATATCAAAGATCTTTGCTAGCTGCTTACCAGGAAATGGAACATAGTGAAGAATTTGCCCGGGGGCATAAGCATGTGGTCTCCGAACCAACTATTACAATATTAGAAGATGAATGTTGGTCGCTGAAGAAGAAACTTACCCGGAAATCACAGAGTAGTGCATAACAGGCTTGTCAGGCTTGTTCTTAAAGTAGCTTTCCCAGCCACTGATGAATTCAGACGTAGGCCAGCTCTTCATCTCCTCGAGCTCTTCCTGGGTTGGTCTGATCTTCACACCTGCATCGATACCATTCGTGGCCAACGGTCCTGTTCCTTTGAGGTTCCATTCCTCGTATACCTTCTTCTGAACTTCAGGGTCTCCTCGGACAAAGTCATCAAAAGACTCGACGTCTGGTTTGGCCCTAAAGACAGAAAAGGTAAGGTAATGATCTTGGAAGTTAAGACCAACACCGGGAAGATCCACGATGGGTTTGATTCCGGCTCGGCGAAGCTTCTCGGGGTCACCGACTCCAGATCGCTGCAGGATAAGAGGCGAGCTCATAGTACCACCACTGACGATGATTTGTTTGCGGGCTCGGAAGATCTTACGTGGAGGATTGCTGCCTCCCAAGGGTTTGGTCGGGACAGTCGCAACGCCGACTGCCCTGCCATTTTCAATAATGACCTTGTCTACCTTGGTGTTGCACTTCAAATGAAGATTGGAGTGCTTGCTTCGAGTGCTGTGGATGTATGCATGAGCAGCATCACTGCGGCGGCCTGATGAGAGCGGTTAGCGATGTCTTATAAAGTTAACATAAGCTTAGTACCTGTATCACGATTGATCCATTTCAGCCAATGCTCAGCACCGTGACTACAAAATCCCCGTCAATAAAATTCCCAAATAATAAGTACAACCTGAACCTACCCAGTCTTCAGGTCCTGCAGATCATCCGTGACGGGAATATCCTGAGACTCAGCAGCGCGAAGAAAGTCTTGCATGATAGGGTACGTGTAGTTTCCAAAAGAAACCTTAATAGGGCCATCAAAGCCATGAAGGTCCCGGTTATTGCAAGCACGCTGGTACGTTTCGTGCTTCTTCATGAGAGGGAGAAGCTCCTTGGTCGTCCAGCCCTTGGCTTGAAAGTCATCGTAGTCTGATGCAGACGCCCGGGTATACATCTGACGAATGTTAGACGGGAATGATTATGCAGACAGATCATTTTGAATTACCATGAAGTTGATCGAACTACCTCCACCCAGAACATGGGCACACGGAACAATAGCTCTCCGTCCATCGAGCCATTCTGAAGGTCGAGAATAGTAGAACGATGCCGTCTTTGAGTCAAGCTTCATGTTCCGGGGATAGATTCCTGGACGATAGACCCTAGAGCACGGTCAGCAATCACATCAGGACATACAACGATGAGGAGTGTCTACCATGGGTTGTTCAGGTTGTCTTCGCCAGCTTCAATGACTAGAACCTGAAGATTATGATCGAGGTTGGCGAGTCGGCCAGCTGGCACGCAGCCAGAGCTGCCACCGCCGCAGATGATAATGTCAACCTCTTCTGGGATAGTCATTGCTTTCGGTACTCAATTGCAATCCAAAGAGACTGATGAGAGAAGAAGCATCAATTCTGAAATACGCGCAGCTTGCTCAAGGGTAGATATACCTGGGCGAAATGAACCCCGCAGATAACGAAACCACGTCCATGGCCATTGAGCGGGGATACCTTCATCCTCATAGAGCACTGTACAGTAGCGATTAGCAGTTGGATCCCCTCTTCCCCTCATGTGGGAGGCGTAATACCCCGCGCAGGTAAAGACGATCAAAGTGATTCAATCAAAAGGTATTAAGAACCAGGATGAATGCCTGTAACGACCTGGGATGGATTCCATTGCATAGAATTGCTTGGCCATCTTCTCCCCACACGTGGCAGGGTAATAACGAGTCAATCAGATACAGTGGCCTCGAAAGTGGTTATGTGCTGACATGTCAAACAGACGAGCAAAGGGATGCCATTGGAAACGTGAAAGAATTTCATTGAGTATTTCGCAATTCCAGGTTTATACTATTATACAGAGATGCAAACGACAGTCAGGAAATTCTATGGGGGAGCAACGGAAGATTGGACGAAGGGGTATCACAAGTGGAGAGATCGACAGTGAATAGACAAAAATGGCAGCAAGTCTTAGTGAATCAGCCAGGGAAGCAGCATAAGCTCCAAGGCAGATGACCATTGTAGTTGGCTGGTCGTCGTAGAAACTGGGGGATGCTATCGGGCTGTCAAGACCCCTGTCAGTTATGGGCGCCCGAGTCAGGTGAACCTAAGAATCAGATCAAACGAAAAAGCAGTCGAGTCGTCAGAGGCGCCATTGGCATTGATGGAGGCACGTTGTCAAAAGTCCGGAGAGCCGTGATGTGCAGCTCTTCGGCGGGGAAAGCCAAGTTGCTTCCAAGATTCCCCGCACAACTTCCAGTCTAGACTGAAACAGCATCATGATCCGCCGTCTCCGGCAGCTAACAGCTCAATCGCCCAGAAACCCAGTCTCCTCATTTCCAAAGCAAGCAAACCCCGTGTGGGACGTATCATGGTTGACGATTTTTCCGTCCAATGCTCCCCCATTCCATTGTCGTTAGTTTCTCGGCAGATGGTCGGAAGCGTTTCCTCCTAGTCGTGATTAAGTACAGATGTAGCTCCGGGGAATCTCGATGATGCATTTGGTTTGCCAGTATCCGAATGTCGTGGGGAAAATGCGCCAGGGAGCAAAATGCCTCAAGACGTAAGCCGTTGTTCTGGGGGGGGAGTCCAGCCTATGACAACCTCTCAACCAAGTCCCGTGAGTTGCCCAGACTACTGCCCAGTGTCCACGCTTGGTAAAGTAGCCTGAGCTGGCTCCCGGCCAAGCAGAAGACTGCCATAGACCTTCTAAAGGGGTTGAATTGCTGGAAACCAGGGTAAAAACTCGGTATTATGGTTACCGCGCGTGCTGCTGCTGTGCAAACTGACGTCTTTGCTCCAATATTTGCATCCGTAGGCCCTCTGCAGCCAATTCCACGTCGAGAATCGCACCAACTCCACGCTTCCAAGTTTCTTCCAGCCCCGCAAGCTCTCCTTGCCTGGCTTCCTGTGCAATTTTCCTCTCTTTGTTGACCGTTTCCGCAGCCTCCTTGGTTTCCGCCAATTCCTTTTCAAGGTTTCGCAGGATGTCTTCCAGCTGGGAGTTACCAATCAGCCACGCATTCTTGCCATTTTCCTCCAGGAGCGCCAGATTCTCGTGTCTCATGGACAAGTGAGAGCTGGCTGTGTAAGCCTTTTGCAAGGTTTGGCGCCACTCATCGAGATTTGGATTAGAATCCGCCCCTCGAGAAGGGGCTTCTGGGGCTTCATAACGTGATAGGTCAATTCCACCTGTCAGCGGCTGTCCAGCTGCCTTCCGTTCGACTTCTTGCTGTATGAGGGGAGATAATCGTGGCTCGGGGAACGCGGGGATGGATGGGTGAATTGTCGACGAATGATCTGGGGAAAGCTCTGCGGAGATCAGTCGCTCCGCATTTGCTCGAGCTTGGGTTGAAGGAGCAGCATCGATATCTGGGAAGATCGAGTACGTTAGAAGGGCGGCAGAGCATTCGTCAGAAAGACTACTTACACGGAAGGGAATCGTGAGACTCGTTAATGAGAGGCATCTTGGCAATGTCTTAATGCGATTTAAAGGTACTGAAGACACAATTGAAGGTAAGAGGCACTATTTCTCAGCGACAAGAACTCAACGTTGACTGCCGACGCGAATGTGAAGCGGAAGCTTTCGTCTTTTCCAAGTCCGCAAGCGGTGAGATTATGCCGGCTGACTCATCAAACGATATCACGTGCTAGTATCGTCGATCCCTCTTGGAATTGCTTCGAATATCTTAATTCAAGCTTTTCTTGGACATACTATTTATTGGCTCGTGTGAAATATGTCTGATATCCCAAGAACCATGGATATGGTCTGCCATGAAAGCACGAATAGTTGATGGTTGGTGTCGCCATACTTACCTTCGATCTACCACGCATCCATAAACCCTTGCTGCGACGAAGCGTTATCGACAGGTCATTTTTTAGATGAGCTGTCAACCACACTGTATGTCCTCTGCAATTCCCTCCCATTATTCACCAATTAATTATTCTGCTGTCTCTGCAACTCGACGATTTTCTCACAGAATTGCATGTGCGGGGCTGGTATCAAATTGCCCGATTAAGCCTAGTCCCGGAGGGCGGCATCCTTCTAAGGCCGCAAAGGGAGCGTCGATCGACCAGCGATGTGACCTCTTGCCAGGGCTTACACGAATGACGAGTTGTGGATTTCAGACGCTTTTCATGCAGGATTAAATAAATGTCCATTTTGAATGTGTGACTGGTCATGAGCCTGTTATGGTGTTGCTTCTATTGCCTTCTTAAAGAGCCTGTTGTCTCTACTGAACCGCTTGACTATCTTGATGTCATAACGTCATAGCTCTAACTACCTGCGAAGATGGCCAACTTCCGGCCGGTTATGTCCATCATTGCAGCTTCATTAACAGTGCTTGTATTATTGCAATTATTTTCAGTTGGCCAGAGCTACGGTAGTCCATTCGGATTTGACACTAAAAGCACGTGGAAGGGCAGAGCGGACGAGGTCATTTTGGATGACAGTGTATTTCTCCTAGGTGCAGGAAAGGCTGATATCACTGGGTATTGCACCCAAAAGATATTTTAGTCGATTATGCTGACATGCTCTGTCCCAGACCTGTCGTGGAGATACCTTTCAATGGCTATGCCAGTTCAAATCAGCTCGGAACTGGTCTTCGGCAGAGGATTCATTCTCGCGCGTTTATCATAGCGAACCCAAACAACCCCGCGGATACCTTCATCTATATTGTCCTTGACGCTCAGTCTGGTGATACTGCTGTGCGGAATGGGGTTCTTCAGGGCCTTGCTGCACTTGGGGGAGAATATGTACGATATGGTGAGCGCAATCTGGCGCTTACTGGGACGCATTCCCATTCGGGACCTGGTGCCTGGATGAATTATCTCCTTCCACAAATTCCCAGCAAAGGATTTGACAAACAGAGCTACCAGGCACTTGTTGACGGTGCTATCCTGTCCATTCAACGAGCCCACGAAAGCTTGGCACCTGGGCGCCTGAGCTTCGGTTCCATCGACGTCGAAGATGCCAATAGTAATAGAAGTCCTTATTCCTACGAGGCCAATCCGGAAGAAGAAAAGGCACGGTATTCAGCCAACGTGGATAAGACGATGACGCTTCTAAGGTTCGATAGGGAATCAGACAATAGAACAACCGCTATCCTGACATTCTTTCCGGTTCACGGCACATCGATGTATAATAATAACACTCTAGTAACTGGGGACAACAAAGGTGTCGCCGAGTGGCTTTTTGAGCGAAGTGTTCGGAACGACACAAGGTTTGCCGATGAATTTATTGCCGGGTTTTCGCAATCAAACGTCGGCGATACAACACCAAATACATTGGGGGCATGGTGCGAGGATGGCTCTGGAGAGAAATGTCGCTATGAGGATAGCACCTGTGGAGGTAAAACGCAACCCTGTCGCGGTCGTGGACCGTATTTCCGAGAGAAAGATGAAGGTGCCAAAAGCTGTTTCGAGATTGGGAGACTTCAGTATGCTGCCGCCAAGGAGTTATATGACCAAATGGACACCGAAGCGACTGAGGTTGTTGGGAATTCCAATGTCAACTCCTTTCATGTCTACCAGGATATCTCTGGTTATAGCTTCCCATCGCCATTTAACGGCAGTATCCTCAACACATGTTCTGCTGCCCTGGGGTTCTCCTTTGCTGGTGGAACAACCGATGGCCCAGGGGCTTTTGATTTTACCCAAAACAACACTGGGCCAGCCAAGTCCAATCCGCTATGGTATGTTGCGCGTGCTTTCATACACCAGCCGTCACAAGAGCAGATGGCATGCCAGGCACCCAAGGACGTGCTCCTGGATGTAGGAGACGTGAATCTGCCGTATTCATGGACACCAAACATTGTGGACATCCAAGTCCTCCGGGTGGGCCAGCTGCTGGTAATCGTCTCAACCAGTGAAGCAACAACTATGTCAGGGCGGCGTTGGAAGGAGGCTATTGCTAAGCATTCAGTGGACGTTTTGTCAGTTGCGGACCCTCTCGTGGTGTTAGGTGCGCCCTCGAATAGCTATGCTCATTACGTTGCCACCGAGGAGGAATATAGCGTGCAGCGCTACGAGGGTGCGTCAACTCTCTACGGGCCAAACACGCTCGCAGCATACGTCAATCTGACCCTCACGTATCTACCGTATCTCGGTGACTCGTCCAAGGTGGCCCGCCTGCCAAGTATCCCCTTTGGACCAACGCCTCCTGTCAATACCAATGTATCGTTGAATTTCATACCGTCAGTCGTGTTCGACAATGCTCCATTTGGCAAGTCCTTTGGCGATGTGATCTTGTCGCCGGAAAAAGCCACCTATGGGCCTGGTGATGTGGTAAATACCACATTCGTAGGCGCCAATCCACGAAATAATCTTCGCCTCGAATCAACTTTTGCAACCGTTGAGAGGCAGAACCCCGAATCGGGCGCCTGGGAAGTGGTGCGTACTGATAGCGACTGGAACCTCTTGTACCGCTGGGAGAGAACGAGCAGCGTGCTGGGACACAGCGAAGTGACTCTACAGTGGCATATAGAGGATGATTATTACAATACTGGGAATGCGGAGACCCTGAAAGACGGAACCTACCGCATGCACTATTACGGGGACTACAAGAGCGTCCTGGGAAATATCAAGTCCTTTGAGGGAATAGGAGGGGCATTTAAAGTCGCAGCGCACTCATCATGATTTGTTTATCTTTGGTTTGGGGTTATAATAAGTTTTGGGATGAATGGCGTTCTTCGTCCGATGTCTACATCTACTTTTGCACGAATGATGGATCATGGCTTTTGAATATACGAATCATATCTATATTGCCTTTTCCCCTTTCTTTCTTTTTATTTTGCTTTCTTTTACTATTGTTTCATACCAGAGCGATGCTGCCTCTGAGCACCAATAAGTACGCGCACTCGCAGCAACCCGGCGCTTCCTGCAACGTCTCTACTTGTCGCGCGCCTTTTTCGTCTCCATCCACCACCAACCAATGTTATTCTGGAAGTAACACTTGGGACAACTGGAATGAAGACCCACAATGATATCTCGGGAGTTTCTCTTCATCGCTTCTACTATAGCATGGCTGACTGACTAGGAATGAAAGTCTAGACCTCCATCGAGAAAGCTGACAGCTATCTTTAAAGCTAGGAAAGAAATATCTTCTTCAATATTCCGAATCTTCTTTGGTTTAGTTCTTCTCTGTTGCCTCACTTTCTTGTCGAGTCGTTCTTTATCTTCTGCCATTGTCTATCATGAAATCAAAACCTGATGGACAGCCAACTTTCAACTGATTCGGTTTGTTTGTGGCATGAATCAGTATTTCGATTTCTTTGATATTCATCTTCTCAGTCTATCTTTAATCCCCGAATAACAGCAGTTTATTTATCTGCAATTGTTCTTACCGGCCAGTTCGGCTTTCCTATCCTTGTTTTCAACCCTACAAGATGCGGTTGATTTCGATCATCATCTTTTACCTCTTCTTCTGCCCTTGCTCGGCTGGTCTGATCGCTCGCTTTTTCTTACAACCCAGGGAACATGGGTCTTTTAATGGATCCATGCAAAATAATAGATCGTCATCCATCTCGCGAATCTTGACTGCTGCGAGTCTATCTAGTAATAATGGTGGGCTTGCCGTCATTCCCATCACTCCTTCGACTCCAGCCCAGACTCAAATCCCCAGCTCGGGCGGCAATACTGCCAGCAACTCTACGCCTGATGACGACCCACAGCCCTCATCCGCGGCACCTAGTCTTTCTCTCATCCGCTCTTCCATCGTGACTCCATCATCAGAGATCCCCAAAGCTACAAGCACCATATTGACTGCTGGTGTTGTGGGCCCTTTACCCAGTGCCGGCACAGAGAATCCGTCTCTACCTTCGGTAACGTCTACAAGCCCGGCAAATCCAGATAATAGGCTTTCCACTCAGAGCTATCGCCCCAGCAAAGAAGATTCATCATCAAGAATCTCTAAGAATACAGCTACCAGACTGACTGCCGGTGTGGTAGGCCCCATGCCAGGTGTCAGTACAAGTAATCCATCTCCGCCTACAGCGCCTACAGGGCCGACAGAGCCGGGCAATGCGCCCTATTATACACGAGAAAGCACGGCTTCGTCGTCAAGAGTTTCCGAGACCACGAGTACCAGATTAACCGCTGGCGTGGGCACAGAGGACCCGTCTCCTCAGCCCACAGCTACGTTCACGACTCCCACGATCCCAGAAGCCGAGTCTCTTTTTACATACAGAAGTATAGTACCTATCTCGGACGGTATCAACCAAGGATATCAGTCCAACAATGCTGCGTTACAACCAGCCACGACTATAGGCTCTGCCAATCATTCGAATCCACAGGACCCAACGTCATCTTCATTATCTGTTGAACCAGAAGATCAGCCATCAGAGGAAACACCCACCCCTGTCACCAAACCGGTCATAGTCATGGTTACCCCATCCACCACTGAGTCCTTTTCATCAACAAAATCCACCCAGGAGAGCGACTCCACGCGAAAAGTAATCCCAGAGACGCCACAGCTAGCGAGTCCCACACATACGCACACGCATGCAACAGCAGAAGTACAAACAGAAACGTCAGAGGTAACGACTATTCACGCAATATCAACCTCAACTGTTATTGTGACCATTACGCCATCATCAACGACTACTTCCGCGTCGGCCTCTGAGTCCGAATCTGACCCCAAGACAATTACAGTCCCAGGTAGGACTTCTGCTGGTGATGATGATTCTGTTGGCGATGATGATATGCAAGGGTTGTCTGTTGTTCCAGTCACACCCACGGGGTTCGTTACTGTGACTGAGACGAAAACCGTGGCTGATCGAACTGAGACCGTGACTGTAACTGTTACTCGATGATGGACTTTTTGTTTCTTCTAATTTACGTTGTTATACTACTTTAGTATATTCTAAGGTCTTTCAGCAAAATAATGGTCTTTAATTTCCAAGAAACAATAGAAATGCATAATTTACATAATTTGCTAAATGAGTTAAATATGAAACTCCCAGAACCGGATATAGATTCTATCAAAAACTCCCGTTGCCTAAACGAAACAAACAAATCATATAGAGTAATTCCCATTTAATCAGGGAATACTATGCAAAGAGAAGATGGAACTGCGTCATATCTCAGAAAGTACACCGCCGGCCTCGGCGAATTTCTGCTGGTATTCTTTGAGACTTGCCCACTGGCGCAGCTCTTCTTCGTCGCGCTCAGTGTCGCTCAAATAACTCATTGATCGACCTTTCTGGTCGCGAGTGGATCCAGGTCGTGATTGGGTTGAACTTGAAAGGCCCTCGAGGCGCATGAGCGTGTCGATGAACGCATGGAGATAAGATTCTGCTTCGGCCATGGTTAGAGAATGAGGCCCTGGAGTTGATGTGTCTGGTGTTGCCGATTCCATAGCTGGGTGAGGAAGGTTGAGCAAAGTGGAAGCTATTTGACGGATTTTATACGTCTGTAGGGCTAATTAGATATACAGTTTAAAAGATTAGATTTAAAGAGTGGGGAAACTCACAAAGCTAGCACCATTAGGTTCCATATTGACCTCATTGACAGAACGCAATAGTACAAGAAGATCTCGTATCACAAGCAGACGTTCTTCTGCCATCATTTTCTCGATATGATCCGGTTGTGCGAGTGTTTCTGGCACTGTGAAGTTGTCCGACGCGTCACCTTCTACCTTGGGTGCAGACCCTGGTGTGTCGGGATATCTCTGCTCAGATGGCCTATGGTACACCTTAGAAGTCCCAAAAAGACCCCAATATTTTTCCACCAGGTAGGATCGGGTACCTAACTGACTAGCATAAATATTGGCTTTCTGGATTTCGTACTGGATAGCACGACGTTCCAGGGAGTGCGGGTTTTCGGTGCTCATGGGAGAGATCTGAATCTGATTAAGTGATAGTTCTTTCGGGGCATTGACAAGCGCTGATTTCGCCTTCTGTAAGCATTCCCACATCAAGGACCTTTGACGCTCTCTGTCAAACAACTGGCCACTGCCGAATGCAATTTCCCAGGCCGACAAAGTATTGTAGGAACTAAATATTCGAACATTGGCATTGAACCCTACAAGCTGCGAGACTGTGTTGCTTGGTTGAGGCTCCACATGTGTGGGGAATATGTATTCATCATCAACCTCGATGGGCAAGGGTGGATAACGCTCAGTTGGCGTTTCTGGAGGAACGTAGACAGCGGTATCAGCGGACCCAATATGCTGTAGTGACCGATAGCCAACTAGAAGTGTGTAGAAAAGCCGACGTGCCATCTCTTGCTCAATGATATCGATTTGGGCGCTCTGTGGGTCATGTGATATGTGGGAGGACGAAGAAGAGTTGGGGCTAGTTGGACTCAATGAAGACAGCTTGGTCGCCGAACGGCACAGATCATGCACTTGAAGTATTGTTCGGCATTCAGCAAAATAAATACGACAAAGCCGTATATTGTACACGTATCCTGATGACAGACCCAAAAAGTAGCTGATGGCTGCATCGTTGACAGTAGCACTTCGGTCGAGGTATCCAGTACCCCGGGCCTGAACAGCGACATCATGACATCGTTTAACCAATGCCATCGAATGAGGGAATGCTGCCTTCTCGGCTTCCGTCTTCAAATGAAGCTTGGGTCTTCTTGGAAACGAAGCCACCAGGGCTCCGATCATGGAAGCCAAAAGGGCCAAGAAAATGGGATTGGTGACATCCTCCCTTCGCGCAAAAGCGGCGCGAAAGGTCGGCTCATGGGGAACTGGGACTAATGGATGGATGTAGGTGAAGTAATCATCAACGAGATAATGTACCGTGGTCAAAGGACAGATTGATTCCGCTGACGCAGGGAATGATGTGGATGGAAGGTTGTTCACAGTGGACACAGGTAGAGCAGGTGATGTCTGGTCCGATGGACTGGGAGAAGCAGCTGGTGACGCCACAATTCTTTGTTTCTTTAGCGCCTCTGCATGGCGGTTAGGCGGACCACGACGCCTGCTTGGTCTTTCATATGTACAGGGTATCTCCAAGCTGGCGCAGGACCGACAAGGAGGTCCACTTATGTCGCACTGAAGTTGAGGATTAGTATACGATTCTGCGATGGATTTCTTCAGTTCATTAACTCCTCACCTTCACCTTTCTGATACTGCAGGCATCACAGGCCTTTCGCAGTCTTGTTTTGTTGTCCATGAGTGTACATGCGAGGCATTTCAAGCCATGTTGATGCGGTTATACTCTTGCTTTTGTGGGGATGGCGAACCCGCAAATCCCCGACTGGCAGAAAGAAGCCCAACGCACTGCGAGGCAATCGGAAAGCAAAGTGGTCCAACTTCAGGTTTGTTTAAGGAAGAGGAGATTCTAATAATCAACAATGTCTGAAAAAGCGATGGATTAAGGTTCGCCCCTAAAATAATTGCATGATTTCACAGGAAATTGCCTCGGCGAGTGACGGCCTCCAGTCGATCTGTCAATCCCCCAGGGAATCAGGGATAGATAGTGTGGCTCCTCAAATCCTTTGTAAAATACGACGCCTCAAAATAATAAATAGTACAGATCTGAATATCGTCATTTGCTGCTTGATCATCGCCTTCATCTCCGGCGTTATCAGCGACGGCGACTGCGGTGAGGGGATCACGCGGATCACGTGGGGTCGTGCCCGGATCAAAGGCCCGCTGAGAGCCACGGGAATCGATATTGATGAGGATCGAATCTTGGATTCCAGTGATCAAGCAAACTCTGTTACAGGACGTAGTGGTTTCATGTTACTCGGTTATTATCATTAATTCTTTAGCACTTTGAATCCAGGGGGTTTCAAGTCCAGCTCGGATTTTCCAAGTGGTCAATGTCCCCAGTTCGACCTCCGGGTTCCCGAGGCTCCGAAGATCCCAAATTACTGCATTGTGGGGACGCAAATCACTTGCCAACTTCGAGAAGGCCCAAATTTCAGTGAACGAGTGAAAGCCAATCATGGAAGACAACCCCTGCACGGAGCAGACAGGGTATTTCCGGAACAGTCTTGTCTAGCAGGGTCCAAGGAACACAGTACCATCACTAGTGATGAGCCGTTAAGTGTCAAGTTGTCAGGCTTTGAAATCCTGATGATTCGATCGTGTTGACTCATGGCATGGGATTATCATGATAGTCGTGGCCCACTCTACTCGCCCTTTGTTCTAACAGTTCGCGTTTTCGTTCAAGCTCGACCGTCCAGAGCCCAGAGCCCGCAGCAGATGTCATGAGGAAAAGCATGGACAGCATGGGGACGAGCTGGAGCACAAGGGCGACTGTCCCAAAACTACAGATTGATTCGTTAAAATAGGGGGTGGAGGAAAAAGCAAAACCACCAGATCGTGTAACACTTACCTGGTATATTGCAACTGCCGTCTGCGAATATGCTCCTTTCGTTCCTTTTTCGACAAGTCCAGCATCTGGAAATATCGCCAGTGATGGAAAGGCCCAGCTCGGTAGCCGGTTAATAACAGAAACATCGGGGTGCCTGCCACTGGGATGAAGTTCAACGGGAGCAGCACAATGAACTCGATGATCTGTCGAAAAGAAAACGGGGCATAGACAGCACTAGTAGTCGGCTTTCCCAATCGTTTGACGATATCATCACCATGGGGGTATAAGACCCTCGAGGTGGTGACGAGTTCCTCATAACCCTCGTTCGCAACCACTGCATCAAAGATATCCACTAGGGTCTCATCCACGAAAAATGCTTCGAATAATGCCGCGACAATAATTGACCCTTCACCCAGCACTAAAAAGGCACCATTGATCCAAGCACCGACACCTTGGAAAATGGCCAGGAACGCCACTTGCGGTAAGTAGGTAAACAGAAAGAGGATGACATAGATAAAAGTCGAGAGCAGAACAATCGGTAACAATCGAGCGCGGAATAGAGGCCAGAGAAACCGATGCGATGCAAAATAGTAGATACCCTATCGATCCAAGCGTGTTAGCAAAATCAGAAGAATCACCATGCAGGCAGCAGACAAAGCGCATACCCGAAGGGGATATAACCAAGCAGCTTTGCTAGTATCCCACGGGGTAGACGTAGGCATGATGGCGGAAAAGTCTATTCAATCAAATCTATCACACCATAAATATGACCTGTCCACGACAATATATAGTATACAAAAGAAAGTTGGTCGTGGATGGATGAAAAAGACGAAGCTGAGGATGATTTCCTCATGTTGTCGAGGCGCAAGACAATGCCAAGACTCAGCCCGCGCTTATCGATAAGCGCCGCTAGCGGCTATAAAAGGGAGGAAATTTTCACGCACTTTCAGACTTCTTTCTTCTTTTTTTCTCCAAAACTGATCGCCTTTTCATTATTCACTCTGAGGTCCAATTTTCTCAATGGGTTCTTGGAGGGGAAAGAGAAGGCAAGATAAATTTCGTTGCTTACTTACCCCGAGCTCTCCCTCTGTATGGAGGGTTTGGAAATATTTACAGCGAGACATGCCCACCTTTGCACCAGGATGCGATCGTGGAGACTGAACGATTTGCATTTGCAGAAAAGAACCAGATCTAGCAAAACCTGTTTAAAATTTAATATCATAAAGAGAATTGATCACCTTTCCGAGCTGGTTCAGGCTATTTATCGTTTCCGTCGGTTCGATATCCGGCACGGTCCTGTCTATCCATCCTGTGCCTCGACGATCAACCCATATCGCGTTCATGCCCACGTTGCGCGCCCCGATCACTTCGAACGTATTGGTCGTGACCACACAGATCTCCCTCCACTGTGACGAGTCTTTGCCGACCTTGTCTGCCAGGTGTTTATAGACGGCCGGTGCCGGTTTATATTGCTTGACATCCTCGACCGTGATGATGTCTTGGAAGAATGCCGAATGAGGCGAGAGCTCTTTGGAACAAAATACCGTGCCCGACACCATCGACGTGCTTCCGTTGGAAAAGATCACGGGTGTGATGGCGGGGGTCGAGGCCAGTTGGCTCAGCGCTGGGTTTACATCGTCAAAAGTGCACATACTGTCGTAGGCTGTCATCAAGTTGTTGATGTCCTGTTCTCCAATATTTGCCCCGCTTTCGGCAAGGGCATGCAGGAGAGCATTCCGGGTAACATCAACAAAGGACTCAAAGCGCCCTATGTATCGTAGAGGGAGAATTAGTAGGCGCATCATGACACACAGCGTTGACTTTACCCAGGCTGTTCAGTTTCCAAGTATACTCCAGCTGGTACTGTCTCCATGATGTTGCAATGCAAGCAGCCGTAGTCCGTCCAAAATGCTGCTCCAGCTCTCGGGCAATCGAGTCGATGGAGAGGATGGTCCCGTAGATGTCAAACGCAACAACGATCTGTTTACCTGACATGGCGCTTGCAGTCAACACTTACGATCAAGTCCAAAAGGCATCAAATAAGAACAATAATATCCGACGAGGCGAGAGTTTTGAATAAAATCGCGGAGATGCGCGCCGGCACAGCTTAATAATGATGTCAATCCATCATCGTCCGTTCTCTGGATCGAAGAAAGAATGAGGCGGGCCATACGCCGGCATCAACCCTCGTCCAGGTCGAGTCATCTCCCTTACGCAATCCAGAACCATCCCTCCTGCTTGAATCGTCCCAATGAACGCCCATGGAAACCATGAAACCAATTACGAGGTCTTCCGGGAATGTCTCTCCAGCTGCATCGTGGATAAGTTCAACGAGAAACCCCCCAAGACCTCGAAGCGCAAAGCCCACAAAGCCAAACGAAACACCGTGAAGAAAGACGGCGCTGTCAAAAACAACACTCCTGAACCATCGCCACCCATCCCACCACCGTCATCGTCATCGTCATCGTCACTATCAGTTAGGGCAAATCCTGAAGATCTGGCTGAGTTCATTGATGTACTGCTACTCCGCCAAACCGAAAGACACGATCGATCCCTAAGATCGAACATTGAAAATCTTAAAATATGCATGAACTCATTATACCAATACTGATCTGAATCATAGTTCATCGCATCAGAAACCTTCCCCTCCCTCCCCTCCGATCTCCAATCCCTCTCCTACTCCGCAGTCCAACACGACCCCCACCTTTCCAATCGATACCCAAGTCCCCTCCCTCGATCTCTAATCGACACCATCACAGGCACCACCCCGGTCTCCGTCTCCGAATCCCTTTCTGTCTACGGCCTCGTCCCGGATGCTTCTGATCTTCCCGAGTTCCTCTCCCCCGTCCTCAATGAATACATAACCGGCGTGACGACAGGGCCGCCAGCTTGGGCTTCGACGCGTACGGATGCCTGTGAGATTTGCGAACGGGACTGGATCCCGCTGTCGTACCACCATCTTATCCCGAGGGGTGTGCATGCAAAGGTCGCGAAGAGGGGGTGGCATGATGAGTGGATGTTGAATAGTGTTGCGTGGTTGTGCAGGGCCTGTCATAGCTTTGTGCATCGGATGGCTGGCAACGAGGAGCTGGCTCGAGAGTGGTATACGGTTGAGAAAATACTTGAAAGAGAGGATGTACAGGATTGGGCGAAATGGGTGGGAAGAGTTAGATGGAAGGCGACATAGTATTCATGAGTATGGAAAGGAGAAACCAAGGCTAACGAAGTGAAGACGGTCCATGTTTGTTATACAAGTTAAGTAGACATGTAGTCAGTCATAGTCATAGTCTATGTAGATAATATCATCGTACTGTACATAAGGAGCTGATCTTCCATGGCCCCAGACCAAAATGTATGTAGACAGGTTTTTTTCTCTCTCGCCATAACCGATTTCCCTTGATATGGAATGATCATTATACTCCTTCCCGAATGCAAATTAAACATGTAAACCCGATAGGTTTTCAGATGAAAGGGGTGGCGTCATCGGGTGAGTCAACGCCCAAATAAAAATACAGTGACCAAGCACTAGGTCGCAAGAATGGTAGAAATATTGTAAAAAGGATGTCGAGAGAGATCACAGGTATCTCTTTTCATAGATATCCTCGTAGCACTGGATGTGGTCACCAACAGCAAAGTCGGTCCAGCCCTCAAAGCCGATTCCACATTCGGTGTCTTTGCGCATTTCCGTCACGTCTTTCTTGACGTTCTTGAGGGAGGTGATAGATCCTATACATCGTTATATTAGTTGGTTTTTCTCTATCTGAAGCTGTGGGTTGAAAACTTACCATCATATACAGTTTCCTGACCCCTGAGTACTCGGACCTTCTTGGCTCGGTTGACCATTCCATTCCGGACCTTACAGCCCGCAATAGATGTCTTCTCTCGGCCCTTGAGGGTAATCTCAAAGATCTGCCCAATCTCCGCTTCTCCGGTCACGCGCTGAGTTATGGTCGGGGCCAAATGCTCGCTAAGTGCTCCCTTGACTTCATCGATAAGTTTATAGATGATGTTGTAGTCCATGATTCCCACACCTCGAGCCTCTGCCATTCGCAACATGGCAGGGTCAATTGGCTGGTTGAAAGAAATCAGGTGACCATTGGCAGAAGCCGCATGTTCAATGTCGAATTCACTGATTGGGCCAACACTGGAACGAAGCACATTGGCAAAAACTTCATTATTACCAATTGCTGTCACTGAGTTGAGGACCGCCTCTGCCGATCCTCCCACATCTGCTTTGATAATGAAGTTCACCGGCTTAGGTCCAGATGCCTCTTGCTCGGCTCCAGAACCATCTTGATCAGATTCTTCTTGTCGGCGTCGTTCCAGTGCCTCCCGGCGGGCTTCATTGATAGCAGCCGTGTCCTCGCCCAATTTTCGGGTCTCCGTTCTCTCCAGTCGATATTCAACCACATCCTTGGCCTGCTGTTCATTTTCGGCTTGCAGGAGCTCAGTGCCTGCGGTTGGCTGCTCTCTCCAGCCGTCAACCTCGACTGGCATTCCCGGTGTGGCCTGGTCAATCGTAATACCAGCTTCATTTCTGAGAGTCCGTACGCGGGCCCATGTCGAACCTGCAACAATGACGTCTCCCACCCGTAGTGTTCCTCGTTTGATAAGCACAGTCGCTACGCGGCCGTAGCTCTTCGTCGTACCTTCAATCACCCAGCCCTCGGCATGGCCAGTAACTTCTGCGCGGTGATCAAGCACCTCAGAAAGTGTGACAATGGCCTCTTCAAGATCCAGCATTCCCTGGCCAGTCTTGCCACTCACACCGATAGCCTGCACATCACCACCGTAGTCCTCGACGTGAACCCCATGGATAGAAAGGTCTTGTTTAACTTTGTCCGTATTGACATTCTCCTTGTCAATCTTGCTCATAGCGACAATAACGGGGACCTTGGATTGGGTAGCGTGCTTAATTGCTTCGATTGTCTGCGGCTTAACACTGTCATCTGCAGCAACCACCAAGACAACAATATCGGTTACGTCGGCACCTCGACGCCGCATCTCCAGAAACGCAGCATGGCCGGGGGTATCCAAGAATGTAATTGTCTTTCCGGAGGGCATGGGCACGGAGAACGCGCCGATATGCTGCGTGATTCCTCCATGCTCGGAAGCAGCAACGGACGAGTTACGAAGCCAGTCCAAAATGGTGGTTTTACCGTGATCAACATGGCCCATGATTGTGACCACCGGCGGTCTAGGTGGCAGAGAAGACTTGTCTTCTGGCTCGGGCGCCGCAGTCAAATCTTCGTCGGCCGTTTCGAAAATGGGTTCAAAATTGAACTCAGTCGCAACCAACCCAGCAGTTTCTGCATCGAGGACATGACTATATGATACATCCTCGAATCCCATCTCTTCCATCCGCCGCACAAACTGTGCTGGCCGCACCCCAATGACATCGGCAAGATTGCTGACACTGATAAACTCTGGGAGGTAAAGAGGACTTGGGGTAGAGTCTAATTCCTTTGCCTTTTCCTTTTCCTTTTGTCGTGTCTTTTCTTTTTTCAACCGCCTGCGCTCTTCCCGGCGCTTACGACGGTCGTCCGCGTCGAAATCTCCTTCGTCTTCATCGGCATTAGCTTCGCGTTGTTTACGGCCATCTCGACGTTTCGGGGCCTTCGTTGTCGGTGTATCTTGTGCATTCATTTCTATTTGCTTCAACGATGACAGATCCCACGACCATTCGTCCTGGATTGGTTCCGCCTTCTTGGGCGTTGGTTTCTGGGGTTTTTCGGGCTGTTTATGGTCGACATCTTTGTGTTTCGGTGTTTCTTTTGTCTGTGCCTCCACTTCTTTGCCGCCTTTGAAGACAATTCGAGGCCCGGAAAATAGCCCTTCTCTCGACGCATACCCTCTGAACGCATCATCCCTCTTGTTTCGGGGTGCGTCTGGACGTTTAGCCCGTTCTTCTCCAAATTCCAACTTCATTTCATGACCCAGTTTTCGGAACTTGAAGTCATTTTCTGAATTGCGAGCCTGTCTCGAGTTGGGCATAGGTAAATCCGGCCGGGGAGTTTGACAGGACGGGCAGGCGGCATGCTTTCCAAAACATGAATACTGACATTGTGGGCAATTCCAATCCGTATTCCTCAAATGAGGTGGTATTCTTTGGGTATTTGACCCCCGATGCCTGTCTGAATCTTGATGTCGAATACCATCGTTATTCGTAGAACGAGAGCGTCCCCTAGTAGCGAATGGATTCTGTTGTCGTTCTGGCCTATCGCCATCACCGCGCAATTTTCGGTTTTGCTGTGCTTCCTGAGTTTTTTGTTGCTGGGTGTTTTTTGCCACTAAAGCATCACGCATCGCCTGCTCTGCCGGACTCAGGCCTGCTGATTTCGGAGCCTGTTTATTTCCCCATCGAGGACCATCGCCGCGCGGTTTGGGATTTTGCTGCTCTTTATGAGCCTGTTGGGCCTGCTGAGCCTTTTGCTGTTCGTTGTTTCGTGCCACTAAGGCATTACGCATTGCCTGCTCTGCCGGGCTCAGGCCCGCCGGTTGAGCCTGTTTGTTTGCCCATCGCGAGCCACCAAATTTGGAGCCTGGAAACGACGGGTGCGAAGCAGTTCCGTCACCATCGCCATCGCCATTCGGGGTAGAGGGAGAATCGGACGAATTGTAGTTGGCTAGAGGTGAACGAAAGGACCGCCGGGGAACGTAAGCTGGCACCGGGGAAAACGCTGCTCTATGCCTGGTCGCGCAAGATAAATCAACACCCTGACGCCGCGAAAGCTGCCAATCAAGTCAAAATTTGAAATGGAAAGAAAGCAAGACCAGACAACACTTACCTCCAATACTGCCCGTCTGTGCATAATGGAGGAGACTCTCAGTTATGACCTCCAGTATCGTTCGTTCTATCTGTCTTTCCCTCGGGGCAGAATTTCCGGCGAATACGGTGGAACTCCGTTTCCCGCCCGCCTCACGTGTGTCGGCGCCTTCGCCGAATCGGAGCCCGCCTTTTTCTGTCGTACAGGAGGAAACACTGCGATTGCGCCATTCCACCTGCTGATAAGAAGAAGATACGCCCTTCACAGCTTTGCGAGCTTCCTCACTCTCCTCCAGGTCCAGTCCAGCTTCTTAATTGCTGGCAATCTCCTTGTTCCCGGTCAATTAGGTCTATCTGAACAGCTCCACCCCACTTGCTTATCGTCACAATGGAGTCGGAGGCATTCGAGGACATGCAGAAGGGCGGCGGAGCCTTGCAAACGGCCAAGGATTTGGGTGCGGGCGCTGCTGGTGGTATTGCACAGGTCTTGCTCGGTATGTCTGCAATTGATAGGATTTGATATTCTTTGTTGCGGTTCAATCTGGGGGATTTCGGCTGTTATCACAAGTTACACTAAGGACAGCCGATGAGCCCATAATCGAACACACAGCCGTAATTTAAGGCACTTTTACTGACGTTTTCACAGGACAACCTTTTGGTATGTGGCATGACAGCTGAATTAGTCCCCTTGATTTTAACCATAGACAGATATTGTCAAGGTGCGGTTGCAAACCACCACTCAATACTCGAGTGCGCTTGATTGTGCCACCAAGATTCTCAAAAACGAGGGCCCAGCTGCCTTCTACAAGGGAACCTTGACCCCACTGATTGGAATTGGAGCTTGCGTACGTTCTGGCTCCCTGAAGACTATATTATATTCCGATTCTGACACCCATTGCAGGTGAGCGTGCAATTTGGTGCTTTCCATGAAGCTCGCAGGCGTTTGGAGGCACTCAACAAGAAGAAATACGCCGACTCTACTCTCTCTTATGGACAGTATTATTTGGCTGGAGGTATTGCCGGACTTACCAACTCGGTGCTGTCCGGTCCCATTGAACACATCCGTATTCGCTTGCAGACCCAGCCGCACGGTGCTGGCCGACTATACAATGGTCCCATTGACTGCATCCGGAAGCTCTCTGCCCAGGGAGGTGTGATGCGTGGTCTCTTCAGAGGTCAGAATGTCACCTATTTCCGAGAAATCCAGGCCTACGGTATGTGGTTCTTGGCTTTTGAGTACATGATGAACCAAGACGCCAAGCGCAACAACATCAAGCGCGAGGATATTTCCAGCTTGAAGGTTGCCACATACGGTGGTTTGGCCGGTGAAGCCCTTTGGTTGTCCAGTTATCCATTCGATGTCGTCAAGTCAAGCATGCAAAGTGATGGGTTCGGTTCTCAACAAAAGTACAGCAGCACAATCGACTGCTTCAAGAAGATCCACGCCGCCCAAGGACTGGGTGGTTTCTGGAAGGGTCTTGGACCAACTCTGCTGAGAGCTATGCCAGTCTCTGCAGGAACATTCTTTGTGTATGTTTTCTCTTTCTTTATTCCATTTAGCACCCCGGTCGCCCTTCATCATATATCATCTTGCTTGAAGAGCCAAACGCTGACTTGAATTTCACCTTGTAGTGTTGAGCTTACTATGAGAGCTCTGGGTTAAAATCTGATTACAAAATTTGCAATTCCTTTGTCACTTAACGTCTAGGTTCTTTTTGATATCCAAATCCCGTTCATGTTCAACAAAAGAGCGAGGGAAAAGTTTCGGGAGACTTTCATTATTACCTATTTTAGAGCGGTGCCTTCTTTTTGGTTCCCTGGTATCTACACTATATACACGGTCAAATCTATGAGCTATAGACATTTTCGTTATTCATTTTCAGGACACGCTGCTTCTCCCATTGCGACTCCATGACATGCTGCACACTAATATCACCTGTCGCCCATGTGGCTATGTCCTCCATCCTACATAAAGCTCCAAACTCGGCCCTAACTAGACTGCTAGCGAAAAATCGCCAAAAAAGTCCTGCCACGCCGTTGGGAAATAAAAGAGATTGAGTCCTGGGAAATCCCATTCGGAGACAAATTGCTCTGGCACGAATGATTGCAGGTCAGCCTGGGCGTCGAATAACTCCCAGAAAGGAGCCGTAGCCGCTTGGTCAGTATCAACATCGCTTTCCTGCAACGTTCGACCATACTTCTCAATACTGAGCTTCAGGATCTGCATATAAATGTTACCGTTACTACTATTGTCATTGTTGGATCCAGCTCTGTTCAGCTCATCTAGCAGCCTATTACCATGTTCCAGCAGTTCCTGGTGCTCCTCTTCCCGCTCAGGCAAAAGTCGAGATAGTTTGATAAGAAGGAGAAAGCAGAAGGCACATTTTGCCCACACAAAGTCCATGGCATACTTCAGCTTGGCTAGATAGAAGTCTGGCTCGACAGTTATGAGCAAAAGGTGCTTTCGTGCGCTCGCCTTGGCCATAAGAAGGATATTCCGTTCGATGATAGACATGGCCCTGATGTTGAGTTAGTGATAAGGAAGCGAGAACCAATAGCGGCAAATAGGTTCATACGCAACGTTTTCCACGCCCATTGCACGCAGGGCCTTACAATGGAGCATCATTTCGGCCCAGCACTTCTGCACACGTAGTGCAAGCAAGAGAAACGGCCTCTCTTCTGCTGCTGCGATCGATTTTTCTTCGTCTCAGGTCAGCAAGTCTTTTTCACTATCTCGAAACGCGAAGCCATACCGATAATGCGCAACCAATCACTTATATTGTTCAGCTACCTATTCACTGCGCATGATGCAAAAGAAGCAACTTACTCAAACCAAAGATCAAGATCAACTTTAGCCTCGTGCACATAATCGGCAATGTCAGGTCTATCGAGACCCCCTCTTGCGCCTAACGTGTCATTTATATTGGCTAAGACATGAATTAGGCTTCACTTATTTAAGTGTTTGATGTTAAGAGTATTAAATACCTCTTAGAATATTCAACTGCAAAGATATGTCAGTGACTTTTAACGGTGCGCGCCTAATTGGGGTTGGGAAATAAGCATACCTCAACCTGAGAAAAAAGTCGCAAATCCAACACTGTTGACGAAGGATGACTGAGCAAAATCCGACATCGGCGTGCGTTTCCTGTTAGTCGAATTCCAGGTGGTTTGCCTCCGTCAACGCGAAATCTAGACGATTCTTATCAGCTTCGAATGCAATGATGGCAGGAGCTATATTACATGTGCTCTAATACCAAAAGCCCAAACCAGGTTCTTGCCTTTCGCATCAAAAGCCGCTCTTCCTCACCAATATGTGAAGGGAGATTATATATTTCTTCGGCTTCTTTTATTGCAAGTCTTTGTGTGAGCTCTTCGAATGCTTCGTCCATGTTCAAATCTAGGGCCATTTGCGTTGCAAAAGACAGTATTAATGACCGTTCGGTAGAGTAACAAGCAACGGTAAGCATTGCCTGCACTGATTCCAAACAGTTGAACCTCTTATTCTGAATTACCACGTTGATGGACCTCTTCAGCTCTGCATGTAATAGATCAGACATTTGAGATCCGGATCCTAGAAACTGTCAGCAAACGTCCCAGCAGAAAGAATGCTCATCATACTAGTCTCGACACGGCAGCCAACTGTGCAGATGGCATTTAAAAGAATGCTGCTACGCGCACGCACCGAGGCAAAGGTGTCATATTCAGGGTCGAATATTGGAATATACCTATCCTATAAATGATACATCAGTACATTAACCAGATCAAGGGCCAGAGTCATGCATACACAGCCCTGGAAGAATCTAAAACAGTCAGCTGCAGTCAATAAAACACATCTCGAGACTCGCATCATTTGAACTTACGTCCTAAAGCAAACCATGGCATTCTCCATAGTAATCAATCCCGTATTGATAAAATCGGAGATTGGCTCATCTCGGATCTCAAATCCTGATCGTTTTCTCTTAGCCAGACGGACAGTCTCTGCATTTTTCGTTTGAAAGGGAGTGTCAACAGGAATTTCATCGTTTGAGGATATCCCAGGCTCCCTAAATTGAAAACCGCTGGGACTTGTTGAAGGAACAGCAGCAACAATGGTTGGAACCGTCGTGGGATTAGAGCCCACTTGAGAAGGTGACGATGTATATGCACTTGCACTGTACGTTTGGTGCTGTTGCGTCTGAAATGTTGCTTCGTCCATAGTCGACTGCGGGCGATGAAGAAGAAGCTGGCGTATATCATCCAGCTGTTCTCTTAAAAGACGCACTTCTGACTCGACATTCTCCAACCTTCTAAAAGCAAAGCATGGTCAACGAAATGTATTTGACGGTTGGGGCTTTACAACAAGGCCACACATACTCGACAGTAGGATCTTTGGGGGCTTCAAAAAACACGCATTGCCTTTTCAGCTTATTACATCTACATTGACATAATCAGCACAGATTATTTGAATCAATAAATCCGAATATATCCCTCTACATACCTTGTGCAAGGCCTACTCCCATCACATTTCACCTAAAGAGTCAATCAGCCCATCAACAAGACAGATATTGACATTGGCACTGTCATCCTACCTTTGACTGTCGACAAGAACTACAAGCTTTCTGTAAATATAATTGACGCAGCATTAGTCTCACAGACCTTTATTCCATCCCTGTCCTGTCCATCAGGGGAAGAATGTACGGGCATCAATCAATCATACATACCGGTATTCGCCTCTTCCCCATTGGAGCCGGTACAACACTCGAACCATCTGATTCCATTTTGTGAGATTCAATTTCCGCAAATTATCTTTGAGGTTTTACTTTCTGCTTGGGGGATTCGTGTAGTTAATTGGTTTAGTGGTGAAGGGATCAGATCTGGGGAGAAGACGACAAAATGCGGGGGTGTTGATCGGGCTTATGCCGGCTCGGCTATTGGAGGCTTTGGCTTTATTTCTTCTTGCAAGGATGGGAGAATACCTCATTATCTTTGGAATTTTAATATTAATCTTAGTATGGATGTTAGGCTGTTTATTGGAGTGTTAAATGTGGGTGAAGAATATAAAATGTTGATATTTCCTACAAGACATACTCTGCTACACAATATCCAAACAAAGGCCAGATAACCGCACAATATCCTAAGATCCAAAAACAATGCTACATCCCTAGTATACATAAATGAAATCCTCGTTCTTGCAGTCTGTAAGATCCTTGAAGGCGTTGTCATCGGTCACGCCTTGCTGGGGATATACGTCTTTACTATTATCTGTCTGAACAGCCCCAACAGCAAACATGGACTGGTCGACGACTTGGGCGCTTTTACCCATGGCAACTCGTTGTTTTTCGTGCTTTTTGTTGAGGAAGAAGAGATATAGCATGTTTAGTCTGTCGGGTTTTAGTATTCACGCTCGCTTTGGAGGTTCCAGGGGAGGTGGAACTTACACACAAAGGACGATCAAGACGCAGAATAACGCCAAGCTGTAGTGCAATAAACGTTATTATGATAATCAAATAGTTAGGTAAGACTGTTCTTACTTGGATGTCAGACCACGAGTATACAGCGGTGCTTCAGCGGTTGTGTACAAGTTCGGACCAATAACCTATTCAGTAGGTAAGCTGAGTGTCTGGGTTCAAGCTGCATCTTGTTCTTCATACATTACCAACACATTGCCCAACAATCAGAATACCAGTTGTCACTTTCTTCTTGGTCTCGCCAGCGGTGTTGGCCGCAGACCATGAGTATATCAACGGTGCTGAGCATGAATTAGCCGGACATTGGGGATGGAAGTCTCATTCGAAGCTTACTGATTCCGGGATATACAGAGATCTTATCAGGTTAGCAATTCTGAAATTGTTCTTGATGTTGAGCTCGCTTACAATGTAGTACCCCGCAAGCAATGGACCCTTGTGAGCATCATCATGAGGAATCTGTAACAACATCACACAGCCTGCGATAGCAGGTAAACACAGCAGAGCTAGGACAGGTCCCTTCATTTTCAGCGCTGTCGCTAGCCATGCTCCTCCCATGGTTGCTACGAGTTGGACTGCACCGAAAGGTATATTGAAGAGAATCGTCTTGAACTGGTCAAAGCCAAACGCTTCGATGATCAATGGGCCGAACGTAGAAATCCCCCCACTAGGAATCCTGCTTTCTGTTAGAGTCTTATTCAACTAGGGAGGGCTGATAATTCTGCTTACGATACTGAGAACATCAATGCAAACCAAAACCACGACTTCAGGTCGAGGCAGGCCTCTTTCACATGGTCCCATTTCCATTGGTGGTTTTCAATGCCCTGTTGGTTCATCCGAAGTCTGTAACCATCCATATTAGCGAGCTCTATGGCAGTCATGGTACATAGGTATATACCTCTCAATAGCAACCAGCTTATCCTCTTCATTCAGGAACTTGGCTCGTACGGGTGAGTCTGGCATAAATAGCCTAGTGACAAAGGTCAGATGGCTGAAGTTGTAATCCACCATGTCAGATTATATCCTCACAAAACAACGGAAGAGAATGCGACAGTAATGAGACCGAAGAATAAAAATATAATCTTTCCAATTATCAGTCAGACCATCATGCATATTTAACAGGATTGTGGGCTCACCTGGTAAGCCTCGAAGATAGAGGATTGTATGTGACCGATACCGTAGGTGATAAGGCTTCCGAACTATCCAAAAATATTTTCCTTAGCATACGGATTGCTATTTTAAAAGAATCATAGAGATGGTCTACTCACCATGTTAACCACGCCATTCATTGCGTACCACGATCCAAGCCTCACGGGTTGCTCACGCCGCCGATACCACATCTGTGTTATAGCAATGAAGGCAGGGGCTTTCAAATCGTCATCAGCATTCAAGGTTTAGGCATATTATCGAAGAAATACTTACGAATTCCAGCTTCAAATGCACCAAGGAACATCCGACAAACCAATAATGCAGGAAAGTTGTTCGCTGCCGCCATGCACGACAGCGCTATGCCCCAGAGAAGAACCGTACATGCCAGAAATTTTCCCAGGCGAATCTTGACCAAGGCATAGGCAACGAAAGGTTGGACAATCAATTGTGCAAGATAAACAACGGACCCTAGCCAGGAGTACTGCTGGCCATGGAGATGAGCCTTTTCAATCAGCCCGAAGACCGACGCATATGCAAGGGTTGATTTGTCAAGCTGCTGGAGAAAGTAGATACCCAAAAGAATAGGAAGAAGCCTCAGGTCAATCTGCCGGAGTACTTTTGTGTTATTCTCGGGTGTGAGGATGGTAGAATATCCCACGTCCTCGATCAGTTTTAGGGCTGTGTCTTGTTTGGGCTCATCGTGATGCCGTGACTCCTGATGAGCTTCAGCTTCGATAGACTCGACAAATTCCTCCTGTCTCCCTTTTGCCTTTGATGGCTCTGTCCCCTGTGTCATGTCTCTTTTTCTCAAAAAAGATACTGTTCAATGAAATAATGAAGGAGATATGGATATACTTCAATCCAAACGAGGATTGAACACAACGAGAATAAAAACCGACCAGGTATCCAACCCGAGACGAGCCGGCATACACAAGGCAGACAGACAGTTATATCCTTCGATAGAGAGATGACAGGTGGAGTCTGGGGAACCCCGTGGGGAAAACATAAGGTTTCAACCCCGGATGAGGGAACAAAAGCCCGACGCAAACAACATCATCCAAGACTTGGCCATCACATAGCGGTTTTGGCATGCCGCATACTCCTTGTGGCCTGACCATAATGATGGCTTGAAGATGCATGATGCGGACGGACCAAATCCGAGGTTTCATCGTCCAATCAACCCATCGCGTCAGAGGAGTAGCCTTTAAGGAGGGGGGATGGTTGTTGTCACTATCGTAAGATTCGGCTTTCGGTATCATCTCCGAGCGATGTAGATGTAAACCCCACATTTATAACAAGGAAGATCAGTAGCTTGCCTGTTCTGGTATGGAGAGTCAACTGTGGGGAAGCTTCTGGTGATGGAGCTCGTCGGAGATGAAGCCCGAAATCCGACTATACAGAAATCGCAATGGAGACGACTCGGCCATGCGCATGCATGGGATGAGGGGAAGAATAGAGGGGCAAAGCACTCATATACAGCACCGTGTCTTGGTCTTTTTCTTTCGCAGATTGCATTTCCTCTCCATTTCTGAAGCTTCTCTTGTTTCGCGCATACCAATTCATCCCAGAACGCAATCATGCCTCAAAAAGAGTTCTGCCCAAAAGGCTATCAGGAAATTCCCGAAAAACATCAGAATTCTCCAGACGTGCACCTCCGCTCGAGCAGTTCCAGCAAGCAACAATTCGACTTTTCCTTCGAAACTATCCGCCAGAACTTGTTCCGGGTCGTCTTTTCATCCCAAGACCATCCAATCCCTCCCTACCCGAGTGTTTCCAAGCCAGAAACAAACCTGCGTGATGTCCAGATCTCCGCAGATTCCAGCTCCTCGGCGAAAACAATCCAGGTTGGCGACGTGACTGCCTCTGTGGAGTGGGCTCAGACCCCAGTGGTGTCTTTGTCTTGGACCGGCGAGGAAAAGCCATTGCATCGCGATCTACCCTTGCGTTCGTATGTGGCGGATGCGACTGGTATCGCGCACTATACCGAGCACGATCGAGATGCTCTGCACGTTGGTCTGGGAGAAAAGAGGGCTCCTATGGACCTCAGTGGTCGGAACTTCCTTCTCTCCGCCACGGATTGCTTTGGATATGATGTCTATAACTCGGATCCTCTATATAAGCACCTTCCTCTGCTGGTCAAGGCTACTGCCAATGGATGTGTTGCTATCTTTTCGACGACACATGGCAGAGGCTCTTGGTCTGTTGGCTCAGAGATCGATGGCCTCTGGGGACACTTCAAGGTGTATCGTCAGGATCATGGAGGTCTTGAGCAGTATTTGATCGTTGGAAAGACAATCAAGGATGTCGTCAGGTCATACGCAGAGCTTGTCGGCTTCCCCATTCTCGTTCCTCGATGGGCATACGGATACATCTCTGGTGGTTATAAATACACGATGATCGATGAACCACCTGCCAACCAAGGTCTCTTGGAATTCGCAGATAAATTGAAGGAACACGGAATTCCTTGTTCTGCCCACCAGATGAGCTCGGGGTATTCCATCGCAGAGAAGGAGCCCAAAGTCCGCAACGTCTTCACCTGGAACAAACATCGATTCCCCAACCCAGAAGAGTGGATTGCCAAGTACCATGCGCACGGAATCCGACTCCTCACCAACATCAAGCCCTTCCTGCTTGGTTCGCATCCTGACTTCAAGCGACTTGTTGATGCAGGTGCCTTTTTCAAGGACGAAGATACCAATGAGCCAGGTTATATGCGTCTGTGGAGCGCTGGAGGTGCTACAGGAGGCGACGGCTGTCACATTGACTTCACTTCGTCCTTCGGTTTCAAGTGGTGGTATAACGGTGTGCAAAGCCTAAAGCGCGCTGGTATCGACGCCATGTGGAACGATAACAATGAGTATACTCTGCCAGACGATGACTGGAAGCTTGCCCTCGACGAGCCAGCTGTTGCTAAAGCTGCACAGAAGCAGGTCACAAATTCAGTCGGACTCTGGGGACGTGCTATACACACAGAGCTCATGGGCAAGTCGTCTTACGATGCCCTCCTTGACATAGAGCCTCAGCATCGTCCCTTCGTCTTGACTCGTAGTGCCACTGCAGGAACTATGCGATATGCAGGCAGTACCTGGAGTGGAGATAATGTCACCAGTTGGGATAATATGAAAGGAGCCAACGCACTGTCTTTGAACGCAGGCATGTCTCTTTTGCAGGTAAGAAAACAGACTGGCTATCACAAAATGCATCCTTGCTGACTTTTTTCCCTAGTGCTCCGGTCATGACATTGGCGGTTTCGAAGGTAAGAACTTCCTTTTATTTGGAATCAGCCACGAAAGAACTCAAAAAGATAGAAAGACTAACCCTTTGTCTCCTCAGGTCCCCAGCCCTCTCCCGAACTACTCCTCCGCTGGATCCAGCTCGGCATCCATTCCCCCCGATTCGCCATCAACTGCTTCAAGACAGCCCGGAACAGCTCATCCGGAGACGTCATTGAGCCATGGATGTACCCCGAGATCACACCCTTGGTGCGAGACACCATCAAGCGCAGATACGAGATCCTGCCATACATCTACTCCCTAGGCCTGGAGAGCCATCTGGACGCTTCTCCCCCACAGCGCTGGATCGGCTGGGGCTTCGAGTCAGACCCCGAAGTCTGGACACAAACTCTCAAGTCAGGCGAGGAACAGTTCTGGTTCGGCGACACCATCCTCGTTGGAGGCGTGTACCAGCCCGGCGTGAATGTCGCGCGGTTCTACCTCCCGCGCAAGGCCGCCAACGACCAGTTCGATTATGGGTATGTCAACATGAACGCTCCATACACCTACCTCGCCTCCGGGCAGTGGGTCGAGATACCCTCCGAGTGGAAGGCGAGTATTCCTCTCGTCGCTAGAATCGGCGGAGCCATCCCAGTCGGAAAGTCTGTTCACACTAAAGTCCCCGGCGACGATACCGCTGCTTCGTTGGCGGTGCAGGAAGACGACGACTACAGAGGTGTTGAGATCTTCCCGCCCCAGGGTGGCTCTCATGGTCGTGTCTTCTCCACCACGTGGTATGAAGATGATGGCATCTCCCTGCATCCTGGCATTTCACGATACACTATTAGCTATAGCTCCACTGCTGAGAAGGTCATCGTGGAATTCGCTCGTGATGAGCAAGGTGGGTTTGTACCTGCTTGGAAGGATTTGGATATTATTCTCCACAACGGTGACGAGAGACGTGTAGTCTCGGAAGTGGGCAAGTCGGTGGAATATAAAGGAAAGGACTCTCGTGGCCGGGTTGTGTATACGCTGAAGGCGTAGGAGGAGATGATTTCTTTGTTTTCTTGGTTTGCAGGTAGATGTCCGTAGATCGACTAGAGCATGAGTGACTCGATTTAAGATGGGTTGGCGTTGACAGGGTAGAAAATTGAAGTTAATAGCAAATCAACCCTCTACTTTCATTCCAAGCCCAGGCTCGGGGCATACTTTTCAAGATCATATATTAAACATGCTTTATTAAACAGTCCTGACACCGGTTAAGGGACCAATTCCAATTCAACTTGTTAAAATACAAACATGTTATAGCACCCGGAAATAAGAAAAAAACTTTACAATGCTCTATACAGTACAGTTCCACCTTTTGAATGCTCACACAAAGACAGAAAAGGGAGAAATCGAATGAAACAAGCTCAAGACGCTTCATTTATCATCAGATGTAATGCCAAGGTCATCGGGGGTAATACGCTCGTATGTGAGTTTACCCTCGGCCGCCTTCTTGAGTCTTCTCTCCTGACCTGCCTCACCTGCTCTTCCCAAGATACCAGCGATGACGGTCACGGCTCGCAAACTGTCGTCGTTGGACGGGATGGGGTAGGTGACCCGGGTAGGATCGGCGTCAGTATCGATGATACCGATGGTGGGAACGTTGTTGAGACCGCATTCGTGCAACATAACAACATTCTCAACGGGGTTCAGGCAAACCACCAGGTCCGGTTTGGCGGCCGGGCGTTCAGCCAGAAGGGGCTTGAACTTGGGAATCTCCTCATCCAAGCCATTGACAAACTTAAGGTCACAGTGACCCAGGATCTGTTGACCATTGGTAAGACTGCCAGGAATCCATCGCTCAAAGATGTGGTATCCTCGGGCCAGTTCGGCAGCCCTCACTACGGTTCGCTTGTGACCCTTTCTTGTGCCGACAAAGAGGACCAGACCGCCGCGGGCGGACACCTCTTCGACGACCTTGGCAGCACGTCGCAGGTATGCAGCGGTGATATCCAGCGAGATGATATGGATTCCGTCTCGGATACCGAAGATGTAGCGCGAATTTTGAGGGTTCCACCGGGACGTCGAGTGTCCGAGATGTGTCTGGGATGCGAGGAGCAGTTCAAGAGAGATGTCGGAGGGCTTAGGAGGGTTTCGGATGAGATCCTCGGGTTCGTAGGCATCTGCCACATCACTACCAAGGGCGTGGAAGCTGTGCTCTGAAGGTGAAAAGGACAGGTTAGAGATGGACGGAATAAATGATCGCATTCAAATAGCAATGACGGGAACAACGGAGGTGAAAGCTGAGACTGCTTACTTTGTTGTTCTTTGTTTCTCCAAGCAAGCTTTTCCTCTGACAATGGTTTTCGCGGCACAAAAGGTTTCTCGGCTTGGACTGCAGGCGCCTCAGAAGGAGTTGGCACCGCAGTGTCGACAGGCGTTCCGGTCGAGTTGAAGCGGCTCAGAATGCGAGTCTGGCGACTGAAAGCAAGAAACTGGCGGCCTGCAAACAAACAAAATCAGCGACACGGTCATTTCAATATCTTCTGATTGAATTGAGTCTCAACTTACTTTGCCGCACACCCAAGTGCCGGAGAATCATGGTGCAGTATGCTGGATTGTTGACGACTCCTAACAGCGACTCTCCAGCAAGTAGGGAATTGTCCGCTCGAACTTTTGATGTCGGACTTGGCGTATGTTGATTCCTCAGGCAGAAGCACGGGTCACGCTAGTCCATTTTTGGTCCGGGCGGGGTGTCGACGATCTCGAATAACTTCAAATTCCCTCGATATTATTTGCTTCAGACTATGCAAGATGATCTACAAGTAAATTAGGCTTGAGGTTCTTGGTCTACGGCTAACCTGTAGGTATTTTCTGCAGCTCAAACAGGCATTTGATACCGGCTTCAGCCACTAATCTCAACTAATAAAGGACACATACGTGAGAGCAATTGTTGGGTATTTCAGTCATAGTTGATTCCATTAGCTAACTAGAGTTTAATCCAGTCCTGGTATCAAAATAGAAGGTACATATTTCGTGATCGTAATACTAAGTATGGACAGGTAAAGAAAACACAGGCAAGACACGCAAAACAACACCGAAGAAAGGATGAACGACGATTATTCTAGTGGCCAGCCCAGTCAAGAGAAGTAGGTCACAAATGAAGATGAGAAAAAAGATTCGTCACGATTCTCGGAGGCAAGGAAGGTCGGATGAAGTAGACGTTTAGTCTATTTCTTGAAGAAGTTGCCGAGCTGGTCCATCATGCCACCGCCGCTGCCCTGCTGGGAGGGAGGACCGTATCCGGGAGGCCCTTGCTGCTCGTGCTCCTTGTTCTTGTGCTTCTTGATAGCGTCCTCTGCAATGCTTCCCATGATGGCTCCACCGATGGTACCGAGGAAACCGTGGTCGGCCTTGTGACCGGCGAAACCACCGGCAACACCACCGGCGATGGCACCACCAAGTCCACGCTCACCCTCCTGGGCGCCACCGGGTGCACTTTGCTGGTCATATCTAGAAAAAGATAAGTCAGCGAAATCCTTGAATAGTATTGAGGAAGTAAGGCAAAGTAACATACCCAGTCTGTCTGTGTGCGTCCTGGCCATAGCCCTGCTGCTGGTACGAGTCCTGGTGCTGCTGGCCGCCATAGTAATCGGAGTTACCACCGCCCTGGTTGTATTGACCGTAGGAGGGCTGCTGGTGTTGCTGGGCATAGTAGTCAGAGTTTCCGCTGGGGTTGTAGCCTTGCTGGCCGTAGCCTTGGTCGTAGCCCTGGTGCTGTCCGTAACCCTGCTGGGGGGGGTAGCCACCCTGCTGGTTGTAGTAGCCCTGGTTGTAATCGTAAGGACCAGACATGATTTCTGATTGTTTGTTTTTTTGGAGATGTGGAAAGATAGTAGAGAAGAGATGAAGATGGATGAAGATGAAGATGGAGAGTGAGTAAGTCCGGGGCAGCCGCTCCTCTTTATAATGCTTTCTGGGCACTTGATCGAAGAACCACGTTACAGGGCTGATGCCGCCTGATGGAGGGGCAAATACTATCCCCGCTGGGCGCCAAGAGCGATGGTGATTCGATCACTACAACTAAATTTACCGCAAATACCGTCATGTATACGGGGCGCAGCACTCGATTGCTGCGACCGTTTGACGTTCCTATGCTTGTTGCCAACTAACTAGAGTCTAGATGGATTCTAGAATATCCCATATCAGGCTATGATGTTATTTGACACCGCAAAAGCACTGCCACTGCCACATTATTGGGTGGGGTGATTGTGGCCATGTGCGACGGCGCAGTGATAGCCACAGGGCTGAGCAACCGGGCAATCCATACTGGTAATTTCGCCGTATTCCAGGTTACCGATTCTAGCGCTGTTACGGTAATCTGGCAAACTCTGGTTCATTGCTGCCTGGCGAAAGCCGGACGCCAAGGAAATTCCGAGGTAAATGGGCGTCAAATACCGCTAGCGATGCATTATTGCGTTGGCAATTACGTGCTGAAACCCATCATACCTGAGGTGGCCGTGGCTCAGTGTATGCAGGAGTGGCTGTGTAGATGCAAGGTAAACCGGTGACGATGATGATGCTCTATTGCAAGGCAGCTGAATTTTGCCGAATTCCGAGTGACTGATCTTCTCGGCCCATGCCGTGGAATGAGGATACATCTGATAGTTGATCGATCATGCTGTAGGCAGTAAGGCGTACTGCGGAAATGAAGACTCCATTCTATTTTGAGCATCGGCAAGAATGTCGCCCAAGCCATTCTAGCACGGAAACACCGCTTCCTGCCGAGTTCCGTATTACTTGGCACAGGCTGCCGTATTTGAGAGAGTGCAACAAAATGTCAAAAAAAGATGGATTTTTCTGATCCGGTCAGATCAACCTCATTCATTGATTCTGAGTGAGAACTCGGGATGATATTTGACCAAGTGTATAGTACTTATAGAGGACAGAAAGAGCTGGTGTTCAACTACTGTGCCGTATATACTAGATGGTTGGATTACATATGCACTCTGTCGGGAATAGTCCAGATGTTTATGCTTAAGTCCTAGCATCAATATTGCTTTTTCCACTTCACCCTCTATATAAGGCAGAAAAAGTAAGGCATCCCTGTTAGTTACCTAATTACCCAGATATAGTTATCCATAAATCTGTCTGAAGAAACCTGCTACCTGACTCAGCATGTGTTTAATAACGCCAACCATGGTTCTTCATGCTACTTCCACAGAATCCACCACTGCCCTAAAGGCTATCTTATCAAACAGCCCTACAGCATAGTTTTACCATAGAACCAATGGCATGCTGCATATAATTCAGCTAGTTTCTCCATACTCATAGTATTCTTAATCCATCATGTCCAAAAGACAAAAACAGCCAATTTGAAGCATTTCCGAATCCAGGCAATGAAAGGCGGGTCCGATATATGGAGACTCTCCAGTTGATTGGCTACAGCTAGTTGATCAGCGCTATCTCAGGATTTTCACAAGGGTTCGTTTTTGCTGGAGGGCAGGTGCAGTTACAGTTGCAAATAATCATAAAATAGGCCTGCCTTGTGATCAGATAGATAAAGTATATCTGGCTAGCCTGCTGGCGACATTATCAGTGCAACAGACCAGCTGATACGACGCTGATGTGGATGATCTCATATAGTAAAGGAGGGTGGGTTCCTAGGTAGTACCTATGCGGGAATTAGCCTTTCCGCCTGATCGGATGGTTCCTCCAGCCCCCAATGAGGATGCAGCACTGCTGGGGTGAACACCCTCTTTTCTTCCAAACATGTCAATCCCTTCAAGTGTTCAGCTAATTTGCCAGTCCACGCTTCTTGCTGAAAAATGGGTCAGGGCAAAGGGCTGAAGGGCTGAACGCTGCTTGTGCATTAAAAAATAATATAACGCAACACCGCTGTTCCTCCCGCGCCTACCTGCATCATATTCCCGTCATCCCTCGCCGCAGATCTGAGGTCTTAAAAGGCTTAATCACCTGTCTGCCTACATAGTACAACCTGGCAGGCTGTCTCCCCCTTATTCTCTTATCCCCCTCCATGCTCAACCTCTGGACAAGGAAATTTTGAGAGAGAGATAGGTCGAGCCATAATGATCTTCTCCCCCCTTCTTTCTTTGACAGTGTTGCTGTCTGGCCTGGCGGCCACCACTTCCGCTGCAGCACATCATCGTCCGACCGTCTACATCATCCGCCATGCTGAAAAACCAGCTGACCCGAACGAACACGGCCTGACCAAGGATGGTTTCAGGCGAGCAGAGTGTCTGCGATCGACATTTGGTGCACAGTCGCATTATGATATCGGTTTGATTGTCGCTCCTACTGTTTTGGAAAGTAAGTTCTTCTTTTCGCAACTCTGGCGGTAAAGACGGTGGAATAGAAGAAAATGACCCCAGTTATTTGGACTAACTGTTTTGTTTAGATGGAGACCATCGACGCTCGTGGGAGACTGTTCTTCCTCTCGCCCGAGACCTCGGTCTCCCCGTGAACACTGCTTGCGAACGAAACAATATCAAATGTATAAAGAAGTTGGTGAAGCATTACAAGGGACCTGGCAACATCCTCATTTCATGGCGTCACGGCAAAATGCAGAAGATGGTGAGGAAGCTGGGCAATCCGAACCCACCCGAATACCCAGAAGAGCGGTTAGTTAGACCCTATTCTTTTTCCCCGTTCCCTGATACTGATGGTCTGTTTTTTCCAGCTATGATATCATCTGGACCGATCCGTGGCCTTACACTAATATAACGGACATTCGGAGCGAAAACTGCCCTGAACTCGACGTGCCAGGTGTTCTGCGCATTCAAGAGTGATGCAAACACATGACGCTTTGAAATGGTCAACCGTGCAAATAGAAATGAATATATGCGAATGACAGCATGAAATATACCACGATCAGCTGGGCATGTATCACTCGCCCTCTGAAGCCTACACTATGCTGGCATAGCTGGGATCAGGAGGACAATCGGACATATGGAGGTCAAACACAACTCTCGCCGCGTTGAAACTGGATTCGATGTATATAGACTATGTGCCGCGTCCCGTGATATACAGCAGAATCTGGCGAAGAGATTATGGATGGAATGATAGAGAATCGAAGGATATTGTCTGGGTGATCCAGCAATGGTCTTTTTGCTATTGGTTGTTTTAGCGATATTATGCACAGAATAATATACCTGGACATGTGTTTAATCTGAATCAAAGTGATAGACAGCGTCTACAATAAAATGTGACACGTTCACTCTGATATATATCGATGAAGATCCTGATGATATAGATCAGTCGCACGTGGTCCACTTGTCTATTCAAGCATAACCTGGATCTCAGCTCGACTTGAACGAGTGGGACTTTGTGCTTCAACGAATAAACCCCATTCTCAACCCCATCACAATCAAAAACAACCACAATGACTGCCAGCACGCTATCTGTGGGTATTTCTGTGTGCGCGGGCGGTGAAACAATAATCACCAGCCGAGCGGAGAAAAAGTGAATGCCAAGATTTCAACACCCACCCAATTTTTTCGAGGTCTCTATCGCAACTTTCGACCCGATCGCCTGCTGGATCCCCCCTCTACCCCCCCAATCCACTGTTGGGTATACTACTACTTTGTTTTGACACTGTTTGATTACAGTGTGTCTCATTGACCAAAGTACGATGGATGACCTCGAGGTATGTGGCCCCGTGCGCTGGCCTCTGCACCCCACGATTGTCGTCGGGGAGTTGACGAGCTTTACCAGGAACGGCTGCGAAGCCACGCCGAGGCCTTTGACGGCTTGTTGTCTTTGATACCTGCCAAATACTATTATGGAGATGAAGCCGGAGCCGATGTACGTGTGTCCATGATAAATTCCTTCGTTGTGCTTTGAAAGATTCTGCTCTTTTTTTTTTTTTTTTTTCTGCCCGTATTACCCGTGCTCCACTCTGGGCTTCGTTGACCTGGATCTCCTTCTATAGGATCAATGGCAACGGAAGAAGCAGACAAAAGAACAAGCTCGCGAAGCCAAACGGGCAAAGTTGGATCCTGAATCTGCCAAAACGGCCAAGGACGTGATGGACGAGAATGCACGGAAACGCAAGCGCGATGAGGGCCAAGCCGAAAGCGATTCGTCTGACGGTGAACTCGGCTCCGAGAATCCAAAGGAAGGACTCAACAGAGGCGATGCCAAAACCAAGAAGCAGAAGCAAGCGGAGGCTTTGCAGAATGCCGATAAAAACGCAGCGAAACCAGAGGGCGACGCAGAGAACCGGAAAAAACTGAAGGAAGAGAAGAAGGCACAGAAAAAGGCCGCCCAAAAAGAGAAGAAGAAGGCCAAGGAGACCGCCAAGAAGGAAAAGAAACAAGACGAGAAGCCCGCAGAAGACTCTGTACAACAGAATGAGTCGAAGCCCGCCGACAAGAAGACTAATGGACAAGAACCCTCCGCAAAGGAAGAGAACAGTGACGATGATGACGACGTGGAAGAAGAAGGCGTTCCCGCTGAGGAATTGTCTTTCCAGTTTAACCCAGAACAACCCTCCTCCGCCTCGTCCGCTCCCAACTCTCCCAACTTCGACGCCTCAAATCCCCAGTCTGGTAGCTCTTCGATATCATCTATTGTTCCTCCTGAAGATTCATCTAAGAAACCGTCCTCTGAGCCTAAGCCATTAAAACCCGCCCCCGAAGAGTTAAAACAGCGTTTACAAAAGCGCCTCGACGAGCTCCGGGCCCGTCGCCATGCCGATGGTCTGAATGGCAAACCCGCCAGAAACCGCCAAGAGCTGATTGAAGCCCGACGACAAAAGGCAGAGCAACGCAAAGCGCACAAGAAACTTTTGCGGCAAAAAGCCAAGGAAGAAGAGGAACTCGTCAAGGACGAAGCTATGGCCCGCCGTTTCTCTCCTGGTGGCTCTGGATCCCTCCTTGCCTCGCCCCGCTCCCCGGCTGACTCCGTTGCATCCAACAACAACTACGGCTTTGGCCGTGTCATCTTCGCCGACGGCCAACATACCGATCACACCCTGGCTAACGTGCGGGACAAGCCCAAGGCCCACGGCCCCGTGGACCCGGCCGCCGCGCTCAAGGCCGCAGAGGCCAAGAAGGCCCGTCTCGCCGCGATGGATGAGGAAAAACGCGGAGACATCGAGGAGAAAGACCTGTGGTTGAATGCCAAGAAGCGCGCCCACGGTGAACGAGTCCGCGATGACACCTCGCTCCTCAAGAAGGCCCTCAAGCGCAAGGAGTCTGCGAAGAAGAAGTCTGAGCGCGAGTGGAAGGAACGCATGGAGGGCATCGCCAAGGGCCGTGACGTGAGACAAGCGAAGCGTGAAGAGAACCTTCGCAAGCGAAGAGAAGAGAAGGGCACCAAAGGCGGCAAGAAGAAGTCGTCTGGTGGGGGCAAGAAGAAATCCAGACCTGGGTTTGAAGGAAGCTTCAAGGCCAAGGTTGGCGGCAAGAAGAAATAAACAAAAAAGAAGCAAAGAAAGTGAGACGAGAAAAGTGAAATGACCCAAACAGGTTGATTTTGAGATGTACGTACAAAAAAAGAAGGACAAAAAATAACATATTAGGTAGGTATACCTCGCATGGTATCGAGGTCTTTATTAAAAATGAGGTGACACCTGTGGGATCTGGAGATATGGTGTTTGGGGTTATAGGGGGATATTTGTCACTTTATTTCTGTGTGCATGTATGCATAGGCAGCGATCTATCTGTTGATATAAATCCAGGAGTTCTTTGGTTAATATTCCCCTTTCTTTGGTGTCTTTTGTGAATCGATAGGCGTAATCTTATACAGGTTATGGATTATAGAGAATTCACTGAACAAATGAAACAGGTCCTTGATTGGTCTCCATAAAAAAACAACAGGAATAAAAGACATGCCGGGATTCCTCCAAACATCAAAAACAAAGGTCAAGCTAGACTTCCAGCCACAGGAAATCTCCTCTGGACCTGACTAGTACATGGTGGTAATACGACAGATTGGGTGCGATATGTACAACATGGAAAGACAACGGTTGCAATCTGTTAAAGAAATACAGCCTTGATCTTCCATGGGGGAGATACTTTCGTTTTTCTTATCAGATTTTTTGGGTTTAAAAATCAGCTCTTGAACTGCACGATCTCGGATGCAACGCTTGGGGCTCCAGAGCACAGGGAATATTGAATTGGATTGATATTGCTTTTATCGGTAGGGAGCGTCTGCCCTAGCAGCGGCAGCGATTTCGGGCTCCCACTTGTCACCATTGGCCAGGAGCTTCTCCTTGTTGTACAGCAACTCTTCTCGGGTCTCGGTGGCGTACTCTGCGTTGGAAGCTGTGCGGGGGCATGTCAGCTACTGTGTTAGAGACAAATATGCGACGGATCACTCACTCTCAACAATAGCATCAACTGGGCAACTCTCCTGGCAGTAGCCACAGTAGATACACTTGGTCATGTCGATATCATACTTGGTTGTCCGACGGCTTCCGTCGACACGCTCCTCGGCCTCGATGGTGATAGCCTGGGCAGGGCAGATAGCTTCGCAAAGCTTGCAAGCGATACAGCGCTCCTCACCAGTAGGGTAGCGGCGCAGAGCGTGCTCACCACGGAAGCGGGGAGAGATAGGGCCCTTTTCGAAGGGGTAGAAGATGGTGTATCTGCACGTAAAGAACGTTTAGCTCATCGATCCCCAAAGAAACCAACGAAGCCAATGGCATAACAATGCGACATAGCACTCATATCGATACCACAAGCATGTCGATAGATTGTCGATGGATCCGGGATGACAAGGGAGCCACTTACGGTGGTCTGAAGTACTGCTCCAACACCACGTACATGCCGCGGAAAATTTCAGACATGAGGAAGTATTTGCTGGCCTTGTCGAGAGAAGACTCTGCGCTCTGGTCCCATCGCTTCGGGGTAGGCAATCGGAAGCCGGTAGTAGGGGGACCAGCAGGCGTAGCAGCCCGGGACACCGAGGACGAGAAGTTTGCGGTCGAACCCAAGGGCGAAGCGAGGGAAGAGGTGAACACGGTAGGCCGGCGATAGGCCACGAGCCTGGCAACCGACGTCGTAGAAGCCATCGCGATGGAATCGAACGGTCGGATGGAAAGTGGGGGGGGAAAGACGAGAGAGGGGAGGGTCAATTGGGCTGAGGGGAAGCAGCTGTCGAGGGAGAGACGATAATATGAGGTTCGACTTTCTTGGGTGGTCGACAGGCGTGGCTTAGGTCATTCCTTTCTGCCGGGCGCTGATTGGCCGCCAGGGTTTTGCTGGCTCCGAGCCGCAAGAAAGAAACCTCCATCGTTCGCTGCTTCACTTCCTGCTTTCCCCGTCCTCCTCTCGACCTGTCCAATCTCTTTTTCATCTTCTCTTTTTTATTCCCCCCTTTGGGTTCTTTAATTTCACGGCTTAAGCCATCGCTTCTTCTTTTTTTTTTCTTTCAATCTCTTGCCATCATGTTCCGTTCCGCTATCGTCCGCTCGTTGAGAGCCTCTGCTCCTCGTGCCGTCAGGACACCGGCTTCTTTCCAGATCCGCAGCTCTCCCGTTGCTCGTCCTGCTCAATTCGCTCCCCGTTTCGCCTACCAGGGTGTCCGCCTCTACTCCGCCCCTGCCGGTCTGAACCAGGAAGAGGTTGAGGGTCGGATAGTCAACCTGCTGAAGAACTTTGACAAGGTTGGTACTACGCGATTCGGCTGTGGTTGAGAGAGAAAGAGAAAGAAAGAGAGACAATTCAGAGTGCTAATGTGAATGATGAATGATAGGTGTCCGACGCTAGCAAGGTCAGTTATTTTCTTGTCGCTGTTGCTGTGGCTCAGGACATGGCGGTCACCTCTGAAGGGTGAAAAGAAGAAAACGTCATCTAAACAATCTTTCTCACACAGATCAACGCTGCTTCTCACTTCTCGAACGACCTCGGTTTGGATAGCTTGGATACTGTTGAGGTTGTCATGGCCATTGAGGAGGTAGGTTCTCCGTGTCACCCTGGCGTGACGATTACATTACGCTGACTCGATACAATAGGAATTCAGCATTGAGATCCCCGACAAGGAGGCCGATGCCATCCACAGCGGTAAGTCTAGGTGGAGATCAAACCATTGAAAGAATGTTTACTGATTGCTGCTATTCTGCTACAGTGGACAAGGCTGTCTCGTACATCCTTGCCCAGCCCGATGGTAAGTCACAAGTCACTTGTTTAACCGAGGAACATCGGAATCGATTGCTAACTTCTGTCTAGCTCACTAAATACGTAATTAACGGATTGGGAATTGGTGGGAGAGTCGGATAGAAAAAGAAAAGGGATGTTGGCGTGCATCTACCGGGGAGAAACTCAGACCGAGGGATCCAGGTAGTCCATGACGCTGCTTTGTATGCTGATACATGCCGTGCTTTTTCACCTTACTATATCGTGTATATCACCTTGAATGCAGTTTTGATCAATTTGTCCGTTTTCGTAATGTCGGAGCAGCACAGCGCCAGATTAGCAGAATGTCTCACTTAATCAATGAATGGGTAGAAATAAACCAGCCAATTCAATTGAAACGGTATAATTAGACAAAATTGGTATAGACAATCTGCTGCAATATCTGTGCCTGTACAAGTGATGCTGTTGGGCTCGATCCCTGTATAGACTCATACTCGATAACCCCGCCAGCCAGCCAACACCACGACTATCTAATTATTTCAGCATCTCAATTATTTCATCTCTCTCCATCTGTCCAAGATATCCCACAACCGATCGAACAATTCCGTTGTCGGACGTGCCGTCAGCGTCGCAGCGCTAGGCCAGCCAGCCTTGGATTCCTTAGCGAACGTTGATCCAAGAGAGATAATCGTTCGGGCTGGACAGGCACGAGAGCCTCGTGGACTTCAACCATCAGATCAGACTCAACGCCCTCTTTGTCTGGCTTCATTCGTCCTTGGGCGGTCCATCAAACATCGCCCCAGATCCCCTCCTCCGCGCTGCTTCGTCTCGTGTTTCTCCATCTTTCCCCGTGTCCTTTTATTATCTCGTCCCTCTCCCCCCTGACAATTTCCCGCCCAGCAAACGAAACCAACCCAAACTTTCGGTCTACACAGCCTCTGCTTTTCAGCCTCCCATCGTCTTCCCCTCAACCTCAACCAAAAAAAGAACAGAAAAAAGAAAAGAAAAGGTTCTTAGTTCCATGTCGCTCTCGATCCCGATCTAAGTCCCGATTTCTGTCCTCTGTCTATTCCGACTACCCTTCCCCTCTTTCTCACACCTCCCGATCCACCTTTTATAACCTCCGACATCCTCATGGCCTCTGCCGGGGGCTTGACTCGCCGAAGAGGTGGTGGCGGTCGAGTCGCTGGCGAAGACAACGACGACAGCAGAGTCTCCTCCCCCGTGTCTCGAAATGGTTCCGCGCTCGATAATCGAGGACCTGAAACGTCGTTTACAAGTGGAGAAAATGGCCATAAGATCGCGTTCGACCCTCGGGACCTCAGCGAGAGCCAGGAACGGAGCAAGCAGCCCAAGCTGACTCTGATGGAGGATGTACTACTGCTTGGATTGAAGGACAAACAGGTGGGCTCTCTCTTCTTTCCTGTTGCCCGAAACGGAATGAATTGCGCATGCGACAAGTTCGTCACTGACTCATTGGATCTCTACGGTTTCTAGGGTTATCTATCTTTCTGGAACGAAAACATCTCTTATGCCCTTCGAGGATGCATCGTCATCGAGTTGGCGCTTCGTGGCCGAATAAGCATGCAAAAAGATTCCTCCCGACGACGGTTCCCACTGGCCGATCGCGTGATTGAAGTCGTCGACGATACATTGACAGGGGAGGTCTTGCTGGACGAGGCGCTGAAAATGATGAAGTCGAGTGAGAAGATGAGCGTTAACTCGTGGATTGATCTGATGAGTGGTATGGAAATGATTGATTGTTCGTGATAAATCATTGGAGAGTTTGGGCTGACTTGGACACGCGTCCGTTCAGGCGAAACATGGAACCTGATGAAGATTGGCTATCAGCTCAAGCAAGTACGTGAACGTCTTGCCAAGGGTCTTGTCGACAAGGGCATTCTTCGCACCGAGAAACGCAACTTCCTCCTCTTCGACATGGCCACCCACCCCGTCGCTGATGGGGGCGCGAAAGATGACCTCCACCGCCGAGTGCGCAACGTCTGCAGCAATCGCACCGTTATCCTCCCTCCCAACACATGGCTTCCCGAGGACGTTGATTTCAGGTATCTCCGGACAATCACCATGGTGTGCGCGGCATATGCGGCCAATGTGTTGGAGAACGCTTTGGTCACTATGAGCCACGAGGCTCGGGAGAGAGCCTTTGCGCAGGTTGACGAATTGTTGGCAGAGTACTCTCAGTGGCCGTTTGCACGGAGGACCGGTGGCTCGCAAGCGATTGGTGCCAACCTGGCGCAGGCCGTCAACGACGAGGTCAACAAGGCCGGCGATAGAGAACTTCAGATGGAGGTATGCTTTCTTCTATATCTTCCCCGCACCTGTCCCTAATGCTAACTTCCTACCAGATCGTTGCAGCATGTTTGAGCGTATTCACCAGACTTGATTCCTTACTTTAGCGGCTGTACATGTCGCTGTTTTAATATATTCCTCTTGCACCCTTTCATCGGCCGTTTTACTTTTCCTTGTGATGATTCTCTCATATTCCGATGATGATGAGAGTTTTCCAATATCTTTCTTGATGTAGTTCGACAGCATATGGGCTGAAATCGGGTGCAACGTTTATTATATGAACCCGATTGTCTCAAAAAAAACTTACCATTGTACAAGAAGTTTATCGTTGATCTCTATCGATCTGATTATCAGCTTTTTCTCTCTATTTTTTTTTTCTTCCCCCCCCGCCTTTGTTTGTTTTCGATTCCTCCTTAGTACCCATTCTCTTTGCGATTAACTAAAAAGAAAGGCACAAGAAGGGTCCGGCCATGTGTATTTTTCAGAGCTGTGCACGACATGAAGCCTGTCCACAGCCAGGTATGAGAAGGAGGCAAACATAAAAAAACGCAATAACCCTTCTCGACCCCTCGAGGGATATGGCCTGGTCTGGTGTGACCATAAAGCCCAACTGGTTTGAGGCATATCGAAGAACAAGCAAGAGCAGTAGGGAATTTGCCCCAATCAGCAGACAGATTCGACTTTTTCTTCTCTTCTGGTCCTTTTTCATTACTCTTACCATCTATGTCCCTTTTTATTCTAATGAATCTTTCTTCTTGATATGTTTTCTCCCCCCTACTTCTCTTCGCTGGTCTTTGCGTTCTTTTATCTGAGTGAATGAATGAATGCATTGTACTGGGCTTATTTATGTCTAGATCCATTTCATGCCACTTGTCTGAATCGAGTTATGTTATTTGTCTTTGACTTCTTCTTTTCTTTCTGAACATGTTTTCTTATTTATTTAAATTTGAATATTATTCGTGAGTGAGTATCAATATTGGGGTCTTTTCGAATGAGGATATTGTCTAGCACTGCTGTATACGCCGACCATGAACAACAGCAGACACAACTTATGATATTATGGGTTCACCCTAAAAACCATCATCTCTCCTCTCCTTCCCCCAGCCGCCCCAGCAGCTCCAGCAGATAATATATCCGGCCCGTTCACCAGATCCACGATGCTCTCCACTCGTCCTCGGAGGATATTTTCCTCAACCAGCATCGCAATCCGACTCAGTCCCTCCCCGTCCGGCCTCACGGCGATAAACCGGCTTAACAGCCCTTTCTTCCTCGACTGGGTGTCATCGATCGTATTTCTCTCCGTCTGAGCGGGCGTTGGGTCGACGGCTGTTAAGACCACGCCGTCGGGTTTGACTACGTTCGGGGAATGTGCTTGTTGGAACATCTTCCCGCCTACACAGTCGATGACGATGTCGACGTGCTTCCAGCAATGATCGCGGAAGACGGCCGCGAGGTCAAAGTCTTCTGATAACGGGAGCGGGGCGACGATGACTTCGTTGACGTGTGACTCGGTACGGAGGATTTTCTCATGCTCAGCTGAGGAACAAGTCGCGCAGATCCAGGGCCGAGCGTGCGGAAATATCGTGCGGGATCTGAGGAGCTGGATAGCCTGGCGACCGACTTCGCTGTCGTAGGCGTTTGTGACGAGGAAGCGGAAATGGCCGCTTACTGTTTGGGTTTGGTCGAATCCAGAGTAATCGAAGAGGGCTTGCCAGGCTGTTAGGGCCGGGGTAGGTATCGTGGCTGCTTCTGCTGCGGAGATGTTTTTGGGCTTTCTGGCGAGTTCGTCCTCGGTTGCGAGGACGTAGTCTGCTGCCGCACCATCGCGGGTACGGCTTATCAGGCCGAAAACGATGTCGTCGACTTTGAACTTGGGGCCTTCTTCGTTCCAGTGATCTTGTGTGGGTGTGCTGATGACTGTGCCGCAGATGTTGTGCAAAGGGATCTGGGGGACTGATTTGGTTGGATTGAGACTCCTGGCTATCCTCAACTCGTCGTGGGAGAAGGCTGCTGTCAGGACTTTGATGAGATATTGACTCGGTGATGGTTTGGGAGTTGGAAAGTCGGTGTCGAATATCAGTTTAGACGGGATGTTGGGGCCATCCACAGTCATAATGTCAGTGGTCGCTGTAGGAGGTGGTGAGTAGTATAGAGCCCTCATTGTATCTGGGATGAATGTTTGCTCGTCCATGGTGGCAGACTGGGGTTTTGCGGGCTTCATTTTGACTCGGAATGTTTCCTATAAACAGCTATTTTGGTCGAATCCCAATTGATGAGTTCTTTTTGCAAGACCTAAAAGCTATTGATGTGAGAAGCAATTGAATATCTGGTATGATATTTGGATGTCTTCTTGTTGACGTATATCTGAGCTCATATTAGCGACGTCATGTGATATGCGACTCACCATATTAATATCTCTAGTAACCAATTATTCATAAGCATCTAATCATACAAACTGAAACAATGTGCTCTTGCGAGTTGCAGGTCCATTATTCATAGCAAGCATTGGCTTGCAATCATTAAAACAACGCCAAAATCATTCCGATCATGAAGATCATACCAAATTGCTTCATCAAGGCAAAGAGCCTTAATTTCCAATACCCAGATTATCCACCAGGTTGTGTATCTCCTCCGGCTGTTCAAATACTTTCCAAATATGTGCCGGAATACCTTTGAAAGCAGTCTCAAATCTCTCGGGTGCATTTTGTTTCTCCATCCGAGGAACATCGGTTACTTTCCTGATGAAAATGGCTTGTATCCAACCAGGGTACTTCTTGTATACCTCTGCATAAGCCTCAGGGTCCTTCTGAGTCGAGTCACCGATGCAAAGTACCCGTCGCTGAGGGAGCCAACTATGAATCTTTTCCATGCGGCTCACTTTATATTCCTGGGTGTTTTCCGTGTATGACTTTATGAATCCACTAAAGTCCATCCAAGAAGAATCCCGCAGAATCAAAGTGCCGGCAAGGTACTGTGTATGCAGGAATTCACGCAAGAAGGGATACAGATTGTATGGCGAGGCTGATAGGTAGAACCACGCCGGTGCCAGCTCGTTCTGGATATGAGAGTACAGTTCGGGCATTCCGCGTATAGGCCTTGCTTCTTCGGCAAAGGTTGTGCGAAGAATACCGGTCGGTACTGAAGTCATGGTATGCTTGATGGTATCATCGATATCTGATATGACCATCCAGCCTTCTGGGGCGGCAAAGATAGTATCCATCGATATGGTCTCATCCCAGCCCCGGAGATACGGCTGGACTTTGGTACCATCTTTAATATGCTGACTGCCTAGGGACACATCCTGACTACTGATGCCGCTTTTTTCAGTGGGACCGATCGGGTGGATCTGAATGGTGTTATTGGGCAGTGGTATCTCCATGGTCATCACATGTGCTGGCTCAATTTGATCTAGGAATGGGCGTAATCTTTGTGCTATTCGCTGGCGTATCTCTTTCTCGGTGCCCACTTCGCCGTCAAGTCCGATGAGGTCGGCAACTGTTGCGACGAATTTACTAATGTCCTTCCGGCCATGTTTCTCAAAGACGCATGCAATGACCTCTACATGCCATGACTGCTTTGTCGAATTGGAAGATGGGCGCCGATAAGCGGTGTTATCGAGCAACCAGACAGTATTCTGACTGGGCTCTGCGACTTGTATCGAGGGTTGGTTCCATCCCAACAAGGAGCTGACGAAATGTAGAATGATACTACTCGACCCTATTCCTTTCCATGGACGAGATAGCCACCCAAGTTTGCTTGTGGCAGTATCTTTCTCGATCTCTGGATGAGGCGAATTCATTGCTGGTTCCTGTCTTCACCTGTGACGGTTTTGCATAGAATATAGCTGTTGATGTGGTTTTGGAAGTATTCAATGAGATCAGATTTGGTGGGGAGGTGAAAAAGCGATCGATGCTAAAAAAGGTCCAAGGTCAACGAACAGGTCTTAAGTATCTATGCAATAATGCAACGACAATCATCAACCTGTTACGCTTTGCCCCACGCACCTTCCCCTCGTATGCATTTTCATAAGGCTCTTAGTCGGCCCCTCGGTGGAGCGCCTGATTTCACAGGCCTGTCAGACCGCCATTATATCGGCTTCAAAGCCACGGGGCAGTGATTTCATTTGATCCAAATTACACATCATTTGGACGAGTCAGACGAACAGAGCCAATGAGATAGAACGCTTGGCTAGCTCTTGAACGATCACCCTTTGCCCTGGGAGCAGGCAACCTGCAAGTTCTGTATCGGCTTGATGTATCTGGGCAATAAGTAACCCATCGCTTGGCGTCAGGGGTTCTCAAGTCATCCTGGAGGTGCTTGTGACCGGGCTTTATCGCAACGCCTGGTCACCCGAGGCTTGACCCATTGAGTTATGTATTGATCAGATCGGCATTGATGACAACCGAGCAAGCTAAAAAGAAACGGCAGTAATTATTCTGTCGTAGGGCGCGGAGCTCAGCCATGTCGGTGTTGGTTGCTGCCTTCTGCACCAATGAAGATACCGTGTATGGTGTCGTCATTCTTTTAAAAATGGAAAGAGAAAGGAAAGAAATAGATTGATATCACATTCAAAAATAGAAAAATAAATGATTGCTGACGACGAGCCTCAAGAAGGGATCGGGGTCGGAGGATGATATCGTCTGCCTCGCCCACGATGTCTCTAGCATTCCAGAGACTTCATATGATGATAACATTCAATATTCAAATACCCTGTGAGGCTAACAGCAGAGATAAATGATGAAATTTGGTCATTTGATGGATTGTCTTGCGTTGGTTGAAGTTGAAGGGTTGAAGGAGAAGAGAGGGAGGAGACGAAGGGCAGAACAAGTGAGCCCCTCGACCTTTCTCTCTCTCCTGGATCACTCTGCCGGGTTATCTTCAGCTTCAGCCAGATCCAGTGAATGAATGCTTTTTAGATCGATCTTCCTTGCTTTGGCACTTGTCATTTATTGGTTTTTAAGGCAAAGATACGTATTTCTTCTTGCTACTGCCTGGCACTTTGTGGCTTTGCACTTGTGTCTGGATCAGACCAGTATCATCCCCTTGCTCTGTGGCAACCATCGGGGGTTATTTTCATCGACCTTATATTTGAGATCTCCAATTCGAAGATCTGATGACGATGCGATTCGTCATGATCTCTCCCTTGTAGGGGGATCGAATTCTCCTGACTCAGTTGGATCGATCGAAACTCTTCTATAAAGTGTTGGATACAACCCTCGAGTTGTCATCACAGCATCCCATTCCCTCAGAAAACAGTCTCTCTATTTCTTTTCTTTCTCAAAATGCAGTGCCAATTCAGCAGCGAGCTTACTCTCCTTCAGTCTTCTCCTCCACGACGTTCATTCAGGACTCCCTCCCCGAAAAGAGACCAGGCACCGTCTCCAACATACACCAATGTCAATCCTTTCATTTACCGAACATCCGCTCATTCCTTTACTCATTCCTGGCCAACACATCGCCTGGTGGCCTGTCCACGATGCCATGCACACCATGACTCTGACTCTGGGAGAGATCGTGCCCAATCGATGCCGATCCGCCATCGTCTCTTGACTGTGCCGAGTCCCAATAGATTCACGACGGGATATTGTGGCTGAATCATGATTTAACGCCAAATACAAATGACGCAGGGTCGTCTGTCGCCTTATTTTCCATATCTTTCGGGTTCACACATCTATACTTTGGCGTTTCCCTGCTGGTCCTGGTGACAGCATTCCGGGATAAAGACTAGACATATTGTCGTCACCTTCGAACACTTTCTCTGAGAGAAAGAACACTTCCCGTCGATCTCTTTCGGGCACAGAATGTCTCGCTATCATGGAGCAATATCTATCGCTCCCAACAGGCAATTCACCGACTGTCAATACTGCGGGTCAGTCAACAATTCGAAAGAACCCCCTTTTCACATCATTATCCCGACTAGGCGCTACTCTACGCCTGTCCTGGTTGCACGAAGAACCGATTCTATGCATTCGATAAGCCCAACCAGCATCTCGAACGTAGTCAGTGAGGATTTGATGGGGCGATTTTGGTTAAAGACCATGTCCATATGTCTGTTAAGCAGATAAAATCAACCAATAAAACAAAACAAAATAAAAGAAGAGTTAACAAATTAAATCCATCTATTAGTTAGTCGATAGAACTAAAAAAGTAAAAGTAAAAAAAAGAATCGTTGGATGAGACGCGGTTCGAACGCGCGCGGTCGATGACCAAGGGATCTTAAGGCCCTCCCCTTAACCACTCGGGCACTCATCCGATTTTAGCAAATGTTTTGCCAATCTCCGTCTCATCAAACTAGACAGTCTGTGACTGCTGGTATTCGCAAAAATTTCTCACCATCACCCGCAAAAGTCCAATGGAGTAATTCTGTAAATTTCATAAACATGAGGAGTGAAAGTCGCGGTGGATAATATCAAGATAGATTGGAAGAAGAAAAAACAGACGACTCGAATGATCCCGTCGAATGACAGGGTTATCTGCAGGGTAACACCACAGGATGTAGGCATGGCTATCAGCCATAGTACCTGCATGTAGAAATGCAATGCTGGCATTGACAGAGATTATACAGAGCATTGTCTGGTATTACCAACAAGTATATTTAGCACTTCTTTAGTATGACATTCTGACGATCTTCAATGAGGATGAATTGCAAGAGGGATGATGAAATATTCTTGACTACGGCCGTGAATACTATAGCACAGCCACGGTATGGTTTGCCGATGTGGCTGTGCGTCTCAGGACTATAGGATTGGAAGATATTGACAGTATTTGCATCTCTTTCATTTGATATTCCGAAGAGATTATTATATTATCTACATTCCTGTAATATATGCATGCTTTGTGCAATACCCAACAGATAGACACCAGGCCAAAACAGTAACTCCAAAACACCAACGCTATATACAGATCCTCCATCACCGCAACTTGAACCACCCTTGAGGTGCCAAGGCCTTTTGGCTCCCATTTGATTCGTAGCTCGCCGACTGTGACTCGGCGATCCTATCCCTGACCGTCTTCTCAACCATCGCCGCCCATGCTGGGGTCATTCTCCGGTGATATGTCTCCCAGAGATCTGGCAAAGACCGAACATCTTGCACGCAGTACAAGGCAAGATCGTCGGAGAGTGGGCGGGCATTGAAGACTTCAAAGCTCCCCCCACGTTGGGGAGCATACAAATCCAATCCCTTTTCTTTGGCAGCTTTCCAAAGCTGTCTCTTCGCGAATGGCATGATAGCATCTCTCTCGATGCATTTTGCCAGTCCGCTGACATATCTTCTGGAGAACCTGCGAGTTGCAAGTTCCATGAGCTGGAGGTCCTGTACGCCTCCCAAATTGACCCCGAAGTTGCCGTAGAGTGCGTCCGAATCGTTACGCACATCAAAGAACACCTTGGGAATGGTCGGGGATTCCAAGATGTCCCGAAGGGTTCGGCCGTTGGGAGCCTTTGTTGAGAAGGCTTCTCCCCCAAGAGTATAAACGTCGACCAGATAGGACTGGTCTTGGGGGAGGACATAAATCTGCAGAATGGACACAGTGCCGTGTCTCGAGAGATTCACCCCTTCCAAGTCAACATACAAGGATGGTGGGCTGACTGGCAAGTCGGTGAGGGCCTCAACAAGCTCTGCTACACCAGCACATGTGTCGACCAACTTGAACGATAATTCACCGTTCAGTTTCATCTGCTCAAGGGAAGCCGTGAGATCCAGGAATGTCGGATCCCAGTTGGCCTCGATACACACCCAGGGGGGGGGCTTTGCGCCCTTATCCCCCACCGTCACTTCTTCGCATGTAATGGTGCCTGAATAGTTAGCATGTGAACTGTGTATTATAGTCTGAATCACTTACAAGACATGGTAGTTATTGATAACCAAATTGTAATATATATATATATATATATATATAATCGCGGTAGTCTTTATTCAAGTGGAGAGAGGGTTGTTGATGGTAGAATGGATCCATCTCATCGATCGTTGGGGGGCAAGCTCATAAGCCATTCTTCCCAGGCTGCTACTGTATGCCCAGGCACCAGACTGCCTATTCCGCCCAAGTTTAGGTTGAAATCGCGGAGATTGCGGTCTGGATATGTCATGTTCTTCACCGTCATTTGCGTGCTTATGACGATTTGCAACAGTGCTTGTGTGATAGGAGGAGATGGAAAAGGAGAATGAGCAGCAAGACACAGTCGAGTTTTCGTGTATTTATAGCATCAAAAAGGCAGGGACAAACGAGGACAGAACGATGGAATGCCTCATTATCTGGACAATGAATGCCTGAGGTGTCGAATTACCTATTCGGTGCTAATCGAGACGCTAACCGAATCGGTCGATGCTGCAGAATGTTGAATTCTTTCAAGGGACAGAAGTAGCCAGATTCAACAATTGCCGGTCGGTATGTATCCAGAAAACTGACTTTATCTGAATATAATGAGCTGATGATCAAGCAGTTGAGATGCCAGTTGTTGATGTTGTGGATTCAGCATCGATAAGTGAACCACGTTGAGATGTTATTCTAAGATCAGTCATTGCTCGACGTCGCTTCCTGGACTCATCTCAACAATTGTGCTTAAATGTCCATTCGACGACTGGATCGAAAGAGTGGTCAGGTCTCTACAGAGGCACCCATTATGTCAACTCTGGCATCGTTAAAAGGCCCGTCTTGGGTACACGAATCCCCCTTTCTGACGGAAGGATGGGAAAACAGAAGCAAGGCTGGCTCACCATCGCTGAAGCATTCTGCAATGAGAAAGACGCTGTCTGACCAGAGAAACTTGACGCCTCAACTATTCGCAAACGTACCATGGCGTATCGCAAGCTATCTTTGGGACTGCTTGGGCAAAAGCAGGAAACAGACTGTTTACATGTGGAAGCTATTCGCAACAGCTTATCCAATCGACTTCCGGGGTATCAATCAGTACCGCTCAATGAAGATCGAAGGACCTAAAATGTCAATGCGAGACTATCTCGGTCTGGTGAAGAGTGATTCGCTAAGCTGGGGAGTTGCATTGACTCTGGCCAATTTATTTGCCAGGGTCCCTGAACTTGTGGATATTGCTAGCATTAAGAATCTCGTGGCCCTGGAGATCATTACACTCTCGCAAATCGCGACTATCCCAGAAGAGACCGATGCAGCTGGGGCTACTCTGAGTGATCGGATTGTTCGGACTTGGAGCGAGCTAGCACAGACCTCTGCGGCGTTTTCCCACCTTCGTGTGCTGAGGTTATATAACCAGGAGGATCTTTCAAAGGTTGCGTTGCGGTACATGGATGCCTTTCCTTCGTTGCGATTGATTATTGCCCATGACTGTCCACATTTCACTTCTCTTGTGAAACACGGCCCTATAGAACTTGATGGATGGGAAGTATCAACCATATCCCAGCCGAAGAAAAGTAACGAAGATCCATCCGAGCCAGATACGCTCTACGAGTGTTACAAGACAAGCCTTATGGATATTGAGACACAGGATCAACCCACTCTGAGAGATACTCCTATATTGGACTTTCAAGTAGGCCAAATCAACCCGACAAGACGAAAAAAACAATCCACAGTGTACCTGGAGCGAAAGAAGAACGCGGACTCTACTCAAGAACCAGCGACGAAAAAGCAGAAGCTGGCTTCTACAGCTGCAAAGAAGCCCAAGACCAAAGGGCCCGTGATGAAAGACCGTAAAGCAAAAGACCTGCGATGTCTCCTGCAAGACTTTCTCTGATTCCACTGACATCATCGACATGATGATGTAACCCAATGCAGATGCTACAGCATGCCAGCTTCAATATTTACACCCTTGCAGGGCTGTGCTCAGCTCGACTCGGGATAAACAATCCCACATCTCCTGTTATTAAACTAGATAAAAAACACCCTCGTTGTCTTTGTATACAGCAGTGCCTGGCTTTTCTTTGCCAACGCCATGATAGGCAAATGGCAGACGCTGATTGGCTCGCAGCCACCCGCCAACCAGACACCGCCGATTCCCCTCCCCGCAACGCCCCCATTTCGTTATGGACATCGCAACCTTCACTCGTTGACAGCATGATCACAGAGCTCAGATAGTTGTTCGGGATTCAGCCTTGAGGATAACACGGCGATTCCAGTTGCCTTTACTGGCTCACTGGCCCTCTCATATTATTCTCTATTGCCCAACGATTACCCCACTCGAGCAGAGCTACTGTCCGCTCACCCCCACCCAGCCATGTCAGAACGCCAGAGTCTCGATGTAGCAGACAACCCCAATGGATCAGGTGCTGCTTCGCCTCGATCCAGCACAGATTCTCGCTCTCCATCTCTACGAAGCCAACCCGCTCGTCTCTCCCACCCGTCTTCGAATCACCAGCACCGACAGAGCTTAAGTGAGAGTCTCCGTACGCCAGGATCGCCCCGGTCACGACGACAGCCGTCGCTGGGCCAATCTGCAATCCAGAGCCTCATTGACAATCCTCCGGCGCCGAACCATGTTAATCCGGCGTTTGCCGGTCGGGACTGGAGACAGATTTCCATTGGGGAGCTGGTCAGCCCTGATGATTTGAAGTTTGTGGAGGTCGAGACGGGGATTGAGGAAGCGACAAATGTAAACATATGGCTTTTCAAAGAGATCCAGAGAGTAATTAGAGCTAATGTGGTGTTGCTTAAATAGATCCTGATCGAATCGCGAATTCCTGTCTTGCTAGTCCGCGAGAAGCCCGAGGACAAGTCCGCCGTGGGAACCTTTGACTACTCGGATTTGAATGCATACCTCCTCCTTGCAGCGGGATTGACGCAGCCGAACGAAGAAAGCATCGAAGCGTACGAGCAATTAGCGCGAAAAGCGAAAGAAGGAAGCAAGATACCGCTGAGCGATGTGAGGGATCTGGGCAAAAAAGAGCCGTTGACGACCCTCCCGGCATCGGCCAGTGTGATGGCGGCAGTCAAAACATTTGGAGGCGGTATTCATCGTGTTGTAGTGGTCGATGACAATAATGAAGTGGTTGGGATTTTCAGCCAGTTCCGGCTGGTCAAGTTCCTGTGGGAGAACGGTCGCTGTTTTCCAGCGATTGATCAGTTGTACCCGCAGCATCTTGGAGATTTGAGGATAGGCTCACGCGAGGTTATTTCGATCAAGTAGGTTGCTGTTTTCGCGCATAAATGGGTTAGGTCTAATTGAGTGTATAGCGGCGACAAACTTTTGAGTGAAGCTTTGCAGCTGATGAACGATGAGGGGATTTCATCGGTCGCGGTTGTTGATAATCATTTCAATGTGGTTGGCAACATCTCCACCACTGATGTGAAGGTATGTAGCATGGGAAGACTCTGCTACCAGATGCTTACGTGGAACAGCTTCTGACGCGGTCATCGTCACTTCCTCTTTTGTACAACACGTGTACGCATTTTATTTCCGTGATACTTTCGACGCGCGGATTGGAAGAAGGCCAGGACTCTTTCCCAGTGTTCCATGTGAATCCAGGCTCGACGCTTGCGCATACAGTGGCCAAGGTGGTAGCTACCAAATCACACCGGTAAGCAGCGACGGTATTGAAAGAAGAGAGGTATACTGAATGATCTACAGGCTGTGGGTTACAGATCCGCTGTCACCCTCCAACTCGGGCCCCCCAACACCGTCTCACTCTACGCTACACGTTCCATTGGTATCTACGAATGCTGGATCGAATACCGAACCTCTCCCTCCCAACTCCCCTCCCAGTTCATCTCACAACCACAGTAACCCGAACCTAGCCGCACAGACATACAACACAGCGCTATTTTCGCACCCGGGACCACCCGCCGGCGTGGTTCATGCAGTGGCACCGTCGATCCCAGCATCAGCGTTGCCGGGGGCACGTCTTTCAGGGCGATTGTTGGGTGTGGTTAGCCTGACAGACATCTTGAATCTACACGCACGGGCGAGCGGGCTAAGCCCAGCGGACCCCGCAGAATCTCGGAGCCGTCGTCGACGCAGCAGCAGTTCGAGCATTAGTGTACGACGCAGTGGAGAGATTGGTCGGGAACTGTTCAGTCGAGGATGATGATCTGCGTGATTTTCACCGTTTGATATTTTTTTTACTTTTGTGAATTTACGTCGGGGTTTGCTAAGTCTGGTCCAATCGCCCGGATCTAGGAAGAATGGGAATGAGTACGTCTGGGATAGCCTTTTTTTTGCCTTTTGATGTTGCTGCCATGACGAATCTCCCGGATAAGCTTCGAGGCCCAAAGTGCTATGGTAGACGCGCGGTGGAGCCGTTTTTTCCTTACTGATTAAGTAGTCCAATGTCAACCTGATTATGTGTTTGATAAGTTATGCCATTGACATAGAGTTTCGATGATCTTGGCCCAGTCGATCAGAGGCTGCGCGCCTGAACCTGGGGAAGGCCTAAATCAACCCAACTGGTAGGTGGAATGCCGGCCCAGAGTCGGCGATGAATCGTGGCGAAAAAGCGGTTTCAACCGCCATGAAATAATCCCACGGACGAGAGAATCGAACCATGGATGAGGGGGTCTTGAAGAGGCAGCTGCAGTTGTAGTAAGAGAGAGACAGAAGTAAGAAGAAAGACAGAGAGAGAGTTGAATCATGAATCAGGCTGTTGATCATAACCCACTCTGGTAATACATTTGTAGAGGAGAGGTGAGATTTGGAATCACGCATCACAGCATCACACAGCATCGTCATAATTCGCCTCATCTTCAACAGAATTCATTCAACCTGGATATTATCCCCCCCGACCCCTCCCCTGGTCAATGTAGGGGACACGGAAACCATCTCCCCGGCCAACTCGCATTCCTTGGAAAGAAAATCTTCACGGCCAAGGGATACAGACCCAGCCAACGCTGCATGGTATAACTAACCAGATGCGGCTGCTGGCACTGTGTACTTAGGCACTGTAGTGATTGGTAAAATGATGTTCACAGATGGACTGAATCAATAAAGTTAATTGAAAATGAAATAAAATCAAATCAAGCAGAGCCCGAGATGTACAGTTGTAACTGGGCCTGACCTGAGGTTGGATGCAAACAGTAAAGAGGGACGATGAAGTTCCTTGGGTGGGGGTGGTCTGTGCTATCTGGCTCTGTAGTGTACTATGTAGTACTGGGTATGTAGTAGTAGAGATAGATAGATAGTAATGTGTAGATAGAGAATCAAGTATGATAGTCAACTATCTCTTAACTGTCTATCTATCATCTATCTATCTATTTATCTAGTATCTGTATCTCTATCTGTATCTACCAGTAGTAGTGATATCTCGCACTCTCTCGCCAAAAGCACAGTCCAGCCTAACCCAATCCAGTCTAGCCTCCACTCAACAGCTATGGTGGGTCCGCCTGGCCAGTGCATTACATGCAGGGTTTAGTTTAGCGTTACATATCCGTCCCGCACATTGGACGGGACCCTTACAGCCCGCCCCACTGGAAGCTTAATCGCAATGACAGACGAGCCAGTGTCAGGCCGGTTAATACGGAGGATTAACTTTTTTTTCCCTGCCTGCCTGTGCCCGATTTCCATTCACATGACTGGTTTTATAATTTCTGGTTTGTTTTTTTCATGTCATTTTACGAGGGGGAGAGCCAATCAGAGTGCGGGGCTGGGGGAAGGTTGCAGTCAGTAGGTAAGGTACCTTTCCAGGTGAGTTACGCTTGCAGAAGGTCTGGTGGATGAGGAGGGTTTTGTTCCGGGGTAGAGTTATGGTTTATATGGTGAGAGGGAGGCGAGTAGAGTCGGTAATTTTGAGTATTGGATTTCATCTCTCGTGATGTTGTACAAAGTATGAACAAGCAATTCAACACGATGATAGGTAGATAGTAGAAAGAAAGAAAGAAAGATAACTCCAAAGCCCAACCTGGGTATTAGATCCCACCCTCCAAAAAGAAAAGAAAAAAAAAAAATTAAATAATATACACCCAAGCAATCCAAGAATCCAACAATCAAGAATCCAAGCTCATATCAAATCATGCAACAGCGGCAAAGTCATCCAGCGTAACAAATTCATCAAACCCCCCAAACGCCTCGCGGTCCTGACCGGCGTTGTTCCCCAATCCAAAGGCAAACCGACTAAACTCGTCAAAGTCTGGGTCCAACTCCTCATGCGAGAAGAGGATCCCTTCCTCCTTGCCCAGGTTGTCCAGGTCCAGGACTCCCGTGTCATGCGCCGTCGAGGTAGGCGAGTGGGGAGTGCTGGGCGTTGGGCAGAGCTCTGGAGTGGATAGGGTTTCGGTCGAGAAACCTTCGATCTTGGGTGAGCTAGCGCCGGAGCTTTGCATGGAGAAGTTGGGGGGTAGCATCGTGGTGATGTTCCCCGGTTCGGATCGGACCCGCGTGTGCTGCACGGGATTGGCCGTCACCGTAGCAGCAGCAGGAGTAGCAGTTGAGGTGGGTGAGGGAGAGTAAGACACAGAAGGCAAACCATGAGTCGAGATTTCGGGGGCAGAGGCCATACGGTCCCGAAAGGGGGTCGGGGCCTGCTGCTGCGGTGGTTGGAAACCCGCCCAGGATGGACGCATGGGCTGCCATGTTGGGGTGGTCTGCTGCTGGGTGACATAGGAAGGGATCTGGGAGAACGAGTCGGACGGGGTGTCCATGCTGGACATGTACGAGGACTGAGGGTTGGGGTCGTAGGCTGTGGCCGAGGGAGACAGGACGTAGCCCTGGTGGTTGCCCATAGGCATAGGGCTGGTCAAGGGACCAGTCTGCATGCCCTCGGAAAAGGAGGAGCGCACACTCGACAGATCGAGGCTCATCTTGCGCACGCCGCTATCAACCGAGCCACGAGGAGTCATGCTGGCCGTCCGGCGAGGACCGGAACGAGCAGCAAACGCCGCGAGCAGTTGCCTGTGCAGTTGCTCTTCAATCTGCATGTTTTGGGCCTGGAGCATGCGAATGCGCTTTTCCTGGTAGCGCTCGTCGACCTCCTCGTACATGGCTTCTTTCTCAACGATGTCCTTGGTGATGAAGAGAGATTTCCCGGTGCGCTTCTTGTGCAGCATCGAAGCCCGGTTGGCGGATTCAAGACGAGCATCCAGACTGCGATCCTTGCGACGAGAAGCAGCAATAAAAGCACTGGTCCGTTAGCCGAGCACACTGAGAATGAGGAACAGCAAAACACACCGTTCCTGGTTCTCCTCCCTCGAACGGGGGATAGGAGAGATATCCAGATCTAGATCTGGCGAGGCCATTTTGTAAAGGGGTATATATGTTCAGTAGAAATATGTGCAATAATCTTATATCCAGACAGAGTGACCGGAACGAGGAGGAGGAAGAGGGGTTATATAGCAGGAGGAGGGGGAAACGGGGAAAAGGGCAGGCAGGCTATCCAAGGACTGCATGGAACAGGCGGCGGGTGTTGAGCTGTCAGGAAAAATACCAGCGAACCATGGAGCAGCGTCGATCAGAGTTTGGACCCACCCAGACGAGCGGCCAGTGGGGGGCCTCCAAACAGGGACAGACGAGACTGGCTGGGCGCCGGGGTGGGGGCGAAACCATGGAACGGGGCAAACTTAATCAACAGGGCTAACCGCGTCCTGCCTAGCGCTCGCAGCAGCGTGCATTAGCCTGCAGCAACAGGCTGCATTAGTAGGCAGGAGGGGGAAGGGAATATGGAACCATTTTCCTGGATTTCCGGGGTATAACGGTCTAGACTGGAAGATTCTGGGCGAGGTGGTATAGAGAAGATGCAACAGAACTCAGAAGAGATTTCATGCCAAGCGATGCCTGGTGTTTAAGGCTGTCATTTTGCATAGACTGAGTAAGGTTATTACCTAGGTTACGGTCAGACGGATCTCTATACAGCACCTACATAAAAAAAATTATTATACTGCGGAATATAATATGGAATCCTCTAGCCTCGGCCATCCATGGCTCCCTACCCACTTCCATCTTCGCCACTTCGGGCGAAGGAACGAGCCGCCCGGCTGGAGGTGTCTGGGCTGGCCTGGATAGTTATAGAGGGGAGAGTGTACGCGAGGCGATAAGATGGATCAACGTCCCATCTGGACGGTCCAGCCGCAAATCCTCTCACTTCTTCACCGGGATTTGTAACACTTCGCACTTAATTGTGTTTAATGTTCAATTCAATTCATAGCAGTTACTCATTTAGTCAAGTATCGTCAATGTGGCTATGGTGGCTGTCGGCTAATTTCAGCAGATCGGGCCAATCGGACTTTCCCGATCCCATTTTTCAGTCGATAAACACTGCTATTGTTGCGTGCTGCTCGGCCTTGTTCGCTTCCCCAGACTCGGCCCTTTATCGGGGCTGTTGATTCGCTGCTGCTGCTTGGTTCGTCGTCTAAATGGAGTTTTTTGAGATCGTGTCCTAGATCTGCCCCAGATATGGGTAGACATTAGTACTACTAGGTATAGATCTAGGTGGACTGGTGGAGTAATGAGGGGGTGGATCAATATAGCAGAGAGTAAAGATAGATCAGCTCAGTACGCTAAGTTGCCAAAAAAACACACAGTCCCGTTCATCTACAGTATCCCCAGTGGTGGCACCATCCCCTGCTCTTCCTTGCGCTCGGCTCCCACTTGGTATGACACTCGGAACCGAATCTTCACCGAGTTGCCTTTGCCTCCCTCTACGCCATCCAGCAGCATCTCCTGCTGCACTCCGTTCATCTGCATCGGTGTCATATCCCGCCCAGACTGGGGCCGCAGCTGCAACGTATACGCCTATCAAAGTCAGCATTATAACCACCTTCCTCATGTATACATCCTTCATAGCACTCACCTTTTCAACGGCAACCTGAAAGTGTAGCTCCTTCAGCGCCTGGTTCCCCATGTTCGAGAATAACGCCACCACATGAATCTGCCGTGGCTGGCTAGGGTGTCGTCGCGCGACGAATTCAACCCGAAGCACCGAATTCAACACCTGCACCCGGTTGCTGCTTGGAAGGCTGTTGCTCTCCGGTAGCGACGACGTGAAATCCCATTCATCATCTTCCGTCTTGTCGCCGGCGGCCACAGCCCCTCGTCCGGTTTGTCCCGGTGCGCTAATGCCGCCCAGATCAAGCAACGACGACGATGCTGGTGCCGCCTGCTGTGCTGGGAACGGACTCGAGTTCCGTGAGCTCCCAGTCACCAGCGAGGCAAACGGATCCGCAGGGGGTGGTGTGGCCGTGTTCTGAAGCTGTTGAGGCGGCGGGGTGAAGACCGGTGCAGGCGTTGTAGATTGTGATACAGGTCGCGACGTGTTAAACGATGCCATGATATCGTTCTTGATCCCAGCAGTGGTCTGACGCACAGGGGGAGTTGTTGAAGCTGTCAGATCGTTAGTAAACACATCACTTGACGGTTCACTAGACATACCAGATCCCAACGAGATCCCTCCAGCCAATGGAGCAGGCTCATCAATTGAAAGTCCCAGAAGGTCATTCTCCAAGGAACTGCCTCCCTGAGCCACCGGTGCCGGTGCCCCATTTCCATTAGAGCTGGGCTCCGGGTCGAAATCAATCAGAGACAGCTCATTGTTCGCGTTCTTGGAAACCCCGGTTGTAGTGCCAAGTGTGCCCTTGGGAATCCTCAATGCAGCATCCAAATCGCCCTTCTTGACCAGCTTGTACCGTTCAATAGTACGATGTATGCTGTCATTAATCTCCAACAACTTGTGCACGGCCTCCGGATCCTCAGACTCCTCTTCGCACATCTTCTGGATCTTGGGGTGAGCACTTTGCAGTGCATTGGCAAGTTCCTACAAATGTTAGAAAGTAGTCCCTCCTTTGAGTCACTGGTTTCCTACCTCGAACACATCTCCCTCGATCCGGTCTCCTGGCTGGTGACTCTGCAACATCTCCTCCAGAATCTTGGCCTTTTGTTGCACCTTGGCGACCTCCTCCGCTGCCTTGGCCCGGTAGTCGGTCTTGTGTCGATTGTCGTATCCAGCCATGACCTTCATCAACCGATTGGCCTCTTGCAGATCCGCGGGCGTGCCCCTCCGAATCAACTCCTGCAGCTTGGCCGACTGAGCCTCCCGCTCCTCCTCTTCCATCTCCTCGGCCGAGCGAAGGTTCTAAAAGTGGTTAGTCGCATTTTGTAGCCGCGCAAGGACACATATCCACACATACATCGCTGGGATTCAAGACGGCGGCATCTTCATGGCGGATTTCAGGAAAGATGTAGCCTTTGTAGAGAAGTAGACGGTGCATATCCCGAATAAACCCTAAGTCCTCCTTGTACCTCGATGTCTGGCAAATCGTCTGTCGCCATTCCTCGATCGACTCCAGAATGCGATGCTGAACCCTCGAGGGGCGCATCGGTGGCCTCTCGGGAAACCTCCGCACCAACTCATTCAGAAACTCCTTTGTACTGATCTGAAGCTGAAAGGGGTATCCGCAATTCTTGACGCAAATATCGAGGAGCTGTATAAGTCGTTGCGTGTTAGCCCCGCACCATGCTGCCTAGCTAGCTACCTGGCCACTTCGGGGAAACCTACCGCCAACGCCAACAACGCTACATTCTGATTCCGCGAGTTAATCAGATGGACAATCTCGAATGCCGCTTCTCGAGGACTAGACACCGTAAGAATGCGCTCCTGCTAATGTACCCTCCCAGGATGTTGCCCTCTCACGACTCACGCATTGCCTTTCTTGGAGTTGATGAGGTCCGCAACTTCGAGGTTCAGGGCGAGGTTGGGCTCGTAGTGTTGAAGATCGCAGGCATTCCCTGTCGTAAAAAGCAAGATTGAAGAATTAGTTAACATCATCCAACACTCCATAATTATAAACTGGAAACACTCACGGACGCCCCGCTGAACGGGCGACAGGCCCAGGTCAGCATAGAAACCGTACCGGTCCCTAGCTGCCATGCGTGCTGAGGCTGCCTCCAGGATGACGGCAGCAAATCAAAATAATAAAGAGAACGACGAGGGGAAAAATAAAAAACTGCACCCGAACACTTTGGGATACACGCAATGGTCGCACGGGCGCAACGGCAACGATGACGGGTTGGATTGATTGTTTGATGATTGATCTGCTGTTGCGGGCGATGACGGACGGCCGTTTGGGTTGCGGTGTTCGTTAGTTTCTCTCCACGTGTGGCGGTTCTCTTTTTTCTCTCGACCCTGTCCACCACCATTCGCGCCCGTCTATCTGGCCGGGTCATATTTTCCTGATTCTATCCTTACGAAGATCTACATTACAAGCCATCCAGCATGGTCCGACACAAAAAGGACAACTTCTCCCGGGGAGGCAAGAAATTCTCAACCCCCCGCCCGCGCCCAGTACCCCGCGGCGACAACGACGAAACAGCCTCCTCCAGACCCCCTTTCAAAGCCGCCTGTTGGGACCTGGGACACTGTGATCCGAAGCGATGCTCTGGAAAGAGGTTGATGAATTTTGGGTTGATGCGCGAGTTGGCGATCGGACAACGATTTCCTGGTGTCATTGTCAGGTAGGTTTTTATTCTTTCTCTTTTTCCCTTGCCCGACCACCACTGACGATTGTTTCCTTTTGCAGTCCGAATGCAAAGAAGATCATCTCTCCGGCTGATCGGGAATTGATGGAACAACATGGTGCCGCTGTGGTCGAATGTTCCTGGGTGAGGGTCAAGGAAGTGCCCTGGAATCGGATCGGGGGCAAGTGTGAAAGACTTTGTAGGTCACACCCAGATGGATTGATCGCTATAGGAGGGCATAAATCTAATACCGTCCAGTGCCGTACCTCATCGCAGCCAACACAGTCAACTACGGAAAACCCTGGCGTCTGAATTGTGTCGAAGCCTTGGCTGCCTGTTTCTTCATCTGCGGCCACGAAGACTGGGCCAAGGAAGTGCTCAAGCCTTTCCGTTACGGAGAAGCCTTTATCGAGATCAACGGGAAATTGCTGAAACGGTACGCGGCATGCGCTACAGAAGAAGAAGTCAAGAAAACCGAGGAGGAATGGCTGGCCAAGATCGAGCGGGAGTACGAAGAGAGCCGGGCGGAAGGTGGTGATATCTGGACTACTGGTAATACGAACCGGAAAGCGGAAGCGTCTGACTCTGATGAAGACGGCGAAGACGACTATGAGGACAAAGACAGCGACAAGGATGATGAGAGTGAAGAAGACGAAGAAGAAGAAGACCGTGACCCCTTCGCCATCTCAGACGACTCCGAGGAAGAGGAACAAATGGCTGAGATCCGACGCAAGATCCTTGGCTCCAAGTCTTTTCAAAACCCATCCGCATCCGATAAGCAGGAACCCGAGAAGATCGCACGACCTGAAACCGTCCACAAAGATTCCGACGCCGAGTCTGGGTCGGCGGGTAGCGAGGACGAAGCCTTTGACAACATCATCAATGCAACCCCAGTCACCGACCGGACGGGTATCATAGCCACTTCCCAGCGCAAGGGCAAGGAAACATACAGTGCTTCCTTTTCACGGACAGTCGTCAATGCCCCCAAGAAGTGGTGATCGATAGAGGTTGATTCTGATTAAGGAATGTGATACCATGCTCTTCGGACTGGATCGCCTACCAGTCCGTCATCTCTTGAATCGATGTGATTCCAAGTCACGCAACTCGGTCTTCTGATACAGACTCGGCCTATACTGGCGATAGCCAGGTCTGATATGTCCGTATAGACATGCGCAAATATTGCTGGCACAATACATTGGCAGACCAGAAATATTGGACAGGCCGTACCCTGCCCTTCTGGCCGAAAGCTGGGCCAGATGAAGTTCTACAACTAGTCGCCTGGGGGCAACGAATATAACGAAATAGCATGATTCTAATATATCAAAAGTTTGATCGCTTTCTTCATCTTCATCTTCATATTCAACCTTGTAATCGTTCAACTATACTACATGTCCTCTTAGCACAGTGAAAAAGATATGAATACACGTTGATTTTTTTTTTTTTGAATATTGCTCGATAATGAATCAATTGCGGCCTGCGCCCAGTGTTTTGAAGAGAAAAAAACAAAAGCAGCCATCCCATCCATCCATTCCTTTCATGGCCTTTTCCTTCATCCATTGCGTATGAAATCTTCATGTTCAATATGGGCAGAGAAACAGAGAACAATATAATAGAGATAGAGCGAAACAAAAAAAGATGTCGAAAGAAAGTGTTGATTAAAATGTAGGATCTCTTTTTTCATTTAAAAAAATTCCCCCGCCAAAGAATGTGTCCGTTGGATCCAATTTCGAAAGTGAAAATAAATATTTACATCGTATAGAGAAGATTTATATCTGTGTGGCCACGGTTAGCATGGTTCACCAGACAAAAACGCAACACTAAAAAAAGAAAAAGAAAAAAAAAAAAAAACCATATCATACAATATTACTTACCCACCGGGTGACTGCAGCTCAGCTGCGGCTTCTGTGAATATTTAGTGGATAGCTCGTCTCGAATGCTGTTGAGCAACTGCACGTAACTCTGCTGGGGATTCTTGCGCAGTGCCGCAATAAACGCCCAGGACATGGCGCCGGTGGCCTGGCCAGCGATCTGGGCATCTTGACTGGTTTGCGAGTCTTTACTGCCAGACCACATGACGACATCTGCGGGGCTTGTTCGAGTCTGCTTGGTTCGCTCGTAAGCTTCGTCGCCCTTGGTGGCCTTCTTGATGAAACCCATAGCAGTTGAAACCATGCTGCCCATGTCGCCCCGGGCGTAGGCCGAAACAACACCCAGCAACCCTTGGCCTGCTTCCTTGGCCAGATTGGGTTCCTTGAGGATACCCTGGGTCGAGTAGACGTAGGGCAAGTCCAGGGCGGAGCCGGAGTGGCAGGAGTCGAAGATGGCCGTGAGTCGCACACCCGGCTGGAGGGATTTGACCATGATCCGATGCATCTCATCATCCACGATGTGACCGGCGGCCCGGAAGTCGACTGGGTAGATCACCTCATCGTAACCATCGTCTTCGTCTCCGTCCAAGTCTGGCGTTTGACCACCATGGCCTGGTAGAATTCCGAGGTCAGAAAGAAGATTCCGACTTTGTATCATTGAGTAACCCAGAAAACTCACCTGAATAGTGGAAGAAAAGCGAATCGTTTGGACGAGCATCCTTGACCAACCAATGCATCGCTCGCAAAATATTTGCCTTGGTGGGCTGGCTCATGGGGTTTTGCTGATCATCGGTGAGGAGAACCATATCCTCTTTGGCATAGCCGAAGTTCTGGTTTAGGTAGGTGGACATGTTCTTGACATCATTGATACAGCCACGCAGCTGACCCTTCTGACCAAAGTAGTTGATTCCAATCATCAGAGCCTTTCTCTTTCCTGTGCAGTTGGAGTATTGGAAGCTGTATCCCTGGGGAGCACCCTGCCCGAAAGAGACGGGGTTATTCGGTGGGCGTGCGGGAGCACCATGAGAGGTTGGAGCTGCTGCGCGATCAGCTGCGCACTTAAAAATAGTGACGGTTCACCAGGAAAGGGTAGAGAGAAAACGGACCTGGTCGTGCCTGTCCCTGGTACATCTGACCTCCACTGGGCGGATATGACGGCTGCGGGTGCTGGGGGCGAAAAGTCAACCACGCATACTTTTCTCCAAGGTATCACGGCTCAAAACATACACCATAGCCATTCTGTGAGGGATGCGACCCGTGGTACGGCTGGGCAGGGGGTTGATGACTGTATCCGTAGGGGTTGGAGGGAGGTTGCTGCTGGTGGTAGGCCTGACCGGGATAGCCACCGTACGCGGGTTGTCTTGAGAGCGATCAGCGGGGTTTTGACAAATTATATGATAGATGACACAAATTATACAGAGTATCAAGTATAGACGAAAAGAGAAAATAGAACTCACTGGTACTGCTGCGGGGAGCCGTAATTCGGATACTGCTGTTGCGGGGGATAACCCGGAGCGCCCGAGTAAGGCGGATAGTAGGACATTCCTGATGAGAGGGAGGGTAGGAGGAAAGACGAGTAGGTTTGGGAATCAAGAATCAAAAGAAGACGGCGGGTTCCAAAGAATCAGATCTCGTGGAGAGATGAAGATGATGAAGAGGAAAAGAGGTTGGGCAGCGGGCGAAGAAGAAGAGGCAGACGAAGACGAAGAATCATGTGGAGAGCATCCGAGGGGTGGAAAAACGCGACGACGTGGGCGGAAGGACGGCAAGACGCCAAGATAAGAAGAAGAGAAATTATTACGATGATTATCAAGAGGAGATTTCAGAAGAAAGGGGGGAATAGAATCAAATTAATACTCTGTCGAGAGCGAGGGATAATAGGAGGGAATAACAAAACACGGCGGATCGATCCTTTGCCAATAGACGGGCGAATTGATCGATTGATTGATATGGAATCAACCGGAGGAACCGTGCAATCTCGATATTATTATTAGTCCTGAACAACGCCAGAAGACACAAAGAAACAAAGAAGAAGAGAAAACCTGCCATCTACACAATAGCAAGAGCAATAGACAACAGGCATCGGCCTCTCCGAAGGTCCGTCACGGTGGCTATGGACAGACCGCAGCCAGCCTATGATGGCCAGCAGGTGGTGATTAGTTCTGTTGGCGACATGCAATATTCGCTTAGTCTATATCTCCTTTTTTTCTTCTTTTCTTTTCTTTTCTTTTTTTTTTTTTTTCTCATTTCAAGCACTGAAAGCAGTAAATCATAAACGATAGTCCACTCATTTTAGCAGGGGTCGTTGGAGTAGTCGTGCTCGGATCAACCGCTTCATCTCGACTTAGTGCAGTGGAGATCGTCGTTTCTAAGGCTGATTGATCTCAATCTGACCAGTGCTTCTAGAATAATACTCCGGAATAAGAACCATAATCATAAGGAGCCTCTTTTCCGACAGGCTGTCAAGTCGACAAGCTTAATTGGAGACAGGAATAGAAACGGTGTTCTGGTCGACTTCACATTGACAAAACGTACTAGATATATGGACATGAACCAGATTACAGCACCTCATGTGCCCATCTACCACCTTCTTCTATCTTCTCCTTTTCCGTTTCCTTTTTCACATTGGACCCACATTTAAAAATCATAGACCATATCTGAAGATATCGTTTTGAAATCCCTGTTCTTACCTTCCTCTCCGCGGCATGCCCCGTCCTCGTCCACCTCCAAGGGCCCGCTGGGCAGCACCCGGAGGAAGACCACGAGTAGGACCCTGTGCTGCGGCGGACTCCTCGTTCTCTGGAGTTTTGGGTTAGCGAGATATTCACACTATAGATGGTGAGGAGGAATGGGAAACACTCACTTATTGTCTCGTCCACACTCAGGATCAGGCAAGCAGCCTCGATGGCAGCCTGGATGGCATTGACCTTGACCAGACTGGGCTCCCACACAAAGGCGGCCATGTTGTCACGCACACCTTCGTGGTCAAAGTCCACACCGGCCCAGACATTGCCCTTGCGGTGCTCCACACGCAGGCGGTTCAGAATGTCGGTGGCATCGAAACCGGCGTTGTCGCACAGCTGGCGCGGGATCACTTCGAGAGCCTTGGCAAACGCCTTGACGACGGACTGCTGCTTGTGCGGGACGTTGCGATCGGCAAATCCGTGCATGTAGCTGGAAAGCTCCATCTCGCACGCACCACCACCCGCAACAATGGTTGTGTTGCGAAGGGCACGTTTGACAATCATGATGGCATCGTGCAAGCTGCGCTCGACCTCGGCAATGAACTGCTCCGCTCCACCACGCAGCACCAGAGTGCATGTCCGTGCTCCGGGGCACTCGGAAAAGAAGTTGTATCGCTCTCCACCAATCTGGCGCTCCTCGAACGAGCCACAGGTTCCCAAGTGGCGGTCCTGGATGTCGGTGCATGTCGACTGCGTTGCCGCACCGGTCGCCTGGCAGACACGGTCCATATCATCCGATGAAACACGTCCAGCGCAGAAAATATCCCGGTCAGCAAAGTACCTGTGAAGAAAGATAGTTAGTAAAGAACAGTTGGAGTTGTCTTGAAGAAACATACTGTGTAGCAAGATCACCAATGGGCAACTTGCTGAGCACAACCTTTGCGCCAGTCTTGTGGATGGCTTCGAGCTTGTTGTAGATGATCTGCCACTCTGCATCGACGATGGCCTGGTATTCAGACACCTGCTCAACCCGAACCTCTGCGTTGTCCTTCTCACTCTTCAACTCCAACTCGACGTTCAAACACACAATCTTGGGGTCCTTGAAAGACTTGGGCTGCTGCTCGAAACCGGCGTAAGAAAAGGTCTTCTTAAAGGCAACACCGTTGACGAAAAGCGAGTCCTGGAGACCACCACCAGTAACCTTCTTCACACCGATCAATTTCTCGTTAAGGTCATCCTGGTCCAGACTGAGGACAGCGTCCACCACCACTATACACCAGTCAGCTTTCCCTTCATTATCCGACGCACAGAAAGAGTAAATGACTTACTCTTGGTGAAGAATTCCGAGTTCCGCTTGATAAGCTTGCTGTTCATTGCTGTTCCAGCCAATCTTCGTAGAGTCTCGACCTTCTTCTCCTCGGTACCAGATTGATCGATAATGTCCACCGCAATCTCCTTGATCTTGTTGACGGCCATAGCACTTCCCCTCCGCAGACCCTTGATGATAGTCTGTGAGCTGACGCCCTGTTCAACAAGCTCCCGGACTTCTTTCAGAATTTCACCAGCAAGAACGACCACGGAGGTTGTTCCGTCGCCGACTTCGGCATCTTGGGATCGTGCGATGTCAGTGAGAATGCGGGCGGCGGGGTGCACAATATCAAGAAGCTGGTTTTTGAAAACAGGTGTCAGCACTCATAGTTGTAGAAATCGAATACATCTCCAAGTCTTTCCAGAACAGCTCTGACGCACTTTCATCACTGTGGCTCCATCGTTTGTGATTGTCTGTTTGCCGTTGCTGTCGACAAGCAACAGGTCACCTCCGTATGGACCGAGAGTGCTCTTGATTGTAGATTGCACGGCGACACAAGAATTAATGTTCGAGATGATCTGTCCCTTTCCCTGAGAGGTGTCGGTACCTATTCATCGAAAAAGAAAACATCAGCGAATATCCAGGGGTAATAGAGAATCCGGGGGTCACTACCCTCACGGAGGACAACGATCGTGGGTGTTTGGCCGGCAAAGGCCATGTTGGTGGGATGAAGTTTTTTTCACGAGAAGAAAAATCCAAAAAAAAGAAAAAAGTAATTAATGACGAACACCCGAAAGAATGATCAGAGTTGAGATGGCAAGTGGCCCTGGACAGTTCCCACGTCGACAATGATCTCGACCAAAATTTCCCAGAGCTCCTCATCGAAACCCCCCGTCGCCAAAGCACAGAGGCGGTGACCAATCATGCCGCACTCCGCAACCCTACGGATTTCTACCCCTCGTCATACAGGTGGATGGCTTCACGACAGTCAATTAACATGGAAGATGGTATTTATAAATGTCTTATTCAAAAACTCATGGATGAATATTGAATATATTCTGCTCTAATCACAAGCCCATTTTAATAATAATAATTATAAATGATCCCGATAATGAGATCCTACCAAGCAATCCTCAACGCCAGAGAGCCTATACCCCGAGAAACGAATTCAAGAAAAATCCAAATCATCTGGTCGTTCGGAATACTCATACTTGGATAATATCTCCTGTTGTTGCTGCACTTCATGTGCTTGTGAATTTACTAGCCTGAGCGCTTCTTGACGTAGCGCCGCCCCGGTTTCTCCATCAGATGTATCGTCCATCATCATTTGATAGTCATGAGAAGCATGCTGCCGTACCTCGTCATCAAAATTTGAGCTGGGTAAATTGTGAGATCCGTGTGCATATGGATCGGTCATAGTATCTGGGTGTTGGAATCGAGGGAGATGCTGGTGGATGTCGATAATCTGGGGATCAAGAGGTATTGCCGTATAGTCACTCATGGATTCGACGGCCCCTGGAACGGCAGGTGGATGCGGTGAAATAAAGGGATTATGGTTGGGAGACGGATCGATGGGGTTATCGTTCATAAGCTGGTTTGTTCCAATAGTCCCGTTGGGTGACAGGCCTGTCCCACTCTCCCGCAAGCCTGGCTTCATATCATCCTCAACTTCAGAACCGTCTTCGCCTCTGAATTCATTTGTTGTAGGTTGTTTAAGGGTTTCCTTGCATTGTGGACAATCTCTGATGACTCGGCTGACGGTTTCTTTGATCCGCACCCAGTGGTACTGAACGGCAATGGCAGCAGTGGTTTTATTGATTCCTGCATGCTGCTGGACATGAATATCCCGAGCAATATCATACTGCTGCTGGGGATCCGACACCACCTCTTTGTCCTTCAGCATCAGTTTTTCAGGCTTGCCATTCTCCCCGCCAATAAGCTTATAATGAGTGGCCGCACTCCTGAGCCGGCTCTTTTCGGCTCTATCCGCACCCCTGGGATATTTGGAATGCTTGAGATAATACCTGATCTTATCGAATCGATCCTGGGTGATGGAATCATCCCCTTCGGTATTTAAATCTCGACCATAGATGATTGCATCAACGTACTCTCCGGAGGTCAATCTACCACCTCCAGGTACTTTACCAATCCGTTTGAAGCCCAAGGAATCCCATATACGACAGGAAGCCACATTGGTCTCATAAATCAGGTTGAAGACAGCGTATGTGTATCCCTGCCAAAAGTCAGAAACACGTTCCCTTACGACACAAGGCTGCAAAAGTTCACAAAACTCACCAACCGGGGAGCCCAATCCAAGTATCCTTCTCCCATTAGTCTACCAACACCCCTATTTCGAGCAGCATCCGTGACAAGAAACATGCCATTGCAGACGTGACTACTACGGCCTGGGTAGTTCGGTCTAACCGTGAAGCTGCCCAGGCAGATCTTAGCCCAGTCGGTCCCGTTCTTATCCATGGCCTGGATGTCGTGTACATCCTTCACATCACCCATGACCATGATAGCACTAAAGTTGGAGAACCAATACAGCCTGAACAGATCCAACTGAATGGGATCAATCATAGCATACGTGTCACCTTTTTCGATCTCCTTGTTGAGTTGGTCCGATAGATACTTTAGCAAAGATCGAGGCACCTCGTCCATTGGCGAGAAAGGCACCAACGTAGCGACTGTGACTCGATCCCTCAGGACCACCTGCCGGGGAGAAATCGTAAACGGAAGCTCTTCATCGTTGGCTGCTACTGGAGTCGTCAGATCTCCATGGACCGCGGGCATTGTAGCGGTATCCTCCGCCAGGCAAGGCCGGTCACGAGACTATTTGCCATATTAGTTTTGACTTTCCACAACGGGCAATTTTGGTGAACCCCGGATCGAAGAAAAGAGCCCCCAGAAGGGGGATTTTTCACTACGGGAACTGGCCTTTAGATCTGGGGAAGCACACTGACATTCTGCACGGAAAGAGGTCGGGAATGACGTTTGTCCCCTGGCGACTGAGACCACGCGGGATAGAGTTCCCTGACTTGCCTGCGCTGTGTACTCTGGAGTCCGGAATGAGGTGAACGCAGCGGAGTACTGTAGAGAACACGTCGTCCTGGACAGGCTGAGTCATCGCGGAACGGGAAATTGTTGGCCCGAGGGAAGGTGGGTGGTTGTATAGGCTGTACCATCATTTTGCCGGAGTAGATGTAACAAACGTCTGGAATTGAATAATATTCTAGAAAAGGCGAGCTGACATGGCTGAAAGGTCTGGCTTGCCAAATCTTACAGAAGACCAAGGATGTGCAGCGTATTTATGTCGCATCCAAGGCCTTAGGAGAGCGAGAATGTAAGGTATTCCTATGGTGGAAGGAGCACCATGTTCAAAACCTGGAGACCTCCGGAATACGCAGGCAAGCATGAGGACTGGTTACACACTCCTTATCGAAATATCGGTGATCCCTCGACTCATTGATATCTCGCATGTTCTCGGATCCTCGACAGTCAGCGGAGCATCCGACTGCTGGATTGAAATGAAATGACTAGGACTAGATGCTGACAACGCTGACAGCGCTGAGCTGAGATACCCAGTGATTACGACTGCATTGTGTCGGCCACGGGTGGACTCCAATTGCAATCACTTGTTTTTGATATGTGCAGCATTACTTGTCGTCATTCAACATTCTTGCGCTTGACCAGGTTGAAAAAACAACCTTATTGCAGATTCGGTAAGGCCCATAGTACTCCGAATCCATATCCATCAGATACGAGATACTCCGCACATTCTCCAAGATCTATTCCACTTGCTTTTGTGGAGTCTGTAAATTGAGTTCTGGATCTGTCATTGTATCCCGGCGTTATTGTGCCACCTCTTGGAGGTTGATGCTGTACACTTTTCAGGGTCATTCGGAACCCCTAGGCCCTGGCAGCTCATTCTGCGTACAACTGGTCTTTCTGGATGATTTCGTGGAGTGGTTCCTCTGACAATAGAATGACAATGTCATCCCTGGATCTTCAGTGTGGGGTTCTTTGTATAATTTGATATCTTAGGCACACTTGAGCGAAAACATTCGCTCTCGACGAAGGAAGAAAAGACCTGGATATCAGGCTAGTTATCGGCTTGATATAGCATCCGCCGAGTGATCTGCCCATAATCAGCTCTCAACTCTTTCACTTTTCGTGGATTTCGTGTCTTATTGAAACTACAACTTGGTGGAAAGATGCCATTGGTATTATGAATGCCGCAGGCGTTATCTATCTGCTCTCTACTATGTTTTATATTAGCCTGGCAATCTGGTTCCCGACTGGTCTTGGATGCTTACCGCGAATCCGTCTTCCCCGCCGATGGTCTTCAATAGCTGTCTACGGTGAGTCTCGCATCTTCACGACAGCAACATTTGAACAAATTCTTTCGTTTTCTGCCTGGAAGTACCGCTTATCCGGCCGCTTTAAGGAAAACAGGTCAGATTTCGGTTCTTTTCGCCGTACTTCTTCGATCCCACTTATTGGTGTATAATGTAGATCAGTCGAGCTGAGCTGACCGACCCCTCTGTGTGGAGACTAGTGGAGGGGTCGCTCAGCTCGGTTTGTTGAGTCGTCATTTCACTTTCAGTTGCTTATTTTATTCTGAAGCACTTCATCTTCAGATATTCAAGCATTTGTGATTTGACACCACCAAAAAATCCATCATAATAAGACTATCCTATCTCGTATCCAATCATGACCGCTGAACGTCCTCAATATTACAAAAACACCCTTGAGCCAATCGCCATCAACCGTGATGAATTGCTCGGATCACTCAGTGAATTGCGTGCTGCCGTAGCACGCGGCGCTGATATGGTGCAGAAGAACAGCCCCCCAGCAGAAGAGTGGGGAAGAGCTGGTTGGTATCTTGGAAATGCAGGTAAATCATGTCTTTTCTACGATTAGTTGCAGCCTAAGAACCTTCTGGGGGTGGGATCTGGACTAATACAATATATCCCGTGCCTAGGAATTGCTCTTGCTTATCTACGCCTCGCTCGCCAAGTCCCAGTATTGAAAGGAGAGAATGAGTCTATTCAATTCCCCGACTTCCAGGCCCTTGCCAGCCAGAGAATCTTTCCAAATGGCCCGGACTTGCCTCTTATTCCATCAAGACTGTCTCCGCTAGGATCGGCTACTCCTTTGGCTGCCGTTGTAACACGTGCTTTGGCTGCCTCGCCAGGGAGTGCTCTGTCTAAAGATGACATCAGTTGCCTCCAGCAGGGCGTTGAGATGGCTTTGTACAATGGCCATCTCGTTGCTCATGACGGTAGGAACATGGGTGGTGATGAGCCTTTGTACGGCCGAACTGGCTTGTTGCTCTCTTTGCTTAACATAAGGGCCCACAGCTATGATGATGAGACCCAAAAAGCTTTGAATTCCATCTTCGAGGCTATTCCGAAACTAGTTGATGTGGTTATCGCCGGTGGCCAAACCGGGTCTACTGAGTATAAGAATAGATACGGAGAGAAAGACTCAATGCCACTGATGTGGCCGTGGATGGAAAACTATTATGGTCTCGGATCGTGAGTAGTCCTAATGATAGATAATTGCTATTCAGAGTGATGGCTAACTTACATTAGGGTTCATGGAGCTTGTATGTCTACATCTTAAACTATTCAAGGTCAGCTTGAGCTAACATTCACTTGCAGCTGGTATTATTTCGGTCGTCATCGGATGCAACAAAAAGGAGATCAACGACAGCCACTTCCCATTAATTGCAGAAACAATCACATCAATTTGCAAGTTCTGCATCGCCCACAATGGCCATCTCCCTATGACGATTCCGTACCTCAATCCTACCAAAACCACCCATACCCTACAGGTTTGCCATGGCAGTCCCGGAATTCTGCTCCTCATGGCATGCGTCAGAAGAAATGTCCATCTGACCTCCAACTACTGGCAACCCGAATGGGATGAAGCTATCTGCTTAGCCAGCGATCGGGTCTGGGAAGAAGGATTGATTTCTAAAGGCGGTGGTATCTGCCACGGCATCACGGGCAATGCTTGGCCGCTGCTTTTCGTGCACGATAGCTTCCAATACGATACTGAGCTGATGGAAACTGCCAGACGTAACTATATGGAGCGTACGAAGACATCCGATGTCCCGGGAATCAAGGGCGATTGCGGCGACCAATTCCTCTCCAGAGCTCTGGCGTTCATGCTCCACGCACGGGAAACGCCCCCTTACAATACTTCCCCGCAGCCAGGCTCTAACGACTATCGCTCGCCTGATAGCCCATACGCTCTGACTGAAGGTCTCCCTGGTACTGTCTGTGCGTGGGCAGCTTCTTGTGTCGCAATCCAAATGAGACTGAGACAGATGGAGTTGGCAGAACAGGGTGTGGCTTCTACTGCTGCTCTCAAGGAAGACAGTGTCTTCCAAAGGCTGGATGACCAGCAGTTGGGTTTCCCTACTCTTGCATACTACAAGCCTGCTGGACTGCTGTAAATGCTCTGCGTTACATCGCAGAGATATACATGTACATCCCAGGGGCTAGACTCCAGTGCAGTATATAAAAAGGATATGTAAATATTGGGTCAATCTAGTAAACACCTATGCTATTTATACACCGAAATTCCCCATTTAACAGTTTAATAACGCATACAAAATCATATATATATATATATCAGTCTTGTAACGAACCCAAACGCCATGCTAAATGCTCGCCCCAAACCACAAAAAGAAATAATACCCATATATGCGATCCCCTAGTAAAGGGAAAATCCTGTACGGTACATAGGAGGCTGTCCCGGTATTTCGGTTCTATATTCGACCCGCTTCGGCAGGAAGTTGGCATGCGGTGTTTCGGCTGCAACTCTCCAACGACGCCAGCAGTTACTTGACGGATGGTAGGAGGCTCCACAGAAGCTACAATGAGCCTGTGTTGATTTCTGTCGTTGATGGCGTTGGTGATTCAGCGCCCTGGGTTCGGGCTGACTTTGACTTCTGTTCCTCGTCTTCTTTTCTTGTTCCCTGCGCATCTTTTGTACAACATATTCATTGATTTCCTCCTGACTAGGCTTTTTGCTGTGTCCTCTGACGCCATGAGGTCGAAATTTTGCATCCTGGCTCATCTTCTCGACGACGAAGGCATTGATCTCATCTTGCGTGTGCCCCCGAGTGTCTATTGGCTCTCCTTTTGCTAGAGGAAATGGTTCGCTCGAAGCGTGTTTTATAGCACCCTTTGATTTTTGTGTTCGAATAAAAATTTCCTGGTCGATAGCCAAACGCGCAAGCTCTTTGAATGTCATAGTCCCGTCCGTCATGCTGAAAGTGCTCACTCGTGGATCCCGCAGCATGGCCGTAGCCCAGTCGTTCCATTCAGGGCGAGCTTTCAACTTGGACAGAAAGAGCATATTTATCTGTGCATCTGGTATTTGAAGACCCTCATCCACCTGGGTTAGGCCTTCTCGCATTGCATCAATAAGAGCGGACAATTCGGCAAGGTTGGAAGTAGAATCGAGATCAAGGAACTCGCCGATTTGGTGCATCAGATGCATGGTGCGGGTGTTATGCTGCCAGGAGCCCATTTTGAAACTGAATGTAATGCAATGGATTGAAAATTGAGAATTGACAGGGGATAATGGTGGATTCTGGAGACCAAAAAACTGGGGAGGATTTCGCGCTGTGTTTTGTTGACGGGGGGATTTGGACGGAGACTGACGTCATTGCTTTTTCCAGCTATCTTTGCGGTAATGATTTTCCATCCTCTACCACTGAGGGGGATTGGCATCTTAGCTGCTAACATGACGTTGATTTCGAGCGACGAGAGTTCATCTATTGTGAGTTTCTTCTGATGCAGATGCTTTTACTGTATATTTCTTGTCCATTCTTCTAATCCTGGTCTAGGACCTTATTTTCGCTGCTGTCAGTCATCATTATCCGTCTTCGTGGATGGCATAGCCTCAAGAATACTACAGCCCTTCATATACACACCCTCTCTCCATCCACGCCCTGAAACATTATTGGATGACCAACCAACACCTTTTCTTACAAGGCTACGACACTTCGTGGTTCTTTGCGCCCCGTCTAGCGTGGCGGAGTTGGTCGGTGATTATGGAGCCAGGCCAGATTCAAACCACTTTTGTTTCGAAAAGAAACAGACCAAAGTCGACTTCACTCGTATTATAAGAAACTCAGGTTCAAAGCTTCTACAAGGCTATCACGTTTCTCCAGACAGATCTGCGCAGCCTTGATATCAATGCTGTGCTGACTATCTGAACCAGGATCATCATCTCATCTTCAGACCCCACATCGAAGATGGACATTGTCCCACCATCATATGAATCTGCAACAACAAGAGATGCGTGGGCAATAGTTGCCCAGTACATCCCATCCAGTGACCTCTGTGCTGCTTCGTTGGTCTGTCAGAAATGGCATCAACTCTTCATGCCCTTTCTCTGGGGCGATCCAGCCTCTCATTTTGGAACTGACAATGACGCAGTTTACGGTGGGGTTTATAGCAATCTGACTCCGTTAGCTATACCTATTATACTGACTTTCAAACAGTTGCTTTGACTAGATTTAGGAGAACCTTAAAATATGCTCGGCTCGAGGTGCGAATGCTGACCCATACGCTTCATCTTCCCCCAGCTCTGTCCGAAATCTACGGTGGCCCGCGACCGGAATGGCTAAAGGAAATCCTCGAATATCTACCATGTCTTCAATCCTTGATGGTATCAAAACTACCTTTCTTCGATCATAATGCTATGACTGCTTTAAAAAGCCTCACTGCAAATGGACAACCATGGGGCTCGGTGGATTTCCATACATACAACATTCGCTTACTGTTAGCGGAGCGCGAACCTAATACTACATCTCAAGGGGTGGCAGAGACTCTATTGCGTTTTCAGGAACTGATATATCTTGATTTGTCCTATACCAAATCTGCCCGTGATAGTGCTGTGCTATCTGCCCTGTCCCAGTTAGAACACCTCCAGGTGCTGAAACTGCGGGCTATCGGCTTGAAGGACACTGATGCCCAGTTTCTAGCTAATGCTATTGGCACTCGGGTTAGATTTCTTGACTTACGAGAGAATGTGCTTACCGATATGGCTGTTCGGTCTCTATTGCAGGCCTCATTCCTACCTCCAAACAGCTCTTCAAATGAGCTCAGCAGGGATAGAGAGACAGCGAGGTCACCAAATGCCATATTCGAATCTCTTCCAACTTTAGCCAGACTAGACTTCCTCAAACGTTCAGATCTAGATGAGCAGTTCATCAAAATGTTGACTCGCCCTCTGACAGGTCGTTCCTGGGTCGAAAACCTCCCACATGCTGGGATCACACATCTCTATATAGCGGGCAATCAAATCACAGTGGAAGGTGTTGCGAGTCTTTTAGCTTCAGAGAGGCTACATGCTCTCGATGTTGGGACAGTCGATACTGCGGCTTCGCTACACAAAGGGCCAGGTACCATCTCTCCACCAAAGTATGAAGATCACCAAATATTCCCCGGCGCAGAGAAATTGATACCAATTTTGGGCGTATCTGCAAAGGAGAGCTTGACATATCTTCGCGCTCACCACCCTATCCTCACATCTGAGGTGCCATTTAAAGACTTTACTTCTCCCAATGTCTTCCTGCCAGAGCTTCCAGATGAAGGCACCCAGACTGTTCCTGAACGGACTCACGAGCCGAGAGAATTAGATGCTACGAATGAGATTCATGAAATGCCCACGGGGGTAAACGCTGTATACGAGCTTGCAGATACCTCAATACCTGCAGCCGCAGGTCCGTCCTCCTATTATGCCGGAGAACGATCTCTGTTGGCTGATGAACCGCCCCCAGTACCAAGACGTGGCTCTGCATATGCACCAGAAGTAGTTGGGTTAGACGAAGACAAGCTAGGTCCAAATGGAACGGGTATTTCAAGATCTCGGTCAGACCAGAAGGGCGCGATTCTAACCGCGTGTGGTCATCCAGATACAATGTGTTCGGAGATGCTAGAGCCAGTGCCACAGTGCAGCTCTCCTCTCTCAACAGAAGACCCCCGTGCGCATATAATACGAGAACTTCTTGCCAAAAGACCCAAAAATCAAACCCTTCCTCGACGAGATAGCAGAGACAGCAACTTTCCTCATTTGCATCCATCCCACATCCCTCACCTTGAAACGTTGGTCTTGACCGATGTTCCCTCACATGTCCCTGCAAACTCACCAATACTCACGTCATTAATACGTTTTATTACTGCCTGTTCGAATGAAGCATTGCTCGCAACCCTTCAGGCTGGATCGGATTATTCGTTGCCTCCTGGTCGATCGCGACTTAACGCTGAGCAGCAACGGTCGCGATCACTTTTCGGTCTGCGACGCTTGGTGTTGGAAATCACACCCACGCCGAGCCTGAAGGGTCCTGCCAAATTGACCCCATGGAGATCTGTAAGCTATCAAAACGGAACGTCAAAATCGAGCACAGGAGATTGGGATTCGGAGAACATGTGGTCAGCAGCCATGAGTGACTTCAGCTTTTTCGGTGAAGATGAGTGTGGCATTCCAGAAAAGGACCCAGGAAAATACTTCCCCATGGCTGCTCTCAACGAGAAAGTCACTTTAATGCCAGAAGATGACGATTCCGTTCGCTTGGGGACCCCAGAGCGCGAGGCCTCCAGCTCCCCCAACTTACTAAACTCGAATCGACAGCACTCGCAGCGAGGCCGTTCACGGCCCAACTCCATAACCTCCACATCTGCGGCACCCCAGCCGTCAGTCGAGATCCCCGAGGTGGATCTCGTCGCTGAGCTGGCATCATTCCGACGCACGAAGAAAATGGAATACGAAGGGCTGATGCGAACTCAACGATCACGACGAAGTACCAATGGCACCACCTCTTCTCTCCGCGCGCTTTCGATATCCTCGTCTCCGAGTTTGATAACCTTGACAGGAAAATCCGCGCCACTTTTGTCCATGGCACATTTTGTTGAGGGGCACTGGAAAGGAGAGGTGAAAATTGTCCGGAATGCAGCGCCAAAGGGTCGCAGTGGGGTGGTGGATATGTATGGAAATTATTTTGAAAAGGGATATCTGTATCCTTGAAACAGTATATAGATATAATTGTTTCACTTTTCGGAGTTCAGTGCATGTATGAGGAGCATGCATACCCCTGGGTATATATCGTATCTCCTAAAAATTTATTGCTGACCATTATTGCATCATGCATAGTAGTCACTAAATATAGTATACTTCATAGTTCCGCTGTGGAACAGGGCAGAGCTATCAAGTATCAATCTACAAGAACCCGAAAAATGTCGTAGAATATCTTGTCATTTTCTATCATTATCTGAGATTGGTTTCCTCATTGCCATGTTCAAGGTCGTCGACACATGTACAAAAGGCAAACAGAAAGAAGAAAAAAAGAGAACCAACCTCCTGGTGTCTGATTCTCATCCTCCGCCATTTCTCCTAATTTCCTTTCATGGTTCACATTTTACCTTGATGTGTTCGTGGACGAATGATCCTATGTTTTTAAAAATTTGTTTTATTTGTCGTCTCTCCTACCCACGGCGACCATTAGGTATGCCTTCAACCCCGAAAGAACTGAAACCCATTCAATTTGAATCAAGCACGAAGAGAAGAAGAAAGGTTGTTCATCACAGAAAAAAAGAGACAAAACAGAAGTCATTTTTTCAAAGCTAATTCCATTTTATTCATTTTTTCTCCTTCCTTACAAAGCCTTGGCGGCCTGAGGGGGAGCCAGCTTCTTGCCGTCCTTGTTGTACCTAATGCGCGGCGGGGGAGCACGGTTGCGGCGACCATCCCGAGAGCGAACGCTGGAGAAAAAGCACCGAGTCAGCTTGATACTTCTCTAATTGCATCGTTCATTCGCGTAGTGAGTACGTACCGGACGATCTTGCCGTGGATAGCGCAGGAGACGCAGTACTGAAGCTTCAGGTACATCTTGGGGACGGCGTAGTCAGTGAAGACGGAAGCGTCAGAGATATCACCTGTACCGGAGAAAAGTCCGCATGTTAGCCCCAATTGCTTTTGAACAAATTGCCGTCCCAACCACCAGGTAATATGCGTCTTCTCGTTGGCTCTCGTAGACCCCCCGATGTTTCCATTCAGATTCGATCCCGACTCTTCGACAGCATATGTTCCTTGGGTTTTGGATGGGACTCAATTGGCGAGGTGTAGAGGATCGAACGTACGGATGGCAGCGGACTCAACCATGTTGCGGATGGTGAAGCGCTTGATCGCCTTGTCCTTAGGAACGCAACGAGCACAGTTGGAGCAGCGCACGGGCTTAACGTGGCCGCGGCCGTTCTTGTTGCGACCGCTGTAAAACAAACAGTCAGTCTTGCTTGTCCAAGTCCATAATTCCTTTTTTATTTATTTCATGTTCTCTTTGAATTCCCACTCGCTCGCATCATAAAACGGGTGCATGATATCCGGAGATAATGAATGTCGGTCCCGCGGGTGGTGCATTTGCGGAGGCACAAAAGGAATATAGATAGTTCGGGATGGGTTCGTTCTTACTTGTTCGCCCTCTTCTTGACCATTTTGACGGATTTCTCTGCAACGAGGAACTGTCAGATATGGAATGAGTCGGGGGGATAAAAAGGGGGGCGTACTTGGCTGTCGGGTTGGGTTGTCGAAGGCACTGGGAGTCGGACTCTCGCTCTCGTGATGGTTGGTTGTGTCGTTTGTGGGAAGCCCTATGCCCTTAAGCGAGGCGGGTCACGGGATGTTGCTGCCTCAGGCAGTGACTGACGGCATTGTGACACCTGAGGCAGCAAGGCCGAAATACCGAAGCTATCACGTGGTCCTAAAAGTGGACTGACCCCAAATGGAGCGGCTTGTTTACAGGCAGTTCATCTGTTTTGCTGCTGGTCGGTAAGCCAGCCTAACTCTTAGTGGTAATCGAGCAGCAACTAACGATCTTTAACCTCTTGTTCGAGGCACCCCTGTTGGTTACTGTCGCTCGCGGATCAGCCGTATCTTTCTCGTCTTCTTTCTTTCTTGCTTTTTCCTCTTTTCCTCTTTTTCTCTCTTCCTTGCTTTTGTGCTAGACATATTGTCTTCTTGTCTTTCCCCCTCCCCTTTCCCCCCTCCTTCTTCACCTTCCGACTCGTACACCTTGTCCCTCCTCCCTTGCTTTCCCTATCTACATCAGTCACGCACTGTGACTCCATACTCCATCATAAAATGTCCGCTACGGGAGGAACCTTCAGAGGGACAACTGCCAACCGAACTGTTGGAAGAGGTAGATTGCCTGACTTCGATAACCCAGCGGCATCGCACATTCCCCGACCTCGGCCTGAGACGTCCTCCACCACGCACACTCCGTCGAGCGACATTGGGGGTTCCACCATGAGTGCTGCAAGCAGTAGACAGAGACAGAACCAGTCGAAGCGCGATGAGGTATGATAAAAGTCCATTGGGTGTAAAAATTGAGATTGTAATGGTTCCGTCGTTTCGGCGGTGGAAAATGACTCGACCGCTTGGTTCGCCGGCTAATCCGATCGGGATGATCAGGCAATTCGACGGAAGATGGAGTCGGACCTCAGCAAGAAGAGGCAGAACCCGGCCAGAGCCAGTCGCTCCCGCAAGGCTCCCCCGGGAACTGTCCTGGCCCTGAAGCCTAGCCAGGCTCTCCAAATCAAGCCCAACACCACTATTGCCGAGGCCGCTCAGCTGATGGCCGCGAAGAGGGAGGACTGCGTTCTGGTGACCGACGACAATGACCGCATTGCCGGTATTTTCACCGCTAAGGATCTCGCATTCCGCGTTGTTGGAACTGGACAGAAGGCCCAGCAGGTTACCGTCTCTGAGATTATGACCAAGAACCCCCTGTGTGCGAGAACGGACACCAGTGCTACCGATGCGCTCGATCTCATGGTCCGAAAAGGATTCCGACACTTGCCAGTTATGGATGAGAACCAAGACATTTCGGGTGTTCTCGATATCACAAAGTGCTTCTACGACGCGATGGAGAAGCTGGAACGCGCCTACAGCTCTTCCCGGAAGCTGTATGACGCATTGGAAGGTGTTCAGACCGAGCTTGGATCCAGTCAGCCCCAGCAAATCATCCAGTATGTCGAGGCCTTGCGTTCGAAGATGTCTGGCCCAACTCTCGAGACCGTTTTGGACGGCATGCCCCCGACCACCGTCTCTGTCCGAACCACTGTGAAGGAGGCGGCCGCTCAGATGAAGGAACACCATACCACCGCTTTGCTTGTGCAGGACCAGGGTTCGATCACCGGTATCTTCACTAGCAAGGATATCGTTTTGCGTGTCATTGCTCCTGGAATGGACCCCGCTACTTGCAGCGTCGTCCGTGTCATGACTCCCCACCCCGACTTTGCTCCGACAGATATGAGTATCCAGGCTGCGCTCCGTAAGATGCATGGTCAGTAACACTTTATTTCCCGAATAGCTTGCGATATGCAATTGGCTAATGTTCAACCCGAAACAGACGGCCACTACCTCAATTTGCCGGTGATGAACGAGGGCGGCGAGATTGTCGGCATGGTTGACGTTCTGAAGCTCACATACGCTACATTGGAACAGGTGAGTCCAACTTCTCTCAGGTATCTTGGTTCGCATCAACTGACATTCGCTCTTGTAGATCAACTCGATGTCGACGCATGACGACGAGGGCCCTGCATGGAACAAGTTCTGGCTCTCCATGGATAACGAGTCGGACTCGATGGTTTCCGGCAGCCACCAGGCCCCTACTACTCCCCATCGCTCGGTCCTCAGTCCTGACCAGAGCAGACACTACGAGGGCCGAGACAGTGTGCTTCCTAATGAGTCCGCATCGCACCACGGCGGCGACGAACACTCGGAATTCATCGAGCACCACCACGAGGAGGACCACCCGTTCCCCTTCAAGTTCAAGGCCCCCAGCGGCCGCGTGCACCGTGTGAACATTCTCCCATCTGCTGGTATCGCTGAGCTGGTCACACAGGTGACAGCGAAGCTGGGCCCCGAGCTAGAAGCCGTTGGAGGTGAAGCCGTCTGCGAGGACGGCAGACTCAGCAACACCGGCTACGCTCTGAGCTACCTGGACAACGAAGGTGATACCGTTTCGATCACCACCGACCAGGATCTCTCCGATGCCGTGACCCTCGCACGGCTATCTCGCCATGACAAGGTCGACCTGTTTGTGCATGACCCCGTGCACCCCCCAATTCCCGCCGCTGCCGAGCCCCAGCCCGTTCCCGTCGTCCACGCTCCCACTCCTGTCGAGGAGAAGAGCCCTTCCCCTGTCACGGAAGAAGTGGAAGAGCCCCCCGTCGTCAAGACCCGATCGCAGAGTTTCCCCTCGCACCCACCGGAGGACCAGGTAATCTCTGGCGTGCCTAATGACCTACTGCTTCCAGGTGCCATCGTGACCTTGGCTGCTGTCATTGTCGGTGTGTTCGTTCTGAGCCGGCCCGCTGGACGGTAATCGAAGGTCCCTTGGTTGATGTAGGCTGTTCGAATCCCACAGAGATAGGACCCGTGTTTTGTTTATGTGAACTACCCCCTTTCCGCTTTTGTCGTATTTATAACCCCCAAGAGCGTCGTTATTTTCGTTTTTTTCTTTTTCTTATCAAATCTCTTTTCTAATCTTGCTACTACACATGTCCGGATACCGCTGCTGTTGGTTATATTGAGATCGTAGTTTAGCCTCAATGCACATATTTTCTTTCTGGAAAATAAAAAGCAATTAAAAGCGGTTACAAATAACGTGTTATACCAGAAAAAATATATCATATAACATAGGAAGTGAACGGCGATCTATCAAGTTGGGATTGTTTATCTTGCGATGCCTGGATGCCTGATTATCCCCTTTCGGCCTAGCGCGTGCCATTGTCCAGTCGTTCGAGGCTGGAATTTTTTTGGTTTTTTGGGGCTTCAACATCCCACATCGACTCCTTCACGTCAATCCCTCTATTTCGCTACTTTCTCCCTTCAGTTCGACAGGAGCTCTTTGTCCGGCTGGGATGCTGAGCCTGCGTCTGAGCGGTGTCTGTCACTGAGAGAAATTTCTGGTCCTGTCGACCAACAGATCTTTAATTATTCTACTGCGCCTTTACTCTTCTTTCTTCCCCCCACCAAAAACAAAAACCCTCCTTCCTCTCCCCTTCTAACTTAGCCCCCCCCCACTACGACTACCCCCCGGGTTCAACGTTGAAACCCGTGTTTTTTCCAGTATCATTTTTTTCACCTGATCAGGAATCGTCCCTGACTTTGCACGCCCGGTTGGAAACTCAGAGTCAGAGCAGTTACAATGTCCTTGCTGCCTCCCGAGGTCCACTCCGCGCTGTCGCAGCTGCTGCGCGGGCTGACCACCCCCGACAACACCATCCGAACCCAGGCGGAAGAACAGTTGAATAATGATTGGATTCAAGGTCGTCCGGATGTCCTGTTGATGGGATTGACGGAACAGATTCAGGGCGCAGAGGATGCAGTGGTAAGTTCCTCGTGAAAGGGCGGAAAGAGGGGATGATCTGCTGAATAAAAAAAAAAAAAAAAAATACATCGGGCAACGGAGGGGAAGAAGAAAGGAAAAAGCAATTACTTATATCATGAACCCTAGACACGTACATTTTCTGCAGTGCTCTTTCGAAGAATAGCGACCAAGACACGAAAAGACCCCGTCACAAATGAAGCCAAGGAGCTTTTCTCGACCCTGACCGGCGAACAGAGATTGGTCATCCGCCAGAAGTTGGTGACCTGCCTGACTAGCGAGTCCATCAACGACACCCGGAAGAAGATTGGCGATGCCGTGGCCGAGATTGCGAGACAATACACCGACAATGGTATGCAAGATGAAGGATCCCTGCCACCGCCGATTTCGTTTATCTGATGGTTGATTTTTGTTTTCCTTTATAGGAGATTCGTGGCCAGAGCTCCTGGGTGTTCTTTTCCAGGCCAGCCAGTCTGCCGACACCGGCTTGCAAGAAGCAGCTTTCCGTATCTTTTCGACCACTCCCGGCGTCATTGAGAAGCAGCATGAGGACGCCGTTTTGAACGTGTTCAGCAAGGGTCTCAAGGAGCAGAACATTTCCGTATGTCTTTTGGCTTTCTTCCCATTGGTCTTGTCATTGACTCACTGTTGTAGGTGCGAATTGCCGCCATGGAAGCCTTCGCCTCGTTCTTCCGCTCCATTTCCAAGAAGTCCCAGCCCAAGTTCTTCCCTCTCGTTCCCGACTTGCTCAATGTTCTCCCCCCTCTGAAGGAGACTTCTGAGAGCGAAGAGCTTTCTTCCGCTTTCTTGGCCCTGATCGAACTTGCGGAGATTTCCCCGAAGATGTTCAAGAGCATGTTCAACAACTTGGTTAAATTCAGCATCAGCGTGATTGCCGACAAGGAGCTTAGTGACCAGGTCCGCCAGAATGCCCTGGAGTTAATGGCAACCTTTGCCGACTACGCCCCCAACACTTGCAAGAAGGACCCGGAATTTGCACAGGAGATGGTGACCCAGTGTCTGAGCTTGATGACTGACATCGGAGTCGACGATGATGATGCATCTGAATGGAACACCTCCGAGGATGTGAGTTTATTTACTCACCAAGACCCCCTTTAACCTATATGCTGATTTTTGTTTTCTAGCTCGACCTTGAAGAGAGCGACCTTAACCACGTGGCTGGAGAACAGTGTATGGACCGTCTGGCCAACAAGCTCGGTGGTCAGATCATTCTTCCCGCTACCTTTTCTTGGATTCCTCGAATGATGTCGTCCTCCGCCTGGCGTGATCGCCATGCGGCGCTCATGGCCATTTCCGCTATCTCCGAGGGTTGCCGTGATCTTATGGTTGGCGAACTCGACCAGGTTTTGGCGCTCGTCGTCCCAGCCCTCCAGGACCCTCACCCCCGTGTCCGATATGCTGGCTGCAACGCCTTGGGCCAGATGAGCACCGACTTTGCTGGCACAATGCAGGACAAGTACCATGCCATCGTCTTGAACAACATTATCCCAGTCCTCGACAGCGCAGAGCCCCGCGTCCAAGCCCACGCAGCTGCCGCATTGGTCAACTTCTGTGAGGAGGCCGAGAGAAAGGTCCTTGAGCCCTACTTGGCCGAACTCCTGAGGCACCTGTTGCAGCTTCTGCGTAGCCAAAAGCGCTACGTGCAGGAGCAGGCGCTTTCCACCATCGCGACCATTGCTGACTCTGCCGAGACAGCCTTCGGACAGTACTACGAGACCCTCATGCCTTTGCTATTCAACGTTCTGAACGAGGAACAGTCCAAGGAATACCGACTGCTGCGTGCCAAGGCCATGGAGTGTGCGACTTTGATTGCTCTCGCAGTGGGCAAGGAGAAGATGGGCCAGGACGCGCTGAACCTTGTGCAGCTGCTTGGCAACATTCAGCAGAACATTGTGGATGCAGACGACCCGCAGTCGCAGTACCTGCTCCACTGCTGGGGCCGTATGTGCCGAGTGCTTGGACAGGACTTCGTCCCCTATCTGCCCGGTGTCATGCCCCCTCTTCTGGCGGTTGCGGCTGCCAAGGCTGACATCCAGCTGTTGGATGACGAGGACCAGATCGACCAGGTCGAACAAGACGAAGGATGGGAACTGGTGCCGCTCAAGGGTAAGATCATCGGTATCAAGACCAGTGCTCTGGAAGACAAGAACACTGCTATTGAATTGATCACCATCTACGCTCAGATCCTGGAGGCTGCATTCGAACCGTACGTGTTGGAGACTATGGAGAAGATTGCTGTTCCGGGTCTTGCTTTCTTCTTCCACGACCCCGTGCGAGTTTCCTCGGCCAAGTTGATCCCGCAGTTGCTCAACTCTTACCGCAAGGCACACGGCGACCAGTCTCCTGGATTCGCAGAGATGTGGAACAAGGTTGCCGAGAAGATCATCGAGGTTCTGAGCGCCGAGCCGACAGTCGACACACTGGCGGAGATGTACCAGTGCTTCTACGAGTCTGTTGAGGTGGCGGGCAAGAACAGCCTGAACCAGGGACACATGCAGGCATTCATCCAGTCGGCCAAGTCAACGCTGGAGGACTACCAGCTCCGCGTGAAGGCGCGTTTGGAGGACCGGGCCGAGGCTGATGAGGGTGAGGAGGATAACCTGGACTACGAATACGCCGTGGAGGATGACCAGAACCTGCTCAGCGACATGAACAAGGCTTTCCACACGATTTTCAAGAACCAGGGCACCACCTTCCTGCCAACTTGGCAGACTCTGTTGCCCTTCTACGATGCCTTCATCACAAGCCAGGATCCCACACAGCGACAGTGGGCGCTGTGCATTATGGATGACGTGCTGGAGTTCTGTGGCGGTGACTCGTGGGCCTACAAGGACCACATTATGCAGCCACTGGCCGCAGGATTACAGGATGAGAATGCAGCCAACCGACAAGCGGCAGCATACGGTGTGGGCGTTGCTGCACAGAAGGGAGGACCAGCATGGAGTGACTTTGTGGCCGCCAGCATCCCCAGCCTTTTGCGTGTTACGCAGTACCCCCAATCCCGGACAGAGGAGCATGTGTTTGCAACTGAGAACGCATCGGCCAGTGTCGCCAAGATCTTGCACTACAACTCGAGCAAGGTGTCAAACGCACAGGAAGTGGTGGCGAGCTGGATCACTTCCCTGCCCATCACTTATGATGAAGAGGCAGCTCCATATGCCTACTCCTTCCTGGCACAGCTGATTGACCAGTAAGTTTTTGTTTCCCCAAGTCTTCTCTGACAAACAGCAAGCTGACAAAACAGGCAAAACCCGGTGGTGATGACCAACGCCGACAAGGTATTCGGGCACATTGTGCAGGCCCTCGAGGCGGAAACCCTGCAGGGCCAGACAGCCGTCCGGGTTGCCAGCTCGGCGAAGCAACTCGTGGCCGCAACTGGGTTGAACGCAGACCACATCCTGTCAGGTGTCAACCCAGACAACCAGGCAGTGGTGCGAAGCTACTTCCAGTGATGTTTTCTACGTTGATTTTGGCATGAGTTTATACGCAATATGAATATGCAATACGCACAGATGGCAACTAAGATATCTCTATTTTCATGACTACATTTTCTTTTTTCTTTTATCTTTTCCTATTGTTTTCTTGTTCTTTTTGTGTCTTATATCAGCGTGCCCTGAAATACACCCGATTCAGTCGTCCGGTATTGTTTCTATAATTGCTGTTTATCTGTTTAGATATTGGAACTGTAGTTGATCATAGTATGGTTCACATGGGATTTAGGGTGCTTAGAAGCACGATAGGATAATATCATCTATATATCCGTCTGTATTTTGACCTCATTTGCAACAACCTCTTCCAATCCCGCCACAGCTGGTTCTCCAATCACTCCGTTGTCACGCTGCTCATATAACGTGCCACCTTCAGCCCAGATCCGTCTCAGGGTCAAGACGGTAGCATAGGGCTTTCCAGCCTCCCACGCCTGCGACTCCAGCTCTCGCAATCGAGGCAGCGAGGTGCGGGTAATATCAGACCAGGGTGTTCCGGCAGAGACTTGTCGTTCGAACTCGGCCTGGATCTGGGCAGGAGTAGTCGTGAAGGAGTTGACGTGGAGAGCACGGTTTAGACTAACAGAAGGGTTGCGAAGGGTATTCAAAACGAGAACACCGACACTGTAACATCATCAACCTCATATATCAAGCAGAAAAAGAAATAAAAGAAAAGGAAAAACAACTCACTCCTTCATAGTCGTCAAACTAACTTGTCCTCCCTCCTCCACCAACGCCGCCCTCTTACTCTTAACATCCCACCCCCCAGACTCCTCAGCCTCCTTTGACGGAAAATGCAGAAAAAACTCAGCAAAGGGGCCCGTCACGACATAGGTGTAGTTTAATTTCTCCGCGGGGATGGACTCGAGGACTTTCCGCACAGCGAGTTTATTCTGGTGCGGCTTTTCGTTGGCCGAGGCGGGGGAGTAGGCGATGTCTGTGCCGTATTCGGAGGGGAGGAACCACTTCACGTTGGGGGTTGAGGAGGCGACGTTGATGAGGGGGATTTGGGCTTGAAGGGAGGTTCGACCCAGGGCGGAGATGACGGTGTCAATTCCTAATATTTGGTTAGTGTATATAATAATTGAAATTTATATAGGATGTGAGGAGGGAAGTATGAGTACCCTTGTATGCCTTTTTAATGGCATCTTCATCTGCAATGTCCCCGACCAGGACCTCAGCGCCTTGTTTCTTCAGCTCATTGAGATGTTCAGCTTTGGTGGAGGCTGTGGAGGGGGAAGTGAAGATGGCGATGCGTTGGAATTCGTGGCGGGCGGAGAGAATGGCAGACAGGATGAAGCTGCCGATTTGCCCGGTGGCGCCGAAGAGGAGAATATTCTGGGGAGACATTTTCTTTCTTCACTATTGATATTGTCTATTTTCAATCATATCTGAAGGTGATGTATATCGCCTATATACTATTCAAGTTGAAGGTTGATTGCTAAGCATGTGGGGTTGACGGGTAAAGTAAATTGAAAGTGAGGAGAAGAAGATGACCAAATCCGTGCCGTATATAGCGTTAGACCACCATTTCCAGAATCTCCAGAACCTGCGCCTTTTCTGTCAACGGCACCGGGTTCGATTTGCACCATCGATCATGCAAACTGTGCGCTGCCAATGCATCCAACTTGTCTCGTCCCACCCCCACCTCGTGCAACGATCGTGGCATGCCCAATTCCCGAATCACAGCATCCAATAGATCTCCCAGATCGGCCTTGGAAATGTCCACGCTCTGTTTCTGAAGGACGGAGGAAACAACCGCGTCTTCCACCAGGAACTTGCGGACTTGCTCCTGGCGGTCTCGGTTGGCGTTGTGGTTGACGTTGAATTTGCAGGCGGCCGGAAGAAGAATGCAGCTAGTTTCGCCGTGGCCGACTCCTAGGGGACCAAGCTATTTCAATTAGTCTATGTCTTGGGTAGTATCAGACATGGGGAAATACCTGATGCCCAATTCCATGGCTAGCTCCCAGTTCTACTGACCCACTCGTACAAGCAGCCATGGCATCCACCGATCCCAACTGACATTGTAGTCTTGCTTCTCGATCCTCGCGGTCCTGTTTGGTCTTCAACAATCCCGGCACCAGCAGACCCAGCGCATGCCGAGCCAATGCGTCCGACTTGTCTGTGACGCCAATAACTGCGCACAGTGTCTCGACACAATGGTCCACAGCGCGCACACCACTGCTGAGCCAGATAGAGTCTGGGGTGGTGATCGTGAGAGTTGGGTCGAGGATGACCAACTGGGGTCCACGCAGGGGTTTCTGGAAGCTGTGCTTGCGACGGGAGGAATCCTCAGTACCACCGGCAAAGTTGGAATATTCACCTGCGGAGAGAGAGGTCGGTACGGAGATGATGGGGATAGAAGGGGGGTTGATTTCAGGGCGTTTGTTGGGGCCTTGGGCGAGGGTGGAGAGGTCTGCAGCGGTATGGACATTGTTGGCTAGAGCCTGGATAATCAATTAGCATTGACATCTCTCAGGAAGAATAAGAAAGAAGAGGGGAAGAGTACAAATGCAATTATCTTGGCTCCATCCGTCAACGACCCAGCTCCCAGAGTCAGGATCAAATCCGCCTGCACATCTCGGGCATCGTTCACGATCTGCACCACCTCGGACCACAGCGTGTGGCTTTGCATCCCAATCCGTGTTCCTACCACCCGGCCTTCGCCCAAGGCTGTCTTCAATTGATCCAGGTAATCGGTGTTTCGAGCCAAGGATCCAGAGCAGATCACATAGACTCGGGAAGCGTTAAAGGTATGGGTGACATGGTGGGCAGCGGCGGTGGGGAAGGGAACGCCATAGGAGAGAAGAGGATGAGGACGACCTTCAAAGGCTGGACGAACGGTTTCTGTCATCATGAAGATATCGTCAAACAAGAATAGTAGTAAATACAATGGATGAAGAGAGGAGCAGAATGGAGAATAGATCCATTTATGCTGAAGCCCTTATCGTGACGAACATGTGGAGGATGTGGGGCTGATGTGGGATTGCATCATGGACGATCGAGGGCTTTTTTGTCTCGTTTTTGAGACGGACATTGATATATTAATAATGATGTGGATGAAGTGGAAGAAGAGGTTGAAGTGATCGAGTATAGTATTCATTATTAACAGGATATCTATACAAAAACGCCAAACATGCTAAACACAATCATATTCAGACAATTTCCCCCATATAACCTTTTCAGTTACCACCGGCCTTCTTGGCCAGCAGGTTCAATGCGCTACCTGCCAGGACAAATGCACTCTGGCCCTTGCTGAGGGTGTGGTTCACTGGGATGGTCAACTTCTCTCCAGTCTTCGCCTTGGTAACCTCAAGCTGGATGTCGCCCTGTCCACCGGCCTTCAGCACATCGTACAAACCAACAGTGTTGACACTGTCAAGCGCCTCGATCTTGTCGTAGTCGGCTGGGTTGGCAAAAGTCAATGGAACCACACCCTGCTTCTTCAGGTTGGTCTCGTGGATTCGCGCAAAGCTCTTGGACACGATGATTCGGCCGCCCAGGTATCGGGGCTGCAGGGCAGCGTGCTCACGAGCACTACCCTCACCGTAGTTCTCCTCGGCAACTACCAGCCACTCGGTGCCCTCACTCTTCCACTGAGCTGCCAGGTCTGGGATCGAGTGGGTCTTTCCAGCATCATCGTAGGCAACGTTGGTCTCTCCGGTAGCAGCGTTGACCGCTCCAATAAGCGTGTTAGCCGAGATGTTAGGCAAGTGACCCTTGTACTTCAACCACGGACCGGCGGCTGAGATAGTGTCGGTCGTGCATTGACCCTTGACCTTGTACAGAACGCGGAGTCCGGACAGCTCTCCAGCAGGGAATGGTGCGAACGGCTCCAGCAGCGCCAGGCGGTCCGATGTGGGGGAAACAACAACCTCACACGATGCGTCTGGCACGGCAGCTGTCGGCTGGAATGCCGGGTTGCCGTCAGCGAAACCATCACCGGGCAGGTGCGAGCCGGTCGGGGGCTGGAACTGGAAAGTCTCGCCACTGGGGGTCTGAATCTTGTCGGTCATCGGGTTGAATGTCGTGCTGCCAGAGTAGGCCAGAGCTGTGACGATCTCCGGGGACGCCAAAAAGTTCATGGTGCGTCGGTTGCCATCGTTACGGCCGGGGAAGTTGCGGTTGTAGGAAGTGAAGATGGCGTTATCCTCGCCCTTGGGCACGCCGTCCGTTCGCTTCCACTGTCCGATACACGGTCCACAAGCGTTGGCGAGCACAACACCACCTGCCTCGGCGAAGGTCGAAAGCGTCTGGTCGCGGTCCAGGGTTGCGCGGATCTGCTCACTACCGGGGGTGATGAAAAAATCGGCCTTGGGCTGAAGTCCTGCTGCGGAAGCCTGCTTGACCAGGTCCTCGGCACGGGTCATATCCTCGTACGAACTGTTGGTGCAGCTACCGATCAATCCGGCGCCAAAGGTCTCGGGCCAGTTCTTCTCGCGCACAGTTTCGGCAAATTTCGAAAGTGGCACCGACAGATCAGGGGTGAAAGGACCGTTGATGTGGGGCTCCAATGTAGACAAGTCAATGGTGATGAGCTGATCGTATTCGGCCTTACCATCGGCTCGCAGGAGGTTTCCGGGTCCAGAGGCAGCAATCTCAGCTGCCGCCTGGGCAACATGGCCTCGGTGTGTTGCCTCGAGATAAGGCACCATACTCGGGGAGAAGGGGAAGACAGAGGTGGTAGCGCCCACCTCAGCACCCATGTTGCACATAGTTGCCATACCCGTAGCACTGAGTGTTTCCACACCAGGGCCATGGTACTCAATGACGAAGCCGGTACCACCACGGACGGTAAGCTTACCAGCCAGGTGCAGAATAATGTCCTTCGGGGCGGTCCAGCCGTTCAGCTTGCCCTCCAGACGCACACCAAGGATCTTTGGTGCCTTCAACTCCCATGGCGCATCGACCAGCGCATCAACGGCATCCGCACCGCCAACACCGATGGCGATGGCCCCCAGACCACCTCCGTTGGGAGTGTGACTGTCAGTACCCAACATCATCAATCCGGGGGCAGCGTAGTTCTCCAGCACACTCTGGTGAATGATACCAGCACCAGGAGGCCAGAACTCAATACCATAGCGCTTGGCCGCACTCTCAAGGAAATCGAACACCTCGCTGTTTCCCTTAATTGACGCGGGCAAGTCGGTATCCGCTCCGCGCTCCCCCACAATCATGTGGTCACAGTGGATACTAGCCGGCACTGCGGTCGAGGGCAGACCGCAAGACATGAACTGCAAGAGAGCCATCTGGGCGGAAGCATCCTGCATCGCCACTCGGTCAGGCTTCAGTTTCAAGTTGGCCTTTCCACGAATGTCCCGTCCATTGTTGGTGCCGGACATCAATGACTCCTCCGGGTTGTCCAAATGGGAGTAGAGAATCTTTTCCGCCAAAGTAAGGGATCGAGACGATCCCAGAACCCGTCGAACCTCCTCCAGGTTTCGTACAATCTTTGGATAGGGTGGCATGCGGGTTGCGGCCGCTTCAGTGGCCATGCCACGGCGGGCGAATAGTCTCTGTGGGGAGAGGCATCTCGGTGCCAGCTAACGGGAGTAGCAGTCAGTAAGGGAGACCGGAGGATTTGCGATCAATTGATTCGGTGATGAAGATTCACTCACTCTGCGAGAAGCAGTGGCCCGCTGCCAAACAAGCTGCGTCACCATCTTGTCGCCCTAGTGCTCTGTTGAATGCGGAGGTTTGGGATAATGGAGAGAGGCAATCCGGGCGATGCTTTTTGTATTTTTTCGTCCCTTTCCATTAGCTGAGCTCTGATTGGCCACAGTGGCGCCGATGCCGGGATCTCCATTTTTACCGTACTGGGGTATGTTTCGGTATTACGATGATATTACGTCGTTCTTACGGTATTTTTTGAACTGTGGATGAGAGCTGGAGTACGTAGTAGGTCATCAATTGTATGTATTATTATGGCCATCATAGTCAGGCCTTCTTCTGTCAAGCCAGATATGAAAGTCATAATGTGCCCTAGAGAACGCCCGTCATGAAAATCCAACAGTAATATATGGAGAAACAAACGTTGCCCCAGCATAACCGTCATAAGAGCAACCTCAAAAAGCAAAACGGAAAACTGTACCCCGAAGGAAAATAACCTCCCAGCCATCATTAATACATCAAACAAGGATACAAATAAGAAGACAAGGCATAAAAAAGCACAGTATCAAGACACAGCAACTTCAAAGGGGCATCCATCTAAGAGCTACCCCTGTTGTCTTCTTCGTCCACGGCTGCCCGCAGCTCCCACACGATATCGTAGCATTCAGCTAGCAGTGCGTTGACACTTCCTTGCCCTTCGGGAATGTCGGTGCCAACGTAAAACTTGCCTTCAACTCGCATGTTGTCAATCGAGTTAAGCTGCTTTATATTAGCAAACTTTCCTGTATGCGTCCACAAGACTTCGAACTAACCTTCATGCTATATGGGTAGAGCTCGCGAGAGTTGGAGACACCTCCCGATTCTTTAACCTCGATCAAGCAGCGACGGAGGGTCTGTAACTGGTTGAATACCGGCAGCAATGCCTCGGAAACTGGCTCTGATGAGATAAGGAGAGCATAAATATAGGCATAGCTTCGCCGGATCAAGTACAACAGGGTCTGTAGAGAATGGGTGTTAGCAGGCGCTTTTGGCCTGTTTGGAAAAGGAGACATCATACCCGCTGCGCGTGGAGATCTGCTGGCTGTCCGTCTACGCCCACAAAATTTCCATCGACTCTTGCTTCATCGATACGATCAAGCTTGCGCTGGAACCCAAACAAATCGGTTTCGCGAAGTGACCAAGCTTGTGTCACCGACAGACGGTCTAGCTGGTTACGGATTTCCACCAGTCGTTCATACTGTTCCCGGAACCGCTCGTCGATCTTCCCTTCTCTGCCAAGCAAGTCAGTCAAAAAGCGCTATGAATTATTAGACAATCTAATACGCACCGCTCAAGGACAAGCTCAGTCCACCGCCAGCACCGGTACATCAAAGATTTCAGGCTTTCCTGGCCCGCAAGAGGAGAACCATCAGAACCGACAAAGTTTCCGTCCTTCGTGGTGTCTTCAATCTTCTTCAACTTGTTTCTAAGACCATTCACCTCAGATGCAGAGAACTATCAATCCACTATCAGCATGTGGGGCCTTCTCGGCGCAATAACCTGGAATTTCTTTTCACACCCACCTTGGAACGAGTATTGACCGCAGATGTCGATCGCAAAATTGAAACGAGGGTCTCGTGGGTGGGAACAAGATCGGAAGCCAGCACGGAAAGGCCTTTCTGCAACTTGTCTAGCGACAGCTGGCATTGAGTCAGTCGGTTCTCGAGAAGTGTCAATAGAGCTGGAGAATAAGTCTGTCGGCCACGTTCGAGAGTCTCTTGCATATTTTCAAGGGTCTTGGTGATTGAGTTAAGGTCCTTGGAGCTGTAGAAACCGGCCTCTTCGAGATGGTCGAGTAGGCGCTAGATGTATGGTCAGGTCATAATTCCGTGTATTGTACGCTCAACTTGGGCCTAGAAATACCTGAGCAGTGGTCGCCAAGGTGTACCTATGAAAGCGCAAATTCCACATCAGTCAGGCCTTCGGCTATTGTAGTGAATCTGTGACCTACACTGCAGGGGCTTCATTGTTTCTGCCAACAGTCAAAAACAACAAGGAGATCAACTGAAAGCAGTCGTCCAACACATAGTCCACTAGATATCGATAACAATATCAGCCCGCATTCTTTTCGCATTCCAACCCCTCCACGCAAGGCCCACTCAGTGCTAACGTCGGTTGTGTATCAGCCGGCGGTCATGTTCCTTCCGAACGGCATTGAGCTTCTCCACCTCTTTAATCACTTCTTCGTATAGCGGAAGCACATCGCGGGACTTGATGTAAGAAGACTTGTCTTGTTTGAGGAGCAGAAGAGCATCGCGAGTGCGGAGAAGACGTTCGAGGATAGGTTGTTCATCCGGATCAAGCGGGACGGGGATGGCGGGGGAGTCCATAGCGCCGGGAGGGAAGAGTAGAAGAAGAGTGCAGAAGTTCAAATACGGAGGGGCTAATTTCTGAAAGATCAGGGTTAAATCAAACAGATCAGAGACAAAAAATAGGCCTAGAAACGACTAGGCGAATGATGCAACATGGGATCGCAAAGGTCACCCGTTGATAACGAGATTCGATGATGGCATCGCCGGCGCCGCTTTTCCCGATGTGGACAAGCGCGCAGTCACGGGAGAGGGGCGTATGCGCTAAACCGGATCGGGGGAGCCCTAAGCGAGGGCTTCTGCGCGGAAACACACAACTTCTCTTCCCTTCTGGGAACAAGCGCAGAGCCGAACGTCGACCACAGAGAAAAGTAAAAAAGTCTCCGTTTCCTCTTCTTCTTCCTCCATCCCCATCCCTCTTTCGACAAGACTCCAGTCCTCAGTCAACCCCCTCGACCACCATGTCTACCGCCGAGCTTGCTTGCTCCTACGCTGCCCTTGTCCTCGCCGACGAGGGCCTTGAGGTCACCGTACGTACTATTCCTTGACCCCGGGTTTGGACCGCATACGCAATGGAATGGAAGGATCAACAATTATATGATGTGGAGGAATATTAAGGGAAAAGAGGAGGACGTGAAAAAGAAAATTTTGATCGGAAATGAAGAGGACAGCAAAAGTACAGGAATTGACAGTGTACTAACGTATTCGTTTCTGTTAACAGGCCGACAAGATCCAGACTCTCCTGGGTGCCGCCAAGGTTCAGGAAGTTGAGCCCATCTGGACTTCCATCTTCGCCAAGGTAAATACTCGCGACGCAATACTCCCTCTGGCCGCAATCGATTCTGGATTTTAAGGGTCAATAAATCATGGGGTTGGGTTCAATGGCTTACGATATGCGATTTTGCAGGCTCTCGAGGGCAAGGACATCAAGGAGCTCCTGACCAACGTTGGCTCCGGTGGCCCTGCCGCCCCCGCCGCTGCCGCCGGTGGTGCCGCTGAGGCTCCCGCTGAGGCCGCCGCTGACGAGAAGAAGAAGGAAGAAGGTAAAGATCCGACATCTTGGGGTGATGAGATGAGTGAATATGGAACTAATGGCTTGAACAGAGAAGGAGGAGTCCGACGAGGACATGGGCTTCGGTCTCTTCGACTAAGCGGTTTAATCCGTTTGGCTTTCTTATCTCCTTTTTCCTCGTTTCTTTCCTACCACCTTTTGCCCTCGACATTTCTTGTACCCGATACTACGCGACCGCACGAAGACCAAAATGGGAAAATATTAAAGAAGATTCTACGGACAAAGGACATCCAGTGGGACTGGGCGCTTTGCTTGCATGATGGACTCCGTCGTGACAGAGGTACTGGACCGGATGACGCTAGGATTCCGGCCATATTGAATAAAATTAAAAAGTATTGGCATACATGTTTGCCGGGGTGCAAAATGGCTCTCTGGATATAATTATGATATGTTCTCTAGTTTCCTGCTTGCTTGTTATGCTAGTTAGCTGCTAGCATTAGGTGCCCAGCTCTCATGCCATGTCTGTCATGCGACCATGAACTAAAGGATTCCGTCTGCACTCTTATCTGTATAAGTACAATAGAGATCCGACTCGGTCCCGGGTAATTTCCCTTTATCACATGTCGATCTGGTACAATATAAAGTAGATAAGCTCGTGATAAGTACACATGCCCCTCGATAGTAGCCAACGCCCTCCCCATGCCCATTGCTAAACCAGCAAGCAATTCTCCCGGTCCACTTTGAAAACTTTTAATCAAAACTTTTCCGGCTGAAATTAGTACAGCCACAATCAAAATACAACCAATCAAAACAAAACGCTAGACATGATGAAACATGACAATCGTAAAGCGGATCACATCGTGGCCGTCGACTCGCTGCGAACGGCGTAGATACGGAACTGCACAAAAATGGTGACATCCTCGACCATTGTTCCCAGGGAGCCAATCAGCCAAGGGAGATTGGTCAGGATATAGTTCTTGTCGGTGGAGTGAAAGAGGATCTATCCGGAAGAAATACAGGCGTTAATTTATCATATCCAATGTTCTTAATGGGATTTTATCCCCGATTAGAAGACTTACCCCAGCACCATAGGTCAAGTTGCCCATAAGAGACAGAATGAAAAATAGGAGAGAAAGCCCTAGTATTGTTTAGTATTCATGCGCCAAGAGGGTGAGTTTGTTGAATGGGTGATAATACCTTCGCATGATTTTTCACTGTAGTTCTTGTAAATTTGAGGGAGTCGCGCACTGAAACAGTTAGTCAATACCAATGAAAAAGATCGCAATGCTATAAACTCACCCTAGATACGCAATCGCACTGATATATCCCAGCACCTGAGCACCGGCGGCCATGTCCACGCCTCCGTTGTGGTCCTCCGGAGTCGGCTTCCAAGCTCCTGATTGCCAGGCCATAGTCCAACCCGCCATTCCAATCAAACAGATACCCAAGACACTGCCAGTGTTCTTGATCCAGGCACTGCGGCCTGATTCTCGCTCCTCGATAATCTTGGCCAGCGCATCTTCCGCCTGGCTGGTGCGTCGACCAGACGCATCCCGTCCTTCAAAACTATCGCTGAATCGGCGGCCTAGCAAGGGAGTGGTCGGGTCTGGGGTCTCGGTCGATGAGCGACGTCTGTGAAGGGCGTGGCGTTTGTTCTTGACTTTGTAGTATAGGCACTGTCCGATGAGAATCCCGTCGGCGAGACAGTAGTAGACCGCGATAAGAATGATAACCGGTACCAGTCCAGCCCAGACACCTCCGATAAAATTTGTCACATCACCCACGAACCAGATACAGATAAAGGCGAAAGAGATGGCGTCTGCATTTCCATTGCGATAGTTTTCGATAAGCTGAGGAGCCTGCAAGAAATCGTTCAGCATGAGATTTTTCTATCCCTTCATTCCGGCTTCATCGTGCAGCTGGATAATACACCCGAGTTATAGCAGGAATACATACCAATAGAAAGATCCAACAAGTCAAAGAGATAGAACCAAAAAGACCAGACGCAGCTTCGCGAGAGGTCAACGGCACAGATTCTTCCACGGCAAAATTATTCTTCAAAAGCGACAAGGGCAGCATATTGACGGCAGCTGGTCGATGATATAAACTTTGCGACAACGATCCAAGGAGAGGAAAGGGGTGGTTGAGCTCTTTCACGGCGCAATCAAGGGTTATTCTGGGCAACCTCGGTGCGCAATCGACGATACAAGGGATTCGCAGAAGTCAGAACACATGGGGCACGGAGATGGCACAGTATGGGTTCGAAGCGACGTCAGATCCTGGCGATTCAGACTAGAAAAATAAGGGGATTCTTTGGCGAAGATTATTAACGATCGCGACTCCGCGAGTGTGTCAGGATGGTGAAGAGAAGAAGGGAGAAGCTGGGATTAAGATTATGATTGCGGGTGGATCCGACCGCCTGTCAAAGCGTGATGATTAGGAAGAATGCTTGACTAAGCGGGTTATTCTTCTTTGTTGCTATCTACGAAGATAATGGGAGATTTATAAAGCGCATGAATAAACACTTGGTGGGATGGTCTGATTAAGTCGGAGTTTCAGAATCTGCGGCCAGTAGTATCATTCTGCATGGCTATATATAGTTCGGTTCATGCATGTCATACGCGCGATATATAACAGCGATCTATTTGGCCTCGGTTGATGGCATATGAATATTCATACTAACATGTAGTGGAAAAGATAAAAGGGTATCGTCAATATCAATATTTTCTCTTGCTTTTGTCTATTCTACATTGATATTTATAGCCGCTACAAGAATTTTAAAAACCATCATCATCGACCGGCATTTGAAGCTCATCCTCCAACATGTCGACGACAATATCGCCCATGGCCTCTCTGATCGGCCCATCCAGCAACCTCTGCCGAGCAGATTCTGGATGTACGTTGTCTAGTGCATCCAGATAGTCCGACAGCGGTGTGTAATCCGTCACGTCTCCCCAGTTTCCACGATCCACGCCATATTGGCGAAGGAAGTCCTCCAGGGATTGCATGCCCTGTCCCAAGAGCCACTGCTCGAGCAACGCCTGCTGCTCCGCCGACGGAACTGCATTCTCAGTCGGGCGTTCCCTGTCGACTTCAATATCCGATGGAACATCATCCTCCCGAACTTCTTCATTACCGCCCTGCTGGAATCGTGGGAATGGGAGAGCACCATTGTGGAGTTGGTCCAAGAGGTCGCGGAGCCACTGCGGCCGCCCACCCTCTGGAACCTGCGACAAGTATGATGGCGTTGGGTCCGACTGCTGACGGAAAGCTTCGGACTCGTAAGGAGGCAGAGGGTCAGACGCCGAAATGCGCCCAGAGACGAAACGATTGGGAAGGTGAGTTGTTACGCGCGGAATGTCCGAGATAACCACATGGCGTGCGATATCTAGAGTGATTTCTGGAGGTTCAATAGGCTCCTCCTCCTCTGGGAGAGTATCAGAAACCTCCATTATCAGTGAGATAGCCTCAGGGGTATTCCAAAGGTCCTTTGCACGCGCAACGTAGAGTTCAGTGAGTAGTTCATGCGAGCCAGTTGGCGGCATCTTGCCCCAGATTCGCTTAGGCATCGGCTGAATATCCAACTCTTGCGCAAGTTTGCAAAATACCCATGGGTATCGCGACATGGCGATGCCCAATTTCTCTCGGCATTCTTTCGGCTTGTTCAATCTAAGATATGCCAAAGCAAGCGAGCATTGGATATTGGGAAATTGTGCCCACTCCTTGCTCAGTCGCGTCTGCGTACATAGCTCAACGAAATGAGAATATTCTCTACCCCGCAGGGCGAGGTGATCGATCACGAGTCGGATGCAGTAGGGATCGTCTGCATTGAGACTTAGCAGTAATTTAGCCCACTCATATGCCGTCCTCCACGTTCCTTTCATGCCCAAATTGGCAATATATCTCCAACCAACGAGCCAGAGCTCACGGTTCTCAAAATGAACAAAGTCGAGTTTGGACTGGCCTTCCTTGAGGCGGTTGCTGAATGAGGAATGGGCCGAGCGTCCGATATTGAAGAGTGCTCGCTCGAGAAGGTCGGCAGAAACAGCATGATCGCTCTGATGCTTCGCTATCTCGGACACTTGGAGGAGGGTAGATATGTGGTAGGGGTTGTATTGTAGGAGATGAATCAGCCTTTGCGGATCCATTGACTCGACGCAAAGATCGAACTGTCTCTGTACATCTTGATACGCAGTGTTATGAAGAATTCGGTAGGTAGCACCGCCGGTAGGAAGCTTCTCGACAAGCTCCATGCCCAGACCGCCACTGGGGGCGCGAGGCCATTCATCCTTGCCTTGCATGAGGAAATTTCGCCGGAGCGTGACTCCCGCAAGGCTCTGACCTCTACTAGCAGGGCTGTATCTCCCAGTGAGAGCCCGGCCAAGATCGACCATTTCTCGATTTCGATCTCTCCTGCGACCTGCTCCGGCATCTTGAGGTTCATCAAAGTTTTCCAGCACGACGTTTCCGAATAATTTACGCATCTCATTCATAGCATTGAGCGCTCTCGGTTCAATAGAAAGTAATTCCTCCGGAGTCTTTGGGAACGAGGGGTCGCGGACATCACCCGCAGTCGCGCCATCACCTTGAGAAGGCCGCTTGTTGTCAACGGCCAGGTCCTTCAGAGCTTTATCAATCTCGTCCAAGTTGGCATTCTTTGACTTGACCGGTTCAGGCCCTTCCGAATCAGTAGTCTTGGCCGCTGCCTTCTTCTTCTTCTTGTTGTTTTTCTTTTTCTTGCCCGATTCGACAGGTTTTGCGGCGGGGGTGGGTTCCGATGGCTGAGTTACTGGCTCTTCAACACCGTTGTCATCCTGCTCCTGATTCTCGTCCTGGCCATCTTCATCTTCATCGTCACCGGCATTCAGCAGATCGAAAGCATTAAGTTTAGGTTTCGATGGCTGAGTCACCGGCTCATCGTCACTTGAGTTATCCTCCTGTTGCTCCGCTCGCTGCAACTCTTGTTCGCGCAGCTTCTGCAGCTTGCGCACCGCACGCGAGGACATTCGGAAGGAATCGCAACTAATTAATTGATTAAAAATAGCAGCTGGATATAATTAATACCGTGCACGCCCGGATCCTCAATGCGTTGGCCTTTTCGCACTGAACTGCATCAATGTAAAATGACCGCGGGGAATGACGACACATCCAAGTTGGGCCTAGCGCGGGACTGGCAAAGTCAGCAGCCCTCGTCACATGTATTTCTGCCTTATCGCCTTGGTGCCTGAATACCAAGGCGGGAACTCGAAAGTCGCTCCTCTCCGCCTTTCTGTCTCCATAGAGCATCTCCAACTTGTCCAGCATCGCTGGATCCACCATTTTCTATTTCATTTTATCCTGAAATTCTCCCGCAGACCCAATGCGTCGTGCGGCTATTCAGGCTTTCCGTGCTCGTCGCGTACCGGGATGGAAGGTCGCTGGTAGAAGACCTTGTGCTGTGTCCTTCTCAAGTAGCCAGGCTCTTGGTCTTCGACCCTCCGCCGCGGGGAAACACGCCTCCTTTCTCCCAGCAACGCTGCAATCATCGATGCATCTCCGCAATTTTTCGCTCGCCGTGATATCGACAGTTGTCGCCTCTGGAGCTTGGTACGCCTACCAAGGTAACGGCACCCAGACATCAGTGGCTGGTCTGAACGGTACATCCCCATCGCAGTTGCGAACCATAGCCACCACGGGAGCAGCCGCTGGTGTGCCTACAGAAGAGTCAACGCGACGGGCTCTGTTAGTGGATAACGATCAGTTCTATACCGCAACACTGTCCGGGGAACAGCCTCTTTTCAAAAACACAGACGATTCGGACCGCCGAGTTCTCGAGATGTTGACGCCGGAGCAGGCTTCGCAGAAACTGAGGAAGAACGAGGAATCATACATGGTCAATCGAGGAAAGGGTGTGGTTCGATATGATATCGTTCAGGTTCCCAGCAACTCTCCCATCGAGGATGATCATGCGGAGAAGATAGTGGAGGTACCATCTTCTGTCGCTGCTGCCAACCAGGGTGAGGCAAACAGTGATTGGATGTTCTGGGCTGTGTTTGATGGCCATTCGTAAGTTTCTAGGTTGACTCTCTCTGAGTATTTTCTGACAGTATTCTAGGGGCTGGACCACGTCGGCTAAACTACGCAATGTCCTTATCTCGTACGTTGCCCGGGAGTTGAACACTACCTACAAGGCCGCTGCTACAGACCCTTCGGTCCTCACCCCAACTTCCGCGGCCGTTGATGCGGCTATCAAACAGGGATTCGTCCGTCTTGACAATGATATTGTACACAACAGTGTTGAGAAGGTTCTGAAGTCCAACTCGCGGAGAGTTGCTGCTGAAATGCTTGCTCCTGCACTGTCTGGGTCTTGTGCGCTTCTTGCCTTCTACGACTCTCAATCCAAGGATTTGAAGGTTGCCGTTGCGGGTGACTCTCGTGCCGTTCTGGGTCGCCGTGGACCCAATGGAAAGTGGTCTGCGACACCGCTCTCCGAGGATCAGACTGGCGGTACTCCGTTTGAGATGAAGCGCTTGCGGGAAGAGCATCCTGGTGAGCCCAATGTTGTTCGAAATGGAAGAATTTTGGGGCAGTTGGAGCCCAGCCGCTCTTTTGGAGATGCATTCTACAAGTGGAGCAAGGATGTACAGGACAAGATCAAGCGACAATTCTTTGGAAGAACGCCCCACCCCTTGTTGAAGACCCCTCCCTATGTCACTGCCGAGCCTGTTATCACAACCACTAAGATGGACCCTACCCAGGGCGACTTTGTGGTCATGGCTACCGACGGTTTGTGGGAGATGCTGAGCAACGAAGAAGTGGTCGGACTTGTGGGCCAGTGGGTCGAGCAGCAACGCTCCGGAGCTACAAACGGAAACAAGGCATGGCTGCAAAGCTGGTTTGGATTTGAGAACAAACAGTTGCCAGTGGAGACTCCCAAGGATGCTGTTTCGGAAGGCCAGCGTCGCCCAATTCGCCAGCAGCAATATGACATCTCGGGCGCTGCTAGCCGATTCGTTGTCGAGGATAACAACGCGGCGACCCATCTCGTGCGCAATGCCATGGGAGGCAAGGACAAGGACATGGTTTGCGCTCTGCTGACTCTGCCTAGCCCATACTCCCGGAGATATCGGTAAGAATTCTTCTGTCAGTTATTTAAGCAAAACCTCTGTACTAACACACACAGCAGTGATGATGTTACCGTCGAGGTTATCTTTTTCGGCGAGGGTTCCGACACCCGTTCCATCTCCATCAACCAGGAAGCCAGCGCTTCTGAAGAGCCAAAAGCTAAGCTTTGATAGAATCAATCAAGATCTTCGCTGAGCATCGCCTTTTTGGCGCAGGATGGGAGCATTTACCTTCTACACTATCTTTTGGGTGGTTTTCTTTTTTTGCTTTTTGGTCATCTTACAATATCCTGTCATCATAGTAAGAGGCTCTGGCGTTAATCCGCCAGATAACCTGGCCTAGTGAATTTGAAATTACACGTCGGCAAACTTGTAGAAATATGAAATGAATATCTTGGCTCATCTGATAAATATGGGTGCTGTCAAAATAAGCATAACGCACGGACCTTGTGACAGCCACGTGAGCTGTCATGCCCTGAAGAACAACACCAGGCGGAGAATATACTGCACTCTGTGATGGCCATCTCCCTGGTATATTTACTGTAACAATATATAATAATATTCCCAGTAGATAAGAGCAGATAGACAGATAATTTCAGGGAAAACAATAAGATGGCCCCGTTCATAGGGGAACTGTCTCTGGGATGCAGACAGATTGCAGGCAATCCTCGTACGAATGCTATAACCGCATCTTCTACCGCTCTACATGCTACTGTACATATGAGAAAAGGTCGATACGTACTTCAAGCTTAGTTTACGGAAAAGGACGGGATCTGTTATTCCATAGAGAGAGAGAATAGCAAAAGGGGAAGAAGAAGAAATAGCAAGAGCAAGCCTCATTAAAAACGTAAATAGCAAACCATGACAATTATGCCATGGGTTACTGAAACAAAGGAAGATCCTGGGCATTATCAGAGCTTGTACTGATCGTCCGGTGGTGTCCTCGCACTCCCCGAGCGATGGTGCAGAGAGCTGATAACCGTGGAATTGTCGGCCGGTCACCTGTTGTCCCATTTTCTTGCCTCATCAGGGCTCTGCCTTGGAGGGCCGTGGCTATCCGCAGAAGCTCCAGGTCCTCTGGGACATTGCAGTCGAACCAGGACAGCTTGAAACTATCCGCATCACGGAGACAGTTCCCTCCAAGGGCGCTTGTGCTTCCCCCACACTGATATAATGATATAATCGAAGTCGGCTTTGGTGGCGTTCTGGAGAGTGTCTCGTTTGAAACTGGAGATAAATCGGGGGCGAAACATCGAAAAGTCGTGGACCGCGACCTCTAGCTCGTCTATCCTTGCTGTATTCTGTATATCTTTTTTTTTTTTTTTTT